GAGGGAGAGGGAGAGGGATAGGGAGAGGGAGAGGGATAGGGAGAGGGAGAGCCGGGAATGAGAGTATTGTCAAGGCAGAGAGAGCGTGAGAGCTAGGAGCTGAGCTACACCGAGGGCTAGGACTTGGGATACAACCCTATTCATGTGATAATAGCAAAATTTTGCTAATGAAATTTTGCTCTTTAATTAGTCCAGAGCTTACTGGCCTTCTTAAATGTGCAATGCCGCAAAGTCGCAATACTTTAATAGTCTAAAGCCGCAAATGAAAAGGTGCAAAGCCTTGAATAAATAAATTTTGGTCAGAATTGTACAAGAGCCCTGCTATACGCAGAGCTAGATTAGACGTACCTTAGTGAAGTCGAAGACGATCAGATCGCTCCGGATGACGAAATAAATTGCAGTACCTCAAGAATATGCAGCTTCTGAAGAGGCTCCCGACACCGAAGGACCAGAGTACCAGCTTCCCAATGACGTCCTCAGTACGAAGCAGAACTTTCGTGCTATGATCAAGGACATGAGATCGACAATTCGGGAGCGGAATGATACTATCACTGAACAGGATATGAAGATATTCGAACAGAAAGAGTTCATTCCTGAACAGGCATGTAGGCTCGCAGCTCTCGAGGCACAGCTAAGTGAGGCGCAAACCAGAGATGACAATTCTTCTAAGTCGGATTTGAAGCAGGGTGCTAATGGCCTGCTTGAATCTGAAAACGACGTTGCCGATCGGTATCTTTTGAGTCACCTGAAGCAGGTCGGACAATTAGGAACTGGGATAATATTGTACGTACAGCACCTTACTGGCAACCGCACTGAACACTGTAATTTCAGCAATGTAGGTGAATTTGGAACGGAAGTTGGAATGGTAAAGCTATTGAGCTATATCCGCGCAAGAATGTACGGTTTTGACTTGAGTTAAGCAAATGAGTCTACGAATGAATAGTTGTCTTGTCAAGACTTTTGATATGCCCGAGGTATGCTTTGTTCAATAGTGCAGGAGAATATCATAGGTAGTTCGACCAAGACTTTTCTTTGTGCGGGATATCACTCAGTGTAAAACTCATCTAAACCTTATTGATGGTCAATGACGGCGATGTCTCCAAGAGGAGGCTTGGGTTGACAGAGAGCAAAGGAGATTAAGGTCGAGCATGAAAGACAAATTTGAGGTCTAGCAGACCTGTTTCGTGGAGGATGAGATCAAATAAGACAACAAACGTGAAGACTTTTACTAAATCGTAACCTAAAAACTTTCACAGATTCACTTTTGGAAAGCGTCGCGTCGCGGAGGGAACGCGTCGGTTCCCTCTGTGTTAATAGTCGAGAGGTAAACTTTTTCGACGCAACTCGTCTCCTCCCCTCAACCGCAACCCCGCAACATCAAATTGCGCACACTCGCACAACATACAACCATGAACAGCAAAAGGTACAGAATTTTCTTTAGATGATGTTGAAACCTCTTCAAATCACTCCAAATTCCCATTCTTCGCATCCTATTCGTGTGTATTTGTTCTTGATTGGATCTGCGTCGATTGTCCCCCCGCACAGATTTAAAAGTCATTTACTGACGTCGAATAGCAGCAGGAACATGTCGACTTCGTCTTACAGCATATTCAGCCCGTCTACCAGTAACGACTCCACCCCCGTGAAGCAAGAGCCTGGCAATAGCCCAAGTCAATATACGACGGAGTCAGATGAGGAAGAAGGCGACGAAGTTTACGAAGGAACCCAACGATCTGCCAAGCGAACCCGCATTGAACGCGCTGAGGAAACTCGCGAAGTTGTCATCGGCCATCATATCGACGAACCGTCACTCGTAGTTTACGCTACGTTCACCAAGGCGGGACACGTTGTATTCAAAGCCCGCAAAAGCGAAGCTTCTCTAGCCGTCAGAAACCGATGGCATCAACTCATTCAGAGCAGCAAGCACGCAGTTCACCGCCAGAACGTTGTTTTCGATCGCGTCGCATTGAAAGGCAATGACCCCGAAAACTTGACTTTGAAGGAGGTGAAGGAGCTGGAGACAGAATATGCCATAGCAAAGATCAGAGGCACAGCTGGTAGGGAGGTTGTTGATGGAGTCGCCTCTAACTCTCAACGACGAGTTACGACCATGGGAGGTGGTACCGTCGACAGTCCGGCGGCATTGTCTGGTGGTAAGCTACTCGCAGCTGTCAAGCACCATAAAGATACCGGTGCCGCTCTAGCTCGAGTTGCACGCGAACACGACACAGAGTCATCGAAGAAGATCCGTGCCATGCAAAGAGTTATCGACGACCAAGCAAAGGAATTGGCCAAGCGCGAGAAAGTTGTGTCCCCGGCAAATCTCTCGCAAATCGATACCGACACCTTCATGATTGGCAATAAAGTCTACAACAAAATTCCCGCAGATATGCCAAACGCAGGTCTTTACATGGAGAAAGGGGGCAGAGTCAAGCATGGCTACCAAGAGAAGGTCGTCTTGAGTGAGTACAGCAGTTACAAGACAGGCGAAGTCTTTGAGACTGTTGTGTTCAAGGATACCGAGTTCCTCAAGACCGCTAGCGGAGAGTACGTCCAGAAACAAGAGGATTTGGTGGAGATTGATGGGAAGACCTATGTTCGTCGTCGTGTCTATGTTTCATACGACTCGGATGAAGAATGAATGATCAGGTGTGGATGCCTACGGCTTTCTGGGAGGAGGCGATATGGCTGATGATCGTCGTCGAGATCTTTGGTTCAGAACGTCTTTTCCGTGAACAGTCTTTCCAAGGCGCCTTTCCTGCTTTGTACTTGTACTTTAATACTAGAATGATTTGCGGGTTCGCAATTACTTCGTAATTGCTACTCTCGATACACAAGATTTGGCTCTTAAAAGCATCTCGCGAGTCCAAAGAGCGAATGAAAGAAACTTTGCAAACAAAGACTACAGAATTGAGGTCCTCATTTCAAATGAAAAGACTGTCGTGATCGTGTGTTATGAAAAGACTACCCTGCTAACGATGACCCCGCATTGATCAAGTTGCTGTTAAACTAACGTACAAGGCTAGAGCATTGCCTTCTGAAAGCACATATCAAAAGCTTGATTGTCAGTTGGTTGGAACACTCTTCCATAGCACTTTCTATTCTTTCAACCACTTTGGATTCCACGAAGTACTACTCCAAGAGACAATATAAACGATCTATCTCAACCGGATCCATCCATATCAATCCATACATGACTTCCGAAAGGAAATACCACATATCATAACTAGCAACGGCCAGATTTCTGTGCCTTGCATCAAGAGATTCTCAACAACACAAATACAACCAGCTTCTGGTATTCATTTCACTTCTTCTCCACTTAAAAGTTTACAAACTCACTCCGTCCCTTTCCTGTTTTCGATGATTTGCAAAACAGCAAGCACAACTGCTACTGCTGATGATGATGGAGGAAGACCAGTAAGTTCACTTCGTCTTCCCTGCATTTCACAAGTCGTATTGTAAAGCCCCTGAGCCCATAAGCGATGGCTTCACGTGATAGCATGAAATAAGAATTCTTCTTATTATGTTCTGTTCTCACAGTATTGTTACTGACTTTGATACTGCAGAAGGAGAGAAGAAGAGCCCAATACACCAGAAGGAATGCAACTGGACCACGCTAGAACATCAGATCCAACACCAGACCTAGGAGTCCGGGAAGATAAGGCTTCTAGGCATGGCCAGGCAGTCGAAAGTAATCCGGTCTGGGCCATCACTTCTCCTCGCAGGTCGGAACGCATGAAAGCAACTAACTCCGAAGTTTCATACAATGATCATGATCAAGAGGACGATGGGCCCAAGCAAGAGGAGCAAGTTTCTCAGCCTTCCAAGAAGTCAGAAATACACGAGAATTGGACCTGTATTGGCAGTCATAGTGAATACAATTCGCTATTGCTGTATGCTGGGCTTACTACAGAGAAAAATAGACCCGGGCCAGTTCTACGTGTCAAAGCGTTTGTGGGAGATTTTGAAACCGATATCGATCGCGAAATCAGAAAGAAGGTTAAACTGAAGTCTTGGGTGCCGATGAGCAAAGTTGTGCTCAACAAAAGCCTCTTCAGTGACTATGAAGGTTGGGGGAGGCGACTGACTCCACGAAGAGGGACCTTGTACGGGAATACATTAAGAAGCAGCAGCAGAGTCAAGCAGACTCTAGTGACGAAGATAGAATTGCTACTGCTTTTCTGGGTTCTACTGGTCTAGACGTCGGGCACCTTCTTGGTGAGCCAGGGATGAAAGTGTGGAGCTCCCTAACGAAGCCAGATGGTCATGTGAACTTCTACACTCACTGGGCATGAATAGATGCAGTGACAATAAGATGCGGACCCAGAGTTGACATCAAGGACATCGTTTTCAATCCATCCTTCAAAACAGGTGACGAAGTAGAAACAGAAGCAATTGTCAAAGCGAGATTGGAGGAATCTAGAAGTACAAGAATGATCCCCACGTTTGTCAAATCAAGAAATTCGACAACAGGTTAATCGTTCGCAGCCAAGCCTTCAACAAAAACTATTCTACAAGCCCTTGAAAAAGCCAGTGTGGCCATAGAGCCTGTAATCGAATCATACAGCAAAGAACAAAACGAATTGGAGAAAAGGAAGAACGATCTGGACAAGCGAGAAGCGGAAATTGATCTAAGAACAAGAGGGCTAATGCTTTGAGAACCAGCTCGAGCTCCTGGTAGTACTGATGTACGCTATTACAACTGGACATCGAAGGTGGAAACCGGATCTTGCAGAGTCGTCTTCAGGATTGTTATATTGAAGATGGAGGAGAGTAGTTGATTCAGTCGGATATGTATGTGTTCGGTGATTGGAAGAGGATCTGTGCGGCAGGAGTGTGCCTTCTGCGACGAAGTAGGCATTCAGTCTTTGATGCGTTTCTGGAGCTCTAGATGGTTAAGGTAGTTAGCATCTACGGAGATGCTCATCTCGATTGAATTACAACCGCCTGATCAAAAAGCTTTTGGCTAACCATGTGACTTGATGCATGTGTTCTCTGTGATGCATACGATTGTTCAGCGGGAAGAAGGCGGAGATCTATTGGTCTAGCCTCCTCCATACAGCCAACAAAGTATGATCAGCAGCTGAAAGAAAGGCTTTGCAACGTGCTCGATCTGTCATATTTGTGATGAGATATGGTCCCCAAGAAAACAATGATATGGAGCCCACTCTGGCCTCATCGTCGTATTCGGGTTGATCGAGCTGAAGAACGGGAAGTATATGCTCAGATGTATGGTTCCAGCGTGCTAAGTTCACACCGTCTGATATCTTAATGATTGAGGCTAAAGGATCCCAAACCTAGTCGGGCGTGGGCAACGGAGCATGCCGTGCTTCAAGACGCCAAAACGGGCTTTTTCCAATCAAAGATGTCATGATAATTCGGTTGCACGCTTCGCGAAGTTGCATCAAAAGAAGGATCCAAGCAAATTTCGTATGTCAAATATTGGTTGAGAATTATTGATGGCCCTGGTACCTGGCACTAAACCGTAGTCTTTCGACATCATCAACAGGGGTTCAGAGACTAGTCCCCGCATCTGCTGCACCGGGTCAGATCCGACCTGCATTGTCCCGCGAGTAGGATTTGAATGTATCTCGAAGCAATTGCGTGACGAAGTCCAAAAACAAAAATTGATGATGCAGTCGCTGCCTATGAGCTAAGAAGGTCAGGAGACTCAAGATCTACACTTGCATGGAGAGAAAAGTCTATATAATGAGCTCTCCCCTCGTTCCCAAAGCACTTTTTCATCAGCAATCACATCAAATCTCTACACCTCACAAGCAAAACAACTTCACAAACAACAGTCATCATGTCTGGAACATACAAGCCCACTGGTACACTCCACCAGCAAGTCTTATTCTTCACTCGCTGACACAACATAGAGCACGGAGGTCTCAAGGAAGACGGAACTCCTGACAAACGTGTTGGCACTGGCGGTATGACTCTATGTGCTCTCTTTCCCCGTCATGCAATATCTGACTTCTCGCAGAGTTTGCCCAGGGCAAGGTTGATCCCGTTGAGGCTGGCAAGCAAGGAGGACAAACCGGAGGCTCTTCTGGAGGATCTTCCAGCGGAGGCAGTGGAGCTGGCGAGTTTGCTCACGGCAAGGTTGATCCAGTCGAGGCTGGTAAGAAGGGAGGATCTTCCTAAGTTACGTAGTGTCGAAGTCTATGATCATGACGTTAGCTCTGTCAAAACGGCTGAGGAAAAATCCATGTCTGGAATGATGACAGCTTCCAATGTACAATAGAAGATGATTGATTCGTTTACCACACCTACTTGACCAGTGAACATTCAACGTGCCGTGAGCCCGCTTGAAACTTCAGCTGTCATGTCCCACGTACACATACAGTGTAGGCTTTCTCATGGTGCCAAGAGTTCCATATGCATCGAAAGTGTCGATGTACCGTGCACGTATGCGTTGTTTGTCCCGGGAACAGGATCTGATGGAATTCCTCACCGCCTTCACATCATAAACCTTAGCTTGAAATGCTCTGTGCAGAATGGCTTCTAGACCTGCGGAGGACTCTCTCCGGAGGCGATCCCTTCTCCACCAAGCCTCACTACTAAAATGCACCAGGCAGAAAGCTTGTTAAGTCTGCTGACTTCGTGACGCGTGCATTGCTGGGGACCTTGGCAGGACCTTAACGGGGATGCTTGTGGAGAGAAATGCTCGGTGCTCACACAAGGAAGTGGGTCGGAAACGCAGGAATGTTTCGCCGAAATTAAAGTGGGCCTAAATGTCACTTCCTCTTCCGCCTCTCCTGCCTCACCTCGTTTCTCTGCATCTTTTTTGATCAACAGCGATGGCTACACAGGTACTTCAATCAAGCTGTGAGCCAAGTGACTGACAAACAACTGTTTAATTGCACCTCAAATGCTCTCGCAAGATAGATTGAAGCTTGCCCTACAGGCTTTTCAAAAACCATGAGCCCAGTTGTCGAATATGCGCGCGATCTTCACTGAAAGTATCCAGAACTTCGAAACTCAATTAAGCTCAGCGTTCAATCTGCTCCCAACAGGGGAACATCTTGATTCCTTTGCTGGCCAAGCAATCCATTTTTTATGCATGATGTGTACTCACTTGGTTCTGTTTTGGCTGGCCTCGTTGTACTTTGTTCCAAGAAGAGGGAGATTGATAATCATGCTGCTCCCATATTTGTAATTGTACTCGAAAATCTGAGAAGAAGTTAAGCAAGATGCTTAAAACTCAAAGTTCACTTGTCCTGCAAATCTCCCTGCTTTTGGGGGATTTGAATTGCTGTCAATGTGTGACTGCTGGATCCATCTCTAAACTTGGAAAATGTCCAGAAATGGCACGATGATTCCATCCCAACTCTCCAGTCAACATAGTCAACTACATGTCACGTACGTGAAGGACGAAAGAGAACACTGGAAACGAGAGAAAGCCGAGAGATATCGTCCTACAGTCTGTCATCCGGATTTCAGATCGTCTTCTAAAGAGCTCTTTATGATAATAAATGTTGAGCGCTGATTCAAAGCTTGAGTGAAAGGAGTTGATCTCAATGAAGACCATGGAACTATAAGAGGGGCCTGCAATGTGTTCATATATCAGGCCAGCTATGAAGCAAGACTACGCATGCGAGGTAGTAGGGGATTTACCGGGTCAGGATAATGAGAGGTCAAAGTAGAAGGGGCTCAGGAGTTATATGAAGCCTGGTAGCCGGAGTTATAGGTTACACAGTGGAAGGGATCTATTCCTCATCCTTAAGGCGCCAGTCCTTGCCGCTACTGTGCTCCCTCGATCGTTAATACATCTTCGAGATGAGGAGCGGTCGAGGCAAGAGTTCTCTGGCCGTTTTCAAGGTGGTCTCCTACCGAGGTAGAGGCCAGTTACAGCTCACCTCATTCTTATGGCTGCTGGGCATATGAGGGCTTTAGTCCTGTGCAATGGGCTGGTTATGCTATCTGCACGTGTGCAGTGTGGCTCCCATCTAAGCGGTACATATCTTTTGTCTTAGATTGATCATAATCAATCATCAGCCGGAAGAGCGTTCAACTGCAGATCAGACGGTGAATTCACCTTTCTCAATTTGTATAGGAGCTAAAATTGACCTTAGCGAAGAGCCACAACACCTCAACCTCGTCGTCTCCTCGATCTCGATAACAACGATTCTCAAAACAACTCAACCACAACCCATCCACTCTGGCTCTGTCTCCCACCAAGATTCGCACAATGGCAGACAACAATAGCGAGTAAGCCCCCTCACCCTTGTCGTTCATTGACTCAAGCATCTTGAAAGATGCTTCTCCGCGCCAAGTAAACAAAGCAGCTAACTTGCCACGCAGGATGGGTTCCCTTCCTCCACCCGAGCTACCAATTGAAGGTACGTCTACGGAAAAGGCGCCAACCAATCCCAAGAGACCTTTCCAGGAACAAACACCTGCTGGCGATGACGAAGTTGATGATCCTGACTTCGTTGGTCCTCAAAGCGCTCATCCAGCGAAGAAAAAGGTCAGAAAGTATCGACTCCTCGATGATGCATTCACGTACATTGGAACCCATGTTAAGGAGCCACTTGTCGAGGTGTTAGCACGGATTGGAAAGGATGGTAAGATTTGGACGCGAGCTGTCCAGAAAGGCGACTCTCGGCAACTCTCAAACTGGAGCGATCTGGTCTCCTCCAATGGGCGAGTGAAATTCGAGAACATCAAGATCGATTCTAGAGTGATTGGCGATTTTGCTGGCCTCATCGATGAGACTTATCTAGATGAGAGGGTGAAGCTGGTCAAGGACTTTCTTAACTCTGACAAGTCACGCACGACGACAAGTCGAGAACGAGTCGAACTTCCTCCTCCTCCTCCTCCTCCTCCTCCTCCTGTTTACGAACCTTCTCGCATCCAAGTTGGAACTGATAGGGTTTCGAAGCAACCCGTCTCTGCCATCATGATTCACGGTAAAGGTGACCATGGGCCATATGTTCGGTTCTCCCGCGTGGGATTGCATGTGGGTTATGAGTACAAAGACATCGAGTTCGACCAAGAATACTGGCGAGGTTCGATAAATGCCAGCAAGAAATACATCAAGACTTTATTCAAAGTCAAAGATGATTCTCGTCAAGGTATTTTAGAGACATCACTGAGTTCATAGCCAACTTGATACTAACATCTCGCTAGGCTCTCAATCTCAACGTCGCGAGTTGGAGGAGGTTGACGATGCAAGCGAACAATCAAGCGACGATGAAGTCGAACAGCCAATTCAAGATGGACTCGGTACTCTCAAGCCTTCCAACCTCGTTCTTAGTGATGGGTTCGAAGACGCCTTCGCCTCACTCGATAAGTCTTACAATGCGTCTATCGACAGACTGAGAAGAGAAGCAGGCCGACAAGATTCCGTGATTGGTGAACGAGAAGGCGAAATCGAGGGATTGAGATCAGACATCGAAGAGCTCAGTAACGCCAATAGCAAGCACCAGGAGACGATTGCCGAGCACGAGCTCACAATTCGCACCCACGACGCAGTGATCGAGGAACTTAGCCTTGCACGACAACAAGAAGCTGAGACATCCAGTGCACTGCTACGGCAGCGCAACGAGATCATCAGCAATCTGGAAGCCAGAGTCAAGGAATTGACACTTGGCGGTGGCAGTAACTCCGGTCATACCGCCAAGACAGACAATGAGGCTGCTCTAAAGTCCCAGGTCAAGGAATTGGAGGCTAAGTTAAAGGCAGCCGAATCCGCCAATATGACCCAAGCCTGGAAGATTGCTTCATTCTCTGGTGAATCCGAGGATTCGAAAAACACCATAGCTCTCAGGCTCCAGCACGAGGTGGACATTCGGGACGACAAAATTGCAGGCCTCGAGCAGGAATTGCAGGATCTTCGGGCCGAGAATGGACAATCACAATTTCCTCATCCTCTGTTACCGTTACCGATATTCACTCGAGAATTCGACCTCCACGGCCTGCGCTTCGAAGACGGATTCGTCAAAGTGCCCGAGGCATTCGCCAAGGCCAGCCTCTTCAAGGAACGCAATGGCGCTAAATTCACTGGTGAGAATAACATCCTTTGGCAAAAGACCCGCATGCTGCAGGACAATATCATAGTCGCTGGTACCCCGCTAGACCGTATCGAGACTATCGCTGGAGCTAGGTACGCTTGCTACGAGGAGGGTGGGAAGCAGAAGCGCCTAAGGCTGCCAGATCAGACGTCTCTGGTTTTGTATGACCAAAAGTACTGCATTGAGTGGGAGATTCTGAAGGAGACAGACCCTGAGGAGGTAGACTACAGCTTTTGAGTGACAGATGAGAGTGGATGGTCTTATTTCCTTGGATTTGGGTCCTTGAGAAGCTGGAACATTGACCTCTAGTCTCCAGGCTTGATCAGTTCATACTGCTTGGGACCTACTGAACTCCTTTACCTTTTCCTGCTTGGCCCTTAGTAGGCTTCTTCCTGTACATACCTCTACGAGTTGCATTCAGCAGGCTTGTTAGGCCGAATTGTCCACTTGGACATCTCGTTACTCGAACTTACTGTCATATCGACAGCAAATCCGCAGAGCTACGTACTAGAATCAATACACATCACAATAAACTGTATCTCAAGATTGAAATGTAGAACAGTGAACTGATTCATAACTTCCGCAGAAGAAAGCCATTTGACGACCGAGTAACCTCTATTACCACAATAACCCGCATTAATTTTCTCTATCACGAAGAGCAACCCAGTAACGCCCAAAACTCCGAGCATATCCACGCTCAACGTATACTTCACGCACGCTCGTATCGCATCCCATCCCAACCATCCATCATCATAATAATATTACACCCCATCCCATCAATCATTCAATCAATCATAACCTCCCCTCCCCTCACGTCCCCGGATAAGGCTTAACATCCTTCCTCCTCTCCCCAGTAGTCAACGCCCTCAACCGCCCCTTAACCAACCCCTTAATCCCCTCCCTCTCCCTGGGCCTCTCATCCAAACTCCTCCTTCCGCCCATCCCACTTCCCCCAACACTTCCACTACTCTCCTCCCTCGCAAACACCACACTCCGTCTCCTCCCCTCTCGTTCTTTACTCGAACTCGGACTCTCGATACTAGCGAACGATTCCACAGACGAGTTCGAGTTTCCGCGCTGGCGGCGCCGCCGCCGCCGCTCGTGCTCGTCCATTTCAGAGAGGATCGTGAACAGGAGGTGGTCATCGTTGGTCGGTGGGGTGGCGCCGGGACTGCTGCTGCTGGGTGGGAAGGTGGTTTCGCTACCTTCTGTGAAGCGGGATTCGCGGCGGGGACGGTGGGGGGAGGTTGGTGAGGTTGTCATTTTGAGGTGCTAGCGATGATAGTTGTCGTCGTGTGGTTGATTTTGTTGGTCGTAATTGAAGTGAGCTATGGCTGGAGAGAGCTCTGTGTTTTGGGAGCTGTGGTTGGAGGAAGCTATGCTATGCTATGCTATGCTATGTAGTTGACCCTTCGGCGCTTTTTCGCGAGTCGTGCAGTCGTGCAGTGAAGGATTCTCCGAGGCGTAGCAATGGATTATTATAGCGATAGAGTTGGTTGGTGGTGGTGGTACAGATAAATATCTCTCCTTTATTAAAACTCAGTACCAAACAAAAAAGAAGAAAAAATCAAACGAACGAGAGGAAAGCCACCCGTCTATATGCAATGCACTGCACACCTCCTTCCTTTCCACCTTCCACCACACCTTCAATCAACAAGTGGGCCCCCATGACGAAGGGCCTGCAGGACCCTGATCATCCCCCATCCAGACCCTTCCATGGCCCTCGCACCCCTGAACGCGATGCGCAAGCAAGCCCTAGTGGATCGCCTCGACACCTCATCTGATACGACACGCGCGCCGCCGATCCCTCTTCGTTCTGGTGAAAGATACGAAGTATCTTGAAACTTCAAGAACACACACCAACGAGGTTCCCTGCGAGGGTGTCTCAGACTCGCACGCTTCCCGCTATCAAGACGAGTCGATCGTGGGAGATGCGCAGGGAGGGCGTGTGCATCGTAGGGTGGGGAGTTATGCGGATGAGAGGGATGGCATCATGGTGAGTGAAGCTTACCTATTCAATGGGGAGGGCAGTGGGGGTAAGTGAGTGCAGTGAGTGGCAGTGCAGTGCAGTGCCGAGATTGTGCCTGTGAGACGGGACGGTACATCTTGCTTCGCGATTACTGTACAATAGCGGTATGCGGACGTGGTACTTTACGAGTGCGTCCGAAGATCAATCATGGGATGCGGATACGGACGGCGTGGGATCTCTCGGCCGTCGGATTGAATGAACTCTTCGTACAGTACAGTACAGTACAGTACAGTAGTGCAGTTGAAGGACGAGTTCTCCTCCGCACGTGGATGGACGACATCATATTTTTAGCCCTGACTCACCCAATTCAGCGGAACGGACGCTCCTTTTTCCTGCCTGCGGTGCGATGCCGAAAGTCCCTTCGTTCAGGTGTGATGGTTGGTTGAAGGGGCTGCGTGGCTGCGTGGCTGATACGTCAGTGGCTGAATGACGTTCAGGGGGGTTGGAAGGTTCGGCTTGGGCCGTGAAAGGAAAGAAAGAAGAAAAAGAAAGAAAACAGAGTTTGCGGAGGCGAGGGAGGTGTGAGTGTGGGTTTTCGGACTTTCGGGTGCGAGTTCGGATGAGATGGAGGGATGCTTTGTTGATCACTTGCCGCGGGTCGATGATTGAGGGGATTGGTAAGTGAGTGGTGTTTTTCTTGAGGTCTTGATACTGTATGAAAGGTAGAGTGAGGCATTAACAAAGATGGATGGCTTTACAAAGACATCCAATGTTATTACGTGTGGTTTCACTGCTGCCGTCGGATGAGAGGCAATTTTTAGTGATTTCTTTTGCTCAAACAAACTACAGTATATTCGTTATTGCGGGTACCATACTCCCGAGACATGTTGTACTCGTACACACTGAGTCACTTCAGCTGATCGAGGCGAAGCCCTAACATTCAGCGCTCTTGAAATCTGTCCCAATCTCCAACACCTGACCTACTTAATGTCTAAACTACTTAACACGATTGCCTCCACAGAAACATACATCATCTGGTATCTCGAAAATAGAATACTGCTGCCTACTCAGAAAGCATACTCCGGCAAATCATCCCTCTCCTTCGTCGCACCCAACGACAACTTACTGAACAACGTCGCCAACCCACTCCAACTCACAAACCCCAGCACCCCATTCAGGATCGAAATACCTATTCTCGTCTGCGGATTCGCGAACCCCGGTGCACCAGGCGGTAACTTCTGCGCTTTATCCACATACCCTCTCATCCTCTCCTCATACCCCTCAAACGCCTTTTCAAAGTCTCTCCCATTCCCATTCTTCACGATCTCCCCAGCAAGAACATAAGCACCTACAATAGCGAGACTAGTCCCCATCCCCGAGATAGGAGAAGGGCAATACGCCGCGTCCCCAACCAGCCCAACTCTGCCCTCGTGCCAAGTAGGCATCTTGATCTGAGCAATTTCCTGCATGTACCAATCTTCACTCTTCTCCATTCCCTCCAAAACTCTCTCTGCTTCCCACCCCGCGTCCTGGAATAAGTTCCTCCACATCTTCTTCTGCTCTTCTTCACTCATTTTCTCATATCCCTCTGGTTTGGAACTCATAATAGCGAAGTACGCTCGCGTACAACCCGCTTTATCAGGCCGTAGCAAGATCGTCCTTCCTCCCGGCGCGTTATACCAGCGCGCAAACGTCCCATCCGAGGCCTGGTACGGGATAGTAAAGAACGCCATATATTGACCCAGCGGTTTCAACGGGTCTTGAATCCGAGGGAATGCCAAACGGCGAGTCTTGGACGTCATGCCATCAGCTCCTATCACAAGGTCGAATTCCCTCTCCTTCCCACTCGCGAGCGTAACTGTCACTTTCTTCCCCGTATCCGAGAAAGCCGTCACGTAGTCGCCGAATATATACTCAATATCCGGACTCTTGACCGTTTTCTCATAAATCACTTTCGCGAGCTCTCCTCTCAAGATCTCGATGTCGGACGAGAAACTCATGCCGGTCTCCTTGTCGACCGGGAACGTGGCGATGGGTTTCCCGTTCCCGGTCACGAATTGGAGACCTGCTTCTTCGGTGGTTCGGGAGCGGACGGCTTCTTCGAGACCCATGCGTTGGATTACGGTTAGGCCTGAGCCGCGGATGTCGACTTGTTGGCCGGTGGTGCGGAGGTTGGGGGAGCGTTCGAGGATTGTGATGGAGATGTGGGATTGGGAGAGGAAGTGGGCCAAGACGGGGCCGGCGATGCTGGCGCCGTTGATGAGGATTTGGGGTTTGGGGTCCATTTTGAGTTTGAGGTTTGTGAGGAGTTAAAGGTAAGGTATCAATTAAGTATTTGGGGAGTTAAACAGAATTTCGAGCAGAAGAGTAGACCAGCACTCTAAGTTATATGAAGGAAAACTTAACGAATGGCCGGTATTGTACCGCATAAACTTCTATTGCCCGATGCGAAGGTGTACAATGTTGTACAGAGATCTGTCGGACAAGGAGACCTTGAAGATGTCCGAAATAGAGTTCGATGACGATCGCCCCCAGGAAGTGGAGCTACACGTGATAGAAGAGCAATTTAGCCCATTGGCCAATCAGCAGCTATTGAAACACGTTCAAAGTTGTCTGTATCTTTCTGGGGTGCTTGCTTTGAAGCTTTGTTAAGAAGCAGTGGGGAATAAACCATGAATTCAATGTCGGGTACGAAAAATCGAGACTTTGGCTAGACTCGTATTTTTAGTGGTTAGAACAGAAAGCGAAACCACTTCTCTATATGCATCTTCTACCTAGGCAAGTAAAATACGTGCTTGTAACTAGCCTTCAAACTCATTTTACAGGTATTAATTCGAGATCAGGCTAATGTCCAAAAATCATTCCGATCTTGCTCTGTCTTTCAGTTACTGCTGTGAAAAACGACATCGTTGAGTTGTGTCAAAGTATCCCGAACTCTCAGAAGCTTGGGACATTCATTTTAGAATTCCAAAGCAGAAATGATTGTTTCCACGAATGCCGTACACCTAGTGACAGCTGAGATATCCTGTAATTGACCGTCTATTATTTGTACAATATCTATACATCTTTCCGGAACTTGGCCGGTATGTTCTGCTCTACTATCGACATCTTGTCCAGTTTTGCAACTCTCTCCGCTTCATCCTCCATCTCGTCATGTAATCTGAAATGCTCGATATCCTCGGGATGTATTAAGTCTTCTTCCTTGGTGTTCTCATCATGATATCTGCCATACACATTAGTCTTTGCCCATACTTCACATCTGCTAACAAACTTACTTCTCCCAATGATGAATCTCATACTCCATCTCCATATCCCAGTGATGTCCAGGCCCAGTCTGGAAATCCGGTAGCGTGCCTTTCCTCTCTTGCGTAAACGCAGTCCACTCTTCCTTCTCTACGATACCATTATTATTTGTATCCATAAGTTTCATTATCTCCCTAATAATCTCATCCTTCTTCTCTTGCGGGGTATCTTTTGCACTCGGATCCGTCATGCCGTATGTCTTTAGGATTTCCGACTTGTCCCAGAATCCGTTGTCGTCGTAATCGTGGAGAGTGAAGAAGGACGTAGGATCGAAGTTTCCAATGTGATGCTCCTCTACCGTTCTGTCAGTCTATTGTGATCTGTTTAGAGGGGATTTACACACCTGCCATATGTCTGGTAGCCCAGTCCGCGTCTGGGTCAACTTGTAATGGCTTCTGGTGAGCTCCTCCATGTGCAATAGCAACTGCCGCGAACGCCGCGCACGTCATTGATAAGCGACCGAGAAACATGGTGAATGTCTTGCTTTTCGAATTGCTTCTTGTGCGTTGCTCAAATGTGCGCCGATGATTATCTAGGAAAGAAAAGGAGTGAGGTGTAGATCTGATTGTTGATTTTAGAGCGCTTCTGGGTTGGCGGAGCACATTCAGGGGTCAGCTTCTCGGCTGGTTGATGCCCCGCTTTGACCATTAAAATCGAATGGAGCATTCAGCCAATCGTAGATTTTTACAGGATCCAAAAATTCTGCATCCCACCAATCCACAGAGCAGGGATTGTTTTCTTGGCGCGGCTGCAAGATTCAAGCCCGATGAGACAATGTCTTCCACTCGCAACCACATTTATTTCGACGACAATGTAGCAACTATCATCGATATCAACGACGAGGATGATTCCATCGCCATGTCTGCTTCTCCGCAGTCGCAGATCACAGGGTCTACTCCACCGGTGAACGACCGCCCCATCGATTTCATTACGCTCGAGAAGTTGCTGGCGCCGAAAGCGGCCAACGAAGATGGGCCTCAATTCTACGAGAATGTCCGTCTCGACGAAGCATATGGATCTTCCTCCAAGACAATCAACATACCAAGGGCACAGAGAATCATTCTCTATTCCGGTTCTTCCGAATCGACGTATCGCGCATCTGCATTCAGTGCTTTGAACATACATGAGGATCTACACACGATTTTCTCGGACGATGTGCATCATCCGTGGTGGCTGGATGTCCAGAACCCGACCGAACAAGAACTTCGAATTCTCTGCTCCGCATTCCGCGTTCACCCTCTTACATTCGAAGATATCGCAACGCAAGAAAGTCAGGAGAAGATAGTAGATTACAATACGTACTACTTTGCTTCCGTTTGGTCGTACCATGTGGTGGAGGTAAGCGAGGGGAATGCGTACGAGCCGTGCACCATTTATACGGTGGTTTTTCCATCGGGGGCGTTGAGCTTTAGTTTCAGTACGACAGTCCATGCGATGAATGTGCTGGAGAGAATCGAGCTACTCAAAGGCGTCGTGGCTGTGAGAAGTGATTGGATCTTCTACGCTTTTGTGTTAGTATGCTGGAGTACGTTCTTCGACAGAGCTAATATAGTCAGGGACAATATCGTCGATTCCTTCGGACCCTCTATCATGGAAATCGACCTCGAAGTATCTGAAATCGAAGAAGCTGTCTATGTTACACGAGAGGGCGACATGCAAGATTTTCTCCTCAGAATAGACGGTGTCAGAAAGCGAGTATCCGCCTTAACGAGACTTCTGACTGGGAAAATCAAGGTCCTGTCCAGCTTCGAGAAACATCATTGCATGGACGTCTCCTCCGACGAAGACGTCAAACCAGGTCACAACCTGAAACTCTACGTCAATGATGTGCAAGATCACATCATAGGCTACATTCAAAGTCTAAACCAATCTGAGAGTCTATTGTCACGCTCCCAGAGCAACTACATTGCTCAAGCTTCTTACGAAACTCTTGAAGGACGAACAAGGGTAAACGATTTCATGGCTTTGCTCACAACAGTCAGCATGATTCTTACCTTGCTCAACTTTGTTGCTGGAATGTTTGGCATGAACGTAAATGCGAACATTCCTCTATATATTACTTCAACGCCTGCTTGGTATTACATGTAAGTACAAATGTGCATAAGCGATTCGGGGAAAGCGCTAACAATTTTCAGTCTTGCGGGCGAGATCACAGCATTCATCACTCTGATGTGGCTTGCGAAGAGGTATAAGTGGTATTAGGAGTTCAGCTGAGATTTTGCAATAGAATTAGATGGGAGATACCTCTGCAGCACAAATTAGCGGATGAAAATAATGCATTCAAATTCGGAACATTCAAGACTTGTGAGATTTTCTCTCGCTTGTAGTCTTCCTATGAGAGGACATGTCTGACAGCGCTACGAAAATTCTTTTCGTCGATCTCCAGCGTACACAAGCATCCCCAATCCAGGCATCCTAGCTTTCGGAATTACACCCCACGAATTAAGAGATTCGCGTGGAAGTGCATTGTTAGTCTAGGCCTAGACAGAAGCAATTATTGCAATGCCAACGCTTAACAGATCTTGAGACGCTTTGTCATGTCTTCGGTCTTGCTCGAATTTGACTTGGGTTTGGGAAAAACCCTTTGATACTATAATACCATGCAGAAGAGATAGTTTCACTTCAATGAAAGCCCTATACTCCGTACCCCAAAAGTGAAAGCCAGGTCTCCCCTTTCCCTGCCAATATTCGGCAGTCAGCGAATCACGTGGATTAAGTGGCGCTGTATTGTCTCGGAAGTTGGCTACTGCACAATGACGCTATGTCGCCTTCATGCCCAAAGGCACGATCTTTGGTCAACAGGCGAGTCGTGCCCACGCGGATGACAGAGAACTCCCGGCAAAGAGACGGTGAGCAATAGAACAAACAAATAAAGGTAGAAGACATTCCTCGCCTTCGACTTTCACGATCAAAATTCTCACAACCACTCTCTTCCTCTTCCAGCCATCTTCAAGCAGCCAAACGCTCTTGCCAAGAGCCTATCATCCCGCCTTCCGTGTTTAGAGTTCCCACCAATCAGTCCCAGTTATTCAGCGCCTAACGTCATAATCAAAAGCTCCGGAATCCGGGAAACCACCACCACCGCCCGCCATGGCTATGGAAGCTGGGCCGTGGATCTCATTGGGGTTGAAGGGGGCCAACAAAATCATCGACAAACACTTCGAAAGGGTCCCTCACAAGTATCTCTACAGCGATACCTACAAACCCAAAGCCCTCAAGAAGCGTCGCGACCGCAAGAATTCCCAAGATCAAAACAATTCCGAGTCAGAGGAAGAAGAAGAAGTGGTGCAAGAGCGAAGTTTAGGCCCAGAAAGCGATACAGAAGAGGTGCTCAGAGATAAAGACGTCGTGCTAGGAAGAGATATGGGTCCTCCTATGCCACGAGACGGTAGTTTGCCTGGAGGCGCGTATTCGCAGGAATCGCCGTACATTCAACCTCCGTTCCCCATGTACAGCCACGAGTCTCCGCGCGCGAGACCACAGTACATGCCCGAGCAGGCGATACCGCCAATTGGTGTCGCAGGCGGCTATTATCCTCCTCCTCCGTCCGAGCACTTTGTCAATTCGCCGTACGATAATCGGAGATCGAGGGGAAGGAGAGATTCGTGGGATGATGAGGATGATTATTATTCCGACTCGTACAGACAGCCGAGACGACCGAAGCCGGTGACGAGAAGGAGCAGCTCGTACCATGGACCGAGAGGCAGTGGCAGAGGCAGAGATGATTCTGATAGTGAGGACAATAGGTATGCAGCGTTGGTGTCCAAGAGGGGGAAGACTCCTTCCGGTTCCGAACATGTTGATAAGGCGAGACATACGGCACACCGATACAAAGTGAAAGATGAGATTGAGGGTAGCTTTACCAAAAGTAAAGCGGGCCTAGGAGGAGCTGCCGTAGGAGCGGTTGTCGCTGGATGGGCTGCGAATAAAGCACAGATTGGCTATACGAAGGATGGAGGCAAGAAAGATCCGAATTCTCTGGTTACCTTGCTCGGAGCTGCTGTCGGCGGATTGGCAGTCAATGCTCTTGTTGAGAAGTACGAGGAATCAAAGAGAGACACGGACGACAAGCAGGATAAGTATAATGATAAATGGGGTAAAGACGGAGATACCAAGAGCGAAGGCGGCAGGAGCCAGAAAAGCCAGAGACGAAAGGGAGACAAGGACAGAGATTATGGCAGCGATGGTGGGAGAAGCCAGAGGAGTCGTAGGAGGAGAGACAGTGCTTATGGAAGTGATGGCTATGACTGATGAGAGAAATGATGGATGGGAAAAAACACGATACATGAAGTTACGATAACGACCACAAGCGGGCGTTAATTGGTTTTCCTGGGTCATGCATGCGGTCTTTTCCTTGGAAAGCAGGAATGTGTAATTAGGTAGATAACATTGTAAAAATAATTCAGCATACGATGAACTTCTGCTTACTGGCGCACATCATGCTTCTTCTGTGAATTGCCCTCCCTAAATGGAGGTCTTACCTTGAGACTTAACGCACTTATATTGTCCTAGAAGCTCTTGGATTAATATTATCTTAGATCTTAGTCTTTACTGTTAGCTACTTCTACTCAAAATCAATTTTTGCTGGAAAAGGGGTCAATCAAGCGAGGTGTTTCGCTTAAGTCCGAGTGTCCGTCTTGAGCTTTTGTTCACGAACCTTATTGAGTTTTTTCTGATATTTAATGTCAATTAGGCTTCCATACTGTTGTTGGTTGGTTTCATGCTGTGACTCTGTTCTCGACATTATGGATAATTACAGCAGTACCAATGGTCGGCCGACATGATGAATAATCTCGTGGTTACCGTGCCTAAGATCTTACCTCCGGATAGCTCCGACCTGCAGCATGCTGACATCCCATGCTCATCACCCCTGCCTCGTTATGCTTATTTGTACTTTGCATACTCTCTTGAACCTCATTTCCATCAGCCTCTTCACAATAGCACATGATGGAGTCCTCAACGCCTCAAGTGGACGACATGGCACAGCATGAAGCCCCAACCAAGAAAAGACGGCCTACAGAGAAACGCAAACTCCAGAACAGGATTGCTCAGAGAAAATACCGTAAGCTTTCCGTGCCTAGTTCATGAATTTGCATGCTGAGAATGTCTAGGTGAAAACTTAAAGAGTCGTCTTGAAACCCTGGAGCGTCAAGCAGCTGAGATAGCAGATCAACAGAATACCACTGTCCCTGAGCCTGAAAGCAGATTTCAGCCTCAAGTAAATGACCCACCCGCCAGCGCGCTCGAAGAGAACAGCTTCGATTTCCTCCTCGACATAGATCCCGAGAATGACGCAAATTCATTCCTTCCTACCGATTCTGAGGCTTTTGAAATTCCCAACTACCCTGTATTTCCAAATATGGAGAGCATCTTCGATAATCCGGTAGAAGCCGAATCCTCCACTCCTTCAAAAGATAGAGATAATGGCAACCCCAGTGCACCTACACCTCTTGATGCTGAGTTCGAATATGATTTTTATATCAATCAACTCTCGAACGAAAATCCCCTTCCAAGCGATCCCCCGAACCAATTCAGCCAAGTCAGAGAAAGGCCCGGCTATAGTCCTTGGGGTCCCGGCCACGTGTGGTCTGGCGGAAAATCTCCTGCAAAGACCATCGACAATTTTGTTCGCATGACACCAGATGCAGGAACAATAAGCAAAATGACAATCAAACCTCCTAACAGACCTCCTGCTTCAGACGGAAGCTTAGAAGCTTGTATAAAATTGGCCCCAACTTTCGCCTCCGAACTTGTTCGCCAACTCCGCCTTGACGATTCAAAGGAGAACCACTCACTCGTCAGAACGGCCATAGCACGTGGGTACAATATCAGAGACGTGTTTCTTGCTGGCCTCTCCTCATTAGATAAACAAGAAACTCTCCGACCTCGGAAAGGCTTCGATCTGTACAACAACACGCTGACCCTAGTCCCAACCTCTACGCTACAAGCATATCTTTCCAACGCTATGGCGATGAAGTTGCCTATTCACGGATTGAAAAACGAAACTTTTCAATCACCTTTCTATCAGCCCGAAGCTCTAGCGGCGGGAAATATGGCTGCGCTTGAAGCAATCTGGAATGAAATTCCGAAAGCGTTACGACCGACTCGAGGACAGATCACAGTACCACATCATCCATGGATGGACATGATACCATTTCCAACTCTACGAGACAGAGCTCTTACCCTGAGTGCATTGAACCCACCCATCATAGACATCGATGATTTCAAGAACGATGTTTTCATGAACTGTGGCATGTTTTGCTGGCGCACCGGAGGCACTGGAGGATCTGGTCAACCTTGGGATATGCGGAGCTGGGAGGCAGAACCGTGGTTTCTCAAGAAATGGTGGATACTTGTTGGTGGCGAGACGGGAGAGGTCTGGGAACAGACTCAGTGGTGGAGAGCATTGAGAGGCAAGTCAAAGGTGGAGATGGATGGAGCTGCGAAATGAGGAAAACCTGAAGAGCGGAGAGTCTGATTACCGAATCAACGCCACTCATACGACCAATTTTACCCAATGTCGCCAACAATCAGACCAAAGGAGGACTGTCTCTGAAACATACCGCAAGATGTGCATCAGGATAGCGTGCTCCATAGATGCCAGCAGCATTGACCGAAGTCCGAATCTCCTTGACTTCTTCCTCGGTCAACTTCACATCCAACGCCCCAAGATTCTCCTTCAAACGCTCCACCCTCTTCGTTCCAGGAATAGGAAATATATCGCTTCCTTGCGCCATCAACCATGCGAGATCTAGCTGTCCTGACGTACAGTCCTTCTTCTTCGCCAACCTCTCAAAATCCTCCACGAGCTTCAAATTCTTGGGGAAATTCTCCGCGCTGAATCTCGGCATGATCCTCCTCGCATCCTTTGGGTCGAGATCCTCGAGAGATCTGTACTGTCCAGTCAACAGTCCTCTACCGAGAGGACTATAAGCGATGACCGCAACACCCAACTCTCTGCACGTCTTCAACAGGTTGATCTGCTCGGACTCGATATCCAGCGCAAAAGGCGAATATTCGACCTCAACAGCAGTGATAGGATGCACAGCACAAGCTCTTCGCAAGGACGCAGCAGAAATCTCACTGAACCCCATGTAATCAATCTTTCCCTCTTTCTTCAGCTCAACCATAGCTTCCACTGTCTTCTCGATAGGAGTCACGTCGTCGATGCGATGAGCCATGTAAAGGTCGATCTTGTCGACGCCTAAGACTTGGAGACTTCTGGCACATGCTTGCTTTACGTATTCGGGATCAGTGCGTAAGACACGGAAATCGAGTGGGTTTCCGGGGACATAGCCGAATTTGGTGACGAGGAAGATGGAGGAGCGGAGGTTGGTGCGTTTGAACCACTTTCCGAGGAGAGCTTCGTTGTCTCCGTCTATGCATGGTTAGCTGTTTAGTCTAGGAAGGAGAGGGTTTGAGACGTACATCTGTCTGAAGTAATCCAGAAAGTCTCGCCAAGCTCATGAGCTCCATCGAGGAATTTGAGACGAGTTTCATCGGGAATATCGCCTTCGCCGTACCATATGCTTAAACCCATACAGCCAAGCCCCATCTTAGGGACGAGAGGACCATTCTTTCCCAAAGGACTTGTTGGAAGCTTGGACATGATGTTTGATGTGAGTGATGGTGGAGCTTTGTAGAAAACGAAGCGTGGATGAAAGATGGAATTGGAATGGGACTATGAAGAGGATATGAAAGACTTTATATATCTGTAACTCCACTCAAGAATAGAAGACAGTCTTCCTTATCTCCATATTTGCTCACCTCAGCCAATTCGAGGATAGTGAGCCATTGTACGACCTTGGGCACATGCTTGTTGTGTACTTAGTATGTGAGAGATTTTTTCCAGATCGTCTTTAGCTCTGGATGATCTCACGAAAATCACATCAAATGGAGTGGCTCACGTCAGCCATTCACGTGACGTGATAGCGTTTAAGAGCTGCAAGTGGAGGACTCCACTCGAGTCAGATGTCTTCAACATGTAGGTGAGTATGACCATCAAGGTTGTTCCTATCAAGCCTCATTTCTAAGAGAGAGCAAATCGTAATACAAGAATCCTAAAGTGATAGCTTAATTCATAGATAGGACTTCTTGAGATTAGTAACAGACTTTGAGGTACGATGTGCGACCAGAATTGCTACAATCGAAGGAAGGAGCAAGCTTTGAAGCGACGTGCAACAAGAAATGGAATAAACTCAATATCCCACGTCATTCTAAAGGGAGTGCTACCACTGTACAGCACAGATTTCTTCATTTTTATTGAGACGACCTGAGACTTTGGGACAATGAGACACGATGTTGACAAGAATTGAGATTGTATGTTGTTCTCCACGGCGTTCAATTCCCCAGATCATGCCAAATTATATCAAATATTGAGATGTGGTGGAAGGAGCGAACATCAAGACGACGTGCAACAAAATCGGGGATAAACGCAATGTCCCACTTCGTCATAAATATTCTCCGGTACGTTTAATCCTTCAGAGTACCAGAGATTTTTAAAGCGCTGTGTGGCAAAGTATTTTCTGTGACACCTAGAGGAGCAAATGAATGCTATATTAAGTTGCCAGCAAGCCCAACTTTAAAATACTAGATGCTGCTAGATAATACTACAGCATCCAGAGAAAGGACCAACAGAGCTGCAACAAGTTTACTGCAATTGATCATACTTATCCTTTCCCGGAGCGCCTGCCTACATAACTTGTGTTCAATGTCTACCGTTGAGATGTAACAGGAAGGAACGACTACTAAGACGATGCGCAACAAAATTTCCATACTCTCCAACTTTGGAAGGTGCAAAGAACAGCCAAAAAAAGTGCGATGTGCAACAACTCTGACCCAGCTCAACTTTGGACGGGGAGACGAACGAAAATTACAGAGACGACCCTATCGTCCTAACAGATAGCACACCTGTTAAGACCATATATTCACCACCCTTCACAGTTTTGAGGACCTGAAACCCCAAAACATCCGTCATGAGGTCCCCAAAAGCTCCATATCACGTGCCGCATCTGAAACCTAGACAGAAGTACTCATGTACCCCTTTACGCCTATCACAATTTCAACCCACATTGTGCCTGATTTCATCTGAACTTAACCTTTTTCCTCATGTGTCGATCACGGAGATCACTTCAGGTCAAGTTTTGGAATGCAGGACGAAGATCTGTGGCGGATTGTGGAGATGTGATGCAGGATGGGGATCTCGGAGAATTCGAAAATCTGGGTAAGATTTGAAGATGAGATGAAGTGCATAGTTGGAGTGGATGTCGGGATCGCTGAGAAAGTTGGGGACGGTGAGGAGTAATTTGGGATTGAGAATGTCCGTTGCGGTGAGGTGGACTCTTAGGAGTCGGAATGTCGGGTACCAAAATGAGAACTAGTTATGAAAATACTTATGTGTATTGTCTATCCTCTGGTTCTGGACATTGGAGCTTTCCAGAAAATTTTTGTAAAGTTGGAGGAAAGGTGGCTCTGAGGTGTTCCAGAACGTTACAGGTATCAATTTCTTGTAGAAGATCTACTACAAGGCTGCCTGAGTTCCTCCTTCCGGCCAACTCCGAAAGGAGCTCGGCACTCCATGATCTTGGCATTGTAGCAGAGCCTAGTCCTCGTGAGTCTTTGCTCGCCACTTTACAGTCATCACTCCTGTGACGAATGCGCCACGTTGACTTGCGAGGTGCTCAGTGTCAACTGCCACACAACACTCAGAGAGACGTACAACAGATGGCGAGACAGAAATAGCGACGCATACATTAGATTGTTATCAGGTTGGCCACAAGAGTTCATATATGTTCAACAATGAAAAGTTCACCAATGCTCAGTCAGCATTTCCAAGAAGTTATTTGCCAGGTGAAATGCAAGTATAAGACAGCACGGATGCATGATAACAGACCGGGTTCAAGCCGGGCGGGAGCTAAGGTGACATATACATGCATTCCCTAACTTCAATGCAGTGGTAGTGAGGCAAGTATAACAGCTGTTTTATTATCGACATGTTTTCGGCTGACGGCGACCATAAATCCACGCGTTGAATCTACTTCGAACACTAATTCAACATGCTGAGCGTAGACGCTCGATTACAGGATAACTGCAAAAAGGAATGTTTGGAAAGGAGGCAAGAGGGTTCTATGGGGAGCATCATTGCAGTATGACTTGAATTTAATAGATAATTACAAGTGAGCAAGAAGCCGGATTTCCCGCCCATCGACACTGTCGATGTCCATGCCACCATAATGTGATAATCGTGGCGTTTGTGGCTGAAATATTTGACACAACAAGATCATCTGCCATTACTTGAACACGCAGACAAAAAGGCGATGGGATGGAAGGAGAATGGCACGGACTGCCATCACTTTCTGAGGAGCGGGATGGCCGCGGGAATGCTTCGTGAACAGAGACTGGACGATACAGCATTGCATCCTGTATCAGACTTCCAATAAATTCAACAGAGGCTTCTGGGTGGTCCAACGTCCGGACTCTCAGACACCACACATCGTCTTATGATCGACTGCCACAAAGCGAAGAACGGGCACGAAGGCCCAAGCGTATTGCGGGGAAGGGTCCAAGCTAGATGTCTATCATCCGGGGGAAAGGCATTTAGTTCATTCGCATAACATTCCACGGACATACCCCGAAGGTTTTTGAGCTACGAATAATGATCTGAAGGTTTCTGAAACAGAAGTAGAGTTCTCACTAGAGAAGACATGCCGCTGCATGTCGGATACTCCTGTGAAAGATATCGATGGCGGGTCTGGAACTGTCATAATTGGAGCCTCTTATAGACGAGGATCAAACCGCCTTCTCGCTTTGCCACGTTCCGTGGTCGATTCGGGTAACTACAACCTCAGGTAGTGCAACCACAGACGATCTGATAAATCAAATCAATTGGACATGGAAGCTGCAAGTTATCACTTGATAACTACAAGAGCCATTTGAGGCTGAGTAGAGATGCTTACATGATCTTACATACATTATTAAAAATGGTGGAAAAGGGAAACGAGGAGGTTGTTGATCCGAACCTGCGAACCTGGAAGCGAAAAGGGGTCGAGTCACGTGTGACTCTACTTCGGCACCCTCCGGTTTTGGCGCATCCGACGTTCGGGTGCTTCAACCATGTTTGAGATAGACTTCGGACGGCAACTTTGCATCTCATGGCTCATACCTATGCAACGATGGAGTGAAAGGTCTAGCTGAACAGGATCGAGACCCTGCTTTGTGGACTCGACCCCTCGAGCCATCACCCACAGACCTTTCAAATCTTCGATTACCAGAAAAGAGAATGGCGACACCTCAGCTTGCATCTCAAATTCAGTCAATGAACTTCGTTCCGGTACCGACTGTGCAGCGATCTGCGGAGTGTCTTCCGCTCCTCTCTTCAATTTGTCCCACATTGCATGTGTGGGTTCTGGGATTTTCACCGATATGCGAACCGCTCTTCTGTCCTATAACACTTGCTCTTAACCTCGAAGCCCCTGTTGATGATTGATACCAGTTCAAATGTTATTCGTTGCTGATTTTTTCAAGACGTTTTCTTTCCGCTTCACACCTCATTTTCTTCTCACAAACACACAATTCAGCCTGGGCACACGGAACCTTCAAGTGTTGTCAACCTTACCCCTGACGCAGACATTGTTGCAGATTGGGAACTTGCCGTTGCCTAACATGTTCGTGGCAAAATAACGTCTAACTGAAAGGAAATGCATTGACATCTACTCGAATATGACAGGTAGGTGGCGCTCTGCTGCCGTCCATCACAGCGGCAAGTCTGGACAGACCATTTTCAGATCTAGCATTGCCCCATGATAATGATGCTGCAGCTCCCCATGGCGATTGACACAAGGATCTGATACTGGATCTCGTGCATTCAATGCATGGAGATATGCATATCAAGCCCTTCTATCTCTATCTTTCGTTTTTAGGTCGTCATCTATATCTCAACCCTGTTGTTAAAGGCAGGTACTCCCCGCCTGTCAAAGTTCTTGACATACATTTACGAGCTTGGTCCTATTCGAAAAACCAAATACTGGGAGACTTGATAACATCTTGTGGAACAAGAGGTTGACGATGTATTTACAACGAGATGTGACGCCACCTGCAATCGGGACGGATGGAATGTCGCCTGTAGGGCCAGTATCAACCTCTACTGCAAATAACGGTCCTGTAATTCTCGCCGTTACGGGTGCCTTCACAGGCTTCGCTGCTTTGGTGGTCATTATGAGGATATATGTACGAGCTTTCATGCTGAAAACGGTTGGGGCTGATGACTGGATAATGATGGTTGCGATGTAAGTCCCATCCACTTCTTGCTATTCCCATTCTGATAGTCCCAGGCTTGCGTCTGCTGCTGTGTATGCATGTTTTGTTGCAGAAGTGGATCTTGGAGTAGGACACCACATGTCAGATCCAACCTTGGTGTCAAATTTGGAAAAGATTTTCCATTGGTTCTTTTACCATGGACTGCTCAATGTTTTTGGCATATCTACTGTGAAAGTATCTATTGGCTTCTTCTTGTTAAGACTGGTGCAAGGCACGATGTACAAGGTCAGTTACTCTGAGCATGCCCAACATATCAAGAGCTAACTCTTAAAGCGGATTCTGGTTGCGTGGATAACCTTTCTTGTCATTTTCGGCTTAGCTTCCTGTGGAACGATGTAAGTATCTATCTTCTGCTCGCGAGCTGCACGCCTCACAGACGCTGATAATTACAGTGCCTTCGATTGCACACCGATATCCGCGGCATGGGACTTATCCCTCTTGGCTGATCCAAATACGAGGTGCTTCTCTACCTCTGTATTCCGTAGCATTGCTCTGGTCAATGGAGGTAAGAGTTTGCAAGTTTATGTATGACTTTGAGCTGACATCTGCCTAGCAATTAATGCTTTCACGGACTTGGCCTTTGCATTGTTACCGCTGCCCATCATCATACCACTGAAAATCAATCTGCGCACTAAAATATCTCTGATCTGCATTCTTAGTCTTGGATACTTGTATGTTCAATACTGTGGTCACGAAGCGAAAACTGATATGGTATAGTGCGTTTGCTGCCTCGATTGTCAAAGAAGTTCTTTTGTCAAGCTTCTTCACCGACCCTGATCCATTCTTGTGAGTTGATGTGCAATTATCTTGTTTCCACGAACTCCAACCACTAACACAAAATCAGTGGGTATACATTTCAAATATGGAACGAGTAAGAGACCAGATGTGGAACCCGTTTCTCAAAGTTGTGCTAACAGCTTCAAAGCATTGAACTCAACGTCGGTATTTTGGCAACTTGCCTCCCAGCATTACGACCACTCTTTGCCTGGCTCTTTGAGACCGCAAGCGCTCTCAAAGCCACAAGTCTGCGAAGAACGGGCCTCGGCAGTAACGCAAACAACAAAATATACAGGCTCAAAGACGGACATAACATGGACCCTATGCCCTCAAGATCGACGACCGCTCTGAGCCAAAGAGGGTACAGGATTACAGTGATAGGTGGTCCCAAAGTTAGCGAAGACGGGGAACCGATATTCGATCGAAGACCAAGTTTAGCGAGCAGTGGACCAATGTCGAAACTTGAGCAGAGTATCACAGAGGCCGATAGTGAGAAAGATTACGAGGATCAACCAATGCACTTCGATAGGAGATTTCGCGTGCGATCACCAACAGACAGAGAATTCGACTTCCAATCAAGGAGATTAGGGATTTTGAGGACGACAGAGGTGATGGTGGAGAGATGATGACAACAACGGTTCGAAGTAACAGTTCTGCTGGCATTTCGCACATTTCGCGCAATTGCGATTTGCGCTACTTGCGCTGCTTGCGCAATCTGCGCCATTCTCGCTGGTATCGGTGGAGACTCACAGATATCATGTCCGACGATGATACGAATATATGAAGGGAAGGCGTAAAGGTATTGTTGTTTATGACAAACTCAATCATTCATTATATGTATAAATTTCATATGTTGCAACATTTGGGATGGAGTCATGAGCATTTGGGCATTGCTTGATCTTTACTCTAACAAGAAGCAACTTTCTGACCTTTTGTCAGCTTAATGTGTACCTATATTCAAAAGCAAAAATCAAATACCCATCTAGATTCTGATATTATTGTTACGGGATTGAGTGGCAAGGCAGTGCTCATGCTATGCAACAGTCAAGATTGGGTTAAATTGGATACAAATCCCGCAGGGATGGGGACACGGCTGCGGATTGAGTACTCGGCACAGGTCGAACATGATCGGTCGGACCACCTTATCAATGCCGTCCTTGAGAGCACGGGAGACTTGAGACTTGAGACCAGGGGCAAAGTGGCGTCACTGAAGAATGGAAAGAAGATCAGAGCGCACATGATTCTCATGACATTATCATACATCATGTTATTAATGCCATCATTTGCAACTCTAACATCTTCTGAGCTCGTGATGTAAACCTTGGGTATCAATGTAAATGCATAGCAGAACGCCGAGAACCAAACAAGAACGCCACGCCCGAATGTTTGAGCAAAAATACAGCTCAATCCGAGTCATAGTCCACCAAGTTGACTCCAGCAGTGGTAATAGGAGCATCCTCTTCCAGCTGCGATTGCTTCCTTTTGACGCCAGCCAAAAATGGCTTGGAATCTGACTTCGCAGCACGAGAATCTGCGAGGAAAGGATCCATAGCAGCTCTGGTGTTACCTCTTATCTCCGAGGCAATGTTCTCCTTTTTCTTCCTCGCAAGCTCTTCAGCTTTCAATGCCCTCGAGGCCTTGCTGGCCTTCAACTTAGATCTGGACTTCAAAGCCGGTTCCTCAATCTTGAACAAAGGTTTCGAAATGGCCTTGTCCGTCACTCTCTCTGCATCTACTTCGCCATAGTCAATGAGAGCTGCTCTCCTCGCATCGTCCTCATGTTCCGGTAGTAGATCAAGCCCTAGACTCATTTTGTCTTGCAGTGCTACTGTCACACCTGCTTCCTTTTCCCTTTGTTTCCTGCCTTCTCGAAATGATCTCCTCAATCTCTTGTTCTGTTCATAAGGATCGTCCCACATTTGCTCCGAAAGATCTTGAAGTTCTTCGAGACGTTTCTTGCTATACTCTAATCTCTGCTTGTCTTCTATCTTGCCCTCTAGAGAAGCAAAAGCGTTGTTCCTCATCGCTTCCCTCTCTTCTTTTGTCATTATCTTGATGTCTCCCTCTTCGACCTTGTCCTCCCCTAAGTCTCGCTTCCTTGCGCCTTCTGTGACCACGTAAGCTGTATTTTTGGGATCTGTTCGAATCTCAATCCAGCCTCCACAAGCTGTATGCTTCATCCGAAAACTGTATATCGCCGACGAGAAATAATTTCCGACCTTTTTCTTCTCGGCATTGAATCGGACACCTTGTCCAATAATGGTAGGCTTCGGACAATGCGTACACCATATTGGAAAAGGCATCTCAAATCGTACCGTGAGGATGCCTTGCGATATCTTGTTCGCTCGAGCTCCAAGAGCGTGTTTCCCATGAAGCTGGTTTCCACTCATCAATCCCTCCTGGTCAGGAGGGACATAACGTCCCATATTGAAGCCCTGCATGTTGCGACTGTATTGTTTGCTTTTGTGTTGATGTTGTGGATTCTAGTTGAAAGGAATGCCAAATTGTCTTCATATGATGATCAGCCTCGCTTAGTCACCCATCTTATCTGTGACGCTAACGCCTCAATTTCGACTCCAGCCCTCGACCCTCGTCGCATCATAAATCATTGAACTTAGTGCGAGGCCAATTCTACATTCTTTTCAATCTTGCGAGAAACACTCGTACAAAACAGTGACTCCAGCCCCAAGACATACTGTCGCGGAAATCGTGACCCCGAGTGGCGTTGTCCAAAATCCAATCAAGATGAGTAGTGAAATTACAGCACTCGAGAATGATATCAAGGAGTACAAGCTCCAGGTCAGTAGACCCCTCCTAGGTATGATGACTATCACTAATATCGAGTTAGTTGGAGGCAGTCCAGCTGGGGCTCCAAGCAGATCCGGACAGTGCAGAGCTTCAGGAACTAAAGACTGAACTCGAACAAGTCATTTCCCTCACCGAAGCTACGATTGCAGAACTAAAACCCGCTTCAGTGCAAGCAGTTGTACCCGAAAAAGCAGCAGAACCAGTGAAGGAGAAGTGGTCTCGAGAGAATCACCCGGCGTTCAAAAAGACCGCTGCTGCAGAAGAGGCAGAGACGACGACAACTTTCAAAGTAAATGATATGGTACTGGCAAAATGGCACTCTGGAGATAAGGGTTTCTATCCAGCTCGAATCACGTCGATCACAGGCTCTTCTACATCGCCAGTATACATTGTCAAGTTCAAGAATTATGACACTACGGAAACTCTGCGAGCCAAAGACATCAAACCCATTGCCAATGCAAACAAGCGCAAAGCTGATGGAACACCAGTGGTTGCTTCTCTACCTCCACCACCTCCCGTCAATACCAACGTCATTTCTGCGGCAGCGGATATCAACCCTGAGCTTGCTCAGCAAACTAAGCGTGAGCCAAGTAAGGTCAGTGATGGTCCTGTCAGACCTGCCAAAGTGCCCAAGAAGATCAAAGCAAACAAAGAATTGGAAGCTGGCAAATCAAAGTGGCAGGACTTCGCCCAAAAAGGCAAATTCGGAAAGACTGCAAAGAAGGAGAGCATGTTTCGTACACCAGAAGGAGTTCATGGCCGAGGTAAGAACATCTTTATTCTTCAAACATCATATAGCTAACAAATCAGTTGGTTTCACAGGTTCGGGTCAATCGATGCGGAAGGATCCTACTCGAAGTCGGCACATATACCAAACCAATGGAGACGATGAGTTTTAGTAGGCTGAGTTTGCATGGACTGGAGTTTCGCAAGTATCTGGCGTTGGGGGCGGATTCTTCGGTCACCTTTCTTTCCTGGCAAAGCATTTGATGGAGGCTAACCCTGGGCTTTCGATTTGCAAATAGTACCGTTGGTTGCTGGGCTGATAGAGCAATGGATGGACGTAACATACAAAATACCCGACCTTGTGCCGTGGAATAGATGCTGAATCATGCTGTCTTTTAGGACCTGAACGATGTGGACTTTTACAGGCATTAGACCGCAGGACGAAAGACTACCAAAGAAAGCGATGTGGCGGAAACATGCAGGTAGGCGTTCCTTTTGTCTATTGTACACTTTTCACATGCCAAACAACTCTATCTTTGTCCCTACCTCCTCTGCAATTGCCATGAAAGCCTTCGCTCTATCACTTTCTGGCTCAGAAACAACAGTTGGCTTCCCTCTATCAGCATCATCGCATATACTAGCATGTAAAGGTATGTCTCCAAGAAATTTAATGCCATGCTTTTCGCAAGCTTTTGTTACCCCCGATTGTGCCCCGAAGATATGTGTACTATTATGACAATGTGGACATGTGAACAGTGACATATTCTGTATCATTCCAAGGATCGGGGTCTTAATCTTCTTGAACATGTTGATACCTTTCACGGCATCTTTCAAGGCGATGTCTTGAGGTGTGGAAACTATGACAGCCCCTGAAAGATTTTAGCAGGAATCTTTTGCAGGACCTGAACTTATTACCGTCCAAAACAATCTGCTGTGTGATGGTCAGTTGTGTATCACCCGTTCCAGGCGGCATGTCCAAGACCAAGACGTCCAGTCCGCCCCAGTCGACTTCATGTAATAGCTGCTGCAGTGCCTTCATTACCATCAAGCCTCGCCATACCACAGGAGCTTGATCTCCAACCAAGTATCCCATCGACATAGACTTGACCCCATAATTCGAGAGAGGAATAAGTTGATTGTCTGTCTGCCATCAGACACATGCACCCATTTGTAGAATCATTCACGAACTTGGTGATAATCGAGGCTCTCCAGAAAGATTGAGAAGTGTTGGTATAGAAGGTCCAAAGATATCGGTATCGAGGATACCACTTCGAAGACCACGGCGGGCAAATGCCAGAGCGAGATTGACTTATTTTTTAGTTACAACGGTCTATTGGTTTCGAGCGGGTTTCAAACCTGCAATAGTCGACTTTCCAACACCACCTTTCGCAGATGATACAGCAATCACTTTCTTCACATCCTTGATCTTTCTTCGTTCTGGCAAGCCTCGCTGCATGCGCGGAATGCTTCCTGTTCGCGGCAATCCCTATTGCAACAGTTTAGATGATATCAACATAGTAAGCCAGGCTTTCTGCAGCCTACCAGAGGATTTTCATGCTGCAAGCAGCGCAATGTTGAAAATGATCGAGGCTTCATAGTTGTATCGATTTGTTCTAATGCCATCACAAGCTTCTATTTCGACAGCAGGAGGGCGGCCGCTAGCGCTATATCGAAGTGTGGGGAGAAGATAATTTCTGAAAAGGTTTTGAACTTTAGCAGAGCTTTAGCAGCACACATTTAAATTTTCATTTCAAGATGGGAAAACCAAAGGGCGTCGCCCAGCAGATTGCTGAGTTCGAGGTCCCTGCTGTTACAGGTATGTTGTCTCCTGTGCGACCAAAATGGTCTGAAAGTCTCGTCTGACTCTTTGCAGACTTCGACCCTGAAGAAGATGCGCCAGCAGAAAACAGCGATGACTCTGCATTTGATTCCAGCGAAGACGACTTGGCTGGCACGGAACATTATGCTAAAGTTGGGTATGTTATCATAAATGGACAGGGAAACCTCTGCTAATACATCACATAGCAAAAGCAAGCTTCGAAACCCAGCCGAGGTTTTGCTTGGTCCCGAATACTCTGGAGCTCGAGTGACTCGAGATGCTCTCGATGAAGAATCTGGCGAAGAGGACGATGAAAATGCGCACTCGGAGTTCACATCTAGTGAAGAGGGAGAACAGGAGGAACAAAGCGGACAATACGCAGACCCAGAAAATGTGGCTATAGACATGGACGAAGAGGATGGCGATATTGATAGTGACGGAGCACTTGGAGAGAGTGATTTGGAGAGGTTCAAAGACTTTACTTTCCGAGGAAGCTCTAAGCCTAGATCACTGAACGGTGGGAGAAGTAGACCTGTTGCGGCGGACTTCATGTCTGACAGCGATGATGAGGGCGTTGCTTTGAATGGCAGTCTGCCAGAGGAAGAGGAGGAAGAGAGCGACGAAGATATGATGTCTATTCCTGACCAAAGCGAAGAGCAAGTCGAGAGTGATGAAGCTTCCAATATAGAAAAGTCCAGAACCTCCGAAGCGAGTAGTGATGAGAACGAATCTCAGTCAGGCGAGGAGGACGAAGAAAGCGAGAACGAGACGGAGGATAGTGATGATGATGCAGACGAAAAGAAGTCTCGACGGGCTGAATTACGGAAGATCATGAGCGAAGAGCAGAAGACCGTGGTTGCCACCATTTCTCAAGCGGCAAAGGCAGATGCAGAGAAAGGCAATGCTGTGAAGGAGCAAAGAAAAGCCTTTGACTCCTTGTTGGGGGTCCGAATGGTCCTACAAAAGGCGTTGGTCGCCACGAATACCATGGCAGTTACAGAAGAGAGAGACTCTGAGGAGGCAGCAAACCAACCTTACGAAGCTGCCGAAGAGGCTGCTATCAAATTATGGAACACATTGGACTCTATACGACATGATCTGCAAAAGACAAGCACTGGTTCCAAGAGTGGCCAGAAACGAAAGCGCGAGATTGACTCAGCCGCTCCGTCATCAGCTATATGGGAGAGGATGCAAGGCTTGGAAGTTGCTGCCATTGACAACAGACAAAGAACTCTCGAGAAATGGTCTTCCAAGGTCAAGGGTACAGCTGCAATGCCCGTTTCAAGAAAACTCAATCCCACAGCAAACCAGCAGTCCATCACTTCAGTGCTCCAAGACCAACTTGCAAGCTCGGATCACCTAATCCAGCGTACTAAGATCCCTCGATCTTGTGCTCCAGTCCAGCGAGATTCGAAAGTCACAGAAGATCCAAATATCTATGACGATGGCAACTTTTATCAGATGCTGCTGAAAGAGCTTGTAGATCAGAGACGGGTAGAGTCACTCGCGAACCCGGTCAACTCGGCTGGGAAAACGATGCAATGGACTGCGGTCAAGGAGGCCAAGACTCGAAAGGTTGTTGACACGAAAGCGAGCAAAGGCCGCAAGATGCGCTTCACTGTTCATGAGAAGCTACAGAATTTCATGGCGCCGGAGGATAGGCGAAATTGGGAGTCTCATGCTATAGATGGATTCTTTGGGTCTCTACTTGGTCAAAAGATGACTTTGGGTGAGGAGGATAGTGAGGAGGAGACAGAGGGGAACAATGGAGTGCCGTTGGAGGAAGAGGGTTTGATGTTGTTCAGATCGTAGATTTGATGATTTGAATGAGATATCTGCTCGGGTTTGTCACTTTTCTTGCGTTTTGTTATGTCTACTCAATGTAGGTTTAAGGTCTGAGTATTTTTCCAACTCCAAATGTTACCCTGAATCCGTTTTCCATCAGCTCCTATTTCATCCAATTTTAGTAGGAGTAATATGGAAAAACGAAGTATCTGCAGGTTGTTTCGTTCCGAGAACTCGATTGCATGTCGTTGTGCCTTTTGGATATAGATCGTTGTTACACCCTGAGAACAAAGATCCATAAATGCTTTTTCTTTGATGATTTGAATGTCTCATCTACTTCAGACAATTCAAGGTCGTCAATGTTTCAAGTCATTTTGTACTTTACGCGAGCATTTGTTGTAAAGCCAACCACCCAGTGTTGTACACCTTGAGCCAGAATTGCTACCCTGAACGATTGGATATTTTATTGAAGCCGTACATTCAAGCTTGTTTTTTGCGCAGCCGCAGCGCGCTTCGCCTCCTTAGATGTTTCCCAAGCTGAAAGTAGCCTGCCAGAAAAGAGATTAGGAAGTCGCGTCCGCTGCCTTCGATCTTTTCCCCTCAGCACTCGCACCCGCAAGTTTTCATCTACACACCTCACCCATCGCCGCAATGGAGGGCAACAGAGCTAATTTCCTCCCTCTATCATTCAACAACAACGATGAAGAAACTCCTACGCAAGACAATTTGAGGATTAAAAAACGCGCAATTGACGATGTCCCATCCGATTCCGAACATGAAGCCGAAAGTCAAGCGTGCAGTGACACCGGTGCAAAAAAGCAGATGAACATGGAGGCAAACAAAAAGCCGAAGCCTTCGACCTCCGCCGAGTGGGAAGAATCGTCCTGGGAGACGCGGTCTGGACCAGGGTCCAGAGACGAAGACTTCAGACGGATTGGCGTTCACGTCAACGATTCTGCAATTGAAATGTGGGCTACAATTGGCCAAAATGGAGTTGTTGTGGTGAAGCATCGGCATATGCTCAGCAATACGCCAATGGAAGAGGATCAGCTACTTGGAGGAGCTCGGGTGAGCATGGCAAAGGTGAAGCTCGATCGAAAGATACTCGCCAACTACCTTGGCAATGCCGAAACTGCATCAGTCACCCAAAAGTTGCAACTTGTGCGGGAATTCCTAGGCGTGAAAATCATCAAAGAAGTTTACGAACCTTCTGAACTCCAAGTTGGGGTTCGAAAAGATGCACCTACTATTTCTGTCTTTGCGGTAATGCAATGCAGTTCGAGTACTAAGGCTAGTCTGCAGCTACAATCTTACGGACCTCAATTGAGAAAAAAAAGGTATATCGGCATTGAGGAAGTTACGTTTGATGAGGCGTACCTCAAAGGTAGTTTGGCAGAGACGAAGGATTACATCCGGAGCTGTTTCAAATTGCAAAGAAGCGGCGAAGGTATGTAATCAATATAGCTGTTGCCTCCGCTACTCAAGCTGACTCTGCTTTAGTCCTCCGAACAGATCAATCAGCGCTCAACGAACAAGCGCAAAATCAAGAACAGGAGAGCCAGAGTCCTTTGGGTTCGTCCTCGATGGAGTCTGCTTTCACTTCTCTTGACGCTACACCGATCAAGTTGAAGAGAGAGGCGAGTGCAAACATCAGTGAGCGAGACCAAGAGATTACCAAGAGAGATTCTTTGATTCGGGACTTGCAGTTGAAGAATGAAAAATTGGAGAGAGAGATCATCAGCATGAAAACCACAATTATGGATTTCGAGAAAGAGAAAACTAGCATGAAAGCAGCAAAAGTGGAAAAAGTTGAGAAAGCCTCTTCCCTCAAAGCTGATTCTGGCCGCAAAAAGTTGCCCTTTTGACTCAAAGGGAAGATGCATTATCAAACATCGTTTCGAGAATGGAAAGCAGCAAGATTACGTTAAAGTTCCGGAGGAACAGGTTGTCAAGCGTGGCAGTGGTATTAGCAGGATTGATTACGACTGGCAGAAAGCGAGCAAAAAAGTGTAGTCTTAGGACTTTTAAAAGGGTATGGGGTTGTATGAAGCTCAGGTACCAAGCATTAATCATAATTTTAAGAAAGCATTGGACCACAGCCTCTGAAATGGTCAACGTCTATAGATCAGCTCGAAATTGAAGTCATTGAGAAGCTGGCCAATTGCAATTTACCTCAAAGTAATATAATAGCCTAGCAGATGAAGTCCAGCAACTGATCTATGCAATAGAAATTGGAATACAAGAGATAGCCTTTTGCAAGTTCATGGCAGTCCCAGACTAATAATCTCGAGAACATCAAAATTTCACGTAACAAGGAAGTTAGGCTACATGTTCTAGTCATGCCATTTGCGAATAAGGCCCCTGCCCATAAACAATAACTATTCACGTATGGACTAGAATACATACTATGAGCAGCCTGGTTCTCCGGATTTTAACGTTCATTTAGAATAAGCCCTCCATAAACATTAGTACAATGTTATCTTCTATTCCGATGTCTACGACAACTTCAAGAATTGAAAAAACCATTTGTCGTTGACTTGCGTTACTGGTCACATGATCGCGCAAGTAATAGGGGCATGCGCCAACGTTGACGAGTGCTTTTAGCAGACAATGTTATCTTCTGTCACAGTATCTACGACTTCCTGCGTCGTAGCGATTCAACACCTGTCAGTAGCAGTGTTTACTCTACAGGTGCGGCCTACGAACCTGTGCCTATAGGGGCAGAGTCTGCTTTCATGCGGGGTTGATAGCAATATTATCCCAGAGCTGAGATTGAATCAGAGAATGAGGCTAGCGTACAAAGATATCTTCCTTTGTTTGGTACCCTCCATTCGGACGATCATAGTTACTTTTGACACTTCCACTTCCCCCAGACAGCACGATTCCGAATCCCTATCGACTAGACTGCGGCATATTGCCTCAGTTCAACATCCTCACCTCCTACTGAGCTGGGCTCCTAGCACTGCACCCCAAAGATATAGACACCTGGACTGGCAGATACCAAGAAAGAAGATCAAAGGCAGGTTAGCAGGACTAGGAGAGTACGGATGGACGCTGCTAGATGTAAGAGGGTGACTTCATGTCTTCTACAAGCTAGGGATATAAGAGGAGAAGAGGAGGTGGGAGGCTACAACGGGGATTCTTCTGTATTTTGGGGGGTTTTCAACATTGCGCCTTTGTGTGCATTCCAAGGCTCACTTTTTCTCCAAGAGCAAATGCTTGAGTCCTATTGCTAGGTTTGCTCAAGAGGCTTTTGATGCGATTCGGGTGTCTTGGGATCTATCTCTAAAAGACTCTACACTCCTGGTCTCTAATAAAGCATACACTTCTGGTGGCCACTCCAACTTGCCTTGGGAGCCTCATAGTTTCTTGCTATTGGCTTGCTTCTGCTCAAATTAGCTTCTAGCGTTTTTAGGGGCTTTGCAACAATTCAGGAGGAGGGACCTCAGACTTCCACTAAAAAGGTTCTTTTTCCCCTTGTGGTTTTTAAGCTGTTTATGAGTAGCACTATAACAGAAATCCTTAGATTATCTGATTGTCACTCAACCGTTTGTCAAGTTCTCATTTCAGTAGCATTTAGCGCTATTAAGGCTGCCGCGCTAGCAAAGTGAAGGCTAGCGAGCCTCGATAGAAAGAAGATTCCAGCCTTCCACTGCTAATCTTCACACTCTCAGCGGCTTTCTCAACGACTTTTGAAGCATATATCAAAATATCACAAGAAATTGATGCAATTGCTACAGCGATTGCTGCATCAGTTAAACCCGTTCCCTCTGCAGCCTTACAAATTGACCACAAGCTAATAGAAACAGCACTGCCGATAATAGCTAAGCCGCGTAGTCGCATAAGAAGAGTTCTTTTTACAGCCCCAGCCTTCGAATCCTCCTCAAAATCGAATACATTATACTGCTTACAAGTCATTCAAATCCCTTGCAGACTATCATATCTATGAATCAGGTTACCCCCCTAGCACATGTCAAGTCTACAAACTACAGCGAAGTAGACGATAGTCGTGGAGCCAAAATACTGCACAATGGGGGCTAGATCATTATTCCAAGGGTGTAGAAGCTGCGATAGAGAGAAGGATGTAATCGACTCTGGGGGCATATTTATAACATACACAATATCAGGTTAATAGGAAGCAAAACCAAAGGAGAACAGCTGCTAAAGAGATGGTAGAGCATATCACAGAAGAGGAGGCTCAAGAAGCTCTGCAAAAATAGGTGGCTAAAGCAGGAGAAGCTGAGCTAAAAGAGAAGCAAAAGACCACTATTACAGTGGCAGAATATAGAAGTGTAGCTTGAATGCCAATTGATCGAAGACGTGTATCGGGTGAAGCTCGATCACCTTGTCTAGGACAATCTCAAAAATCGGGACAGCCACTTGCCGTCGATGTGAACTACCATCACATGATCGCGTAAGCAATAAAAGATAATCGCGTAAGAATTAGGAGTACGCGCCCACGTTGACGAGGACTTTTATTGTTTTTGATTGTTATGCCAAAATATGCTTTTAGAATTGATGGTTGGCGCTAAAAAAAAGACTGATAACTTAAGAACAATGTAATCCCTAAGACTGTTGTAGGTTAAAAAAGTGTCGGGATGTTTTTATTTACAAAGGAAGCAAGAAGCTACTTTTACCCGACTAAAACATTCAGATGTGATAATACGTGTCTATGTACGCCAAGCTAAGACAATTCCACCTCTTAGTTTCGTTGGATAAATTGTCAATTTCGCGCACTTTCACACGTACACTTTCACCTGCCACTTCGTCGGGTAGGCTGTTAGTTTCGTACACTTCCACCTGCTAGCTTCGTCGGGTAGGCTGTCAGTTTCGTGCACTTTTACCTGTCAGCTTCGCCGTAAGGCTGTCAGTTTTGTGCACTTTCACCTATTAAATTCGTCGGGTAAGAGCGGGTCCCAACAAAGCTTTATCCTGGCTTCTTGACCTTTTCCCAGCTTCTATCAACCATCCTACAACAACAACCATGGCTCGTGGAAAGAAAGGAAAGACAAACAAGGCGGTAGAGTCGAGCCACAGGTAAGAATACTTACTTACATAACTAATATTATATGTTCGAGTTGTCTGATTAGTTTCAATCAATAGCGCGGGCAACACAAGCTCTTCACAGGTTGGCGCCCACTCAACTCAACACAACGTCCTACCATTACGGATCTCCAACAACACTGCTACCGCCGCGATCGCCAAGAGTACCAAGCGTCGCGTCGAACGAGCAATGTCAGACAGCCAACACGCTTCCGGAAGCGGAGATGGTATCGAGCCTCAAATGGCATCCATGGAGAATGATCGACCAGCTAAGAAGCTGAAGCTCACAGCCGGTGTCTTGCGGGATTGGGCTTTCATTGGAGTTCTTATTGATGAGCCTACCCTTGAAGTGTTTGCCCGATTTGCGAGCGATGATCGAGTCTGGGCCAAGGCCGTCCCAAAGGAAGGAGCTCCTGATATCGGCAATATCAATCACGTTAACATGTCGAAGGTGGAGCTTAGCACTAAGGTTATCCAACACTATGGACAGGATACCACCAATGTCCCGAAGAATGATATTGTGCGTAACTTCTTGAGCGCGAATCTCGTATATGATCCTCCATATCTTGAGGTTGGAACTAGGTCCGGACTCAATTCGAGCCCCGTATACGCCAAAGTGATCCGCAATGGCAAATACAGATCACTGCTATTCTTCCTTGAGAAGAACACCTTCGATATTGAGAAGTCCATCAACACCGATCAAATTAAGTTCGGTCTTGATTACGAGAAGGCAACCTTGAAGAATACCACGGATTATATCAATGACCTCTTCAAGATGAAGTATAAGTCTGTCGTTACTGGTCCGCCCAATCCTATCATCCCTCGCCCAGCAGCCGATGGTCCCAGAAACGAACCCAGACCTGCTCCAGGACTCGCCCCACCCGCTCTGAACATTGGTCCCAGCAACGAACCCAGACCTGCTCCACAACAAGCCCCTCCTGCTGTGAAGGTTGGTCCCATGGACATGGGCTTGACAAACCTTCAAGTCTCTATGGCCAATTTGCGACAGGCGGGAGAGCTATATGAGAAGAATATCACCGCCCAAGACATCGTCATTGGGGGTCTCAAGAAGACGGTCGCTGACCAGGACATCGCCATTGCCGATCTCGAAAGACGTGTAGCACTTGACGAGAAACTCAGAGCCGAGCAAGAGAAGCGTCTGGCCGAGGGCAACAAGACTATCAAGAAGCACGAGGCAACTATCTCTAATCTTGAGGTTTCGTTGAAGGAGGCAGGAGAAACTGTCACCAACATCAGAAATGCCATTAACAAGCATCAAGACAATGGCAATGACGAGGAGGAGCCGAGTACGAACAAGGGCAAGGCGGTTGCTGGCTCATCGAAGAAGAAGACTGCCAAATAGGCAAGCAACTCTTACCTCCAGCTTCTGCAACAGGAACCATGGAGTTTCTATTGTACTGGTTGAGGAAACTGCTTCTTCCCTTGGAGTTTATTTGGAATGGACCGGTTGGCAAGAAGGCGTCTTGGGTTTGCTGGAGTTCTTGCCCTTGGGATTTTTGAACTTTTGGAAAGTCCGACTTCTTTCTTTGCTGGCGTTTTGGTTGCGAATACCCCTTCTGGTAGATTATTTATTGTTTGGCGGTCACAGGCGCATGGGTGAGCATGCTACTGAAGGACTGTCACACCGGTAGATAGATCTACAACCTAATAATGAAGAACTGAAAAAAAATTCCCCCAGCTTGTAGCCAGAAGAGACTTGTGCACGTAAGAAATACCGAGCTATGCCACTAAGTGTTCGCAATAGTATTTATTAAAAATAGTATTACTCACTGTAGTACGTATTTTTTTCCAAAAAATATTATACTTTAAGTGATACGTACGATAATAATATGATTGTACGTATAATATTAGGACTAGTATTATTGAATTTCACTGGAAATATACTAAATACCGGAATATTATGTTTCAAGGATTTAATATCGATAAATTACACTTCTTTAGATTTTTTTAGGTTTGGATTTTAATGTTTCAAGCTATATTCCAAAAATTTAAGCTTAAACTTCAATGTTTCAAGCTATATTCCCAAAAAATTTAATACTTAGTATATTGACTAATATCTTCTATTGATACGGAACTGGGGTTAAGGCATATTACTAACCTCATATTGTACGCGGTAAGTACGTATTATATTGATATTACCTCACGTAATAAGGCCGTATACTATTGCGAACACTGATGCCACTTATCTTGATATCACCTCTAGCTATTCTCTCTCCCAGCTATTCTCTTTCCATTCATCTTTCGCATACCTCAAACTGGTGTTGTCATGTTACATCTCAGAGAGAGTACAGAAAAGTATCTTGTATTCGTAGGTACAGCTACTCAGAAACAGGAGGAGATACCAGCACAGCTGTATCTATAGATGTAGGTGTAGAAGTGTGTGTGTGTGTTACAGCACAGTATGGATGACATATGTGTCGAGCCTTGTAGGTTCAAGGTAGAGCTGTAGTTGTGTAATTGTACTTTGTGAGCCTTCGACGCCGCTCGTTTCGAAGCTCAGGGGCTTACGCGACATTTAGGCCTAAGCTATGAAGCTTAGGCAAGAGGTAGAGTTTCGATGAGGGGGCTAGATAGAAGTGATGAGTAGGTTGGACAGACAAAATCCAAGCAGAAACGTGTCGTATAGTGTCCTGTGATAGAATTATGAAGCAAGAGTACTCAGCGTTTCAAAGACCTTAAACCACGTGGAATGAGATAGATCAGACTCCTCAGACTTCTTAGACCACGGAAGTGGAATGAAATGATAGAAAGGAATGAAGAAGAGAGAATAAAGAGAGGGATTCATAATCTCCTTACATCTTCTCTGTTTGACGGGAGGTTGCAGTAGCCTCGCGTTACTACACGAAACCCTTATTCATGGTATCCGTGACCATATGAGAGGAAGCTAGAAGGCTCTGGTGGTGTGAAACAAGACAGCAGGACAACCTGCCTGAAATGATTGCTAGTCATCAAGGGTATCATTCTCTATAGAAAATCACTAAGCAATTCGCAATCTTCGCGGTAGCAAGCATTCATCTCTTCTCTCTCTCAAAGCTTCCCATCTCTATCCACCAAAGTAGGACTTCCCGGACTCGTTCCGAGCGTCGAGTCAGTCTCGACACTCATTCCCCTCCCCAACGGACTACCCTTTCCCACACCCCGCTCGGCCTGCACCCTATTCAACGGTCTGACAGCCTTCCTCTGCTGTGGTCTATAAGGACTGATCGGCGAAGACATAATTTCTGGTGTACCCCTCCTCGACCTAGATCCTGATCCATTCCTATCCCTCATACGCATCCAAGGTTCGGGAGTCCTTTGACTCAGCATACTAGGCTCTCTGTCCCATCTCGGACTATTCATAGGGTAATCACTTCGATGGTCATATTCATCATAAGGCGTGTTACCACGAGAGCCTTGGTTCTGGTACTGGTAATCTTCTCCGTGGCGCTTGACGGGACTTTCGTCGTAGGGATCAAAACCGACTTTTTGTCTTGCTGCGCGACGGGTGCGTCGACGCTCTTCGCCGTCTTTGCCTGCTCCGGTAGTGGAAGAGTCTTCGAGGAAGAAGGTTAGAATCTCATCTCTGGCGCAGAGGTGTGGAGCTTGTGTGAATTGTTGGAGGGACGCTAGACGGATTAGCATTTCGAGGAGAGAAAGTGAGGAGATAATAGGGCCGTATGGAGACTCGTCACTGGGCTGGAAAGAGTCTAAGTTGTGGGATGGGCTTCTGGTTCGACGAGCAGGAGATTGGTTGTGTGGTGACTCTTGATCGAGATGTAGGTGTGCGAGACCATTGGCTAGAGCCTCTCCATTTGGCTCTTCGCCAGATGAGCTTGGGCGATGTGAAATGTAGGCTGAATCGTCGTTGATATTGTCCTGCTCATCCTGCTCGTCCTCGGAATCAGACTCTTCGGGTTCTACATATACCTCGAGAGCCAACCATTCTGGGTCCAGATCCGCGGGCAGGCGCCAATGATTCTCATCGGCCGCTAGGTCTGTAGATGTCTCTAGGGGTAAACAGACAGCGCTTTCTCTACGAATTTGCTCGTCAATATCATCTTGAGAGTCATTTTCGCTCTCCACTTCCGTCTGCTTTTCAAAATCCTGATCCTCTTCTTCTTGTTCATACAAATCCAAGCCTAACTCGCTCTGTTGCATCATCTTGCGGGGTGGCAAGGCATTGATGTCTCGCTTCAGCAGAAGGACTGGACTATTTGCCTGACCTTCATCTCCGATACCCAAAATCTTGCCGGTATCTGCATAGAAGATCTTTGATATCTGGTGTATAGGTATGAAATCTCTAATACCAGCGAGCTTGACATCTCCATATGGTCCTGGTTGAGCTTCGTCCTCTCCAAACGAGTGCACTCGATCGTCGTCCAGATCCTCCACTACCTCGAGATGGTATGCGTACTCGTTGTGTTTTCCATTCCCTCTAATGAAGTCTTCGTTTTGCTCAATTGACGGAAGAATCTGGGTCGAAGATTGGTCTTGAGTGGAGTACATGGGAATGCGCATAAGCTTGACTCTAGCTTTATGAATCACTTCTTTCCAAGTCATCTCTCTCATGTTTTCTGCATCTTCATGAACACGATTTGAGTGGCCCGCAAACAACATGTACAGAGAGAGTGTAAAAGTTGGTCCTGCCTGGACAGCTGTGTCTGGGTTCCTAAAGTAGGCTAAGTTGTTTTCGCTGATATATGTACCGGCTTGCATCATGCGTGACGGAGAAACTGTGGCAGGCATGGTCGTCGAGATTTTTGCTCCAGAGGCGGTGATCGCGAGATTGATAAGAGGAACTTCCTTCTCGATTCTTGCGAGAAGTTTCTTGATGTCTTGCATGATCAGTCGGATCTCAGCATGATGGACCGCTTTTGATATTGCTCTTGTTTTCCTTTTTCTCGAAGCCTCTTCTGCTTCAGCAGCCTTGGCTAGACGGATGCCGAGGGATTGAATTTCCCACCTGAGAGATCTGGTCATCGATACTGCTGATTCCAGACTGCTGTTACCCCTCGCAGATCTATAAGACGTTAGTCTAAAGCTCGTATTATGAGTTGATATACTTACATGATTTCCACCATATCGATTGCAGGTGATAGAATCTACCATATTGTTAGTGCCAGTAGGGAGATGAATTTCGAGGTTTGGGTTGGAAATGACATATAGCATTGAGATCTAAGAGCCACTTGCCTTTATGTTGCTATTTAAGATTTCCTGTAAATCTCGAAGCTCTTGATAATCCGCATTGTCATCCACGGTCTAGATTCATTTCAGCCAAACCACCCAGCAGACAAACATTGATGCTGCCTACCCTCAGTAGTCGCGAGGTTTGCTTGATAGTATAAGAAGCAGTAATTCCAATGCCAGCACTGGATCGATGTCAGAGACTTTTCTCAAGCAACACAGAACACTTCACTTACCGGATAGCATAGTTCATGGCATGCTGTGTGATCTGTTATTGCAGTTAAAGGTTAGCACGTGATCCTCAAAGCGCAAGCAAAACTGGAGGCTTGCTTCACGAACCTTGCCCAGAACGATGTCCATGGCTGATGAGATCAGAAGGTATCCTTCAACTAAATGATCAACTGAGCGCAGATAATTTTTGGGCAAAGAAGAAACATTTTCGAGATTGTAAGTTTGATATTTACTTCTAGGCGCGTTGCATTTGGTACGCGAATGAAGACGAGGCAAGACTACGGCGGCCCGAAACAGACTAGTCGCTCTGCACCACCCAAGAGAAAATGGTATTTTATTACACACCATTTCCCAGGACAACTGGCAATTGGGTTCCAAAGTTAGGGAATCCTTGAGCATACCTGAGGCTATAGTAGGGTTGTTGTTGTACATACATGTATACAATCGAGTCACGTTTGAATCATTTGAGTCACTCTTTTGTCACTGAAGGCCGTAGTCCTAATTGGGATGTGACGTACAAGAAACAGCGAGAAGTACAGTACAAGTACTTCAAAGCGAGCCCCTCGATTTAAACGGCCGCATTTTGCCCCACATTTCCCACAACCTTTTTGATATCAGATCTCGACTCTACCCGCCCGAACGGTGAACAAGTCCTGCAAACCTTCCCTATAACAATCACAATCATGTCTGACCTCAACTCCTGGGAAGACGACCCTGCCGCGCAGGACGAGAATCTCTCGCGGCAGACGCAACAAATGAACCTAAACAATCAACAACAGCAGCAACAAGGTGGCAGCTTCCGCCCAGGCGCACAATCCTTCCAGCCCGGAGCGCAATCTTTCCAACCAGGTCAGAACTTCCAACAATATGGCGGTGGATATGATCAATACGGTCAGAACTACTACAACAACCAAGGTGGGCAAGGCTACGGTGGCTATCCTCAGTATGGTCAACAAAGTGGTGGTTACAATCAGTACCAGCAAGGGGGCTACAACGCAGGGTACAATCAAGGAGGATACAATCAACAATATGGTAATAACCCCTTTTCGGCGCAAGATCTCGCATGATGTTCGCTTTGTGAGAGTAGTTCGCTGATAAACGCGCTTTGAAGGTCAGCAATACCCGGGCTACGCTCAGCAACCCCAAGCAGCGACAACCGCACAACAACCCCTTCGCCAGACTCCTACGATTGCGAAACGACCAGCAGAAGGCTCTTCGAGCTCTGCAGATCTAAACAAGCCTATCACAGTCAAGGATGGAGCCCCTAAAGTTTTGAGCATAGGTGGAGATGCGCCGAAGGCCAAGGCCAAGGTTCTCTCTATCGGCGCTCCAACTGCAGCATCCACAAAGAAAGACTCCGCCGCTACCGCTGCTTCCAAAGCCCCCGCTGAAGCTGGAGCCAAGGTCACAGCTGCCAAAGCAATCGAGAAGACAGAGAAGAGTACCGCTTCTGACAGCGGGAAGACATCGCCAACACCGTCGTCAGGTAGATCAAGTCCCTCAAGAGCTGCTGCTAAGATCCCGGCTCGTGAGGTTGACGCCGTTGAGAAAGAACAAGCTGCCGATGTGGACGATGAGACATTGAAGGAGATCTATGGCAAGGAGCATGTCAACATCATCTTCATTGGACACGTCGATGCTGGCAAATCTACCCTCGGTGGTGCTATTTTGGTGTTGAGTGGTATGGTGGACGAGCGAACCTTAGAAAAGTACAAGAAGGAGGCGAAGGACATGGGCCGAGAGAGTTGGTGGCTTTCTTGGGCATTGGATCTTACGAAGGAAGAGAGATCTAAGGGAAAGACCGTCGAAGTCGGACGAGCATTCTTCGAGACTGAGAAGCGACGATACAGCATTCTCGATGCACCAGGCCATAAAACGTATGTTCCAAGTATGATTGGAGGCGCTTCACAGGCAGATGTGGGAATTCTGGTCATTTCTGCTCGAAAAGGAGAATATGAGACCGGTTTCGAAAAGGGTGGCCAAACTCGAGAGCATGCTATGCTGGCAAAGACTCAAGGTGTGAACAAGCTTGTCGTCGTCATCAACAAGATGGATGATCCTACTGTGGAGTGGTCAGAGAAGAGATACACCGAGTGCACAACCAAACTCGCACAATTCTTGAAAGGAACCGGATACAATCTCAAGACAGATGTTTTCTTCATGCCCATCGCCGCACAGCAATTGATGGGTCTCAAAGACCGAATTCCACCGGGAGTGTGCTCATTCTACGATGGACCGTCTTTGCTCGAGTATCTCGACGGCATGGCTGCGCTGGAAAGAAAAGTCAATGCTCCATTCATGATGCCGGTGAACGGAAAGTATCGTGACATGGGTACCCTCGTCGAAGGTAAGATTGAGGCTGGTGTCATCAAGAAGAACATGTCGTTAGTCATGATGCCCAACCGAGATAAGGTTGAGGTAGCGGCGCTCTATGGAGAGACTGAAGATGAAACCAATATGGCACAATGCGGAGACCAAGTTCGCGTTCGATTGCGTGGTATCGAAGAAGAAGATATCCTGCCTGGTTTCGTTCTGTGCTCACCAAAGCGATTGGTACATTGTGTTAGTGCATTTGAGGCACAAATTCGAATTCTGGATCTGAAGAGTATCTTGTCAGCTGGATTCAACTGCGTCTTGCACGTTCATTCCGCAATCGAAGAAGTCACATTCGCTGCCTTACTTCACACATTGCAGAAGGGTACAGGTCGGAGAAGTAAGAAGGCACCCACTCATGCCAAGAGAGGAGACAGCATCATTGCGAGAATGGAGGTTATTGGTGGGGCAGGATCTGTTTGTGTAGAAAGATTTGAGGACTATCCTCAATTGGGAAGATTTACGCTAAGAGATCAGGTAAGGAGTACTCTTCTGATAGTCAAGATGCATGTACTAACTTCCCCAGGGTCAAACGATCGCTATCGGCAAGATTACGAAGCTGATCAAGGCGGAGGACGATGCCCAAGCTGCTTAGATGGCTAATGGGGCTCTTATTGAAATGACTAACGAATCTGGGGTGGCGGTGGTCTGTGGCGCAGAGGAAGAACCATTCTGCATTCAAATAGAGAACTTCATGTAGACTAGGCTTTAGGCATCAGGTCATGGCCAGGGTTCATGTAGCGCTGAGGGAAACACACTCCACCAAATAAAAGCCTTCAATTCAGAAAATTGTCTTGTCACCTAGGCATCCAACAGAGCTTTTTTGTATACCTAGGTAATGATAGGACGTGCACTGTCCACTTGCACTAATGATATAGTGCTTAATCTGTAGACGTTCATGTAGGTTCACGGATTTCGCCAAGCTGTGACCAGTCAGCACAACCCTTCAATCATGCAATGGCCTTCTCTTTGTGCCCCAACTTCATTTTACAGGATCAATCAAACAAGCATAACCCGTTCATAGAGTAGTCCTCCTTCAGTCGTCTTCCCTTCAATCTTCTGCTAAATCACATGACGACCCTCTAAACCCTGATCGGTAATTGCCTAACAACCATCGCTCCTTCCGCCCTATGACTCTTGCCTTATCCACAAAAGCAAGGCAGCCAAATGAGGAAACTATAAAAGCATGCTAATCGGTTCCTTGGTCAGGACCTCTCCTTTTATAAAACATCTACCCTTACAATCACAAGGTCTAAAATTCATACGCACAATGGCAACTTCAGGCCCCACGCCACCCAAATCATCCTACGGCCCCAGCACTGACATCCAAGAATTCCACGATGTACTCAAATCTTCGAAAAGAATCATGGCTTTATGTGGTGCGGGGTTATCTGCTGCAAGTGGATTAGGCACTTTCAGAGGTGCAGGAGGCATGTGGAGAAACCATAAAGCCACGGCGTTGGCTACACCTGAGGCCTTCGAGAGGGATCCTGGGTTGGTGTGGTTGTTTTATAGTTATAGGAGGCATATGGCACTACAAGCGAAGCCGAATGCTGGGCATTATGCATTGGTGGAGGCGAGTAAGAGGATGAGAAGTTTCTTGACGATGAGCCAGAATGTCGATGGTGAGTGAGGGGAGGTTTCTCCCCCGATTTCCTTTCTTTTCTTATACTCTTTTACCCTTTCCTTTTGATGTGTGGTGAGGTTTCGATGGATCTGTATTAACATATACTTAGGACTTTCTCAACGTGCAAAGCACCCCAGGGATCAACTCAAGCTTCTCCACGGCTCACTGTTCGATATCAAGTGCTTTAGTTGTGACTACATTGAACTGAATAACTTTGACGATCCTTTCCACCCACTTCTCGCCATCGATTCCGACGAGGATGCTCGACTTGCTGCAGCGGCAAACAACGGCGAATCCACGAAGGTGAAAACCAAACCCATTCTTCCGAAGAACTTACCTCATTGCCCGTCTTGCAAGACTGGGCTTCTTCGACCAGGTGTTGTCTGGTTCGGCGAACCACTACCAGAAGATACTGTGGCTGAGATTGATAGCTTTATCGATGAAGATAAAGTGGATCTGATGCTGGTAATTGGGACAACCGCCACTGTCTACCCCGCTGCTGGCTATGTCGACGAAGCCAGGAAGAAGGGAGCTAGAGTTGCCGTTGTTAATATGGATGGTCTTGATGGAGAGTTGGGCGCTGCTAGTAATCTCAAGAGGGGAGATTTTTTGTTTCAAGGCGATGCAGCAAAGATTTTGCCAGAGATTCTGAAGCCGCTTATTGGGGAGTTGAAGATTCCGGAGACCGAGGGAGTCTGAAGTGAGAAGTAGTGCAGGAAATAAAATCATACTCAATCCAAACCAGAATCCGAGTCTTCTCGTATTCGAATTGAATCATCTAACTAACTTCCCGTTATCCAAAATCAATATTTCCCAATCAATAGCGAAGTATAACATTACAGCCTCGCCCTTGTGCCTGCTCCATGATACACCAACTCATACTTCGAAACTTCACATTTCTATCCCCTTAAACTTCTCCTACGCTCTACTCACCAGTCCTTCTCCCACAGCAGACAACGTAGACAGGCTCCGGGAATAGACTTGCAAAGCAAAATCTGATTGTTAATATCCTTGTTCCGAGTTGAGAAGACATCACCCTTGTCAGATGCGGGAGCGCTAGCCAGGACCCACAAAAAAGTTCGAGCTGCTGAACATTTTGACAGTCGCCTCGAAGTTCACAAATCTCGCATTTCAGCATCTCAATGCTGCAGTGTCCTAGATTTCCCTCTAGGCGCGTTACTCAGCAAATCCATCGTTTCATCTGCGGCATACGACAATACAACTACCCTTCAATGGAGGCCGAACGCAAAGCTCCTCCAATCCCGAAAGGTGACCGTGGTCACGGCGGAAAGAAGAGATCATTCCAGAGTGGTCAATGGGCGAAAAGGTCGAAGTCACGGAAAGAGAAGCCCAAGTCTGAAGGTTCCAATGAAGAAGTTCTCATTGCGGATGTGCGAGCTCTTTTCGCAAAGCAGAAGCTTTCCCAGACCTCGACAATAGCTGCTACCAATAATGCGCCTGAGTCCATAGACAATTCTACCGCAGACCAAGTCGAATCTGCTCCTGCAGAGAATGGAGAACCTATGGACAACGATGAGAAACCTGAACTGCCCGAAAAGTTCTCTGAAGTTGAGGTGGAAGTCTTGGAGATATCTTCGACAGGCGACGGTCTGGCTAAACATGCTGGCTCCGACCAGATATACATTGTACCATTCAGCACACCAGGCGATGTTGTCAAAGCGAAAGTCATCAAGCATTTCGAAGCTGAGCATTACACCTTAGCCGATTTCGTCTCTGTGGTCAAGGCAGGGCCTCTCCGAGATGATACCCGTGTCAACTGTAAATACTTCTCTACATGTTCTGGTTGTCAATTCCAGATGATGGATTACCCAAGTCAACTAGCACACAAGAAGACAATTGTTGCGAAAGCTTATAAGAACTTCTCGCAATTACCACCAGAGCTGATACCGCTAATTGGAGAGACCATTGGAAGCCCTTTACAATATGGATACCGTACGAAACTTACACCCCACTTCGACGCTCCGCCAGGAGCTAGGAGAGACAGGAATAAGACATTTGAAAAGGTGCCGGAAATTGGCTTCATGGCGAAGAATCGAAGGATTACGCTGGATATTGAGGATTGCCCAATCGGTACAGACGCTGTACGTATGGGTATGAAGAGAGAAAGATTAAAGGTTGTCGAAGAACTGGCCAAATACAGGAAAGGCGCCACGATACTTCTACGTGAAAGCACATTCAGGGTACCCAGTAACGACAATCGGGCATCTGAAGAGCTCCCAGACAGCATCAAGACCGCAACTGAAGCATATACGGATTTCAAGTCATGCGTCACAGATAGCAACGCAACATCGACTGAGTACATTGATGACTTTGTCTTCACTAACATTGCTGGATCTTTCTTCCAGAACAACAATTCGATACTACCAAGCTTCACTCAATACATTCGAGACCATATTATGCCACCCGCTCCATCATCAACAGAAGCTCCAATCAAGTATTTAATTGATGCGTACTCTGGCTCCGGATTATTCACAATAACGCTCTCTTCACTCTTCAAAACATCAATGGGGATCGACATCTCCGGTCCCTCGATAACTTCAGCCAAGGACAACGCGAAGTTGAACAACCTCCCAGAATCACAATGCACGTTCATGGCAGCTGATGCGCCGGAACTGTTCAAGTCTGTGAAATACCCCAAGGACGAAACGGTGGTGGTAATCGATCCTCCAAGAAAGGGATGTGACGAGAGCTTCTTGTCTCAACTAATGAACTTTGGACCAAGGAGAGTTGTTTATGTCAGCTGCAATGTGCACACACAAGCAAGAGATGTAGGAGTTCTTGTCAGAGGGAATGAAAATGGAGGAGCAAGATACAAGATCGAGTCTTTGAGAGGATTCGACTTCTTTCCTCAGACAGGTCATGTTGAGGGTGTTGCTGTGCTCAGTAGAGTGGAGCCTGAACAGGAAGCCGCAGAAGCACAATAGACAAATCCTAGCAGCCATCACCTCCATGCAATACTCTAAGTCTTATAATTCTTTCAACTTCTTTACTTTATCTTCACACTTAGACTCCCATCCATCTCGCTTACTCAAAATTCTTACTTGGTACAGATTTCCTTCTTTATCACGAGCAGTATACTCTTATCCCCTGGGCTCTCCTCGAAGCTGAGGGTTGGGCATTCGTTGAGTTTGCAAATGAAGGTCTCTGGACGAGCCACCGATTTCGCAGAAGCAGTGGAAGCAAAATAGGTCTTTCAAAACAGTTGTTACCAAGGCTTCATGCAAGCCACGCTTTACATAGATACGAAATCGGGTACCCACTGAGATCGAACCGGTTGCCCTGTCGGCGGAACACTCGAAGGCTATGTGCTGGCGGCTCGTCACTTGCTACTGCATGAGAGGCGGTGCGACCTAGTTTGTACTCCATGATGCTGCCTTACGGGGCTCAAGGTTTCTGGGACAATGTCGGTGAAGGAGGATGAACAGATATCCACATCAACAATGGACCACGTTTCGTTGGGCTGAACAGCAAGATAGCGGGGTCATCACATGTGGTACACGTATTCACGTGTCAGGTCTCAACTTTGACCACTCATATGGCAGCCACTTTCCGAGCCAATAGGCAAGATGAAGCCTCGTACCACCGCCACGATAGCTTCAAATCTGGGGCGGCGCGCCGCAGCCGCTCAAGCGTGCAAGGCGACTCTGGGGTCACAAAGTTGGCCTTCCTGCCCAGCGGTTGGGAAGATGTGACCGGTGAGGCATCACAGCACATCAGATGGGTTCGCACAGCAGAGCGCCCAATCTGTTGGTCGACGTGGTTAACGTTGCGCGCCTCAACAATGTGATACCTATCCCACCATCGACAGAACTGCGAAGTCGGTGACGAAGAAAAGACGCCTAGAACCGCGCGGTGAATGAGAATTTACCTGAACAGGAAGCCTCATGCCATCGCATAGCACACGTCACAAATTGATCGTTGCTATCACCAGGAAGCTGCACGAAGCGCCTGGAGCGCAAACAGAACCTTGAATATTTCATGGTGGATGGCAGAGAAAGGGGTGACGCTGACACTTTCTATCACAAGCACTTATCATCTGAGATGTTACAGCCATGTTCCTGAGCGTGCGATTCGCGATGCTGCAATATAGCCGTCACAATAGTTCGCCTCAATCAAACACGAACAGGATCAATGCAAAGCAACTCTCGACCATGAGAGGCAGCTGCCCGAGGCAGTCTCTCGACCTGTCCCTTTTTGTTGCCTGTTTGCAGCTGGATCGAACTGGAACGCGCTGGAGCTGCTAAAACAAGAAGCTGGAATGAGGAACACTATGCGAATGTCGCTCCCCCACTCATCACTTCAAAGTTGCCCACGCCGTTCAAGGGATGAGTCTGATCCAGGCGAACCGCGGGTTTTCTTTGCTTTGAGGTCGGGGACTTGCGACAGGAGTATTTTCCATACAGTAGAGGAGCTCCGGCGTTCGCAAAGCGATGCTTGAGACAAAGCAGAATAGTAAGTGGGGGTTGACCCCACGGAAAAATAATGAAAAACGTGGAGTTCAGACACCCACGCTCTAGAATCCGGAAAGTGGGAAGGGAAAAACAAACAGCTGTTTCGCCATTCCTTATACATCTGGACCGAGCGAAATTGAGAGGCCAGACTTGATCCCTCGGACGAGCAAAGGGATAATATTGATTTTTCCACTTCTCTTTTTTTTGCAATAATACCCTCCAGATGTGAGGACCTAGATGTATATCTTACGAGTAATGGAGGAGAGAGGAGGTTTCGGACCGGTACGGGAGGTACTGCCCCGCTGATCGCCACGACTAGAATTTTCAGGGTCCTGACTCTGTGTTCTGGCTCTTCAGGGAGATCTGAGCATTCTGCATTGATCCGTTTGACTCAGGGTGTGGAAGCTCTTCCGGCCACTAAATTTTCTCCTTCGTCGCGGCGACGGATGTGCTGCACGACGGGAGGAACTGATAGAGGCAGTTCCGGATGAATTAGATTCGTGATGTGCGCTAGAACAGCTGTGGAAGTTGTGGCTCCTCTCGCGGAGAGTCGAGTCGTGAACGAAGCCGCGAACGAGCGGTGAACTGCTTATTCCTGCACTCTGACTGGCGGAGAGCCCCAGCTTCGGAAGACTCTCTCCCTTCCGCTCGGTTTGGAGAGGCGGTCTGTGGTAACCTCGTCCCTCTGAATGGTGGGGGATCAGACTTATTCAGACTGATGAGAAAGCGTTTGCCTGTACAGGGTGACGAGCACGGCGTCTGAGTGGGTGTGCTGGTGGGAGTTGCTCGGGCATTACTCACCGCAAACTCAGACAGTGGAGGTCAGCCAGAGGAAGCAGCCATAGGGATGAAAAGCAACAAGTCTCGCCGCCAACTCTCCGCGTCTAGGCTGCCTGTCACGGTCACTATATGATTCAGACCAGTTTCCACATGGAAAGCAAACATAAATAACAAACGCCGCAGTCACCGTCACAGCCCTGCTCCCTTGCCTTCCTTTTTGGAATCAGATTTTAATCTATATATTCTTGGAAGTCCGACTTTCTGTTCTTGTTGCTGCGCAGCAAAGCAGGCTTACGGAAGATTCACGTTACACGCCTTACTTCGCCTTCGCCTCGGTTCAATACTTTGCAAAGAAGACGCCGAATACGATCACCGACAATCTGTATTGCTCACCGTCAGATCAGCAGAAGCAGCAGCAAGAGTCATAATCAGAGCCAGCCTTATTAAGCCGGACCCTTTCCCCAGAATCTCCAGCGTCTCCATAAAATTCTCCACAACGATCATGTATTTCTCATTTTCGCCGTCACCGCCCTCAACCAGTAAGTAAATAAATTTCGTGTTACTGTTTCCTGCCAAGTTTTCGCGTCGAAAAGTGCAACGCGAAAATCAACAGCCTCCTACGTGTGTGCACCAACAAGACGTGGCGTGCAGTGGCACAGAATGTCCGAAGTCACCTCCGACATTGATATTATATTTCTTGAATGTCTGTCTGTCAGAGATGGGAGAAATATTCCATACTAACTTACTTCACCAGGCTACTCCACAGCACCGATGGAAATCCCCTCCTCCACCTCTCGCTCCCGGCCGCAGTCGCCTTCCTGCGCCTACCCATCGTGGCCACGACGCGCATCTCTCTCTTCGAACTCGAGCGAGGAGGAGCACCAGTCGAGTTCCTTCATCATCTCAGACGAGGAGCTCTTCCCAGACGTCTTTGACGAGGCCGAGCAGGACTGCACCCCGCCAGCTACCCCACACTCGAGCCGATCACCGGCTTCGCCCTCGATGCTATGCGATATGGTGGTCGAGAACGGGTCGCTGATGCGCCAACTGATGGCAGAAGAGAAGGCGAAGAAGGAGCGCAGACGTCGCAGGAGCTCTGCGTCCAAGAAGTCGAGAAGCGGGAGCGGGACAAGCAAGCATATGAGCCCCATCATGGAGGTCGGTGAATGAGGGGTTACATTGCTGTCGTGTGTGACAAAGAAACAATATTCTGGGTAAGTTCATCATCGTCTTAGTAAATACTGAGAAAGCATCTTACTGACTTCAGCCTCAAGAACTTATCAAGATTACCAAATCTGCAAACAAACAAACGAAAGACCTACTATCCTGCTATGAACAGGTTAGGCAATAATTGTCGAAGCAGACCAACAATCCCGCCGCCGCATCGAGACGCCCTGTCTATCGTCGCATCCAGCCCCCGCGCAGCAGCAAAGGCCTGAAACGAAAAGGATCACTGACGGCCACGGCCGCAGCGCTCAAGCTCAAAAGTGATCCAGGCCACTTTCCTGGTTGAAGATCTGCTTGGAGCCGAGACTACGACCAAACGACCGTTTTATCAATTAGGAAAGACGAGGCAGACTCACTCCCTCTCTTTTCGCTCTTTTTCGCCTAAGAGAGCCTGATGGAGATTAAAACATCGCATCGCATCACATCACATCACATCATCCAAGCTTGGAATCAAAGCATTGATGTGGTGATCTCGGTTCTTTTGCATTGATGAGTGAGTGAGGCGAAGACTATCGCGACTCGTGAGCGAGCGAGGACGAAAATTCCTTAGCTGCGATTTCGTCGATGACGGGCCGTGCCATTTGTTGGTTCAGGCAGGCAGCAGGGGATGCGGATGGGGGGCCGGCCGAAGAAGGTTGACGGGAACGGGGATTGATACCCGGCGCTGTTTGTTGGTTGGGAGTTGAAGAAGATCATCGGCTGGCCTGGGTTGGGTTGACGGCACTCAGAGATATCACGAAGCTGGTCATTGATGAGTCGACGAAAGAAGGAAGGAACAGTCCTTTCTTGTCGTCACCAGCGGTTACACAATAATAGTAATGATGGGGAAGGGAGACGGGATGGGGATTGATGGTGAAGTTTGTTTTGTGGTGGTTGGTTTTTTATTTAGATAATAATTGATAGCTTGATACATCCATCCATTCTCGCATCCACAATCACATTTCCCCAATATTTCTCCTTCTCGTTCGTGTGAAAATCCTCCCCTCCCCTGTCAAGACGTGCCACTCCCACTGTAGGGCAACCAAAATCGCCCGCTTCCATTGCGGCCGCAAAAAACCCGTCTACCCCTGCCGCAAATCACTCATAAAGCGAGGCATCCAAGAACGGCGCGTAGAGATCAATGCCACCCGTGGTGCCAATCACATATCTCTCCATTCACAACCAATAAGAAATGCGTGTAGACGAAAAATTCGCGGGGGTCGTCCAATCACGGGCCGGAGGGGAGGTTTAAAAGTTGTTTTGGGATGTGGTGTGATGTGATGTGATGGGGGATTTTGACATCGGAGGAGAAGAGGGAGGCGGCCACGGTGTGCGTGCGAGGTAACGTGGGACGAGACGAGACGGGGAGTTTTGCATACCACGCACACCCAAGGGAAGGGAGGGAAGAAGACGGTGTGGTTGTGGGAAGCAGGTACGTGAGAGGAGGTGCATGCGAGCAAGCAGGCATCTATTAGGCTTTTGAAACGATGAGGAAATGATTTTGGCTGTTCCTGTGTGTTGTACAACGAGTACCAGAAGATGCAGAGCAGAGCAGAGCAAAAACTTTACCCCGCGGTGGCCGGAGCGGCCTTTCTCGAGGAGGATCTTCGTGCTTCTTGCTGTGCCAGGAGGAGCTTTGACGCTGTTTCTTGCAGGCGGGAGGCCCGTCGTCGGCATGTATGTATGTATGTATGTATGTATGTATGTGCATCATTAAGCTTGCCTTACCTTGCCTGCCATAGTAATAATTTATGTGCACAATAATATAATGGCCGGGGGAAATCTAACTATCGAGAGCGAGCAAGCAAGATAACGATAGAGAGAGAAACCCGGATGGTATCCGAGAGGAGGAGACGGGCGTGGGACAAATGCGAATAATTGAACAGCGGTCAGTCAATGGAATGGGATATGGCTGCTGCTGCTGCTGCTACTGCTGTCACAACATCAAGCAAGCATCAACGCATCCCAGATGGGATTGAACCCCTACCTACTTGAATCCCGATCACAATCTGCTCATTTTGCATACGGACGGAGATACTAGACGAACGAACGGTTAGTCAATCAGTCAGCTTGTAGCTCGACTATTGATCGATAGCAGCAAGCACGCAAGCAAGCATTGGAGCATTGAGAGGAGCTATCTGTCTGTCGACCTCGTTCGAGGTCTGACTGAACTGTGACTGTGGGATTAGCAACCAGCGGTGGGGCAGGGCTTGAATTGAGCACAGCGTTCCCGACGCCACTCCCCAACCCCTCCTTTTTCCGCTGCTGCTAGACGACTCCTGCTGCTGCTGTCGAACGCTGCACGGCTGACGGGTACCGTCTCACTCGGGAGAAGAGCTCAGGATAGGTATCGAAAGAGGGAAGGAGGAAGATCCAACGTTTTCAACGTTAATGTTTAACGTGCGATGATCGAAGGGCGAGAAATGTCCGGAGGAGCGAGGAAGTGGGACATCGATCGGGACGACATGACACGAGAGTAGCAGCAGTCTGTCTGATCTGAAAATAGGAGAGACAAGTCGAGTCTTATTTAAAGACTTCGCTCGCTGCTGGCCTCGAGTCCATTCACAAAGGCGTTGTAGACGCCGAGATGTTCGGTACGGTTGGGGGCCCATTGTCGATTGTCCACACAGGTCTTTGGTGCGTTGCTGGTCGGGAGGCCGAGAGGGCCCTTTGCGGTCGTGATAGGATGGGGTTGTGATTGATGCTGCATGGATGGACCGGGCCCTGCGGTGCGGGTCAGCCACTCAGCATGCAAAGGTGCCTTTTCGACGTGGCACTGGCTTGAACGAGTTGATCCATGAAGAACCATGAGAGAACCGAACCATGAAAAAAAGGACGACGAAGCAAATTATTTGCGCGACTGGAACAGAATAGTGCAGGGTTCAACAGAAGCTCTCCCTGCACCAGACCCTGGACTCGGGTGTTGACGGCGTTGCAGGAGTGGTCGAGAGCAGCAGAGTCTGGTGAAAGTGGTGAAAGCAGCAAAGTGAAGGGACTGAAGTCTCGCTCGCTGGGCCTATCGTGCTGCCCCGCCTACGCCTAACAATCTGAACAATGCCCATCCCATGCTATGCTATGCTTCTCGCTGCCCCACCCCGAATCCCCGTCAACGACCTCCAACCGTGGCCTGCGAACCGCATCACTCTCTCACGGATCACCGCCCACAGCCTCGCCCAGAGTGGTTGAAGCCCATCCAGACAGAGCAGAGCAGAGCATCCAGTGTTGCTCGGATTGCCGCAATCAGACCGCCTCACCAATTATTTGGGCTCGCCGGCTCTCCACCGTCACCCTGGGACCCGCGTGATGAGAACAAGCGGCCAATATCAGATCCCCAATATGCCAACCAGGCCTCTTCTGAGCAATCTAATGCCATGGAAGCTCCGTCTGATGAGCCATCTCGCATTGAATTTGAGCCACTCCTCCTGCATAGCTCCTCGAAGCACCATCCGCCTTCCTCCAATGCCCCTCCTCTCACCCCCGTCCTAGGCTCAACACCAGGGTCCAGAAGCGTGCAGGTGGCTCTCGGAACCTGGTCGTCACGATTGAGCCGGATTCGCTTGAGATCCCATGCTTGCGTTCTAAAACTGTCTTTCCATTAGGCGCCTTGCTCTTCAACGCTCTCGGACTTGATGAAGCCATATACGTTCCTTAGGGGCCGTCTTCCACTCCCTTCCTCTGAGATCTCGTCTTTTTTGCCCCCCCCTTGGACCCCAAGCCCAATACAATCCCGCAAGCGCCAGAAAAGCCGTCCTAGTCATCTCGTTGGGTCTAGCCACGAGCCGAGTGTCGTTCTACCTCGACTACTTGGTCCATGTCTCGTTACTTCCACGAGGTCCCGTGCGACTCAGACTGATTCTTCTCTGCTGTACTCCTTGTACTCCGCCGTTGCTTCTGAACCCTTCCTTCTCTTCGCTCTGCTATCACTCGATCCCATTGTCGTGCACCGTGACTGCCAGAAGTACACAGAAACGCTGTCTGTTCGGGGCTCACGACAGTCCTCTCGCTACCCTCTCCGTATATAAGAACGGTGCTCCAGCAACTCCATGTGACAATTGAGAGAATTGGGTGTGGACCGCAGGACTACAACCGCTGGTGGGGCAGCAAGAGACCTTCTACTCTGGTAAGACCTTTATTTGCTTTGTACAAAACAGTTCGGGCGTCCCCATCCCAGGAATTAATTCTGAGCACTGCCGTAGCCATACAGTGTGGAAAGAAACAGACTCATGATGCGAACTCTCCAACTAACTTTCCTCTTCTTGCAGACTACGAGAACGAGGTCAACACCGTCGCCATGTCGGCCGGACACTATTCGCGGCATCGCGCGATGTCGATGAGCTCAGGGCAGTCTTCGAAAGGACATTCGAGACTAGCAACGCTGGCAGAGATCACGTCGACGCTGCCGCCGACAGAGGTGGCTCGAAACTTCGAGCCGTGCGCGGCGACGGCCTCTCTGTTTCTATACGCGCAGGGAAACTCGGTTGTCTGCGCTCACCATGATACTCTGACGATTGAGCGCCGCTTCTCGAGACATACGGAAGAGATCCAATTGCTCGCGGTGGACAATGTCAGCGACAGAGGCGCGGGACGATTGGTGGTCAGTTATGATGCTGGGCAGACGGCCATTGTGTGGGATTGCATGACTGGGGATGAGCTTGCCCGTTTTGCCTCGTATGAGAATCTTACGGTGGCAGCGTGGATGCGGAATGGGAATGTTGCATTTGGTATGTTTATTTAAAGATTGAAAGACTCTGTGTTTTATGCTGACCTTCTCTAGGAAACGTGAGTCCAACTAACTGGCTACTTTTATGAATTTGCACTAACATCCAGAAAGTCGCAAGGCAATGTGATTCTATTTGGTGAGTCAATTTTTGCCTTTAGTTTTAATATTCTTCAGTAGTCGAATGCTTGGGAGATCATCCTGAGAGAGTTCTTGCGCGCTTGTATACTCTAGAGGAATCGTGCTAATTCTGCATCAGAACCGACCACATCAGAGCACATTTCGGCAAGAACGATCGACCAAATTCCAATTACAGCTCTGGCACCAGCAGCAGATTGTAGAACTTATGCCATTGGGTACGTTCTTTCCAGATGTGTCCATCTTGCGAATGTCTGGTCCTAATGATTTCCAGCTTCTCGAATGGTTCACTACTCATTGCAGCTCTGCAACCACGATTTACCATTCTTCACAATCTAACTACATCTCGAGGACCATCGCCCATTGTCTCTTTAGCATGGCATGCCTCTTCTTCCCGTCAAAAATCAGATATGTTGGCAACGCAGACGAGTGACGGAGACCTCCGGGTATGGAGTGTGGCAAAATCGCCGACCAGCAGTGACACGGCCAAAGTCGTCAGAGTGTTGAAACGATCAGGAGGAGAAAGTTTTCAATCCGGTCCAAACTGGTTAGGTTGGTCGAAAAATGGGCGGATCGTCCAATTTTCGGAAGGGTGAGTTGTGCATGAATCAACGCGCGCGCTTAGCAAGGCAGTACTGACACAGCCACTTAGGGAGACGTCGTCCTGGGATGTTCGCACGAAGCACGTTACCTATGAATCCGTTCCAACTCTCGAGCACGTTAAGGGGCTTGCTCTCTATGGGCCGGGAGCGACCCTTTTCACATTGGGTCGCAACAACACGGCGCAGCAGTTCGATCTCAACTCTCCTCCTCAGTTGGTGGCTAATGTGCAGCATCCGGCCAATTTACTGCCCCCTTCGCCACCCGTTTCCATAGAGGAACAGAAAAAACAAGATGCCTCAGCCTCTGTATCAGGAAGTGAGTTGTCCTCGGTACCGATCAATATCGATGTTTCCGAGAGCGACGAGGATCACATGTCGCCTCTGGCCAGAATTGCCAGGGAAATGGACAAACTTGAAGCAGAGCGGGCTGAGCCGCCTGACCGATCAGGTACTCTCAGCCCTGTATCAACGAGGAGTCGTGCCTCTACGACCTCTCGATCATCTGCCGGGTCACGACATAGAGAATACCGTGACTATCCCAAGCACACCTCAATAGCTTCACGGACCAACATGAGCGAGGCTACTACGATGTCCATAGGGTCTACCTTACACTCTCGCGAGCCCTCAGTTGCCTCTCGTGACAGTTTCTCTCAGAGCAGTGTCAGCTCAGCGTCGCATACCTCCGGCAGATCTCGACCACGGGGCTCTCGCTTACGCCAGGAGGTCCTTCGAAGTCCGGATCAGGACAGCAGCAAAGTCATTGATCTTTTCACGTACACCAAAGCTAGGCTGAGCGACATTCCTTACCGCCATCCTCAGGTCTTAGACAATACGCATCTAACGAACGATGACCTCCGCCGCCAAATGCTAAGCACAATCTTCGGCTGGGATGGGGAGGCGCAAGATTTAGTTCAAGATGAGTTGAACCGCCATACTTTAGGATCACCCAACAGAGTCCTCTTGACCAAATGGCTCGGTGACATCGACACAGACATCATGGCAACCAGCTCAGAGTCCATGACCTCTTCCGACTGGATGTTACTTGCCTTGAGCGGAATTGGCGGGCATGCTTCTCAGACAAAAGTTGCACGGGCATATGTGCAAAGACTTCTTGAAAAGGGAGATGTACACACTGCCGCAACAATCATGATTGGTATGGGTGATCAGAACGATGCAATCGAGATCTACGTATCACACAAGCGGTACATGGAAGCTTTGATTCTTACCTGTCTTGTGTTCCCCCACGATTGGTCCAGACAAGCAGAGCTCATCAGGAAGTGGGGTGAATGGGCTGTTCAGCATAGCCAACAACAGTTGGCCATTCGATGCTTTTCCTGCACTGGTTCAGAATCATCTGAACCTTGGGCATCTCCAAGTGCTCAAGCCCTTACATTCACGCAGTCCATCCCTGAACTTCTCAGCCCTCCACTATCACCTCCAGGAGCACGAGGTCCTCAACGCAGCATCGCAAAGACTTCTGCTTTGAAGCTCATTACTTCTTTCGGGGATAAAGCTGGCAAATCAAAGTTCTTTGGGCTGGGAGAAAATGAGAAAACCCCTCTTGGTGGCGGAGTAACTCCGATAGCTGAGTCTGCACTGTCTCCCGGCGGCGACAATGCGAACACGGCCTTCCTTAGACCCAGCCATCGGAGTGTCTACAATACACCAGCATCTGCTCGAACAGCAACACCAGGTGGATTCTCGAGGCAAAGACTTCCTTCGATCGGAGAGATGCCGACGGACGTTCTCCCTCTTAGAGTGCAGGAACCCGCGAGATTGCCCACACCTGGCGACTCTGGATCTGACTTGGAGAAGGGCGCACGTCAAGCTAGAGCTCACGACAAATTTGTTTCACAGCCTGAGACGATGCAACTTAGCTCAGCAACGTATGTACCAATTGGTCGCGCCGCTACTGCCAGTCCAATGATGGAGAAGAACAAGAGGACTGCCAATCCTCTACCGTCGCCCTCGCCAGACTCTTTTACAAAGCTGAAACGAGATGCTCGGAAGCGCAATGGATCTCGCGATCGTAAGCCGGATGGTCTTCAGATTCAGTGGCCCCCAATGGAATCTATCATCACGGGCGATTACATGACTTCACCAGAGCCTTCGGCAACATCATCGAAGTACCGGCCAGACACAGCACGCTCCATTGCTGACTCAATGGACTCATTCTCCACCGCTGGACCTGCTCGAAGCCCAATGCAAAGTGAACGCAGTTACAGGAGTCGTGGAGACGCAAGTCCTATGGTCACTGGCCGGAGCATAGATCAGTACATCAGCAGTCTCGAGGCTGCGCAGCACCATGCTGACAAGCAACGACGACCAAGCAGCCGGGAGCGAAACGACAATTCGAAACGTGACCGTAGCCGCAGTCGCAAACCTAAAGCTCGTGATGCATCCGAAGATCGTGGACGAACTGCAGGTCGCTACATCAAACCCGCTAAGCGCTCACCAACCTCGCCGGTGCCTATGTCTCCTGAAGATCTAAGAGGTCTCGGAGCTATTGGCTACAATGAGAATGATGTGGCATCTTCAGATAATGGACGGAGGACAAGAAATCAGAGTCAGTCTAGAGTTGGCTCTGTAAGATCATCGAGCCGAGTTCGTCGTGTATCTCCAGATCCACCTGCACGCCGTCAAGCAGGTAGCAGAGCCGGTAGCAGAGCTCCAAGTCGCAACAACAGTCGACGACCAAGCCCAGACGGTCGTCTCATGGTTATCGATACCTCGAGAGGTAGGAGCGCCGGTCGAGAAGGCTCTGTCATGCGCTCGCCGTCGTCTCCTCTGCCAATGTCCCCTCAAGCTAAGTTCTATCAAGATAACGATGACGACGAAGACCTAAGGAGAGCTCATGAAGATCAGCAACGCTTCAGATCCCGCCACCGAAGCACGAGTCGAATGAGGGAGAGAAAGCCTCGTGGAACAAGTACAGTCCGTGACAGTCCTTCTCCAGAAAGACGTCGTGAACGTTCGTCGAGTCGAAGACCCGGGGAACGAGAGAGCAGCAGGACACGTGGTGGCGAAGCATCACCGCATCCAAAGCGTGAACGTCCACCCCACACTCGATCAATATCTGACCAGAAATTTGGAGAAGCCAACCAGATGAAGGATGAACGTACCATCAAGAGAGAACAAGCTGCGCGAGATCTTGAAGAGCGACGAAAGTCATTGGCTCGACGACCATCTGCACCACCAATTGTACACCCGGAAGAGCTTAGCAGACTCTCGCCCGTTTCGTATCGTGGCGAGCCGTCTCCGGAATTCCTGAGATCATCGACATATCCAGCTGCAAAACAGCCTTCTCGAAGTCAAACAACATCACCTGCGAATCTCAATACCTCTGAGTCATATCTCAAGCAAAACAGTACCACGACTCCTCAAATTGGTCTACCTGCTACGCCAAGAGCAATGAGGCATCCTAAGTATGACCCAGATGGAAAGGATATTCCTGAAGTGCCTCAAATTCCCGAACGATATGAGGCAGCTCCACCAGCACCTCCCTCATGGGGAAGTCTGAATGCGGCAGCACTGGCGTACAACGACAACCTGGACACTCTTGGCCCACTGCCAAAGACTACTTACTCTAGTGCTCCAAGACGCGTGCCCCCTCGTTCAGCGTCAGCTCCTATTCCCGAAGAGCCATATAAGAAAAGTCAGCCTTTGCCCGCTGGGCTGCCCACTCATCCAGCTTTCCACGCTGCTCTTCCTCCAAGCAATAGAAGAAAGACTCAAGATCCTAACAACATGCGTGGGTCTCCATTGGCTTCTCCGCGAAAGATCATCCCAGGAGAGTCTCAACCCGGAACCCTTGGATACGAAGCACGGGGCAATAGTCCAGTCTATACAATTTCCAGACCGGAAATCCTGAGTGGTATCGACGAGACTATCGAAGCTAGCAAACAACCTCTCAATCCTTCGAATGACAATCTCACTCCTCCCCCACCACCTCCCCCACCAGTACCACCGATCTTGAAAGAACTACAGCATCTGGCCATGCCTCCTCCACCGCCGCCAGCACCACTATATCGACCTGGCAGCACTCCAAACACTAATTCAATGGTTTCCGGTGTCTCACAAGGGTCCGGCGTCTCTTTGGGTTCTGGTGTCATTGAGATTGTCATGGACGATGACGAGAAAGTCGTACCTGCTCCAACCCAAGCTGAGATGTCTCCACCTCAACCAGCATTCGCGCGTACCTCGTCGGTCAGCCACAGCCGTGGTCGCAGTGAGAATGATAAGACCATGGCAGGACGCTTCTCGAGAGCCACTGAGCGCCTCCGAAGTGCTAGTCGTGGAAGAAACGGTCCTCCACCCCAGCTAGACAGGACGAGAAGTCCTCCAGTGCAGGAGATAAGCCCATACGAGAGTGTACCAAACTCTTGGAGTAGACCTGGTCCTCCTTCAGTCAACTCTGTCTCGACAGGCAATACCACAGAACGACATCCTCGCGATGTCGCAGCAGCGATGCGCGACATGGAAGGGGGCATGATCTAAAGTCCACCAATTACGATTCCGCTACTTCACATTATACATCATCATTCGCATATATCATTGGCGTCATCCTCATTTCTGGTTCTCTCATTCGATACCCTTTACTTCTCTTCTCTCCACTTCCATCCAACAAACAAACAAAGGAAGCACCATATTCTGCATTTAAGGGTGTGAAAGACCCAGGCTTGTCGAGCGGAAGAGCCACCACCTTCAAGCTTACGAAATTTACGAAACCATTTTTGAACCGATGTTTTAGGCGGGCGAGCCTCTTCAATTCATTCTATGTATTCTACTTCTTACAATCCTTTGAATTTTGAACACACAAATTATATGATGGCGTTTCTTTTTCATGCTCTTATTTGATTTTGATTTGCTTCGTTTTTTGGCGGCATGTTTGCATGATGATGAAGAGGGAGGTGGATGACGGATGCGGGGAACTCTTGTGTGATAATATGGGCGAAGGATCGGAGGAGGACAGAAAACCAAGATGGAAAAAGCTTCACTATATTTCTCGCCTCACGGCTGGCCTTTTGATGGTTTCTTCTGCTATTATCTAGGTTGCATAATGACGATCTCCTTTGATGCCCGCAGATTTGTGCAAGATTGGTTAATGTGACTGAGATGTTTGTCTGGTGAAGATGTGACATGTGAATATCGTAGCTTGGATTAATCTATAACATGGTAGACTAGACATTTCTGATAAAAAAATTATGAGCAAAACGTTTGTGAAGACTGCCCAACAAGGAGGAGCCTACTCGATTTAAGACTTCTCAGAATTAATGCGAAGAGACCTCGCGCAGAAAATATTGACAGCTCCAGGAGGAAAGCAGATCCACCCTTAACCGAAAATCTCGCTTAAACACCGCACATTCAAAAACAAAAAAAAAGTTGCCAAAAAAAAAAATTTAAGTCGACACTCAACCCAAACACCACACCCAAACCACCGCGCAAGTGTAATCCAATACCGCCACACCACGGTGAAGATCTCTCTGCAGAGTGAAGCCTCCCTCGAGAAGTATTCTTCATTGCTCAAGGCCCCTGAGTCCAGCGATCGTGAGTTACCTGCACGAGTGGGGAGCCACCGCCATGTTCGAACTGGGCACCGCGGGTAGTACCCCGGAAGGGATGAGATGGGTGAGAAGTTCTGGGATGTAGAGGTCTTCTCGCTTTGTGACCGTTACAGCCGAGAGAAATATTGCTTATTTAAATTTATCATGGACGGAGAAAAAAAGTGGAGAGGGAGGCTGGATTGGGTTAGCGTTGGTGGGTTGCACGTGGTAGGGTCGTAGACAATCATTTGAAATTTGAGGTGAGATCTTAGGTTGGAGATGTTTCTTTCTGGTAATTCTGCAATCTCCTGCAATAGCTGCAAGACTTCTTTGAAGAGGCTGGGAGGGGGATTCGTGTCCATAACATAACCTCCGGCCGATAGTTTAGTTAGATTAGTTTTTTCACTCGTGTGCAAATCTCTTTGTGTTAAGAATTAAGAGCCATATTGCAGTATTTATTTTCTTCTTTCTCGTCATTATTTTGATGTTCTTCAAAAATAGAACTTCACGATGATCTTTTCGGTCTGTTGCTATTCCACCCTAGCTCATCACCGACTACTAGCATCACTACGCAAATCATCCTCCTCCTCCACCCCTTCAATCACACTCGTATCCTCCCCACCACTAACAAAAGCCCTCTCCCTCTCACTCCCGGGCAACTCCCCAATAACCCCACCACCACTTCCCACCACCTGCCCATAATTCCTCGTCGCAACCATACTACCCAATTCTCTTTCCTTGCTCATCCTAAGCAACAACGCATTCGCAGCGACAAAGTCAAAAGAATACGCATCGTCGATCTCGTGGTCGATTAGGATGTCTCGATCGAGGATTAGTTGGAAGGCGGGTTCGGGGATGGAGAATAGGTGGCGGAAGGAGAGGACGATGGCTTCCATGACGAGGAGGATGAGGAAGGATATTAGGCCTGACCAGCACATGCCTACTAGGGCGTCTGAGATTTGAATTCTACGTAAGAGTTAGAGAGGGACAAGACATATGAAGTTGTGGAGTTGGAAGTAAGTTAAGGAGGAACATACCCAAGTTGCTCCCAGCCGTGATTGATGATGACGCTGTAGCCATCGAGAGCGGCAATATCTGGCCTGATAGAACATTAGCGCTCGAGTTCTCAGTGGAGTTCATTGAAAACATTCTATGGTCTTTCATGAAGAGATAGAGAGAGAGTGCATACCGAGCAAGTCCAGCAGTCAGCAACATCCCAACCCAACCCGCCACTCCATGCACAACAAAGATATCATTCGTATCAAAATAGCGTTTACTGATACTCTGAAAAGAAGCGACAAAGATACTACCCACAATACCAAAGATCGGACCAGACCAGTATGGGATCTAGGCTATCAGCCAGCTGCAAGTCATAGTTTCCAAGAAGCGTACTTACATATCCAGCAGCAGGCGTGACCGCGACCAGTCCCGCTACGGCGCCATTGCAAAAACCAACAATGGAGAACTTGCCAGCATTATCTGTAAATTGTCCAGTTCTTTCGTCTTTCTTGAATGAGGCAACGTAATCGAGTAAGGATCCCATGACTCCACCTGCACAAGCTGCAAGATGAGTCGAGACGCAAGCAGAGACCCCACGAAGATTGGCTCCAAGTGCTGATCCGCCGTTGAATCCGAACCAGCCTATCCACAGGAGAGCCGTACCTAGAACGACGTTGACGACATTGTGTGGTTTGAAGTCTCTATTGAGGAGAGCTTCGTCTGCCTTGGACAAACGTGGTTTGAGACGGAAGATTTGTCGCCTCCATTTGCAGAATATCGAGTAGACAGCTGATGTGGTTGCGGAAACTATCTATACGCATTGGTGGTCAGCAATGATGATCAACTTATGTGCGAAGATTGCTCGAAAAGTCCTGCCTCGGAAAGGAGCTTACATGGACAACCGTTCCACCCGCAAAATCGAAAACTCCACCATTTCCTTTCCAATAATTTGACCATCCAACTGGGTTCCATGAAGATCTCGCAATCGGATCATAGACGAGCGTTGCCCAGATAAAGATGAAAACCAAGAAGAAAAGGGGTCGCCCTTTACGAACAGCGGCACCACTGACCACAGCCCCGCTATTCGTAGTATGTTAGCGAGCATTGGAATGAATTCCAAGCGAGGGACCACGAACGTAAAGCAGGCAAACATGCCTTGGTAAAAGCAATGGAGGAGTTGAGGAATCTTAGGTCCAGGTCCTGTGTTCCAAGGGATGGAAATGTCGTTGCTTAGTGTGATATCATAAGATCCTCCCCACAGATTATGTGGCCCTGAAAATGTAATGGAATAACCCCAAAGAAACCACTAAATGTCGATTGTTAACTACGAGACTTGGAGATTGTTTTGCTTCAATCGAAAACTTACCTGCACACCAATGAGAGATGTAGTCATCATGGACAGCCACATCATTGACAGCGCTGAGCATCTTTCAGATATCCCGGAGTAGAACAGTCCAAGACCCGGAACCATGAGTAGTACAAGAGCACTTGCTACTATCATCCACGCCAAATCACCACCCTTGGTAGACGCCGTAGTTAGCAGAGACATCCAAAGTTGCCACCTCGTCTCCAAGCGTGTGGTACTTACGGAATAGAAGTCATTTGGATTACTGGCTTTGAAAGCCTGCGCTGAGATATTAAGTGTAGTATCATTGAAAGCAACAGGCAAAGTGAATTCAAAATCTCGTGGCATATTCGTATAACGGACAAGATGGGTCTCTACCAATGTAGAATGGCACCGACTCGTCGATGTGGAAAGAGCATACGATCTCTTATAGACTAAGAATCTCAGACAATCGCTAATAAACATATGCACATAGCGCCTAAACCACTCACCGAAAGGGTGGGTGTTGACTGCCCCAAATCTGGTTGTCCAATCCAATCTCCACGTACAGCAACTTTGCTGGGGCTACGCCATGCTTTTAGGTGACACCGCGGGGCGTTGCGAATCAGCGCTTATTGCTTCTCGTGAGGCGTTCCGAACCGCAGCCAGTCAATAAAAGACGACCCCGGAACGTACCGGTTGAATGCTATAAAGAGGCTTAAAATAACAACAAAAGGCCAATCAAATTTCTATCTCCTATCCAGTGCAGCAGGCTCCTGAAATGTTCGCTGGCATTCGTCGTATGCCGAGTCAAAGCGCAAAGCCATCGTGTGGCTGTGAGCAGAGAGTGCTCACGAGTCTTTCGAATTTCCACCAGACTGTGTAATACCACCAGATGATCCATGGAACTCTTTTCGTCATATTTTTTATCCTCTTTTTTCCTCGCGCATTGTTCAAGGCGATGACGAACAATGAGCAGCCCTAGACCACACGACTTCTGGATACAGAGAGAAGGGGCTCGAAATGGGGAATGGCACTGGCTCGCCGCAGACGCAAATGACGTGGCAGAGTACTCTGGATCTCTATGGCGCCAAGTCAAAAGAGACCAAATAACTGCATCTTCAAGAGTAGAATTACACGACGGCGTAACAGAAGACGCACTGAAGATTATAATCAGCTCTATTCCAAGCAAAGACGACGATGGCGATCTGCCTGCGCTCAGCATCAGCGATCGTGACCCGGAATCTGGATTTGAAGAGCTTCTCAGCCTCGCCATTGCATGTTGGAAATATGACTGTGCGATACCCCCAACATGCAAGAAGTTTGCAAAGGACTTTCATAGAAATTGGACGGTTTGGTACGGACATGACTTCTTCGAGGGTGCATCAGGAGTAGATGTAGCGAAAGCTATAAACTGGATGTTCATTGCGCTGGTGTTCGAGTGGGACAGAATATTTCGAAACACATCTCGCTATGTGGTTGTAAGGTATAAACCTAATGATAATAACAACAATTTGCCGCAAGACTTCCAAGGTTCGATACCAGGTTCTTCAAATGAGAATTTACAAGCTAATAGTTTCAGAACTCGTAGGCAGAACACGAAACCGGAAGATGCAGCAAGCCTACTCTTTCGTACAAAAGTCATGGATGTCTTTTTACGATCCCACAAACGAAATGCTGAATAAAATCCACGCACACTTCCTGGGGAAATTTGGGATCCAACTGCAAGATCCTCTGCCAGATGATATGAACAAACAGGCCAATCCTGACATTCTTTTGGTCGAGATGGCCGCAGTGGTGAAGAGCAACGAAGGGGAGGGGCCAAGGCTACCACAATCTCCACTTGTTTACGATGGACCCGGCCTCGGCATCCAGTCTCATGGTACCGGCAGGCAAGGTCTATTCGCACCTGTTGCTGCGTCTGTTGGTCGCGACCTAATGCAAAAAGCGAAGAAGGCCATGAAATCGGGACACACAGCCAGGAAACCGAGTAGCAGCAGTAGCGAAGATTCTTGGAAGAAAACGCAGAGTCTCGAGAAGTCTATGAATGACTTTCGTACGAAATCTCTTGACGGAATACCTTTTCTAGACAAGGATTATCTGAAGCTTCGCAACAAGCACATCAAGCCTTCCGTCTCCGCAGTGGTTCCTAAAATCAAACGGCAATGAAAGCAACGCTGAGTTGAGTCTCACCATGAAATTGGCTGAAATGAATGTTCAAGACGACGAATGGGCCATAAAACTTATGACCAATTCTGATTGCTTGCGCGCGGCAGAAGATGGAATGCTCTGAAAAGGGGTTACGCTTTTGCACATTGCAAATAGACATCCATGAGCGATTCTTCTGGTGAAAAGAAGCGAGTGAAGGGTGTGATGTTTCTACCCAACATTAGAACGGGTCAGAGTATTGACGGGTGGTTGGATTTGAAAAGAAAGAAGCAGAGAGGTAGATTGAGTCGATGTGAAGGCTCATCGAGGGGCGTCGCGGCATTCGGCGACAGCAGAGGAGTGGGAGGACAAAGTCGTTGAGACTGGGGCTATGGAGGATTTAATAATTGAAGGAGAATCAAAAGAAAAGAAAAGCGAAGTGAAAGAAGCTGCGGTTGGTCATAGATACAAGGATGAGCGAGCTGAAGTTTCTTGTATGTAATATGGTACTTTTACTGCCTAAACGGGAAGCGGCAGGCATGCAGAGCCTGAGGCTGCGGGCGACGACGAAACTTTGGCAACTGCTGGACTATTCTAGACGTTATACAAAACCCTCGAATAATCAGTTTGAGACGACCGGGAATGACAGCAATCTAGTCCAGCGGTAACTCCTTTGGAAGATAGGAACTTGTCAGGTTAATCACCATAGGTCTTTCCGGCCATGCATATCCTGCAGGAAATTCATAGGTGAGATCCCCAAGACATGGTCGACTTGAGCCAACATCTATCTTACAATATCGGCAGACACTCTACTACCTGTGATCGACTTCTCCACTGCTATGCTCTGCATTCGCTGGGCGCCATTGAAAGAATCGACTCACCGTCCATCTTATCGTGGAGCACGTGATAAGCAGGTGACATGCTAGCACGTGATGCCGGTGATCATTGAATTTGACCCATTTTCTAAAGCTGAGCTCAGAAGCGGGGAACCCCAAAAAGGCTCCATTTTAATTCCCTAACTTTGATAATGACAAGGTTCTAATTTCGCAACTAATTAACTGTAATTTTGAAGCAATAGGTCAAATTTGCGACTATAAGAAAATATGGCGATAATAATTGGAGTAGCAATTATTATAGCTTTTGAAGGCCGATAAGTATTCTCTCAAAAGCTCGCTTAATAATAGGTCAAATTCAGTGCCGCCTTCGTAGTAGATGAGGAGTGAAAGTCTCTCTGCTGAGCCGCTCGCTATCGTATATACACGAAGATATCAACCAATGTGTTGTAACACAATCCGGGTTTCAAGTATCTGCAGGTCTTCCTTCATAAGCGCTCCGTGAAATGTTGGTTTTCGAGTGGCGCAGCAGAGATGGTTAATAATAAAGTTACCGCCTGCCTTGAAACCTCACGACCTGCTCTGTTTCTGTCCGAGGTTCTTGTTCCTTCATTTCGTCCATTTCCTCAATACTTTCCTTGTCTTGATGTCGAATCTGCATTGCTTCCGTTTATATTCGTTGAGATGATTTATTTTGCGAGACTATGTTTATTGCTGGTAGGACTGGGTCTTCAGGTCAATCGTGTTATCGCAACAAGCCCGACTTTCCTGCCCATAGACTTCGCGTCCTGGTTCTGGCAAAGCTGTGAGGATCTGGTCTGAAATTCATGACTTTGCGTATGCTCACTGTCCTAGCTACTGTGCTGAGTAATTGGTTGTATATTGATGGAGGTCAGATAGTTGCATTTGGAAGTGAAACAGCTGGGGATGGTCCAAGTACATGATCCAACCGTTTTCGTTATTCAGCCAAGAAACTCACAATATGCAGATTATCAAACGATCGCGATTGATCTATCGAAAGATTTTAACACGAGTTTGATAAACGAGGCATCATACGTTGTAACAGAGAAGTCGACTGTGATAGCGCCAATGCGGCAGCCAGATCTATATCACGATCCACAATCAAATCTGTTGTACTCCTTAGGCGGCTCTGCGTATCCCCTTGGGGCATCATCGGCAACTGGATGGACCAACTCGAGTCAGCAGACTCAGCTCTGGGCATTCACACCAAAAGACAATGGCACCGCAGATTGGGATTTACAGGCAATTGGTTCCACGGCATCATTTCCCTTCAGCGAAGTCGTAGCTGGGGCTCTTACAGCGACATCGCCGACAAATCATTATATCCTAGGTGGATACAGCAACTCAGATAACTGGGGATTGAGTCAGCTGCTCTCCTATAACTTTGCGAATGGATCGTGGACCAACCAATCGATATCGCTGTCACAAAAGTACTATATATCTGGGCGTGGTCAGTATATACCTAGCTTTGGACAACAGGGCGTGGTTCTGTTCTTTGGTGGAACATGGCCAACCAATGGCGATCCCACGAGTACAGACGCTCTTGCTGGACTAGACAGAGTCTTGGTCTACGACATTCAGTCCAATACTTTGTTCAATCCACAGCAGACCACAAGTCCACCGTTGAATCGGATTAATTTTTGTTCCGTCGGCGCTGGGAATAATGCCTCAGCGAACTCAAGTTATGAAATGTAAGGCTCAAATCTATCTTACAACAACTGATCTGACTGTAACGATAGTTTTGTCTTCGGGGGTACCACCGGTGTCTCTCAAACGGCCGCCACGAATCTCACCCTGTCCAAAGTCTACATCTTGACTATGCCCGCATTCCAATGGATCGAAACTAACGTCACAGCAACAATTTGGCGAGCGCTTCACACCTGCTCGGTTATTGGGAACCGCCAAATGATCTCCATTGGAGGGATACCAGATCAAGATCAACTCCCTGCGAATTGGTTCGATCCGTGGACGAATGGCATGCAGATATTCGATATGACGGAGCTGTTCTGGACTGATAGCTACAATGCATCAGCAGCTGAATATGAGGCACCGGACGTGGTTAAGCAGTTTTACAGTACCAACAACAGATATCCTGCGTCGTGGGTCGACCCCAAATTGGCTGATATTTTCCAAACGAGTACCACGGACAGTGGAAATTCCACGAGTTCTGGCAGCAGCACAACTTCCTCATCTTCAGCACCTGCATCACATACCAGCAAGACAGGACCGGTAGTTGGTGGCATAGTAGGAGGTGTCGCCGTTTTGGGTATCGTTGCAGGATCGCTTGTCTGGTATCTCAAGCGAAAACGACAACTTCGACATTCAATAGCATCACCGACCTGGCAGCCTGGCTCAGATAAAGTAGTAGTGGATCTATATATGAAAGAGCAGCAACCTCCTGCAGAGCTGTTAGTTCAGGAGGATGCTAGGCATGAGTTGGAAACGAGACCTTCGGAACTTGAGGGTGAATCGACTTTCATCGCGAAGCCGGAGAATAGTGCAAAGTGAAAGAGCTTTGGGGATGAAGGGAGACAGAGCCAAGTTATGGCCATGGTGATGGCACGGAGGGAGAATATTCCTGCACTCGAGGACTCATGGTGGTGTGCAGGATGGAAGCTCCCATTGGCAACGGCTCGGCCCGCATGCCAAGAAAACTTCGGGAATATCGAGAATCGAAGCGAAGGTGTTCGAACATCTCTACAGTCTTGAAAATGATAATAGTCTAGCCTAATAGCAAGCGCCTAACTTTTATACCATTCCCAAGGCTCTTCAATTTCTTTCTATGCAGCTTCCTAATTTCCTGTCAGCAATACTATACTATCTTGCATTTCTCGGCTACAACTTCTTTCTCTGATTAGATGTAAGAAAGCACTTTATTCCACTGTCTTCTGTTAACTGTTCGGCATTTCGCAGATCAAAGGAGACTTCATGGGCGTGAAGTCTTTAACACTTAACGATTAGTTGATCTTGATTGCTCACAACTATATACTAGCTACACGACCAATCTCGAACCACTTCCCATCGAGACCTGGCTAGTCCATCCATCGTCTTCTTCGCCTTACATATACGTTTAATAGTGCGGGCCATACAAATCATATGCCCATTGTGGGAAGCCGTAAGGTTGCATGGGCCGCATCGAGTATCTGAAGACATTGTAAGCAGTCTTTCAATTATCGACCAGCTCTCAAAGACTCGGGCTTACTTACGAAGGATAACGATATGTTTGCTGAACCTGACTCGTTGTTTGAACAGTTTGGAGAGCCTGGACCATTTGTACAGGTTGAAATGGCCGGATAGTCTGGATGACCTCGACGGTCTGAATTGTCTGAACCGTTTGTACTCTCTGGAGTACCTGGTACGGTTGTGGATACACATATGCCGGGCTGTGGATTACATATGGACTTGAATACGTAACGGGAGCTCCCCGATAGGGCGGTGGATGTGGCGGGAGATAGCCGAATGGCGGAGGTGGAAGTGGAAGCGGGGGCGGTGTAAAGAATGACTCGCCCTGTGCACACAGGAAGGCCACGCTCAACGAGATGCTTGCCATTCTTGCCAAGTCACACTGTGCGATCTTCAAGCTGTTGCAAAGCCAAGTGTTCCAGCTCAGAGCCAAAGAATAAAGAAAGTGGCGATTTATAGATGCCATGAAGGTTGAACAGCCTCACAGTATGGCCTCGAATCCTTCTTAGGCAGATACCAACATAGGACTGGATCTGCACGTACACCGCTGGACTTTGTACTATGCCGTGATGGTCATTCAATGTTGGCCCGCGGAGCGCTTCCATTCCCCAGTCCTAGCCAATCTCTGGCCATCTTGAATTTTATCTGCAGAAAACAATCAAGCTTCAAAGTCCAAGGTTTCTTGATTAGAAGGCTCAATTCTTGAAAAGAACAAATCTGAAGACAAACATAAGTAGCTGAAATAAATTTTTTCTTCTCCTGGCTTTCGAAAGAAGGACTGGGGCGATTGGTGAATAAGCGATGCTCTCGGCTAAGGCTAATTTTCGGCCTACATGAAAACGACTTCGAGATGCCCTCTTTCTCTGTATCTTTCTCGAATACAAGGCTTTGTGCATAATGTGAATTCGAAGTCTCGGCCAAAAAAATTGTGATCAAACTGTTTAAGGAACGCCTTTTGACCTACCAAATAGCTACAGATCCTCAAGATTGGCTGCTTCAAAAGCAATAAATGACCTCACGACTCTCGTGACTGTTTCGCGTCACGTTTTTGCCTTCGACGCGACTTGAAGCAACGATTCCATCGCCACTTCTTAAGACCCAAGGCTCAATCTTCAACTAAGTACTAATTCATTGAGCTGGGAGCATACCATTTAAATACGGGTCCTTAAGGGACGATATCGCAGCATGGCCTCGCAATCCCCTAGCCTAGAACAACTCCAGAATGACTGGAAACATATGTTCCAAAATAACCTTCCCGAGGCAGCAACGTCAAAATCTCCTTCTCAAGTATTGAAACTCTTCCATCTTCCCTTTTTAGCTAACATCCTCACAGCCCAAATGGCCCGTCCACGTCGACCATTGTTTCGCACGCATAATCCTCGACTCCGTCGTCGGAATCGACGTCCCATGGATGCAAAAAATAAACTCTCCAGCTTATAAAAATATGTCTGAGCAGCAACTTCGAGATAGTATTGACCTAGGACAAAAGATCTGGTCTGGTGAGACGAATCTCGTGGAGTTGAATAATAGGAGCTTGGAACTGAGAGGAAAAGGGAAGGGTATGAGTGGAAAGGGCAGTGGGAAGGTTGGAAAGAGTGATGGAAGTCCGTCGAAAAGGAAGCGAGAAGAACAAGACGATGAAGCTGTTGCAAAGAGAATGAAAAAGGAGGAAGAATCTTCGAATTCAGAAGAGAAGGAGGAGGACAAATCCCCGTATTTCAAAGACAAGAAACCTAAGAAACTGCAAGAGGAGAAAGAAGATTTCACACCCTGGCTCAAAAAAATCGCTCTCTCAGACAAGACCTCATTCCAGAAGAAGGTCCTGACAACACTATGCCAAGTCCCGAGGGGTAAATACACGACCTATGGCGCCATGGCAGAACATCTCTCTTCTGCACCTCGAGCTGTCGGCAACGCATTAAGGAACAATCCTTTCGCGCCAGATGTTCCTTGTCATCGAGTCCTAGCAAGTGGTGGTGGGTTGGGAGGCTTTCATGGTAGCTGGGGGAGGAAGGGGGAAGAGGGGTTGCATGATGGTAAGAAGAGGAAATTGTTAAGAGAGGAAGGTGTGCGGTTTGATGGCAAAGGGAAGGTCGTTGGTGCTCCTTGGACGGGGTTTATATGAGTTTTGGATGGAATTATGGAGTTATGATGTCGGACTTTGCACACTGGATTCTTTCGTTGTACCTCCCGGACAATGGATGTATTGGTATCAGAAAATTCAATTGGTGGGCGGACATTCTCGATTCTGAAATGTCTCCTTTCGCTTGCTACACTTTCAGCTGCGAGACCTCGATGAAGGTCACAGACAATCTTGAATTGAATCTTCAATACCTGGGTTCCCCACATGCGCCTCCAAGAATCGCGACCTCCCACTCACACTGTTCGGCAATACAACAAACATCTTAATACCTATTGCAGATACGATCTCAATGTCTCTGACTCTCGCCCAATAAATTCAAACTGTTCTCGACAAATATCCTGCCTTCTCTTCTACCTCTCTCCATTCCGATGCCTCCTCTCCACTCTACCTGGTCATTGATAAACCCCTGACACTACATATAGAGCCATTATCAATCTGTTGATGATTCGCGAGAACAAGAAGTCGAGGACTCGATTGGCATTGAAATCCTGGAATGTCAACTTCCTGCAAATCGAGGTACTCTGATCAGAGCCAAGCTTAGTAGCCCAGAAACGCTCGTCAAGTCCGCCCACTGCCCCTTCTTTCCCTGCACCAAGAGGAGCTTCTGGCAGGATCAACGGTATCCCTGGTGATCCGCAACAAAAGTCCAATGCCCGCTAGGCAAGCAGACACCGAGTTGGCAAATGTAGCTCGAGCTAGCAGTGGGAAGATTGCTAATGGAGGTCAATGTTGGACCTAGTTTCACTTCTCGGTTTAGTTTCCGGAAGTTAGATTCGTAACTAGGGGAAAGATTTGGGACTTTGGATACTTGAGAGCGGGATAAATTTGTGCGTTAAAGTTGTGGGATGTTAGGGAGGTCATATTATTACCGTAGATTGTGGACGTAAATACTGTGAGGATTCAGTTATTATTGAGTTTCGGTCTTGGGACATTACAAGAACTAGATTGTATGACATTAACCCGAACATTGAGGGAGCAAACTAATGCGAACATCAGGTTCAAGACCCGGTTCATCAAAGCCCTTCATTGCCTGCTCTGTTCTGAGGACATGTTTCCTCTCATAGCCATTTCTAAAGATAATCGACATGAACAATAACTCCTCATTGAAAAGCATCATAATGCCTCGTCTGCTCCTTATGAACAGCATGCTTACCAACACCACGGATGCATTGCAACCTCAAGCTCTTCGCCTCCATATCCGCGTCCACGCCACTAAGCCTCGCTCTCGCCCACTCAGGGATGTATTCCGCCTCGATCCCCTCCTCTTCAATATCCATTAAGAAAGTCGCGACATCCACCGAAGGTTCAGAGCTCCATTGCGCTTCTCTCCACGGCCGGATCCCAAGCAAGGAGATAGCTTCTCTTCTCAGTATTCGATCCCGACAGCTCATCGCAGGCGTCATTAACGGGTAGATGAGTCCCATATCGAAGCAGAACTTCCCTTCCGAGAAGAACTTATCGGCGTGCGGGTGCGTGAGCAAAGTCTTCGATAAGCTGACAATCTGCTTGAATTCTGGCATGAAGTCGTCGTACACGAGTTCCGTCTTGGACAGATGACCCGCACAACGCACCGTGATCGCCAGAGACTGGAGTTTTAGCAACAGAGCGTAGACTGATTCGATGCGATCCAGGTTCTGTGAAGCGGCGCGGAAGATAGGCTCGTAGGCTTGTGCCCAGCGACGATTTTCTGCCGCGTATATCTCTTGCTCGACTGAGAGCTCATCAGGAGCATTCCGTAGCCATGATGATATGTCTATCGGTGGGTTAGGACTCGGTGAGCCCTTATCAGACGTCGAATCAGGAGTGTAGTCTCCGAATCGAAGGTAGGCCGACTGATCATCAGCCAGCGCTGAAGCCATGAAGTGAAATGTCCGTCTCATGATGAGATCAAGGTATAGCCGTGCCTGTTCAAGGCTCGTGAACCGCTGTGGCATGTCTTTGACAGACAGGTAGCCTTCTTGCTTAAGCTTTCGATGCTCGTGTCCCGAGCGAGCATCGTACATTGCCATGACTTGTAGTTCCATCCGATTGAATTGCTGCACCAACTCATCCTCGACAGCGTCCGGAACTGGAGAGGACAATCCATCTGGTTCTCGGGTTCCGGGTGTACTGTCTCTCAACTCGTCGAGGAGGAGAAGCCCTTTATGCGCATGACTCAACGCATTTTCGTAATGAAACTGCATATTCTCGATGCAAACAACAAGCAGACAAGCTATCATCGCCATCCTCCTTCCCTGAACTTTCGTCACAGTTATGTTCGACTTCGCCCCTTGAAGAAACTTGCCGTAATGCTCGAGAGCGAAAGCATCCATTCCTGTCGTGATTAGACCATCTGAGGCGACCGGTGGACTTTTTGGTTTTCTCGTCGCAGGTGCTGGGCTTGTTCTGAGGTCTTCCAAAGGTCTCATGGACCTGTTCAAGGCACCAATGGCTATGATAGCATGCCGAATGAAAGGTTGGTGCTGACCTGCCTGGAGAAGGAGTTGATGCCAGACTGAGCGATTAGAGTAAGAAAGCTGCGGTGCAACTTCTTCGCAGTACAGTCGAAAGCAAGAGAACTCGTCTTGATTCTTGAACACTTGAATGACGGGATCTCTTTTCGGTGATGGCTTGTGGATGATCGAGACGGCCTTTGGTAGGATCGCTTTCCTTTCAGGGGCTTCTGGCTTCGCACTTTCGTAGCCATCGCAATAGCCTCGTCCGAACTTCTGGCATCGAAGACACTCAGGTCTAGTCTGTACACAGACTCAGCGATATAATTCGAGACACAAGATGAAACAGCGAGAATGGATTGAAGGTTCGAGACACGCGACAGATCGTGAGAAGAGACGAGCGAAAAAGACATGGGAACCCACCTCATCACACTTGACACGACGTATCTATGGAAGAAGTCAGTCAAGATGACGTGAGAGTAATTAGGCCGCATTTATACGCACCTTACAGGTCTGGCAGCCTGTCTTTACTTTCGGTCTTTTCGCCCGTTTCCTGTTCAGCTCCCGCGTACTCATCGTCAATCACTCCTCAAGGGTAGGTAAGTAGCAACACATCAATTTCCGCATAGAGCCATCACATCACTTTCCCAAAGTAAAAAGTTGGAAGCAGAGAAACCCTTCAGCTGAAGATCTCCCAAAAATGAACGACGAATAAATGCTGACGAGGTCGTATTCTCGAAGTCAGTCCGGTCTGACAGATGTATGAATGGTGGATCGGAGCAATAAGAAATTGACGACCTAAGATAATGATTTTGCCACTCCCTTGTCCGTAAGGCTGAAAACGTGCTCTCGTAAACATGGCCAATTATAGAACCATACTTACCCATGATCACCCTGTCCGCTGGGAGAAGTCCTCCCTGGGGGCGGAAAGTCTTCTCTAGGCTTGGCGAAGAACTCGAGCAAGAGCTGAGTTGAGTTCGGCCGGTGCGGCTGAGGCGTTGCAAGAATCTGCCCGAGTAGGATCAATTAACGTGCCGGGAGTCCCAGTATTATGGCCAGACATGACTTGCATTTGAGGATTCATCGATCGAATCTTCGAAATCCTCCCGATGCTTTGTTCGTCTAGAGAGACTGACCCCTGAACATCACTTCGAGTCACGTGGTGGTGTTACACAAAGTATTGGTGCCTCAGACGAAACGAGGCATCCACACTTTTTTTAAGCTTCGATCAACTCACGAAGCAATTGTGCAAGCACCACTTCAAGACGATCTTGAACGTCTGCCCAACAATGGCGAAAAAGGGTATGCTGAGGTCAAATCATGATTAAAATCTCCCCGAGAAGCTAATATCGTGCAGCCAAATCCCGCACCATAGCAGTGCGCCTTGTATCAATGGCCTTGACCGGATACTACAAGACCATGATACGACCTCGTCTACACAGACCTCTCAGTATGCTGAAATACGATCCTGTCGGTACGTTCGACTTCATAACCTCTTACAATGGGAAATGAATGCGTGGGTGATTAGAGTCTGGTGGGAATCTCTGGAGCAGGGACACACGAGGTGGAATGGGAGAGGATTGCACACTTAGTGGTCATTCTTTTAACTTTGGGCTGACTCCTGCTCCTCATAGTACGAAAGAAGGTTTTGTTCCTAGAGCAAAAACGAGGAGGTCGATAACGCTATGAATGGCTCGAATTTTCATATCCAACAACTTCTGCCTCATGTCATTACCTGCGTGGATTTCCCGCTCACGAGGTGTCGAGACTTTAGAGCGAGGCTGCTGTACATTATTGCAATGGTATCTAGCGGTCTACAATATCACGATTCAAGCACTGGCGTTCAGATCGGGCTGGAACAAGATTGTGGGGATTTGTAGTTTTACGATGGTAGCTATTTTCCTCGACGCAGGATTGTAAGCATAAATACAATGAAGCTATGGTGCTCGACAGCAAATATTCCCCTAGAATCGTTGAATACAGAGCGACACCTCCTTGCAATAATTTCTGTTTGCTAGTATGCCATACAATAAATCAACGTCCAAAATTGCCTTGCACATCCGTATGCTAGCAATTGGCCCTCTTAGCAATGCTTTTGGTCGGTTTGAGAGTGTCTCTAGGAACAATGACATTCAAACTGTCGCTGTAAAGTGGCATTGAATGTATGGAGACGCTCTAATTGTATTCACTATCTTGAGAGTCGGCCTGGGAATCTGCAATGACACTTTGCGACGACAATCTGCTTGGGAAACTGATCCTCGACACCTTTGTCTTGTCAGACTCAAGACGGGCGGAGGCTAGTCTCTTGCTTCTATTTCTCTTCGGCGCATCCATTGGTGGAGAATGTTGGAGGTCGAAAAAGTGACTAGCATCAGAAGTGCCATATGTGAGAGCAGAGGATGATTCTCGGCCAACTGAGGTCATTGAGCGCGCAGAATTGCCAGATACGACCCCCTTGAAGTTAACGAGAGGACGATCAGTACGTTGTGGCGGTCCCATGGTCTTGTTATTTCTGAAGCCAGTTTCTCGAGCACTGTCGCCTCGTCCTTCGCTAGCCATACTCGGCTGGGGAAGTATATCGCTACTTCTGATCGGCTTCTTCAACGCGGACTTTGGTAATTGTGCGTTGCGTCGCCGATGGGACTCTTCAGCATGGGAAAGAGCATTGGCCTTGGCCATGACTGAATGAGTTGGTTGATGATTACTGCCCTGAATCTCGCCGATAGAACTACTTTGCTGAGTAAGGTCTAGAACTGTCTGTTGTGCAAATGCTGATCGGGGAGCAGCGAGGCCGTTATCTCTCTTGCTTCTTGTCTCATATTCCTTGTGTACCTCGACTTGATCGTTTGTAGATCCAAAATCATCAAACATAGAACTTAGATCTGATAAGGGGCTACTCTCATAGCTAATCGGAGTCCTGTCTGCAGTGACTTGAAGCATATCAGAATCGTGATTCTTGCCAGGAGGTTGCAGAGTGTTAATGTCTGGCTTGTTTGCGAAGCGTGTTGAACTCTCAATCCAGTTGTTCTTACGAGGGGCAACTCGAAGAGCATGCGAATCGAGTGCATGGTTCTGTTGTTGTACGGAATGTATTGAGGCTCCACCAAGTCGCTCCACTGGTCCTCTAGGGAGTAAAGTTGGAGTCCAAAACTTCTCTCCCGCGTCGTCTTCGGTCGAGGCGAATTTCGTGTGCTTTGGACCTGAGATTCTGCTTGAACTTAGCATGATCGAAGATGAGTCCAGGCGTCTGTCAGAGCGTGATATTCCATCACGAGCATTTAAGTTGGGCTGTTCTAACGACTGCGAAGCTGCTCCTGCTGATATCTTCTTCTGCGACTCATCGAATCTGCGCAAGGCATCTTCGATGGCTCTCTGCTCCTTAGTCGCGACTTCCAAAATTCTTGTCGTCTCAGTGGTGGCAGATTGAAACAGGAGACGAAGGTCTGCAAGCTCATTCTGAGCCGATCTCAATTCGCCCGAGAACCCGACAGAGTCCCAATTGCTCGGCTTATCTTGCTCTAGACGCTTTAATTGAGGAATGAGCTGCAGGATCTGTTCTTTGTATGAAGCTACTTCAGCCTCTAAATCTGCGGTACGCTGATTTGCCTCCGACGGAAGACGTTGAAGCTGTTCCTTCAGAGAATCGATCTCGGTGTTCCTCTCAGTCACTCGAGATTCAAGAGTCTTGACTTCAGCTTCAAGTTTCATCTTGATGGTCGCCTTTTGAGATTCTCCGTTCCTAGCGAGATCCTGATACTTCTTCTTGTGTTCTTCGTCCTTGAGAGCCAAAGTTTTAGCCATTTCTTGCTCGAAATTCTTGATGGTTTGTTGCGCGCTGATCAATGTTTGAGCTAACACATTCTTCTCTTCCTCTTTGTTTGCAGCGGTCTTTCGGATGGAGGATAACTCTTCCTTGGCCTTTGAAAGTTCTTGGCTCATCTTCTTTGTTTCGTCGTCGAGTAGATTGTTGATCTTCTCCAGTTCAGAGATCTTACTTTGCAGTACTGGATCGTCTCGAGGAGCGTTGAGGGCAACAGTTAACTCGTTAGTCTTGTTGCTCAAGTCACTACGACAGCTGGAAAGTTCTCGTTCTGTTTCGTTAAGCTGTCGTAATAAATTGTCGACCTCAGTATCTCGAGCACTCTTGTCAGCGTTCAAGCTCTCTCGGACTTGTTCCAGCTCCGCAATCTTGCTTTTGAGGCGGATCTCGGCCTCTTTATCAAGTCTCAGTTGATTTAGACCCTCCTGCAATTCCTGGGAAATAGTAGCAGCGGTGTCTCTAAGGATATTGCCATTCCCATCTGAGAGCTGCTTCTCTCCTTCAAGCCTGCTTCGGTGTTAGAAGATATCTCGTACTTTAGCTTAGTGTAATATTACCTCAGAGCGACGTCCTCAACCAGCTTCACAAGTGTTGGAGGGAGTTCTCGTTCACAGTTCACAAGCTCCTCGATCATGGAAGTCATCTCTTCAATCCTAAGGACAGGTCAGCGGGTAGTGATTGAATCAGATTTTCATACTTCTCTTGGGTTGTGTTCTTCGAGCTGAGAATTGTCGCAAGCTTGCCATCCTCGCCGTTGAGGACCTCGGCAGTGTCCTTTGGGATCTGTTTAGCAAGCTCAAGGAGCTGACCCCATTTCGCAGTCTGTTCATCAAGGTTCTTGAGGAGTTTTTCGCTGTTATGCTTCTCTCTTTGTAGCTCAGTCAGACGTTCATTGAGTTCATTTTGGAGGAGTTGGTAGCTCTTGAGATCTGGAAGCCATTAGGGAATGCTCAAAGGATTATTAAATGCTAGGACCCCTTACTCTGCTTGGCGTCGGCATGTAAATCGGCTATTTCAGCTGCCAGTGATGCCTGCTCATTCGAATGCTGTAATTTGGCTTCTTGAAGTTGCGTCTCAAGTGCTTTCAAGTTCTGCTCACAAAGCTCTTTATCTGCCAGTAACTTACTATTGACAGTGATCAGGTCCTGCTTCTGCTTTGATACTGTGCGTTGTGAGTTAGATGGAGATATTAAAACATTCAGCAGACTTACCCTCGTCAAAGTTCTGCACCGCAAGGCGGAGCTCCTTCGAATCCTTTAGCGCACCTTCAAGCTTCACTGTTGCTTGCTCATGATGCTTCCAAACGGCCATTGCGTGGTCAGTTTTCGCACGGATCTTTTCTGCTTCGTCTTTCAACCATTTTTGAGCTTTCACAACTTCGTTTGCATGATTAGCATACTTAGATGCCTGCTCCTTAAGCTTCCTATGCTGCTCAAAAAGCTTCGTTTGACTCTCCGTCAGAAGCGTGTTTCTCTCTCGGAGGGTTTCGACCTCCTGGTTAGTAGTCCGTAATTGTTGAAGCTCTACATTCTGAGATTGAATTCGAGTTCCCTGCTTTGCCAGGTCTGCCTTTTGAGATTCGATGGTAGCTTCTCTTTCCAAGAGCTTTACCTTTTGCGATTCAATGTCGTTTTCAAGTTGGAAAAGAGTCTTCAGGATATCATCCCCAGCACTGCGGAACTTCTGCATCATTGATGGTACTCCATCCACTGATGGCAAAGCTGGAGACTTGGGACGGTCTACTGTACCATTCTGCTTGGTCGACTTGGTCGTCTTCTTGACTTTGCTTGCGTGATTAACATGCAGCATAGTAGACTCAGCACTCTTAAGGTTGTGGCTTGAAAGTGGGCGAGATACAGGTTTATGGCGATCACTGTGTCGCGATTGAGGCCGAGATTGAGCTTGTGACATGGCTCGGGATGATGGTCGAGCTGGGAAGTGCCCGGCAACGCTTCGAAGGTCGTCACTTAGAGCGATACTAAGATCTTGATGAACACTCTTCACAGCATTGTCGCGAAGTCTGCTAGAAGCCCTGTTTGGAGCATCTGTGCCATTCTCCATTCCCCATTGGGCGTTCGATGGACACGGGATCAAGCTGTGCGTCTCTCCATTTTGAAAAGCAACGTGATTGGCTTGAACCTCATCGCCCACATCAAGGAGCTCAGAGGTTTCAACATGACTGTTGCCGGCAGCCGAGAACGACTGGTGGTGGCATCTGACCTCGATATCGTTGCTCTTGTCTTCGTCTCTGGCAGGCAATCGCGTACGCCCGGTATTTGACGGTGTTCCAGATCGTGTTTCTACAATGTCTGATGTAGATTCAGTTGCTCTTGACGTGGCTGGTGTCTTATCACGCCAGCGGCGAGATTCTTCAGAAGTTGTTGCCTCTGGAAACGGTTGCTTGATTCGCTGACGGCCACTGCATTCTGTTATCAGCATGTGTCGAGCTTTGCACGAAGGAGACATGAACACCTTACCTGCTTAATTTTCTTCGGAGTGATCTCGCGTTTTGTGCTGACTTCAGAGGTGTAAGAGGGCCCGTCTGAGGAAGTGTTGTTGCAGCAGTTTCTAGCACCTTAGACTGCTTTGAAACATTTACCTCATTTTGGGACATGGTTGGCACAGGCGTCATTGTAGCTAAAGCTTGTGGTTGAGCTGCGCGAGGTTGGCCTGACGAGATCTCGGCCACAATTTGGGGTGGGTGGATGGCAGCACCAGCAGCTTGCGTAGTGATGGCATGTTTGCTTTGAGGATGTCCTGTGGCGTGATGAGTGGACCTGAATTCATGGACAGTGTCTTCACTTGGGTCAGCAGCAGTGTCGTTGCAACTGGCTGTTTCTGGTCGAGTGATTTGAGACCCGCGCCTACCGAAGCTGACATTAGGGTGAGAATTGTTGGGCTTCTCTGCCGATGCAGGTGGTAATTGAGTAGTCATCGGGTGAAGTCGTGTCTTCGGTTCTTAGCAAGATGATTAGCGTTGTTCTGTAATATTCAGTGCAAGTGACTCACGCTCAGCCTCTTGGGTAACAGTATTGACAGTATTTGTAGACCCAGGTCCGCTCAAATCGTTCGCATCCGTAAAGACGTTAGAAGGTCTTGGTGGGGGACGCTTGGATGGGTTTTGTGTGCGTGGCTTTGCAGCGATGAACCTAAAACCATTTCCAGCATCCTCAAGGCTTGAGAGCTCAGGACGCTTCAAAAGGGATGGAAGTGCTACGTGAGGGGCATTGGCAGCGTGTTGGGTGAGAACGTTCTCCCGTGGCGCCTGGGTGGCAGGTTCGACGACGGAGTCATCGACTGCTTGTGTGTCTGCCTCGAGATCTTCATATTGAGTTTCTGGCACGTGTGAAACGAGACTTTCTTGATCGACTTGAGTATCAAGCTCGAGATCATCGAATTGCGTATCCTCAATCACAGATTTGGGACTGCTTTGAGGCTGACCACCACGGACTTCACTGTGGTCATGGTTACCATCATCGTCGTGATAGTCATTCAAAGCTGACAAATTTTCGAACTGATATTCTTGCTCCTCAGTGATATCCATGATGGCTGGCTGTCAGCTGTCAGCGACAACCCTCATCAGACTGTTGTGGAGAGGCGCGATAGGATACTTTCGCATCATGCTATGAGGATGTATGAGACAAGCACACCTACAGATTACTGAGAGTGATGGGATGGACCCCAGACTTTCGTGATGACCGTCAAGTCTCTGCAGGTTGCAGCAAGTGGTTCGTGACCATGAGTCAGGGAGTAAGCTTGATCACCAGTAATGCACGCAGCCTCAATGAAGGTCTGGTGGTTCAACAGCTCTCTCAATAGGTTGCAAAGATTCGGAAGATGGTTGTGGATGGCAAAGGTGATGGAAGAGATGGAATGAAATGAGGGATCTGAAGGTTGAGGAAAGCTCGTCGGTAGAATCTGCAACCGGCTAGGACCAATCTGTACCCATTCACTTCAAAGGGCAGGACTGTGAGATTGCTCCTTCCTCGCTCGGTCGAGCAAGCTCGTGAGCATCATGTGACTAAGCCTGCACGTGAAGGATTCATTCTCGACTCGGTATCTCAACAGTGCCTGTCCAATACTTAGCTTGTTGCAAAGCTCATGAGAAAAGCCGGTGTTCAATTTATCAAAGTCCTCTGTGAATTTGAAGTGGAAAGGAAATCATCTCCAAAACCGCTGGCCAAGATAGTTCAAACCCTGCAGGCAATTTGTACAGCCAAGCACGGATCAGACGGCACGAAATCTTCTAAGAATACTCTGTTGAGTTCTGATCATAATTAAAGACGTTGAGCAAGTTTATAATGCTCAGATAAACTATCGTCTGGGAGCATTTTCGCGAGGGCAACTGGACACGATCAACTTGACGGGAGGTGTGTTGTCTGTCAACAAGTATCTCTACTTGCGTCTGACAGAGACTCACAATCGACACCCCGAAGATACTTGAGTCTCGTCTTCCCAGCCACGAAAGGTTTACTCAAGGAAATCGCTGTAGCAAAAAGGATATGAATAGCACACCGGGTCCACGTTACGCCTATCTCCACGAGCAGGTCTCTTGACCCAGCATCGACCTTCTTCTGAGGAGCCGCCAGTATTTGGGACTTCTTGCGCAGATCATCCAAGCCTTAAGCACTCGAATCTTCACCTCTTGGCGCGTATTGACGTGTTCAGGTATCAGCACGCGACAAGAGGACTCTCTCGATATCTGGTAGCCAAGACAAGCAGCCACCAACGAGCCTCAAATTCTCCTCTCCTCGAAGTATCTGAGACCTGTTGACGAACCGCAATCCTCAAATAACTCTTCTCCGACGCGAAACTGTCGCATGTCAGCGATGACTGCCGCCCTGGCGTTGATATGTCGTTGATAGCAATCCTCTGTCGCTAAATGTGAACCCTGTCGCCACGCTACGATTGGGCCTTGGGTGCTGGAAATAGATGCATCCAGTGGTGCCGCGAAGTTGCTTAGCTCCAAATAGGCGCTGAAGCTCAGCGGCAACTCCCCATCCCACCAATCGCTCCCAGACCCCAGGCCTGCGTGCTGCTATTCACATCACTTTTGTTTGTTTCATGATTTCTTCGCACACGAATTAAACTCTCTGCAGGCCCAATTACTGACCTCACGTTGGCGCTCAAAACCTTAAGATCTGTTGCATTTCCCCATCCAGACTTTCTCATCACATTTATGCCAAGGCGATGTCACATTGTCTGCTCACTTTTCCCCGGAGTCACATCACTATCACACTCTCTGCCGGCGCTTGAACCCTTTCGTCTTGCTCGTTAATTTATTACTACACACCTTTCAACATGAAGAACCTTCTTTTCCTCAGCTTGATGCTGCAGTTCTTCTTTCACATTTCTCTGGCACAAGATTCTTCCTCCAATTCATCCGCTCCAACAACCACCAGTTCGGTATCTTTAACTCCTCAAATGTCTGCAAGCGCTGTGTCTTCCTTGTATTCGGTGCTGGCCACTTCGTCTCCTCAGCAGCCAGGCAGTGGTAAGTCCAACATTTGTGGGAAATCAAAGGAACCAACGCTGATGTTCTGTAGGACCTCAACCAGGAGATGCTGGTTCATCGTCAGGGTCGAGCAGTGTCGATTCGGAAGCTGGCGCTTCTGGCTCCGATGGAGGCGGTTTTAACATGTCGAGGGGCGCGATCATAGCCATTATAGTCGTAGCAGTTTTCGTATGCGTTTTTGGCAGTAAGTCTCTTCAACCCGATGCGTCTCACATCTTTGCAAAACTAACTTTTTATAGTTGTCTCGGCAATTTTGTTTTATTTGGCCAAGAAGAGGGATTGGAAAGTCCGCGAAAGCATACGCCGCTCAGCAAGAAAAGTTGCTTCGGCTTTGACGCCTAGAAGTTCAAGATTTCCGAAAGACGTCCACAGTAGACGAGGCTTGACCAAGATAGATGAGGTTCCAACCACTCCGAGGAACAGGAGTGCCGATGTGGAAAAAGGGAACACAAAGCAGATGACTTTTGAATTGACTTCGCCACCGAAGAAGTCGAGGTGGGAAAGGAAAGCTGGCCGATGATATGCAGGGCAGTCATCCACTTATGAGTTCAAGTACATGTGATATAGAATTTTGTTGCATAGCGGGATGGGATAAGGATCTGGGTATTTGTGGTATATTGGCGCAAGGAATTTTGTTCATAGTCTCCTGAAGACGTTTCCACTTGCACTTCGTCTGCCTTCGTCGCGCCTTGTCTTTCGTGCAGGTTCCGATTTTTCGGGCTCTTTCCCTTTCTTCTTCGCACTTGGTGCGAAAGTGACTGAGCGTTCACCAACAACCTCGCCCTTGTTTTTAGATATGCGTCCAGCTCCTTGAACTCGCGATCCGAGAGGCTTGTCTTGTCGTTGATGCCCCGATTTCTTGTACGAGGAGGATGATATACGCATCTCTGGCTGAGGTTTTGTCTTCGGCTTGGCCATTATCTCGCCATCATCTTCACTACCGCTTCCGTCACTTTCATCGCTGTCGGCTCGATGGCCATTCGAGGCTTCGCCCACTTTAGTGCTAGGATTAAGAGCCTGGAATTCCCGACTTCGCTCGTCCACGGTGAATGCTTCATCCTCGAATAGCTTACTAAATCGAGAATCTCCAAGAACACCCATATCCTCGTCAACCTTTTGTCTTCGCTCTTGTCTCTTGAGCATTTTGTCGACCAAGTTCTGGTTAACCTTGACTTTCTTGCCTCCCCGAATCCTGCTAGCTCTCTCCTTCTCAACTTTCTCTTTGACTCTCTTGGTTCTTTCTTCGTCCCAAATATAAGGATTCGCAATGAGCCTTGCCTCGTCATACAATCTCGAGGCAACAAAGTAACCATGCATATAAGGCCGCAGTAGATTGGTGGTTCCGACAAGATGACCAAGATTGAGAGCTTTCAATTCTGGTAGAGTTGAGAACTTGTAATTGTCATAAGTCTCTGCAGGAGCCTCCTCTGCCATTTCTTCGACCATATTGTCCAAGAATGAGCACCATTTCGGCGCTGGGCCAAGTTGGGGAATAAAGAACGCATGCTGTTGCTTTCCTTCATTTGCTGTTAAGAGCATTCCGCTATTCCTGCACCATGCTACATGATTTAGATCAACAGCTGGCTCAACAGAGGTCCATGGTTTGCCATTTGCCTCATCCCACAACTTGATGATACGTTTGTCTGCGGACAGAATTTTCTTCGCCTGAGATGATGTAGTCATATGCAACAAGATTTTTATCGGAAAGCCGTATCCTTGATCCTTCGTTAAGATCGGTACTGGTCGTCTGAGATCGAATATTTGTACCAGCCCTTCGGAAGAACCTGTAGCAAGAGACAAACCAGACCTATCAAAGTCCAGCGCAGTGATCTCTCCTTCTTGGCCGGCCAAAATTCCAATCCTTGCCTTGGATCTGGGGTCCCAGAATTCCACTGTCCCTATCGAAGTGCCAAAAGCCAAGAGATTATGGCTATCCTCAGCAACCGCTGCAACGTTCACACTTCCAGTTTTGATGCCACCTTGTAAAGATCCGGCTCCAGCCGTCGTCAAATCATCACCGCCTACATCAATTTGATATGGTTTCATAAATCTTCCGATTTCCAAATTTAGTCGGTAGACCTCCCCACTTCCGTCGCCATTGACACCCACAGCAGGAATCAGAGCTTCGGCAGAATGCCTGTCGTATTGCAGATCTCGACCATATCTAGGAATCCGAGTCTGGTAATGACAGCCACCGGCAGTGTGAAACTCGAGTCGGCGATCCGTTTGGAGGTGTAAGGACTTGGTGTAATCTGAAGATAACAGGACGAACGAGTGGTTCAAAGCGGTGGTATGGCGCGCAAATGAGAGGGAAAGGTGCGGAAGGTAATGCGTATGAATCTGAGGTCTGATGATATACTTAGTTAAAGGGTCACAGTGATGAAAGAAGTAAATTGGGTAAGGGGAGGTACTTGTATGTCCCAGTGCTCATAACCCATTCGCCATCCTCACTCACTCGTATGCAAGAACTTGCTTCCTCAAACTCAAAGTCTTGTAAAAGCTCGACCCGGTTCGCATATTCGGGGTCGTTTTTCAAGCTGCGCTTCCTTTGTCGAGCAAGCCAATCTGGTAATGGCCTCGCAGTCGATGCACCAGAGATGGTGTAGACCGGTACTTCACTGGGATTGGAGACCTTCATTATATTATGCAAACATGTTGAGTTGTCGCACGGTTTGAATAGCCCCAAGGTTTGAATGCGATTCCAAGATAAATTTTAAATTTATCTGGAGGCGGGGCGCGGCGGCCGCTTTGGCCGATCTTTAGCGCCAACTAGGATGCAGAAGGACGACTACCAGCATCTTCTCCAGGTCTTGCGACATGCTGTGGTAGATTTCTCTTATCGGTCATTATCCTTACTTGATATATTGTTCGTCTTATTCATTTGTTATTTTGCTGGCTGCCGGGATCGTCCTGCTGCGATGGAGCCCTGCCACTCCTACGCCGGCTACGCAATTATAAGAACGATCACCAACAGCACTTCGTGCTCAACTGTTCGGAAAGGTCCTGGGAGGGTCAGATTGAGCGCCCGTCAGGCGCGTGCTTATCACTTTGCATGATTCGCACACGATGGAGCCTGGCGAATATCTCACAAACGTATTATCTTCTGTCTGCTCCCCCATCGTTCCATTTAGAGCATTACTGATGTTGCTCAGAATGAATTCGCGTCCATAAAATACGAGTACTTTGAGCTACATAATTTGTCGACCTGGAGCGCTAGAAGAAGCCTTCAGAGAGTGGAGGCAGTATGGAGGCAAGAAGGCAAATTGGCCTACTGTGATCCGTACAGGGACGGTCTTTGGGTCTTTGAGCGGTCCTCAAATCCCGCATCTGATTATCAGGTCAAAGAAGGCGAACTGCTGAGCCCGGGGGTGGTCGAGGTGCAGGGAATCGCGCTTGTGCAGAGAGACCGAGGAATATACGAACCTGCTAGTTTGGCAAGAAGCAAGTCAGCTATTCCGAATGCTGTCAATACACCTACTAGCAGCGCATCGCCTTCTTCGTCCCAGGACAATGCGCTACGAAACACACAGGCTCTAAATGCAAGGTCAACCCAGACCAACGCGCTTCTAAACGTGAATCAAGAGCCACCAACTCCTTCTCCCGGCATAAAATCCGAGCGTACCCCATCCCAAAAGGATGTACACGAATACTTTGTTTCGGCAGTTCTTGGCTCGGTAGCCTACTTGCTTGTTCGAGAATCTGGTCTGGTTCCTCTGAATTCGAGGACATTGATCTTAAATGCTTCCAAATCGTTGCGTCCGTCTCTCTTGAAGAGTGGGAATACATCGTGTAACACAATTGAACTTGCTACCCTGGACGTCAGTCTGACATCCCTTGGGAGTCTCGTGGTCAAAGCCATCACTGATCCTGCACCTGGCCTTCAAGCTTTGGTCAGTAGATCCAGCTTACTGGACTGGGCGGAACAGGTGACTTCGGGTACAGCTTTATGGCTAGCTCCGAGTGGTATCGCTGCTAGGTTTCACAGCCTTCCTGATGAAGACCGTCACCCCAGCACCTCCTCGATCGCGCGACTTCAAGATAGCCCAGGTACACAGAGAAACAGTGGCTTCAATTCGCTGAGTGTCAAGTCCTGGCAGTCAAAGTGTCTAGAGTGGTTGTCAGTCAAGGGACTCGACCCTATTTTACTAGAAGCTGGTGGTTGGGTCTTTGTACAGGTCCACGGAGGACAGTCTCCATACTCTACCTCGGACTATGAAAGTAATCCAATGCTAGAAGACCTGACAGTTGTGCCTTGGCCAGCTTTACTATGTTTCCAGCCTTCGAACTCTCGAAACCTGGATCATGAAAGCCGCAAGGGTACAGACTCTGCTTCGCGTGATCCTATCTCGTTCTCAGAAGAATGGTTTAAGGGTAGAGATGAAAGAGCGTCTGTATCTAATAAGCGATTAAAAGAGAGGCAGATCGCGGAAGCACAATCTAGTGAACAGGCGGCTGTCGATGCTCGAGCGATGCAGTCTCACCTCTACTCGCCGGTGGCGCTTAGAAGAGGGAGTAATGCCGGAGCTATGTACCCAACACCTCCAGATGCTCCTCATCAAATCGTTGGGGCCACACCAACCTTTGACGGAACTGTGTCCACGCCTGGAAACCAACATCCGAATGCTCAGGTCGACACAGGACAGCCACCACAGACCTCAAACGATGTCGACACTGAGATGTGGAGCTCCGGAAAGAAAGAACAAGCACCAGCGACCACTCATTACCACGAGCATGAAGCTGATAATGACAACTTATTTGGTGACTTGGGTGGAGATCTTTTGTTTGGCAATGATATTACTGACGCCGACTTTAGCTTCTTTGATCAACCTGATGAAGTGGGTTTTGATCAGAAGCAAGCATCTCCAACGCCAGTCGGGCCACCAGTCTCGAAAGAAAACATACCATCAGATACTGGACTCGTTGGAGACAACTCGCATGCTGAGCTCTCTCCAAAGCCCGATCTCTCCGAACCCGAACCAAGTCCCGCTGCAGTAGAGAGTAACCAAATCGATTCGATCATGGAGAATGCGGATGGAGCCTTCATTCCAGATACCCCGAAAGATGCACGCATCGACACCTCCACCAAGCTGCCTTCCTCAACAGCCAACGCTCCATTCGATAAGGAAGCTGTGTTCAAGCTTCTTGTTAAAGCACATAGTGATGATCAAGCCCACGGTCAGCCTAGAAGAACGAGTCAATTCAACAAAATTGACTTCGAAACCTCGCTACAGGCTGTCAACGAGAAATATGATAGCAATGGGCTATTCAGTTTCAAGCTTCCAAAGAGTCGACCACATGAAGACTTCTCTCAATTACCACAAACAAAGTATCTCAACGGGAGACGCAAGACTCAAGACCGTACCTCGGAGATGGGGCACATTGCGCGGATACTGATGGAAAGGAGCTCATTAAACCAACCAGCTACGGATGAACCCATGGATTATCTGGTGGATACCAATTTCGCAAGCCCTATATCCGAGCAGGATGATAGCAGCCATACTACAGACAATCCTACCCTCCCACAGAGAGTCGGTATGAAACGGAAGTGGGAAGAAAGCAATGGAGATGAGATAACATCGTCATTCGATGCCTTGGCAATGGACTTGGAACGTTCCGTGAGCACGCCTCAGTCTGCAACCGGGTCTCAACTGCCTCTGCTGGATGCCGATCCTGCAGATTGGTCATTGACAACTTATTTCACGTCAGTTGAACCTGATGTACAGTCAACCATACTTTCAGACCATGAGCGGATAGCAACTGCACAAATTCTTGCTGATCAAGCAGTGTCAGCTACACTCAAGTTTCCTGGGGTTCCTGGCAGTGAGCTTGTCCAACATAAGGCTTCAAGCACCAGAAAGCTCATACAAAAATTGGTTAAGACCACAAAGTGCTGTCTGAAGGAGATCAATCCATGCACGATGCGCGCATTGATAGACATTCAAGGGATACCAGTCCTCAGTCAAGGCCTTCGACTCGCCCAGCGACCGATGCCAAACCCGCGAGGGCCAAATAACGTAGATGGAACAAGGTCAAATAACCCGTTTGCAATCCCTCCTCCACAGCTTGAAATACGAAGATCAGATTCAAAGCTCTCAATCCTCCCGGCTGCTATATCATTCTGGGAGAATTTGGGTTTAGGACCAGCAAAAGGTGCGAAGGATGTCAGTGCTGTATGCATCTGGCCGAGTTTCAGTGGAGTTCAAGCGAATGCAAATACATTTCTGGACCAGATGAGAAGTATCTATGAGTCTTCTCGGCTTGGAAACCACGACAGACTTGTCACGAAAGATCTTCATAATGGTCTGCTGCCATTCGCCGTTGATTTGCAGCAGCAAAACAGGGTGCAACAAATGGCATCACTTAGGGACATGACCGGCAAATTGAGCAAGGTGTTGTCTGCGCTTGCAGTTGAAGAAAAGAATCTCGTCGTGTATTTTGTATACCCTCCGGACAACAATGCGCTTCTGGTACAAATATGCTCTGCCTTTCAACACCTTTTTAATCTGTACAGGAAATCTCTGTCCGAAAAGAAAATCAACGTCAGCAACGAGCTTGTCCTGCAGCTAATTCCACTTGACTTTATTTCGTCCTCGACATCAATTGCGGTGCCTTTACCCTCCCAATACTTCCGTCTCGCATTAGAAGTCTACGATCGATGCGTTGATTTTGCCTCGTCCTCGTCATCACCAGCAATCATGCTTGAACAGCCACTTCCAAGGAACATTGATTTCAAACTGAATGCCAATCCCTCCGCATCACTGCTGCAAGAAAATACCTGCCTGCATGTTGCCTATGCACAGAGTATTGACGATCGATGGATCACTGCTGCTTGGACAGATAATCGAGGTACTCAACAGATGACAGCCTCATATTGTCTGGGTCGGAAGAATGAGCCAATATCAACAGCCTTCTCTGTGATCGCTCATGAAATATGGGAGACGACTCTGGATTTCATTTCCAGCAAGAAGATTCATTGGCGTATAATGATAGCCCGAGTAGGAGTTATGGATCCATCCGAGATAGACTTCTGGACAGGACTTGCTGCGACAGAGTCAGACGCACAGATTAGTATAACACTCATCACAGTCCAGACAGATCCATCGTTGCGTCTCCTTCCTGCACCTGTTACTATTGGCCCGAACGGGAATTCCACGAATTCAAATGTCACTCCAGTATCAACACCTCAAGCGTTTCAACCCTCCGTGGTATCGCCAGATAATGCTCCGACACCGGTACGCGAGAATACTTATTCTGCCGCGGCTGTTGAGGGTCAACCCGAACCAGACAGCGATGCTCGACTCATAGACTATACCGATCAGAATTGGGGAATAGTGTTATCGCACCGATTGAATAATTCCAACTCTTTGATGGAACTCAATCTTGCACTCATCAGTGGATACCTTGTCAAACGTGGTGGAACGAATAGTGACGACCCTCCGATTGTGATGGAAGTTAATGTTGTACATAGTGAAGTTTTGGGAAACCCCCGAACATTCCACGAGTCTCTTCTTAGAGAAATATTAGGTTATTACAGGGGCTTGGGAACTCTAGCCCGAGTCCGGGGCATGGTCGATGCAGTCAGGGACGTTAGGCCCTGGCATATTGCTGCTGCTGAGAAGGCTGTCAAAGCATTATATATGTTAATGTGATCAGAATAATGAATACCGTTAACCACTTAACCTTTTACTAGGCATCGACTCCTTTGTCGATCTCATGTTTTCATCTACGTTGAAGTTTAAACATAGCACAGCATAGGGTGTAGAAGTATCGTACGTTCTACAACCACTTCATTAGCTCCTTGGCTCTACAGTGAGTTTATTTTGGTGTACAGATTGATGACTCGAGCAGTGCCAAGCCATGATCAACAAATTCGCTTAGCCTTGTAAGTCATCATTTGAATTTGGCACTTCCGAGCCGCAACAGAAATCACTCACTATGACAAACATCTGATCATTTATACAGGACGTCAGAATCAGAATAAGTGCCACTCACTTTTTCTTGAAATACGAGAAACAGCTGAACAATCTCTGCTAATACGTCATCGAGCCTGGTTTCGAGATCAGAATCCAGACATCAACTCTAATCCTCAGATTCGGCCCTTCTTGAGGCTCGTGAGCAAAGGACCGAAGACTGCCTCTTGTCAGGTGAGGTTTATGTGTGCAAGTACCTGTAACTACTTGCTTTTGCCATGATCTTCTAAGCACTTTACATCCTTTGCCTCTTCTTTCGACTCGGATCGCCGCGGCTTCCGAGTGAGATTAGTCATCTTGGCAACAAAGTGGCCAAACATCGAACAGTATTTCGACACCGAGCGGATGTATCGGAGTCGTCTTTGACAAGTTCTGTGGGGTACTCCAACTGGAGAGGTAGGGACGCGGGTATGACAGCCCCTAGTCTTACCATGCCTGATGACCTGGTGGAACACCGGTAACGAGCGGCATCGCGAATCAGGGACCATGATGGCCGAGAAAGATCCCAATGGATTGTCAACCCTAGAAAATAGCAGGAATTGGAAAGTGGGATTGGGTCTTGTGGCCGAGAGAAATCTTTCCATGCCTAGTTGTGGCATGAGGTGACTCGCAGGATGAAAACTTTAAAGAGCTGCCTAGTCCTCATGTCTTTGGCTTTGGCTTCTCATGTACGGACTTTCTCCTTTCATCAGTATTTGGGATATCATCATGGGAAAATTGTCAAAATATACGGGCCAACTGCCCTTTGGGCGTGGGAAGCAAGGCTCTCCAAATGATACAGAGGGTTCGCATCACGAGAAGCAACAGAAATATGTTGGTCCTTACGAGAACACTCCTATTCCCCGCGTCACCATCCACTCCTTCATTATGGGTGTATTTGTGTCTATGGGAGGCTTTATTTTCGGCTATGATACTGGACAAATCTCTGGATTTCTTGGCATGGCAGAGTTTCAACAGCGATTCGGTCAACGCCACTCAGATGGCACCTATTATTTCAGTAACGTCCGATCAGGTTTAATCGTTGCCTTGGTGAGTCAATCGAATCAGTTCTGTGGTATCACTCTAATTCTTCATAGCTTTCAATTGGTACTTTGATGGGCGCACTCATTGGAGGACCTGTTGCGGATCGCATCGGGCGAAAATGGTCTATTTTCGCATGGTGTTTGATGCTACACGTCGGGTTGATAGTTCAGATGACTTCTGCAAACCACAAGTGGTATCAAAGTACGTTCGGCTTCTCAGTTTTCAGATAGTCACTAATGTATGTAGTCGTCGTGGGAAGATGGATCGCGGGTCTAGGTGTTGGGGCCTTGTCACTGCTAGTCCCCATGTACCAAAGTGAGAGTGCTCCAAAGCAGATTCGAGGTGCTCTGATCAGGTTAGTGTCTCGTGAAGTAGGCTTGATCATATTCTAATTTTGCTTCAGTACCTACCAACTTTTCATTACCCTTGGAATTTTCGTTGCCAACTGCATCAACTTTGGCACTGAAAAGAAGACCAGTACCGCCTCTTGGAGAATTCCAATGGGCATTTCCTTCGTTTGGGTCGCAATTCTAGGCTTCGGCATCATTTTCTTCCCAGAAAGTCCTCGTTACGACTACCGCCACGGACGTGTTGACCAAGCGAAACGCACTATGATTAAGCTCTATGGCGTTCCTGATAACCATCGCGTCGTTGCAGAAGAGTTGGCAGAAATCAAGGAGAAGCATGATGAGGAACTATTGCATGCGAACCAGAAGTGGTGGGAGATCTTCACTGCCCCGAGAATGCCATACCGACTTGCTTTGGGAATTACGTTACAAGCACTGCAGCAACTCACAGGTGCCAACTACTTCTTTTACTAGTAAGTGCAATGACTGCCATCTGCCTTGAAAAAGATCTGACAGTTCTTTTAGTGGTACAGTAATCTTCAAGTCGACTGGTATCAACAACTCCTATGTCACGCAAATGATCTTGGGTGGAGTCAATTTCGGCACAACTTTCTTGGGTCTCTACGTAGTAGAACACTTCGGTCGTCGCAAGTCCCTCATATTTGGCGCCTGCTGGATGTTCGTCTGCTTCATGACCTTTGCATCTGTCGGCCACTTCGCACTGGATCGGAATGTGCCGCAGAACACCCCGCATGCAGGTAAGGCTATGATTGTCTTTGCTTGTTTCTTCATCCTTGGATTCGCATCAACATGGGGTCCAATCATTTGGACAATCTGTGCAGAGCTCTACCCCTCCCGTTATCGATCAACGGCAATGGGAATGTCGACTGCCTCGAATTGGTTCTGGAATTTCTTGCTGGCATTCTTCACTCCGTTTATTGTTGGTGATATCGATTTCCGCTATGGATATATATTTGCCGGCTGCCTGTTCTTGTGTGCTGCAACGGTATATTTCTTCGTCATAGAAGGTCAAGGTAAGATCAACCCTATACGGTTGCATGGAAATGCGTGCTTGACAAAAGAGGTTCTTGCTGACTTCAAGCAGGGCGTACCTTGGAAGAAATTGACACCATGTATATCTTGCACGTAGATCCGCGAAAGAGTACACAATGGATAGCACCACCACCAGAAGAGCTTATCACGACGGAAAGAATTGCTCGGGGAGAGGTTGCTGGTACAGGTGCCGACTTGGAAGCAAGTGCCAGTGCAAGAGCCCGAGCTAAGGAGACAGCACCTGGTAATTACCTTCAGTATTTGGCATCATCCGAGAATCCGCTGACATTCATGTAGGTGGTACTACAGACCACGCAGAATAGAACAACGTGACTCCGGCAGACTTCGAGTACCTCAAGATTGGAGACATATTCGCATCAACCTTTCAAATCTCTGATCGATCGTGCTTGAAAACACTTAGGTGGAAATTGCTCTCGCTGTCAAAATCTCATCTGAAAACGAACAATCTATTTTTATGTTGTCTGAACTATTGGGCTGAAACGCGGGATAGGGAGCGGAATTACGTTGTATCTTATATGTTTAATGATTATTAATGAAGTAGTGTGTCACACCATATGATATTGGCAAACCTTTGTAACTCGTCTCGTGTTTCCATCCCCATTGCGACTTGGGCATCTGGTAACGGATAACGGATATTTCACCTAGGAGCATTCTAGCTACTAAGCTATCTGTAGCATAATCAATTGTGGAATTGCTCACCCCTAGAGAAATCTACTTTAAACCAGCGAGTGCGAAGACTGTGAGATTGTCTAAATGAGCGTGGAGCGACGAAGAGGTTGGAAAATATGAAGACGAGCAAGAGGTCACTTTCGAAGAGTTGCAAAGATGAAAAGGGGGGTACGAGAGTTGAAGAGGTTGTAGAAACTTCATGGACTTTTTTTTATTCAGATTTCGATTTAGAAAACAAAGAATCGCCGTGTGGAAATGCCGAAGAATTTCGGTGTCCACCAGGATCCGGGGCTCCGCAACTCCATACCCCATTCTCCACTTATATGAACCGTACCGTAAGACTCTCGTTCGATAGGAAGAACACTTCCAGGTCCAGACCGTCTTCCAAATTCCCTCGTATCGACAAGCAACTCCGAATGGAGTCTCTATTTCTAATTGTCACAAGACGCTCAAACGACTGCTCTCGCGCAAGCTGTCATGACCTCATTATTCAACGGTTGGATCATGCCCCTCAGCCGCGACGCCATTTAATCCAGCTATTTTTGTCATGGGCATCGCTGAGAAGCATTGAGGAGTCAAATTAATTTCAAACGTCCGTTCGAAAGTTATTCTCCATTTGAAAGTAGAAAGTTGTTAGTGCCCCTTTCATTCAACAATGTTGACCTGGGGATGACCACATGCAACCTTATGCACGACAACCTTCAAGCTTCCTCCTAGAACATCTCACACGCCGACGTGAAGCAACTTTAGGCATTAATATCAACGGCGACACATCTCGATATCTTAACGCCGCAACGACCGTCATCTAGCCTCGGCCCAACTCAGTCTCATCCCATCTCATTGGCCACCCCCTCCTCTCCTAAAGCCACCTCGCAGATCTCCCCGCACCATTATGGTGCTGACGTCGAGTGCCGCTAATCTTGATGTGTTCTGAACCACGAAATCAAATCAATTACCAGTTCAAGACCGGTTTGGGTGCGAATACATGGCAGTCATTGGCTACATCGGAGCGAATTGAAGCAGACGCGTTGAGACTAACGAAAAGGATGAAGGTTTCCGCTGTTCCGAAGATATGTTTCGGGCGATTGTAGACTGATGTAGATCGGACACTCGAGACGATTTAGAAGACTTTGACAGACTTCTGGATCTTTGGGTATAAGGTTTTGACTGCTTTTGTGACATGATCTTCCCGTGAAGATGCTTCGGCATAAAGAAGATATTGATTTCTGATTGACCGTTATAATTCACTGTCTTACCTTTCAAGAACTCACCTTGTTCGGAGCTGGGATTCGACAAGGAGAGCCTGGAAAAAGCCCGATTTGCACAGCCCGCCCCTGGTATTCTTTTTTGTGCCACTTGCCTATAGCGAAAGAAGCTATCTGGTCCACTTCGTGCATTGTGGGAGCTCCAGGTTTTTAGCACCCCGGCCGAACCGCATCTGTTCCCATAAATGGCCACTCTCCCACACGAAAGTAATCATTCAAGTCTTGTCAGACACGGACCAATTCAGTAATCTATCGTCCCAAGTCCAAGGTCCCGGAATCTTAGATCGAATCGAATCGGATCAAACACCGCAAGCACGGCCAGAATGTCGTCGGCTCACGTTGAAAATGCGGCTCACACAACGGGTTATGAAGCCCAACGCCTCCATACCCATGATATGGAAATTGGTGTGACGGAAGCAGTTCAAAAGCATGTTTCAAGACACGTTGTCCCACCCAAGCCAATTTCGCAACGAAAACTCGACTTTGAACACTCCCGTCCAAGATGGTTGAGAGAGATGGCAGCCGAAGCGATTGGAGTCTTCTTTTACGTGTATCCTGGAATCGCGTCCCAAGCAAGCTTTTTCCTCAACGGCACTGAACCAGTCTTCGGTTCTCTTTTCCAAATTGGTTGGGCGTATGCAATTGGTATTGCTTTTGCAATCATTACCTGTGGTAGCACTTCTGGTGGTCACTTCAATCCAGCCATCACCATCTGTTTTGCAGTCTGGCAAGGGTATGTTCAAAGGCACCGCTAGTTGATATCTGCTGACGCGAGTTCTTAGCTTTCCTTGGTCGAAGGTTCCTCGCTATATCTTCGCTCAGATCTTTGGCTCCTTTCTCGCTGGGCTTCTTCTTGTTGGACAATACTATCCACAACTTTCGGCACTTGCCGCGGAACTCAGAGCAAAGGGTGTGAGCCCGAATTCACTGGGAGGACCGGGAAGTGTGCTCTGTAGTTTTCCAGGTCCGACCCAAACCAATTATGGCTACCTGTTCTTCATCGAATTCTTCGTTGATAGCTTCATCGGGTGAGTTGTAAACTCCTAATAAGCAGTATGAAATTGTGCTGATAACTTGAAGTATTGTGATCTGGTCTGTTCTCGACCCAGCCAATCCATTCATCGTACCTGCGTCTGCACCCTTTGTTATCGGACTCGCATACGCCAACATGGTCTGGGGATTTGCCAACGTGACAATCTCAACGAACTTGGCCCGTGATCTTGGAACCCGAATTGTGGCAGCAATATTTTATGGTGGTGATGCATTCGGCGACTATTCTGCCATCTCCATCCTAGTCAATGTACCTGCTACGCTTTTCGCTACTCTTGTATACGAGATCATCCTCAGAGATAGCTTTGCTATCATTGCTAAAGGCCACAATGTGCACGAAGAGTGAGTTGACCAATCAACAAAGCCTCTATGTCTTTCACTCGAAGAAACAACAGCTAATAGTTCGTAGGGGCGAGGAAGGTCTGACGCACCACTTGACGAAAACTGGTACTTTGGATGGTACTTTCGAGCAAGGAATGGGTGGTAATATCGCGAGAGGAGGTGAAACAAGCACAGAGAGTTATAACCATAAGCAGGGAGAAGTGTCCCCAGTCTGAAAGTGCAAGAAGAAGTGGATCGAAGAGGGAAGGAGATGCTGCAAAGCAATTCTAAATGAAAGTTGTATAGCATGCAAGCGAAATTTGACACTGCTGGCCCTTTGCCTCAATAAACTACACGTTTCAACTTGATATGCCTTTGTTTTATGGTGGCCAATGCCATCGAGTGTTATGCTTTGTACAAGCTTCAAAGAATCTTAAGAGTTTTATGTACAAGAAGCTAAAAGGATAATCTTCGGCAAAGCCACGTCTCTTCCTAGCAAAATTTCATTTTCACGCTAGTTATTGACCGCTCTATTCTGCCGCGATGCAAAGAATTCCCCGCGTCTCAGAAGCAATCCAGGAACAACCCAGGTCACTTCACAATGGGAACTCACTCACCGCTGCTGGATTGAGTCAAGAGCTTTTTCGCTCTTTTCGCATATCTGCTTGCGCCATTCTGCTTTTCGTGCCTTTAATTTGATACCATGTCGTCGTTGCAGCAGCCTGTAGGGGCAGAAGCCGATCCTGAGTCTCCTGTCGATGATTATATGCCTACTTTCTTTATCGGTCATCATGAGTCGAAACGACCTCTGCCTGTTACAGACAAAGTTCTGCGACAGGCGCAAGATGTTGGTGTAAGTATTTTCTGGACCTTAGGAGCTTGTTGGCTAATCTGGAATAGTATGATATGCTCACGAGTCCCATTACGAGCCCTCACTTCCATACTCGAGTTCTCACTTTGATCTCCAGCTACCTCTCTGCAGTGGCACTCGTTGAAGACTCGGACGATTCGATTAAAAATATACCACCTGCTCCGATCATCCCTCCGCTCGATCCAGTGGACACACCTTTGACACCTGGAGACACTGTTGGTCAAATCATTGCACACTCTAGTCCATGGATCGATCTATGCTCTGTCGATCCTTTAATAGCCAACATCTCTCGCCAGGTACTCAATATTGAGATAGCCTACGCATCGTTCTGTGGAGTTGGGAACATTATTATACCAGGGCCAAGATCATATACCAGTGGATCAACGTCCAATGACGGCCTTATACAGTATGCTCGCGCCATTCAAGAAGCTTTGACTATCGCCCCCTATCTTCAAATGGCTATTCATATTCCGATGTATGGCAATGAAGAAGCTAAAGACCTGACGGGAGATCTCAAACCATTTGCCAAAAACTACGAGTCAACGAACAAGGAGAAGGACATTGATCTTTTTGAAACTTGGGATGCGTGGAATTTGATCAGGACTGTATGTAAATACAACTCGAGACTTTCAGTAGGTAAGCAAAAAATACAACCACTTATGTTGCGATTTTCTCTATGCCTGTGATATACCGCTACTTACCGAGCTGAGACCCTTCGGAGCAAATTATTTACCTCTGAAGGTACTGTTCCCGCTCATCCACAACTGTCAAGTCATGAACTTCAGGCTAACGAAAATATTGCAGCACTTGCCCTACCTCGTCGATTGCCTATTGAATCCCTGCAGGCCAGATGGTTTGCTGAGCCCTTACGACTCCTGTCATTCACGCCTTCAACATTCCTCAAGAATTCGGGGGGTCATCCTGTGTTGGGCAAGAGCCATCAAGCCCTCATAACTCGCTATATGCGACTAAAGCAGCCTCCATGGCTTCTGCTCCGAGATGTTGGACCTATCCCTGGGCTCGACGATCCAATGGCGCTGAATCCTACAGCCGATGGTTTCCCATCCCCAAGCGTTGTTATCGATGCATCAAGATCTGTTTCCCCAACGCCTGCAGAGGCAGCTGAGATTAAGTTGAAGGATACTCATAAATCAAAGCACAAGCTATACAAAGATGCTGCAGCTCATTTGATATATCTTCGGTACCTTCAAAGAAATCAACCAGCCAGGACTTCAATTGAGAAATTTGGTTCGGGCTATCAAGATTATTTGCAATCTCCGTTGCAACCTCTCACCGATAATCTCGAGTCCGTTACATATGAAGTGTTTGAAAAGGATCCTGTAAAGTATGACTGGTATGAGAGAGCGATCGCACAAGCTTTGTCGGACTGGGCTCAGCACGGCAAACCTACATCAAGTTCAAGTGGTGCAGTAGTCATCGCTGTGTGTGGATCGGGAAGAGGACCCCTTGTCACTCGAGCTCTCCAAGCCAGTGAGACGACTGGAGTGGCAGTTGAGATTTGGGCAGTGGAAAAGAACCCCAATGCCTACGTATTACTTCAACGACACAATGAAGAGGATTGGGGTCGAGTGGTAAATGTTGTCAAAAGCGATATGCGGGCTTGGAAAGGACCGCTTCGGAGTGCAGTCTCTCACATCGGACAAGCAATCACTACAAGCGGTACCGAGCCAGTATCACAATACGGCAAAGTTGACATCATTGTGTCTGAGTTGCTTGGTTCATTCGCTGATAACGAGCTTTCACCCGAATGTCTGGATGGTGTGCAGCATGTCTTGGCCCCGCAATTTGGCATTTCTATTCCGAGCTCTTACACAGCACATTTGACTCCTATAATGGCTCCACAGCTCCATGCGGATATCTCACGCCGTTCTTTGACAGATCCAACTGCTACAGAGACACCTTATGTAGTTATGCTTCATGCTATCGACTACCTAGCAAACTCTGTGCCCGAGCATCCTCGAATTCAACAGGCATGGGAATTTGTTCACCCTCTTCCCGCCTCTACTCTTGCAATTGCCGAAGCTAGAAGAAGCGGGGGTGTCAGCGGTGGAGGAGGTGGTAGCATGTCTGGAGGAGACGGTGCAAATGAGCATAACACTCGCTCGGCTAGACTGAGATTCGTGTGCAAAGACCGAGGTGTAGTTAACGGCCTGGCTGGCTACTTCGAAACTGTGCTCTATGATGGAGGAGAAGCAGGCAAAGTCGAACTGAGCACGAGACCAGACAACATGGCTGCAAAGAGCAAGGATATGATATCTTGGTTCCCGATATTCTTTCCTCTGAAGGTATGTCACTGCAACCGATTAATGGCAGAGCTGTTCAACGTTAATTTCAAAATGCAGAACCCTCTTTACTTTCCTGATGATTCCGAACTAGAAGTCAGTATTTGGAGACAAACAGATGACAGAAAGGTCTGGTATGAATGGTTGGTCGAAGCCTACGTAATGGTTGGTCCCGACAAGCGGATGAGACTCGGATGGAGTGAAATGGGTACTAGCCGCAAAGTTGGCTGTCTGATGTAGATATCTTCACTTAAGACGGATTCCCAAGCGTTGGTCTTCATCTTTGCATTTTCACTGCTTGCCATAAACAGGGAAGCTAGATACTGTCTCTTGGTATCAAAATCCATTCCGCCGTGATGCCTTGACAATTCGAAAACGTGAACGCCTTGCCCTCGATGTACCAGTGAACTTTTTGGTTGGAGACCAACGATGCGTATTTGTCTCCCAGCGTATTGCCAATCTTGCAGATAACACAGCCAGCCTCCCACGAATGTCTTGTCCCTATGACTCCTTTCTTAACCTCAACCATCCATCTTCGTATCTCCATTCCCGTTGTTTTGATTTGCGCCTTGGATCCATAATACATTATTGCACCTATTCTCAAAATCAGCCTATCTCCTCCACATATGAACATCCGCAGAGAGAGAACACACCGTATCAGAACTTGTCCCAGAACACTCGTCATCTCTTGGTCAATCCATTCCTCTGCGCCAGAAAGCTGGATGTTCATGTAGCTGTCGATGCTCACGAGACGGCCCTTGTACTCGGTTTGGCCCCATTTCAGTCGGATGACAACTTCCTCGTTGACCCTGTGCACATGAGATATCAGTATATGCCCTCAAACTGCTTTGAGAAGAGTCGATGTGACTGATAGGAAGTTTGCGACAACGTACAGGTTTTGCAGCATCGGCCGCGGGTTGATGGGCATGAACTGTAGGATTTCGATTAGCATAGAACACGTAGAAACATTCTAAATGGGGAGCTCTTACGCTGGCCATCTTGTCTATGGAGAAAGGACTTTTGGTGGAGAGTTACGGGAGATTGCTGGGCTTTTGAAATATTGAGGCTGCGAAGCTTCTGTGATGGATTTGTTTGGTGGTGCTGCTTTTGGGGCGTTTTGGAGCTAGTGGAATGCGAGGCTGGAGCTTGAGGGAAGGCTGACAACACTCTCGATATTCATTGATTATTTTTATTTTACTTCACTTCATTTAAATCTTCCTTTTAGCGCTGTCTATTGTTCTTGAGTGAACAAGTCAGGATCAGATGTTGTCATTGCATCATTAGTTAAGCGTAATACGTAGCTATCTGAATGGAATTTCGCTGAACGCAATTCGTTTATAATTGCTCAGTTTCTTCTGATCTCCCACTTCATGTCCTTGATACTGACTTCATCTCCTGCTTTCTCATCGTAGTCAAACCAGTCTCCTTCGCTAAGGTCAATAGCTGTGAACTTGGTACCAGATTCTAGCCCAGTTGCAAGCCATTCTCCCTACAGTAAATTAGACTAGTTTCTCAAGGATTTATGGCAATGCTATGTACTTCTGGATGGAACTCGGTGAATTCTAGTCCTCGACAATCAATTTCAAGAATCTTCTGCCGAGTCGGAGGAGACGCTTGTTGATATGCAATAGGAGCTGCTTTGATCGTCGCAGATGACTCTCTCTACAATCTATTCAGCCAACTCTCTTTCAACTATACATGAGCTCAAATGTAAAGGAACTGTTACCTTGCAAAACTGGCACTTCCAAACGAAGTTTGCCTCTCCTCGACTACCGCTCATCTCATTTTGCTCCTTCATGTGATATCAGCGCCGTGTCAGTCAGAATTGCTAAATATACTTACAAAACGGCTCACGGAGACGTTGTTTGAGTGGTTTTCACGGCAGGAAGTGCATTGCACCTTGAAGGTATACCAGAATGGGTTGTCCGCAGTATCGTCTGGCCTCAACTCAGTCACACTGTAAAGCCATCAGCAGAGTTTCGAATAGCTGATATATGCAATATACCCCGACAAGTCTGCCGTTAGAGTGAGAGACAGCATCTGAGATATGTTGTTTGATTTGTTGTTCTTGCTAAACCTTTCAAAAGCATGAGGTGGTGGGGTTGTTCGAGGGGCAGATAGTCGGCTACAAAAGCAGCAAGAAATCTTGATGCTTGGCCGAGCTCCGAACATTCGACATCGTCTGATAATTTGACTTGCTCATTTCACCAAAGAACTGCAATCAAGCCTCCACCACAGTCGATTGAGTTATCCCCGAGATGCTGGGAACAATCTAACGACCTTCGGTATGCTACGATAATGCAACTTCTCTGGTCTCGCGCTGCGCAGGCCAGGTCGTCATGTCGATGTAGCTCATGTCTACACACGGCAACGACTCTAGCTCGAAGAACCACCACCGCAGCCAGCAAACGTCGTCTGAAGATCAGTGATGTATTCACGGCATGTTACTCGACTATTCTCGCCACTGCAGCCTTCGCAGACGCGAAAGTGAAGGAAGAAAGAAGGAAAGAATGGGACAGGTTGATCGAGGAAGTCAAAACACCTTCGAAGCGTGGGAAGAACGCCGGTAAAGGCCTAGATGGAGATTCAAAACCGGAGATAGACGATTGGGAAGTCCAGAAATCCCATGGATCCACAATCGAAGTGGCTGAAGTTCCCTTCTCGTCATACAAACCAGTTAAAGACCTCTCTTCAACAACGAGATACAGCCCCTTACAAGACCACAGTCTCGATGCATGGGGTCTTCCTCCGCGAACCAAGGTGCCGCCAGTGGGCGAGAAACTGCAGTCTCTGGACTGGAAACTTAGAAACTCCACAGCTGAACGTATCGTCGCCAGAGATGTTGACTCTATCCACCAATCTGGGCTCGATCGTGAAGGGCAATTCATTGATGATATGTTCGACGCGGACCTATGGAATCGGGAGCCCAGGACACCGCTACATATCGAAAAGTATGAGGAAATGGTTATGAATCTAGTCAACAAGATACTACAGGAATCAAAAGTATTCTCAAGCTCTATTCAACCAGAAGGGTATAGAGCTTTGAAGATTCAGCAGCAGCTGTCCGAAATGGCTCAACGATTCGTCGCTCTCGACATTGGCGTATCTCGTGTTCCTACCTTCAATTATGACGATATCGATGCTGTCAATGATCAACGCAAAATGCTTCATCATTCTATCTGGGCCTTGTGTTTTTCAGCATCTAGACGTCAGACGGATATTAATGTCACTGTTGCGAAGATATGCTACAACCTGCTCATCTCTACAGCCCCACCCAGCATTACGACGTACAACATTCTTTTGAACGAGTTTTTGAATTTGAAGAGATTGGATCTGGCCCAAATTGTTGTAGACTCTTTCTTCCACGAGAGCAGGTTCAAGCCGAACAAGAGAACTATACGACTTATATTGGACCATTATAGAGCCAAGTCTGACTTCGAAGGATTTCATGATGTCATTCAACGAATGAGAGGCACGAAAGGAGATATGCGGATTCACATGAGACAGCTATTCTTTTTATCCGAGTTTCCGGTGAAAACGTGGGCACTTAACAACAACGTCATCCATCGAAATGGATTCTTGAGGCAGAAAGCACCGCGATCCCGTCCTGTCTTCAATTCGCTCATCCTAGGTTCCCTCGAGTTCCAGAGTATCAGAGGAGCAGTCCGCTACGCTCGTGCTGCGCTTCGTGAAGGGCACGCGATTTCTGCCGAGACCCTTTGTGCTGTTATAAAGCGTATTGTCGACAAATTAGATGCTTATGCTGGTTTGTCCTTGCTCAGAGCCATCCTGGCACAATGGGAAGACGGATCAATAGTCGCAATAACCGTTTACTCCAAGGACCTTCGTTATCAGATCAACCAACTACTTCTCCTCTGTAGCATCAACCCAACCAAGCCATCGTCTCGAACGCTACCACCCCGCGTGTCCTCCACGGCAATATCGAATCTGCTATGGCGGATGCAGCTTGGCACTATTGCAGATGCCATAGAGCGTTCTGCTAACTTCCTCTTGCAACTAGACGCTTGCCTTGGTATGAGTGGGTTGGACTTTTCATACACAGAAATCCAACCGTACTGTGCAACTCAAGACACAGCACCTCAGCGGCTTGAATGGGCTGCGCAAATAAGTCGGAAGTACACTCGTATTGAGAAGGCCCGTCGCAACAGGACAAAGCAAGCCGAACGACAAGGTTGGCGATTCAGACTGCAAGTGTTGGAGAAAATGGTCGATGAGGCTCCAAAGTCCATGCTCCCCCTTGAGGCTGAGATACTTGAGATGCATGTCGTGACTAGGAAAATCGAACTGCAGTCTCTCCTAGTTAAAACAATACCAATGGATCTAAGCGCAGCTGAGAAGTATGTACGTGCTTTGACAACAAGCTCCGCTCGACCACCTCTCTCCGCAGAATATCCTATGTTTCAAGTTAGCAAATCCCAAAATCTTGTCCAGGACCCAATCTCTTATTTGGAGACAAAGCTATTCAACAGCACAGAAACTGAATGGCATCGAAGACTCATGCGAGAGCTACACACGACGGACAGCCCTAGCCGTCGTAAGGCACTTACAATGCAACGAATCGAGCACATACGACATTTACTGGATAGATATCTTGACCCAGAGGCTGGGCAGCACGTGATGGCATTAAGATCGACCGTGCAAAAGGAACCTGAAGAGCTAGCAAACCCAGATTCGAAATCAACGCAATGGCCCTCGAAGAAGAGACTGCCAGGAGAAACCAGGATTGACCACGACGGACGCAGAAGGCAAGAACGATTACAAGAGGCAAAACAATCTTCGCGTACGCAGCATGAGAGCGATAAGAAACAAGCCGCTACTCAAGTTCTGTCTTTGGAAGATGAGCAAACTTCTGTGCCTACGGTAGGACTGGAAGAACGGAAGACATCGTTGCCACCTGCCGGCCTTCTTCCATTGGATCCATTCTCCAAGAGGATCGACTTAGCCGTGGGCTGAAGAGACCACAGTACTTTGTACATATAGGATACAAACATGATGTAGATAGAGGCATCCGAGCATAAGCATGAAAACGGCGTTATGGTCTGAAGCATTTTTGCAATGAACAACAGCATCAGGGGAGCAACAGCAGTGAGAGCTGAGCTGAGTACAGATAGTATATAAATGATCAAGTATATACCTCGAACAACCTAGTAATCACAGACATTCCTCGAAGTGAATTGCTCTCATCGAAGTTACACAAACACTGTCTTTGAATGTCCTAAAAAAGACCACAACATTTACATCATAGACAAACTCAACCACTCCGTGTAGGCTATATAAATGCCCAAGCACGATCATCATGTTCCAACAACAGTCCGCTTCCCAACCACAACTTCTCCAGGGCACAAACCTCGATAAAAACAATTATGTGCATCTACTGGTATCCCAAATACGCAGAATGCAAACACATCACCGAAACGGGCTACGTTATCTTTTACTGCTACCCAGCACGTCACAAATTGGAATGTAAGAGCGATACTAGGTACATCACGAGGAAAGGACTATGTCCGACATGTGCGGAGGGTGAGGAGGAACGGAAGTTGGAGAGTGCGGTTAGGGAGGCGTGGCAGAAGGAGAGTGAGGAGTGGGGAATGGAGGGAGAGGGGAAGGAAGTGGTCCTCAAGAGATGACATGCAGCCGCTTGGCTGAGATAAAGCTCTTCTCGATGTAGATGCTATAATATAAAAAAGTCTTGTTGTGCGTCTGAGCTGTGGGAAACTCAACAGGATGGATGTCAGATAGATTTTTGAACGTTTGAGGATCTGAATGTTCTTTGGGAAAAAGAGATTTGAATCATTACAGCCAACAATATATCCAACACGGTAACACCTATTTATAGTTGCATACGAAATTGGAGACCCAGATCCTGACAAACAATATAAGAAACTGCAACGGGCTGACACTATATAAATACCATTTGTAGGGCCATTTTCTAACATCTTTCTGTGGCACTTAAAAGAAAGCAAGAAGTAGTGATTCGAACGTCCCATACTTAAGATGACATTCTCGGCAACCAAAGGAAGGCGATGCATTGAAACTACAGTGAGTAATAAACCTCTTCTAAATAATAAAGCAAGCCTTAAACTTTGCCGAATATCAAAGCAAACAAGTTGTTATTTCCGAGTCACTTGAACAGCAACAGTCTTTGTCGACCTTACCCAGTGCAAAATTCGTTCATAATAGTATGGGCCTACTTATTGTGTAAAGGAATACGAGAAATAGCTCACAACCAACATTCATCATCCGGTCTCCAATAAGCAAGCCCAGGCAAGTGGGCAACAAACAAACGTCTCGTGATAGCTTTGTACAAGAAGTGCGCCCAGCCCCCTCATACCTTCTTAGCGTGTAGCAGCAGAGGTCTTTGTTCCTGCACATGCAAGGTCGAACCTCGAATACGAACGTCATCTTTTCCTCGCCTCTTCAGGATATTAGCCAACTTCACCTCATCTCATAATCCAACCTTCATTTCCAACTTCAACATTCACTCTCTTGATTCTTGATGCCAAAGACAGCATTCACATATGAGGGATTTTCTCTTGGCGGACGTTCCATTATTGAGATTGAGTTTTCGCCAAAGCCAACAACTAGATATTAAGGTACACTAGTGGATCTGCCAGGCTGCTGACGATCCTCGAATAGGAAAGGCTTATCGTGACTCGCATTAACTAGAAACATTGGGACACTCGAGTCCATTCCTCACTGGCAAACAATCTCGGACTCGATCTTTTCGCATCTTCTTCCTCGCTGTCGTTACTCTCACTGTCATTGACTTACATTCGTTACCGGAGGAATTGAGGCACTGAGGCCGTTGATCGACCGCACAAGGGACATTCGGGACCTTGGGATTGTTGGACCTCGATCAACATGTTTCAGTCGGTAAGTTGTGGAGCTCCCCGCCTGGACTTCCTTACAACGCCCTTTTATGCGGTTTCCCGCATCGTTGGAGGAAACGCGTTTCACAAACATTGTTCTATGTAATGGCTATATAACATCCGATGTGTAACAGATCCAATTCGCGATTCTTTCGCTCTTCGTCGCAACTACCTTCGCTGTAGAGACTGTGGTTATCAATGGCTCGGATTTCGTTAATTCGGTCACTGGGAATAGATTACAGATCTTGGGTGTCGCATATCAACCTGGAGGATCGTCAGGATATGATCCAGCCAGTGGAGTAGATCCGTTGAGTGATGGGAGCGTATGCTTGAGAGATGCTGCGCTCATGCAGCGTCTGGGCGTGAATGCGATTCGAGTCTACAATGTCGACCCTGACCTTAATCATGATATGTGTGCCTCCATATTCAATGCGGTTTGTAGCGTCTCTAGACCCATGTGACTCCCACTAACATCTTGTAGGTTGGCATATACATGTTGATTGACGTTAATTCTCCTCTAGCTGGACAGAGTATCGACCGTAGCGCTCCATGGGATTCCTACGACTCTTCATACTTGAACCGAACATTTGCTGTGGTGGAAGCATTCAAGAGCTACCCAAATACCCTCTTGTTTTTTGCTGGGAATGAGGTTGTCAATGATCTGCCAACTGGTGGAACTGTTCCTCCGTATATGAGAGTGAGTTTACCTCTATAACTCGTTGCTTGTGCTTTGGCTGACATGTGAAGGCTGTCACTCGAGATCTCAAGCATTATATTGCAAAGCACTCCACCCGTAGCATCCCCGTAGGATATAGCGCTGCAGACGTTCGTGATGTTCTTCTCGACACCTGGAACTATCTTCAATGCACTACCACTGGCGATGACACGGACCCTTCTCGTGTGGATCTTTTCGCACTTAATAGTTATTCGTGGTGCGGTGATTCTACATACCAGACATCTACTTATGACGTCCTCACCGCAGATTTCAGCAACACTAGTGTCCCAGTGTTCTTCTCCGAATATGGCTGCAATCAACCATCACCTCGTGTCTTTACCGAAGTCCCCGTTCTCTATGGGCCACTCATGACTCCAGTTCTTTCTGGTGGTCTCGTATACGAGTTTACTCAGGAGACCTCCAATTATGGTCTTGTGAATGTAAACAGCAATGGATCTGCCGAACTTCTGGTTGACTATGATACCTTGCAAAAGCAATTTAACACCCTGAACGTTACCATGCTTCAAGGCGAAAAGGCTGCAAACACCACTGTTGTGGCCCCAACTTGCGCCTCTTCACTCATCGTTAATCAAGGATTCGCAAACAACTTCACAATCCCAGCAGTTCCTTCCGGAGCACAAGATCTAATCGACAACGGCATCAGCCCTGCACCCGTTGGGAAGCTAGTTACGGTTACATCCACTAAGGTCACCCAGCAAGTACAGCAGAGTAATGGCCAGGTGATGACTGGTCTTGCAATTACCCCTCTGGCCGACGATGAAAGCAACAACCCCAGCGGCGCAAGCCCGTCGTCTTCTAGCACAACCACAAGTTCTGCACCAGCAGCAACTACCAGTAAGAAGGGCGGGGCTGGGAATGTAAAGAGTAATTGGAGTGTGCTGCTAGGCGTTGTATCTCTTTCCGTTTTGTACACTTCTTTCATTTGAGCCAATGTTGGCATACTTTCTCTTCTTGCACATAATTCGGAGACGGGTTTCATGAATGACGAGAAGTTTCGTGGGTGTTATCTCCTTCAAGCAGCGTCAGTTCATGGTTGAGAATGGGATGGATGTTTTATTGATGAGCATGAAGCGATGCATTAGATTACTTAATTTGAGTTGTACGCCAAGCGCGACTCTCTGCTTCAAGGAACTATATTTGAGCAATTAGCATGCACGAAGCGTGGTATTGACCTTATCAAGGGTGAAATATTCACTTCCTAGTGATTATTACATGTCCACATTGAAGGAAAATGAGGTCATCATAGCCTCCCGCTCACAGAATTCCAGCGATTAAAGTCTGGCAAAGTGTTCGGCAATGATTCCTAGCTTTCCGAAGCTGGTCTGGGTTATTGATTGTCCCAGACTATTGTCCTACTTTATTGCACATCCTATGATCTAAATGTCTCGCTGCATGTCACCACATATGCAGCACATCGTCCTCTGGAATATCCGAATCATTATCCTGACAGTAAACACGATAGCCCACTTCCCGATATCTATGATGATCCCAAACTAGAACCATTCACGATAATGTCCACACACATTCCGAGCAACAATTTCTGAGATGCAACTATGCAAGCACTTAATCACTTTCTAAACTACCACTCACCTCATTAAAATCTCAACCTAACTAAACCTCGATCTATACCTGCAACCTAATCACTTCCTTTCTCCACCATCCCTCGCCTAACCTCGACCCAACCCAAGATCCAAAAAGGAGGAGCATCCACGTGACCCGCCGCCCCCACGCCCAAACTTAATCTCACCTAATCAATCTCCATATCAATCCTCCAAAAAATGACCAGACAGGTATCGGCGACTTCTCTCTCTCAGCGGCTGAAGAGGCGCCTCCCCCATCCCCCAAGCCCCGAAAAAGACTAGAAAGACAAGTCGGTCGCCGATAGCTCTGCCTATCTATCCATCCATCAATCTCATCTCATTTCATCTCATCTGGATCTGATCTCACCTCGGCCCGCCGCTCGTCGTCGTCGTGTGGTGAATAATAAGGCTGATTGATTGATTGATTTACTGTACCTTTACCTTTACCTTTACCCTAGGACGCGAGGCGCGCGCCGCCGGAGCCTTTTTGCCTTTACTCCGTGGAATTTTGCCTCCATGGCACAGTACAGGTACGTATCTTGCTTGGCCTTGGTTCGTTCGGCGACTTCATGCCATGGCTTGACTTGGGTTGAGGTGGGTACATGATATGTGTCCGAGTGAGATATGGTACGTACTGGAACGCTCGGACAGCCCGCGGAAGGTGAGAGAGTGTTTGACAGTCGTGGTCTTGTCGTATAGGGCTGGAAGTTGTTGTACGTACGGAGGTCCGTAAGTGTTTGTGAGCCACCTGGGTGAGGAAGATGCTATTTTTGGACTAGGGTGGTTTTTGAGTGAGAAGCACGTGATTGGTGATTTCCAGCTGGCAAGGACCTCGAAGCGAGACTGGGGTTGGTATGCATAGTGGGGCTTGCATGAAGTAGGTACACGGAAAACGGGTGCATGAAGAGAGTATGTTACTGTACACCATGAACAATTAGAGTATCTATTGTAAAAGAGGTTTTCCTAAGCAAACAAAGTTTGTACGCCGTGATCTGCCTTGGATCAAACAGATGCTCAAAAGGTTCTCGTCATCAATGCAAAGCAAATATCATTCTTTCCTTTCCCCTCCCAAAGTCTAACCGCTGAACTCCTTAACCTTGCTTTGCTCCAATCTACCGGGGACGAGAGCCAAGGGAACAATACCACTGACGTGCATCTCTGGGCCATAAACGTGCATGTCGAGCTTCAATTCTTGACCGACTGACTTGATGTTCTTAAGACCTTCTTGGTAGTTGGGACCAGCGCGACGAACCCAGATTTGGACCTTGTGCTCGATGAGTTGAGGGGCGACTTCTCGGAGAGCTCGGATGACTCCCTTGAAGGTAGAGGCGACGTTGGTGAAGTTGGCAATACCACCACCGATGAAGAGGACCTTACCCTCAGGGTAGAGAGGAGCGCGGAGCATCAGATCCAGGACAGTGCGGGCGTAGTGGAAGGTTTGAGTCTCAGTTGGGGCACCAGAGTATTCACCATAGTTGGCGAGCTCATCGGCGAAACCACTGCTGGCAATGGCATCAGCGTAGACAACTGAAGCACCACCACCAGCGACCAATGTCCAGACACGACCCTTAGAGTTGAGGATGGTCAACTTGAGTGATGCACCAGTCTTAGCGTCGAGCTCGGCGATGTAGGCTTCCTCCTTGCTCATCTCACGACCGAAAGGAGCTGGGAACTCCATTGGTGGACCAGCATCGATGTTGACCTTGTTATCTGTGGCCTTGACGACAGCCATTCCAAGAGCAGCAGGTGATCGTGCAACAGCCCACTTAACACCACACTCGAACTCGGCAGTCTGATCAAGCTTGGCAGCCAAATCCAAGAAGTAGACATCAGCGGATTGCGCATCGGAGTCAGCCTCTTCTCTTGGAACAACGACGAGAGGGTTGATCTCGAGGTATGTAAATTGGCAGTCGACGTAGACGGCATAGAGTCTGCTGATGAAGTCGACGAGAATGTTGTGGACGCCCTTGGGAACCTTCTTCAGGAGAGTTGTGGCGATCTTGTAGTTTGACGGGTATTCCTCAAGATCAACTGGGATCAAGAGCTTCTCGGCTTTGGCATCGACATCACCGACATCAACACCACCCTCGTGCGTGAAGAGAATCCAGTCGCCCTGAAGTAACAATAGAGTTAGCACGTGGTAGAGGCTAGATGGGGGCCATGACTAGGACTAAAACAAAGTGGGGGAAAGCAGAGAATTTTTTAGGCAGAGATGGGAGACGGATAGCCCTGACAGCGGGAGAGCCCGCACACATGGTAATGCAGGTACCAAGTTGCATCTTGGTAGGATGCTGTTGCAGTTTGGAAGGCCCACATGTAAAATGAGGTCTAGCTTCCGCTCGCCCGCTGGTACATCTATTGCCGAACCACAGCTTTGGACCGGAAACACAAAAAGCTTCTTTGATCCCACATGCAATTTTCTCTCTCTGCATTGTGTTCAAACATCGACTTTTTGACCTCGCTTGAGGCGCCGCACGTAGTGAGACCAATCGTTGATGTCTTTTGACTTTCTTTTCAACCTGTCTCTCCTTACGCCCACTTTCGCCATCGTTTGGGGGCCAAAATTGGGACATGACTGCGAAATGGCATTACATACCTCTCTTTGAGAGTTGATGTTGATGTAGTACTCGGTACCGGCAGGGTGAGGTACGAACGGCTCTACCAAGAATTGTCGCAGAACACCGACGGTGTGCTCAACCTTTTGGGCCTTTCCAGCACGCTCAGCAATCCACGCCTTAGCTTCGGGCCAGCTCTTGTTCAATGCCAGGAGACCGCTCTTGCCTCGTCGCTTGATCAATTGATCTGGCTTGGCAACGAACTTGGATCCTGGGATCAACAGCCATGGGTATGAAGTTTCGGCTTGATCGAGAATGGTGTTGACGTCCTGGTCTTCCGGGAAGTAGAGGGAGGCGAGCTTGGGAGGAGGGTTGTGTGTTGCTTGCTTGGGGAGAGGAGAAGGCTTAATGACTGGGGCGCGGGTGAGGTGGTAGTTGAGGATTGCCTTTCCGTCGGCTTCGAGAATGGACTTGGCTGCCATTGCAAGAGATGTGAGGTATGTTTACTGTTCAGGGCATGTTAGCATAAGCATCTCTTGCATTTTGTGTCTTGCTGCTAACATGAAGGTAAAGCTGCGTCTGTGAAATATTTACAAGAGTGCCTCGGAGAGAAACGACGGCCGAAATTGGATGGTGAACAAAGATCAACGGAAAAGAGATGGCAGCTCGACACTTGCTTGCTTGCTTGCGATTGAGTGGTGACAATTCGCAATGGGCGAGGTACAAGTGGATCTTGGGCGCTGTCAGACGTTTTGACGGTCTTTGAGGCAGTCTTAAAGAGGAGAGAGGGGAGTTTTGATGCGATGCGAAACCGATGCGAATGGAGGATTCAGGAGGGTTAACAACGAACGTACCAGAGCAGAAAAAAGAGTTCGGGCTCCCAAGGCGAGATTTTTAAATTCGGGACGTTCAGGAGGAAATGGACGTTTTTGGGATTATGTGAGTATCGTGCGTCCTCAACGAGTCAAGTTGGCAGCTTGGGGGGTGATGGATTGGAAGTCTTGAGGGATGTGCTCAATTTAGGACGACGCCGAGCTGACTACGGCCACCGAATTTTTGGGGGTCCGATGGTGTGGGCGGAAGCAGAATGAGCGATGGTTGGATTCTAGCGCAGAAATTCCCCCAACACAAAAGCCGACAGGCACAACAAGCTGCGGATCCGACAGGGATGAGGGGAGTTTAGGAGCTCACGGCTTGGGGACGCAGTCTCATTTTGGATCATTCTGGAGGGAAAACAGTGAATCTGCGCCGCAGTATTTTTTGCTGTTTCGCTCGGCTCTGGGGTCATCATTGTGTTGCTGCTGGCTGCTTTATTTTTAAAAGTATTTTTGGCTTGGCCTGGTCGGGTCGGGTTAGCTTTGGTTTGCTGCTGCTCTCTCTCACCTCAACTCAACTCAACCAGCCGGTCCACCATTTCGGAGTTCAACAGAGGAACCTTGCAACCCGCCAACCCTGCACACGATTCAAAACCGCCATTTCCCCAATTACTGCTTCGGCGCATCAACTTTCTCTCCTCTCCTCACAACTCGACGGCTCCTCCTCTTCCTTCTGGTCCCCTCGCATCTCCATCAAAAAGGCGACACCGCGGCACACCACCCATATCTTCTCTCTCCTTCTCTCCTCTGTACATCGTCTGCTCTGCCTTTCATTCACGGAGTTGTCCAAGCATTCAGCTTTCATATTTCACCTGCTGCAGCTGTGAACGAGAGCGTGGTGCACCAATTTCTTACTTGATGTAAGTATCAATAAATAATACCCTTCTCTTCTTTTTTCTCACCCGAGCTACTGCTCTTACTACTCCCTCCGTCTCCACTCACAATCTCAACAAGCACATCCATTGCAGTGCGTCACCACAAAGCAACGACCATTGCTAACTTTTTCCTCCTCTCTTCAGAACCATTTCTCTCGACGCCTTTCACGATGCCTTCTGCCGTCGCTAATGGTGCGGCCACCAATGGCACTGCTGCCACTCCGGCACCAGCAAGCCTCTCTGCCAACGACAACATCCGCCGTTTCGCAGCTCCTTCTCGTCCTCTCAGCCCTCGCGCCGAACACACTCTCTTCCACGAGAAGACACGATGCTTCGTCTACGGTCTCCAGCCCCGAGCCGTGCAGGGCATGCTCGATTTCGACTTCATCTGCAAGCGAAAGACCCCTTCTGTGGCCGGTATTATCTACACATTCGGTGGTCAGTTCGTGAGCAAGATGTACTGGGGAACCAGCGAGACTCTGCTGCCCGTCTACCAAGATGTGGACAAGGCAATGGCAAAGCACACGGATGTTGACACTGTTGTTAACTTCGCATCTTCCCGATCTGTCTACCAATCTACTATGGAGCTTATGGAATTCCCTCAAATCAAGTCAATTGCTATCATTGCTGAAGGTGTACCCGAGAGAGTAAGTTTGTGCGTATACAGAAGCTCAAGACTGGTCTAACAACATCTTCAGCGTGCCCGCGAAATTCTCCACGTTGCCAAGAAGAAGGGTATCACCATCATCGGTCCCGCAACTGTCGGTGGTATCAAGCCAGGCTGCTTCAAGATCGGTAACACTGGTGGTATGATGGACAACATTGTTGCCTCCAAGCTCTACCGCAAGGGATCCGTGGGATACGTCTCTAAGTCCGGTGGTATGTCCAACGAGCTTAACAACATCATTGCCAACACAACCGACGGTGTTTACGAGGGTGTTGCCATTGGTGGTGACAGGTACCCCAGCACAACCTTCATTGACCATCTTCTGCGATACGAAGCCGACCCTGAATGCAAAATCCTTATGCTTTTGGGAGAGGTCGGTGGTGTCGAGGAATACCGAGTCATTGAGGCTGTTAAGAACGGAGTCATCACCAAGCCAATTGTCGCATGGGCTATTGGTACTTGCGCAAGCATGTTCAAGACTGAGGTTCAGTTCGGACACGCTGGTTCTTTCGCCAACTCTCAGCTCGAGACTGCTGCCGTCAAGAACAAGTCCATGAAGGAGGCTGGTTTCTTCGTCCCAGATACCTTCGAGGATATGCCAGCTCTTCTCGCCACCGTCTACCAGAGACTTGTTAAGGATGGAACCATCAACCCTCAACCCGAGCCAATCGTACCAAAGATCCCAATTGACTACTCATGGGCTCAAGAACTTGGTCTCATCCGAAAGCCTGCTGCATTCATCTCTACCATCTCCGACGACCGTGGACAAGAACTCTTGTACGCTGGTATGCCAATCTCGGATGTCTTCAAGGAGGATATCGGAATTGGTGGTGTTATGTCCCTGCTCTGGTTCCGTCGTCGTCTCCCAGATTACGCCAGCAAGTTCCTCGAGATGGTGCTCATGTTGACTGCCGATCACGGTCCAGCTGTCTCGGGTGCCATGAACACCATCATCACAACCAGAGCCGGAAAGGATCTCATCAGCGCTCTTGTTTCAGGTCTTTTGACCATCGGTTCAAGATTCGGTGGTGCTCTTGACGGTGCTGCCGAGGAGTTCACCAAGGCCTTCGACAAGGGTCTTTCCCCACGTGACTTCGTCGATACCATGCGCAAGCAGAACAAGCTCATCCCAGGTATTGGCCACAAGGTCAAGTCCCGCAACAACCCTGATCTCCGTGTCGAGCTCGTCAAGGAGTTCGTCAAGAAGCGTTTCCCCAGCTGCAAGATGCTCGACTATGCTCTTGCTGTCGAGTCGGTGACCACATCGAAGAAGGACAACTTGATCTTGAACGTTGATGGTGCCGTCGCTGTCTGCTTCGTTGATCTGATGCGCAACTGCGGTGCTTTCAGCGCCGAGGAGGCTGAGGATTACTTGCAAATGGGTGTCTTGAACGGTCTGTTCGTTCTTGGCCGATCCATTGGTCTGATTGCCCATTACCTTGATCAGAAGAGACTGCGCACTGGCTTGTACAGACATCCTTGGGATGATATCACCTATCTCCTCCCAAGCTTGTCAAACGGTGCGCCTGGTGCTGAGGGACGTGTGGAGGTGCAAATGTAGATTCATCGAATGTCTTTTTTTTGCTTTGGCGGAGGATCCGGAGTTACTCCTTTTACGCTCAGGCTGTGTAGCATGTAGACCACGACTTGCATTAACAGCACATCCTAATTCAAAAATGCTGAGAAATAGAACCATTATGATGAGAGAATTTTTGTCTTCATTGCTCCTTGTATGCAAAGCTTGTTGTGCCATAGAAAAGCAATCCAACGCCAGTAACCTTTACCAGGCAAATAATCCCCAAACAACTCCAGCCAGCCAGTCAAAGCATATCCATCGTACACCTCATCTATATTCACACACTCAAGCCTCCCCAACAACAAACTTGCTACTCATCAACTCATCCACATGCGCCCTCTCAATCTTCGTATTACCCTTATCCTCCTCCTTGAGCAGAACAGCCAATACCTCAATCGGAGGCTGCAATCCCAACTTATTAGCCCGGACCCAGCGCTTCATTCGTGCTATGCCTATCGCTGGCTGTATTCCCCATTAGCATCTCTTCCATCCCATCTCCACCTGCCATCCTCAGGGGGAAGAAACGTACCCCAAACTGACTACTCATATCCCACAACCTAAGCACCTTCTCCTCAACACTCAGCTCCTCCTGATGCACCCGCCGACTCTTCCTCTCCGCCTCCCTCTCGCGCCAATACCGCTTGATCTGCGCATCGCTAACCTTCCTCGCCCGCACCTCCTCCGCGGTCGCCTCGCGCGAGAGCTCGACCTTGGCTTGTTGCTCGACGGCCGGCGCGGAGGAGATGTGGCCTAGGTCGAGCTTTTGTTCGAGGGGTTCGGGTTTGATGTCTTTGATGTCTTTGAGGTCTTTGGTTGAGGCGGATTTGATGGTCTTGGAGTTGCCGAAGGAGAGCGTTTTTTGGGCGCCTTTGGCCGCGGGGCCGGTGGAGTGGCGGGTTCGGCGTGTTGGTGGCATTTTTGAGGGTTTTGGGCGGATGTTGGATGGAGTGGTGGTTGTTGGAAGTTTTTGGTGGTTGAAGTGTCGATGACGATGTTGAGGAGGGATGGTTGTTGGTATGGCAACAAGCTACCTAGGCGAGCGAGGATATTTTAGGCTACTAGTGACATTTTCTAGTGGATTCTGGGTTGAGAGTATGCTGGTTTTTTTTTATATCTGTTAGATTCAATAGATTCCTATATCCTTCACGAAGTATTCTATTAATCAGATACTAAAGTAAATTGTTCAATGAAAAGCTAACGTCCTACAAATATCTGACCATTTTCCGGACTTTTCAAATCACAGAATGTACAACATCCCGCAGAGCTCACGTACTCTCAGATTTATAAATAATTCTTATGTCTAAATACCTATATACATAAACTCGCCCATTTCTCTTTCTTCCCTTCAAGAATGCGCCTTCAATACATCGGCAATGATGCCAGTCATCTCTAGAACCTTCTCATCTTCCATCCGTCTACCAACACACTGCAACGTAACCGGAGTACCATGATAGAATTCCGCATCATAATCAGCCTGAACTTCTGCATCCTTTTCATTCAATGGTTTCCATCCGCTTCTCTCCTTATCGATATTCTTATCCGCAAATGTTACAGGGAATGTACAGATAGGATAATCTGACTAGCGTTAGTTTTTGATTCCGAAGAGATGCAGGAGAAACTTACCAAGTAGGTTATACACAGCTGTAAAATTAACGCAGAAAGTCTTCTGTGTTAAACCCAATCTTGGCGCCGTCCAAGGGGATGAAGCAACGATGATCCCATCCATGGCCTCCTTTCCATCACCAGCGGTACCTGTCCACTTATCCATATACGCCTTTTGCAGCGCATTCCTCTTGATGATCATCTCTCTCAACCTCGTGGGACCAAGAGTCCCATGTTCGCCCTTCTTAAAATACTCTTCATAATTTTTCATAGAGCCATAGACAGGTTCGTCATGTTTCAATGTTAGGTCCAGAATGGCTGCTGCACCTAGGGTGTAAAATGAAGAATTGACTTCCTTGGCCATTTCTGGATGATTGAAAGGTTCCCATTCGAAGACCTCATGACCGGCTGTTATGAGGGCTTTTTTGGTCATCTCTAGACCTCGAATAATAGGTGGATGGACGCTGTATTCGCCGTCGTTGTCAGAGATAATTCCAAAGCGGAGTTTTCGTCCTTTGGGTTGAATGACATCTCCTCTCCATGGGACAGCAACGCATTTCGGATCCAGATACCACGGAGATACTTCCGACGAGAGAACAGCTTGGCAATACAACTTGATGATATCCAAAGACCTCGCCATGGGCCCGTTGTTAGAATAGATGAAGTCTTGACCGCTGATACCTGACTTTGTGCCATATATTGGGAAACGTCCGAATCTAATTTCCGCATCAGCAAATTCCCTTCAAGAAGATGGAATACTCACGTAGGTTTCAACCCATACAAACCGTTAAACGCACTAGGAATTCTAATACTTCCTCCAATATCCGTCCCAACGCCGATCGGACTCCCCTTCATCGCCAACAAAACTCCCTCTCCTCCCGAACTCCCACCACAACTCGTCCCACTATGATACGCCCCCCTCGTCTCTCCCCACACATGATTGATAGTCTCCATCATCATCATCGCGGTAGGCACATTAGTCTTGACATAAAACACCGCACCCAACTTCTTCAGCACACTGACGAGAACAGTTTCATCGGTAGTAGCTTCATTGGCATAACACGCCATCCCAATAGACGACGGATGAGGCGGCGTAATCATACAATCTTTCAACGAGATAGGAAGCCCATGGAGAGGTCCTATCACCTGGCCCGTCTTCTCCAGATGCCCATCTAGGAATTTGGCGCGCGCAAGAGCTTCCGGGAACAGGATCTCGGTCAAGCAATTTGTCTGCCCTTCAATCAGTCTCGACTTCCACCAACAGCATAGGAGGGGAATTTACTAATTGCTGTGCAACAATGGCCGCTTTGCAAAATGCCTTTGTGACGTCTAAAGAAGTCGATTGCTTTTCTCGGATCTTGATGAGGATGTCTTCGGCGTTGCTTTCGATGATCTCGAGTTCTTCTGGGGTAAAGTGTCCGGAGGATCGCGGGATGGTGGTTAGGTCTCGTGGGAGGTCTTTGAGGGCTGATTCTGGGAGGAGGTATTCTTTTGGAATGGCTGCTTCTCTGCGTTTGAGAGCTATCTTGGATATTTCCTTGTAGTTCTGTCCCATTTTGACGTTTTGGGTGGTTGGTATTTTCTGTGTCTGGACTCAGGTGCTTGAAAACAATTTTTGGAAAGTTGAAAAGTTAGATGTATTAACTTAGTGTTCAAGATTCGTGTCCACTGGGTTTTTGTATTCTTTTGGTTTGCCCATGGGTCAAGTGAGGTCTTGCCCGTCTTGAGGTATCTGTAAGTGGGGGTTCGACTCTCCCGGCAGCGGCGATGTTGCCCCTCGCCTCAACCTTCAAAAGAGACGGTCCCGCACTAGGCCTCACTCATTCCAACAGCACTTAATGTATCACTTATTACTCCGATATACTTTCTAGATTTCAAATACGACTTGTTCCCTAGACGAGTACGTGAAAAGGTCAATTAAACGTTTTGATGGGGATACGTTCATTGAGATCTCAATATTTACAGCATTCAAACCAGCTTCAACCAGAAAATACAACAGCTCTTTTACTCGCTATTCCAGCAGCATCCGTGTTCGCATTCAGCACGCCAACATTCGAAATTAACAGATTGATATCAGTATCACTCCCCGTCCCAGAGATCTGCTGTCCAGCACTCTCACAAGCATGAGTCGTGATCTTATTCGTAACACTATCACCAATTAATCAGCATCTGCACTCTTGCCTCTCTGGCATTCTTTCCTGGACCGAGGAAGACCAAGGTAGGAATTAACTTACAAAGCAATGTTTCCGGCGCTTCCAGTTCCTCCTCCCAATCCTGCCTTGCTCGCAGTGTTGTTCGCTTGCGCAGTTGTGGTACAAGAAGCAATGGCTGCTTTGTCTGCTGCTGTGAGTGTCGATGCATTGACGCCTCCTGTGCCCAGTTTTGCTATTGCTGCCATAGCATCTGCAGGAATGGTGAGAGAGGATTGAGAAGTGGCGCCTGCGAGGACGGTCGCGATATTGGTGGTGCTCAGGACTGAGGCTTGGGTAGTTGCTAGGAGGGAAAGGACGATGAGGGAGGCGTAGGACTTCATTTCAAGACTGGCTATCGAAAGATGTATTTGGATTTCGAAAGAATGTGTGTTGAAGGAATGACTAAGAACAAATGTTTATGGTACAAGAAATTAAAGTGATCGACCAGCGTTCAAAGAATGAATGAAGAGAAGGAACAGAAACTGGACTGAGGAGATCGTGAAGAGTTTAAAGCTTAAAGCATAAAATTATCAGATCTGGGAAATGTGGGGTTAACGGTTAAGGTTACCCGATTGAGAGGTTTCATCTGATGATACGCCCGAGATCTGTTTGAATCATCTAGCGAAGGGGTGACACAGTCTCAGACTTGCCAAGCCCGCCGAGGTTCGTCTGATCGCCCTGTAGAACTTCGGAGGAAACACCGAAAAAGGTGTTTTGCCCTCGTCAGGACGTTCAAAGTGATCTTCCTAAACGAGAGAATCTAGGAATTCATCCTCCAGTAGAAAGTGTATAATTCTCTGTGTGAAAACAATAAAGCTTTTCGCTACATCTGAGATCAATAACAATTGGAAAATGAGACTTGGTGGTGAGTATGACGAAGACTTTTCCAATCACAGTCCTTTCCCATGTAAATGATATATATAATGGGAGGATGTTTCCCCTGGAATAAAGCCCGAAATTTATATAGAAACAGAAAGAGGCTGAATAAGAGGAAAGTTTGTTCTGCCATCATCTATAGACAGTTCAACCCATGGAGAAATGGGGAAGAATGCATATGCTCAGATGGGGTATGGATATTCTCCCACATAGTTCATTTCATCGTGTATCTCTTGGAGGCAGTAATCGTGTGTGCGTCGTGCTGTTCATTTCGGACATGAATATCGTTCCTGAACTCCGTGATATGCTGCCTTACCAGCCAGATCCACCCCCTTGATTTGCCTCAAACGCCGTGGTATACCGTGGTCGCCATTATGCTGTTGTCTAGTTAGCGGGGGGCAGCACATTTGCAGGGATTGGACTCACTGTCTAAGTAATCTGCAGCCATCAATAACTCCAAGCACAGCTCTGGTGGGATTTCCATATCTGGAACATCCTCCTTGTTCCGATTTTTGTAGTTGTAGTAGAAGTACTCTGCGACTTTCTCGAGGACGATACCACTATGAGAAAATGGTTAGCATCTTGCGGCTTTTTGTAGCAATATCTGCGGATATAAAGCAGCAGAAAGACAGAGCGATTTCCAGGTCTCAGTATGTCGTTCCTGCAAGCAGGACCCGTTTCCAAGATAGAGATCCCAGAAGGCACTTTTAATGATCCAGGGTTCGCCCAGCTACTTTCATGAACTCCTCCAAAACGAAAGAGATGTATAATCTGGAAATGTTGGAAATGGCTTGCGAGGCAGAAGCAGGTCTCAGATCAAGTGTATGTTGGCATCAACCAGCGTCACTCCTCTACTCCTTGCAGAAATAGAAGATGTTCTGTCTGCTTGACAAATTTGATATAATCATTGTCCTGCTTCTGCGTCTCCTTTTGTCTCTGAGGGCTCGTATTTCGAACGGAGAGATCGGACCTACTTAATCTCTCCAAACACACATCTCCCATCCTTTGCTTCCATGAAGTTACCTAAGAACCATCAGCTTCTGATTTCTTAACCTCTGGGCCATACGGAGGAAGCTAGAAGACTTACTCTGCGTATTCAACATCTTGGCAATGGCCTTGCTAATACAAGCCGCCTCTCTCAAGACCACGAACTCAAACCCATCGAGCGAGATGAGGGTGACGTACTTGCTCAACCCTTGGTTCTGGCTTGAGGACGCCATCGTGTTCGTTATGCACTTTGAAGTTGGTGAAGACGCGAAGAAAGAAAGTTGAGCGCGGGACGCGATTTTTCTTAGGCAGCTTGGTGCACGGACCAGGTCGCGGAGTAGCAGAAGGCTGCATATTTATCTGGACTTCTCAGCCTTTTGGTGTGCAGATAAAAGAAGTTGAACAAAGAACTTTCAATACGTAAAAGTCCGATTTGAACTCAGTATTCCACTCAGTCAGACAGATACTAGAATCATAACGGTGAATCACCACACAAAAGATATGTATTGGAAGACGGACATTGAAGCCCAACTGGCAGGATAAACGATGCTTGAACTACCAACATGGATATTTGTCTAGCATCTACAAGTTATACTGGAGAAACCCTCGGCTCTCTCGTTTTCCACGTGGCACCCAAATCCTCAACCCATGCAGCCTCCAAATCGCCCTCGCTACGCTCTCTCATCACAACCTCAATACTCGTCCTACCACTTTCTCCATTCTCGCTACTCTCCATCACAGCCATATATCCTTTCTCTGGCCTATGATCGAACCAAAATTGCAACCTCGTCCCCTCAAATAGTCTTTGCCATCCATTGCCACCGCTAACTCCAGTAGCATACGCCCGATCAATCCTCCCCAAACTCCTGTAGAAGAATGAGAACGCGAAAGCGGAATACAAGAGCCCGCCCAGAAGGTCAATTCGCCAGTGATGTCGCAAATACATGGTCGAGAACCATTGCCAGAGGACGTAGAAGCCGAGCATGAAAGATCCCTTCCTCGAATAGCGGGCGATGAAGAAGAAACAGCAGCAACTGAAGGCTCCATGTAGGGAGGGGAAGGCTCCAAAGACGAGAGGAGAGGCTTTGAATGCATTGGCGTAGATGTGTGTTCCTAGGACAGCATCGACTCGAACCAGGCCTGCAGCAGAGCCTGGCATGCTATAGTTTCCTGGCGGGAGAGGATACCCGTATTGATCTCCATACCACGGCGCGGCGCTGGGAAAGGAGAGGTGGGTTATGATGCCCAAGCAGTTCTGTATTCCAAATGACCATGCAAACACTGATACCACACCTGGTGAGGCAAAGAGCCAGAGCCAGAATGCGGCTAGGAAGGGCGAGATAAAGTGTATCACGCCGTATGAAAGCCATGCCTATAGAATTAAGTTGTAGCTCTTCTGCTCTTGAGGTTGGAGAAACCCACAAAAACATCAAGTGCCGAGCAAAGAGAATGTGTGCCAGCATATAGGATGTTCAGTAAGAAAGGAGGTAGTGCCGCAAGAATCGAGAGTTTCGACCGCCGAGTAAGAGCATACATCCACGCATACCCCAACGCCGAAACAACACATTGTATGAAGATCCCCTCGAAGCTTAGATCAAACACTCGTCGGTCGGCTTCTTCCAGATAGTTGACATCAATGAGGGGTCGAATCGAAGCATCTATACGCCATGCTGTGGAGAACCTTGTCAGTGACATTCCAGAGGCGTTCGGCAGACAAGGGATCTCCCGACGTACCGTTCTTAAAAGTTGTGATCCATATTAAGATAAATGTCATGTTGATTAAGATATGTCTGAGAAGGCCAAATAATGAATGTCTAGGTGCACTGTTAGCAAATACGCGTTACCTAGATCCAACGCGTGGAGTCAATGTTGGCATGACAGAAGGACGTACCTATTGAGTAAAGTTTTATAAACATGTAAGAAGAAACGCCCAACAGCGCCGAATACATCTTCCAACATGATTGAAAGATGTTAAATATGAACGAAAGCAAGAGTAAGAACTGACGGAAAACTCCCACTTGATAAAAAAGAAGGTAAAGATGCAGATGCGTGAAGATCAGGTACATTTGTTTTCCTACCAACGGGAGCTTACTCTTCCAGCTGGTCCATTGGCCCACAACAAGACCAGTTATTGTGGGCCAGGTCCCATATACGGAACCTGCAGGTATTCGTAGTTCCGAATGGATGAAAGAAGCGCTCGTTTGATGATTCCGAGCTCCTGACCATGTCTAGCTGGGCCTTACTCATCTTAAAGGTTTGTGCTTGAATGTCTGAGTTGTGTTCGGAGGCCGGATACTCCTCAAGCCCGTCAATGGGAGCTGGTAGTTGGAACTTGGCAGATAGATCCTTGTATATGTGATTAGTCTCCAGCTGTCCAAAATAAGCGACACACTCACCACACCCAATGCGAATTGCCCCCAGTATTCTCACGACGCAAAATCAACAACACCTGCACTGGCAGGACTCAAAAAGTTGGTGCAATTGAACTTTAGCTTCTGCTCTCTCTCCTAGTTCAATTTTTAATTGAAGGTAATGTGTGGTTGAGTTGCAATAAAATTGCGAAATAAATAACCCTTTTTTGGTGTGTCGCTTATTTTGGACAGCTGGAGTTAGTGTAAGAAAAGGAGGCTGCTCGCGTGCTCAATCCTAGCAGCAGAGCATGAAACAATGACGACAGGACGTTATGATCACTGATAAGAAAATCTGATGCAGGGCAAACAATAATCAATCCCAAAACTCGGTACCGATGCCATCAAAGACCGGCAAGTAAATCGGGAGGGGAAAGAAGCTTGAAAATTCTCAACAATAGTTGCTGAACGCGCGGTTCTGAAGCTAGTATGGAAATAAAATAATACAATTCTCCACACTATGCACAAAAGGGACATGAAACAGAACTACTCCAGAATGGAAGCACATTTCCACATTGAAATTTCATAGGACGACGAGTCCGAGTCCAAATTGAAGCTTCTCAATCTGAGTGGATGCAAATCTTATAGCTGACGGAAGGCTCGGAAAGTATGCTGGCAGCTGCCAAGACTTATGGTCGTATGTTCGTAAGATTATTCTTCTATTTTGGGTAAGAATGCGCTTTCTTGTGTCCAGGGGAAATCTTTGGAAGTGATGTTGTCTTGGATAGCTTGAAGTGAGATTTGGTGTTGATGTTGCACACCAATTTGGGCAGCCACAGTGTGGCGGAACGGTGAAGCGATTTTCCATCAACCTCGAATCACGGGGCGTTCACTCTTGCTCTCGAAACATCACCTGGGGCATTCTTAATACTGCTTGATTGTTGAAGATGCATGCTCTCCTCTACCATTCATCATACAGGCGCTGCCTCGCACGAATCGCTTGCTCAAGATGTCATGGGTCGCACCTCAGCTTCAAAAGACAATTCTCACGCTCAGCTTTCCTAAACGGGCATTCAGCTCATAATCCCGAACCCATAGCCCCGTCACTGAAAGGAAAGAGCTGCATCATCACAGGAGCGTCACGAGGAATCGGAGCTGAGATCGCGAGACGGTTCGCAAAAGAAGGAGTAGAATGTATCCTCGTAGGACGAAATGAGAAATCGTTGTACGGTATCAAGGATGAATTGATCGTTGGGGATGAGATGGAGCATCGAGTTGTGGTTGGAGATGTTGGAGATATGGATTTTTGGAAAGGGATGAAGAAAGAGGTGTGTTGTTATTCTCTCATTCCGAGATTTTTTAGACAGATCTTGGGTTGAAATGCTGATGAAGATCAGAAGAAAGTCCACATTTTGGTCAATGCAGCGGGAGTGACGCATTATTCTCCTCTTTTCATCACAAGTCCTAGTCTACTTGAGGAAGTACTGAGAACGAATCTGATGGGTACGATGATGGCATGTCGGACTGTGGGAAAGAACATGATGGCTTCGAGAGGAGGTGAGCATTTATACTCTACAATCTAAAATCTCAACACCTTTGCTGAATATCACAAGGTTGCATCATCAATGTCGCTTCACTTCTGGGAATGAAAGGTGGTAAAGGCAGTGCAGCATACGCTGCAAGCAAAGCTGGAGTTATCGGTATGTGAAGCATCTGATTCGTCTCTGCTGTGCTGATAAGCACAGGCTTGACTCGAGCATTAGCAGCAGAGCTGGGCGAGAAGAATGTCAGAGTCAATGTGATAGTCCCTGGCTATGTTGAGACAGATATGACTGAAGGTATGTTGAGTTCAACAATTACATTTCGTCATGCCGTTACACGGAGTTGATCCGCCCACCTATTTTACGCCATGATGATTCTAATATACAGGTGTAGGCATGTCTTCTGATGCACGCTCTGAAGCCATCAACGCCATACCCCTGAAACGTTTTGGACAACCTTCTGAAATTGCCCATGCTGCAGTATTTCTAGCTGCAAACACATATGCAAATAATTGCGTACTCAACCTTGATGGTGGATTGAGTGCCATATGACGCCTTATCCTGGTAGAGATCAAATAAATTACGAATGACAAGATGGAAATAGAACGGGAAGCCGGATCAGTCAATGACAATGGCACCGTCGGAATCGTCGATCTCGATTACACCATTCTCTGCACGATTTGACTGTAGCTTGGCTTTCTTCGCAGCTGGAGAATCGGCGTCAAAAGAGTGAGGTCTCTTGCCATTAATATGAGCTGTGCCATTGGTATCGTTGCCATTTGCATTGATATCGTGGCCATTCGATTGTGGGACCGGTTTCTTCTTCCTCCTAGGAATGGGAGAAGCGGGTGTCTCGCCGTTGGTCTCTAGAGCAATGTTTAAACTCTTGATAACCTTCTCCTCTGGTGTAGATCTGGAATAGGTTAATAGACCGTCAGAGCGTCGGAGCGGGGCTACTTACGACTCCTGGACATTCAGAATGAGATTCACTCTAGGTCCCTTAGGATCATCATCATTGTCGTCGATGATGGTCAGGAAACTGTCTCCCTTGATGCCTGAGAATTCGGTTAGCCTATTGTTGCTAGGTACAAGCGATTCGGATCATACCAAGTTCACTGAGCTTCTTAGCAAGATTTTCAGTCTCATCCAAATCATATAGAAGATTGTCTCCATGATTTACAACAATCTCTTCGCCATATCCAAGTTCCATCTTCAGAAAGTCATCGACAAGGTCACCGAGAGTAGCTCGTGACATGTCAATAAGAACTCGAGTCTGTGCAGGGCTGCATACTGGACAATCGGGGTTTGGTGCACGAAGTCGATCGGAAGCAAGCAGTCTCTCAGAGGCGAAGGGTGAAAGGAAGACCTACACACAGAATTAGCAAATGTCAAGATAGAAATATCAACCAAACCTACCTCTTTCGTGCTTCCAAATTGTCCTCGAAGTACCTTGTAAGACTGTAGAACACAGAGGCCAGCTACGATAGCATTGGTCGTGGCGATGGCAGGAATGATGTTGCCAGCCATTTGCTTGATATCAAAGCGAGATTTGGTTTCAATACCGAATACGATCGACCGTAGATTTGCCCCAGCAGTAACAAAGTCAAGAGTGTCCTCGTCGTCCTTGTCGAAGGTAATGACTGGCTCAGCACTAACCTCGCCTGAAGATTTCATCTCCGCCATTCTCCTGCTTAGTCGGCTCAGACTATGACTGTCAGTGAAAATCTCTCAGTATTAACGATGAGCAATACCTATCCCTGAAAACAACAACGTTCTCTTCTAGGCTCCATACTCTTTGGCCATCTTTAAGTATCTTGTCCTTCCTAGCTTCTGCATCGGATGCCTTCTCGATGACAGTTGCATAGTCAAGTGGCTCAGGGCGTCGTCGAGTCTTCCACATCTCCTCCATTGATCGCAATCGGACAACATCATCCTTGTAGACTTTATCGAAGAGAAGTTGCGGAAACGAATCAGTGCCCATGGCTTCACGGATGTTCTTCAAGGCCTGGGCTTCTTGGCGTAGCTTCTCAATTTCCTGTGCTGTAAGAATTGTGAGCTAAAGAGGTTGATCAAATATTGGTGTTGGGATACAAACCGTTCTCGCTATCCTCTGAATGGTCCATCTCTGGCGAATCATCTTCACTTGCCCCAAATATTTCACTATAATACTTTAGATGCGACCACGATCACAAATTCAAACTCAATATACCTCAATAAATAGCTCTTCCCCCACACAATACAATGGATAGGTTGGCTCGGTGTGCTTCGGATAGTACAAACAGGAAATGTCTTGGGAGTCTCCTTTGGGGTACAATCGTAACAGGCTGCAACGCCCTTCTTGATAACTTGAACCTGCCCGTTGAACCCAGTTGTGCCGCTCTCTATCAGGGGAATGTCTGCAGCAATGCACATTTTGTTGACATGTCTCCGGGCGTCCAGGTTGTCCAAAGCGTTGAAGACGATCGTGAAACCCTTAAACCAATCGACGTTAAATTGAGGATCTTTAATATTCGCATGATGCGCCTCGAGCTTCACTCTGGGATTGAACTTGTGTGCCGCATCCTTAGCCACCTATATCTCATGCGTCAGTGCCAACTTCGTGGAGTTTTGTATTGCAGAGACCGACCAAAGCTTTCGACTTCTTGATGTGCTCATGTCTGAACAGGAACTGCCGATTGAGATTGCTCAGATCGATGGTATCGAGATCAACAATATGGACTTCTCCGAAGCCAGCGAGAACCAGATTCTTCAGTAGTTCGCATCCAATACCTCCTGCGCCGACCATAAGGATTCGTGCCTATTCATAAAATATTAGCAGTGGCTTCATTTTTCATAAGGCGCAAACACCCCGACGAACATCGCGCTTCGGAGGGAGGAGTAACGAAGGAACTCTGCGCCATTAGACGGCTCAAATATATAATTCAAACCTCAGCGGGTCCAGCAAGCGCATGATATAGTGTTGAGACAGTAAAGGGTTGTTCAGACTCTCGCGGAAGAGAAATGGCATTTACCTCCTTCACCATTCTGTTCAAGGGCACACCCAACGATTGGGTATTGAAGTAATCGCGAGACATCTTTGTCGCTGTATTGTTCGATTCAAGGGAGTGTGATGAATCCGAAGATGCTCGAAGAGAAGCGCAAAATCAATGCTCGTTGTGTGAGCAGACGATGTTGGTTGTGTAGAAGTTAACCAGGCTCTCGTAAAGTATTGACGAGGCTCGGTTTTGCACGACGCGACCCGCGTGCAAGGTCTCACTCTTTCAGCCGAGATAGGGTGGTTATCGCCAACTGCACGGACAAGCGCTCTGTTTCATCTACTCATATTTACGGGAATAACCCTTTTCTATGCCGTTTATTTGATACATTTCTCTGAGGCTTAGCAAGAAACCTTACATACCGACACCATCATGTAGTTGTAGGCAATACGGGAGCTCCACGCATAAAGGAATTAGGAGAACTTCGCGCCGGAGGTTCATCCGAGACAAATATGAAAATATGTTTGCCTGCAAGATCAAGAGATGCAGCTAAGTAAGAGCAAATAAGCCTCCAGCTTTCGACAGACAAATATCAGACATTTCTGCATCTTCCAAGAACGATTGCTCAAATCTTGGGGCCTTGACGATATAGCCCCACTATTTAGTAGGTCAGACCAATGGGGCCCCTCAATCGTTTCAAAGCTACAACCACGAATTATACAACTCCTCTTCTCCATCACGCTCGCTACCTACGACCTAATATTCAGAAGGAGGTTCATCTTTAACACTTCGATATCCAAATTTTTTATCGCGGATTCTTGGAACTCAAGCGTTCCTTGCCTACACCATGTCGGATGATGAGGCAGACGCTGACTTGTTGGATTTTCTCCGTCAGCACTTCAATAAGGCATCCATAGCTCCCAAAATACCAGAGACCCAAGTTCTGGAAGGAGCCGAATATGTGTACAACAATTCAATTGACGTTGCTCTAGACTATCAATCAACCAAACAAGCTGCAGCCATGATCTACGAGCAGATGCAAAAGAAAGAATATTCTACCAAGACATGGTCATCACATGAGCTTCATCCAAAAGCCAAGGATGAAAGTACTGTGGCATTCATTTTCACTATGGATCTCCTAAATTTTTCGTTTTGGTCTGAGCTGGATGATGAAGAACGCTTTGCAGTTGAGTACAAGGGCAAGAAATGGACTGGGTACTGGAGTTTGGTTGCTGCATTACAAAGAGCGCTTGACGAGGGTTAGTTTACGCAATGTGCTGCACAGGAAATTTCTTGATGTCTGACCGGTTTGTAGACATCCCAATCACGTGTTCGGATTTCTGGCAGAATGAAGACGAATGTAAGCAGTCTTTCATACTTGGTTTTTGGTCCTGTCATTGGCGAGAAAGAAGCAAGTGCTTTGGTTCTCATCCCTCTATAGAAAGATTTCTCCTGCAAGTGTCTGGATATGGTCTTGGAAAGCAGCAAATGCAAGTTTCACTCAAGGCCAGCTGCAGCCTTCGTTCCCCTTTCCTTCAATACTTTTTTCGACATACGTCTAATTTCTCCAACTTTGAATTTACCCTAACTTTGCTCAGGTACCGAAGAAGTCTTGAAGCATGTATTCAGAAGCGCTACAGAAGAGCAGATTCCCCTCTTCCAAGAACGAATGTATTGCTTGAGGGAGGCAGGTCAAATTCTATACGAGGTATCCGTCTCTATTTGCCTTTGCCAGCTGCTCGCTAACGGCTACTCGCAGAAATACCAATGCAGCTTCACGAATTGTATCACAGCAGCCGATGGCTCAGCAGCAGCCCTAGTCAATCTCCTCGCGGAAGACTTCCCATGTTTCAACGATGTAGTACGATTTGAAAACCGCAAAAGTGTGCGGCTGCTCAAACGAGCTCAAATCTGTGTCGCTGATCTGTGGGCTGCATTCGAGGGTGAAGACTATGGCCGCTTTGAGGACATCGACAAGATTACCATGTTCGCAGATTATCGGATTCCACAAATTTTGAATACCTTGGGGTGTTTGTGGTATGCACCAACTTTAGAAACTGCGATTCAGCATAAGCGGATCATCGAGAGTGGGCACTCGTGGGAAATTCAGTTGAGAGGTAAGTCAAGAAAACCTTCTCTCCAGATTATGCACCTCCATGCTTTGTCAGAATTCCAAGTATTGCCAGTTTTAGACATCGGGAAGAAAACATGCCTTAGACCTTGCTTATGCACCTCTCCTCTCTACTTCAACTAAGATGGCCCCAATGCTCTCCATCGTCCCACCCATGGGTCCCTACTAAAACATATCTCAGCTCATAGAAGTCCCGCTCTAACTTCCTTTCAGGTTGCAGTATCTGGTGCGTAGAGCTCATTCGGCGAGAGATCCTCCGTAACCATCCCGATGCGAAGATCAACGCCATCCTAATCGACTTCTTCCTTTATGATACTATGAAAGAACGAGAAACAGCTGGTCAGGATGAAGTACCGCATCACCGAACTCGGAGTATTTGGTATTGAGAAGCAAGGAGTCACCATTGGAAAGAAGTACTAAATAACTTGGAAATAATTCGGGGTAACCTTGGAAGGTTCGCTCTTGCAGCTGGGCTGTATCGGCGTTTGGGAACAAATTAGACAGGTATTGGAAAGTTTCTTGACGTAGAAACTTAGAATGCAGTGCTTCACAGCGCACATCTACTGATGGTCTGAACTGAAGCATCAGCGGCGTCAAGATGCCCTCATGCAAATGGTGATCTTTAAGTCACTGGAGAATAACGGAACGAGGGAATTCTTCAGTGACAGAAATTCCGAGATTGTGACCAGAGAATAAGGCTCTGAATTCCCCTGGAAAAAACCTCAGTGATGGACGAAACTCCCGAATTGTAAATAAGCGGACAAAGCTCTGAACTCACTTGGAGAAAACCTCAATGACGGACGAAACTTCCGAAATTGTGAATCAGCGAACAAGGCTCTGAATTCACTTGGAAAATTCACAGTGACGGACGAAACTTCCGAAATCGTACACCGGTGAATGGTCGGCTCTGGAAGCCTCATTCTCCTCTCCTCTGTCTATAAATACAGGCGGCCGACCACCCCGCTTCTTCTTCTTTTCTTGTCAACAAGAACTCCCCAATCCTGAGTACGACTACATTCTGTGTTTGGAGTTGGGCATCAAGGGTCGATTTTCATGTCTCATTTTCCACCCGTCCCCATCGACTTTTCATTTCTACTACCTGTAGGAAAATCAAAATTAAGAACAAGGGCAGTATTGTTATTGTTGTCAAGTTCTGCTTTGCTGTCAACGTTCACCTCTATTCTCTTTTTCAGGCTGCCTCTGCTTTGTATCACAGCTTCAACGATGTGAACTATCTCATAATGAACAAAGCTTGTAATGGATCTCTAATAACCAGAACAAGAATGCCAGCAAAGTCTTACCTCGATGGGCCATACTTTTCGCTCTTCCTTGGACTGAATGAAGTGTTAGTTAGATAGAAGAATCGAGTATATATACTTCTCTAACTCGACACGAGTGTCTTTATCTCTGTTTTTGTCATTCGCTCTTCTTACCTCTCCTTCAAAACCACATTGTAATATTGCAGTCCTTTTTTCCTAAGTCAGATATACTCCTTTTCCTGGCTCTCATCTCAATTCTTTAACACCGTTTCTGTCATTTGACTAATGTCAAACTTCTCTGCTTCTCCTGGTTTTCTACTTCTCTTCATTCTTGTTTCATCTTTGCGAGCTTTTGTTAAAACATTAAAGCCAGTAGGAAAGTATACCCATGAAACTTGATGAGAGAGGGAAGGATTATGCGGCTATCTCGCTTCTGGTATGTGCATGTTTATAAGCTTGATATTTTGGGCATCGAATACTTCTTCCTCACCAACACCAACGTCCATGTCACCCATCGCTGCTTTGCATCTTTGATAACTCAGCAACGAGCATCGACTCGCTCCTGCCAAGAAGGCATCTTCAACTCTTCGCAAGCAGTATTTTCTTCCTGAGAATTCCCTCTTCATCGACAACTCGACAGCGCATAATCTTCGTTGGACTGCGCAACTTACAGCTGTTACGACTCTTAGAATCAAGAGACATTCCCATCAAAAGTCCAAGTATGCCCAACTACATTATGTAACCCAAGCTGACCGACATAAATAGGCAACGAGTAGCCTGAGCACATCGGATACTAAACAATCTTCATCATGGACTCATCAACGCTCTTCTGCATCATGCATGATGAACTCCCAGATCCCGAGATCTTCCTTTACCTCCAAAAGCTTCCTGAATTCGACACCTTCACATGCTTCCTCGGGCTGCCGGTTGAGTTGCGCCTAATTATTTGGTAATTTGGAATTTCTACACGAGAGCTTCGGAGTTGTTTCAGAAGCTTTCCGTTTACGAGCTCAGTTTAACTCCGAACTTTCGAGGCTGTCCGATCTTTTGTCATGCTGATTCATTGAGCAGGGAAGCTTCCTTCACGCCGCGAAGAGTCGTGCCGAATTCAACTTGGACTTACGACCGAAAGTGTTATAAACATCAAACCTACGCCCCTCCTCCAACTATCTTCCACATCAACCACGAAAGCCGCACGTATGCCTTGAAATGCTATCGATGTATCGAAGAAGACCACCCCAAAGATGGGAAGAGCGTCAGATATATCCATACTGGACTGGATACTCTTGCTCTCTGTCCGGCACTTCCACTTCTCGACACCCATGTACAGCTTCGACCCTCACAAATTTCCCTCATATTTTAGTAACTTGTCTGTATTATTTGAGGAAATTACGAGGTTGGAGATCCAGGGTTGGGTGTGGAATTGGGCGCCGGGCTACATTTCCACTGAAGTGCCTGATAGTCTGAAGGACGCTCTCTTCACGGCAGTGAGAAGCGGCCGTTTCACCAGACTGGAGAAGTTATGCTGCGTGGAGAAGATTATACGCACAGACAGCGAAAAAAGAAGTCTAGAAGATTCTGCCCGGGAATTCTTCAAGGTGATGCAGGACGAGGTTCCTGATATGAAGATACCAGAGATAACTTTTAGGGCTTAGCGTTTTGTATTTCAGAGGTAACAGCATGCCTTGACCAATGCAGATGAGGGAATGAATATCGGGGGTAGCGGATTTACATTTTACCATGGTCTGACATCAATAAATAGACATATATGTACATAGCCTTTCTTTATATGCAGGGTGTCCCGTATCTTCTTTGCCTAAATTTGAATGTCCCAAAATCTCAGAATGAATGAAATGCTAGTATGATGAGATGCAAACAAGGACAAGCGTAGAGCTAAGTTATTCCCTTCTATGAAAGTTTCCAGCTCTATCTGATTGTCCCACATCTCAGGGTCAACGAGATACAGAAGTATGAGAAGATAATATGGACAAAGGGAGAGAGTTAAAGTTTGACACTACCTACAAATGTTTCCATTCATTTGAATGTCCCAGAATCTCAGGATGAATAAGATACAGAAGTATGAGAAGAAAATATGGACAAAGGAAGAGAGAGCTAATGTTTGACATTACCTACGAGGGTTTCCATTCATTTAAATGTCCCCAGATTGTCAGGGTGAATGAGATGCAGAAATATTAGAAGAAAACAAGAACAAAGGCAGAGTTATTCTGTCATTTCTTACAAGTTTTTCGTCCACCTGAATGTCCCAAAATCTCAGAGTGAATGAAATTCAAAGGTTCACAAGCGGTAAGGTTGCTTATTATCATTATTTCATTGTTTATTGCTCGCAGATGTAGGTGCCACCCTACAGACAACTGTTTTTTGGTATTATACAACCCTGGTTCCCACAATACAAGACTCCAACATTCAATCAATCATTCATTCACCCGTCCATCCTGTGCCCAATTTGTCGGTGCCATTTCACAATCGAGGTGGTTGATGGAGCGAATCGCTGGACCGATGAGGGACAATCGGAGAACTGTTGTTTGATTCGCCACCACCACCAGCATTGCTACCCACCGTAGTACCCCGGCGACGGTTTTCGGCCAATCGTAGTTGCATGAGCCAGCGTGTGTGCATGGCATTAGTTTGCTGCGAACTACGAAGCTCCATCACCTCGTTCTTGATAGGTATGATTTCGTTAAAGATCGTTGTTGTGCTTCTAGCCTCGCTTGCACGTACGCTGGCTTCGATCTCATGTATATTGGCTTCCATTCGATCGATCCTGTTTGTCTGGCGTTCCAACAGGGACATAATATGATAATCAGAAGTCGTCACAACAGGATCAACATCTTCGGACAAGCCAGAGAGGGGGTTTCGTCCCATCAGCGTAGCATAATCCTCGTTCTGAGCTCTGGTGAATCTCCTCACATTCTTCTCTGTCTCTCGTGTGGTAGACTCCAGGACCCCGATTCTCGAATCTGATATTCGTTGTCTGTCCTTGAGCTGGACCTTAAGGTGAGACATTTGAGTTGTCAACATCTCGATTTGGTTGCCGATGAATCGGAAGTTACAGTTGTCCTCGTGGGATTGAAGGGAACTTCTCTTCACCATGCGATGTGTGCAGCCAAAGTCAACCCACTTACAACTAGCTTCAATCTCCGGACACTCATCGTGATGATCTTGTGCGTCGAACTTATTGTACTCAGTTCCACACAATGCACAAGATGTCATTCTCTCCTTGCAATCGTACCTTTTGTGGAGTCTCATGTCAATCATAAGAACCTTCTCACCACAGTCGTCGCAGCGGCCAATGTAATGGAGGCATCGTGCGGTAAGGTCCTTTCTTAGAATTTGATATTGGCAGTTCTCGACATTGTTCTTGCCAGGACAGGACATCAAGGCTTCAGGGCATTCGTTTGCAAGGTGTGATTCAACTTCGGAGCGCACGACCTGGTCGAGACAAGCTGGGCATTGTACGATCAAAGCATCAACCTGGTTGCGAATAGCATGAGGCGCCTTAACGAAACTACCGGCAACATTTTCTGAGGAAACATCAGGAGGCAATTCCAAGGAACGTCTATCTATTGGACAAACAGCTCCGTTATGCTTGATAGCTTGGTCCAAACAAGAGCGGCAGAACAAGTGCAGACAACGACGAGCCATGACGGGTTTGTAGAAAGCCATACGGCAGATGCTGCACATAAGGTTCTGATCCACATGACTTAGGTAGTCGAGCGCTGAGAAATCGATCTTGTGAACCAGTCTCAAGGTGTCAATATTTTGAGATGGTTGGCCGTCAGTATCCAAGATAGGTCCATGGAACCGTGCTTGTGGTGCTTCAATGTAGGCCGAGGGTAATGGTCGTACGAAAGGTTTGATTTGGTCAAACCGTTCGTCAAACTCTTCCTTTACATCGAATGGATGATAATTGATAGTACGAATCGCGTCGTCTTCAATATCTTCGTCATCTTCTCGGAAGTGTGGGGTAGGAAGAGAAGAATCGGGGATCAATGCCGGAGCTGAGACGTCATTAGGCTGGACTGGAGAATTTGGAGGAGGCATTTTTCTGGAAAAGATTCATCAGCTTCTTTACTTTTATTCCAAGTCCAGATTGCACTTACCAATGCTTTCTGATGTCGGACTAAAGGGTCAACCGGAGACTGAACATGAGCCGAGCACACGTGACAGGAAAGTCAACAGATGACTTCGGGAGACCGCGCGTTGTTGGGGTTGTGAAGTGTATGTCTCAGGAGGCGCCTTGGGCTCCTAGAGAGTGGCAGGCTTTATGCGATCGCAGTTCCGCAATCTGGACGAAAAGAAACAATTTGTTCGAGTTGTGATTCCAAGTTGAAAGTCGAAGATCGAAACTCGGCTGTCTACAGTTACATCCAAGTTGATATCGGCCGCTAGCGCATTTCGTTTCGGTCTCCAATTGGTTGACGTTGACCCATCTCTGAGACGTAGGCTTGCATCGCCGCATTCTAGAGGCTCCAACCTTCAAACAATTCAGCTCGCAACCCGTCTTCATTGCACTTTCTGTACCCTGTGAAAAATACCTCCTGCTACGGCGACTATTGTTCTATTGTGCCCGTTCTTACAAATAGCGCAGAAACTGGACCTGTACAGAGAGAGGGAATCATGGCCAACCCAAATCAGTACTTTCTGCTCGCAGACCACATCAAACTCAGCTTATTAGAACGACAACGGGCCATCTCACTTAATCTCGAACCAACATCCCAAGATGGACACATTTCACGATCACTAGACTCCTTGCGAGAAGGGCTGGAGAACGTAGCAAGAGAACGGATCCGACTACAAGACGCAGGAGACTCTGCGTAGGCAACCTCGTATCCCACATAATACTATAGCTAACAAGTGTATATCAGCGCCAGCACAACACTCCAAGAAACAGAAATCCAATTACAAAAACAATACGATGATCTAGCTTCTCAATTCCGAGGACATCCTACTTCTACCGCTTCTGCAACTCTCGCTCATCCCAATGACCCCGCGCTTTCGGATGATTTCGAACATGCTACCGATAGACCACCAAACACATCCTCTTCTTCCTTCCTCAAGAAATCTCTTCGAGGTGTATCCGGTGGACCCGTTGCACCTTCACCGAAATCTGTACGGTTCTCAGATTCGCCTCTAGTTCAAGAAGAGGAAGATGCCCGAGCTGCTCTCTTTCCATATCGAGATGATCCTTCCGGTCCTCCCGATCAATCGAATCTCGATAACCAGCAGATTCACGCTTACCATTCAAGAGTAATGGCAGAACAGGACGAGGCGTTGGATAGATTAGGGGAGTCGATTGGCAGACAACGGGAACTGAGCATCCAGATAGGCGATGAGCTGGACGAGCATGTGCAGATGTTGGACGAAGCAGACCGACATGTGGACAGACATCAATCAAGACTGGATAAAGCGAGGAAGAATCTGGGCACAATAGCTAGGAAGGCCAAGGACAATATGCAGATGACCATCATTGTGATTCTCATCATAATACTGGTTCTTCTGATCATAATCTTGAAGTAGATTCGAGACTACAACGGTCAATGTGCGGTTGTTTTATAGGCATTTATAGGCGTTTGGAGGGGTAATTAGGAGTTCATACTGTATGTACATAAGGGTCTTTTTGACAACTACAAGCGCACTACGAACCACGAATCACTTCCCAACAACAGCATGCAAGGAATGTTCTTCAGGAATTTCATTCTCTCAAGCTATCATACACTTCCAAGAAGAGAATCATCTTTCCGTCCCTTCCATCAGAATCCCGGATCCTGACTGGTGCCATGCCTACACATACCCATCAGCATGTGGCATCCAAGACAAATTGAAACAAGAGTTCACACGTTCACACCTACTTATGTTTCTTCTCCGCATGATCCGCAGTCTTCTTCTGCATCTCCTCAATGGAATCACTGCCCGCTTGACGATCTGCTGCTACCTGCCACCCCAGACTCATTAGCAAACATCTCCCGACATCATTCTCTTCTCAAATTTGATCTCGGAAAGTTGAATACTCACAGCCTCCTCACTATTACTCGCCAACTCCGGCTTCCAATGTCCCTTCCCCTCCTTCTGCTTCTGCAATTGATCCTGCTTATGCCTCTCATTATGCTCTCCCTGATTCTCGGTATCTAATCCCCCTCAATTAGCCTCCGTCCGTCTCCTCTCATCTCCACAACGAAAGAGATACATACGACGATCATCCTCTTTCAAAGCCCTAACGCTCGAACTCATGAATCCTCTCGTCGACAACGGAACAGCCGGTCGAGCGGCAGCAGCGATGCTCAATCTCGAGGTTCGTAGTAAGAAAGACATCTTGTTTGCTTGCTTGCTTGCTTGCTTGCTCTGTCCTCGAATCAGTAACCCAGTTCACCTACCCCTCCTGCATCACCAATTGAAAAACTCACCTCAATTCCTATTTCCTTCCTTTCTTAATATTCTTCAAAGAAGGTTCGAATAGACACTTCAAGAAATCCTCTACTGTATGATCAAAAAAAAGCATTACCCTAGCTTCCCTCTTACTGGTGATTATTCAGGAACGCAAACAGCCTCGGATACGCTTAACCCCAATACGTCATAGGCCGGCCCATTACCAGTTGATGCGTGCGCTTTCCGCCTCTATGGAAGGCCGTAGTTAGAGGCATCCATCTTTACCGGAAGAAGGAGTCAGCCGTTTTCGGGGGGAATGGTATTGGTTGGCCTGTTTCTGGGAGTGTGTTGACGTTCTTAGTGGGGTCTGGAAGTGATTCTTGGGCTTCTGTTGGGGAGAGAGATCGGGGCGGCTCGGGGTCGTTGTACTTGAACTGTAGCAAGGACATCAAGGTGTAGTAGAACAGTTTCCCTTTCATTTCATTCCTTAATCTTGACACTATACACACCTACTTGCACAAAGGAGACAGAGATAAGGTGAAAAAGACAATATATTCGGTGTATAGCTCAATGATCCCAGAATGACCAAAGCCCTCCCACCCCATCTTGCCAGCGTATATCATCAGTAGTATTTCCCATATGAGTGACATGATCGATTTGATCTGACCAACCAACAAATGCAACCCGCCAGATCACAACCCACGCTCCTTTCAATAATAAGCCCAGGACCCCAGACCGATCAAAAAGCCAAAGCTAAAAGTTAATACCAATGACACCACCTGAAGCGCTCATCATACAAGGACGCGCTACATTTGTTCAATACCACCCGACACCGCCCGCCTATTGAGATGACAAAACCAAAAAAGAAGATTGAGAGAGATCTTTCCCATAACCGTGTAGACCTGAATAACACCGGCGCAAAATAGCCCCCTTCTCGAACAAGAGAAAGGGAAGTCGTTCTATGTAACTTTGATGTATCTTTTGTTTTCGTAAGAGCCTGTGAAGACGCCGCTTCATTTCCCATCCAAAGCAATGCAGCCAAAAACACCGTCGCAAGAATATGCAATGCGCGCTCAAAATCAAGCTACCATGATGGAAAGAACACCATCTCCTACTTGAACAGTGGTATCGAATATCGTCGTTGCGCCGTGACTGTCTCAAGGAATTGGTGATATGATCGTCGAAGAATTTATACAAAGGATTCGTTGAGTTGAGGTGAGGTGCCGTAACCGGAGATGGATCGATGCCGAAGGGTGGTGGTGCCCGCCAGGATGACAGATGATAAGAATGCGAACAACAATTAGAGCGATGATGGAAAGACTAAATCTGCATGTACATGGGGAACAGAAGTAGAAATTCTACCAACGACGACCTAATGTCATCCTGGCAGGAGACACCGAATGAGGTTGAGGACTCGGCATGCTTATCCCGGTGCTGGGGTTAACAATCGGGATCGCATTACGGACACGGGTAGCAGCTGGTTGATGCAGCTTGAGGGTTGTGGGTTGACTTTGGTACGATGGAATGTAAGGGCTAGAGTTGGAGTTGAGAGTGAAGCCAGAATCGGGAGCGACTTGATGAGATTGTGGGCTTGATGCGGGTGATCCACTTGACAGCGACGAGCGATCGGACGACGACGAATGAATTGACACCATGTCGCTCTCGGTCAGGAGATTCGGACAAAATTCCATATCATCGTCGAGATCAAAGGATCGACCCGCTTCGAAGCGTTGGCGAAAGTTCGTTACCAAGGGTGCTTCTTCATCCTTTCGCACGCTGCGGAACTGCTTGTGAGAGTTTTGCGACAGTCGTGGTGCCCTACGCCCTCGACCGCTGTGGTGCGACGAGTTTGCCACCTGCGCATTTGCAGAAGTAGGATGTTGGTGAGTGTTGTAGTGGTAAAATGCCGACATCCTATCTGATCATATAGGTGATGGGCCAGGAGTCGGTGAGCTAAGTGAGGGCTTTTGTGCGACCGGAAGGCTCAGGATAAAGAAGGTGGCCTAACAAGAAGACGGTGAACGATTCGAATGGGTCGATGGTGATAGCGAGTATTAATAATGCGAGGTCGTGGGAGATGGAAATGTGGTCGTAGGTGAAGGTGAGGTATGTATGTATTGAGTTGCAGGAGACGGAGACAGACGGATGTAATGAAGGAAGAGGGGAAAGAGCAGGAGAGCAGGAGTCGCTCACTCGCTCTCACCGTGGTGGCAAGGCGCTAGACGGAACAGGCAAGGGTCGGCCATGCAGCACGCTAAACGACCCAATCAATCGAAGTGTAGCTTTCCGCTGTGAGCGCATTCTTTTCTTCATTCTTTACATCGCTGAGACAACAACGATCACTCAATTCTCGACGAACAAAGACTGCATTCAGACCCATTTGGAGCTGTCCATTCTTCCTTTGACGGATGGGCTTCAATATGATGGGATGGCATTTCTCCTCTCTGCAGATGTCAATGAGGAGGAGCCAGCGTGGGCCAGCGTGGGCTCCCGTCCGTATCCGTGCTCACAACTACGATGGGGCCATCGTTCTGAGACCGGGCTTGCGCCAAACATCTGGAACAAGAATCTAGCCAGGATCGACAGTCCCTGGTGGCAATGAGCGAAGTGGTTGGCACACTCAACCGCCCGAAGAGCGACTCGAACAAAACACCCGCATAAAGATGCCTCTGCCAGCCTCTTGTCAATGCCCCAATGTCCCTGTCCTGGTCGTTGCACCCGTCGCTCTTGATTGTTCTGCAGATGCTCAAACACCACTCGAACTCGCCATTCTCCCAATGTTCCCCGTCTCCTCATCAGCCACCCTCACCCCATTCGCAGCGTTGCACACCACTTGCGTAAATGATTAACCGCATCAATGGTGCCCTGTGCACACCACCAGCCCGGCCCAGCCCAGCCTTCCGAGCCTATCGAGCCCGTCAGACTCCTAAAAGCTCGTCTATTTCTGAACACAGTGCGCATGCATGAAAAGCTCAGGATGCTCAGATGCTCAGCCTTTTCATCCCCACACCGAACGGGCAATCCGTTGCCTATCCCATGCACCTGTCCTGCATCCCCCTCCACCAATCACCCCTAAGCACTCTTTTGGAGAGAGGTTGGCTTGGGCACACCGCCAGTTTTCATTCCGTCCTCATGCAGTAGAAAATTCTTTAATCTGTTCGACTACGGCACCAGCAGATACAGTAGTCGTTAACGTTGAAAGGTGGAGAGGCTGTCTCACGGGCACACTGCTGTAAGGCCGCCACGTGCGGGGTGTGGTGGACTTCAAAATCTGACCTGGAAAACTCACCGAATCTCATATTCGGTGTCCGATTCCTGAAGCTCTCCCCACGCTGACTGGCCTTTTAAGATCTGACAGAGGGGTTGCGTGTGCTACTCGTGCAGAGAGATTAACGATGTCATGCGACGTGTAAGCTGCAAGCTTATTCTTGTGCATCCTGTGCATCCATTCTTATGCTTAGATGTCGGTTAGAGATTAGGGAGATGAACAGAACCACTTTTTTGGCGAAGAGGAGGCTGTGTGTTAGAATAGCCACATCCAACATCACAGAGCAATATGATCTCCTTAACATACTCTTCGTATGATGTCGTCGATGCGATCGAGATTGATAGCTTTTCTAGAATTGTATTGGCCACGAATTGGATCCGTGGTGTGGAGGATTCATATCCGTCATGACGAAGGCGGATTGCTCGAGGATTCGATGGAAACTCTATGCTCCCCATACAATTCGCACGTAAACACGTACGTAGTGGTAAGTAAGTTTCGAGCTTGAGGTAAAGTTGTGCCTGGAAAAGTCGGATTGCGTTTGTTGCGGGTCAAGCAATCAACTTCTTGTTGGAGGCCCGTTTGAACCATTCTCTGCCTCTCACATCTTCTCATAAGCCCTTTCTTCACCCGGCCGTGTGCTTCCATTGACGTTCTCTTCAAAACGCAAACATCACCGTGAATACCGCATGGGTAAAAACTTGCTTACTCATTGACACTCACCTCTCCTCCGCAAACAAATGCAGATTCCCATCAAAACTGAAAGAATACTTCAACTTGTGCTTTCTCCACATGGACGTCGCTCTTTGCGGCGGTTGAGTATCCATGAATGTAATCCAATTTGTCTTCTTTCCAACGGATACTAAGAATTTAGTGCTGAAGACCAGGACTACTCGAAAGTCAACGCTCTCTACATGAAGCCGTAGTTGAGAGCTTGCTCGACTCAGGAAAACCCCGTGTAATTATACTCAACAACACTCTCTATCTGACGGTAGAAGCTTGCGTCAAGCTGTTGTCCATCGTCTTCGAAAATTCCATTATGATTCTCCAAAGACCTTGCGTATCTCGTTTCTCTGCAGAGCTTTCGCACTCCAGAGCATCGAATCTTGGAGATCCGGACAATCGAAAGTCAACGCGAGCAGCAGACGCACAGTTTAGATGATAACGACTACAGCCACTCAGAGGAATCCGATAGCCTCGACGAAGCTCAACGCCAGGACGAATGTGAAGCCGTAGTTGAGGTTGATTTTTCTTACATCGACTCATCTTAGACCAGCAACATCGACGAAACTCGGTCCTAGCGCAGATCCAAAATCTTCAACAAGGATTTGGCTGGCATCTCATCGGTGTCCCTTCTTACACCTCAACCTGGGGACAGTGGGGTTGAAAACGTACTTCCGGAAAGACACTGCAGATTTGGTGGCAACCTTTGATCAACCGCCCTCGAACATGAATGCTAGCAGTTGTACCAAACGGCTTTGTTGTAGCGGGCGAGAAAGTACCCGGATCGTAGCAAAGCCACCATTATGTGGATGCTGCTGTCGGATTTTTCTATTCAGAAGCAAGTGACAGATCAGTCATATGCGTATGGAATGTATGGAGTACTGCGAGATCGTGTCCCCTGATCCAGAATTTCTCACTTTACTTTCCCCTTTAATCGTTGGTGTTCATTTATCAAGCCCTCGTGCTTTGACAAATCTGTTGATCTGTTCTCTGGTGAGCTTCTCGTTGTACTGTTCTTGGACCTCGTAAAATGAAATAATCTCTTGAATACAATCGACAATAGCTTCGATGTCGATACTACTTTCTACAAGCCAGTTGGCGAGCTTCTGCACTTTAGTTCTCGGCGTTGAACCTTGCTTCTCGCCAGTCGGCTTGAACTGGCCAGCCGAGCCAAGGGCCGTTTGTGCAGCATTTGCAATAGTGCCAGCAGAACCACTAGCAGATTGGATGCCAGTAGTGTTTGGTCGGAGCACGAGTGATAACAGGATGGCCATGATAGCAATTATGTGCGGCGCAAACAAGAGTGGCAGGTCGGTCATATAGTGATCGTTGATGATGGACCAAGCAAGCGCGGATTCTTCTTGGGTAAGTGAGAAGAGACCTTGTAGGGACGTAAGGCTCCTGTATGGATGGTGAACGATCATTTGAGAGCTCATTTCGGATATGAGGAAGAATTCACATTCTCCTAATTTCGAAGTGTCGTTGCTGAAAAAATCTGAGCATTATTTGTTAGTATATACCCTGCAAGGGCCTTGTACATATACACATGCCTGGCCACAGGGTTCGTCCTTCACTGGCAACGAGCCGAATGTGGTGAGGGCATTCCTCCATCTTACAGGCTAGATATACAGCAGTCGCAATAACCAAGTATGGGTTCGTGCGTCGAATTTCGACTTTCGAGTAGAATCTGCGAATATACAATTGTGCAGTCGCCATAGCCTGCTGCCGTACACCAAGTCGTTTTCCGATTCGAGAAACCTCTGTAGAAAACGAAATTAGGTCTGAAAATAGTGAGGTCTGGCTATAAGGATAGCTTACGCTGGTTGAAGTAGATGCTGAGATGTCGCACTTGGGGTAGTGGGTACATCTGAACGAGGTTTTGGTCTTCATCCTCCAGCTTTTTTCGCAGATCCTCAAGTTGCTGTCGGGTGAACTGCCAGTGTCTCCTCTGAGTAGATTCCCAGTAGTTGGCAGCCATTGTTGGTCGTTCCCTGGAGGCGCAGAAGTCAGTCGAACGGGCAGGAGGTCTCTCGTATCGTAAAAAAACCCGGTTTTAGAATGATAGTCGGCTTTGGAAATGCTCAGTGCTCCTTTTCAAAGCTTATATATATAATTATCCAAGAGGACGAGCGACGTGGAGTGGCAGACTCGAAATCAACAGTGATGTGGTTCCAATGGAAAAGATAGTGATCCGAGGCTGACGAGACGAGGCTGATGACGGACTCCCTTCCACTAAAGCCGAATGGAGGACGGTCCCTATCAAACAGACTGCGGCAACCCTCATTTAGCTTGCTACAATCCTTGCTTGAAAGCTTGTGACGTTGAAAGGCTCTCTTGTGCTCCAAAGTCAATCCGAAATTCTGCTGTCCAAGAACAGATCACTTAAAGATATTTATTCACACCACATATTGCTACAAACTATGAGCAAAAGTTCGTCTCGATGATAGTCCTGTCTTCTCGTCATTGATTGTATCCTTCAATTATGATCAATCAATGAGAACAGTCCTGCAGGAACGATGGAGATTCCGGAGAGCCAGAACTCGAGGGATGCCCGCATCGAGGCCCTCTGGAAAAAGCTAGACCCTCAAAGTAAAGGGAGATTAGATGTCAATGGACTCAGGAAGGGGCTGCAAAAGATTGACCATCGTGAGTATCACTGCTTCCATTCTTCCGAGCTTAAGTTCTAATATCCTCATAGCTTTAAAAAATGCCAACGATATGCTTCAAGATGTGATTAAAGCTATGGATAAGAACGGGGATGAGGTTATTGAATACGATGGTACGTAAGGAAACACTTGGAACAGATCTGCAGACCAGATATGTTGCAGATTATGGCAATACCTGAACAATTTCACGAAACCCCTTAAGCTTGCGATTGACGTCCTTCGTCGGCATCATTGCCACTCATTGTCCCTGATCTTTCGAACATCTTCTAATATTCGTTCTTTAGAATTCCGCACTTTCGTCGAAGAAACCGAGAAGGAGTGTAAGAATGATTCCTCGTGTACCCCACACATCTAGGAGTATTCGCCCTTCTAGGGCTCGGAACTGATGCGGTGCCTCCATAGTACTGTCACTATTTCACTCCATCGATCGTGACCATAACGGGAAACTCGACAAGGGCGAGCTAAGAGCTGCATTCAAAAGAGCTGGATTGGCGGTGCCAAATTCGAAGCTAGACCAATTTTTTGGGGAGGTCGATGGAAATCACGATGTAAGTTCATGCCACGCACGATATTTTGGTTGCATTTCACTAATTAAACACAGGGCTTTATTACCTTCGAAGAATGGCGGTATGTTTGATAAATGTCTTCCGATTTTCGTGTACATTGGCTCTGGTGGCTAAATTTTGCATTTGTGACATTCGGCTCTCTTTCTATGCTAGCGCACCATTTTTTATACTTGGACATGTTCAACTTCAATTCGCAAAAAATGATGTAGCGCCGCTAATGAAATTTTAGCAATTTTCTATTGTTCTTGCCCACCCACGCGAATCCAGGACTAAAAGCTGTTCTTTCATATTACTCTTCTACAGTCACACTGAATGCCGAGGGAGATACAGCAATCAGCGAAGAAACTTTAGAGGGACTGGGTAATTCTTCTTTTCCTGATCACACGTCAATTTTCTTTGCGAACTTGTCTACTTTGTTGTTTGGTGCGCTTTTCAAAATCGCGGAACCTCCTTCCAAATCCAACCGCACAACCTTCGATTCATCACCAGAGCTCCTTCCGCCACACAATCAACCAACATTACCAAGTTCAACCGACAACATGGAACATGTTCATGCACATTTCATTGAAGGCACGCGTGATGCCGCCGCCGCCGATGCCGTCAAAGTTCTTGCGCCAACCACCAAGGAGGCAATTGAGGAGGGTGTTGAGGCTATCAAGAAGAAGTCCTTGCTGACAGAGATTCTCCCCGACCCAGGCTATTTCGCAGCCGGAGCTGTCGCAGGCATCGTCTCCCGAACCTCAACTGCGCCATTGGACCGTCTCAAGGTCTACCTCATCGCCAGTGTAGGCAACGCGAAGGGCTCAATTGATGCCGTCAAGAAGGGCGATGCCGCAGCAGCAGTACGACACATCGGCCAACCCCTGATTGACGCGTGCAAAGACTTGTGGAGAAATGGCGGCATCCGTAACTTGTTTGCTGGTAAGTTTCTCAATTTCCCTCACCTTTACGGGAAGTAACACTAACTCTTCCAAGGCAATGGTCTCAACGTCCTGAAAGTTATGCCAGAGTCAGCTATCAAGTTTGGCTCATATGAAGCTGCTAAGAGAGGTCTTGCAAAGGTTGAAGGCCATGAAAACCCTCAGAATATCAACCCATACTCGAAGTTTGTCGCTGGCGGAGTGGGAGGTGTCATTTCGCAGTAAGTCAAGCGCAATTCTGACTTCGCCATGAGCTCACCGATTATCTAGACTCTGTGTCTATCCTATGGATACTCTAAAGTTCCGGTATGTGCCCGGCATTCACATGTTCACCATCAGCTCATTTTTCTAATCAATCATGTAGGATGCAATGCGAAAGCGTCGCAGGCGGCCCTACAGGCAATAAGCTTATCATTGCTACGGCCAAGAAGATGATCCAAGAAGGCGCCCTTCGTACATCATATCGTGGATTGACTATGGGTCTCGTCGGCATGTTCCCATACTCCGCCATTGACCTTGGCACTTTCGAGTTCTTGAAGGCACGTCTTGCACGTTACAACGCCAAAGTTCTAGGATGTCACGAGGAAGATGCTATGCCAGGTTCATTTGCTACCGGATGCATTGGTGCTTTCTCTGTAAGTTGCTCTTCCTGAGTTCACATGACTGACCATGCTGATGATGACAGGGTGCATTTGGTGCAACTCTCGTCTACCCCATCAACCTCCTTCGCACTCGTCTCCAGGCGCAGGGAACTATCCTCCACCCCCCGACATATGATGGGATCTGGGATGTTGCGCAAAAGACTGTGAAGAATGAGGGCTTTCGGGGCTTGTTCAAGGGAATCACGCCAAACCTCCTCAAGGTCGTCCCTGCGGTCTCCATTACATACGTGGTCTACGAAAACTCGAAGAAGATCATGCACCTCAAATAGACGAGATCATTTACATACACCTGACTCGAATTACACTACACTACATATACAACAATAAGCGGACAGCATACCACATGACTACAGGTTAAAGATGATGCATTTACAAGGAGAGGTGCATTGGGATGGCGTTATCATTTGAATTTTCCACAATGGCGTTTGTAGGATACCCAGGAGGGCGGGTTATGGTATCAGGGAAGCATGACATACGATGCATGGCTAACATAGTATTCAATGGAATGACATTGATTGTACCCTTGGAAGACTGCCCGTGGACGTCTTGAACTCTATGAGACATTCGAAACTCAATTTCGCAGACATCAGCAAAAGAAGAAGCCTCACAACCCAAACTCTTATTCATACATTTCTGGAAGAAGAAATGAAAGCGAGTCAATAAAGTGCCACCAACATCATCCTTGCGAATATCATCTTCATGATTGGCCGAAAACAATCTACATACGATGAGACGGTAAGCGCTTCCGTACCAACCTGGTCCACGTTCAAGGGTGAGGCACAGCCCAACAACCCGAGCCCCCTCGTATTAAACTTAACTGTCGCCGTCGCCTCGGTCTCTCACACGTGTTCCTTTCTTTCCGGTGGTTGTTCGAGTCTGCTGTTTGTTGTTTGCTGCTTGTGTTATCTCTCTCTTCTCGCAACTTATGATTTCAGCAATGCAGGCCTCGTCGTGGCTGCTTTTCGCGCTGCTCTCGAATGTGGCTGTTTCATCCACGTTACCACGACAATTGCAATGGTCTTCCAAGACGTATGGCCCTGACGGACCTTGGCACGCTGTCTCGATCTATCTAGGAAGTAATAAACAACCTCTTGACCTTTATCCTGGGAATACATGGCATTCGAATATCTTGGGGTCATCTATTTGCACGGACGTTGTGCCTTGCTATGCCCAACAAGCTGGTGTTTACAACCCTTCAGCGTCCACTTCGGCTTTAACCTTCACGTTTGTTGGTGATATTGAACAGGTCGATTGGACTTCGGGGGCCATGCCATTAACAGGGACTCATGCTGTCCAATTTGACACCGCGATCGTTCCTGCCCCCGATTTGGTTGCTCCTGCCACAATTCCCAATCTGTCTTTGCAGGTCATACCAAATGCGTACTATACACTACCGAATGGAACCACTTATCCACCAGAAGTTGGAACACTCGCTTTGGGCGCAGAGTCGGTCAACCAGACTTATCCTGTTGTAGACTCAGTGAGCAATTTCAACGCGAGTCTTATTTCGGGCTACCTCTATGAGGCTGGCCAACTTGCATCCAATTCCTATGGGCTTCACATCGGATCAGTGGCGCTTGGCATACCGCCCTCAGCATTAGTCGGAGGATACGATCAATCTCGAGTACTAGGCGTTGTTACTGCGCAAAGTTATCAACTGTACAACTTACCCATCGATCTTCTCGATATTGGCATCGGGGTTGCTGAGGGAGGATCACCATTCGCAGACGCATCTTTCTCTGGATTACTCGCCCAAGGAAACTCCTCCATTGGGAGTTCTATCCCCGTCTTGATTGAAGCAACAATACCTTACCTTTACCTTCCCGGCAGTACCTGCGATGCTATCGCGGCACAACTTCCCGTTACGTTCAATTCGGATTACGATTTATATTTCTGGAACATAACTGCTCCTAATTATACACGTATAGTGACTTCACCAGCATATCTCAGCTTCACATTTCGCCTCAATCAAAGCAACTCGCAAAACATGACCATCAAAGTTCCCTTCAGCCTTCTAAATCTGACGTTACAAGCGCCTTTGATTAACACGCCAACACAGTATTTTCCCTGCAGGCCATTGACAGACGCTGGAAGTTACACGCTAGGACGAGCCTTCTTGCAAGCAGCATTTGTTGGGGTTAACTGGCAGACGGATCTGAATGGTGTCTGGTTTCTGGCGCAAGCACCGGGACCGAATACGCCGTCAACAGCTATTGTGACTTCCATCGGGTTTTCAGACACGAATCTCACCACCTCATCGAATCAGTGGATCGACAGCTGGAAAGACTCCTGGACAGTCCTCGACGAGGGAACTTCAGGCACTGGCGGTGGAAGCTCAGGCACTAATGGTACCACTCCTGGCAACCAAGCTGTGTCGAAATCCAAGAGCCTCAGTTCGGGAGCTATCGCTGGTATTGTTATTGGAGTCGTTGTTCTTATTGCTGCTGTTGGGGCATTGGCATACTTTTGCTTCCGGAGAAGAAATCGTAAGTCGGCTGCTACGACGCAGGTTACGCACAATAGCTACGAGAATGCACCGGTTCCTGCGACGTTCGAAAAGTCGGAACTCTCGGCTACACATGTATACCCGACAGCGGAGCTTGGGAACAATGAGGAAAGGAGGGTGGAACTTGCAGCTTCGTGAAGTAGTGGAGAGCTCTGGCTAGTTCTAAAATCATTCTGATGGAATCTCCACCGACCTGCGACGATCGAGAGCTGGAAGTTTCTCGACGTGCCCAGCATATTCGTAGCGGGCACTCCCGCCAATTCATCCATTGAGCTTGGCTTCTTACCCCTGGTAGACATTGTTCAGTTGAAAGGGAGATCTGTCGAGCTCGTCCAGAGCGGTCCTGGTGGCACTCAGTGTTATTGAATCGAAGTCTTGGTTGAAGGGTCTTGCAGATATCATAATGTGGGAAAGACATGTACGCAGAAACTCTGGTGCAATTGTACTTAAGTCACGCCTTGCTGTGTATAATATCGGTGGCCTCAGAAATTATCAAATTTCAACTCTGTAGATACTAAAATACGGAACTGACCTTCTATGACTCATCGCCCTTTACTTATACGCCTTGAGCTTCTCCCTTTTCATAATGGCATAGGAGCTTCATTATATTGCCCTCTTACTACTGGTAGTGGCCCTTTGCAGAAGATAATCTAAGACATCTTGCAACAAACTCTGAATATCAAATCATTGGATGTCTTCCATCTGCAGGACATTCTACTGGAGGATCCATCAACACTCCACCCAGATCAACCTTCTTATACCTCACTTCCCAATCAACAACACTCTTTGCACTATGTACCTGAAAGCCCAACGTCGGCAACGCCAGCACATGTTCATCCCTCGTTCCCCGAAACCGAGACACAATCGCAGGTAAAGTCCACCTAATATGCCCACCCGCTTCATTCTTCAACGCAAGATTCAATTTTCGTCGAATGTGCTTGTCTAGTGACTGTCGGAAAAGCTTTAAGTCTAGTTCCTCGAAAAGTCGTACGGTGATGATCTTGTCGGGATGTAGGTTCTGGATTCGGATCCAGTAGCGGCCGTCATAGAGAGTCCAGGGTGTCCAGGAGACGTCCTCGATTGATCGGGGAGGTGGGATGGTTATGGTAAGACTGTCATAAGAGAAGCTGTATGGTAATTGTCGAGAGAGAAGCCACTGTGTCTGGCCTTGTTGTGCAATTTCAGATGCTTGCATCGGTGGATGTTCCTGTTCCTGTTCTGAAGCTCTTACATTGAGTGGTTGAAGGTAGACGCTTGCGACAGTAAGCGGTTTGGCAAGGAGGAGACGTTCTTCAGATTCTGAAAGGCCCGGAAAGATCTGCTCAACAGCTCCGGGTAATGAAGATATCTCGATGTGTTCCAGAGGTGTGACCAAGAATAGGACGCGACGAAGGAGTTGCGCTGCAATTCGACCACAATCGACTCCTGAGCCCTCCGATGCCACAAGAATTTCGTTTCCAGCAGGGAACCGGACGGTAACTGTACCTACTCGAGTGTTGAAGTCCTTGATGTTGCACTTAGCGAGCAACGATTCAACGACAGCATCTTCCTGCAAAATGGAATGTTGTATTCTTCGAGACAGACCAAGCAGAGCGGGTTTGGAGAGAGCGGTAGGCACGACATGAGTGTTGTACATGTGCCTTATAGCATTCCTCTTCGTAAGTGTAGGATCTGTGTTCGTGTGGTCTTCAAACCATCGAATCCCTTCGTCTTGGCATGTAGCAATGAGTCGAGCTTTGCTGAAACCGAGCATTGGCCTGTAGATTTTGATTCCGCCGCTCTCAATTTGTAGTTGTCTTTTAGACAGAGTTCGAGAAGACGCAGGTTTTCCGAAAGCTGGACTCTTGAGATCACCACTCTCATAGATGCCATGCATGCCATAGCACTCTGGGATACCCCCCTCCTCTTTGATTCCTAGGAGACCCGTTCTTCGGTGACCCGCGATCAATCTCATCAGGATTGTCTCAACTTGGTCATCTTCATGATGAGCAAGAAGGAGAGATTTGATTCCATTCTCCTTACATGCGTTACCTAGTAAACGAAAACGATACTTCCTCGCAAGCGACTCAAAATTGGAGGTGTTGGCAGAATGTTCAGGAGGCCATTCTATCTTGAGGATTTCGGCCTTGATACCTACCAGAATTATTAGCATCCAAAGCACAAGAGGAAGAATGATCGACTCACCTATTCCTTGAAGGACGTTTGACACAGCTTTTGCTTCTTCAAAGCTACCACGTCTGACTTGGTGATCGACGATGAAAGCTTTAAAGCTTAAGCTCCTCAAGTGCTGATGTTCATCTGCTGGTATCTCTTGCTTTAAGTGACTCGCATTCTGGACATTGGAACAGAGAGCAGCAAGAGCCATGGAGTCAACGCCTCCACTGATGGCCAAGCCTAAGAATGGAATCAGATGATATCGTTTATAGCAGTTCTAGATTTCAAGACTTACCAATAGGATTAGACCTTTGCCAGGCATTATAGCTAGATTTACCAAATCCTAACACTCTACTCAGAGATTTCGCAAATTCTACTATCGTGATACGTCGGGCTGATGAATTGAGAGCTTCAGAGATAGAACCCATGCCATTCTCATTAATATTTTTGAAAGGTTGATGTGATGTCGTTGTGCATGTGATGATGCTTGCACAGAAGCTCGCCTCAAAAATATACAAACGAGCTTCAAACCCACCTTCGTGACCACAACCATGCAACCACAATCCCTCTGCAGGCTTCGGCCTCTCCCATAAACACGTTCACTACCTCTACAGCTCTGAAATTCTCTCAGACAACCCCCGACGCCACAATGGCGACCCAAACCTCACCCGCATTCACCACAGCCTTGCTCTCCGGAGCTCTAGCAGGCACCACAGTCGACCTCTCCCTCTACCCTCTCGACACTCTAAAAACGCGCCTCCAATCCTCCTCCGGATTTCTCGCCTCAGGAGGTTTCACTGGCATATACCGCGGCGTAGGAAGCGCCATCATCGGCTCTGCTCCTGGCGCTGCTCTATTCTTCAGCACCTACGAATATACGAAGAGCTTCCTCTCAGCCCGCCGACACGCGACTGGGACTAATGGAGAAAATGGAGACTGGACGGCCCCGATTGAACACATGCTTGCTGCTAGCTTGGGAGAGGTAGCTGCTTGTGCAGTGAGGGTGCCTACAGAAGTTGTGAAGCAGAGGGCGCAGGCGGGTCAATATCCAAGTTCGTTGTTGACGCTACAAGCTATTTTGGCACAGCATAGAACGATTGGTGTCTCGGGAGTATGGAGAGAATTGTATAGGGGCTGGTCAGTCACGATTATGAGAGAGGTGCCGTTTACGGTCATACAGTTCCCGTTGTGGGAATCGATGAAGGAATATAGAAGGAGGACATCTGGCAAGGAGAGCATTAGTGCTTTTGAGAGTGGAGTGTTTGGTAGTTTGGCGGGGGCCATTGCGGCTGGGACTACGACGCCGTTGGATGTGTTGAAGACGAGGATGATGTTGGCGAAAGAGAAGACGGCTATGATACCTTTGCTGAGGCAGATCCTGAAGGACAGCGGTCCTAGAGCTTTCTTTGCTGGGATTGGGCCCAGAATATTGTGGATTAGTGCTGGAGGAGCCATATTCTTGGGATCATATCAGTGGGCATACAATTCTCTTTCTGGCGAAAGCAGAAGGTAGCTATGAATACGGGTTGGGTGGCGGATATGCATATAAATGGCGTTGAGCAGGATTGGAAGACCCCGCTCTTCTTTGTATGAACAAATGTACATTTCGTTGTAAGATACAGAAACAAGTTTTTGAAATACATAGAAGATCTTCTCCTGTAGCAAGTGAAGCCTAAATAATGATCGACTCATGATATAAAAAATATGCAAGCTTAAATGTCTAAGCATCCTCGGCTAGCTTTCTCAGAATGTACAAATATCAAAGATCTGACCCGGGCCAACTGCAACAGATATTATTCCCATAAATGTCCTTTCATTAGATTACTAGCGCCAGTACATAAGAGATACAATCAGACATTGGGTGTAGCCTGAGCAGCAGGTGTTGTCGGGCTAGATGCAGTTTCCAGCTTCTTCTCATATTTGATCGGTTTACGACCATTGCTCTTGTAATATAGCATGACGTCTGCGCCTCCTTTCCATACATGAGCCCGCAATGTGGCCAGGCTCATTGAAATTGGGAGTTTCTGGACTTGTTAGTATGTCTCAACACACCATAGTGAAACGACTTACCTGGTCATAGCAATAAAGTTCTAAATATTCTTCTGGTTTCAGTGCATTCGGATCTGGAGTTTCTGGCGCAGGTTCAATTCGCTCTGCCACGTATGCCAGAATCTTCTTCACGCGCAGCATTCTGTTTGCGTTCAAACGAGAATTACCATCTGGACCAGCGATGCTTGGTAGTAATTCCTGCCATGGCTGAAGGACGAAGGAAACCTTCACTGGCTCTTTGATAGGTATCCTGTTCTACGCAATTGTTAGTACTTTATTGGAATATTTGCTTCTAGATACTTACCCTTAGAAGCAAATCACCAAGCCACATCGGTGCTCGATCTACAATTAGATTCGCATCTTCGCCAACAGTTGCCACTGTTCCTCTATATAAATCTGCACTTCCTCCTGAAGTCTCTTCTTGGATGATGACGGTTGTCATTGGTGGAGGCTTCAAGACTGGCGTCTCGTTCGGTAGACTGGGAGTGATTCCTGTCTCAACGGGCTGCTCTGGGTTTTCAAGCACTGTTTTATCATACTCGTTTCTGATCTTTTGGACGATGCCAAAGAAGCTGTCGTCAACTTCCTTCTCTTTCTCTCCACTCTCTGAGGTTTCCGAACCTTCCTCGACCTTCTCATCCACGACTACTGGTTTATCGGTATTGACCGATGCTGATCGTCCGAGTTTCTTGCTTCCAAAGGACATTCCCATGCGGAATTTCTTCCCGAAGAACTGGTTACCATCTTTACCATTAGTGTCTTTATCGGCATCAGATGGCGATTTGGGCGGCTTATCATCAGCTGCTTGCTCACCAGGAGTCGCCGCGGGCTTGGGAGTGGGCTCCGTTGAAATTGCCGTGCTTGAGAAATAGTCACCACTCTTCTCACCAGAGTCTCGACTAGCTTGGGATAGCTTCTTGTCTAAGGGTGCCCCATCTTCTGGAACTCCTGGGAGATGATTCAGAGGGGCAGGAGTGGCAACACCAATACCCATGCCTGGTGTCATAGGGTATGTGCCGTTTGCACGAGGCGTCATAGCCGAGCCACCGACCTCTGGCCAAGCAGAGGTAGGCATTTGAATAGAGGTTGGAGCGTTATTTCTCTGGCCGTTCTTCTTAATGTTGTCATTGAGCTCCTTTCTGAAGATTTCGTCTCTTTTAATCATCTCATCGATAAGATTCGAAAATATATGACGGAGGACCCATTTTCCGAGGTTTACTGAGGTTGAAGTTAGCATGTCAGTCCATATATACAACGGAATATCAAGAATCAAGGGTTACAGAACATACTCCTTTGATCTTCTCTGAATTCTACGGGTTCGTCTAGATGAAGCTCGTCTGCGTACATTTCTGCGTCGAAGCAGTTGTACTCTTCTAAGACAACGGCGAGTCTTCCTGTCCTAGTATCGATCGAGCACCACGGAGCAACTGCTTCAAGCGTATTGATCTCTGGTTCTACATCTTCGAGATGCTTCTTGCCAAAAGATTGGACTGGGACACACTGCTACTATCAGTAATGGGTTTCAGTGAATGAGGGTCTACTTACACCCAACAAATCCCACAATAAAACGTCTCCGGCTGTGTCCAAGGTCAAAGCTCTTCGGCGGTCATTAAGAAGCTTGTGCTTGACCAAACCATGCTGACCTTCGATCGTCTCTTCTGGTAGCGCCTGAATTGGTATAATAACGCCAATGTCTGGATCTACGATAACCTCTGAGCCTTTCCTTATGTTGCTAAGGGAGGAGTATGTTGTAGCAGCATCAGATTCCCTGACTGCTGCTGTGGGGAAGCTAGCAGTGTTTGATATTCGTAGCACGGCTTGAGCAGGTATTTCCTTCTTTGCTTCTCCATTTGCAATTGGCGGTGAGAGATGTCTAGGCCTTGAAGCTGCACTTGAAGCACGGTGGTGCCTGTAAGCTTCTGGGAGTTGAATATCAGCTCCGGTATCGACATTTGTCCAACGATTGATCGACGAGCTGGAAGTTGCAGTCCAAATATAATCTCCGCATGCAATCACTTTGTTAACACCCTCGTTCTCTTGTGCAACAGCCAGAGCAAGACCATCATCCATTTCGCCCAGAGTGCCGCGGACATCGGTCTTGACTACCAAGCCAGATCGGTCGCTGCTATAAAATATCCCAAGCTGTGGATCATCGGAGTATAGAGACCAGACGCTGTCATTATGCATCGTCAATGTATGCATGCATCGCCCAGCTGTGACACTCCAGACTTTGACCGTCTGATCAGAACTGGCTGTCATGATGGTGTCTCCGGTCTCATTTATAAGGATGTCCCTGATGTTGTCCGTGTGGCCAACGAACTTCGTGACTCTCTTTCCTGACCTGGGATCCCATAGTCGGACAATTGATTCTGGTCCACCACTGGCGAGCATGCTACGGCATACACTCAACGCATAGACAGAGCCCTTCTCACTCTTCTCCTCGTCCCCGACCTCAATTTCCAGCTTCTTGCCGGCACCACTAAGGTCCCAGAGGCATATTCGTCGGTCAAGTCCTCCAGAAGCAACCCAGTCTGCTTGCGGGCCTGGTGTTGCGAGACACTTTACGTAGTCTGCATGTTGCCCTATTGTTTGTGGAGCTTCAGACTCGTTGGACAAGGGTCGCCACACTCGGACAGTCAAATCTGATGATGCTGAGACCAGAGCGGCATTGTCTTGAGCAAGGACGATATCATTGACCCAATGGGTGTGTGCCTGAGTCTGCGCGCGGAAAGTCGTCGAGGTCTTTTTTGGACTCGAGTCCTTGGTCGCATCCTCGAGAGGATCTTCAGGGGAGTCGAAGGGGTTCTCGGAAGGTATCGAGGAATTCAAGTCAAGATTGAGGTTCCAAGCACATATTGCTCCATCTCGTCCTCCCGAGTATCTATTGCTCGGTCAGTAATTGGAAGCCTTTGGACCCCACCTTCGCGATACGGGCGCATGCGAATGAGCTCATGATTCTGCGAACTTACAATATCGATTGCTCACTATCTACAGCAAGTCCATTGACACCAAGGCGATGACCGCCAGGCGAATTCGCAAGGGGAAGGACTGCGGGGAATAGTGAGTCTTGGAGGATGTCCCAGGGGAACTGCGGGGATTACAAACCGTAGGAAATCCGTTGCCTTGCTTTTTTATTGGCCATGGCCACCGATTTCAATCAAGGAATCATGCGGTTTCGGGTCGTTGAAGCAATAAAATGGTCGCAATCATGCATGTACTTGACAGCTGTGACTGAAGTTATATGAGTTGTTAGATGCACGAGACGGGTACGACAGAAGCTCGCTCCGCATGAGCTTTCCCTGTGCACCGGCGCCCCCCCCCCCACACTCGCGTCTAGTTGACAGGTAATAGCGAGATAAACACGCGACCTGCCCCATGCAGGTTAAGAGCGTCAAGGACAGTCAATTGCTGGGACGGAAACTGGGTTAGAACATCCAGAGATGGCCCGACGGAAAACCACAAAGTCATCATGTCGAGTTTCACATTCAAATGATTCTGCATTTGATAATACACATCATAGCGAACTCGCTTTCTCAGGTTCTCAACGCCTTGACAAAGTCCCAGCCAATAATGCTTGCGCCTTTGCATATGTAAACAGATGGGTATCTTTGTGCAGCCTTCCTTCCCACCAAAACGCCATAAATGCAAAGCCTCTAACCCACCGATTGTAGACCGGCGTGACGTGATTCATGTCTAAGCTGAACCCCAGTGCCACATTTGAAAGAGTTCAAGTGGTCTTGACCACAATGAGAAAGTTTCTCAAGCGCTTCCACAATTCCTCCTTCCCCCCAATCGAGATACTCAGGAATTGGCAGTAGACCTTGTCGTCCCCACTGAAAATCTTCTTTGAATCCTCTGTTGATAAGAATTGCCGCAATGCACCTCCTTTGCGGCGTCATATCCTCTTGTTTGTAACAGGAAGTATCGATTCCGGAAGCAACACAAAATGCATTCGTACACACGAACACCCCACAATCATACCCATTCGTTTGTACTGCGCACTTAGTGTTCGGAGTCGTCCATTCCTCTTCTCTGTATTTTGACCCGAGCTGATGCTTCAGCCATCCCCGCATCTGACGGATGAATTCTGCCGGAGAACCTCCCATACTATCAAAGTATTCAATTGTCTTTGCCACTGGGCGAACTACTCCAATAGTCCAATGAGCACCTTGACATATGGGAACGAAAACTGTATCCACCTCCATGAGAGAGGCGCCGGGGGCTTTCTTCCTCTTCATCAGTCTATCAGTGCTCGATGGGCCTTTATTCCTCAAGTTCACGTAGAAGAAGCTGTTGTGCGCAATGAACTTGGGGACTGGGCTTGGCGTCTCTCCAAATGCCTTTGCCTCTGCAGAAGCTGCTTCATTAGCTGCAACAACAATCCACTCGATATAAGTATTAATGATCTCATCATTCAACCAAGAACGCTGGCCTAACAAGGTATTGAAGTCTTTTGAGCGCAGTTCAGTGCCCTCGAGAGATGTGGTAATGGTTTTGTCGTGATGACCGTACTGGGCGTTACTGACAATAGTATCCCACTTTGTGACCAGAGGTTCGACCAAGGCCTTTGAGGGAAACTGGCGGGCGAGTCGACGGTGCTTCGCATCCTGTATGACACGCCTTATTTTCTCACGCTGTCGTGCTGTTCTCTCTTCCTCTGCTTTAAGTTCTCGTATCCGTTGCCCCTCTGCAAGTTCTGCCAGTTTGCGTTCCGAAGGCTTAGGACCAAAGTCAAGGCCTTTCCCGAGAAACAGGCTCTCCAAAGCTTCAACCAAACCTCCCTTCGCAGCAGTCGAGGGCATATCATCTTGAGGTAACGACTCTGGTGTAGCTGGTGCATGACCCCACGATGAGATGAAACCTTTCGACTTTGACCTAGTGTCTGGTGATACGTGTGAGTTCGTTGAAGCCCCTGGTGAGAAAGATGAATCAGAGTGTCTTCTTTCTGGGCCCCGACCTTGTGGCAAAGAATCCGGAGTAGGTGGCGGCTTGGTAGCTTTATATGGTTTTGGTTTCGGTTTCGAATAGCCCAGCTCAGGTGGCTCCCAGAACTTATCGAGATGTTTGCGAGCCTCTTCATCATCTTTGCAATGTGTGACATCTGCTGCGCCTCGTACTGCTCTTCGATATTCATCGACCACAGACTTCGATCTTGGAAGCTTCGACCGTCGCTGGCGCTTCTCGGTGACTGGGAGAGTCGCGCTCTCATATTTCATTTTCATAGGGTCCTCTGAACACTCTATCTATCTGTTAGCTACAAACAACTGCCTGCGCAGATCTGCTACAAACCTGCGGGGCTCACTGGCGCCATTTCTGCTGGTGTTGTGAAGAAGTAGTTGTAGACCGGATTGTAGATGCTGCGGCAAATATTGGAGACAAGGGACAGCGTCGCCTGGAATGGGTACATAGTATTGCTTTCTTGATCGGGCTAATTGACGTGTCAGTCTTCCTCATCTGAGAACGTTTCGCGGGCGTTTTGTCATTCACCTCTTCTGCTGTCGATCGCGTCAACTGGTGATCAGCCTTTCGCTTTAGTGGCCTAGCCATCTTATCAGATCAAGCGAGCACGGTGGTTGAATGTTTATGGGCAACATCGATGACTTGCGTTCGTTTCTGCGGTGTCGTGATGGATTGGGTGAAATCGAAAGAATTGATGTTTGCGGAGCGACATGAGGGCGACTTCCCGAACAAATTTAAGGTTTGCCGATCGCTCATGATTGGTCCACCACCAAATCGCAGCAACAGCCTTGCAGCTCGGCAAGACTGAGTTCCCGTCACAATTATGAAGACACTTGTATTACTGAATTCAGTATGTATCTAAATATTATATTCCATTGCTACCTAATGTTTCGCTAAAATTGCATAGTCTTCTTATAGAAAGATCAGTACAATGATGTCTCAAGAATGATCTCGAGTGTCAAGGCTATCATTCCACGGTATTGTGAACCCTTGATCCTTTATCTAGCCCTGCTAATCTCCTAGGAGTCAAGGGACAACCATGTTCTCCAAAACGCACGTATTAATAATTTCATTAGATGCCACACAAAAGACCTCACGGCATCACAACCTTGAGTTATATATCATATTTCGAGCACCCTTAGCCCTGCCCAATCTTGAAAGTGTTCAAACAATGATATCGAAGGAATGATCTTGAACGTTGAGGACATTCATTGTATTGTAAATATTACAATATGTACTCCAAAAGTACCTAAGAAATGCTACACTATAATTGCGCTCGTCGCTCGCCCAATCGTTTTGTAACGAATGCCGCAAAGTATTCATTAAGTGCATCCACCGTTCCACTGCCCTCAACCAGCGAGGACACAATTCCAACATACCCATCCGGTCTAACAACAATAACTCCTCCTTTCTCCCGGTCCAACCCCATCTTCGCATGTGCTGCAGCCTTCGCATCAGGGACCCGCTGGTCCCAAATGTCATCCGCATACACATGGTCCCTGTATCGAGCCAAAATGTCTGGAACGTCCCTCGAGATCTCAATTTCCGCCCTCTTGCTAGCGAAAATAGTACATAACGAGAAGAAGTGAGAGTGGGGATTGTGGCGTTCATGATGCGATACAGAATCAATATCAGGTCGTAAGTACGATGAAAAGAAAGAGTTCTTTTTCTTCAGATTCTCCGCGAGATCGCGGAGTGCTTGACCTGTAGTGGAAGGGTTTCCAGCAAAGACATAAACTCTAAAAGAGCCGTTGACTGGGATTTCTTGCTCTAAGTGAACCACATTGGCATCAACAACACGTGTAACATTCGAGTTGATGAGGATTCGACCAGTGCGAAGTTTGTTGCCTTTTGGATTGATGATGTTCGAACTTGCTGGGTGTGACGCCGACCAGTTGAGAGCATTTGGGTCATAAGCAACTCCGTACCCACTGGTGAACTCGCAGGATTCTTTGAATGTCTTGATGAATTGGTTTTCCTCCGCATCACCACTTTTCTGCTCTGTGGCTGCTGCTACATCCTTCGCAGCGGGTGCTTTTTGAGAGAATAGAGCAGCGTACTTGGCATCAAAGTTCAATAAGTTTTCGGCAACGAGCTTCCGTTCAGACTCGTACGTTTCCAGGATAGAGCGATCAGCGAAACCAGCTTCGACATGATGGATCTTCCAGGCGAGGTTCAAAGCGTCGAGAAATGCGGTGTTCATACCTTGTCCAGCTTTGGGCTGTAAATTCTTAGCGCAATTCATAACCCGGCTGCATGCAACTTACGCTGTGGGTATGGCAAGCGTCACCACCCATGAAAACCCTGTGGTCGAGAGTGTATTTATCCGCAATACCCTGTCCAATAGGATATACCGAATACCACTCAACTCGTTCCCACTCAATATTGTAGGGCTGCAGTATTCGCTTCGCGGAACTCTGCACCTCTTCTTCTGTGGCAGACTTCCGAGGGTTCCAATCTTTGTCTGTCGATGACGCAATCTGGATGTACAAACGGACCATATCGTTCTCACGTGGAATAACCATAATAGATCCGTGGTCAGAATGTATCGTGCATTTCATCTGTGAGTTTTAGTAAATTTCGAAGGAGCGCAGGCTACCAGGGACATACCTTGATATCCGGAAAGTCCGTCTTCACCACCCCATCCATGACGCCCCAGACGTGAGCTATTGGGTCCTTGTGTTTGATCCCAATCTTCAATTGATCCCGGACGAACGATCGAGCGCCCTCGCCACTGAAGAGATACTTTGCCCGGACGGTTTCTTTTCCTTTCCCATCAACATGCTCCAAGTCCACTTCGACTGGGTATTCTGAATCTACCTTCTCATCTGTCTTGAAACCCTTGATTGTCCATGGCCTCTGGATGGTAACTCCGTTCTTTTCCAAATCAGATATGAAGACCCGTTCAATCAGACCCTGGTGAAGAAGTGTCGTAAACGGATATCTAGCATCAATGAAGCTTGGACAACTGGCCCAGGTTCCTGTTCTATGAATCCCGTTCGAGCTGGGATCCCAGAAAGCGACTTCGTAGACTTTCGCCGGCTCATGGGCCATGATAGCAGGTTTCAGACCCATATTGCGTAAAAGATCCAAAGAACGGGGCTGTATGCCATCTGCGCGGCCAGTCTTCGTCGGCTCGGGGCGGTTGTCGATATGTTTTATCTTGTAACCCCATCGTGCTAGACAAGTCGACAGTAAAAGTCCTACAGGTCCGGCGCCAATGATGACAATATCATAATTAGTCGAAGAACTGGCGGTGTTGCCGACACGTTCTCGAGGAGTCATGCTCTTGTCCATAATGAGCAACAGAATGTATAGAGGCTGAATATATAGAGAGAAAGATACGAAGAACAAGGGTCAATAATGACGCAAAGCGTAATCAGAACGCAAAGTGTAATCAGAAGAAAGAGCGCTGGGCGTCAGAGCAAAAGCTTTGGATTGAAGATAATGAAAAGAGACTTAGAAGTGCCTCCAGCAACCTTAAGTACTGAAGAAAAGAATTTAGGTCGGAGGTTCGGAATCCTCGACGGCAATTGACTCGGTGTCAAATCGCTTCATCTTATCGCATTAAAGCTGGCCCTAGGTGGACTGCTGGAAACGTGGAGCATGATCCAGATTTCGCCTTTGAGGTGCGGTTGCTTGACGCGGGACCTGGTCATCGGCCCAGTTTGCGGGGAACAGCACCCTTCCACCAACCAATTTGATGTGGATCATGGCCTCGAGTTTTCGGGAGGAAAGTCGGGAAACACTAAAACGATGTTGGTCAGCCTCTTAGAGCCTTAGGTTTAAGGCCTCGAAGAACATCATTTGGCCCGTGCATTCATAACCTCACTTCGGTTCGCCTTTTGAACATCTGTCATTCCAAGCCGAATCTATGACCAGCTCCGACATAGAACCTATGTCTAACATCCAACGTTAAGCAGCCCGCCCACCACACTCCTCGAGGTGGCGCAACGTTGTAAGATGATGTAGTTATACGACATCGGTAGCCCGTCAAGTCCAAAAGACCAAAAGACCGATCGTACTCTCGAGAACGTACTGCCGGTGGACATCTTAAGATGAGTCTAGGCAACACTCAGGCTCTAGATTCGAATGAGCTTTATGATAAAAGGCCCATGCTCTATAGATCTTATCTTCGAGTACGGGCACATCTTCCTGCCTCGAGGCTTGAATATAGCTCGCAATTTCCCACAAGACAGATCTTAACACTGTCAGCCACCTTCCGCTTTGATTAAAGACTAGCAACATCAGTCACTCGAATCACGGCCCTTTGAAATCAGAGAATTTTTAGAGCCCATAGTTCTGAGTTATGCTTGCTTCTTTTATCCGCACAGGAGCAGAGCCTCCTTGTCCTGTAGCTCGTAACCCAAAGACATGGTCTTGCTTCAGCATATGGGAGACCTACATGTGTTTGTTTCTGTTCAGAGACGATGCTTTGTTACCGCTTGATAGCAGTCCTAGGAGTGTGGCATTGCTGTTATGTACACCTTCCTTCCGCTCTCCTTTCTCTTGTAGCTTGCTCAATTACATCTCTTTGTGTGCTGACATCTTACTTGCTTGCTTGCTGAAGCCTTGTCGGCGACTTGCTCTGAGCCTGGCTTTGAAGGAATTGTAACTTATTATTTCAGTGATGATATTCGACATAAGCTGACGTCCAAGTGCAAGATCTTTTTGTCTTATCGAACACAGCAACATGCGGTCCATGCGGCCGATAACCGGCCTCAAGGAGGACGCTACGAAAGCAAAGATATCACGTTTAGACACGGCTGGGAAAACCGATCTTATCGATAGGTAATTAGACTCATACTCGACTGCTTCACCCTCGACATACTCTTCAGCGTCCTTTCAGAGACAAGACTCGCCTTTGAAGAGAAACCAGTCACCAGTCGGATCTTTTTCGTCTCCTTCGTCGAATACTGGACCTCTTTGAGAGGCGCGACCTGCGATGAATGTCCCGGGTCAAGCTCAGCAAGCCGAGTGGGACGAAGATAGTAAGTTTTCTGCCCTAGAGCTATTGGTTCTGATGATTGATGGTCATTAAGAGTGCCGAAACTATATCATTCGCACTCTAGACTGGATACCACGAAACTTCGGATATCAAGACGGTCTTTACTTCTTGCACACACACCTGCAACTTGCGTTCGGCGATGAGAACGGACACCTGGCAACTGGTGTCCTGGAAGAGCTGATAGAGCTCGATGGGATTCCCCCATTCCCAGAAGCGCTTTTCCAGCGTTGGAAGTATGCTTACCGACGGAGAAATGTAAGGGACTCTACTTCATTGTCACTCTACCCGCACCAGTTCGAGTATCTAGTAGCTACATTTCATAGCTGACATGCTTTATAGGAAGTCCTCGAACTGCCCCATACTCCTCCTACGAGGACGATCAATCGTCCAGTTGTGCCAACACAGAGGGCAATCGAGCACAGACTTTTGACTTCCCCACAAACAGAACATGGCAACAGGACCACCAATTCTCGCGCATCTCGTCTCTCACCAAGTCCAACTCGTCTGCTTGAGACACGCGGTGATCATGCTCGAGCTATCGAATACACTTCCTACGTCTCTAGAAAGGGCAAGAAACCAAGGATATTGTCCGGTAAGGCTCCCCTTGAACAACAGCAACCATGGCAGATCGACGTGCGAGTAGAACTTTGCTTTGATAGAATTATGCTGACTTCATGACAAGCTCCGACTCAAGAAGAAGTACAAAAAATGCTAGATGATCCTCAATTCGGCAGAGGCGGCAGGATCCAGAGCATGAGATACGTGCATACACCTGTTACAAACAACACAGCTTCTGAGGGACAGCTTAGCCCTGGAGCACTGATCTACAACACTTCAAAGACATCAATCCCTCCAAAATCCGAGAACCTGGTCACGAGAGAACATACACAGCTGGCTGTGCAATCTAATTGTGGCTTCTTGAAAGATCTTGTCGACTATCTTCGGAAAGCGGCTCGCTCAGGTCCTGCTTCCGCCCAAAGCCAATCAACTCAAGAAGTCGAGGAGGATGAACTGAACTTCCAGAAATACATCAGAGAAATATTCCGAGCCGAAAATGCCACACCTCCTTTCGACTTTCAAAAACATCTCGAGGAAATGCACTGGCCCTCTGAGGTCGAGATACCCAATGCAAACTTCGCTAGAAAATATCGTCTTGTTCCTCCTGGACAGTCGTTGCCGATAGAAGTATTGAATGGATCGCGTCAATGGACTCTGAACGAAGAAGAGACAAAAACGCTTAATCGATTATGGCAACAAGCAAGACGAGAGATGAATGAATTATCTGATGGTGAGGAGAGAGTGACTGGCCGACTATGCCAAAGGTTCTTCCAGTTTTATGCGGACCGCTACAATGCTCCCTTGACCACGTCTCTATTCCATGACTCGGGATTGGATTTCGCTTGGGGCAATAAGAGTATGGAAGGCTGGTATGAGAGTGAACCCAGTCTAGCATCTATCGTCGCACATGACACTCCGTACGAGACCCAGAGCGACCTTTCCTACCATACAAGGGGTAACAACAGACGCAAAGGCAATTTGGCAGTCAATATCACCCGCAATTGGCAACTCGGAAGTCGTGGAACTAGCGAGGGCCCATCAAACTGGCACTCAGCGCAGTCACATCCTTCACTCGATGACTTTCGAAACGAGCTACTTAACGAAGAAAAGACGTCGACTACTGATAGTAGATCTGTTCGTGAAGAGGCCTCAAAGGAAGGTCTCAATCAGCGTCGTCATCTCCGTTCGGACTCTGGCTCTTTGGAAGATCTTTTCCGACGTTCCCTGGTCGAAAGTCACCTCCAAAACTCACTCCAAGAAGTCGCTCTAGATTCTGGCTCTTTGGAAGGTCAATTTCGACATTCCCTAGTCGAAAGTCAACGACAACACGCACTTCAAGAAGTCGCTTCGGATTCTGGCTCTTTGGAAGATCTTTTCCGACATTCCCTGGTCGAAAGTCAACCACAAAACTCACTTCAAGAAGTCCCTTCGGACTCTAGCTCTTTGAGGATACCCTTGCCAAATACCATTCCAGATTCTCATCTCTTGGGCAATCAAGATCTCAATTCTCGCCACCTTTTGTGTTTGCCGCGTACAACATACCTCCAAAGCCATCCACAAAGCACAGATCAAGACGACAGCGCTGAGCTCTTTATTCTTCCCCGTACAACCTACGACCCAGGAACACCCAGACCAGAGACAAACACCTGGAGCAACTCCGACAACATGGGTCGATTAAGCTCTCTGTTCAAGACGGACAACGTTGGTGGTTCACAATCTAGGTCATGGAAGAAGTGGCTGCCATGGAGTAGGAAGACGGACGAGGAATCACGAGTTGATTCACCAACCAGGAGTCCGAGTTGGAGCAGCAGCAGCTTGTCTGTCACCAGCCCAGCCACTCCAGCTCCGAGAGAATCCAGAAAGTCTGGAGATCCTAGAAAAGCAGGATCTTCAGCAATTGAAACTTGGAGACAGGAGGTGTCGGTCAACACCAGGGGTATTGAAACATATACCCCAACCGGCACTCCTGCCAAATTCAAATCTCCGTCCTATTCTCGAGACAGGAGAACCAGTACAAGCAGTGGAGCCACTTGGGTAACTGAGACAGCGTCAGTTATCCAATGGAGTCCGACTTCAGTTACAGCTCGAGTCCCGGCCCCGCCTGCACGCACAACTCCTCGGTCACGACCAGCAGACTTTGACAGCATGTACGATGCTTCCCCCGTCGGATCAGAAGCTGGAGAGGAGACGGCTCCTGTGGCGAGCACACGGTTTGGTCCGTACGTGGTCCCTTCGATTCCTCGCGGAGTGTTTGAACCCCGAGGCAATACAACCTTCTCGATTTCGGAAGACCCTTTCACGGGAGCTACGGTGGCAAGTGCACGGGTGGAGATCCCCCCTGGGTCGTTTTCTGCGAGAGGACCGAGTCACAAGTCACCTAGGGCACATCTACTGATACCACGGACAAGAAGAGTCGCTCGCAATGGGATTCTAGAGATTCAGCCAGTACGAAATCAGGTGCCAGATACTCCCACGAGAGGGCTTCGAAATGTAGCAAGAATTGGTAGCGCTAGAGCCGGAGACGTGCAGGGAAATCCCAATGGAAGACTAGAGATTCAACCAGTACGAACTCAGGAGCCAGATACTCCAACCAGAGGTCTTCGAAACGTAGCAAGAATTGGCACTACTAGATCCGGAGATAGAGCTGGAGGCGGACAGGAAAATCCCAATAATATTTCCCGTGTTTTGCAGTGGCGGGAAAAGCGAATGGGACTTGATGGCGCATCTGATGATTTTGGAGATTTTGGAGATTTTGCAGGTTTTGGCGAATTTTGCTCACCTCTCGCCAATGTTGACAATGGTAACCACAACCACAATACCATCTCGCAAGACAATGGTTACGAGATAACCATTTGCTCGAATGTCAACACCACGAACTCTAAAATGGATGCAAATCGAAAATCTGCTTCCTCGTCCAATTCAGCAAATCCACCACCTCTCCGCATCAACAAACAATCGAAGCAAGTTCGCATTGCAGAAAGTCAACAACAATTGAGCGATACCAGTCCACACAAGCAATCCACAATCTTCCCTCCTAGAACTTCCTCTATGCGCAATACCGGCGATTCCCCTGTTGCTGATTCCGTTCGACGTCGCGAGGCTGCTCATATTCGTCAACATAGCGACGCGACTTCTGGTAGACCATCACCGCTCTCCAGCTACAGCTACAGAGGACATTATCTATCCGACGCGTCTGGCAGTCGTCCTTCCACAGAGGAAACAGCGCGCTCAACTCTGTCCAGCTTCAAAGGTCACTACATTTCGGGTTCAACTGACATCATTGGCAACTTTGTCCCAATCGATTCGCAAGCCATGGCTGCTCCAACTGCTGCTCCACAGGCCAACTGTAACAGAGGCAATCTAGACGCGTAAGTAAATCTTTCCAGCGCGTTTCAACAGTCGCTAACAATATACAGGCTTGGCCAGGTCAAGATCTCCTCGAATCCTTATCAATTTGAACCTGATACCCCTCTTCCTGCCCGTCATCATTCGCACCAAACCACGTTCACGGATTTCATTTCGTATCCGCACGACTCCGAATTGGCGCCAAGCCCACAGGTCTTCTATTTGAAGAAGTCTCCATCAACTGGCAATGCAATCTACAACGGTCGAAAGCCGACGCCTATGGTGCCATTGTCGTCCAAGCCAGGCGCGCGCGGTCTTCAAAGATGCGAATCGTCCCCGAATGTGTCTTCTCCAGCTGTGTTCAAGGTGCAATACCAGAGAAGCGCAAGCCCTGACCTCGCTGCTCGTTTTGGTGAGATCGTTGATCCAACAACTCCAATTCGGCGCGGCCGCTCTCCTCCCCGTGAAGAACGCCGTGGACGCTCGTGTGAAGAAGATCGTACACCTGTTCCTGCAAATAATCAGAGATATTTCGGAGAACTGCGATCGGAGTCTCCTTTCCGTGCACCTACTGCCAACGAACATATCCAAAGCTATCTCAGAGAATCGCGTCCAGAATCCCCTCTTCGCGTACGTACGTCCAATGATCATATTCAAAGCTATATGAGAGAGCCCCGTCCAGAATCTCCATTTCGTACACCATCTCGGGATGTGGCTGATCACTACGGTGCTTCTCCTTCAACGACAAGCCGCTATGGCCCCAGATCTCCAACGAAGACATTACGTGATGTTGTCGAGCACGACGAAGTCAGTCTTGACTCCCCAGATCTTACCCGTTCTCCAAAGAAGCGTTCTCGATCGCCCATGAAGAAGATGTTTGGTGAACATGGTTGGCTTGGACGCTCACCGGCGGAGGCACCTGAGAATATTCGTCAGAACCAGAAGGCTGCTGCTGCTAGTGGCAAGGAAAAGATGAGTATGATGGGAAAGCTGAAGACAAAGCTAGGAGAATTCGTAAGTTCATATAAGATCTGGACCTACTGTGTCTTGAACTAACAGTGCTTCAGGCCGAAAAGGCTGATCTCAGTCCTATCGGTCGCGGTCGAAATAGTAACGACACGCCAGCGAAGATCTCAGTCTTATCGGTATCCCTTGGGCCTCCAGAGCAAGCAAGAATCCTCATGGAAGTCGAGCTCATGCTCGTTCATACCGCAAACAGCTTCCTCATGAACCAATTTAGCCAAGGTCGCATGGCCGTTGACTCGATCAAGAAGACCGTTGACGCTTGGAAGGCTCGAGGACGTCCCACCGTCATTGAATTCATGTACGATCAGAGCACACAGCGCGATCTCGTTGCCATCAACCAACAAAACTTCCGCTTTCATGGTGAGAGAGCTGGCGATAGCGTTCGGATCAATTCGATGCTCTATAGCTGGAAGCTTGTTGCGAGTCAGATGTCCATTCGTACCTTCTGTGACGCCGATACGATCATCTTGAAATTACTCTTCGACATCGAGTCGATCTTGGAGCTTCTTGGTGCTCGCGACCCGCTTCTGACCAGACTTCAGCAGATTCGAGCCACTGCCAATGAAAGAATGCGACTTGCTCGTCTGAAGAAAGAGCGTGATAGCACTCAGGATGTACCGATGGGTCGTGAGAGAACTTGGCACAGCAATTCTGCTGAATCGTCTGATGGCCCTTCTATTCGCGAATCCATGGATGACCCTTATGGAGGCTTGAAGCTTGTCCCAGATACTTACAGAGGATTCAACTGAGAATTCAACTGAGAATTCAAGGACGTCTAGAAGCATATGGCTCTCCGTTTGATCTCTTCGCAATCGAACCATCTCTCTTTCGCCGCCTACACTTGGAATCTCTACATCTCGACCATCCACTTGTTCGCTCATATTGTACGACTAGATTTCCTTCGTTCCTGCATATTTCGACGACTCTCCACTCTTTCGAAGAGCATCAGATCTTTTTTTCACTGAAAAGACCTGGCATACTTCGTACTCGCGCTGAGAGATCATTCTCCTTTCTGTATTCCCCATTCCCAATATTGTGTTTCCTCTTTCAACAATGGTTCTGTGGCGAACTTCTGGACCTCTTCCAGTAATGCGACATTCATGAGCTTCTGCTTTTTGTTGTCAATTGGTGTTCTGCTAGGAGTCGTGGGCGTTCTCATGATACCCTTGTGATTTCCAGATTTGATTTGGAAAGGAGAGAAACGTGTTCTATGTGAATTGGCATCTTGCCGATGTTGTACAGTAGTCTAATGAAAAACATAAAATTCCAAAACCACTGCCAATGAAGTGAAATTATTGGCGTAAATAAGGTACTTCCATTCGTGGTGGTACGTGAGACAAATGCGAATCAGGTACAAGGGGAAGTAAGTACACTGTTCACCAAGAGCTCAAGAAGATGATGGGATGAGGAGAGCTCATACTACGAATATATCAAGATCTGAAAGCTCAAATATTACATCTGAAGTGTGTCTGGACTGTGCAATAAGGTCGTGTGAAACTTGCGATGAGAGATTACAAAACTACAATGCAGTATTTGACCTGTCATGTGCATGTGATGCTCTTTGGTGGCGGCCAGGGAACGTCATCGCGAAAAACAGAACGTGCCAGGATTATGTATCGCGGTTGCCTCATGAATAAACACGAATTCTCTTCGACCTCCGTCGCTCCTGCCATCTGGCTCGAGGCAGCGAGACTTCCTCTTGTGAATCTCTGCGGAACTCGTTCTTCTTCCTCCACCCTCCATCACACAACCTCGCCGACTTCCACATCCTCTGTCTCTCCCGCGTCCCGCTCTTCTCAGAAGATTATCTTCTATCCCGAATTATCAGTACACCGCATATTCTCTTCTGTATTTATTGCTTCAAGCTGCAGGCGGCTCTGCCGGGCAGAGTCGTTCCTGCATTCCTTCTCTTCTGAATTGCCAGTCTTTATAGTACTATGTACGATTTCCTTCCTTGTATCACATGCTAGCAACTGATTGACTCTCGCAGTACACAATGTCTCGACTCGCCCATACGTACGGGCCTACCTGCAACCTTGGTCCATCTGTGGCTTTCACCGGTTCGAAGGGTGATGAAGAGATACCAGCACTCAAAGCACATTATTTCTACTCTTCTCCTCAACCGATCGACGATCCTCTTTCTGTCATTCCTATTCCTACCGGCGCCGATGCCAAATCTGCCAACCATCCACCTCGTCCATTCTCGGCATATGATAATAAGGCCCTCGAGGATGCTTGGGTTAGTGTCACATTGGGAAAGGACAAAAAGTCTCTGTTCAGGCGCAAGTCTCAGTCTCCTTCACGGAAAGCTGTTGCAAGTGGGAATGCAGCAGTTGCCGCCGGTACTACAGTGACGGCAGACGTGGGAAGAAGCATAAAGGATGCCGCACACTCAGGAGCAGCCGGCTCAGCCAAGCTTGTAGGCGTGGGTGCAAATGTCATCTCATCTACGGCTGCTTCGAGCGAGCCTGAGAAGGACAAGAAAGGCCACTCCGGAGTTAGCACCTCTGCAGGCGTAGGCACGTCATCCGCGAAGAAGTCTTCGCCAACCAAAGATGCGGATGAAGATACCAAAGCTGCTGCTGCCAGTACTTCTAACGACACAGGCAACCAACACTCAACGGCGGATCCAGAATGTCATCCGAGCAACGCATACTGCGCTGAGCTGAGTGAGGGTCACGAAACTGGCGACGGAGAAGAGGTTGTGGGCCAAGATGGTGAAGCAAGTTACTCCAAGAAGCAAGACAGAAAGGAGAAACGTTCAAAAGCATCGCGAAAAGGCAAATCATCAAACACTTCTCAAGGAGAAGGTGCTGCTTCAGAAGTCGAAGCCTCTGGATCACAAGGAAACCCGTACAATCCAAATTGCGAGGACCCTCACCATGTTTCCATGGACTCTGGAATCGCAGCATGCTGTGCGGAGTTTGAGAAAGGCACCAAATCTGACCATGCACCTTGCATCACGAACGAGGGTACGACTGATTCCAGTCCCGCTTCAAATCAACGATCGGGTACCGAGACATCACAAGTTCGAAAAGACAAGTCTAAGCAGAACAAGAAGTCACCTTGGGCCGAAGTTGGAGAAGCTCAAGGTGACGCCGCTGATGATGATTCTATGGACGAGGTTGGCACGCTTGACGGTCACGACAGCAGAGGGGTCATGAAGGGAAAGCTGAGAAAGACAGGCAATCTAAGCTCTGAGGTGCAGATTCCGGAGCCTAACGCGGAGAACCTTCCTGCTCAAGCAGATACCGGAACGACTGGTCAACCCTTTGTGAAATTGGCATCGCGAAGTCCTGAAACGTCCGCTGCGGAGGACATGGAGACGGACATAATGGCTGAGGGAGAACCAAGCACTCACGCTGGTAATTCCAAGAAACGCCACCAACGCGAGTCGACAGATTCCGAGACTGTCCAAGTCTCCGGATGCAAAGCCCATAAGAACAATAAATCTCAGGGCGAGGTACCTGTCGGAGTTTCGAGACTGCATATGGTCACCTTGCCTACTTTGCAGATGAAGCCAATTTATTGGTCGCCAGTCCATGACATTGCTGCTGTCACTCGTGGTACTTGGTTCTACAAAGACACTATGTATCCTGTTGAGCCCCCTGTGGCAAATCAGCTGGAACTCGGATATTGTGAGCTCAGACCGTGGTCTCAGACATGGTGTGATGAGCTCAGCAGTGCAATCGAAGTCGGAGCCATTGGCGAGGAGAAGATTGTCCACCGCCTCTGGCCCAAAGAGGTCGAACACCAAGGCAAGTCGCGCAAAACGCCTGAGCATATTCTCTACACCGATCCTTATTGTGCCGCAAAGTGCTTCCAAGGAGAAGCTGCTGCAGAAGGGTCCATAGATCCCGATGAGCCTGAGAAAAAGCCTACCGAAGCAAAGACAGTCACGAAGAAGTATTCGTCTGCTCAAGTCATCTACAAGGACGCCCAAAACGCTTTCATCCTCAAGCCAACACTACAGCCTTCTGCGTACTATGGCCGAAAGCCGCTGGCCAAGATCAGAAAGGGTGTCACTGTTGGCATTCATGTGGTTCGAGGTTTTGATTGGAAACTGTGGGACAAACTCCACCCTACGAAGAAGACTGGCACGACCTCAAAAGTAGAACAGAATGCTCCTGTGGCTGGTGACGCAGATGTTAGCAAAGGAACTGCTTGTGAAGCCTGCAAGGCACAGGAGCATCGACAAAAAGTCACTGATCTGGTCTTAGTCATACATGGCATTGGACAGAAGCTTTCCGAGCGCATGGAAAGTTTCCATTTCACACATGCTATCAATGGGTTCAGGCGCTCTATCAACGCCGAACTTGCCAATGATGCTGTTCATAAAGCACTTCGACCGGAACTTGGTGGTGTTATGGTCCTTCCGATCAATTGGCGATCAAATCTGTCTTTCGAGGATGGTGGTCCGAAGAAGGACGGAGACAAAGAGGTCGAGACTCCAGATTTCAACTTGAAAGACATCACGCCCAGCTCAATTCCGGCAGTTCGCAGCATCATCTCAGATGTGATGTTGGATATCCCTTTTTATATGTCCCATCACAAGCCAAAGATGATCCGAGCCGCTATTTCCGAGGCCAATCGCGTGTATCAACTATGGTGCAAGAACAATCCCGAGTTTCAGGTGGAAGGTCGGGTTCATGTGATTGCCCACTCTCTTGGCAGTGCAATGGCACTTGAGATCCTAAGCAAGCAGCCCACTGTGGTTCCCAAGATTGACCCACATTCCAAGAAGATCAACGTGAAGCATTTCGATTTCAACACGACCAATCTTTTCCTTTGCGGCAGTCCCGCTGGTTTCTTCTTGTTGTTGGACAAGGGAAGGCTGATTCCCCGAAAAGCTCAAGGCAAACCTGGAGCAGATGGCCACGATGATGTAGACAAGGCTATTGTTGGTGAAGCTGGTACTTTTGGCTGCTTGGCAGTTGACAATATCTACAACATTATGCATGTCAACGATCCTATTGCATACAGGCTTAATGCGACAGTCGATCCACAGTACGCGGCGAGTCTCAAGCATGCGCAGGTACCTAGTGCCACGACTGGCTTCTTTGAGTCCATCGGCAATGCGGTTCGATCGATGACTCCTGGAGTTGCAACCCCTCAGGATCTCGCCATCGGCCAGGTTCAGAAGCCTGGAGCTGTGACGCGCCTCCCTTCTCAACTCGAGATGGAAGTCCACGACTTTACACGGGAAGAGATTGCAGAGAAGAAGTTCTATCTCGTGAATGACTGCGGACAAGTGGACTGGGTCTTGACCTCGGGAGGTGGACCATTGGAGATACAATATATCAATATGCTTAGTGCGCATAGCAGCTACTGGGGAAGTCCGGACTTCATCAGATTCATTGTGATTGAGGTTGGGCGAAAGCCTGGCAGAAACAATGTACTTCCAAACATGAAGGTTGCAAAGATTGGTCGAAAAGACATTGGCAAGAAGGCATAGGGGAGCTTTTAGGCTGGGGGTACAGTGATTTGCGTGTTTGATTCGATGAACCACTTATCAACGATGAGTGGTCAAATGGAAGATTGTAAGATTGTGGGATGATGCATTACAGCAAGGAGTATGGCGATTAAAGATAGACCTATGATACCCATACCTAGAGACCGTCCAATACAGATTTAAAATTACCAAGACCTTGTCTCCATTTCGACCCATTTGATTGATTGCAACGATTTTCCGAATGATTATCATAAACCTACCCAAACGCTCCCCTTTTCTCATGCGAAACTCCTCGCTTCACGACCCCGCGTGACATGACGTTGGAGCGACAGTTTGCCTCGGCTGAATACCCCACACGCTTCCGTGGATCATCACCACAAGCATAAGCATCAGCATCAGATCAAAAACTTGATTACTATCACTTCACATCCCAGGTTCCTGCATCTTATCTCTGCAGTAAAAGGTAATCAATCAACCCCGATCACGACATTTCACGCCAAACGGCAAACGGCAAACGATCAATCATTGGGCCGACGAAGACATGTCGGCGGTACCGAAGATCAAGCTTTATGTGGATACGGTTAGTCCGTTTGGGTATGAGGCTTATTGGATCTTGAGGGTGAGTTGTGTTCTTTCTCAATTGATTGAGGAGCTGGGAATGTGGAAATGTACTTTGGGATTGTACAACATTTGTACGGTCGTGTTTGGGAGGTTGCGGGTTGGTGGTTGAAGAGGCAGGCAAAGGATGAAATGGAAGCTGATAGAGAGGATAATAGCACGATCCTGTTTTCTCGAAATGTGAGATTGAGTATGTGCCTATCTTCTTAGGAGGAGTTATGAAAGCGTGTGGGAATCCGACGCCGATTAGTATCAAGAGTATGTTTCTACCTTTTTCTCTCTTCTTTACTTTTTTTTGTCTTGTTCTGTCTCTCAACACTATTTGAACCCCCTCCAATCAATTAGATTGACAGTGCTGAAATCAAGAGAACAGACAAAGGCACGTGGATCGGCACCGAGCGTCTCCGCTGGGCGAAAGCCTTCAACGTCCCGATGAAAAAGGATATCCCGCCCAATTTCCCGCCGATGACGCTGACGATCATGAGAGGGATGTGTGCGCTGACGCTTCTGCATCCGGGGAAGGAGGGGCAGGGGATGTTGATTAGGTGTTTGGATAGGCTGTTTGAGGCGTATTGGGTGGAGCATCGGAGGACTTTTGAGAAGGATGTTTTGGCTGAGGTTTTGACTGAGGTTGTGGGGAAGGAGGAGACTGAGAAGAGTATGTCTTTGATCTTTCGTTTTCTATACCTCTCTGAGTTGGATGTGGAATGAGAGCTTGAGGAAGAAAGGGATAAAGCTAACCTGAGATATAGTCTTAGCGATGGTCCCAAAAGAAGGCAAGGAATTACTGGCCAAGAACAGCGATCTAGCCTTCAAGGATGGAGCGTTTGGGCTTCCGTGGTTCATGGCTACAAATTCAAATGGCGAGACGGAAGCCTTTTGGGGTGTGGATCATCTCGGGCAGGTTGCCCAGCATTTAGGGATTGAGAAACCGCAGATGGGAGGTTGGAAGGCTTTGCTTTGAATGGGAGTGGTGAGATCGCGTATGAGCTTGACTTTAGCTTTGAGATTTTGGTGGGGGAGCGATTGAGGAGGTGTGGTTATGGGTAAGAATAGAGCGAGGTTGCTGCGATTGAGAAGAGTGACGTTTGTATATACTAAAGGTCTTGGCTTTGCTCCCCTGTGTGGTGCGTCTTGAATGCTTTCAAGTCGAAAGCAGCTTTCCAGGGCCTGTTTTATTCTGCGGCTTATTTCATTCTTTAGATATGAAACAACAAGACACAATGTTGAATAGAAGAACTGGTCAAGTCCCATGCTTCATCAACCAAGACATCTACCTTTTGCAGCAATGGCTTTAGAATGTCTAAGTAGAACATAGACCCATAGACAGAACACCTCCGAACGCATCCGTCTACAAGATTCGCCTTCCCGCATTGCCGTACACCTCCATCACCTCCATTAAAGCTAAATCCACTCCTAACCATCATCGAGTTCGTACTAGCTTGCACCTGCGAAACATAAGACCAAGTAACTACAAAAGTATACTGACAAAAAACAGACAGAGCGGTAGCACGACCAGTAGGGCGGCCTAATGCTCGACTATAAGGACGATCGATCAACTTCTTCTTCTCCTGCAAAGATGCCAAATGAACTACTTCTCCATATACATCTTCGCCATATCATGAAGCTTTTGATCCCTAGATACCCCAGCTGGTTTCTAGGAAATGAGTCTTTCTGGTTCCTTCCTCGAATGATTATGAGAGGCTTGTGTCCTGAAGCAGCGAAAGACTTCACGTCACTGCTTGCGAGAGCATACACTCAAATTATCGGTTTAGATTCCACGAAGAATTGATCAAAAGAGGTTATTATGCCATATCAAAAGAGCTGTCTTCCTTTCCTGATCTCCACACCAAAGCTCTTCGACCTTGTCAAGAACTCTGCGCTGACGTCGCTGCATGCACTTGCAACCCCATCTATCCGTCCCCAAACCCATCACCATCTCAAATGCCGAAGAGAAATCAACCTTGTTCCTACCAACCAACCTACCGGCTTCTTATCTTCCCATCTAGAAACTTGTTCCAAAGCAGCAGGCAAGAGAATCCTTCGTTCCCTCCCAACTGTCTCCGTTCCTGGTACGTTCCTTTTTGAAACCGATCGATAGGATCTTGACTTTTGCCACTTGAGGTGCAAACTTGGGATGTTGAACTGGCTGGGAGCCGTCGCAGAGAGTTGGATCGTGAAGGGAGAGTTGCGTTTCGTGGACGTCTGAACCTTGAGTTGGAAGAGCGAGCTGGGTTGCTGGAAGTGTGGAGGAAGTACTGTATGTACGATTGCGATAGAGGACTGGTTAGGAGTGTGTTTGTACTCGGTGTTGATGGAGACTGGATGCTTCAGATCTCAAGATGGATGATGGATGGGGTTGTACCGGCTGTTTGCATGCCGGTAGCGTTTTCGCGGGTGTTGGAGTTGACGATGAGTATGCTTTTGTTGAGAAGATCACATGCAGTGGAATATGCTTAGCTGTAATTGAGGCGTGAGGAACATGCGATGAGTGTGCAGTTGAGAGAGGAGGACAGTCTGTTCACTTGATCTCGTGAAGTGAATGAGGAGTGTTGCCTGGGTGAGAGAAGCACTGTAAAGAGAAAAAGTGTTGAAGGAGAGCCTCTTTAACCTTCGTGATATTACACCCGTTAACTATCTGCCACAGACTGAGCTGTGATAACTCATCTCATTGTCCACCAGTATACTCGTCGATGATTCGAAAACATGAGAGTGATTGGCAAGGAAGGCGATCGAGGGTGGACTTCGACTTTCGACCAGAACGCAAGATGGATGAGTCGCCGTGGTCTGTGACGAGATGAGATGTAACAACTGCTTTGTTGGAAAGAGTCAGTTAGCAGCTTCAATGTGATGGCGTTCATGTACTCTACTTGTTGTGCAATCTCGAGCTCAACGTCAACGAGAAGATTCCATCAATCTTGTTGTCCTCCATTCAATGAACATTTGACAAAGGCATCTCCACTCGAACGTCCCTGAGAGGAGTCAGTTAGCGTTAGAGGAATGCTCAACCTGATGGTGTTCATTCACCTGACTTAACATGATCCCAGATCCCTTCATCGCGACAAACACCTAGGCATTCCATCAACAGCATCAACTCTCCTGATATGCCATACACTAGATAATCCGACGGAGACCTCTGGCTGCCGGGACATTAAGAGTTGAACACGATCATAAGAGTCGGGTAGCATACGAGGAAGCTTCAACGATGGTATTCAGTCTGGTAGCACGGCTTCATCGACGAACACTCGGTCAACATACCCTCAGCACTTACTAGCCTTCACTTCCAAACATGCTATGCTATGCTAAGTGCTAATACTAAATTATGTTGTGGTGAGCGAGTCATTGCCTGGAGGTGAGTAGGCTGTGGGAGTCACTTTCTGTGGTGTTGGACAACGAGATGTTTAGGTACGTCTAGGCAGAAGGAGGGAGGGTTTTGTTGCAACTCGGCGACTGAGTCACTTCATCATTACATCAAAGCAAAGCAAAGCAAAGCAAGACTTTCACTCAGGCAACAGGCACAATCATTCAACGATCACTCTACGAACTCCCTTCTACGATTGATTCACCACCGTGCTACTGTAGCTGTGCCCGTTCAAAATTAACTTTTTCCGTGCCAGAAACGCTTACAGGCATTCATTCACTCACCCTCTCACTTAGATTGTTGGGGGCCTCTCTGTGCTGCTGCTCGTCAGAAATAACTCTGTCTGTTTTCTTCAAAAATAACTTTGAATTTTTCTTACGATTCTATGTATGGATGCTATTCACGTAATGAAGCTATCCATCTCGCTGCTACTTCGAGTCAATCCTATCCTACGCCGCCGAATATTATTTAAAATAAAATAAAATGGACTTGTACCTGTACCTACCTGACCCTTCAGCACTAACTTCCAGCCCATCCATGTTGATGTTGGAGCCCCCCCCTTTCCTCGTGGCATCCGAGAGACCGTGGTATGAGTATCAGAATTGCCCCCTAGACAGGATATTCCTTCCTTTCTTCCTTCCATCTTGAATACCTCCCCCTATCCGAAACATATCTATCCTCGTTTTATCTGGAAGCGAATCCGAAAAGAGTGTTTCGTTTCGAGGGGAATTAGTTAAAAAAAAAAAAAAACGGAGACAATTGGGATTTACCGTTGCGCCGTGACCGCGCCTTGCGTCTTGACGTTATGGTGTGGAGAATGGCTGTCGTTGTCGAGATTGCGCCGTTGCCGCATCTGATTTTCCGCCTTCTGGATATGGGCTGTTTGCGCGGGAGATCAGTTCGAGTAACCTGAGAGTAGAGGAGAGTGTAAGATGACGCTTGTTTCGATTGGTGGTAGAGGGGGAGAATGGGCGGGCAAAGTGTATCATCCAGAAGTTTCATCTGAGTCTGCCTCGCCATCAGGTTTTTTTCTGAGAGAGGATGCGTTTCGAGCCTGGTTAAGCCTGATACATTTCTTGTTATCAGAGAGAAAAATAATGCTTCAAGGAGTTACCCAAAGAGTTTCAGAGGTATCGTAAGACAGCCATTTCCTGCCATCATCATACTGTACCCCACGTTTCCTAGGTCGTACTGCAGAAAAATGTATGGGCTCCTTTCCCAGCAACCACCAGTATGATCTACGCATATTGCACCATCGTCGTACACCAAACAATTCTCAGCCAACGGTTCGTATACCGGAGGGTGCGGATCTACTTCCCTTGGCCGGGGAGAGACACGTTTAGTGAGGGATGTACTACGAAAGAGACAACGTTCTGAAACGTATGCAACAAGAAGGCAAAGGCGCGCGTGCTTGCAAGCATTCGGAAAGAGAGAGTGCAGTACAGTAGACCTGCACGCAGGCCAAGAAACGTGGAAAGAGCAACTTTGGTACCGATCTGTCAAGAGCGAGATTAGAACGTGGATTTTTCTTGGTTGCAACGAAAAATGGACAAATCCCAGGGCGTGCCAGCCCTTCCTGGTAGGACGAAGGAGGAAGCTCGGTATGCACGCTGCCAACGGCCACGTGTGAGGGGAAGAAGGGAATCCTCCACAGACGCGAATATGGTGTGCTCATCCTTGGGAAATCAAACCGTTATCGGCATATAACTAACATGTTGGGGTCTATTTGGGGGACCCCTTCAATGAGGAGATCAGGGAAGGAATCGAATCAGACAACGTAGATCTTCGGAAATCTTCAGCAACCCCACTGCCGTCTTCAGAACGGGAAATGCACCGAACGTCCCGAACACACCCTCTTGGAGATAGGAAAACCCTCCTTTGACGTGGTACCCACCAGTGTTCCCATTGGAATAGGCGTACTGTACTCTTTCTTGTTGGATGTTGGTCGCAGGCCTAAGCAATCACAGGATCAAGAGAGATCCATTCGAGTGCTCGTCTGCATATGGTGGCAACGGTGGGGAGTCCTCACTCGAGGGATTCCAGGGAATGCCGGACCGAGATTGTTGGTTGCCTGGCATTGGCTCCCGTTGAATGGCAAAGGGAAAGGTATGACTGGGTTGCGAGGAGTCCATCATACAATCGCTAAGGGAGACACTCATCGAGTGATCATGACCGCAAGAGGAAAGATGCTATCACGTAGATTCGTTGCGTATACCCCTAAATGTCTCTCTTTGCGCAGGGAATAAGAATTGACTCCTTTAACGGGAATGTTAAGCCTTCCGGGTACAAGGGCTTTGCTTTGCTGCAGTGCCGCGGCTCATGTTCCAAGAGACTTTTCCATTCTGGACGCCTTGTCTAGATTGTTCTTGGGTACCCTTGAGAGCTTCTCGAAGGGAAAAAGACTTCTTCATGCTACTAGGTAGGTCTTGAGTAGTTCGTCGACTCGTGTTACCAAGTGTGGTAAACGACCCGGCGGAGAAAAAGTCTTGTGCCGCTGCGCATGGTGAAGAAAGGCATCTCGGCCGAGATCCAGACTTGGATCTACAGTTCCAACTGTGCCTCTCGACTCGACGATCGCTCGGAACAGCATACAGATGGTGAACATATACGAACGCGAGTATAAGCGCTCTGCGATAGCCACACGACGCGAGAGACGCGACTAATCGCACCAGATCGAGGCAATGCTTAGCTGGTCGGCGTAAGACGAGAGGGCGCTGGCCACTGATAATGAAAGTGCAGGCGCCAGCTTCGGGCCTGTGTTGCACACCGAATCGTGACAACTGCTGCTGTGCCATCGGGACGGCGCGAGTTGGAGTTGAAGGCTGCAGGGCGTTGCCAAGCGTGGGCGTGCAAGTGTCGAGCATCGAGCATCGAGCATCGAGAGACATTTAAGCGCCGGGGGGCACAGTGGCTTGGTGGCTTGATTCGACGTCACGTACGTACGACGGCCAGAATCCCCGAATGCTAGTTCCAACATCACCTCAGAAACCAACATTTTACTATGCACGATCAGTGTCGGTCGGTGTGTATGGAATCAAATCATAGCAAACCATCGTCGTTTCTCTTGCCCGCGTCGCCAGTTCATGCCGTCACGTCGTATCTCCGCAGGGCCTGGCATGGTATGGTATGGCATCGCATCGCAGTGCAGATTGGACTCCGCCCGTCCTGATATTGGCCAGCACACGACTAGGAGAACCAGCCACCCCGAGAATAATATTGAAGCCCGAACGACGACGACGTCGTAGTAACGGGACCGAGTGAAGATGCGGAAGGACGAAAAATTGAGAAGATAGCGGTTGCTTGGGGGCCACAGACATATTTACGTGAAAAATAACGGGCAATAGATTGCGACAAGAGGGCTGTGTTGACGATGGATGCATTGCTGAGTTGTCGTCTCAAGACGAATTCTGCCGCAACACACCTTCATGGCTTGCTTCACTTCACCCGTGCCGAACAGACAAAGCGGTACGATACCAACGAGTGAGTGTATTGTTACTACTCACACTGCTACTACCACACGACAACACTGCCGCCTTCGCTTTGCATCTCTATCTCTATCTCTGCACTTTCGGTGACAGGAACTGAACCTCCTGCCCTGCCTGCACGCCCAGACACCACGAACGGTGAACAACAGGCTCAGGCTCAGGCTCTCGACGCATGGCTGGAGGGAACATGGGCCGACTGAAGACTGAACGCCAGGCACGCCAATCGGCATCACGGACAACAACGGCGTCCGGTGGGGTTTAGGTTGGGGCTGAAAAGCCACAAGACGGACATTGAGACCGTATCTCCAGCAGCATTTCAGCAGCATCGTCAGAAATCTCCACGTTCAGACCATGTCATATCGGCGTTGTACGGCAGTAGCTTAAAACCTTACTTCCGTCGAGAGAATCCGCATGAGGAGCCCGCGCTGTACTCTCATTTGCCTGCTCGGAATTTCCTGTCAGCGACGGCTCGTAAGGGCAGCAGACTACAGTACACACTGTACATGATCTGGTGATGGTGATGGTGATGGTGATGGTGATGGAGCGTTATTCGCCCTCTTTCTCTCTCAGCCAAGCAAGCAGCATCCATCCTACTACTTTCTATTCTAATTTGATTTGCGCAACCAGAGCACAAGAATGAGGTCAGCAAGGCGTCCCTCCTTCACGCATGCACGCACCACTCGGAATGCGCAAGAGACACGAAACTCGACGGCTAGAATCACGAATGGCTGAATGCGGAGTCGACGAGGTCGCTCGAAACGGCTCTGAGCATAGGCGAGTTTGGTAAGATGATGATCTGAAGCTGGGAAACACCAAACCGGCAGGTGCTGCCAGAGAAGCCGGTATCTGGGAAAACGTGTTTGACAAGCAATAGCCTCGTAGACGAGCCAATGGCCCGCGGAGACGCGCCTCTTATTGACACGTATAGGGATCAATGGAGAGTGAGCCCATTGTTGAATTTCATGGGGTGGAGGGGCTGAAAGAGGGGAGACGAGGCGAGCAAAAGGGGGGCTCTGGCTGGAGACCTGGAGACCCTCCATTTATGCGTACTGTACTTTACTGCTGCTGGCATGCTGCTGTACTCCACTCTCTTATATTAAAAGTTCATCTCAAGTCTTAGGCACCGCAATGCGACCAGATTGCTTTTACCAGACTGTCGGGAATTTCAGGCAGTGATCCCCCAAACAAGAGGCCCTTTAATATAAAAAGTGTGATAAAATTAGAACTCATAGCATCTGCAATAAGATGCTGCTGTCAATGTCTGTGGTAGAAGAAGCAAATGACGAAGGGAAGGTACAAAGTACGTTCAGCTCCTACCACTTAGCTTACCCCTGAATGGGGCTCGCTTGTCGCTCCTCTACCTATGTCAACGGATATCGTACCTCCGCCAATCAGACGCCACACATCGTAAATTCCGACCATTTATCGCGCATCTTCCTCTTCCTCTTCCTGCAACGCCGTATTCCATTCCAGGCTTGCTCCCGTCACCTATCACTCACGGCCCATGCTCTGACGAAAGGAAAAAGTACCGTTTCTGTGATCGTGCAGTACCAAGTACCGTCCGTGTCTGTTCAGTATTTGTCAGAAGGAAAAGCCACCACCACTTCCACTCCCGCTCCAAAAGCCCCCCAAAGCAAGCGAACAAAGAACAAGCCTCCTACTGTACTGTACGGAACGGTACCACCCCTCCCCATCCATGCCCTACCCTACCCTACCCTACCCTGAACCCTCCCTCCCTTTCCCACCAACAAGGGCCCTCACATCTCGAAACCCGCGCGGTAAAGACACCCCCCTGCAAGCCAGCCAGTCCAGTCCGTGCTGTAGTTGTTCAGAATTACCCGCAACGGCCCACCACCACCACCACCACCACCACTAGCTCCTCCTCCTCCCTCCCTCCCTCCCTCACGCACTAAACCGCATTCCCTCCCAAACTCAGAATCGAATCGCGCCGGGATGCCCATCCTGCGCCCACTTCCCTCCCTCCTCTCAAGATCCGTGCAACAAGGCTTGCTTGCTTGCTTACGAGAACCGACTCCAACCAGCCTCTCTCTCTCTTCTCTAGCCCCACATACCAACCTGTACCTCAACACCTCGAAAATTGCAACGAACAGCGATTTGTACGTACAACAATCAATCAGCTTGTCTTGCTTGTTGCTTGCTGCAGTTCAATTCATCCATCCAGCTAGCCAGCCAGCCTTCCCGCTTGCGATGATGGGCCAGCAGCCAGCAGCCAGCCAGCCAGCCAGCCAACATTTTCCCATTCCCAAACAGCACAGCACCCCCAATCTCGTTCCCTCCCTGACGACCAGAGAACCTTCCATGCATATGCAGCCAGTGTAAGAGAGAGAGAGAGAGAGAGAGAGACCTGGAGAGAGAGTGAGGAAGGAAAATTGGAAGCAAAAAAGCGTGACCGGGTCGACCGATCGATCGGCCGAACGTTTAGCCCGGCCTTACTGTACGTTGCTGGGGGGGGGGGGTAGATGGATGGAAATACGCTTCGGCCACTCAGGGTGCTGGGTAGCCGCCAGACGGGGTGCCAAGAGGGGGTCGGGTGTGATTGGTCAGCTCGTGAAGCACGGTTCAAAGCATGGCGACTCGAAGCTTCTCCTCGATCTCGCAAGACTCGGCGGCGCGTTGTACTGTACTTTCAGCATGTTCTTTTTTTAATCACTGATGAGAGAGAGAGAGAGAGTGGAGCATTTTTTTGAAGATTTGAAATACTGTGATTCTCTTTCTATCTGCTTGAGGCCCCATATGTGAGATACGTAGTAGTAGAAGTGGTGGTTTACACAACTGAATGCGCCTAAAAGGGTATTCTAGTACAAAAACAAATAGATACAATCAAAGTGAAGTGAAGTGAAAAAAAAAACAAAAGCCAAAAAAAAAGTGAAGAGAAGTGAAGAAGAAGACAAAAAAACATTCATATCCCGGAACACCAGGGGTGCAAAAGACCCCTCCTTTCCTATCCCTTCCTAGTCCCCAGTTATCCGTCCCAATCCATCCATTTTGATATCCCACCCCAAAAGAGAGAAGAGCAGAGAAAAGGGCGGTCGCCCTTCCGAATGCGTTGCTGATGATCATCCATGCGCGTATTGTATGTATCGTGTAACCATCAGCCGCCCCCAAGAACGTTACCCAGCCATCATCCACCCCATCCCAACCCATCCATTCGTTCTCGAAGCCCGTATCGAAGGCCCAGAAACCGAGGAAGCGCAAAAAAAAAGTGAGGCGGCATTTTCTTGTGTTGCTCTGACTGCGCCGGTAGTGTCGCATTGCATATTTTTCGCGTTATTCCCATTACGTCGTCGTTGGAGAGATACAGAGAAATGAGATGTGATGAACAGAAATCGCTTTCGTATACGATTGAAGCTTTCTTTCGTACGTAAGTGATCAGTTCGACCATACGGCTTCGTGGCCTCCGCCTCCGCTTTCCTGGCCAAGGTGGTACTCTTGTCGCTCGAGGTAGGAGGAACCTCCAGGAGCTGACGTGAGAGAGCTGTCATGCGTTTGCGGGCCGCCGCTGCCGCCGTTGCTGCGACTTGTAGAAGAACCTACTGAGTGCGGTGGTGGGGTGTAGTGCGTTCCGGAGCTGTAGGATGCTTGTCTGGACGCGTGATGGGTGTCTACAGAGGAGCGGGCGGGAATCCTCATGTTGTGGTGGTCCGAGGTGTTGCTGTAGCTCTGTGGTCTGAAGTCGACGGTCTCAATGTCAAATCGCTTTGAGCAGCCGTCTTCCATGTGTCTGGGAGGCTTCATTAGCTTATGTCTGATGTCAGGTACAAGGGGGTGAGGCTTACCGTCTTAGTGTATCTTTTCTGGCGAAGAATCGACTGCAGTAGTCGCATCGGTGGTTTCTCTGCTTCATGTGGACACTCTGGTGGTGTCTTTGGAGGTCCGTCTTCCGGACAAACTTCTTGTTGCAGTCCTTAACTGGACATGGGAATGGGTATTCCCGGCTGGCATCATGGGTCTCCATGTGAGCCTTGAAATTGTAGCTTCTTCCAAATAGCTTGCCACATCCTTTGACGTGACATTGGAAGTTTGCGTCTTCTTTTGAAGTGAGTCTTCGAGTCCGGGTGCGGGGTACTCCATTGGGGCGTCGTTGAGCTTGGGAGCCGGATGTGCCCCTCTCTTGGCTCTCTGAACGTCTGTCGTAATGTGGAATTGGTAGAGAAGAGATGCCTGGTAGATCTGGAGGGTTGCCATATTCCATCTTTGGCCATCCCATAGGTGGTTGATCGTAGAAAGTTGCATCAAGGCTTCCAGCGTAAGGGCCAGCGGACGAAACCATGATAGTATGGCTCAACTGTGGGGAGCTCATCATCATGGTGTCGTGTCCAACAAAGTCTGGGTGGTCCTCCATCTTGATGCGTGGAGTGAAGGAGTGGATGGAACCAGCTTGAGTGAAGATCTCGGAGACTGGAGCTGAGGAGAAGGAAGAGCGTTCAGAAGTGTTGCAGGAATCAGCTGGGGAGGCGGGAAGAACAGTGTTTACTTCAGCAGTGTGAGCTGAGTATATATCATGACTATATGGGACCTGCGTTGTTGAATGGAATGGCGCAAAATGATCATACTCTGCCTGAAGTAGATTAGGTGTAGAGTGAGATGACCTTGGAGTATCCCGATGCTGCAAAGCTGCGTTTGACCAGTTGGTTGATCCGGCGGGAGAGGGAATGCTCGTTACTGATACATTCTCCACGGCCGAACTTGACATTGGACACGAGTAGAGGCCGAGTCCTTGTAAAGAATCCGTGGAACGATAGCGAGAGTCACTCTGGGCTGGTGATGGATATTCATAGAGTGGCTGAGGGTTCGAAGAGTATGGATATGGTGAGGTTGGTGAGCGTGCGGATTGTGGGGTCAACTCCATCTTTATGTATGATGGGAATAGGAGGGAGGAGGATGGATTATGTAGTACGATGTAATGAAGAGTGGCCACCAAATACAGAACGTTGCTGGGGGCTAGCCTGGGAAAGCCAACAGCTTTATCGAGGATGCTGAGGTAGGCAGGAAGGATGCACGAGCGTGATTGGTGACCTCATGTACGGTATACCGATGACTTAGTGAGGGGGAGGGCACGTTTAAGAAGTGCCAGGAAGTGCGGGAGGTATCCAGGAGAGAGAGAGAGATGCCGTGGGAGTGCCCAAGCTCAAGAACGGGAGGTAGCCTTGGAGGAAGAGTGGAGTGAGCAAGACGTAAAACTGTTGTTGCTGTTGGATTTTGGGAGGAGGGCGATGGAGAAGTTTGAAAGGAATTCAAGGCAGATTTAAACTAAATCTCTTGGAGGAGGTGGAGGTGATGGTGGTGTCCATCTTCAAACAAACATATTATAATAACACAACGGTGATGGGTCTAATGTAAATCCTGACGTTCCAAGGGTGTAACGGCAGTGCTAGATGAGGATGGAGGGGCTTGACTTGCTTGACCTTCCCAGGAAGACGAGAGGAATCGGTAGGGGAGAGAGCCACGACCCTAGCCAACATGCCAAATGACCGCTTCAGGCTGCAGGGCAGGGTGTGCATCTCGAAGGGTTTAGTCGAGCTAGTGAGAACCGATGCAAAGGTACAGTCTACTCCGTACAGTACCAACCCAAATAAACCTGCGTGCTGGTGCTGCACAATGGGATGGGCATCAGATCAGGGGAGGGGGGGCCATTTGGGGTGGCGTGGGTCGCAGTAGGTAGGAATTTGGGAACAATGGGGCTTTACTGTACTGCACTGGCTACCTCGGAGCAGGACTGGGACGAGGACTGGGGAGCACGAGCTGGGGTGGGGGGTCGAGGATGAGACGACATTGGGTCGACCTACGACGAAAGGCCACTTGCAGGCCACAGCGGTGACAGCTAGGGCTATTGAGGACTGCAGCATGCTGTCAATCTTGCCGTGCTGGGCATAGACTCGAGAGGGTTTTGGCATAGTGGTTGCTGTTGCTGACATGAAGCTCGGATGACTGTTCCAGTGCTCCATTCTGGTGCACAGGGAATTTCCAGCGGACCAGGGCCGTCGAGAATGATGGCCGTGGCCCTTGTTACCCATGTCCCTGCCCAGGGATCCGGCGGTGGATAAGGGTGCAGTCCAGCGCGGATTTTACTGTAGTTAGAGTGCGAAGCTGCGGACCGGGATATGGAAACGGGGGGCGTTGGCACCCGTTAGATCCATCGTGCAAGGGAACTCAGTGAAGGGAAGTCAAGACGACCGGGGAACCGACGACACAGAACAGGCCAGGCAACACTGGGGCAGCGTTCATCGAGCACTATCCTGTCCTGTCAGACTTACAATCTTAGACGGACGCTTGCTGGGAGTGGTATAGCTATAGTGTCAGATGGGATAAGATGGGAAGGTAGAAGGTATTGTTAGAAACAGTCAGTCATAAACGAAGGCCAGACAACAACATGGTGAGTAACTGAGCGAGTGTGCCGGCGACTGGTTCACGACTGGTTGTCTGTTTGACAGGGACGAGGACGATGATGGGAAAAGCAGATGGGAGACTGCCGCTGTATGGCTCATACAGCTGTAGGGTTTAGCAGCAGAAGGTGAGAACTTACGATGCCCTCAACCACTCAGACTCGCGCGACGCTGGAGCTGGCCGTAGCAGCTGTGAGCCGTTCGACATTTAAGGTGCTGAGGGCTGACGGACACTAAGATACGAGATAGGTACCGATACTTGCGGATCACCACCGACCATGACGAGTTCAGCAACTCGTTGGCGATGGATGACTGGTGCGTTCGTCTATGGAGTCTCGAATTGGTGTGCTGGTGTGCTTGTGTGCTTGTGTGCTTGTGTGCTTTGCTTTGGTTACTTTCGTTTGGCTGCTTTCATTTGATTGCTTGCTGCAATGCTGAGTGTGATGAGCAGCGGAAACTACAGTACTTTACTTTCCCTACGTAAATCAAGATGGCGGTTCGCCGAGTACAAAACGCCGGGCGAACCTCGCTAGAATGCAAGACCGAATCCGAAAGTCCATTCGTCAAGCTTTCCAATTCCAACATCATCAATTCATTTCACCTCACTTCACTCACCTGAGATATACCCTTCACTGCATTCATAGTAATTATCCTGATATCTTATTCACGCCCTTCCATTTACTCTCTCACTCCACAGTCCGGACGTATCCCACTCATCTTCCTCTCGCACGTGCCTACGTCCGTACAAGCAAATGTCCCATGCAGCATGATGCTATTTAAGTATGCAGACAAGCAAAGGAGCCTAGTTGCTGTGACCTCGAGATTAGATGCACACTATGATGGGTGATGGGGAAGCTAGGACGGCTGCCGTGTCCGTCGGGTGGGGTATCCTGACTGTGATCCTGCTTCCTCAGTCCTGACTACTTTCTCCTGGCGTGATGTTCGACGCAAACGTTAATCATCCCTCCAGAGCACGACGCCGTTCCCGTTCCTCGCTGATGCAAATGCGAATGCAGACGCGATGCGAACTTGCTGCTGAAATTACTAAGCAGCATCAAAGTTGCGTGCTGGTAAAGTCCAGGTACAGGTACAGACAGCATCAGAAACGGCAACGGCCTCGAAGTTCCCCAGCAGCCAAACTTCTTCAACGGTGTTCACTAATCCCCGTTTCCGTTCCCAAATCCCAGTTCTTGGCTGTTCTCAGATCATTCATTACTCATGCAGTCCCATACCAGAAGATGCCACAGGCTGGTCCCCACCCGCTGCAGCCAGGTCGGTCGTTTACAGTGTCCACCCAGCGTCTCCAGGCGCCAAAAAACGGGGGTCGAATGTCGCTCTCGCGCGTGGCAGGCTGCCATCAAGGCCGGCGGGAGGGGCTAGAGAAGGTCAGTTTAGCGTGTTTGCAGGGTAGCGGACGCTCCAAGTAGGGAACGAGAATGCCTGTCGGGTCTGGTCTGATCCTGTCTGGCCCATCCTACCCTGCCCTGTGTGTTCTCACGTCTCGTCAAGTTCTCCCCATAATAACTGCTCGCTCTTATTATTCCCATTCCTGTTAAGTAATCCCATGATTCCCATACTTCCCCGTTGAGGCCGGGTGCAGGAAGCATGTCCACCTCGCTAACCGCATCTTGACGCCGTCATGTCTGGATAGAGGCCAAAGTTTGGTGCCATGATCCACCTCGTCCTTATCACAACCGCAAGCGTGGTCGATATTCCCTACTCCGCCCCAAGCGGCCCCAAGTAGATCGCATCCCCCATTGGCTGGCTCGTAAACTTTTCTCGCTACCTGCGTACAGTATCGTCCAGGGCATCAAAGACGACACAGCCTCGAGGAGAGGTATTTTCGAGACCGACGATGTTTATTTTCATCCCAAATGTAAATGAATACGTTCCAACGTCAGGATGCGGTCTCAGTCTCGACGGCCTCGCTCGACGTCATCTCACCCCTCCCATATTGCAGCTTCAAACTTTCACTTTCTCCCCAAGAGCCCGCTCATGAACTACTATCTGTGTTACCGCCTTTCTGCATCCATCGGTACATGCTCGAGGCGGAGCCACAGGTCAAGAAGCGGCTGTGCTGTGCTCAGGTACCCGTTAGCCATGTGCCATGTGAGAGAGATCCAAATCCTCCAGCCACGATCTGTTGGAATCTCGTCCATCAGAGATTCCCAACATGAAGCACGGTCTCCTTCATGCACCCCCAAAAATGCGGCCCATCCATTGGCTCCGTGAACGACCGTCACGAGTAAGTGAGTGCATGCGAGGGATCCAAACTAGATGTCACCGAGCAGTAGCCAGCGTGCGTCAGTCGACATTCGGCGACTTCTAAAGGTCTTCTCGAAGCTCGGAAGCAGAGAGATCGTCATCGCTATCTCCCTCGCTATCGTTCCCATCGAAGTACTGTACAGTAGTAGGGCGAAAATAGCTTGGAGCTTTCCCAAGAAATACAAGCTCTTGCAGTATCGGGAACCAGTCTGAGCTCCTACTACTGGACGCTACTGTTCTAGGGACTGCCCTGTAGGGCCAGCGCAGTCGTAGTGATGGGGTTGTGCACAGTCGCGCGTAGTACGTCTAGCACTGAAGATCTTCTCGGGCTGTTGCATCCGAGAGATTGGTTCACCAAGCGAATTAACCTCGACTTCTCCTCGTTAGCACGGCCAAGAGTCGAGAATGGGTCGGATATACAGTAGTTTCCACCTCGCTCCACCAACTGACTTATCCGCCATCCGCGCTCAGCGGGTACTCAAGATGAGGTTTCGGTACCAAGTGCAGAGCCGAAAGTATCAAACCTTGACCTCACCAGCATCGCAGGAGATTTCAACTGCGTAAAGTTTACCTCTTTTACGGAACCGATGCAGGCCCCGTCACACCTGGTCCTGAAGCCTCTCTTCTCTGCGCCAGTACTGTACTGTACTGTACAAGCAGGCCTTGGCCTAGTCGATTAGACAGCGCTTAAATCCCAGACACGCTTTCCCGCCAGGTCTGTTGCTGGTTGGTGGTGGCGGCCACGCGATACTGCATACGAACGCGGAGCAGTCTCCTTGCATCTGACAATCTGGTACTTAACCAGCAAGCTCTTTCACGTAAAATAAGCTCTTCCCTGCCTGTGAGAGGGTGTCAATCCCTTCCTATTCCCGCCATCTGCCCATGAATGATTTGAGTTTGTCTGCTTTTCCCTTCGAGTGCTTTCTTGGATGATAATTGGTGAGCCTTGTGGTAAGGCAAGGCAGATTCATATCTTTCCACAATGCGATCTGTGGAATCCTTCAGTGGCCAGTTATCGTCATTGGGTGGTTTGTTGGCGGGGTGAGTTATGCAAAACCGGTCTCGAAACACTACGGTATCTTGAAACAGATACAGATACAGATACAGATACAGAGTGTCCATTCAAGATGCTCGAGCCCTGACGAATGACGAATATGCTTATCGAACCTATGATGAGCAGTGACCAGATTCAGAGCAAACAAACGAGGCTGATTCCTAGCCCCCATTTCGACCCATAATTGCGGCAGCACAGAGGAGGCTGATGAGAATAATTTGATTCGCGGAAGTCTAACTTTCATTAGCATGCTGTAAGTAATACCAACAGCCGTAATACGACCAGGGGTGGCCGCACGTATTCCAGTACCCTCCTCTCGTCTCTCCTTGTCTTGTCTTGCCTTGTCTTGTGTTCCCGTCCTCGTCTCTCGTGTGGCTGCCGAGAGACGACTCGACTCGGGAACTTTTCTCACACTCATCTGCAGAAATGCCGGCCCCAGGATCTCACGCTCACCACCACCACAACTACCACGCTAACCAACCGGTACTGAAGCGAAACGCCTCTCCACGCCAGAACCTCGTGTCAAATGCCAGTTTGCTACTCGTACCGTAACCCTACCAACCACCATCCATCCATCTGCAGCGTCTAGAAAAAGACGTAGAAGACGTCGTCAGCACGGAGCAATCTTCTGTGCATGCCACTAAAATCTCATTTCACCCGCCTACTGGTGCAGTCGTCTCGAGTCTGCGCTCCTGAATGGCTGGTCGGTGGAAAACGCCATTTTAGCCGTCATGCATGGAAGGGAATAAAGTCGTTCTAGTGCGAGATGCACAATAAACCCGCCGAAGAACATCGACCACGACCACGACCACGACCTCCGGGTGGAGTGGGCCCCCCAATATCTGAGGTAACATGGTGATCAAGGGGACCCGCACAGCAGGATGAGAGGGTGTGTCGGCACCTGCATGGAACGAGAGGATAGAATGTTCGATGCAGAGAGCTAGAAGGATGGCACATGGATACCTAGGTAGCTCACTTCGGGATGCAATGCGAGGGTGAGGCACATACATACACATACAGACACACACGCATACCACGCACCACGTTCTCGTGGTGTGGCAGAACGAGCGAACGACGAGAGAGACCGCATCCTGGAAACAACGTGGCAGGGATGCAGATAAACTGACGTGCGTCGTCGTACTTGGTACTTACTGGATGATGGATGGATGGTGAGAGGGGGAGTTTGCTTGAAACAATCTGGGGGCCCATCATCATCATCGGATTGCGAGCGAGACTCTTGCTGCTGAGTCGTCCGTCTTGTCTGACCCTGACCTTCTTCCTTTGGCTACACGACTGCAATGCAGGTCGAATCCTTGGCGGGAAAATGATTACATGATTTGCAGCGTTGCAGCGGTTTTGCTTCTATCTATGTGAGAGATGTGCTTGATGTCAGTGTCTATCACTCCTCTTGTTGGATCATCCGGCATGGATAGAGGTGAGCAGGCTGATGCCATCGTTGTGGGGGTCGAAATCTCGAGATCGTAAGAGGGGAACTTGCATCTCGAGTCACCGTGAGTGAGTGAGTATCTAGCGAGGCTATGCTTCGAGTGTTGGGGGCCCTTTCCGTCAAGTGATCGTTCGATTGCATATTGCATCAAGAGATGCTGTGCAACAACAGTATAGTCGAGCCCTTCCTCGACTGGTTCACCGAGCATTGATCCGTATAACCATTCAGTTCGTGGAACTCGAGTTGCAATGTCCAGCCTCCACGATATCAAGAATACAACCCTATCTGTTTCATTCGATTTTACGTCAAAATGATGATATTCGGCGTGAGCACTGCCAGCCAGTCTTGAGATTTCCTCCCCGTTGGTGTCATCTGTTCGCGACGGTTACCGGGAATGCGTATCTCTGGTTGAACGGGACATTCCAGTGAATGTTCAGCTTGAGGCTATCAAGCCACCACCAATTCAGGGCCAGACAAGCTTTGAGTTTTGTTGCCCCTTGATCGATTGAATGAATACCTGTCCGGGCTCGAGACATTGAAGCCTGTCTGGTCGTATCGTCGTTGACGTCAAAAGCATCAGTATCGACAATGAACCCCGTCTTGACTTTGTTGCCCCTCAATTGTAAGTATGTTTAGCTTGAGACAATGAGAATGAGAGTTCTTGCTTTGAATGTACGTCAACAGTGTATTCACCCGGAGCACTGCCAATGATCTGGATCTTGATATCGTTTCGCTCTTCGAGTTATTCTCCCTTTTGATTACCGATCGTGAAACTCGTCTCATGCCTCCAACTATGTCTGAGAACGGGAAAACAGCTTGTTCTTGATTTGAACTTAGGTCAAGTGAATGTTCAGCTTGAATGCCCTTGTCAACAGCTTTGAACCTACCTCGTCCATCAAGTAACCTCCCTCGTTGACGGTAGCCTATCCTGTGTCTGTTGGTATGTCAAGAAAACTTCAGTCTGAAAGCTGCCAAGAATTTCCGCTCTGACATTGCTGCCTACTCTCGACGCCCTTCGAGACCAGAGTCCAGAGAGGGAATTTGATTAGCATCCAGTGACGAGAACCACACGAGCCCCCTTTCGAACGTCTCTCCTTGGCTCATGTCTCGATAGCCAGCCAGCAATGAAGCCCGTCTTCATAACAGTTTGCTCAGCCATCCATGAGATCCGTCGCCCTTCGAACACACACCCAGCTCAGAAAACGAAGCCTGCCTTGAACATCAAGTCAACATTCAGCTCGGATTCACCTTCTATCTCACGACAGACTTCGGATCTACACTCGCAAGATCTCGAAAGAACGTCTTCCGTTTCGTCGCGAATACTCCAAGACTCTCAGTCGTGTGAACAAAAATACGGATCCATGATCTGTAGAGATTCATGTTCGACGAGGGCGCGACGTTCGGTATTCTCGAGGATATAGGAATGTTAATGTGTTTGGGACTCGACGGGTATAATTCTAGTTAGAATTGCTGATGGGGGATGGGTTCTCTCCCTGCCTCTCTCAGTTGGCATATACCACATTCCTCGATGTCAGATCCACTTCCTGGTATTCCAATTTGCTACGAATCTCTGGCGTTTTGGTCGCTGCTTGACTTGATGAAGTCGATCATAACCTCAATCTCTGCGACGCACCTTGCACTTTTGACATTCACCGAGAAAATCACCATCTGAGCTGGCAACAACCACTCAACAAAACCAATCAGTGGGCCTATCTCTAGGTAGAATAATGTCGCCGCGTCAAATTGTCTCTTTAACACCTCCAGGTTCTGCATTGCTGCGGTTCCTCCAACCACATACTCGAGTAGAGCCGTCGAACCATCATCAGCGCGTGCGTGGGTCCTGCTGTCGAGTGCTGGTGCCCGCCAGAGATTTCTTCGTGGCATTGTTTCCATTCTCAGTCTACGAATTCCTTCCATGCTTTATATCTTGAGGCGGGGCGTCGGTGATTACTGTGAATGGTGTGAAGTCCACACCAATATGCTAAAGTATCTGGTGAAAGAACTCCATTCCAACTCTCCTGCCCGTTACTTGATCTTCTTGGGCCAGAATCCATTGCGACTGTCTTTTTTCAGATGTCGATGTCTCCATAATCAGCAATAAAGCCAGGTTAAAGTTAGCTCGTGTTGAGCTCTACGATCTACAGGATATTCAACTCGACCACCACACAAAGTTCCACGTCAAATTTGTCGTCCTTTGAGGGGGATTTCAGCTAGTTCAAGACTATAAAGCTTTGCCCTCGATCACCTCACACGTCAAGTTCATAGTGAAAATCACCTCCGTTCTCGAACGAAATTATGAGTCTTCCTGCCTTCAAAGCAAACAGCGCGAATAGCGCGAACCGCGCAAATTGCGCAGATAGCGATGACAGCGCGGATTGCGCAGGAAGCGCCAAATGCGCAGAATACGAGAAAAAACAAAAGTCTGCAAGGCATGAAAGAATTCCTAATCTCCATAGAAAAATCTCACTTCAGAGAACTCACTACTAAAACCTACACCAACATACATCCTCACTCTCCACACGTTCAAAAGTCCGGTCCATGACCAAGTCACGAAACACGCCCTTCCTCGACGTCTACCTACTTTTCTCACAACATCCTATCCAGCTTTCGTACCTCATGCAAAGTATCGACAATCATACATCCCCCTCTCAACGAAATGTTTCAAGGAGAGAAGTGTCGGGAGCGGAAGTTCCGAAACGCAGGATAATGGATGGAGGGAAGGGGCGAAGGATCTCTGCAGGAGCAACGGGTTTCTGGATGGGAAAGATAAGAGTTTGGGATACATGGGATAGTAACGACATTTGACTTGAGATCTGGGGTTGATACGTGGGAGGTCGATGATTTTCCGTTGGAACTTGGATGGTAAATACGGCAGGCAAGCTCGGAGGCTGCTCGACCTACAGGATTGCTCTCAAGTGGGTTGTAGTCCTTGTTACTACGACCACTTGGTGAATTGCTGTATATTTTCACATGGTTCTAATGGTGAGGCAGAGGTATGGGTTGCTGCAAAATTGTTGAAGACTTCCATGCCAAATGCAGCTTCATCTATTCACGTAGAGCTTGGAAGAAGCAAAGACTACACAGTCAGAAAAGCCCAAAAGACTTGATATACGCATATCATCCTTCTAACTGGTGCTTCAACACAATAAAGTTGAGCAAGGCTAAAGAGACTAGGTAGAAGAGCTCGCAACGCCAATATCCTTAAGTACTTGTCAGTGCATGTCATATGAATCGGAACAAGTTGGAGGAAAATAGGTTGGAAGAGTTCTTCCACTCACACCCATGGGGGAGAGGGATTATCATCTAGGACTATACGATCTATAATTCTCTTCGTTCTTGTGAATCTTCGGTGACAGTACCATTGTATTCAACTTTTAGCAATGATATGTTATGTGTCTCGCTGAAAGTCAGACATGATGCAATAACCTCTTGAACTATGCTCTTTTGATCGAGACTCGAGGTCTACTTTAGTTTGCTTTTGATACCTGTGCCCTTGGCCGCTCCATGATACTGGCCAAGGTAACGCCTTGAGGAGTTGACATCATCAAAATTGGTAGCATCGTGGGTTCATCTAGCCTGACCAACTACTGCATCTTGATATGTAGGGCTGCCATGAAAGCTTTCACAAGTCAGCAAGCATTAGAAATAGCATGGAGCAACACAAATACCTCCAAAAGCTCGCGACCACCAATCATGATTGGATCTAGAAACAAACCACAACAGACATCAACTGAATAGCTAGTTCAGAACCGTCGCCATCGACTACGGTATACCAAGCACAGGTCACTAGATCCATACCAAGAATTCAATTCCGGTGCAGATGAAACCTCGCGAGTAGCTCCTATGCTAAAGTCGGCGGTGGAGAAATTCGACAAGACACTTAAATCTTTCTCTCTTGCGAGACTTTCTCAGATCGACCTGCCCAACTCAACACTTTAAACATCCAGAATAAGGTAGTCCTAGGCGACCTGATCATAAGCAAGAGAAAGTCTTTGATCTATAGAGAGTATTCATTTCCTCAGAGCTGACGTGTGGCAGAGAGGAAATGCGATCTTTCCCAAACCTTTGGGTGAACACCTTAATGAGCCTCATAGAAGACTAATCGCAGTAAAGCGAGGATCTAGTCCCCCTAAGGTATCTAAGCGACAACTGGAGAGGTTTTGACTAGGTAGAACATCTTCTTGATCGGTGATTGTTGTGATTCACCATATATACAAGCGGAAGTAAAGCTCGCGATGCGTTTCAGGGATAATCCACGACCTCTGTAAGTCTGATGAGCGAGTCTACCCCATCACAGCTACATTCCGACAAGATGGTGGCTGCTGATGGAGTTTTAGAGGAAATAACGAAGATCTTCTTACCGTGAGGGAATACCAGGGTATTTTGATCGCCAACAGAGTGAGAGGTAGTCCATGATATCAGTAAACGCTTACGTGGCAGTGGAAAGAGAATATAGAAGAACATTTCACCATATGCTGACGATGAATTAGAAGTACTCGATTGTTTGTATGAACGATATGGTCTGCGCGTTTAGCGCATTTCGCGCAATTTGCGCGGATTGCGGAATTTGCGCTGTTCGCGCAAAATATTTGGTCCACCGAAACAATCTCAAATATCTATGATCCAAGACCTATTCCATAGTAGCTCAAAAGCATCAATAAAACAAGTCTGAGAGATTGTACAAGTCAGAGCACAAAGTGGACTTAAGCCCGTGGAGGAAGCAACCTTGAATTTTGGCATCCCGCACCTAGCTTCGGTTTTGGTGACTCCGACCCTTTTCGACTTGACATGGGAATTTGGAGTACGCAGTAATAGAATAGAACAAAGAAACCCAAAGAGTTAACGTCTACCTAGGTACTCAGCTCCGAGGTAAGGATTCTAGAATATCCCTGCCGCACTTCATGCTTTCGAGACTGACATACATCGACCTGGACCTTGCAAAAGCAGCTGCCAAAGATGCAAGCTCAAGGTTTGTAAAACACACCTTGCTTTAGACCACGGTAGAAACCCCCTGCCGTATCAACGCGATGCATTATAGAACTTTGAACAAGGCGGTGGGATTCAGAATCTAAAGCATAGCAACAATTGGATGCAGGGACTACCTGATGCAAAGGAATTCAATAAGCAATTAGATCTAGGCGCGTGGGGCAGCGGCTTCACCATCAGCCGTGATATGCCATAGATGAACATGAGATTGGTATCAGCGGCACTGCCGACGCAAGGTAAAGCTGTTGCCATAACAAAACTGGAGAGTGACTGCGCCATTCTTGGACATGCAAAAGCATGCCTCGGGACAAATATCGGCCTGCAATGAATATGGATTAGAATACCCATGCCGAACCTGGAATACGAGATAGGAAAGTGGTCGCCCGGCAAATGAACTCTCGGCATTTTCGGCAGATTCGGCATCGTTCGAGATGCCGCGAATCTTCGGAAGAGAAGAAAGGATTTCATTAGTTTGCCTAACTTCGAAAGTAGACTGCCGTAGTGGGTCTCTCTCTTTCAGAGAAGCCTGTGCCGAAGCTTAAAAAAACGCCTGCTGCTAATGCTGAACCATTTCAGGGATGAACCATGAATTATCTGTGGAAAGATGTTGACCTCAACGCCCGTAAGAAATCAAAGAATGCACACTGCCGCATCTTTCTTAGTTGGTGTAGTCAATAGCTGACTGATCAAGCTTATCGTCTCCCTCGAGGACACTAAGTCAAGATTTAGCAGGTCGAAAATGGTTGAAAGAAATAGAGAAGGATACTTACGAGTATTGCTTCACCAAAACACCTTCGCCGCCATTCTCCAGATCTATGCTGAAAACATAGAATCCGCCATCACTAGTAACCACCATTACTTGTGGGCTACTATTGAGCATAGCAACCACACTTCGGAGTGGACCACCTGATGCATTGGTCCCCACGCTCTTCGGGATTTTGATGAATGCAAAGTCTCTCATGGGCTCCCACATCTCCGTGACGGCTTGTGGCAAGTAACCCCCGACAATTCCTGCAACATTCTTTCCCATCAACTGCGACGACCTTCTAATCATGCTTCCAAAGGTCCCACTAGCCTTGCGAGTAACGGCAGGAGATTCTCCATTGTCACTGCCCGGTGAGGTTCCTGTAGTTGGAGACTCGTTCCCACTATCATAGCTTCGAGACCGAGTCCATCGGTCATCAGGAGATTTTGGAGACATTGGTCGTAGCGCTGTTGGGGGAGGACCCAGCCTGAAAATGTGCACAGTATCAGTCGTAGATGAAACACATAGTAATGTCGAGCTTAGGTTGAATGACATGCTGTAGATAGTCGACGGATACGTGCCCCTTCGAAATTGATATAGTTTGGTGCCTTTTGGAAGGGAAAACACCCTAATGATCGTTCCAGTCTCCGAAGCTGTAGCAAGTAGTGTCCCATCATTGTTCAATGCAATACAAGACAGTGGTGCACGATGCGCTTCCACGACGTTCAGCGCCTCCAACTTTATGGTATCGAATATCAGGACATCGCCAGAGGTTGGTGGTACGAGTGGGGAAGGGGGTGGTGCATGAGCAGGTCGTTTATCTCCTGAATCTTCTCGAGCCTTCGGCAGCGGGTATGCAAGGTAGCAATTCTCTGATGATGGAGCAAGAGCGCATATCGCATTCGGGTTTGGAGATGTCTGAATGGTATGGAGAAGGCTCATGTTTGAGATGTCGTACAAGTAAATTTCTTCCTCCAGCACAACCGCAAGCCGCTTTCGATTCAACCTAACGGCAAGGACCGCGGAGGGGAACGTAAGTTCGCAGATTATCGAAGATCTCTGTGGTGGTGTTAGTCCAATCAATGGCCCAATGTCCGAAATCATCACAGCGCTTTCAGCCACCAGCCTATCCTACCTTCGTATTCTGTATGACTAGGTGCCTCGGGGAAAGTATGAGCGCAACTAATGAAGTTGAGAATAGCATCTCAATAAGCGCAACGTTTCCATCATCGCTGCTGAATATCTTCGAAAAAGGATCAGTGTGGTATATCCGGAAGCCTCTCGAGGTTCCTGAGTCAGGCAATTAGCTTAAGGTTACGGAAGCCCACGGGGATCTTACCAACAGCTAGACAACTATAGTCCTGGTTGAAGGTAACAAAGTTCATGGCCATGGTTTCGTATGATGCTGCTGATTTCGCAGCGAGAAGCCAAAGAGCTATGTATGGGATGGCGTGCAAAGATACGCTGGGGAGGCAGCAGAGTCGTAGCTGGGCAGAGGCTTGCAGGTATGAGGTAATGCGAAAGTTAAATGAGGCGCAAAGCTGTAGCTGAGTCGTACGAGTTCTTTGATACAATCATTTGGGCTCTGACTAGGTCGTGAATGTACGAGATACTGTTGAGAAATATCAGGCGCGGGGCTACCAAAGCTGTCCTGAAAAGCCGGCTGGCTGAAATTAAGGTGTGGTCTGTGCTGCGCTAAAAAGATCGCTTGAGATCGCCCAAAAACTCGGATTCACCCTTCTCGCTAAGAGATAGGGATGCTCTTGAAACATTTTTTGCCTTTCATGATATCGGTATTATAAACATACAATCACCGAAGCCAATATGAAGAAGCCCAATAACACTACTCCTCCTGCGTCAGGAGCAAAGCCCACGAATCCTTCAACTAAATCAAAGTCTCAGGTTCAGGATGACTCCATTATGGGTGTCGGTTTCTCATCATTTTTTAGGTTGGGTTTCATGCTGACATCTGTGTCAGACAAACAATAGCAGCATCGTATCTAAACGGAGTGTTGAACGCTTATATTACCCTAATGAGCAATTCTTCCGCCACTTTGTCAAGAAATTCCAACGGCGGAGTCCTTTGATCAATCGTGGGTATTGGTTACGTATGAAGGCCATTGATCAAGTTGTGCGGCAATTTCTAGAGCTAGATACGGAGAAGCCGAAAGTTGTTATCAACTTGGGCTGTGGATAGTAGGTGTTCTTCAACGTGCATGCCTCGTATATGTATTAAACATCATCGCAGTGATCCTCTTCCTTGGCAGTGCCTCACCAGATACAAGTCTCATTGCCAGCGAACCAAGTTTGTTGACATAGACTATCGAGATCTCATGCTAAAGAAGAGAAATGTTGTCGAGAACGCTGAGGATCTGAAATCACTCTTGACCAATGTCAAAGTGTCTGAGGGAGACGTATTGCTTCAGAGCGACCAATACTTACAAATAGGATGTGATCTTCGCGACCTTGAGAGTTTAAATCGTGTCCTGCCAAGCGTGATCGACCTAGAAAGATGTAAGAATTTCCCTGGAACATCCACAACAGAGCAAATTTTGAGCCTTTCTCCTATGCATATTTTGAAGCAAGAAACGCTGCTAACGGATGTTAGCTCTGGTTTTGTTCACCGCGGAAGTCTCAATCACATACATGAATGTCGAAGCTGCCGATGCTTTAATATTTTGGGCTAGCAAACTACCACAAGGTCTGTCATTTCGTTAGTGAAGCGTAATGACTGACCAAAGTTAGCTCGATTTTGCCTCCTCGAGCAGCTTCTCCCAGATGGGAAAGACCATCCGTTCTCACAGACAATGATGGCGCATTTCAATAAGCTTGGAACACCGTTGAGAGCTGTTGAGAAGTATCCCACTACATCTGCTCAAAAATCAAGGTTTCACAGTCTTGGTTGGCCAAATGTCGCAGTCTGTAATCTTTGGAGATTATGGAGCTTACCCGATTTTGTCAGTTCGACAGATCGTGAGCATCTAAACGGAGTCGAGCCATTTGATGAATGGGAAGAGTTTTCATTATTCGGATGTCACTACTTCTTGCTTGTTGCTGACACAGAGCAATCATTTGCCAGGCCCTTGCTGGCGGAGACGGAGATCGGACGCAAGGTACCAAGTCCGGAGCCAAAGCTTAAATTAAATGTAACCTTCGAGGAGCACCCAAAACATCATGGTTGTCGACGTTTTGCGGCAGCGATGCCGCTTGCAAGTCATCAACGGACTGTGGATGATGTCGGTATATTTGGTGGCATGGGCCTAATGACTAGGCTGAACTCTTACGATGTGTACAGTTCAAGGTCGGCGGAGCATGTCCAACAAAAGAGTCTTGGCAGATCATTTGCAAGACCTGTAAGTCGGATGTGTCACACTCTCACAGATCTTGGAGACACTGGTGCAATCCTCGTTGGTGGTCGGACTTCCCCGGATGCTGGCCTAACTGATTGTTGGCTTTACCATAAGTGGCTGGACACATGGGAGCGAGTCGATGATCTTCCCCAGCCAATGTACCGCCATCAGGCTGTGAACTTAGGTGATGGCCGCGTCCTCGTATCCACGGGGAGGATCGATTCTCGTACCATCACGACAGACTATCTCATTTGGAGTCGGAGGGCTGGTTGGATAAAGTGTGCTTATGGTGAGGGCGATCTACCACTTCCGGCTTACGGAGTAACATTTGGCATCTGTTCCCCATTGGAAGACTTCCACTCCTCCACTTCTATGTTTGGCATTTTGGCTGGCGGAATGACCTCGGATTCTCGCATGCCGCAAACGTCATGGCGTTGGGACTTAAAGCTTCCTGATGGTCTCGCAGATCAGCAACCCATCATATCGTTCCAACGCCTCGAAGGTTTCGAGTCACATGCGGATGTTGCTCGCTTTGGCGCAAGTGTGGTCAGTCACCAAGGTCACACTTATGTCCTGGGAGGCATCATCAAGGATGAAATTCTGAGCTCATTTAAAGAGGTCTGTACCTTCCGACTTCATGACTGTGCGGGGTCATTTTCAGAGGTTCTGCTGAGTTCGCTTTCTGGCTCTCCTAGACCTCTGATGGTGGGTATAACGGCTGTAAGCATCGAGGAGACACTGTTACTTATTGGTGGCTCTGCTGTGTGCTTCTCTTTCGGTACTTTTTGGAACCAAGGATGCTTTAACCTGCGGTCTCAGTCCGAAATAGACAAGTCATACCCAGTCGCCATGCCGTGGAAGTATGTGCGCACAATGGAGGCCAATGCATTGGGTGAGAACCTGAGGGTTCCAACATCCGAAGCTGCACATAGTCAAAGTAGTCTCAAGTCTCTGCCAAGAATCCGCGTATCCTCGCCCGGAGACTTTGAGAAACTGGTATATTCTAGCTTGCCCATGATTCTGGAAGGCCTGGACATTGGTTCATGCACTACGAAGTGGACTGCAGAATATCTCAAGGACAAAATTGGCGTTGATCGCGAGGTGAACCCCTCCATCTTCATATATCAGGTCACACTAAGCTGACTTTCCAGATCATTGTGCATCAAGCTACTACAGAACACATGAACTTCACCACGAAGAATTTCGAGTACGTTCCCAGGAAATTTGGTGAATTTATTGACCAAATCGAGAGTGGAGAAAAGCTTTATCTCCGTTCTCTCTCGTCAGAAAAGCCGTCAGAAAAGGCAGCAGACATTAGTCAGGATTTTCCAACCATTGCAGAGGATTTTGGCTTGCCTCCTGAGCTGCAGATGGTGTTGGCCAACGCTCACAGTTCGCCGCTGCGCATATCAGGACCAGTCAATATGTGGCTACATTACGACGTAAGCTCTGCGTCTATATCTCGATACATACTTTACTAACAATCACTAAGGTAATGGCAAACGTACTCTGCCAAATTCGTGGATCGAAACGGCTGCTCCTTTTCCCACCTACCGATTTCAAGCATTTTAGGTTTGAGCCGGGAGCATCAAGCTCACCTGTTAATGTGTTTGACAAACTCAAGGATGGTCATATTCCAGGAGTTCATCCGCACGAGGCTTTGCTGCAACCAGGAGATGTTCTCTTCCTACCGCCATTGTGGCTGCACACCGCTTCTCCCACTTCAGGATGGAGCATTTCAGCAAATGTCTTCTTTCGAAATCTTTCGTCAGGTTATGCTGCTGGGAAAGATGTTTATGGAAACAGGGACCTACAAGCATATGAAAAGGGAAGACAGGATATTGCGAAAATTGCAACATCGTTTGGCAAGTTGCCAACTGATATTAGAGACTTCTACCTGCAACGGCTGGTCGATGAATTCAAACAGAAAGCCGGAGGATGTTGATCCCTCAGAACTCTTTGATCGTTTGTTGCATGTCGCACGGAGAGCCGGCGCGGTATCAAAATTTGTCAATAGATGATGAGGAGGATGATATTGCAGCGGCTTTGGCATCGACCAGACTTCCATCGAATCACCTGTCGATTTAGTCGATTTAGGGGCTTCGGATAACTCATGTGGCATAAGGGTAAACATCCTTCTTGAAGTCTTCTAGTAGTAATATCAGCTTTGACGGGTCAGATATACCTCTGTGTGACACAAATTCGATGCCATTCACAAGCATTGGCACGGACTTTTAGAAGGAGTTCTTGATGGCCTCGAACTGCAGGCGGAATACGGACCGTGAAGCCGCTCTCCTTCACCGCGTGCTAGAGGCACGGGTAAACATCGGGTCATCATCAATTCTTTCTCCCGCGATGCCCCAGACTACGACCAATATGGCAAACCCCGCTGGATCTCAATTCAACAGTGGGGTGTCTTAGTATTTCTCATGATGAAACAGACCAATGAAGCCGCTCAATTATTCGGAGAAATGCAACAAAGCGCTAAGCAATGTTTTGCGGAGAAGAAAAAGAAAAGCCACTTCAACTTGAACTCTATCTACGGCACATCAAATACAAGCCTTGTCCAACCATAACTTTAAATCATATGTCTCCGGCAGCACTGTACTTGGATAATGACTACTTCAACTCCGCCAAATCAACTAGAATATCAAGACGAAATCAGTAATGAAAGTCAGTTACCTTCGGTCGAATATGAGCCGAAGCAAATTTTCGAAGATTCGAAAGAACAAATCGAAAGTCCTATTGAAGACGGTGATGGTGAAGATGAATTGGGAAGATGGAACAAGCCAAGGATAAACGTTTACCGATATCTGGCTGCGCTTTACAGCTTCATTGTCATGGGAATGAACGATGCCGCATACGGAGTGGGTTATTTCTCTGCAAAAAGATACATTAATCACTGACATTTGTAAAAGGCACTCATCCCATACGTGAGTATAAATTCTCAAGTACTAAAGATAATTCTGTTGACAAAATTCACAGCTTGAACCCTACTATAATGTCAATTACACCGTCATTTCTCTAGTCTTTCTTGCGCCTTTCATTGGCTACACAGCTGCAGCATTGCTTAACGACAAGATACACATGCACTTTGGTCAACTGGGTGTGGCGACGATAGCTCCAACATGCAAGGTCATTGCTTATGTTGTTACTTGCGTTCATCCACCCTACCCGGTTCTTCCCATCATATTCATGCTATCAGGATTTGGTAACGGACGTAGGTGAATTCTTTCATATTTGCTCTAACTATATCATGAGAATCTTCAAAATCACCCTCTAGCGTGTTCTCCATTCAAGTGAATCTCACAAGTGGGAGGAATCTTAGAATGAAGCTTAGCTGGAGGATTTGATGACAAGCATTCCTCCCAATACCAAACCGAAGCACACTTCAAGTATAACGCAGCTACTAGGATTTTCGTGCTGGGAGTTCTGGAGAATTAATCTTTTACAACACTCCAATGCATTATGCTCTGCCCTACTTGCAAACACGGATCTGCTAACCTCACCCCAATCTAGTCGAGGACGGTGGCTGGAACGCATGGATAGGCAACATGGAATCAGCGAACGAGTTACTAGGCTTTCTGCATGGCTTCTATGGTCTTGGTGCAACGATCAGTCCTCTGATTGCAACTGCCATGGTAACGAAAGGCAATCTACAATGGTTCGAGTTCTACTATCTAATGGTAAGCCATCACTTTCATTCTCGCAGACGAAAATCTGACTCAGAACAGGTTGGTCTCGCAACTCTCGAATTGATTCTCTGCGCGACCTTTTTCCGCAAAGCCACAGGGGCTGCCCACCGTGCCGCAAATCCTCTGAATAATGGGTCAAGCAGCCATGCTCGAACAAGAGAAGCACTTAGGAACCCAATAACTTGGGTCTGCGCTTTCTTCCTCCTTTTCTATGTTGGTGTCGAAGTTTCACTGGGTGGCTGGCTGGTAACATTCATGTTGAAAATCCGACATGGACAACAATTTGCTTCTGGCCTCGTCGTGACAGGATTCTGGCTCGGCCTCACACTTGGACGTATTACACTCGGGTTTGTGACGGGAAAGATTGGCGAGAAGCTTGCGATTGCTGCATACTTACTTATCTGCATGGCCTTGGAGCTGTGTTTCTGGCTCGTCCCTAATTTTGTGGCAAGCGCAGTCTTTGCAGGCTGGCTTGGCTTTTTCTTGGGACCTCTGTTTCCAGCTGCTATTGTCGTTGCCACCAAAATACTTCCAAGAAGGTTGCATGTTAGCGCTATTGGTTTCGCGGCTGCCGTTGGAGGTGGAGGAGCTGCAGTTTTACCGTTCGCGGTGGGGGCCATTGCTCAAGCGAAAGGAGTTCAGGTGTTGCAGCCAATTGTGTTGGCCTTGCTGGCTATCATTTTGGCATTGTGGTGTTTATTGCCCGGGGGCTTCAAGAAAGGAGCTCTGGAGGAGAGTTCGAGGGAAAGGGATGTGGCAAGAGAGAATGGTACTTTGGAAGCTGGCCGGATGAACAGGACTATTGGTAGATTACGGAAAAAGCTTGGACTCGTGCCAAAACGGTCATAGGAGACTTGGGAATCCTGTGCCAGGAGCACGATATGGAATCAACAGTATGCGCAAATACATGCGTAGAAAATCAACAGATGATTAGCTACTTTTACTACAGGGATTAGATCCACATTAGTACGACTTCTTTTGGATCTTTCAAGGTTCTATGGTTTACCACATAAACTTTGTTGAATATTCTAGCCTTCACATCAGACAAGATGATTCAATTATTTCCATAAATCTACCTACCCCGATGTCTATCAGATCACCTGATTTCACTGCATCCCTCCGTATCGGAGTTCGAAGGAGGGGTAAATCCAGTTGCCCCACCATTAGCTGTCCAGGAGAGTTCGTCTCATGCACTAACAACAAGCAGCTGCACCTGAGCTCAATAAGCATAACGACATGCTCCATCACGATCTCATAATTGGTAGAAAAACAGCTCAACAATTCAACAGCCCATCATTTTCGAAGTCTCTTACATTGATCCGGAAAATTTGACCCCCACTAAAGAGAGGGGTAGCTTTACCGAAAAATCCGGTGCCAAAGCTCTACGTTCAAAAGACTGTTCCTTCCTCCCTGTTGTTAAGATTTCAACTGCCCTCCATCACTCAGAACAATCTCGAAAATCATTTACTACAACCAACAGCTGCAAGCAGTATGTTTACGCAGAAATCAACGAGCGTTGCGTCTTCCGCAATGAAGTGTCATGAGATCAGGTAACGTGCACAAAAGCATGGCGGGTGTTCTGTTTCCTTTTGCACTGCATTCCAATCTCTCTCATCTATCTGCATCAATTCAATTGATCAGATGGCATATGCGAGGACTTGGGGTGAGGTGTAGAAGGATTCGGATCTGAGAATATACCGTTCAAAACTTGATCTAGATAATTCTAGCGAAAGGACATGCTTTCCCCTATTCCCCTATGCATGATCTCCTAACCTCTATTCTAGCGGTATTATCTTAAGAGCAAGAGCAAGATCAAGAAAGCAAGATGTCGACTGATAAGATTACTTTCTTGATGAACTGGTAAGCTACAGTGAAGCAGGACGATAAGTGGTCTGGATATAACAGAAGCTGATACGGAAGTTCGAAGGCATGCAACGCCCTACCATGCACCCGTTTACCTGGCCCAGAAAATGGGCTTCTTCGCCGATGAAGGCATCAAAGTTGCTCTTCTTGAACCTAACGACCCGTCCGGTACCTCTCCTGACTTCACAGACAATCTGTCTCATCCTAACCTCATTCTATAGACGTGACCGAAATCATCGGCAGCGGAAAGGTCGATCTTGGATTTAAGGCAATGATCCATACATTGGCAGCCAAAGCTCGTGGCTTTCCGGTGACTTCCATTGGGTCTCTGCTCGATGAACCGTTCACTGGTGTGGTGTATCTGAAGGGGAGTGGAGTTACCACCGACTTCAAGAGCTTGAAGGAGAAGCGTATTGGCTATGTTGGAGAGTTTGGGAAGGTATGTCCTTTTCACACCTTCTGCTTCCTGTGCAGTTTTCTTGAATGGAAATAGAGCAAACAAGATGCATAATGGCTAACGAAACAAACCACAGATTCAAATCGATGAGTTGACCAAATACTACGGCATGGTTCCCAGTGACTACCAAGCCATCCGCTGTGGTATGAATGTCTCCCAAGCCATTATCGAAGGCACTATCGATGCAGGCATTGGACTCGAGAATGTCCAGATGGTTGAACTTGAGGAATGGCTTGCGGGCCAAGGACGCCCCAGAGATGACGTGCAGATGCTGAGGATCGATGAGTTGGCGGAGTTGGGATGCTGCTGCTTCTGCTCCATCCTTTACATTGGTACGTGGTTGATTCATTCTATTTATTCCCGAGACGAACATTCTCAAGGCCATAAGTTCGGATATTCGTTCCGCACATTGATACTTCGTGAATGCCGAGATGCTTGATGAGAAATGCAGATGGAAATGCGCTGCCCTTCTGAGATATCCTGGGAAGACTGGTAGATTAGATACAGTAGGCTAACGAGTTGACACATAGCAAACGACAAATTCCTAGCTGAGAACCCGGACAAGATCCGCAAATTCCTCACTGCCGTCAAACGAGCAACAGACTACGTCCTGGCTTCCCCCACCGAAGCATACAAAACCTACATCACCATCAAGCCCGAAATGGCTTCTGTGGTCAACACCAAGATCTTCGAACGATCCTACGCATATTTCTCTAAAGACTTGAAGAATGTGCAACGAGACTGGGAGAAGGTGACTAAGTATGGCAAGAGATTAGGTGTTTTGCAGGAGGACTTTAGCCCTAACTATACTAACAAGTTTTTGGGTTGGGAGCTTGAGGGAGAGAGTGCCGACCCGACTGGGGATCAAAAAAGGATGGTTAAGTTGCAGCAGGAGGTTGCGAACAAGGGAGGTTTTCAGAGGTTAGATGTTAAGATTGCTGCTTAGGTGGCTTCTTTCACTGGTAATCTTGACGGGAAGAAGGAAAGACGTTGAATTGGCTTGCATTTAGCTATCACACTCATTTGCCCAATAATGAAAATTGCTTGTGCTGCCACTGGAAATAGTGGCAGCACAGCTCCAACTCTTATCTGTACTTGAACTGGGTGACCGTACATTTTAATTCATAAGTTGTCGCTCGACATGGACTTTTTACTACGTACCAAAACGCCAAAGCAAAATGCCAGCCATGCCTTAACGCCAAAGGGAAACCTGACGATTATCTCTGATGGCAATTCTAAATTACACCTCTTCATCACCCTTCCTGGTAGGAACTTGCGTCAGCACATCGAAAGCGCCCGTCCCAACCTTGCTCATCCTGCCAATGACGATTCTCGAACTCGGATTAGACAAATCGTCCCAATCGCCATCGGTGACAGCATCCGCCAAGAAGCCCACCGTTGTCTCGAAACTCATCTTCATGAACGGACTCACACTTCCCCTCATTCCATTTCTGTTGAATGGGCTGAAGCCTCCACCTCTAGTCATGTGGTCTGCGATCAGGTTCAAATGTCGATTATCGACACTGATACCGTGACCACCGAAGACACCTGACAACTCTTGTACGATGGCACCGCGACATGCTTCAACGCCGTAATTGGTGAGCATGGCTGCAATGTCGTTCGTATAGATGGTGTTCGGGTTGATGAACGAAGCATAAGCCTGCATTGCTGTGAGATTCACTCCTTCTGTGTGGACGACAGGAGCGTTAATCGTCTTTCCATTCGAATCTTTAACCTCTGCGTCAGGTACGAAGATGCAGCCTCCAATATTTGGGATTTGCTGGATCAAACTCTGTCGTAAAGCGTCCTCGACAATGGTGAGCATGAGGACCTTGGGTACTTCGGCATCGTACTCCACTGTGATGTCGCACCACTCCCCATTTTCTTCATCGAAACGGAAGCGAACAATGTCATTGCACGACTTCATGACCCGAGTTTCTCGTTCTTCTACAGCAGCGGAAACGACTTGGCTGTGCGCGTGGCTCTTGCGGACTTGGTCTTCTTCGTCATCACTGGTTGGTTCTCGAGGCGAACCACCGATGCCTTCATCTTCCATATCCTCATCGTCCTCTTCAGGCTCTGCCTCCTTTTGCATCTGAGCCTGAACTCTATCATCGTCCTCGTCGTTTGCGGCATAGCTGACAGCTTCGGCACGGTTTGCCCTCTGCTTGTCGTTCGTCGCATCATCATCTCCATCATCATCGTCGTCATCCTCATTGACTTCTCGTTCTACTGAAGCTCCGGCCTCTTCAATAGTGCCAACAGACTTACCAATCTCAGGCACAGCAGCAGTATTCGCAGCGGACTTCAAGCCTTTCTCAGTCTTCTTCTTTCCGAGTGCTTTGCGTGTGAATTGTTGGAGCTTCGGAGCGAACTTCTTCTCCAATGTTGTGAGCACATCTGAAATGCTGATCGCATAGGTCTCGGTGTATTCCTTTGAAGGAAAGAGCTTGACATGGATCTCGTAAATCTTAGCTTGAGAATAGGCTGTGCCTTTGCCAATGCGTTCTTGTACCGTCGCTTCGTCCAGGACTTCAGCCAGGGAGAGAATACTGATGCCCTTAGCAAAACGTTTCCCATCCTCTTCGGTGAGCTCTGGGTTGAGTCGTAACGTCATGGTTGGTGTGGAAATATGATTACTTGCCGTCATGACAATTTCTCTAAGGCGAGGAATACCAAGAGTGACGTTCTTCGCAGAATGTCCTGCCAAATGGAAAGTGTTCAGCGTCATCTGTGTCGATGGTTCGCCAACTGATTGACCCGCAACGATACCCACAGCCTCACCGGGCTCGACGACAGACTTCAGATACTTTGCCATCAAAACAGGTTCAAGAGCCTTGCGAACACCCACGCCCCTGGGATGCTCCTTGTCCTTGACAAGACCATCAGGATTACTTTTCAAGTAGTCCGTCAAAGCCTCGAAAAACTTCTCTGAGGTCGCATATCCATATTTGCCAGGGTTGAAGTCTGCAAGAACAGGGTCAGGGCCATTGTTGTCATTGGCCTTGGCATGCTTCACTGCTTTCTTCATTCGTTTGACAATAACGTCTTTCTCATCGAAGATGGTGGCATATCTCGGATCGCCATAGTTCAACTGGGCCAGCTCTGATGTGATGTTCTCCAATAAGAACTTAAAGTCCTGTAAATGCTTCTGTTTCGTCGAGTCTAGGCCATCCTCACCGTAGAGAAATTGTACCATAGATCCGTCAGAATCCCGGACAGATGTATCGTATTCAACTTTGAGACCCTCCATTCCTTTAATAAGACATCGTTGAAGATATCCAGAACGAGAGGTTTTGACAGCGGTATCGATTAGACCTTCTCTACCGGCCATTGCGTGGAAGTAGTACTCTTGAGGTCTGATACCTGTCAAGAAACGATTGACAACATACCCTCCAGCACGGATATGTGTCTCGAATGGCCTGAAGCATGGAAGGGACTTGCCGCTAACCATGACTGGCACCCGGCGACCTTCCAGAACTTGTTGACCTAGGTTACAAGAGATAAGATTGGCGTTGACAGCGCTACCTTTGGCTCCAGATACAGTCATGTTCTGCATCTGGTTCTTCGGAAACTGCTTTACTAGGCCACCAGGAAGACACGCCATGGTAATATCTGACGACAAGTAACCTGATTGTTTGTTCATCATAGTGTCTAGTCCAGCTTGCTTGGTATCGTCTCTCAGGACATCTTCCAATCTGCTTAAAAGCTCGGGGTCCGTGTCACTAGGGTTTTGATCGCTCAAAGTAACGTATTTAGATGCGACTTCAAGACCAAGTTTCTCTGCGCGTGCAAGTTTCTCTCGGCGCATCTCTTCTCCTTCCGGTGTCAGACGCAGATCGTCCATCCCGCAAGTGAATGCTCTCATATGTAAGAACTTTGTCAGAAGACGGCCCAGTATACTTAGAACTTTTCCTGCAGCTGTGGGGCCATAAACTTCGTGTATGGAGTGAACGAAACCACCTCCTGACGGCCCAATCTGCGACTTGTCGAGGATGCCAGTGACGAACTCTCCGCCCTTGAAATGAACTATGCCTTCCTCTGACTTGTCTCCCCATCTATTGGATGGGGTTTGTGACTTGCTGGTGAGTGTAAGAGGCGCACAATCGACTGGAGTGATATTCTTGAGAATTGTTGTAATGACCTGTTTTCCGGTCCACCTTGCAACAGGCTTCAGGATAGCTGGTGGGACGGTTTCTATTCGCTCTCCAACAATGTGACCATTCTCAGGACGCAGACAATTGTAGATGAGTTGCTGGTAGGCCGCGCGATCGAAAAAGGTATCTCGATTACACATCCAGACGGACACAGAGATATGATCTTGAATTAGACCACGCAAAGGCTTTCCGGCTGTAGCGCTGAGATATTGGTGGTCGGTGTCTGCAATCTGAAGAGCTTCTGCTCTGGCCGGTTCAGTTTGAGGGAAATGCATGTTCATTTCGTCTCCGTCGAAATCAGCGTTATAGGTATTACAATTTGCGTAGTGCATGCGAATTGTCTTCTCTCCTGGTAGAACTCTTGCTCGGTGACCCATAATGGAAGGCTTGTGCAATGTTGGTTGACGATTCATTAGGACCACATCTCCATTTGTCAAATGTCGATGGACCTTCTTGTTTCTGGCACCACTGGCACTGCTATTAGAGGAGGCAAGCAATTGGTTTGCCAATGCTAGGCGTTCATCCTGGGTCTTTGTCCTCAAACTGATAACCTGTCCATTCTCATTCTCGATAGCTGCAGCACCTGGCCACTTGTCTGGACCATTAATCACAGCTTGTTGCATATCCTTGAAGTTATGGCTGGTCACTGGCTCTGGGAATGTCAACTTTTTCGCAAAGACAGGAGGTACGCCGATTTCGTTCGTCTCGATATTCGGGTCTGGAGAGATGACGGAACGAGCAGCAAAATTGACTCGCTTTCCCATCATGTTTTTTCGAAACAGACCCTCTTTTTTCTCAAGTTTTTGCTTGATACCATCCTCGTTCTTCTTCCCTGCTGCTCCCTGGATCGGATTTCGGTCACGATCGATGAGCGAGTTGACATAATCCTGAAGTTGGCACCATGATTCGTGAAGATCGTAAATGTCTCTCTTTCGCATACCAGGGTTGTCGACAACTCTGTCTGGATTCGATATATCGTTGTATATATGTGCCATAGTTTCACAGCCCTTCAATATCGCTTTGTACAGAGAGTTCTGCTGTGCTTCAGATATCTCACCATCTCCAGTCCGGGCCTCAGGACGGTACTTGTTAGGGGGGACCAGGAGAGTCTGTAAGAAGAACATGTCGGGGCTCACTTTTGTCGCCTTCTTTGTTGTCGAACGAGAATTGTAAACCAGAGAAAGAATTTCCTGCTCCTTCTCAAAAAGCAGCGTCAGACTGGCCTTAACTTCCATGGGACTGATATATCGCTGTGCCAAAGGTGCCACTTTTGGTTTTGAAGTGGTGGTCGCAGAGGCTTCACCCATGACAACGTCTCCGTTCACATCCAGAGTTTGCCCCTCTCCTTCGTCGTCCTCCTCGTTTGAATCCAGGTCTATGTCCGCAATTCCTTCGTCGAAGTCTGCATAGCCATTTCCCTTCTTTCCCGAGCTCAGGATTTCGACCGCATTGATTGCTCGGAAATCTCCTTGAGCCATCTTATGCTTGTCCTTGACACTGAGAGCCTTTTCGAAGATTTTGACGTAGCGATCTTTGCGAAAAGTAGGCGATATCCCATTGCAGTTTCCACAGGCTTTGCTAGCTGTGATAGCCTTTAAGAAAGCCTTGACTACTGTCCGCCGTGCTTCTGCGACTCCTTCATTCTTTTCTCGTTTCCATTCCCATGCTGTAGCTTTCGCCGCCTTGATCGACTTCTTTACAAAAGCGTTCCGCCGCCTTATAATAACATCCATGGCAGATTCTTCGCCGTCATCACTATCTTCACCAGATGCGGCGTCTTCCTTCTTCTCAATGATCTCGATGTTGTCAATCTCTTCGGCTGCTCCAAGAAGACCATGCTGTACTAATCTAAGTTTGCACATGTATCGATTGACCTCTTTCCTCGACATCTTCAAGTGGTGACAGTATGCGCATTTTGATCGTAATAATCGCAGAAGCTGGTCCATAAACGTGGGGTGGTAAACGGGAGCTGGAAGGTCGATATGGCCGACATGACCTGGACATCCTATCCCGTTGAGATTGCATGTTGTACAGCTATTGATCGTATTAGCAAACTGCTTTCCTCGAATCCATACCATGCAACTGACAAGTGATCGCCCCATGCGCCCAGAGCTGGGTCATAAAGTCCTCCTGGAACGGGATGAAGTAGAGTATCAAACGTCTGAGGGTTTTCTATTCTCTTTACTGAAAGCTTTTTGATTTCTGCTGGACTGAGAAACCCAAAGTCTACGCTGCCAATGGCAGACGGTACTGGTTGCGAGATGTTCATATTGGTCGATTTTCCCCAAGGTCAAAGCAGACAAGTTGCTATGCCAGGACCAAAGACCTTCATGAACGATTATTCACGCCCCGCGGATTGAAGCTTCAAAAAATTATTTTTTCGATAAGATCCTTGTTATCTAACTGGTTCGTCGAGTGACGCTAGCGGCCGCAGAGCGCGGACAACCCTAAAATCCAGCCCAAATCAACAATTCTCGGCCTTCAGACATCTCCGCAACCAACCGATTAACAAGCTATCGTGATGGACCGAGGAAAGTCCCCAATACTGGCTCCTCGCCATGACGATTCGAGCCGTGTTGGAAAACCACAATCTGCCGCAGAGAAGCTTGCGTCGCTGAAAGCCAGAGTCGCAGCAGCTGTTGGCAGTAGCAAAGCGAAGACTGGAATCAACATTACTCCTCATCCCGCGACAGTTTCTGCTAGAGGAGGCCTGAATGTTGATCTACACCCTGCGTTACAAGATCTTGGACAATACAAGCTTTCGAAGACCATTGCGCCCAAGTTTGCGACTAGCATTGGAAATGCTCGACCACAACCAGAAAAGCCTCTGCCTAAGACCAAGAAGCAACTTGATCTATCAGGGCCGTCGGCGGAGGAGACGAGGGCTAATCCATACTTTGACAACAGTTTGGGTGGGCAGACGGCTACCCTGAAGAACAGACATTCGAGACAACTTGTTTTCAATCAGAAGGGCAAATATATCCAGCAGGCAAATGCTCTCCGAAGACAGGCAGCCCTTGAGGCTATGAAAAAGCGTATTGCAGAGTCTTCACGGAAAATCGGCATAGACGAGGACCTGGATACGGAGAAAAACTATATTGTGGAAGCTCCTCCAGAGATAGAATGGTGGGACGAAGGCTTGGTAGATGGCAAGAGCTACGATGTTATCGGCAACGAGAAGATGTTAAAAATCGACTCTGTGGACTCTATTATCACCGAATATATCCAACATCCCGTCCTTCTCGAACCGCCCCAAGAAAAGAATATGCCAGCTCCCAAACCCATGTTCCTCACATCGAAAGAGCAAGCCAAGTTACGACGTCAAAGAAGAATGGCAGATCTAAAGGAACAACAAGCTAAGATCCGTCTTGGTCTGGAACCTGCCCCTCCTCCAAAAGTCAAGAAGGGCAATCTCATGCGAGTCCTGGGCGAAGAAGCAGTGAAGGACCCAACGGCCGTCGAAGCAAGAGTGAACCGGGAAATCGAGGCACGACACCAAGCTCACGTTGAGATGAACGAAGACCGAAAGCTTACCAAGGAACAACGACACGAGAAACTCGCTGCGAATCAGGAAAAGGATGCTGCGAAGGGTATACATGTAATGGTTTTCAAAATCAATAATCTGGCGAACGGTAGCCATAGATTCAAGATTGCCAAGAATGCGGAGCAGATGGCCCTCACGGGAATATGTATCATGCATCCGAGATTCAACTTAGTGATTGTAGAGGGTGGAGAGCATAGTATTCGCCAGTACAAGAAACTGATGATGAATCGAATTGACTGGACTGAGAACTCGCCAACCAGGATTAAGGAGGGAACGAAAGCGGAGGCATTGCAAGACTGGTTGAAAGCAGAAGATGAAAAGGGGGAGTTGAAAGATATGACGCTTAACAAATGCGTGCTTGTCTTTGAGGGAGAGCAGAAGAGCAGAGCCTTTAGGAAGTGGGGAAGTAAGGTCTGTGAGACTGATAGTGCAGCGAGAGATGCTTTGACCAGGGCGAAGATGGAGAACTTCTGGGCTTTGGCGAAGAGTATGACTTGAGGTCCTATGAATATTATGTAGTGTACATCATGAAGAAGAGATAATGAAGCATGATTCATGATACATTCCAATTTTGGTATGTTGGACTTAGTCTTACAATCTGTAGGTAACGCTTCTGCTGTTTATCCTCTCCCCTGTTCAGATCATGCTCTGCAAGGTCTGTTTTCCTCTAAGCATCAATCTCCATCATAGCCGCCTCGTCATCCTCATCAATCCCAAAATCATCCGGGTCAACCTGCATCCCATCCCCAATCTGCTCCTTCCCCTCCGGATTCTCCTGCGCTTCTCTCAACGCCCTAATAATCTCCTCATCCGCCTTCTCCTTATGTGCTTCCAAATCCTTCAAACTCCACGTACTAATCCCCTCCTGATCACTCGCCTTAAACGGCTGAGCCATGCCCCTCAAAAATTTCTTCGCAGTCCCCACCGCCATATCCGTACTCAGATTAACCTCGCTCTCCAAAATAGCTTGATTGATCCATTTCGGCAGCTGATTCCTCTTCTTCAAAAATCGTCGGTCGGCTAGCACCATTATCCCGTAATCATCTTTGCCTCGCAGCACGCGGCCTAGACATTGAGCTGCGTGTCGCATAGCATCGAAGGACAGGAAATCATTCTCGCGGATCCGATACGTCTCCCTCAAAAACTCGAGACGGGCTTTCAGGATACGAGATTCGGTATACTGGAACGGGACGCCGATACAAAGCACGGTTCTGCCGTACTGGTGGTCGAAATCGATACCCTCGGATACCTTCCCTCTTGCGACGCAGAGTAGGATGGCGCCGCGGCCGTTGCAGCAGGCTGTCCGGTAGGTTTCCAGCGCGAGGGAAGTTTCTTGGGCGTCGGGCGTTTCGACGAGGATTAGTTTGTATTTCCATACTTCGTCTAGGATGCCCATGCCTTGCCACATGCTAATGATACTTTCCATGTACAGGTAGGAGGGGAAGAACACGACCATGCCGTCGGGTGTTACTTTTGATAACTCGGTGAGGAGGTGTCCGTAATTTCGCACGACGGACGGTTCGTTGCGGACTTGGAAGCCGGAGGAGATGTGTACTTGGTCTGAGCCGCGAGTTACGATCATGGGTAAGAAGGATCGTCGAGCGAGGGTCATGGGGTAGGATTCTTGGACCACGGTGGTGAAGTTCAGCATCTTGGGGTACATTTCTAAAGGAGAAATGGTTCCTGAGGTGATAATGACGGAGCTGAAGCGATCAAAGACGGGTTTGATGGCGATAGCTGCATCGAGACACGTGAAGTGGAGAACTGGATTGGGTACTTCAGCTGTGTCAGATTCGTAGGGTTCTAAGATGAGAAGGAATCCTTTTTCATAAGTAGCGACGAGGGTGGCGAAAGTAGCTACCTCCTGAAGAGGTTGATAATCTTCGACATTAGTTAATTCGAGGGTTCGGACGAGTGAGGTAAGTCTTTCAGCACAGAATCGTAGAGGCTTCTTCTCTATGAAAGTGTATTCTTTGAGATGTGCTAAGAAGGAAGGAGGGGTTTCTGAGATGACTTGTCGGACCTTCATTCGAGTCTATCGAATAGTAAGTGCTGGTTCATAGCATGAGTATAGATGGAAGCATGCCTTGAGGTACTCGATAAATCTTTTCAAGAATGCAACGAAATGCTCTGCTCTCCTAATATTTCCAGGAACAGCTTCCTTCAATAGATCATCGGGGAGAGCTATTAAACGTCAATAATCAACCAATTCAGCGAATGGTAAGAGACTAACCAGGATTCGACATAAAGGCATCTTCCTCCCTTGCCTCATCCTGGTCCCTAAGCCCTTCCACCAACTTCGCATACTCATTTTGCAATTTTTCCGAATCACTCTCCTTCATCTCCGAAATCTTCGTCTCAAGATTCTGCGCTCCTCTCGTAGCTCTCCTTAGAGAATCTTCCGTGATATCAGTGCTTAGCGATTCAATACATACGTTGTCGATGTTGTGTGCTTCGTCAAAAACGACTATGCAGTCTTTAGAGAGCTCTTTTGAGACTCTTTCCGCGATTTTAGGGTCGAGGAGATAATGGTAGGAATAGATGATTACGTTGCAAAAGGACATCTAGGATTGTTAGTCTTTGAAACGGTTTGGGAGATTGAGATATACCATCCGTCGAGCAGTGAAGTAGGGACATTGTTTATGCTGTTCTCCATACTTCATGATACCATCGAAAGTCCAGACTCCCGTAGGAATCAAATTGTGGGGTTCCAGTAAGTCAAGGTTCTGTCACTATTCGTAAATACGCTCTCCATGTAGGAGCCACGAAAGCTTACATCATGATAAATGCAAACCTGCACATCCTCTCCTCTATCTTTCTTCTCTTTCACGAAGCCGGCGGTTAGAGATCTACACCTAGCATCCACCACCGTACCGCTCTTCTCCCTCTTCACACTCGGATGCAGACACAGATTCTTTCTTGAGGTCAATCCCATACCCCGGAAATCCTCTACATAGCCTAATTCATCTGACCGATATTTCATAAGCGCTTTCAGTTCCGCTAGAGCCTTTTCGATCTCGGACATTGTACCTAAGTACTGTTAGGTGGCAAAGAAGGGACAATGAGGAGAGCGACTCACGTGAGCAATAGATCAATTTCCTCTTTTCAGGATAGTACATCTGGTACGCCACGATCAACGACAGAAGACTGATGGTCTTCCCCGTCCCCGAAGGCATTTCAAGCACCGAGTGTCCGCCTGCATCGAGCGTCTCTGTACGAAAAGGTGAGCACGTGCTTGCGTCTTGAAGGGAGGGGAGATCTTACTTTTGAGATCGCACATGTAGCTTCATTATCATTTCCATCAGCATCTACTTCAATTTCAAAGAAGACTCTTAAAGCTGACTTACGCATATTGTTCTATAAACCATCATTACTCAGTCTCGAGACATATTTGAGGAGGCGGAACTCGATTTGAACTTACCAGGATAAATCCTAGGATACGGAAACAGCACTGGTAAATCACTGTTTAAATCGTTACTAACAGCTCATCAAGGAGCATAGAGCCACGAACTCGATGTTGAACTTCATCTTGAATGACCGTTGCGCACTTTTCGTGCGGTATCGACCGTTTCGAAAAAGTTGTGGTTCTTTCGAGGATCGAGTTCGCTTTATCTGCGAGCTGCCTGGCGAGAGGCGAGAAGCGCAAGGCTGCAACTACCGTCTAAGCAGCGGGAAGACGCAAAGGTTCGAGTCACAAATTTGAGGGCAGCGTGTCTACTCGCGTTTCGAATGAGATCATTGACATGGGCTTTGTAGATGATTGCATGAGGTTACTATTAGTCCTTTTGAAATTAGAAAGGTAGATCGCGCCATCACGTGATCGCTGGTCTCTTCGAAGCATGTCCGACGTCAGGTGGTGTATCTCTACGAGGAAAAGCCGTGGACCAATGTCAATCAATGGAAATGAAGTCACATAGAGCATCAGCAGAATGCACCTGAACAAGGATCTTTCCTATTCCCTCAGGACTTTAGAATTGGTCCTGTCCGTCCTAGATAATATACGTAAACCCCATCCTGAATTCCAACCAAATCCAATCCAATCCAATCCTAAATGATACTTCCTGGCATCAAACTACAATTTTCGGCGCTTCGGAGGAATCCGCCGAAGATATGTTGTCCTTATATCCATACCATACCCATATCCCTGCCGAAAGCCTCCTGCATCCGTTGCCCAAGAATAACGACCAGTCCCAGAGATATGAGCAAACTCCATATCTGTTAATATCCCTGCTTCATCAAATCCAGAAGCTACCGCGAAATGTGCTGTCAAAGAAGTAGTCTCAACGTGGCTGCTACCGGAGCCCAATGTACACCCGAGTCGCGGACCCAAGCAAACTCCTACGCCGGTAGCATCGCTGAACGAATGTGGTATAAGATAATCGTAACTCGTGAATCGTGAAAAGAACATTCCCCCAAATAAATAAGATAAGTCGAAGATTGAAGATTGTGAAGATCACCTTGCATAAGGTTTATTCATAGCAGCCACTTCCCGGGCGATTTCTGGCCATTCCAATTCCCTTCGGAATCCGTCCCCATGAGTTTCTTGCCGAAGCTTTTCCTCCCATTTCAAGAGCTCGTACGAGAATCTAAGATGTGGTTGGATGATTACATTCAGTCGTCGTGCGCGTACAAAGCAGTAAGCACGAGGAAACGATAGGCCCATAGTGCGCATTACTTCTGCAATGCAGATCGTTGCCGATCTCGAGACGCCAACTCGGCAGTGAACAAGCGTTGCCGTACCTTTAGCTTTCCCTTGATCTATGATAGCCTATTAGATAAATGGCTCAAATCAGAAGGAGGAGTTACTCACCTATGAACTCTAAGCATCGCTCGAATTCATCTGTTAACGGATCGACGCCGTTATCCTGCACGCGTTGAACAACCATGACATTTTCTTTGCCCCAAGTCTCTAGTTCACCGTCTCTCCAAGATGCAGTTTCTCCAACGCTCAGAATCTGTCTTATTCCCATTTGCCGTAAAAGGTCGGGATTGTTTGCATGTCCTAAATTGCCAAGATACATGTAATCGGTGACTCTGCTTGGTAGAGATCCGTCCATGTTTCTGATCCATTCGGGCTCTTCCTTGACCATTTCTGTGATATCGGAAAGCGATTTTTCGGTATGAACAGGTGATTCGGAGAGAAGCCGAGGAGCGATCGATGTGAGTAAGGCTACATCAGAAGGATAGGCGAAGAAATTGCGGCGTTTTGAAATGTGGAGGTCGAGCCATGCAGATGGGACGGGTAATCCTGTTGCGTAGGTGTAGTATGAGAGTCCCAGTAAGGTGGATTCCGTATACCCGTCTGTACAGTGAATCAAGATCTTCCTCTTCCGAATCTTGGTCGGCTCTGGTGAAGAAAACGGCATTGGGGAATCTCCTTCAGCGTCGTTCTCCTGAGCTGTTTCATCTGCAGGAAGAATGCCATGTGAAAGGTTATATAACCATTTGCATGTTTCTAATATGCCATCTGCCTCGATTTGGGACCAAGTAGGTGGCATGATGCTGCCAGAAGAAGGGAATTCAAGATAAGCAGGTTGATCTGATACCGAGCCTTCAGCTATAGCTTGCAATGCAGTGTAGTTGAGTCGTCCGAGATCATTACACTCGATGAAGATATCATATCGTTCATCACTAGTAAGTAAGTCCGGATCTATCGATGGATCTGGCGTTGGGCCCATCCAGATATTGTGATGGATCTCAGATGCTTTCGTCATTGTACACATTTCAATTCTTTCTTGGTGGAAGAAGTCCATGACCTTTCCCGTCATCTGCCCTCGTGAATCGGTAGCAACGAGATCAGGATACCGTTCTTCGAACTCCTGGAATTCGCTCGTGCAAACAAAGGTGTTATACCGACAAAGTTCGTGTCCTTTCTCCTCGTGGGCTTCTCGCAATGCTTGTTGGGCCACAGCAATGTCGTTTGCCAGCTTCTCAGCCTCAATCTTGTCATCTCCATAGACCAAGATATCCGAAACCATTGCGGACTTGGCAGCTTGTATCTGAAAGTTCCTCACAGAGAATCCTTCTTTTGGATCAATTTCTCGAAATGTTGATCCAGTGACAGCCTGTTGCAGAAACTCTTCAGGAGCAATGGCACCCTTCAGCCTCGAACAACTCAAATCACCTCCCGCCTTGACTACGGTAATGCCACGCAAACATTTTGGCGTTTTCCTTAGATTTCGCCGTCTCGCAATGAAAAATGCTTGCTGGATATGATTGCTAGGATGTAGACCATGAAACCAAGGGAAGACTTGAGACGGATCTGGGAGAGGCTGCCCTGCAATATGGTCTAACGCCGCTGCGACTCCATCTGCATTTATCTCATAGATTGTTGTAGCACCCAATGACTTTTGTTTGTATTTATCTGGGGGATACAGCAGTGAGCGTGACTGTAGAGTGAGTTCTTTTGTGGGCGGAGACTGAGGAGGGGTATCAGGCTTTTCAGCGGGAGCAGGTCCAGGTGGACAGATGGGTAGGTGCTTGAAGATCAGGAAATCAGCATAGGTCTTTTATACATGGCAAGTAAGAAAGTAGAGTATCTCAAAAGCCAAAGGATATTGGGAGATGTCTGCATTTGAAATGACTTCAAGTCCCAAGGCTCCATAAACAGTATGCATGGTGAATTGCTGCGGAAAACATACTTTGTTTGGTATAGGAACTGGACATGCTGCAGACGTATTGATGCTATCAAGACTGAGTGTCGGTGTCAAAGGATGAGGTGAAGTCGACCGAGCTGGGGGGATTGGTCGTTGGAGAGCAATCGTAGCCATTTCTGCAACTGACTACAGCAGAAAGGTGACTTCTGCCAACGTTGCAATAAGTACTTCAGCACGACATGTAAGGAGCTCTAGCGCCAGAGATTTCTTATCCACAGGGTAATTTGTGGAGGAATGCAACGGATTCCAGTGGATTTCGAGGGGGCTTGCGAAGAGATAAGGCCGCCGTTTGTTGCTGCGCGTCTTGGTCGAAGAGAATTAAATGAATTCAAGTGTTCGAGATGACTGCTAAGTCGGTTTGAAGCAATTCATTCCAACGCTGAAGAAATGTAAGCGTTGGAGAAATGTTGATGGTGGTCAAGAAGTGAGGAGGATGGCGGCATACATGCAGAGACAGGGCCTGCTTATCGTCCTGCTATCACACCCATGAAACACGTCTGCTAGGATACAGATTGAGTTGGGAGGCAACCAGATCTCGAGCAATTCTGGAAAGGCGATAGATAGTAGAGTGACAATGGACGATGCCGCAATTGCACAGGATGAGGTGGTTTTCTCCCGTCAAGAAGAAAGTGGAAGAAGTCGTCTTCCGGACACACAACACACACAATCGCTTGATACAGCAGATGTTGATGGCCGCCCCAACACCACATCCAACTACCATCCCGCGCTAATGCTCCCTCGAGCTTAGCACGACCAGGATCCCACTGGCAACAGACAGGCCATAGCCTGTCGTCGCTGCTGGTGGCGTTGTGCGTCCCCAACGGTGGCCAATCAGTGCAGGTTCCACTACAGCCTTTCACGCCCGCTATCTGTGCAGAGAGCCACTAAGAGACTTTCGCAGTGGAGGCGCATGGATGGGCGAGGATTGACAAGCGTCCCAGGCTACTATATTCAGCATGGGCTCTTTAAAACCCGCGCTCTCACAGGACGGCGCCGCACTGGGGACCCACTCAAATCTGTTGCGAACTTCAAACCCTTGAACAGCCAGACTGCCACTCACACACCAACGACCTTCGACCCAAATCTAAGTTGTGACAGATTTCCCATTGCACATCTGCGGTTTGCAAAGACCCAATCCAGTCATTCGCCCCATGGGACCACTATTGCAGTCGATCGAAACAATTCATACATATGTGCGCAACAGCCCGGCATATTCGAAAAACGACGTCCTCGTGGACTCTGCTCGCTGGCTCCTCGTTCCCGTCGGGGTTGTTTGTCTTTTTTGTTTCAGCAGCATCGACAGGTCTCGGCACCCCGCCATCAGCATGGAGTTGGTGGGTGGGGCTCTAGTGGGTGGCCATCGCTCACACTAGAGGACTCCAAGCAGACTTCCCCGGAGGCCGAGAACTTCTGGGGCCCAAACCTTCGAGCTTGCGGGATCTATTCTCATGCTATCCCAGCTAAAGGATAGTGAAGCTAGGACAAGTGTTTCGAAGATGTGAATCTTACAATTGCATGAAGGGACGCCTCCCAAATCATGGATGGAGATGGTCGCGTGACATATTCTTCTTTCGAGATCTGGTGCCTGGTTGGGATGACATGCAGCATAATATCAGATAGAGGCGTGTATGTTACATTGGCTGATCTCACTAGTAGATCTGCCGTTTCAAGGACAGCTAGGGACTTTGATATGTCGTAGCCCGCATTTTAATATTCGAAGAAACTCTACTTTGTACGGAATCCGGCATGTGATGAAACTTCCAGGGACCTGCTTATTCTCGTTCTCTTTTTGATCTTGGCAAGCTCATACTGGCAAACAATCTCAATCGAGTGTCAGAGTAATCAAGAAAGGATACCTCCATTCACAACCTTCTCCTCGACTTCGAGAATTTGATACCAAAATATTCGAAACGACTAGACCCATAGTAGACCCTGAGGATTTACCAACGGTAGCACAAACGACTTTACCCATCGCCCCAACAAAACCGACAACACGCAAGCTACCGCCTCAATTACTTCATATCCAATCTATCAGCTTCCAATCCCAACATAATGACGCTTCTTTTTCGAGATAGTTGTCTCAGTCGCGGGCAAGTACAGACAGTTGCGTCACTTTGTCACATGTCTTTTCCCTCGCCCCCACTTGCAGACAGACTTTGTCTGAGACATGAGGAGGAATATGATTTGAGATTGCTGACTGGACAATCGCCAATCTGGGTTTATCTGATGTATCACAAATGCGGCACCAAGACGACATGTCGATCTCAGTTCGTCTATCCTTCAAGCCACCCTTGAAGCACACAGACCGTGAGCAGACAACAATGTATTGTTGAAGAACAGATGTTTCACTCTTTGATGAATTGCCACCACCTCGAACGTCCAACTACTTGCAAGACTTTTCTCGAGATTTGTGGACATCTTTCGAACAGAAAAATGCCAAGTGGCGTTGTGTGAGAATTTATCTCTTTCCTTTTACAATTTTTTGGTGCGAAATGCGTTGCAATTTCATACGGAATTGATAAGCCGATGGATCTTCTGCTCTGCTCGTATTGGTCTTCCTTGATCAACAAGTGTTGTACGAGAGAGATGGAGAGAAGGAATTGCGGTGTTGTGTTGCGAAAAGTGATAAGGTATGGGGGTCGTAGGTGAGCCACATGGCCTGCGAGCCCGAGACTGACCAGAGGTTACGAGTGGTATAACGCGCTTCGTGGAAGACAAATAATTGTAGAGCGCGCGATGTGTACTGGTGGACGTGGTGTTGTTGAATGTTAGTTGATGTTGAGTATGTTGATACGTCAAAACATTTTTAGCAAAGCCAAAGAACTGTTTTTAGTGACGAGAAAAAGGACGCACTTCAAAGATTTAAGCGAGAGAAACACGCTAGTAGAGTAAAAGCCTCGTGGGTTAAGAGAGAATTGTCGAATGGATTCGAATATTTTGACACACGACCAAGACTAGAAGAAAAGTATCCCAAGACGTATAACAGAGACGCCAAGCTTGGGCGCTAAAGACTCATCCATACCAGCAGCCAAACACTGTTTAAGGGATACCCACAGGTAAGAGGACCAAAGGAGGTCAATTGTACTGTGCTTGCAAACTCCTTCAGGAAATCACATGACTTGTATTCACGTTCTACCAAAGACAATGAACTTCTGTGCTCGAGAACGGTTGCATGTAGATCATACCGACGTAAATGGTATTCAATCTGAAGAATAAATAGAGTCATCTTGTTAATCAAGTCTTATCACACCTGTGACCAAGCAAGAAGAGCGCCACCAGACATAATAAATCCCAAACATCTTCAACCTGCTATTGCACCAACTCCCGGGCCCCTGTCATGAACACAATTGCGCCTTCAATGATAGTCTTGACGATTTCAACCTCTTCCTTCGTTCTATGTGAAAAGTTAGTAACGTAAGTTGTAGAAATTTGAAGAAGCTTTGTAGCTTTCATGGAAGAACAAGTACCTGGGCGTATAGATCAGAAGGTAATTATTCGGAACCAATGTCCCAGCCAGAGTCATTCTTTCTCCCCACTTCTTCTCGATGACTTCCTTACAGTCAGAGGGGCTAAGACACATGTGCAATGAATAGTCTCCTTTGCCGCCATCAGTGTGCACGTGCGCAATTTCCCGCTTGTTCTGCTTGGCAATTGCATGGGGGGTGTCGATATTGTCAGCAATCAGGATAGCTTCTCCAGATTTCTCCAGAACTGAGGTCCTCACGACTACATGAGCTGCATGCTTGACCACCAGTTCATCGATCGCTTCAGCAAGGAGCTATTGTTTGTAAGTCATTGTAAAGAAAGCTGTTAGGATGTAAACTAACTTCATGCATGGCATCGTCACTTCGTTGATCTGCCTGTCGATGGGGAGCCATCCATTTAAGCATCGTCGGTCGTGGTCCTTCTCTTTCGGGAAGCTTTGGCAGGAAGTTCCTCTTTCCAATATGTTGGCCGCATTTCGCAATTTCTTTCGGATTATCGTAAGGCTCAAGAGTGAACGGTTGGGTTCTGAGAGGGCTCAAGCAAAGTTGGAGGAGATAGCCAAACATATTCTGAGGTAATGCAGTGTCGGCTACATGAAGCCATTCATGATAGCTCGTGAGAGGTCCCATCATGTGATATGGAGATCAGGCTTCAAACAGGTATGGGTCGCGTTTGCAGAGGGTATCGTGAAGCAAGTAGAGCATGGAGGTGTACATTCAGCTACATGCTACATGAATAGAGAACATTCGCACGCTGAGCAGGAAGAGGGTTGAAAAACAGTGGTTGATTATGTGCGCGCCGCTGTGGCTGGAATGAGGTAAAGTCGAGTCAGCTCCCCTGTCGAATCCTTGCAGCCAATCACAAGTATTAACTCGTAGAGAGTGAGACTTTTACCCTGTCATTTGTTGGTCGATGCAACTCTACCCTACCTTTTCGAAATCGATTCAAAAGAAGAACAAACATGGTGCGGGAATGTCATTGGTTCTCTTGAACCGCAGCTTAAGTTCCATTCATGAATCTAGCTGGAATCGCTTCAAGAATAACTTGCCCACGTTCCCACAACATTTCAACGTTCCAAATGGCAAACCAGAAGTCAACGCGAAAGCCAGCAAATCAAAATTTCGCAGGTAAGTTTACTTGGCCTTCACTGCTTTTAAAAGAAGAAACGAAAAGGCCGTATGAGGTGATGCTTTTATCTGTTCCTGAGTCGGTCCCCATTCTTCAAGAGCAGCAAGTGCAAAACCCGCTTCGAGAAGAATAGTGGCATAGGTCGAGATTGTCCGATGCTGCTTCACAACTCCGTCTGCGAGCCAGTTTGATATTCGAGGCCCTTCGTCCAGATAACTCGCCAGAGACCAGATAGTTTGATACTCAGAACCTGGAACGACCTTCGGATCTTGAGGGGCTGTATAGACCGGATGCTCGACAGAAAACACAAGAGCACCTCCAGGTGTCAACGTCTTATATATTTGCTGTATCAGACTTGGTAGATTCTTGAGGTAATGAAAGCTCAATGAACTGAACGCAATATCGTAAGTGTTTGGAGGTAGTTCGAAGGTCTCGAGATCCGCACGAGTATACGTTATAGCTGAGTCTGTAGGAAAACTTCTTGCTTTGCAGAGCATCTTCTCTGACACATCGACCCCATGAGCTGCGACCGAGCCATTCTCTCTAGACCATCTACAAACCCAGCCAAAGCCACAGCCTAGGTCGAGAAACTGGGTGCCTTTAGGATCGGGAAGTAGAGATTTCAAAGCGGACCACTCGGGTGTGCCCGCAAGACCCTTGACTTGGCGAGGAAGCTGGATGTAGTTCTTGAAGAAATTCTCACTGTCGTAGATGTTCTGCGCCATCGTGTCGTTTCATTAGTATCGCAAAATGTGAACTTGCAATGACTGTACGAGGAGTTTGGGTTTCAAAGCAAAAAAGCAAGTTCTTTGGCAAGGTCAGCCTACTCAAGCAATAACCATGACACCTTTTCAACTATCACTCACTCGACGTCCGTTGATCTGAATAATTCAAAAATAAAAGAGTGAAAGAAAAATATATGAAGTGTCCAATTGCAGCCGCTCATTTAGCCACGATTTAACCTACACGTGATTCGAGTCATCGGTGCTCCGACTCATGTCCGATTTCGCTTTATATTTTTCTTTGCTTTCCTTTATGAGCCCAGCGCTGCTGGAAATCCAACAATTGACTCTGCATCCGCGAATTCGCCATGTCTGATTCAGTGACTCCGGTTGGACTGGCTGTCCCAACCAAGAAGCCAACTACAAATGGTGTTTCTGAAGAGCCAAAAGACACGACTCACACCGCGTCTCAACGGTATCTGTCGACCAGAGGGGGCTCTTATGGAGTATGCGATCCCAATTGAACCTGTTCCGCAACACTCGAAGCTTACTTGCTGCAGCTTTCATTCGAAGAAGCCGTCTTGAAAGGTCTTGCTGCCGATGGTGGTCTTTTCATCCCAGAAGAGATCCCCGCTCTACCCCGCGATTGGGAGTCGAAATGGATGAATTTGTCCTTCTCCGAACTTGCCCTCGAAGTCCTCTCGCTCTATATCTCACCCTCCGAGATTCCCACTGCAGATCTCAAAGAAATCATCAATCGAAGCTATTCGACCTTCCGTGCGCCTGAAACTACGCCACTGATCACCTTGGACGAGAAGGAGAATCTATATCTGCTGGAGCTGTTCCACGGCCCTACATTTGCATTCAAGGATGTTGCATTACAACTGCTAGGAAATCTGTTCGAATACTTCTTGGTGCGACGAAATCAAGGCAAGACTGGCAGAGAAAGGCATCACCTCACTGTCGTTGGCGCAACCAGTGGAGATACTGGGTCTGCAGCAATCTATGGTCTGAGAGGAAAGAAGGATGTCTCTGTTTTCATCTTACATCCCAAGGGAAGAGTCAGTCCAATTCAGGAGGCACAAATGACTACGGTATTGGATGCCAATGTTCACAACTTGGCAGTGGAAGGAACATTTGACGATTGCCAGGTTAGTTTCCCGCAGATTCAAAGGTCTCACTTGCTAATGCCTTGCTAGGATACCGTCAAAGCTCTCTTCGCAGACCCTAAGATTAACGAGACACTGAATCTTGGAGCTGTCAACTCCATCAATTGGGCTCGAATCCTTGCTCAGACTACATATTACTTCCACTCCTACTTCGCACTCACGAAAACTCCTTCATACAAGACCAACCACAAAGTACGATTTGTTGTCCCTACTGGAAATTTTGGAGACATCTTGGCTGGTTACTTTGCGAAGCGTATGGGTCTGCCTTCGGACAAACTTATCGTTGCAACGAACGAGAATGATATTTTAGACCGGTTCTGGAAGACTGGCAGATACGAGAAGAAGCCGGTGAAAGGAGAAGCAGCAGAGGGCGGGATAGCGGCAGATGGAGTAAAGGCGCATGAGGACGGTGTCAAAGAAACACTTAGCCCGGCAATGGACATCCTGGTATCGAGTAATTTCGAACGATTATTGTGGTTCTTGGCATATGAGTACGCTGCTGGGGCTGGCATGGATGATGAGTGGAACAAGAAGCAAGCGGGCCAGGAAGTTGAAGTCTGGTTGAAAGAGTTGAAGACTAAAGGAGGCTTCGAAGTCAACCCAGACATTCTCAAGCTCGCCCAAAATGGTTTTGAGAGCGAGCGAGTCAGCGACGAGCAGACTATTGAGACTATCAAGCACTTCTATGCGACTGAGGCTACTAATGGTGCTACCAATGGCTCTGGTTCGAAGGGTGGTTATGTTTTGGACCCCCACTCTGCTATTGGTGTTGCGGCATCACTCCGATCAATAAAGCGCACGACACCTACCGAAACTCACCACATCTCTCTAGCTACAGCTCATCCTGCCAAATTTGCAAATGCGGTGGACCTGGCACTGAAGAGCGAGGCTAGTTTCAGTTTTGATAGTGTTCTTCCCGAGGAGTTTGTCGGCTTAGAGAAGAAAGAGAGAAGAGTAAGAGTTGTACCTAAAGGAGCTGGCTGGGAAGGAGTGAGAGAAATCGTTAAAGAAGAGGTCGCCGCGGAATTGGAAGGCGTTAGATGATTCCTCAACACAATCACAAAAAGCATTTAGACGTTCTGGCATTTGCTTCACAGCTCAAAAAATGGGCGTCGATTTTATAGAACGTACGTAAATTTCGGAAACATTGTGCAAATTTCTCCTCCTCCTATTGTCTCGGATCACAGCCAGCATCTTCGACCGCCTGATCAACAGCTCCAGTCCACTGTTCACGCTCCATTTCCTCAGCTCCTTTCCCTTTTCTTTCCTTTTTCTGTATCCCGTCTTTCCTCTCGATCCAGGGGTATATTCCCTCGAACCAGAATCGGTCCATCACTGACAAAATCTTTCCTCCTAGCATTCTTTGCTTACTACTTGTCTTGAGGACAGTGCTGGATCCTGCTGAAGGTAGCTGAAGTCTCAGCTTTATTGAGTTGTTTGGAGGACGGGGTGTCGTTGCTTAGACTTTCAGCGCGTGATTTGAGGAGACGAGGAGGGCAATATGCGTAGTTTCGCTAATATAGAGTAACTTTAGAGTTTATTATTTCTATCCTTTTGTAAAAATTGGATGAATGGTAATAGTTTATTGAAAAGTAATGAGTTAATTCTTATATATTTTTTGTTTTCTATTCATGGTCGGGATGAACGGCTTTGGGATGAAGCGATGACAAACTTTTGACGGAAGCATCGGGATCCACTATGACGATAGTAGATACCCGCACAGCCTCATCTAACAAAAACCGGTGTTCTGAAATCAGGTAACTATTATCAATACGAGCGCTCCGTTGCTTGGCTGAATCCATTGATACGTATAATGAAGCTTGTGGTTATGCTCGAAGCAATTATAACAACCTCGGCAGCAAGCAGCGTGCAGCGATGCACTATGCCTCTCATCGAGAGAACTGACCTGGATGTGCCTTCTCTACTGAACAGTCAGAAGTCGTCCATGAAGAGTTGCACTTTCCACTGCTGTGTAATAAATGACCCCCTCTGTATGCTTTGGCGAGTCGCTCGCTTACACAAATAGGGGTCCATGCTTCCAATGTTCCATAGCTAGTTTATGATGACTTCAGATCGAGCGTCCTGCAATTCATGACTAACTGTCATTCCGACTGTAGACGAGTATTGGTGTTGAGCTTGCTCCTCGTGGAGCAAATTCACCTCTCAGCTGAAGAGGTCTGGTCAAGTTATTTTTTCAAGGAATGAAGGGACGTGATCAACAAAGTCTATAGTAATTCCCCGAACGACTGCAACTGAGAGTGCTGAGGTACAGAGTCTAAGCCAACATAGATACTTGCTCCGAAAAGTTGAGGGCTTCTGTCCAGTAAGCACTAAGCAAGGAAGAGATGCTCATGGGCTGTTGTAGAAATAGAGTTGTTAGGAATGCAGCGAGGAATGTTTGAATCTCGTCGGATCGTGGTCACCTCAAATCCATTCGCTTTGATGGAAAGACCTTTGCACGCTGTGCTGTATGTAGATACCAACCAAAAACACCAGGAGATCGACCATGACTTGATAAGTCCAAGTGGACAATACCATCAACAACTATGTTGATCTTCATTGCAAACACAAGTTCATCAAAAAGACAAGGAGGAATTGCGGAGTAATGCTATCGGATGTGTATAAACGCCAAGGCATTGTCCATATTGATATAGTCGACCAATGAGAGAGAGGCTTCCAAAACCGACAACGATGACTTGTCAGAATATGCCAGAATATATCCGACACGGGCCTTTTGAACTAAAGTGTGAAAATCAATCACATATATGAAGATATGTCCAATTAACTACTAGGCTCGAACATTTACTGCCAAGAGATGCCTAGCTTGCGGTGATGAGTAGAGCCACTCCCGTCGGTCGATACTCTGAACACAGACAACGAGCTCAATCGGACAAAGATCAACCATTAGTTCGCGCTGCGGCCCTAACCTTCAATTATACCATCGCTAGAACACCAGGAAGCTTCTCCCGCGCCTAGACAGCTTCCCAAATCTCGCAAGCGTGCTATGATATCACCAGCCAGGAGGGTTTGGTCCGAGAGCTTCACCCGCCCGGAGCTTCCAGGAGGTACCTCCTAGCGAACTCGACGTGCAACAAAAGGTCGATTATTGCTAGAAAAGTGTTTGACAGCATGTTGGCAAGTCGTACGGCTTGTGGAGACGGCGGGGAACCTTGATTGCTGTTGGTGTAGATGATTTGACAGGATTTATGAGCCGAGCGAGTGTTTTGGAATGTTATACTCTGTAAGTCTGCAGATCGCGAATCGCGTTTATTCGGCGGCAAGTCATCTTTAAAGCAAAAACGACCTTGGGAAAGAAAGGTCAAGCTGTTCTTCGAAGTAGAGAACTCCCTGGCGCAGCGCATGAGCGAGTAATGGTCACGTGTCTTGCGCTCTTATCCACTTGGATATCATTATTCCAATCAAGTGCATATTTTTGACGCTCATATGTTAACTGAAGGGATTCCATACGTCTATATGGCAGTACCATGGCCATTTGGAATATTGTATGTCACGAGGACATTCACGTGATGATGTCTCTTTTGCGGAGCAGTGGCTCATATTCTGCGATTTTACGATGCTGCACTTGTAGTAGCACTATAAAAGATTAGCTTGATCTGAATTGAGATGGCACTGGGCATGTCTATTCATGAATGTTGTGACAAGTTGCAGCAATATGTCATTTGTATTGTCTGGACTCTGGCGATGCAGAGTTTCTCTCCACGAAGTTCATATCTTGTTGCAAATCGCAGTTTGTCCTCAGACCATGGTGGGCCCATGTTTATCAACTGTCTTGTGAGAATCTAGGCCCATCAGCCAACACTCAGCTCCAGACAGAACCTCCATCATCTACCGCAAATGTCAGCACATAGAGTTTGAGCGCTGCACTCCGCAGTGGCCTAGACATGCCGTCCTTATGAGCCAATTACATATCAAATCATCCGTTCATTTCAATTTCGTGGTTGTCGAGTCGGGTGAGAATGTTGGGTTCGGGATTTATACCTGGTATTTGGGCCGTTCTAGCCTATGCTGTGAAGCCATTGCGTTGCATCCTGTTGCACGTCGGAGTTCTAGATCATACAATAGAACAGGGTGTGACTATTGTGTGGGGTTGAATAGCCGGAGTTCAGGGGCTGGCGGTCTAAGACCAATTTCTCTAGACGATGCTAGAGACAAGACGCAGCCTAGAATAATGCCATGAAGGGATAGAACTTGATCCATCAATGGGATATCCAGAGTGTCGTCAAGCTAAATTTGACTTTTATCGTTGCAGCTTTAGCCTTTATTCTGACAGTAGGAGTGTGCCATGCTTTAGGTTCATTGAGGTTTGGTGGCTGGACGTACTGTTACGACTTGCAGCCTTCCGATATACTTTCAACGATGAAATAATGAACGGTTACAGTACAAGCTCAAGAAGGCATCTGGGGAAACTACAGCAGTCTCAAGACTAATAATGGACATGTCAATGTATTGGTGGTACAGTACCGGAGGATATTTTCCGGTACTTCCCTCCTTATGGGATCGTGAGTCTAGAATGCACTGTTCCTCGTCAGCCTCAAAGTATGCTGAGGAGTGCTTTCCGCTCCAATGAAACCATCAATTTCCATCTGCACCTGACCTGAAATATTCCGCTTTGGGAATTATGGTTCGATGCTGAATGCGGGTGTGCATTATTCGCCTATCATCGCCTACTTACCCTGCACGAGCGACATGCCACCATGGAAAGATACTTTAACCCTACAGGGCATTATTTTGCGACGTGCAACAGAAAGTTCACTGTAATGAGTGTTTGGATCGAGGTCACCGTTCGTTTACGAGTTTCTCGGGTCTTCGGTTAACTCTAGGATCTCATCTTGGGAACATTTAAATTGAAGGACTTATTTTTTACCTATATACTGATTGAATTTGAATTTGAATTTTGGAAAGCAGGTGTGCTAGCCTTTAGCTGAGAGTCGAACAAAGGTAAAGGCTCGTACGGTTGTTCAAAATCTGTGAGCACTTTCAGCTCCGGAACTCTCAACCCACACATAATACCCGTACAGAAACTCTTTTCATTGAGATGAGGAGGCTTTTTCTGGATCATCCATCCCACATTAGTTTTGTTCTCAGGTTGCGAAAGCTTGCTAAGCAGATTAGCAAAGCCTCCAGGGCAACCGGCTCGCTCCGACCCATATCTTCTACTCTAACACTTTCCCGGCTTCTCTAAGTCTGTGTCTCTCTTCTAATTACTGCTTCCTAATTCTATTGTTAGCTTCTGTGGTGCTTCTAGAATGTGTCGCGTATCTGTTGCTACTTCACCAACATATCATTGTCCAGACTCTCTCGTGTTTCATCCGTCATAGTCGTGCCATCTCATGAAGATCCATTGAGCTCGAGCCATTCCCTAGACCCATATGACGCAAGGAATCGAACGATTATTCCTCATTGATAGGAAGACATGGTGTATTCCCTGATTTCAACTACGAATTTTGATGATATTGCTCTTGATGATGGCAGCATGTAAGATCATTCACTCGAATGTTTAGTTCGTTGGAGAAGTTCTCAGATCATTTATCGTACGTGAAGTGGGCATGTCCGTGTTCCATTAGGTTTCTGGGGCTGTTTTTGACGGCAGCGGGGTTCTGAACATCGGCGGGGAAAGCACCGTCAACAGCGTCCCCGTCTGATCATGATCGAAGACCAGGTTGCTCTTCTGCAACTTACAGCATCATTTGCCTTGCTCAGTTAATGTTCTGGCAAGAAGGCTGGGCATCCTCTCACGGTATGACTTCCAAACTTTGGACATACCAAGTGAAGTTTACTCGACACGCACGAAGATATGCAAACGAGAAGAAGGTCAGGACGACGACATTGAAACGAAAAATACTGAGAGCACATATCAAAGACGTACCATTTCAAAACACAATGGGAAGGTACCATTGTTCATGACGCATATCGGTACATGCACCTGCGAGGGCTCCCAAACTTCGAGGATGTCTAGACTGACAGACGACAAGAAGAACAAGCACGACGAACAAGAAGTTACGGTTGGGAAGATATTTCAAGAACCTCCACTATACGCGTAGAGCATGGCAACATTGGGACAGATATCATGACCTAAACGCTGATACGACGATATTTTGCGAGCAAGAGCGTGGACAACGACACTATCAGAAGTGATAAGGAGACTTGCAGAATAATGAACAACGACATGAAGCTCGACACTGATGAGAGCGGTGCCGCTTCGATATTCCAACCAATCCGTTTGCTAAGATAAGTCCAAAGTTTCCAAGTATTGATTGTACCCCCATCATTATATCCCATTCCCATAATAAGTTGAACCGTCATGCACTATCCATCGCTGAAGTTGCAAAGTACCAGCACAGTTAAGCTACCCCATATATTTACTCTCGACCATTCGACCGAAGTAAGGCGCTCCCAAGCTTTTCCGCATCCTCCACCAATGCCTGATTTTCCTCCTCGAGAGTCTTTGCGGCTTGTTCTAAAGCCCTGATATGTTCTTTCGCGAGGATGAGGACTTCGGCTTTGCTGACTCTCTTCTCGCCATGCTCCGGGTTGGCATTTGTGGTAGTTATATCTGCGACCAGACTTTGTGGAAGTGTGGAAAGCAACGTCCCAAATTTGTCGTTAAGTCTCGAGCGGTACCGTTTCTCTGTCATATTGTGTTTCGCGGTTCCATCCAGAGAGAAAGATTTCCTGGCTTCTGAACCAGAACTCGATCTTGCTTTGCTAGTAGAATTTCTTCTCCTGGTACAAGATCGATGAGAGGCAGAATCCATGTCAAGATATTCCCTGCTTCCGTTGCCGTTCCCATTTGCAGCTGTGGTCATTCTCGTATGAGCTGTATGAGCCTTGAATATGGTTGGACAACTATTGCTTTGTTCGGACGAAGAACTCCAAGATAGCCTGTAGCTATTCTGTTGGGACGATTCATTACACGGAGCATTATCTTTATTATCATTGTTGCAATAACTGATGCCATCCTCGAAATCCGTTGAGATTTGGACCGTTGGGTTCAACGTGGTATTCTCAAGTGAGTTTGTCTGCCACATGATGTCTGCAGGCTGGGATATTGAAGGTATGATATTGTCAGCCAGAAGCTGCAGTTCAGCAGCCTCCATTGGAGACGGAGACCAAGCGGTTACGAGCGACGGTCCGAAGGCAGGGCTATATAATGGCTGCGAGAACTGGAATTCAGGCGAATCAAGTGGTGTACAAACAGGGCAGTCGTTGACCGTATCAAGTGACAGCTCTGTCGGGTTGGCAAAATACTCTAGTGCAGCCTGAAAGAGCTCAGCAAATTTGCTTTGCAGATGGACGAAATACATACCATATGGGCAGGTGAAGAGATTGAAGTCTCTGGTTCCTGTCTGTTATGTTCAAGATGACCTTGCATTGGTCTATGAAATCCGCGTATCAGGGAAACAAGTTAGGGAGCAGAGCTGGAAATCTGTACGAAGCAACGATGTGAAAAATCAATGAGAAATTTCTTCACAATACTGTTCTGATGCGATAATTCATTTCATGTGCAGTTCGATGTCCTCATATAGCCCCACTTTCTACCACAATTAAAGGTGGTACGATGCGCTCGAAAAAACCTCCGCCACAATGCACCCGAACAAAATGGGAAACGGTATTGAACGTCGTCGTTTGATAATTGTCAAGAAAGATTTGAAAATTATTAACGTTGGGTGAAGTGTCGGACTCTGGTGAAGACTGGAAGTACACTGTTGTTCAACTAGTCAACTTGTTTGAGCATCAAGGGAAGGATCGAACGGAGCAGCGGTAGTCAAGAGACTTTCAAAGAAACGCTGGTGGACTTGAATTTCGAGTATGGATGATCGCGGACTTGATATTGCGTCTGCTGAGGGGTATCGCCTGAGTTCTGCAGCAGCGTAGCGTAGAGCTTCAATTAATAAAGTCGTAGTACTAAGATGAATAGCAGCAAGCATATGTGTGCAAATGAAGATCTCGATGGTTGTGATGGAGAATGCTCCGTTGCCGCTAAAATATTAGCGTATCTCGCTTAATCTGCTCTTTTCCAAAATAGCTTCAATTCTTTCTTTCTTGTCTTCATATGTGCAATCTCAGCATGTCTTTGATATGCTCATCTACGACATATTGAACGTCCTTGAACGATACATCCTCAAAATTGAAACATCCTCTGGTTTTATATCCATGAGAAGTCCCCCCGAACATGCGCACATGATCGACCAGCATCCTGAAGCCCAGATGGCACCCGCTAGACCTCCCAAAGCCAAGCCAGAAAATCCTATTGATGCTGCTGTGGCGGCCTGGCTCTTGGATTTGCCTGCCGACTTGACAGACACCCAAACGAAAAATGTCGACTCGATTGTCTCCGTTGTGCCGAAAAGATGGATCGTATATTCTCCAATGGTTCTTCTTCCGGCAGGAAATCCCAAGCTCAAGTGGTGGGAGATTGCAGAATCATCAGACGCAACGATGAAGGCCGAGCGAGACCGTCTTTGGAGGCTTATACTGAATGCGATTGGTAAAAGAGAGGGCAAAGGTGTTCTAACTCACCTAGCGGTCAATTCTGGCATTCCACTTCACAACCCACTTAATGTTGGTGGAGACTATTCTGAAAGTGAGAACATCCTCCGAACTCCAGATGGTCTGGTCATGCTGTATGGTGACTTTGGCCCTTCACTTTCTCCAAGTCAAGCACCAACCAGCAAGGACTTCGAAGATGCTTTCTGGGTCAGCACCAAGCAAAATGGGATTACACAGATCTGGGCGCCTCGGTACACTATGTTTAGTCGTGGAAACGTAAAGGAAAAGGCTCGAATTCTCGACTTTCCTCGTTCGTCACAAGAATTTACCTCCAGAACATTAAGTCAAGAACTTCTGTCAAAGAACATAGCCGTTGATCTCTATGCCGGTATTGGATATTTTGTATTCAGCTACATAAAACTGGGCTTGAAGAAAGTCATTGGATGGGAGCTTAATCCATGGTCTATTGAAGGGTTGAGACGAGGTGCTCTCGCCAATGGATGGACCGTCAAAATCGTTCGCCAGAGTGAAAAGCTTGAGCTGGGACATGAGAATATCATTGTTGTAGCTGAAGACAATAGATTTGCCTTGCAGAGGCTTCAAGGATTAGAGTCAAGTTTTTTGAAGGGGATCAGGCACATCAATTGCGGACTATTGCCAACAAGTGATATGAGTTGGACGATGGCATCCGAAATGATTGACGACGGATGGTTGCATCTCCATGAGAACGTTAGCGTCGAAGATGTGCAAACCAGGGCAAGTGAGATAGAAAAGATGTTTCGAGGCTGGTTGTCGGAAAGACGCGATGCAAGAAGTGCAGACGTCGAACATATTGAACTCGTAAAGACGTTCGCGCCAGGGGTATGGCATTGCGTCTTCGATGTCCATGTCACAGCATATTCCAAAATGGCTAAGCAAGAACTGCAATGATATCCAGAATTTTGCGAGGTCACACAAGACATCAGATTCCCGCTTTACAAGTTGCTGAAGCTGGCTTCGTTGAAGCGACCAGCTGAAGTTATCAACGCTAAGTCGATTTTCGAGGCTATCTCGTTTCAGAGGCCATCCTTCGGGCTGTCATTCGGAAACATGCAAAGACTCGCACACAACATGTTTCGAAGTACTGGTGTCTCAGGTAGCGATGAACCATCCCGGCTTCATGTGCCGGGAATGCCATCCAGATTTCTTCATCGAATCTGCAAAACACGATAGGACGTAAGCACCTTCCGAACTGGAGATACCGAGATGTTGGTGATTCTCGGCTGCATGCCGCGCCCTGTCGACCCGGAACATGACCCGTTTCCAAATCAAAGAATGGGATCTTGGATGTGCATGATCTACGGATTGTTCTTGCGCAATGTTACAAGAAACTAGTACTCTGTGACGGTCTGTACCTCAACAGCAGTTTGCACCCAGCAAAAGTGGTTTCTTCGGGAAGCAATGTTACCTTGCACATGGGGTCACGATGGCTGAGGCATGCCTTGTCTTACATTATGGTGTAGTGGGAAGGAGTGCTATTGGGCAATGGATGCACACAGCATGGCTGTGTAGAGCGTTAATCAATTGAGGAGCGTACCTATTGGCTGCGGTTGTGGCTGCTGAAGTTCTTCCTCCCACGGAGAGTCGTCTTTCTCTAAGCATTTCTGGGCTGCGTAGTCGAGGCTGTGACAGTCGAGTGACCCGACAGCTTGGTCGAGGTGGCCGCTGTACAAGTGTATCTGCTTATAGATCAGGGTGTGGAACATTGAACGAGTACATATAACTCATGTTCAAGTGTATTGCCCAATTTCATGAGCCATCCAGCCCAAATTAAAACCTTTTTATTTTCGAGTTCTACTATTAGTTATACTTTACAAAGCCTTTGAACATGCCTTACTTCTGGGATTTTCGTACTGTCCTCGACGTCGACCCTGAGAACGATCGGACTTGCGTTGGTACTGCGCAAAAGGGCGAAAGGTGCTGCAATCCAATCAACAGGGCTGATCGGGCCACAGCAGGCCTCTTACTTGATCAAATGGACAGATCAAAGAGTTTCAAAAGTTCCATCGATGAATTAGAAATCCTTGCGGAATTACTTCTCTGCAAACCCGTTCACAATAATCACAAAGCGAAAGCATACCTATCTCAGGTAGACACAATTACCGCCGAATGGACGATCATAGTAGAGGAAGAATATCGATTGATGAGAAAGCGGAAAGGGAAAGTAAGGGCAGAGAAAGCGAAGAAAGAGCTTCTGCGAATGGCAGAAAATGCCAGACACATGAAGGCTGAGCTAGAAGAGGAGAGAGCGGACATAGTAAGCAATTCTCAACAAGACCCTTTCAATAAATACTAATTTGAGGAAGAAGTCACATAAGTCCTCGAAGTATGAGCAAGGAGCTCGCCAGAAATCAGACCAGAAAGAAGTTGCTGGACTTGAAGATCCTTTCGTATCAGCTACAGCTTCTGCTAAGTCGAGCACTATCATCTACAATCCAATACAGTCAAATGGAGGTGGAAGGCAGAAGGTTAAAAAATCCGAGACTGTGGTCAAGGTCGAAGCGGTGTCAATTAAAGATCCAGAACCTCGGGTTGTGCTCAAGACCAACACTGGCCTGCCAACACCAGACCAGACTCCAGAAGATTCAAAGGACCATACTGAACAACCCAAAGTTCAAGACAAGACCCCATCTAAGGCCCCGACGAAGCTCAGAGATGAGAAAACCAATCCATCCCTGACGCCTCCGTTGAGCACGAAAGTTATCCGACAAACCACAGAATTCACTTTCGAGTACGGACCAGGTCTCGATACCCAAAAGAATCTCAAGAACAAATTGGAAGGGTTGAAAACTGTCACTGAACAGACTTGGTCTTTTCCTGTCTTCAACGACACAAAAGAACAAGAGGAGGCCATTTCTACGAATCCGAGTCCATTGAAGCAACTTCATTCGCCAACAGCGCTGGATGCGCAAATCGCGCGTATCCCGCTAGGAGCAAAAAGTGTTTCTTCACATAACAACTTGAAAACGAAGAAGGCCAAGCAAGCAGAGTATGAATTCGGAAACCAGGAAAATACACCTTTCAAGAGCTTCAACTTCGAAAGTAGTGCTCTAGGTTCTATGCTAGCCAACGGAGTCTTCAGCAAAGACACTCCTCCACCACCTCCTATTCTAGGTCCACTGTTCGCCTTTGACCACTCTCCAGAAAGGAACTCTTCGAGGTCAGGAAGCAAGAAAGAAGATTCACCTCTACCAGAAACTCAATCTACCTCGATGTCTCCTCCTGATTCAAACTCACCAGTCATCATGAAAGCTCAACCCGTCCAAGAATCCGAGTCTAACTCAATGCCTCAACAATGGCCAAACACCACAAAGTCCAATGAAAACAACTATATCCACCAGGACACAGACAATGCCTCAACCACCGACATCGAAGCCACCACACCAACAACAATTATCGAACAACCCGCCCTGTTCAACCCACCCTCACCTCCCAAATCCTACACACCATCCAAACCCCTCCCTCCACCAAGAAAACAACCCTCCCCACCCCCAACCTTCGGCACAGCCCTCATCATCCCCCCCTCCGCACCCTACAAAACCCACCTCCCGTCCCGCCGCTCGCAATACATGTCACCACCAAAACCAGCGTCAGAAGATAGCTACACCACCGACCTGCAGATCTGGGAACGCATTACGGCTGCGGAGAAACCGCTCCCGGGGTTACCTTGGGAGCCTGTTAAGCGGGGGGGTGGTAGTGTTGGGCTAGGGTTAGGAATTGATAGTGGAACCACGGTTGACGAGCAGAATGACGATCAGGACGTAGGCTGTTTGGGATCGCGGAGGTTGAGAGTGTTGGTTAGGAGGGCGTTTGGGAGGCAGTGATTTGAGGTTTAGTGAGTGATTTGGAGTTTGGGGTGTTGGGACGGGGAGTTTGTTTGATATACCCATTGACATTTAGACTTTCTTTTATGGTTTTGATAGCGATGAAATTTCGAAATTTTTATAATACAGTAGTTTGATATGCGAGCGGGGATTCCTGTGGTTGTATGTGCGAGCTATAACAACGATGAGGTTGCTTAGAGGATTTATGTTGTAAATCGACCGGACATTCCAAGGTACCGGGCATTGAAATGGAGACCGACATTAGCATGCCGAGAAGCTTTAAACCGTTACCCGAGAATGAGCGGTTTAGAATCCGACATTCACTGGTCTGAAATGAGAGAGGCTAGTGTAACATGTATCATCCGGGAGAATGGCAAGCCTTCGAAAGAAAGATGTGTGGTTGCTAGAGCTTGCTATATTTCATCCTACATTCTAGCTATCTCCCCTTTCCCCAAGGCCTCGCATCTTACAAATCCAACCATCCCCTAATAAACCTCAAGAACATACCTCAGCTCCTCCTTCAGCCTCTCAATCTCCTTCCTAGAATCAACCTTCTTTCCTCCCTTCGCTACCGCATCCCTCTTAATAGCCTCCTCCAAGACCTCCGTCACATCCGGAACTGGCCACGTCGGTCCGCAAAGATAGAACGCTCCTTCCTCATGAATATACGCCTTGATAATGTCTTGAATGGTCTGTCGCATTCTATCCTGGATATAGATTTTCTGCGGCTGGTCACGGGAGAATGCTCTACCCAACAAAGTGATGACGCCGGCATCTTGATAAGCCTCCCATTCTTCACCGTACAGGTATTCTTCTCGTTGGTGACGAGAGCCCATGTACAAGAGGATAGAACCAATTTCTTTGCCTTGCGCTTTTTGCATGGCGCGGTATTGGACGAAGGCGCGGAAGGGCGCGAGTCCTGTGCCTAGACCGGCCATGATGAGTGGTGCGGTGTCTTTGACTGGAAGCTTCATGACGGAGGGCTTGACGGATGCGGTGACCTTTGCTCCAATGGGAAGTTTGCTGAGGTAGCGAGTTGCTTGTCCGAAGCGATCGCGGCCTTTAGGATCGACCCAGGAGACGACGACGATCATTAGGGCGACGGTGGTGGGGTTGACCATTTGAGAAGAGGCGATGGAGTACTCACGGCGTTTCATGGGGCTGACGATGCGAGCGATATCGTGGAATGAGGGGTGAGCAGACTTGAATTCGAGGAGAATGTCCGCATAAGTAATTGTGTCGACTTCAGCGCGGCGTTTGAATTCATTCGCGCCCTCTGGACCGCCTAGTGTAAGAAGTTCCTTCTTTTCATTCTCATCGGAGGCGAATTCCGCAAGAGCTTCGTAGAAGCGCTTGGGCGGCTTTCCAAAAATGTCGATGTTTTGTACCAGTGATTGAAAGACAGTTCTAGTGTCGAGAACATTCGGATCGTCGCGAGATGGGACTTCGACGACATCCTCGGCGTTCAAACCGTAAAATCCCATGAATTGAATAACCTCATCAACGTCATTCTCAGCATGAATGCCAAGCGCTTCACCAATATTGTAGGTGAGACCAGAGGTACCAAGATCAAACTCGATGTGAAAGATGTTACGATCGTAAGTCAGAGGTGTCAATCGACGGTTCTCTTGAACGGTGATCTCGTAAGTCTTCGTAGTGAGATCTGGTCTCAGGGCAGTCTTGGTGCCATAAGCCTCCTTGAAAACAAGACCCTTTGCAGCAGACTCCCAGTTGCGCAACAGAGAAGGTGCCTCAGTCTCTTCCTTCTCAAAGCCAGTGAAACTGCTTGACTTGATTGTAGCTGGGAGGGCAGGAGCTTCCTTGTCGACCTCGACTTCGGCCCATGATTCTGGAATCTCAATCTGTCGCAAGATCTTCTCCAAATCGCCAGAAATCTCGGCAACGAGAGCCTTCCTCGCTGTAACATCACCTCCAAGAGCTGCTAGCTTCTGGCCGGCAACTTCGTAGCTTTCTGGGTGAGCAACCTTGAGGAAGGCCAACTCCACCGCCAAAGTCTCAACACCAGAATCCTTTTCGACAGCAGCTGACAGAGCCGGGTCGAGAAGGAACAACTCGATGCCTCTGAACTTGATTTCGTTTCGAACAGGAATAGATAGCTTTTTCTCCAGATCTTCATCCTTGACACCTGGGAGCTTAAGAATGAGTTTGCCACCATTCTTAATATTCTTGACAATACCGATATCCTTGAGGAGCTTCTCTTCTCCTACATAAGCGACATCGGCCTCATCAACAGGGTAAGCAGCCTCAATTGACTTTCTAGAACTTCGAATATCAGTCCTGATAGTTCCACCTTGAACGAAGTTGTCATGCGTTTGACTGGTGATAACGTTGGCTGCCGCATTCGTAGAAAAGAGTTTTCCAAGAGCAACTGGAGCGACAGCGGCTTCAGAGTCATCCAAATCCCAGAAGGTGTATTGCTCAGCTTGCCCAGCACCCAACAGCTCAATCTTCTCGACCGTTTCAGTTGGCTTACCAGTCAATTGATTGAAGATAGCCGCAACTGAGCTTGGTGTAAATGTCTCTGCGCGAGAGTACTTCACATCAACAATAGCAGGTTTGGTGTGCCATTTTTCAGAGAACACAACTGCAGCCAGTACATCTTCGTAAAGGCTCGAGTGTGTAGACTCGTCTGCTACAGTGGCTTGGTCAAGCACCTGGCCAAGGACAGCAATACTTCTGACTGAAGCAGGAAGTGCATTCAGGAAAGCATCCTCTGCAAATGGTCTGTACACTCGAACATTTAGCACACCAACCTTCGAGCCATCAGTAGCCAATTTCTCAGCAACCTGGCCCGCAAGCGAGCTCTCGACGCTCCCGAAGACAACCAATACAATTTCAGCATTGTTGTGTCCACGGTACTCGAAGAGGTTATAGGCAGTTCCGAGCTCGTTGTTGAATGCATTGAGCAATTGAGTGACCTTCGTTTCAGCATCTGCTCTCTTACTGAGCTTCTCAAGCTCCTTTAGCACATTGGTATATGCGCTGCTCAAGCCAGACTGGTTCAAGACGTCAATAACACGCAATGTGTCACGACCAACATTAACACCATCATATATGTGAATCGTAGGCAGAACGTTGGCCAATATAGTAGAGAAGAGGGACATATGCTGAGCTTCGTATGCAGAAGAGCTAGACACGAGTCCAAGTCCCAACTCCTCTGCCACAGTCAAAGCAGTGGCATAATCAGTGACCAATGCTCGAGAGGAGCCAGGAGCATAGTCAACCGCTGCAACGTGGGCCACGAATGGATTGGCGACAGAGTATAGGAGTGAAAGTTGGTCGAGGGCAGCACGCAGACTGTGCAAGCTTGACGAAGAGGCCAACAAAGACTGAGGAATATGTCTCTTGGTCAAATCGAAATCTTTAGAGAACATATATCCCAACGCAATTGCTCCCGCACCAGACCTCGTCTGCATGGGGGCGACTTGTGTAGTATAGCCATTGGCATTCTTGGAGTTCGAGGCAGCCCATTCCTTGACAGCAACATCCAAATCGAAGGACTCCGGTGAGTATGAGAAGATCTTATCGGAGAGGGCATATGCGACCTGTTGAATTAAGGTTTGAGCAGTGAGGTATGTTGGCCCGCTGATCGAGGTGTAATCAATCGGTTGGCAAAAAGGCAAGCTCGAGGACTTTTGAGGAAACTTTCGAAACGAGGAGGAATTATCGTCGGTATTCCAAATACTTGAGAGTACTTCGCCGCCTTTGGGAGACTGTATGGGTAAGTTTTTGGGAGCCATTGTGATTTTGAGGTGTAGGAAATTTTACCGTGCTTTTCAAAGGATATTTAATGTCTGTATCCGCTTTTCGCTTCAGAGCGTTAGTGGGAGAGTCCAAGTCCATCGGGTCCCCCATGTTTCAAAATGGATCTGCTAGGACAGCAGAGAACAGGGAAGGTGCAGGACGTTTGAAGTGAAAGTATGAATGAGATATTCAAGTCAAAGCGACTTGAATAGAGAGGTAATTGAGACGACTAGGAGAAATTTTGGGAATGCGGCAAAATTGTAGACTCCAAGACGGACTCATAGGCTGAAATTGACCTAGCTTTGATGGCGACATGAGGCTCAAATTCACCTTTCACCTACTTAAATTCGTTATTAGTCAGGTTGGAAGGTGGCTAGATCTGGCAATGCGAGATCTGGATGAAAGGGAAAGAGGTGAAGTGAAGTCTGCACGAGGAAGCACGCAATCTCATCCCTGTACAAAGATCCAACTAAGTGCTTTTAGCTCGTGTTTGTCGGTCCGGTCTCGGGGATAATTCGTTGTGGTGCTGATTGGTCAATCGAGCTTATGTTCTTTCATATGATTTGTTACATTGCAACCTCGAGGCTGACCCATCTTCCTATTGATGCAAGGCTGACGCTATTTTCTAACTCTCGTGGACCAGGAGACTTTCAAAATTCTAGATAGGATGGTCTTTAGGTCTATAAACATTAGTTGAATACGACTACACCTATGGTACTTGGATGGGTGAAATTGCTTCGTAAGTACTAACAATCCTAGTTTCTGGACACCTCGGTATGAACGGCCAAGCCGACGACATCAAAGCCAACAAAAAGTGAGGGCCCGTAGAACATTTGAAAGGCTGCTATCTAATTTTCAAAGACTTTCGGACATTGGTAAGTAATCAACATTCTGTTACTATTATGTCCGAAAAATTAGATCATGCCATAGTGTACGGACGCAAGGTCATTGCTTGCCCAAGCGAGTGAGGTAATGACGGCCGACAACTTGATAACATACATAAAGCGCGAATCTCTCTCATTTACCAGCATTGCTCTTCAAACATCACATCACATAATTGATTTTAAGAAATATCTGCGACGATGGCATCTACAGCAATAGTTGGTTCAACCGGCCTTGTGGTATGTATCTATTCCCTGATCCTCCGCAGTACACCACTAACCATCTCATCCAGGGCGCGAACATCCTCTCGACCCTTCTCACACTACCCTCTATCTCCTCCGTTCATTCAATTTCCCGCCGCGCCCCGTCCTCCACAGACCCAAAGCTCCACCCCCTCGTTTCCGCCGAAACCTCACAATGGTCCACCCAATTCTCGTCCATCACCCCACCACCCAGCATCCTCTTTTCCGCTCTCGGCACCACAAAAGGATTAGCAGGATCTGTTGAAGCACAAAGGAAAATAGACTACGATCTTAACCTCGCAATCGCTCAAGCAGCGAAGGCGGCTGGTGTGAAAGTCTACGTCCTGATTTCCACCGGCGGAGCAAATGCTAAGAGCTTTATCCCATACCCTAAGATGAAGGGAGAATTGGAGGAGAGTGTCAAGGAGTTAGGGTTCGAGCATACGATTATTCTACGACCGGGACTTCTGGTGGGAAACAGAAATGATAGTAGATTCGTCGAGGGTGTGTTCAGGAAAGTCGCTGGTGCAATGGGGAGCGTGGCAAATGTGTTGAAGGATGTCTGGGCTCAAGATGCCGATGTTGTGGGCAAAGCTGCCGTGGCTGCCGGTCTGCAGGCATTGGAGGGCGGGAAGCCCAAAGTTTGGGAGATTGGACAAGCGGAAATTATCAAATTGGGGAGAACGGAGTGGAAGGCTTGATTGGAGAGGGGCAGCATTTAATGTTTTCGTTTTCGATTTTTCATTATTTCGATACCCATAACTCCACTCATGCAGCTTATAATTCCATCCTATGCCTTCCCAGCTTTGTTAAGACTTCCTCCTCCACTCGACTTGTTCTTCTCGGCATTCTGAGCTCCTCCTTCCTGCTCTCCTCTTGGTTTTGAGACTTCTGGATTGGCTGGCGATACTTCTAGGGGATTTCCATCCTAAAATACAACTGTTAGTAGAAGTGCAGTAGTTGATACAAAGGATCGTTATACCTCTCCTTCTCCAGCCACTTTCTTTTCTTGTTTTGGATCAGTCGTATTTGGGTCGAAAGCAGCTTCTTCTTGCTTTGCAGATGCGTCGTCTGTTCCTGACTTAGAATATTCTGTTGCTTCGGTGTTGATGCTGTCTTTATCCTCACTTCCCTTCCGCGGATATGCTGCTAAAGTGGTTCGAGAGAATGGACGAATTCCTTGGACTTGAGGTCTAATCGACCGAGCTTGAGTTCGGAGGCATTGTCTCGATGTGAGACGGAGAATGGAGGTTGGTGACATTGTGAGGTCTGGCCGGTAGCTTTCTGTAGCTGTTAGTAATTATTCCAAACCGACTTGAACTTTGACTTTGCAAATGAGCAAAAGCTGAACTTCTATCGGAGATGAACATTGATAACTTACAGAAATTCGATTATTTGAGACAAGTGTAAAACTAAAGCTTCAAGCCCCTTCTCCTCAATCACGAATATCAACATTCATTAATACCAGTACGTCATTGGCCCTACGATTGTGGCACGCTAAAAGTATGGCATTCCCAGAATACCCGCGAAACCGGGCTTCTAAAATCAACCCCACATCACACAAAAGACCCTGGCGCAACCCCAACCCAACGACTGGGATATCGGGAACATTTCCTTTCCCCGCCGCTGGAAACCAACCCTCACTTACATCTTCAGCACGAAAAACCAACATTGAGGCTTCATCCAACGTCCGGCACTGGCTCCTGATAACGCAATCATCATCGGTTTTGGATTCTCGTGTTACCACACACGGTTGTCTTATTGTGTTATCGCGGGATATGGAGGGGGATGGAGGGGAGCTTGGAGACCTCGTGGACCACAAGGTAAGATAGGGCGGTTGTGATCGTGGTCACTTGTTAGGTTTTCGAGAGCTGTTTGAGTCATTTATAATGAGCTTTTCCTCTGTTCTTTCTTTTCTTTCCTCAAAAAAGCAAGTGCTGTACTAGTTTTTCTCTTTCCGGAATCAAGTCGAATCTTCAAAGCACAATATCAAAGCATTTCTTCTTCATTATGGATTCATTCACACTCTTCCCTCAACTACTTCCAGAACTCCGTCTTCTCATCTGGAAATACGCCTTGCTCCACCCCCGCCTCATCCTGATCTACAAACACGCAACAAGAACTACACCCCCTCACACCCACGTCCGCCGCACCGTCATCTCACCCCTCCTCTCCGCATCACGAGAATCCCGCCGCGAAGCTCTAAAACACTACATTCAACCCTCTCTCCTCCCTACCACCCCAACACTCTTCCCACCCCTCAACACCCAGCTCCCCTTCCCCGTCGGCCCAGGAACTGACATCCTCTACATCTCCGGCCACGACCGTCCGCCCCGCCGCCGCACACCCGTGACGTGGACACTCACACACCTGCTTTCCGAGTTAGATTCCTGCTCGCCTTCCTTCGCGCCAGTGAGGCATCTAGCTATCGACCTTGCTCTCTTGCTTTATACGCCCTTTAGCATCACGCCGAAATTCCACATCCCGTACGGGATCTGGAAATTCGTTATTTGTGATCTTAGGATACTGGAGACGTTGATCGTGGTGCGGAGTTGCGGGAATTGTGAGGAAGAGAAGTGGGGTGTTGATCAGGTAGAGGGCAAGTTGGAGCAGGCTAGGAGGAGGTTTCTTGATTTTTGGGAGGGCATGAGGGATGGGGATGATGAGGAGGGCGGTGTGGCGCAGGAGATTGAGAGGTTGAGCGGGTGGAAGATGCCTTTTGTTGAGGTCTTGGAGTTGGAGGAGTTGGTTGCCAGGTGTTGGGTTTGATGACTTCTTACTTCCTCAAACCTCTGTTGCCGTGTTTGGATTTAATCTAGGTTCCTTATTTTTTCTAGAATCAATCAAATGTCATCTCATAAAACCCCTTAACTGGACCTTCACCTCGCTTCTCACCCTTTTCCAACCATGATACACCTCGCTTAATATTCTCTAAAAATTATTCTCATCATAATCAAAAAGACAACAGACTAAAACACGGCTCACTAAAGCAAAACAATATTTCGTTGATGGAGGCGGCTGGACTCGAACCAACATCCACAATCGAAAATGGCCTTCACCCATTTCCTTCTCCCGTGGGGTCAAGAAGGCTCCAACCATTTCTTCTCATGAGCTTTACCATTTAGACTAAAGCCCCCTTTGATTTTTGATAATCGTAAAACCGCTTATTCCAGTTTGTAAGGTATACAAACATACATAATGAAACCAGCTTAAAAGTAAGGACGAGGAACGGACTTGTCAACACGGACCTTTGTTTATCAAGTGAAAATTGAGTGGATGGTCTTGTACACGACTTATGATAAATTTTGCTCTAATTCATTGCATTAATCTTGATATAACAGACATAATTTCGTTCCTGCCGTGGTCTATCATACAATCCGAACTCCATAATCCAGGAAAGCAAATCCCCTTTTGCACCAGTAAATCTACATGCATCTAATATCTTTGCCCCTCAGCGAAATTACCAACGCCTGCCATAGACAGGATTCTCCTTTGCAATTGAGCTAGAGGGTCTCATCATTGGTGGAGTGATCCGCCTCTCACTACCCTCTCTGCTGCTTGCCCCACTGCTGGTAGAGACCTCCTTCAAGATCCTAGGCTTCTTGCCCAAATCATACTTCTCATTGCCAGGATTTGGAGGTGCGTGCTCAGCATCTCGACGGAAGAGTTGCAAGATCTCCTTCATACCGAGCTTGCCAGCACCACCCTTGCCGCCTTCAATAGTCTGGTTGGCTAATTCACGCTTCTTTTCTTGGAGATCGAGAATGCGCTCTTCAACAGAGTTTTTGATAGTGATCTTGTAAACGATGACATCGATCTTCTGGGTAAGACGATGAACTCTGTCAATAGCCTGTTCCTCGACGAACTAAATATGTTAGTAGAATTCAACGATATTGGCAGGGACTTGCTTACAGGATTCCAGAATGGTTCGAGAATGACTACACGAGTAGCTGCGGTCAGATTCAATCCCAATGATCCGCATTTCAGACTACAAAGTAGTACTCTGCAGTTGGCATCGTTACGAAGCTTATTCAAGCTGGCTTCTCGAAGGTCGTTCTTCATCTTTCCATCGTATCTAGTGTACTTAAAACCTTTCTGACGAAGGAAAGGTTCGACAAGATCCAACATAGATGTAAATTGGGAGAAGACGATAAACTTATGTTGAGCAGCTTCTTTGTCCAAGATCTCCATCAGGTGCCTAATCTTTGTAGATGAGACCATAGTGGCTAGCTTTGATTCTTCAGATGAAGACTCAAATTCGTCTTCCACAGCTGAGTCCTCGTCTTCACTTCCAGTGTTACTATCGTCTTCGGAAGCTGATTCTGCATCCTCTGAGTCGGAATCTAGGGCAATGACTTTCTTCCCGCTGGTCTTCGATTTGTGTTGTCGGAGATTGTCGAGGGTAGGAAGCGTATCGTCATCATCTGAGTTGAGCCATTCTCCACCACCCTCAGCATTCTCATCATCAATACCGCCAGCTTTTCCCAACGTTAATGCTCCTCTCTGACCTTCAGGCACAACCCAAGACCCTTCTTGTTCTTCGCCCTCATCATCACTATCTTCGATGATGGCACGGTTTCTAAGCTTGCGTTGAATCTGCATCTTCGGCTTCTTTTCATGCTTCCGCTTCTTCTTCTCTTTACGGACCTTTTTCGGATTTGTGACTCTGTCAAGGTCTGCCTCGCAGTCCAAGCAACGAATACCGCCTTGGGCAATGACTTCATCACCAAGTTCAAGCTGACAAACCTCGCATTTCTTGGATGCCATGCCCATAGCCCCGAACATGTCTGCCATGTCATCGATATCGTTATTGGAAGCTTTAGAAGCCTTCTGCGTTGCGGTGGATTCGACTGCAAGAGCCTCACTGTCTTTTGCAAGTTTCCCACCAACGAGTTTCGGGTGATTACAAGCCTGTCGAAGTCGTAGCAACATGACCAACGCGCTTGCATAATTGACTTTACCACTCATCATCTGCTCGATGCTTGCATCGGTACGTGCCTCCAAACGAGCGTAGAAGTCACTTTCTTCGGGCGAAAACTCTGCGAAAACCTTTTCAATCCTGCGCTCGGTAATCTTGAATCCAGTCATGTTTCCTTCACCAGGTGCGGATGGTTTGCCACCAGGGTTCAAGGCACCTTCCTTTTTCAAAATGTCTTTGGTCCTACGTTTCATGAAGATTTTCAAGACGGCTCGTAGGCGCTGGATAGCGATGTCGCCTCTGCCATTTTTCATGGGACGATCAATCGCGTCTTTCCATTCCTTGAGATCGTTGTAAGGGCTGATGCGCAAGAATTTGATAAGACTTTGTAGTTCATCGAGGTTGTTCTGCATGGGTGTACCTGTCAGACACCACCGATATTGAGTTCGTAAGGCACAGCATGCCAATGAAGCTTTGGCATTGCGATTCTTGATAGTATGAGCCTCGTCAAGGATGACACGATACCAGTGAAGACCGAAACAACCAACTTTGAGGCCATCATCGTCAGTCGAAGAATTACCCCATTCAGAGACCAAGATTTGATAGGTAGTAACCACAACGTCATATTTCTTGAGGTCCTGGAAGCGCTTTGTGCGTGAGGGCCCATGATGGACACAAACTCGAAGAGAGTGGGAGCTCAGGACTTTGTCCTTGATCTCCAACTCCCACTGTCGGATGAGAGCCAATGGAGCGACAACCAGAGTTGTCTTTTCCACGCCAGAAGGAAGCTTTCGCTTAGCGATAAGAGCTTCGTCTGTTGGTTTGGGGTTGGTTAAGATCAGGGAGACGGACTGCAGGGTCTTGCCAAGTCCCATGTCGTCTGCAAGAATTCCTCCTTTTGGGACTCGTGCTCCTTTCTTGCCAGTTCCAAGCTCTCTACCTCGCATCCACTCTAATCCTTCAATCTGATGCGGCAGCAGCTTGACTTTGACACCTTCAACACTTCCGTCATCTTCTTCCTCTTCCTCATCTTCAGAGGCAACAGCTAGCTTCCCCTCTTCTTCTTCTTCTTCTCCATCATCGTCGACGTTGAACTTCTTAAACTTCTTGGCCAAATCATCAGCTTCGATTTGCTTCTTCTTCTTGCGAAGTCTGGTCCTGGGAACATCTTCATCGTCTTCAATGACTCCTTCCAATAGAGCCTTCAAGTCCTCTTCTGCCTTCTTAGGGTCCACAAAGGTATAAGGATCTGGTACTGGATCCCGGTAACCGTTCATAGTGAGATCAACGTAGTTGTAACCTTTATAAGTGGGCCCGCTATTGACAGTATTGAATCCGCCATATGTGCTTCCCATCGAACCATACATTTGAGCAGGTGCAGCTGCAGTAGTTGTATATGAAGTAGCTTGGGGGACAGGAGCTCTGACGGGTTGGTTGTACTCGGCGGGTGCTCTGGGCATCAATGGCTGCATGATCTTGCGGGTAGCATCCTTCATAGCTTGAAGATTGGGATGAGCTATATAACGTTAGTCTCTGTTCTTGGCAGAGTGCAAGGGATTTACTAACCTGGACGATCTGCATCTCTATGGAGTTCTGGTCGGGTTGTTGGCTGAATGAACATAGAAGACTGCTTCGAAGGGCCTCGGTTGAGCGGCGAGTGAGGTATAGTTGGTTGACCAAACTGCGGCACACTAGAAGGGGGCGGCCTGGACGAAAATAAATCTGGCTGTGGCAAAGGTTTGGACGAGCCATCTGATTGACTCTGGGGCTGCTCGTTGGGGGCAACAGGCCGTAGAGGTGCCTTTGCGGGCGATCTTTCGTTTACCATCTTGTTGGATTTGATACGAGATTCTCGTGAAGCTTTGTCCGCGGAAACACCAAAGACAAACGGTATCGGGGATTGTGTATTTGTAGGTCTGGTTGTACCACCTAAGTCGAAGGACGCGGTGGTATTGTAAGAGAAGAGGGAGCTCGAGTCACCGAAGTCGCTAAGTGATATGCTGTTCGTAGAATCGGTAGTCGCAAATATTGTCTGGGCTGGAAGCTCTGAAGGGCTGGTTGTCCTCGCAGATACTCCAAGCTGTTGGGCAGGCCGCTTATTTTGGGATTTGTCCCTTCGATGATTGAAGGTTGGGCGATTTGTTGATGTTAAGGTATTATGAGTGGTAAAAGTACCTCTGTTGAAAGGTTAGCAAGTATTATTTTCTCTTCACATTCTGCATATTTACTTCATGGATATGTCTGCTCCCTCTAATGTTAGTTGCGACAAGAAGGAGTTGTTTGTTGCGGTGTTGTAAAATTATCTGATGCTGATCCAGGATAATCGCGGTAAACTAGGAAAGCGCGACCTTGTCGTCATAGGCAACGATCCCAATCAGGAAACCACTTTACGCGCTCCGTGGCTTGAAGGTTCACCATTCTCAAAAGTTATGTTTTCAAATATTATAGTATTGCAATGTAGCTACCAGCACGCAATCTTGGAATTCTGTGGGTATCGTAAACTCCTAAAATGCAAAAGTTGCGCCTCAGGAGATGCCATCAACTCCATAATCATACACTCATGCCCCAGCCTTCCCTTATTGCTTAGGTACGGTTCCTCACGAGCGTGACTTGCTCTTCTCTCGTGTAAGCTTCTTTCCTCCCTTCGTCTCAAACAAGCTTTTGACTCTTCTCAACCTCGCCCATCTTTGCTTGTCCTCCTCATCCCTGATACTCATCGCATCTTCATCCCCGACATCCGTACCAAGAGCGCTGTCCGTCTCGATAGCATTCTCCGTGACAGAGTGCCTGATCTTTCCCAAAGGCGACTCTCGTCTAGATCTCAGCAGATGATCGTTGTGAAGGATCCGTAAGATAATCCCCCACCCTGCCATTCCAGTCGTCGATGTCTTGACAGGTCCCTTGCCATTCTGAGAGATGGCATTTTGCCATGGGCAATACTCTCGATGCTCTTTGACAACATCTAGGCAGCTCATAGTTGGCCCGACGACTTCTTCACCAGCCGCATTGACTTCCTTGCTCTTGAATATCCACAGTCCTAGAACCCTGAAGCAAGCGTGGCAAGAAACAGATCCCATTTGAGCACCCAAACGATCATGTGTGTGGCCTTGCCATCCAAATAATGCCATCAGTAAAGCCACTTTGTTGACATCTGCCGGCGGAAGACTCGCGTCTGGTGTGGCATCTGTGGGAGACGAGAAGAAATTTGGCGGAAGATTTGCAAGAACAACATCCAGATCAAATCCTTGGGGTGTACGCATATTGAACTTGTAAGGCAGGTTTTCACTTCTCTTACAGATTTCATCGTATCGCTCTCGGAGGTTTCGGAAAGTAGTTCCTGTATGATTGAGTGGCAATTTGAATATAGAGTCTGTATCGGACAGTCAGTAATTGTAACAGGATCTGGACGATCGACTCACCGTCACAACCCCTCTTTCTCCATAAACAGCCCTCGTCGTGCGAAGACACAATGAGCTCGACGTACTTATCTACCAAGGCTTCCTCTACACAAGAGTCAGCATCTTCTTCAAGACTGCTAGACTTCAACGCACCAATCTTCTCAGCAATGTAAACTGGCTGCTCTTTCCCTTCCACTTCCTTGCGGTTGAGCTTCACCAAGATCTCCACATTGCACAGGCAGCATCGCACCCTTTCAAGCTTCTGGCAAACCCATCCACGCTTCGCCCATTCAACTTCGTTCACTCGAGCCGGCTTCGGTGTCCAGTCTGTTAGGTTCGAAAATGACTTCAACCGCTTGAGAAATGCTTCGCGATCCCAGGGAGCATATTTGGGAGGCTCAGTAGCCGCTGCTGTTGTCGATAAAGCGGCCTTTTTGTGCTTCATGGTTGCTAATGGTTTTCGTGTAGCTGACGGCATGTCGATTGAACTTGTGATTGAACTCCTATCGCTAACTCGTCGCTTCTTCGTCTGGGAGTCTCCGTTGTTGTCTGGGACATTGTTTACTTCTTTGGAAGCCAACGTAGTTGTCGATTTATTTCCGATCCCATTTATCAAAGCGTTGAACTTTCTCTTGGTGGCGTTCATGACTGAAATACCGGGGCTCTTTAAGTTTCATGGATAATTTCAAAAACGGAGAAAGTTGGTTTGTAGGCTGTAAGAAAGGAATGCATCAATATTTCAGTGCTGAAGCATGCGACAACGAACTTTCAGAAGTAGTCCGTGCCGATCCTTGTCACCGCCTGGCAAAATCCAGGATCCCTGAACAGATTCCGGCAGAAAGTCGTCAGCTTGTAACGAATCACCGGTGCCGGTAGCAAGTTTTGAAGAATGCCATTAAATCTTCTCCCAGATGCAACAAACATCTAAGTCACGGTCTTCCAGTTTCATATCACGTCGGATACTACTCGTTTCTTTCTTAATTGTGACGCTGGCTGCCTTTATCAGATTTCTACCCCGCCTGACTCTCCTCTCTCATCATCTTGCCCCACCAACGAAAGCTTTCTTCACGACCACGAGAATGGCTTCCTACAGCAAGGAGTTGGAAGTTGCACAACTCGCTGTTCAGAGAGCTGCCATTTTGACCAAGAAAGTCTTTCATGAAAAAGCCAAGGGTACAATTTCCAAAGATGATGCCTCACCAGTCACGATTGGAGACTTTGGAGCTCAAGCTCTTATTATCCATGCCGTCAAGAAGAACTTTCCCGAAGACCAAGTCGTTGGTGAGGAGGAAGCTAGTTCTTTGAGAGATAACCAAAAGCTACGTGATCAAATTTGGGCTTTGGTCAACGGAACAAAGCTCTCGGATTCGGAGGCAGAGAAAGTCCTTGGAGGTCCTATTGAAAGTATGGATGCCATGCTGGATGCTATCGATGCCGGAAACAGTGCTGGTGGAAACAAGGGAAGAATATGGGCCTTAGATCCCATCGACGGTACCAAGGGATTTCTTCGAGGAGGACAGTATGCCGTTTGTCTTGCTTTGATGGTGGATGGAGACGTCAAAGTTGGAGTATTGGGATGTCCAAATCTTCCAGTGGACGACTCGGCGCCATTAACAGCCGAGTCTGGAATCGATCAGACTGATGCCGAAGGAAAGGGTGTTTTGTTTTCTGCAGTCTCGGGTCATGGAGCTACAAGTAGGCCGCTTGGTATTGCTGGGCTGGGAAAGAGTCAACCAATTCAGATGAAGGAGGTGAAGGATCTTGGTCAAGCAACATTCTGTGAAAGCGTGGAGGCAGGCCACTCATCTCATGGGGATCAATTTGAAATTGCAAACAAGCTCGGCGTCACTAAGCCAAGTGTTCGTATGGACTCACAAGCCAAATACGGATCTATTGCTCGTGGAGCAGGTGATATCTACCTAAGATTACCTGTCCGGGCCGATTACCAGGAGAAGATTTGGGATCATGCTGCTGGTGATCTTATCGTTCGAGAGGCAGGTGGAGAGGTTACTGATACGTTGGGAAGACGGTTAGATTTCAGCAAAGGAAGAACTCTTGCTGAGAATAAAGGCGTAGTTGCAGCTCCAGTAGCAGTCCATGGACAAGTACTGTCAGCTGTAAAGGAGGTGTTGGCCGCCAAAAAGTAGAGTTTATAGACATTCAAGGAATTCGGACATGTCATTGAACGCCTAGATATGCTGTACATATGATACACATGAAGAGCATAATAGATCATTTGATCTTCTTTGCCTTCAACTTGATCGTCTCCCCATTGACAAAAATTCCCTTGCCCTTGTATGGTTCCGGCTTCCTCCACATCCTAATCTTAGCAGCAAATTGTAGAAGGACCTCCTTCTCACAGCCCTCGAGCAAGATTCTGGTTGGCTGAGGAGTGCTGGCTTTGACACCTTGGGGTATTGGCATCTCAATTGGGTGAGAATATCCAACTTTCAACACAACAAACTTCTGTCCCTCAAATTCAGGCTCAACTGTCGTAGCAGTGTTTTCTACTGTAGCTCTGTATCCAACCCCAACTAGACGTAGAATTGCTGTGTGTCCTTCTGAGACGCCTAGGATATGATTGTGGAGGTATGCACGAGTAGTTCCTGGCTAGGTTAGCATATATGTTGTGCGGGTGCTTCAATTTTCCCTACCCCACATCTCCCGCTGCTTCTTAAACTCTCTATCCTCAACTGATACATATGCCTTTCGTTGTGCCGTATCATAATCTATTTTGACAAAAGGAGCAATAGTCATAGACATCTTGCCTACTAATATGTCAGTAAATGTCCTCTGTGTGCTTAGACTTCGTAGTACCTAGAGGGCCTTCAATCTCGACCGTCGGCCGAGTAGCCAGAGGTGAAGCACGGCCATTCTTTCGCACAGGAGGAGGCAGGATGTTGAAGTTAACTTCTGGAGGTATCGACAATGGTGCTCGTCCGATTTGCGATGTTCGGCATGTCGAGGCAGAAAAAGATCGCGATGACCGCACAGGGAACCCTGGAAGTAAGAATTCGGGAATAGGAGCTGTCGGGGCAGAGGCAATTGCCCTTTCTAGCCCTTTAGACCGCGCTGTGGACAGCATTCTCTTGATGATATCTGTTTTGATTTCGCAGTATTATTTTCTGAAGCTCCATTTCGGATTTAGCTCGCTTACGTGATCAACACGGCCCAAAACATCCTCTTCAGCTTTCCCGTCGTTGTACATGCTCTCTTCTTTATCAACATGATATTCAAGCTCTTCTCATGTATGTACGTGGATGCTGACACTTTATCAGTCAACTATGCACCTACTGGTAGCCAGCTTATGGTCGAGGTGCCACGTTTGAATGTCGCTGCTTTCAGAAGAACATGAAGGGGAGGAGAACGTCTGTATGGATTAAGAGACAAGCAAGGTGCCTATAAGTATCAAGAAACAATGGTTACATGCGGCAGGTACGGTAATTATCTTGTAGATACTTCGAAATCCGCTGCTATTCATTGTCGAGTCAGATTGGCAACCCATGCTCTCAAATATTGGCAAACAGTTATCAGAATCACAAACTCAAGCCTGCAATCTTCTGCATAAAGCCCCTTCTAGTCATGTTCAGATTTACTTCTCAATACTACGTTTAAGGTGATGTATGTTCAATGTCGATGTCGATGCGTTCTTGGGGAGGGATTCTGAAGTGTCGCGTCTCATCCCATGCTTAACGTCCCTCCTTTTCAATCTCGGATACATCTCTCGTACCACAAATCAGTGCGAGTCCTCGCATCTCAGAAGCGAACGCAAGGCCGAGAAAAGTTGAGTAGGTATTCGAGTTTAGATCTTTCCTCTCGGATTCAATATCTCCAATCCTCTTTCCTTCCGCAACAAACCCAACCTTCCACGACAACCTTCCACGACAACCTTCATACCTTCCGACCTCAGAACAATCTTCCCTTAAGTCAGCGAAAAGAAAATCCTTCGCGATACAACTTCTTCTCCCACGCAATATCAAGGATTCTAAGGTCAACGTTTAGGTTGACGTTGAACCTCAACCTCTCACCTTCCATGCTCCCACCTGACAAATAAGTTCTCACAGCATGTCCATGCCCCTCAATCACCCCCACAATTCCTAACTTTACTCAAGATTGTTACCTCAACGCCGTCAAACATGAAGTTCTCACAAGTCCTCGTCCTGGCGTCATTGCCTGTCAATGCTTTGTCCTCTCCATCCAACTGGTTTAGAGGCGTGGCACAGCCTGACCTGATATCTGAAGGTGAGCTATTTTTTCCAGTTGAAGGAGGGTTAAGCTAACCCGCCAGATGTGAATGCACCAATTGAGTCGCCAATCGAACAGTCTTCAAGATTCAAGCCCAGCGAATTACTCGATTTCAGCGCTCGCAAGCCAGAAGCTTATACCAACGCAATAGTGGTGCTGAAGAACTTGGAGCAGAAACCAATTTGCCATCGTACGGCTGCCCAATTACTTATGGACAACTGCCATGGAATTGAGGAAAATGACGCGTCCAGTGATCAGTGGGGTAGTGCTCACATCCAAAGACATCATGTGGAGAGCTTCGCAAACGGTCTTACCATGTGTGATATGGAGCGTGCCAGATTCGTGACACCAGAAGCTTGCAGCCCGTTTGGAAGCTCGGCCCTCTGTCGTGCTTCTCGTGATAAGCATAGCCAACTAGGGATCACCCAAGCACAAGTTACGGATTGTTTGGAGGCTCTTGGGGGAGATGAAAGATCTTGGAGCACATGGCTCAGCAATCGTGACAAAGCTGTCACCATCTGCCGAGCTGCACGTCTTGACATTGAGAAAGGTAAGTCCAAAGTCATGATATCCGTGTAAGAAAATTCTGACATTTCGCTAGACCAGGCAATTCTCGTGCATAAGCAACTTGTCGAACTTATGCAACAATTCACGAGTGGCGTGGACGATGATTTGACGAGACTGAGAGAGCATCTCAAGGCCAGCTCACGATTCGCCAAATCCTTCGTTGATGATTTGACAAATCAAGCCGAAAACGGGAAGGCCAAGTTAAACAGCGCTTTCGAAACCGTATCGGAAGATATCAAGGTTAATTTACTACTTTCCAATTCTTCTAATAAAAAAGTGCTAACGAATCACAGGGCGTTGATTCGGTCGTCAAGTCCATTCTCAGTAGTGGCACGGACGTTCTTCATATGTTCAAGCTTTCAATGCAGACGGTCCTCCAAGGAAACGCAGAAATGGCATCAGAGCAAGAGCAGGCTCTCGCCGTAGCCACTGATGCATTCCAACAGCGCGTGGGAGGTATCAACAACGCTGTTGGACAGACGGAAGCAAGTGTCTTGGTGATCCAAGATGCCTTGGTGAGCTTTTCAGACTCATCATTGGAAAATTGTCGCTGACATTTAGTAGCAGCAACTTGTGCCCATGGTGGTAGCATTACACGAACGCCAGAATGCGCTTGAAGAAGTAAGTAATCAATTTCTTTGCTCAGGACATCACTAATACAAATCTATAGAAAGCACAATCTGCCCTTTCAGCTGTGATGAACGCTACCGAACTCCTCCAGAGCCACACGCAGCACTTGCAGCAAGCCAGTATCAAGGCTTCAGGCATCAACGATGATTTAGACAAAGCTGTGGCTATTGCACAGACTTGGCAAGAAAATCTAAGGGTCTCCGGCTCAATGCCCGACTGGGTCTTCCGAGCAGGGACTCCCATGGCTGCCCTTAGTCTCGGGAATTTTGGCATTGCGCGGTCCACAGGGGGCAATATTGGGCTGGCTGGTGCTGGTAAGTCTCAGAATTATGGACCAACACGTCAAGACGGCTAACAAATCTAGGCTTTGTGGTCGGTGAATCTTTGGTGGTACTACGACATGTGCAGTGGCCAAACCTGTTCAACTTGTGCACCATGAATCTCTTCAGGACCTCAAGCTCTCAACCCCAACAGCAAGTTAACATGTCATCGCTGCCTCCCAAAGCACTTTCAGAGATGAGCCCTTCCTCATCCTCGACATATCAAACAAACACTGACGAGGTTCACATCGACATGGTGTAATCAAGAATCCGACTATAACCACTACACATCAATCACTCACCTAACTCCGACCTAAAAAAAAAAAGGACCTACATCAAAGATATACAGCCCATACATACACAACAATATTGCTATTTACAACGGCTTTGCTATGAATTAATGTTACGAATGATTAACACAATCAAATTACGACGACGAGGAACTGGACAGGGGTTTGGAGGATGTCCAGCAAGCAAGCACGAGATGGAGGTGGATTACTATGTTATTACGAGGGGCGTCGGGGTGCTTTTGCTGATAAAATGAAGATGATTGACAGACAATCAATCTATCGTTGGCTAGAAAGCAGTAACCAATGGAGACCGTGAATACTGGACAACTCTTTCGCTGAGTAAATAGTGAATAGGTGATTTATCGTGAGCTAATATCCGGGGACATCCGATGCGATAGGACCGAAATCTTGAGACCATCTTTTTCTCGTTGCTGTATCTAGGTTTTTATTCCCAAGCAAGATTGTTTGCGCAAGGGAAGGTGGAAAATAATGGCGATGAGATGACATTGCCTGAACTCCGCTGATGAACCGAATCTATTACTTGGTAAGAAAAGGGCGAGACGAGTGAGTAGCACGAAGCGAAACTCTGCTTTTAGGGGGGCCCTGACTTTCACATTGTACGCAGTCAATAATTAAGATTTACCACTAATGACGACAAATCACTAGTAAGATCACACACAATCAGTAATAACATCACAGAGAGAGGATTCCATCGACATTCCATGCATACTAGTGTCGCACTCCATCATACAAAAAGAAAAACACCCAACCAAAAAACAACGGCTTCACAAACAGATCTCAAATCCATCGTCCACCTAGAAACCACTCTTGATTACACTAAGTACAGAAGAGTGGCATAGAAACAAGCGCAAGTTCAGGCAAAGGGGTATAGGTTGGGGGTATCGTATGACGATTTTTTCTGTCTGAGCAAATGGTGAACCGAGAAAGGAAAAGAGAAGGCCGCTGGCTGTTAAAGGTGAAGAATGTCGTTGCCTTGGGAACAATGGTGTTTTATTGGTGTAGAAAATGGTTACACAGCAACGGCGGAGGAAGAGGTTTCTGTGATCGATTCGAGAGACCTTTGTTTTTGTCAGTGACGCGACTGTATTCTCGGGCAATGGTAAATACCTTAGGTTATCCTGCCGCAAATCCTCATTCATTTGGTCCAATTGCTGCAGGGTGACACTAGCTTTCGCTAACTATATTCCAAGAACTATTAGTTTTGATTCTCTTTTCGGGCTGTGAACGGGATGCTTTAACAGATGGGGTACACAAAAGAGACAGCTCTGAAGAAATGCAAGATTGAGCATTATGAAAGGGTTGTCGGACCGATGCTAATGCGGCTGATGAACTGTCGTGCTCACCTTCTGCCACTTCTGGGACGGGTGCTGTGGCAGCTTCACCCGATTCTGATTCATCGGCATATTTGCTGGCAGCTAAACCAGACACTTTGCTCTCAGCTGGGGGTGCTGCCTTTGTCTATTATCATCTATTAGTCTTCGGCAGCCGAATGGAGAATTAGGGGCCTACTTTTGCTTCCGCAAGCTCTGCATCCTTGACCTTGAGATGAGCCTCTGCTTCTTTCAGACGAGCTTCAGCGTCCTCGGCTTTCTTATTGGCTTCTTCGACAAGCTGTGTCAAAGACTCGTGCATATCCTTGTAATCAGACTCGCTCTCGGCTTTCTGTCGGTCGAGCTCAGCTTTAGCAGTTTGTAATGCCGATTTGGTGGCCAGATGCTCCTCTGTAGCTTTGGCAGATTCTTGCTGGGCTGTCATGAGGGAAGCTTGATGCTGTGTCTTCAAGGTCTGCAATTCCTCACGAAGAGCATCCACTTCAGATGTATCTGGTTTCTTGTTCAATGCGGTCTCTAGTTCAGCCTGCGCAGTAGCCTTGGCCATCTTCTCATGTGCAAGGTCTTGCTTTAGGCCTTCAAGCTCCGTCTGTGCTTCAGTCAAAGCAGCATTGGCCTTTGCAATCTCGGCTTGAAGACCAGTTTCAGTTGCCTAGTAACGTGTTAGCTCATATTCACTTGGGGCCATGGATGACCAGGCAGTGTAGGTCATTAGGGGGACATCGCTTACTTGAACTTTCTCAGCGTTAAGGAGAGCCGCAGCCACGGCCTCAGAGTGATCAGATTTCAGCTTGGCAATAGCTTCGGCGTGGTTAGCTTGTAATTGTTCAAGCTCCGATGCATGTGCAGCATGACCTGCAGTAATTGCCCGATCGTGAGCTTCGTCCAAGTTCTTGGCGTGCGTTGACTTCAACTCTTCAAGAGCATTTTGGTGAGCTACTTCCTTCTCATCAAGGGCGGCAGTCGCAATAGCGAGATCTTGCTTCAGTTGTGCAATCTCTTTGATCTGGCCTTCCAGAGTAGCTGTATGTGATCCCATCAGCTCCTCGTGAGTTGCCTTGAGGGTGGCAAGCTGCTGTGCATGAGTAGATGCTGCATCATTGTGAGTCTTGGTAAGCTCATCATGTGCAGCTTTCAATGCTTCAATTTCCTTTGCACTCGTGCTCAGCGCATCTTCGTGAGACTTTATCAGCTCTGCTTGTGCAGACTTGAGCGTTTCGAGATCCTTAGCACTTGAGGCGCTGGAATCTCCATGAGACTTGACCAACTCTTCGTTCGTTGCCTTAAGAGCTGCTAATTCTTGAGCTTGAGCGGCTGCTGTATCGCTATGCGCCTTGAGAAGTTGCTCATGCTTAGTCGTGAGGCCTTCGATCTCGCTAGCATGAGTTGATGTAGCTTCACTGAGGGACTGGACAAGCTCTTCGTGCTTGACTTTCAAAGCCTCGTACTCTTCTCTAATGCCCGAGTTGCCTTGCAGGGAGTCAATCTCTGCTTCGTAATCCTGAGAGATAGTCTTGAGTTCCTTTTGATGCTTCTCTTGCAAGAGGTCGATCTCCTTGGCTTTATCTTCAAGATGCTTCTCAGTCGTTGCGAGCTCATTCTTAATTTTGCTGTGCATTTCATCCTTGCTCTTGCTTTCAGCATCGAAAGTATCCATCATCTGCTGTAATGAAGCAATTTCTTGCCTAGTTGATGCTAATTCAGTCTGGGCAGCAGCGGCGGCTTCCTCATCTCCTGCATTCTTGGCTTCCAAAGCTGCAACCTTCTTCTGCAAAACGTCGTATCCCTCATTAGCTGAAGACAATTGTTGCTGAGCAGATTCTGTCTGGGCTAGTAGGTCCTCGATCTCCTTCGACGATTTGGCCAACGCCTCTGAATCAGTCTCGGCTTTTGCCTTCAGGTTGGCAATTTCCTCCTCGAGCTTTGATAAAGCGGTTGCAGAGTCCGCCGACTGAGCATCGTATTTCTCCTTGTGACTGGCTTCTAAAGCAGCTTGAGCGGCGATCGCCTCGTCAAGGCGAGTTTGAAGGTCACTAGCGGTAGACTCGTGCTTTTGGGTGAGTTCTGCTATCTGGTTCTCATATACAGAGGTGGCATCTGTGTTTCCCTTAGCAAGCTCTGCCGCATGAGCTGTCTTTAAAGAAGAAAGTGTCGATTCGTGTTCCTCGGCTAATGATTTCTGCAAGTCCTCAAGTGTTGATTGGTGATCGGCTTGTAAAGCTTCCAGCTTTTGATTGTCCTCGGCGATTTGGGACTTCAAGGATGCAATCTCAGTCTCTTTCTCAGATGTTCCTGATAACGTAAGAGTATGGGCCTCCTTGGCTTGAGCTAATTCAGCGCTTAATGCTTCGAGCGCAGAGGTATGCTCGCTCTTGAGCTTCTCAAGTGCTTCTGCTATCTCCGATGCACCCTTTGCTGATGCTGCTTGTTGTGCTTCTTCAATTGCTCTCAGAGATGACTCTGACGCTAATGTCTTAGCTGTCTCGGCCTCTGCTAATCGAGCTTGTAATTCCTCGATATCCGCTTTGTGCTGTGCGCGAAGCTTTTCGATCATCTGGTCGTGCTCCGTCTTGATGTTTGTCTCGGCTTCGGATACTTTCTTCGCTTCCTCTTCAACCTGCTTGCCAAGTTCCAGGAGTTTCTCTTGAGAAGCAGTAATTTCACTCTTCAGCTCCTCAACCCGAATCTCGCTGTCTGCCAATTTGGCCTTGAGCTCTTCGACCTCCTTAGATGGAGTGGTAGCATGACTAGCGAGTCGAGGTGCTACAGGTTTCGTTGTGCTGGGCGAACCAGCAATGGTTGAAAGACGCTTCTTGGCTTCAGCAACTGCACTGGTTGGGACAGGCTTTGACATCGGGACAGATCTGCTAGCTGTCGTGCTCGCAGATGGAGTAGGTCTTGTTGTGGTGCTGCTCGACAGAGGCTTGGAGACGGGCTTCGGAGTTGCTGAGCTTATAGAAGTAGCGGGTTTCCGGGTAGCAGAGGGAGCAGCACTTGTCCTCTTTTCTGCAGCAGTTTCTGCATGCTTGGCTGGAGATCCATGTGCTCCAGTTGGGGCCAAAGAGGTTCTTCGCGGTGCGGTGCCGAGAGTCTTCTTTTTCTCGTCGCCGGAACCAAGTGAAGCTTGAGAAGCTTGAGATCTATGGCCAGCACTGGCAGAAGTAGGAGCAGTTGCACTGCTCGGTGGCTTCCGAACTGAAGATCCAAGTGGCGCACGTGTAGGGGGCTTTGAAAGCCCTCCAGTCGTAGTTCGAGTAGCGCTTGAGGCCGTAGGTTTTGTTGCAGTCGATGAGACTCCTGGTCGGATTCCCCGCTTGGGAGGAACATTCTCCTTCTTCAGCCCATTTGTCCCCTCCTTCACTGGTGCCTCTTTCTCCGTCTCCGTCTCCGCCTCAACTTCAGAGGTTATTCCAGTAGTATCATCTGCCGATGGAGCATCGCTGGGAACATCCTCTTGGTGGGGGATTTCGGGTGCTGCGACATCAGCCATGTTGGCAATCGTTGAAGATGGAAGATGTAATTTGGTGATGCGAGGATCCTGAATTGACTATACCAAGATAGAATCCCGTTAGCTCTGTCTCAATAAGAATCGATTTGAAACCAGCTTCAGCGATCCACCAAGAAGAAGGATGCGATCAGCCTAACCAACCAGCTGCGACACGTCACACTCACTCAATGGATGGCGCTCGTTCGAGATTCACCGCAACGCAATGCAGGTAAAGATCTTCCCGGCAAGCAGATGACTGTAAAAGTCGGTAGAGGAGCCAGATACGCACAACGTGTTTCTTCGTCCTGGCCTTGCAGTGCCGGTATTCTTCTGTACACCGCCCAAGCTCTCAAGTGGATGGATACGCGACTTTCTGCGATAACTTCCCAGCGCGAATCGCGTAGCTAATTTCAGGGGTCTTGCTTGTTACGGGAAGCTGTTCTCTGGTCTGAAAGGTATCAGATGCAACAAACGGTGGTTCCGAGGAGTCAACAGGATCAATGCTGTTCGAGCTGAGCCAGCAAAAAGAGAGCTGTGCGACTGAAGGAGATATATTTCCCATCAGGGGATTATTTTTGGGAGCTTTGGTTCAAAGCGCCGCTCATGTGGTTAGCCCGAAGCTAAATGCAGGGTCGCGATGGCCAATCATTGCATGAGAATCACGCTCAGAACTCTTCTTGCATCGTTGACAATCAATTCGAGGGAGCACAACAGGTTTTGACAGCGAGTACAAGCGGCTCAATGGGACTCCGTATTGGTGATACACAAGACAAGACCCTCGATCTGTTCAGTGACAATCGATTGTCCAATGCCGATTGCGCGAGGCAAGTACACACTGCAGGGCTGTTACATGTAGCGTGAAGAGCATTGAAAGATGAAAAAAGCTTTTTGATATCTTCGCCTTACTTTATTCGGAGTTTGTGGTTGGCTGCATTCATGTATACAACGCCAAGAACGATGTTGCATCAATAAATATGCGATGCCCCCCTTTGTATTTGGAGAGTTTCAGTTTCTTCTATAGTGTAGATCGTATGAAAACGGCTTGTTATTATTGTGGGACCAGCTTACCATCACTACGGTTCATCAACTCTTGTGGAGCGGTGATCAAACCTTTCTTTCAAAAGGCAACTTCGGTCTCACAAATACGTTCTTGCTGTGGCTTCAATTCTTGCTTAGTCCTCGAAGGTTTCAAGTCTTCACGAAATGAATCCTCTGTATTGTTAGTAGTGCTCAATTGTCCTTTATAATCCGAAAATTCAATTGATGGTGCCTTGGCAAGTATATGGCTATAAAGCTAATACCAAAATGGCATTTGATATGTAAACAAGCATGAAATAAATTTGGCTCTAGTATGCAACGAATCCAAAAGACTCCCCTAGCTACTGCCAATAATCTCATTCAGAATCGCGAGCCGGGGTTGCAATTGGATAATTGGCAGCGGCCACATGAGCTCCCCCAACGGTCATGCTTTCGCACAAGTTGAATTGCAAGTTTCCACCGCAAGTCTCAACCGGGGAACCGACTTTGTTGCCCGCACAAGTCACTGTACATGCAGCTGTTCCAACCAAAGAGGTGAGAGTTGGTACTGCCGTTGCGCCAAAACATGTCTGACCATTCTCCAGCCCAATGTAGAGATATTTGACAGGTGTCTTGGCAGTTACTTGGGCGGCAGCAGCTGAAATACAAGCTTCAACATTCATTGTATTGCCGTTGGTGATGGCCGTCAATAAATGATTTCTTGCATCTTGGAAGCAACCTACGGATGCCCAGGTTCCTGATGGTTGAATTGATGATGTGCGAGTTGAAGCTACGGTCAACAATGTCGACCTGGTGGGGCTAGAGCTAGCGCTCGAGAGCTTAGAGGATGAGGAGGTGGTGGTTTTAGCAGACGTAGAAACGATAGTTGAGGACGTCCTGGATGAGCCGCTGGAGCTGATCACTATCGGAGTGCTGGACAATTTTGAAACTGACGAGCTTGAGGACGTTTTGGAGGAGCCGCTGTAGCTGATTACTAACGGAGTGCTGCTCATTTTGGTTACTGACAAGCTTGAGGATGTTATCAAAGTCGACAAAACTACAGACTTTGTCGACGACGACGAAGATCCAATTATTATTACAGATGAAGAATATGACAAGGGCTTGATCGAGGACGTCGAAACGACAAGCTTGACTGAGGATGATGAAGATGGCATCAGAGTCGATGAAACACTAGGCTTGATCGAGGATGATGAAAATCCGAGTAGTGACACAGAAGGCGAAGATGGCATCAAAGTCGATGAAACAACTGGTAAGTTTGAGGAGGATGAAGCTCCAACCGTTATTAAAGTCGACGTAAGAACAGGTTCAATCGAAGAGGATGAAGTTCCGGGGCTCATTGAAAATGCTGAAGATGTTATCGAGGTCGATGGAACGATAAGTATGCTTGAGGACGAAGATCCTACTACAGTAGCTGCAGGCGAAGACTGGATCGAAGCTGATGATACGACGGGCTTTGCGCTTGAGGATAAAGATGGCGTGGGGCTTGGAATGACCAGAGAGGATGAAGACGAGGATAACAATAGGGAGGATGTTTGGATGACCAAAGATGAGGAGGACATTGACAGATATGGCAAGCTGGTCGAGACGACGAATACTAATGATGACGAGGATAGATATGGCGTGAGTGGGAGCGTGGTAGACGAGACAGGAGACGGTGTTGGGCCAGGAATGAGGTAGTAGAGATTGAGTCTATTTGGTCCTCCACAAGCCTCTGACGAATTTCCAGCGCAATTCATGAAGCAGTCAGTGATGGCGGTAGCATTTACTCCTGCACTTAGAACGTTTCCGCAATAGCCTGTATTGTAAGCTGTGCTCAAGAACATCGCGGGTACTTCTTACATTCGTTCGAGTACTCTGTGCCAAAGTAAGTGTATCCGGCGCAAGCAGTGGCACATATATCGTTAGTCATATTGGCGTTCACTACTTCAAAGCTGGTTAAGGCTCTCTGGTAGTTAGATGCTTCGGTAACACAACCTAGAGATGTGTACGGACCGGCCATCTGAGGGATCTTTGGCGTTGGAGGTGGAGGCGGAACATATGGAGGAGCGATTGAGCTCAGGGATGAATATAGAGACATGCCATTGTGTGAACCGCACATCTCAGTAGGCAAACCACCGCAAGGAATGTTGCATTGGTCTGTGGTTGTCTCGACGGTCCCGGCAGCAAGTGTGTATCCGCACCAACACTTTGTAAAGTCAGAATAAGCCTGATCAATTACTTCCAAAACTCTTCAATCTGCGACTCTCAGTTCTGGACCTGCCCCAACACTCTCTTGAACGCCAGCTCGCCCAATTCTATGATTGTCCCCGGAAATCTAGGACAATCTCTATTGTGAAGAGTGAGAGCCGGAAGCGTCAGTCAATCACACGATTCCAAAGTGTCCAAAGGAAGTACTGTCCAGAACATGCAACAATTGTCGTATGCACCAAGGTAGGCTTTGCAAACCCCATTGGAAAATAAAGACAAAGATACATACCTCACGTCCATATTCAACGCCCCAGTATTGATACGTCCCCGCACAATTCGAAGAGCACATCTCCAGAGTCATGTTATCGGCGGCCACGACGAGGTAAGGCAGCATCCTTGCATTTGGAGGTTCGAGATAGCACCCAGCATAGTAATAGTTTCCTACTGGCGAAATGCTGGGAAGTGGAACGGAAGCTACTGATGAGGGTGGGAGATATGTTGACGACGAAACCGCTGCTGCTGCAGCTACACTGCTGGAACTGGATTGAGCGAATACGATAGGCAGTGATGCCAGAACGGCAAAAAGAGTGACCGATTTCATGGTTGCTGCTGCTTTTGTGCACTAAAAGGACTGTGGGGTACAACTCTGGGGGATCCGTAAAGAATGACAGGATCTTCCTGGAGCGTACTGATACTACCGAGTAGGATAAATCAAAGCAAAGAGAGGAGGAAAGAGTTTTAGTTGATGCCTTGGATAAGAGAAGGAGCCAAGCAATGATAAACACTAGTTTTGGAGGAACACGATACCTCTAATTGCGGTGGAACATGACATCCCGAAGTCTCAAAAAGTGTAATACTCGGAAGCTTTTCTTATCCGAAAATGGATGAACCAGAGGAGGCTTGTTCCTTGGAGAGTCCAGAATGTGGGGATATTTAACCTTAATCACCTTCGGGCGAGGGCGTGCTGAATGTAGCGCTGTTCGTGGTCTGAGACTGGGAGTTCTGGAGTAAAATTCCTTTTTTGATAACCATTTTGGTAGACGGATCAGGGGCATATGAACTACGGTGACATCTTCAACAGCAAGACAATAGCTAACATCCTGGGGGTCAAAGTACAATTCGAAGATAAGAACAAGAAGTCGAAAAGACTGTATTGTAGAGATGGTAGTAGCATAGTAGATGCCTGACATAAATTGTCATTGCCCTTCACTGAAGTCATATTATCTGAAATAGTCTCAGAATATAGACGTTCTCGGACAACGAGTTCGACGTAATCAAATGACAAGCTGAAACGTACATTATCAGTGAGATGATCGTCCTCGCTGGTAAATATCATGTGAGAAAAGGATCAATTGTAGACTAATTCAACGCAAGGGTATCAGGGTATCGTTTTGTCCATCAATAGGCACACATAAAGCCATTCCTTGATCCGTGCATCGTAAAGGGGGTATTTAGAGAAAGTAAAAGCTCCACCGCCAATGACGATCGCTCGAAGAACGAACGTATCAGATATCCTGTCCACTCCGACCTCAGAACTCCTGCCATTACTAACTCTCCTCTCCATTCATACTATAGTCGCAACGACGTAACAAAATGTTTATATTCGATGCGATAAGGGATGCAGGTGGGCGTATTTATGCGGCTGCGATTGGTGCCGGGGTAGCAGCAGGCTCTTCCTTCTTTGCCTCTTCGACTACGGGAGCGGGGGTGGAGTCGAGAGTAACTTGGTATCATTAGCTTTTAACGGAAAGTCGTTGTTGAAGCACCTACGAGTTTCCTCGGTCTTAGCAGGCTCCACCGCAGGCTTGACCTCTTCAGTGGCAGTAGTAGCAGGAGCTTCAGTGACTGGAGCGGCAGGTTCGGCAGCTTTAGTCTCGATTGCTATGTGTATCCAAGGTCAGCTCCAAGTAAGCAAATTGGTCACACGACACCACTTACGGGCAGCTACGGGAGCAGGCTCAGCGGCAGGAGGTGCAGTTTCCGTTGGAGCAGCGCCATTTGTGGATGTCTCTGCTGGCTTGGTCTCCGCAGGCTTATCTTCTGTCTTCTTCGACTTCTTGGAAAGGAGCTTCTTGAACTTCGCCTTGAGCTGTTTTGTTGTTAACGACTCGTCCGTCTATGGGTCTTAAACTTGCAAGACTGACCTCGGAAAGCGCGTTGGGAGCTAGTAGATATGTATGTCAGCAATTGTACTCGAGTATAAACAGTGTTGGGATTGAAGATGGTGGTGGCAGCTATCGAAGGCAGACTCCACGTTTGATAACCAGAGAAATGGGCTTGTGATGGAGGTTTGATGCAGGATAGAATAGAAGTGTACTTACGAACACCAGGCATTTTTGCAGATGCGATAGATAATTACTTTGGGATGAATTGAGAGATGGTGGTTCGATTGTGAATTGGTGGATGTTTGGGAAGAAGACTTGGAAAGAACGTCTTGGGGAGACCAAGATATTTGAAGGGTAGAACCTTGTCTATTTTAGGGTTAGTCCCACTTTTAATACATTCATTTATTGCATCTTATCTTGGATCATTTGCTTTCCACCAGCATCTAACAATAACAACAATGATGACCTCATGCTTAAATTCGGCATGGGATAAAGTCCCTAATCAATGCCAATCGATCAACTTACGAGTACCGTCACCTTCTTGTGAATCCGTAGACTGAGATCAGCTACAGTGCTCTGCTGTTGTCTGAATCGGTCATCTCCACAAATACAGCTGCTTGGCTGGCATACGAGTCAACGCGGGCAGCCGCATAAGTAGTAAGTACCCCGTGCATTGAAACGCCGTTTCACATAGAATTGGAGTTAGACTCGTGAAGCAAATAATAAAAATATTGCATACTCAGTTGTTGTTAAGACCTACTTGGGATCATGCTCGAAACCAGATGTTCATGCACGATCTTACTCGTTAGGTGTAACAATTCGAAGTTGACACCTATGCATTCGACGTCTCTGTGGTGCATTTCTTCGTACAGTGATCTAGATACTGAAAGACATGGGGACTGTTTACATTTTAACAGTCCGAAGGAACGCCACTAATGCAATCTAAGTACGGGACGACGCGTCCTTAACCACCAGACGCCCCGCTAAATGCTGCAAATGTACCTTGCTCTTCTCGCATTTCTCTTCTCCTTTTCAGTCCTTGGAAGGTTTTTGGTTAGCCCAAGGGGCTCTGGTCGGCCCATCAGACCACGGAGGTGGCATCGAAGCTCCTCCAGCAGTTCTACCACTACCTCCATCTGTTGCCCATGGGGCTCTCAATGGCGTCACCCCACTGCTAGGCTGACTTGTCGCGGGTCCCACTCTCCCCGCGGCCCACGGTGCTTTAGTCGCGTCCGAGCTTGAGGGAGTCGTTGAATTACGAGCAGAACTCGATCGAGAAGCTGGTTGACTAGCCATATGGACTGTCGTCGTGGCCTGTGTAGCCAAGGGATCTTGGTTCCAGGAGAACAAAGAGCCGAAAGGAAAATGCTGTACGACCTGAAAGTGATATTAGTACTGGGAGCTAGGATTGACTATGATTGAATATAAAAACAGAACTTACCGGAAACTTCGACAGCACTTCTGCATTATACATTTTTATCATGCCCTAATCACGGATTAGATCAACACTTTCTCTCTAGTTGCATGAACGAACCTTGTTTATTTTGCCCCAACCTGACGGTACCCCAGATATGTCGAACAACATGGGGCTGTGCTCCCAAAATGGACCAGTCTTGACATCGTTAATGAAGCCAACCGCTGAAAAGTACATGTTGTGCTTCCTTTCTCTATCTACGATATTCTTCTTCGTGATATCCCCTGGATTGGGAGTTCCTGAGAGAGACCCTTCAAGTGGCATAGCATCGCCATCTTTGATAGCGGGACTGTACTGAGATGAACCAAAAATGTAAGGTAAGAATGAATGATCATCTAATCCCCACACCCCGTGAGAACCAGCTGGCTCTAGCGTGTAAGTCAGGATGAGACGGCGGACCACTCTCAAGTATCTGAGATTATGTTAGCATCCTTCATTGAGCTGGGTGATCCAAGTGGACATACGGCTCGATAACACCAATGACAATACTTCGCTCCACATCACCATTGATTGAGACTTCCTTTGCGAAACCACCAAGCTTCCAGATGCAGCCCAGAAATGCAAGAAAACTAAGTTCATGACCTGTGCCATAGTCCAGCCTTTGAGCACTTCCAAACCCACCTAAAAGGTACGGGATAAGTTCATCCAGAACCGACACACCACCATCCAAGTTGGTGCTAAATTCTAGAACAGGCTTGGGTAGATGAGTTTCTAGTAGAGTCCGAACCCGCCCTTCTAGAAGTTCATACCACTTTCTGAAAGCGACGTTGCCAAATCTTCGGGGTCCAGTATCTGGTGGAGCTTCTTCGATGATGGAGTCTATGCTCTGGAGTAATGCCTGTAGCTTCCGCACTGGCTCGGAATGAGACATCGGCGAATCAAGGGCCCATGTTTGATTTCTATTGGAGACATCCGTCTTTCTGGGACATACAGCTATGTTGAGTTGCATGACGAAGATGCCGATATCACGATAGGCTTGCGAAGTAAGAAAGGCGGGGACATCTTGACCCTCATGAATTCGTTTTACCGGCTTGATGAAGGTATGCGCCTGTGCTGGATCAAGTATGGGCAAGCTGCTCGAAGCAAGTTGGCCTTGTGGCTGCTGAATGCTCGTTGGGGTATCCATCTTGACTTGTGTGACGGTTTGCGGGGTGTTTCGAGCTTGATGGCGGGCTAGGGAGCTTGGGCCCCTGTCTGCCCCTTGTTTTAGCTTTGTTTACAAGCTTGTGCACAACTCCTTCCAGACCGACTTTCGATTCCTCCCCACTACAAGCTACACGAGATCGTAATTCGACTTATGATCTGTAAAGCTCAGGTGTTTCGTCGCAGACTTTCTTGGTAAGGAGCTCAAGTGGGAGCCTGTAGGGCCAAGATCAAATGGCGACAGCATCTGCGAGCGAGACGAGGCTGGAGACGCCCAGGAAAGAGAGCACTGGTATATCACTTTTCATTCACACACCTGCAAGGAGTATTGAAGCTAATCATTGATCATAGGAGTACTTGGCATGCTCAAAAATCTCATCAGTCCTACGAAGAAACCGACTCCGACCAAAGTCGTACCACAAGAAGATCAGATCATGGAGGAGAGCGATGATGTTCCAGAGGAAGAAGAAATGGCGAATGAACCGCCACAAGAGACCCTCGCTCCCCTCCCACCAGCCAATTCGGAAGAGTCTGAGCAAGACTCTCCGATTGCACTTATGCCGCCCGTTAGAGAGTACCTGCCTCGAAAGAATACATACGATGTAGACGAGTCCGATGAACACGAAAAGGTTTCTCCTAGGAAACGAGCAAAGCATATGTCGAAATCCAAGGCACCACTTGTTATGGCGAAGACAAGTAAAGGGCTAGTTCCTGGCAAACAGCACCAGACTCGAGGCAAAGGTAGTGTTTTGAGTGTTCCTACAGTTAACGGTCGAGGAACATCTTCTCGCAAATTTCCAGTAAGAGAGCGTATCGACGAGGAAGCTGTGACAGAGCCGTCAACTCCTCGGAAGGGTAGAGGCCGACCAAAAAAGAATGCTGCCTCTATCCGTGCCTCGGAAGTGCAAGAAACCGAGGCGGTCGTGGAAGATACCAGGAATGTCGATGGAATCCTTTTGGATCCAGGCCCGGAAAATCCCGCCAACATACCTACGACCATTCAACGTGTGCACTCAAAACGGAATCCCGAATCGCTATCTCAAATGATGGCAGACTACAGTGAAGGCGAGGAGGCACCTGCGGCATCTGGGGAGGATCAGGAGCACTTTGACCAGGAGGAAAATGATAATGGAGAGGAGAATGAAGAAAATGGGAGTGGTGAAGAAGAGGACGAGCTCCTCGATGATGCCGAAGACCACTTAATCAAGATAAGACTTCTCAGAGATATGCTTAGCATAGCTAATCAAGTGGGACACAAGGATGTGAACGGTGAATGGAGGTGGCAAGAGGTTGCAGGGAATATCAAAGATAGGAGGGAAACACCTCTAACCGAACCAGGCAAGAGAATCAAGAAAAAGGTCGAGGATCTGATACGACAGTGCCGTCTGTTAGAGGAAGCACAAGAATCAGATCCTAGCATCCCGGATCTTGAAGCAGGGATCTCTTCACGTCTTGTTACTCTAGGAGAAGAGCTTGAAGGTATGCGAAAACCAGGACTTGAGATTCCTGAGGATGAGATGACGCTGGATGAGATGACGCTGATAAAGGAAACCCTTCTTGGTAAACCCTTCTGCAATCTCCCGAATATTATATATTGACTTATTTAGATACGTACTTCAACATTGTCCCAGGGCTTCTCAAAGTCATCGTCGCCTATGCTGAAGCAAAGCTTGACCGAGGTTCAATGGAAGATCATGATCTTGCCGAGTTTCAAGACCTTTGTCGTTGGCTGTTTGATTTGGCAAGTTCGGCTTTGAAGCATCCACCAAGACTGCAGCCCAAAGCTGCTGCACGCTCGAAGGGTATCTCTTATCGGATCTCACAGCCAACTAGAAGCGTGTTAGCCCAACTTGGGCCCTTTCTGCAAAAATTGGACAAAGAATTGGCTTCTCGACAACGTGCCGAAGAAGCAGCTGAGCGTCGCCGACTAGCCCCTGGATTGGCTAAGAAGCGTGAAGAAGAGGAAGCACGAATGAGAACCGAGAGGAGACGTGCTTTAAATCAGCTTCACCGGGAGCAATGGGCAGCTCTCGAAAGAATACAGAATGACCCCGAGCGGCAAGCTTGGAGACGAGTTACCAGTTCCAATCCACAGAAAGACGCTCTTCGTTCCAGCTATCGCTCATCCACCAATTCGTCGCAACGTAATCCCGAGCAAGAGATTGTCGACGAGGACGATCCATTTAGCGAAGACGATAGACGCCAGGCTGAAGAACCCAGTAGGTCTTCCGCAAGGGACGCCCGCGAACAAGAGCGAATTCGCAGAGAGGAAAGGTTGCGTGAGCAAGAGAAGATCCGCCTGGAAGACGAGGCACGATGGGAGCAGGAGAGGGCTCGAGAACGCAAGGAGCTTCACAAGCTCCAACACAAAGTTTTTCAGGAAAGGCTCCGAGAAAGGTTTGACGAACCTTTTTGGGGACAAGTTCTGTACAAAGACATCGTCCGAGCTGAGGAAGCTAGAGCGCTCTCCCAGTCAAGATCTCGTTCTCAAACAATCGAGCAGAATGGCCACGCTGGTGAAGACGATAATCGTGCAGACAATGACCCAGATGCCGAATCAGACGATCCTTTCGCTGATGAGGATGCTCCTAAGCCACAGAAAGTATTTGATTACAAAAGGGGTGACCATCTCAACAACGCGAAGCCTGTCTCCGACCAGGAAAAAGATTTATTTGTTGAGATGATGATGCACGGACATGGAGGTGATAATAATAGCAATTTGAGGAGAAGAAAGATGTGATCATACTGACATCAAGCAGACCCAAATCGTTACCAGCGAGCCGCCCAGAGACTCCAAAGAACCATGGACGAAATCTTTGCAATGGCAAAGGACTTCCAGGAGGCAATGGACGCGGAGCACGAGAAAGGAAACATCAATGAGGAATGTGATAAATGGACTTATAGCGTCTGGCAAGCGCCAAACAGCGAGGCTACTTGATTTTCGGATCGGCGTTGAACGAGAAAAAAGGGGTTTGGCGTTTGGGAGATTATGTTTATGATACCCCTATATCCACATACTGGATTGCTTTGCTAGTTCAAAATTGCCTTATTTTTTTGCTCTCACACAAGCTTCCACCAGTTCCTCAAATCTTCTGTCTCGCCTTCCACTCTCTAGCTACATCCTCATACCTACAAAATCTCACTTCCTCTCGCCACCCTTTCAGCCAAGTGATCATCTGGTCAATCATCCCAATCACATGCGCCATCCCCGAAGTATCAGGGTGCAGCACTAGCGGGAAGATGAAATGGCCCCCTCTCTCGTCGTCGTCAGAGGACTCGTGGTATAAATACTCGAATCGAGATTGCCACATGGAGAGGATACTACTTGTCGGCACGTAGCCGTGCGAGTTTGGTGCTGCGGGCAGGAATTGCATCGGTGTCACTGTCGCTTTCTGTTAGTTTGCAGTTTGGAGGGGACGGGAGGGGATGGGATGGGACGAACTATCTTCCATGTACCAATTTGCTGGTAGTTCTACGAGCGTCTTGTCGTTTGGTGGGGAGGGCGGAGGGAGGGGTTTCATCCATGTGCTGGCCTGGACGTGGGGCGAGAAATCGATGGGTTGGATGGCGGGTGTTTGGGGCAGGAAATAGGGTTGTGAGTCGTGGTGCGTTAGGGAGGAATCTTTTGCTTCATCAGTCCTGCCTTGCAGAGGGGAGAGGGGAGAGAGAGAGAGAAACGTACCGTATAAGAACCCCTGTTCCTCAAGACATTTAACGGTATTTTCCCTAAGTTGATACAACGGTGCTCTCCAACCCCGCGGTCTCTTCCCCGTGAGATTGGTAGCCAACTCAACACACCTGGTTATAACATCTCTTTCTTGCGTTTCTGTCATCTGAGACCCGCCCTCGTGCGCGTACCCGTGACATCCTATCTCTGCTCCGCTGTCCAAGATCATCTTCGTTTGCGTGGGAAATGTTTCCATGGAGTGCCCGGGTATGAACCATGTTACGTCTGAAGAGATCCGGTGCTTTTTAAACAGCTTCAAGAGTCGAGGGACCCCGACTTGGCCGGAGAAGTAGCCGGAGCTGTAGTCGGACATGTTGGTCGTGGACGAGGCGCCCGTTCCTAGGAAGCCGGATATGGCGTCGAAGTCGATGGATAGGAGGACTTTGATGTTTCTTTTGGGCGGTGGGAGAGTTTGGGGAATTGGCACTGATTCTTCTCTCTTTGTTAATTCAGAGGTCGAGGGTTCAAGAATCTCGTCTCTCTTCCAGACAACACGTCCTTCCATGCCACCGTCGACACTGATACATTCTCCCGTAATATGTCCAGCGGCCCGGTGACTGGCCAGGAAAGCCATGGTGCGGGCTACGTCTTCTGGTTTGGCGATTTTGCGGAGCGGGACGGTGGCTTGTGCTTCTGTCCACATTTCGTTCGGATCATCGAGTCGTCCTTCGATTAACGGTGTGTCGACCCCTTTTCCCTTCCTGTTAGTATAAAAGCCCATCTAGAACAAGGGAAAAGAAGCTTACACCCAGGCGCAACAGCATTAATCCTGGCCTTACTATTCAACCTCACAATCTCATTCTTGACTCCGCGAACCAAGCCATATTGCAAGCCCGCTTTGCCGGAAGCATATTCGATATGGCCAGCCTGTCCGAATTTCCCGGTTTCAGAGCCTGTGACTACGATGGCGAGGTTCTCGATTTCTTGGCCCGAGTGGGCGGTTTGCTGGGCGGAGGCGGAGAGGAGGAAGTGTTTTATGGTCAGGAAGGTGCCTTGGATGTTATTGGTGTAGGTCTTTTGCCAGAGGGGGAGGGGGAGTTGCCAGATGGGGTAGGAATGCGATTCGTCGGTTATGCCGGCGTTGGCTATTAGGACTGTTTGATAGGTTAGTGTGTGTGTTTTTGGAGAGTATATAGATGGTCACTCTTGAATTTGATACTCGAAGTTTGTTTGGAAGAGGAGCTAAGTTTGACGTACTGTTGATAGGTCCATGATGAGCCACGGCTTGGGCGATGCATTTTTCAATCGAGGGCTCGGATGATATGTCGCCGTTGACGGTAAAGAGTTGATGGGAGGAGGGGAGGCTGGTGATAGGATGGAGGTCGTGGGCTGTTACTTTGCAGCCTTGGTCTGTGTAGTGTAAGATTTTGAGAGGAGCTTTTTGATAAGGGACAGTATAAACGGAATTGAGTGAGTGTTCTCTCATTCAGATATCAACATGTAACATTGTAGCATCTGGTTGTACCTTGTTGTAACTTGTAGTTGGATGCAACATGAGATTGAAAGTGCAAGTAGCAAAGATGTTAAGTGGGATGCAGCCACTCGCTCTAATTTACCCAACACAACAAGAAATGTCGATTGAACGTATGGTATAGAGATATTAAAAAAAGGATTTGCTCTCATACCTAGAAACTCTTTGACAGCTTGAGAGCCAATGCCGCCAGCAGCACCGGTAATGAATACATGATAACCTTCGAGCCCCAGGAATGAAGACATCTTGAGAGTGCGAGTATGTGCAGGACTTTTTATGAACCTTTAATTATTCAAGAAAAATCATATATGACATTTCATGAGGTAGTGGCAACTCATAACTTTGACCAGGACTTAAGTAAGTCGTGTTATAAATTTGGTTCTTATCGGGACATCACTTTTTGACTTCGCGATAAAAGCAACCCATCCCATCTTTCAAGCTTCAATTGTCAACAGCAACAACAATCAAAACACAATCAGTAGTCAGCAATGTACATTATCGTCTCACATTGGCTTCAGAATCTCAAGTCTCCTCCAATTCATTACGGAATTTGCTTCTATCACGTGCCGTCCGCAGAACTCCCATTTTCGCCCCTCTCTCTGCAGATCGTCGCAGGGTAGGCAAGCCACAGATCTCATTATTCTGGGGAGGATGCGGAATGCGACCCTGGGAAGTTAACGACATCAGTGGCGGTGTTGAAACAAAGTGGAAATGCATGGTGAGGTCATCGAAATGCAACATTCTTGATGAGACGACCGCATCTTTTTTTATTTTCGCTCAGCTGTGGGAATGTTAAGGGTCCTGATCTTGTACAGTATGTTCAGGGGCTTGGAAATTCAGGGTCCTTGTCTTGGTTTCCCAGTGGACACAGCGGAAGGAATGGCCTGAATCCACCTGCAAGAAGGGATTACTTTCCTCTTGGTGGGTGGGATTCCGTGAAGCTCATGTCTTCTTTCAGCCACGGGCGCATTCTTGGTAATAGATCTGTAGATTGCTCCCGTTCCATGATTCGTTGGCGGAGAGAAGGCTCCTATTTCAAACTGCAGCGAGTCATCGGGCGCAGAGCTCGCAGGAGTAGCGGCTGCTATGCTCTTTTATGGGTGTACCGACCGAGAATGTCAAAGAAGGAAATATGCTCTAAGTGGATGAGCTGTGTTTGCTCCAGGAACCAACCATGATGCTTGGATAGCCAATGAGCCTGTCCTCCTGCATAAAGCATGTGATAGAAAAGGAGAAATGCCATACCTTAGAACTGCAAAACATTCGCCTTGGAAATACAGTAACTCGACGCTGATCTTCATAAATTTATGCAACGACTTGAAGGTCGAAAGACAAACCTGTGAACATAGCATGCAATATTAGTAATTGTGCCTTGATGCCGGGCCCCCACTCGGGCGCGGACAAAGTCGATTCTCAGCCATCGTTAATTTTCCATCGAACTTTCATTTGGCCATGCTAGACGTTGCCCAAGAAGGATTCGCGGGACCACACTCAGCATGGGTAACCTTAGATCTTCTCCACTCTTGCGATAAACCTTCCGTCGTTGGACAACTCTAAACTTCTTACCTGGTCAAGTCGGCTGAGCGAGCACCTAGACCAGACCAGAGATGCACTGCATGCTCAGAGGCCAATCTCATACCGTCCTTGTCAGTAGTCGTGCTCGCGTTTCCTTTCGTCGTAATGCAATTTTAGAGTCCGCGGCGTCTTCACGCTCACGCGAGGGAAAGGGAAATCGGTACTGTCGGTACTTTCGTCGGTTTCATGAAAGACTTACACCTTTTTCAACGGGGTGGCAATTGTCCAAACCTTCGTCCGACACCATTATCAAACCCAAAAAAGTTCGATACGACGCGTTAGGATATATCCCGTCGACGACAACAAGCGACCAGGGAAAATCCGGTCGTAGAGCCGGGTTTCTTTAATCCTGGATAGAGGGACAGAGAAGGGGATCCACACCACTGGAACTTGGACAGCGACAGTCTGTGCCGAGTAACCAGGATAGTGCAAGTCGCTATTCCTCTCTCCGCGTGAACAGATCCGCTAATCCCATCCTCGCCACCTCACCTCGCGACTTCGACGACAAGCTGGAAAAAAAGACATTGTCAACGGCCATCTTCAGACCTCACTTGCCTCGAGCGGGCGCTCTGCTCGTCGTTCCTTCTCCAGCTTGAGATTGCAAATTTTTTTTTTTATCTCTCCGGTCAACAGAACCACGTCACTATCCTTCATTGACGTGGACGATTTCGCTGTGCTTGCGCCGATCGACAGTCAGAGAAGCCTCTCCTTTGTTCCTGAGATACGAACACGTTCCCGAACGACGATTAGCACAGAGACCTGCAGACAAAGCTTAATGCATACTGCGCGTAAATCAATACATATTCGAGTGCTGCAATTAAGGTCCGCTTCGCAAGAAATCTTCTCATCCAGTGAGGATTCAACAGTAGGAGGCTGAGAGCTCCCCTCAAGTCTTCAAGATGTGGCCCGGGGGAGGTGACAAAGTGGTGGAGGATCATACGAAAGGCGTCGAGTCCCCCCTCACGGTTGAACTTCCTCGGCAGAACGCAGATTCTCCTGAGGCCAATGAGATACCTTCAAGAAGACAGTCAGTCTCTCCAAAAGCAGCCGCACAAGCCCAGCCGCCCCGATTATGGTCCTCAGATGTTCACAAGGAATTCGTCCCGGTCCCGGCTCACGACGGCTATTCCTCTTGGAGTGCAAGCTCGGACAAACAACTTGGAAGCCCAGGTACACTCAGTGATCGTGTGTTTCCCATCAGAAGTGTGGTCAGTGTGGATGCTACTCAGACGCCAAGTATAATCCAACCACGGAACTCGAGCGAGCAAGACTATTTTCCAGCTGGAATCATACCTCAAAATACGGCAGGCCATGACATTGCTGGGACACCTCGCGAAAGACAACGTTCTGGCGGCCAGTCTATATCTGAGGCAGATGGTAGACCAACCCCTCGGCCCAGAAAACAATATGAGTCTCGCTCGTCCCAAGAGCGGTCCAGAGGTGATCGAAAGGCGTCCTTCTCGAACTCAAATACCGAATCCGATCGATATGGAGGAGGTAGCAGAATGCAGCTGTTTAGTGACGCTGGGTCAGAAAGATCTAATGACATTCGGAATTCTGAAAATGCTAGTGGGACTCGTACGACGAATACTCCTTCAGTGGGTAGTCGCAGCGGCGCCGATCAAGATAGTATTACAGGCCTTGTTACTGCGAGGTTTAAGCATATCATAACAGCAGAAGGCCACGCCGTCATTACTGGTCGTGATGGGGAGACATTGCAGCGCTGCGAAGACGAGCCGTAGGTTCCGTATCAACATCTTATGCCAGTGGTTGCTAACCTTTCGCAGGATCCACATTCCTGGAGCTGTGCAATCCTTTGGTCTGCTGATGGCATTGGAAGAAAAAGAGGAAGGTCAACTGCTGGTTCGAGTAGTCAGTGAGAACTCACATCGAATGATTGGCTACCATCCCCAGGAACTCTTCAAGTTAACAAGCTTTACCGATATTCTCAGCGAGGAGCAAACGGACAATCTTCTGGATCATGTTGATTTCATTCGCGACGAGGAAGCCGATCCTGCAACAAACGGACCTGAAGTCTTTACCATCTCCATCAAGCCGCCAAAGTCGGGCAAGAGAAATCAGAAACTGTGGTGTGCTATGCACATCAATCCTGCACACCCTGATCTCATCATATGTGAATTTGAACTGGACGATGATCAGGTGAACCCCTTGACACCTCCAAGCAGTGATACGCCAGAGCCTCCGGAAGATACACTAGACAGCCAGCCAACTCAAGAAGAATATGCCGAGAGTACGAACATCGGCAGTAAGCCCTTACGAGTTCTGCGAAGCGCAAGGAAGCGCAAAGGAGAAGCTGCGGCGATGGAAGTCTTCAACATTATGTCTCAGGTTCAAGAACAGTTGGCATCGGCTCCTAATCTTGACAAGTTTCTGAAAATCTTGGTTGGTGTGGTTAAAGAGCTTACTGGGTTCCATCGAGTTATGATATATCAATTCGACGCAGGTTTTAATGGCCGAGTTGTGACGGAACTTGTCGACCCTAGGGCTACCAAGGATCTCTACAAAGGCCTTAACTTTCCTGCCTCGGATATTCCAAAGCAGGCCCGCGATTTGTATAAAGTTAACAAGGTCCGATTACTCTATGATCGAGATCTAGAGACGGCACGACTGGTTTGTCGCAGCGTAGAAGATCTGGAGACACCCCTGGATCTTTCTTTCAGCTACTTACGAGCCATGGTAAGTCACCTTCTTCTTCTCACTATCTATATAACCTGGAGACTCGGCATCGCCATTCCATCGACAAGCATCACTGGATCACTCATACGTCCTTGGGACCTTCAGATGGTACGAGAAGTGTGCTAACCCCGAGTTTAGTCCCCTATTCACATTAAATATCTTGCAAATATGGCTGTTCGCGCTAGCATGAGTATCTCGATCAATGCCTTTAATGAATTATGGGGTCTGATTGCTTGCCACTCTTACGGTCACAAGGGGATGCGTGTTTCATTTCCGATTAGAAAGATGTGCCGTTTGGTTGGAGACACAGCTTCGAGGAATATAGAAAGGTTGTCGTATGCTTCTCGTTTACAAGCTCGCAAGCTTATCAATACGGTCCCAACTGAAGCCAATCCATCTGGCTATATTATCGCCTCTTCCGACGACCTCCTCAAACTTTTCGATGCCGATTTTGGCTTACTCTCAATTAAAGGAGAGACCAAGATTCTCGGCAAACTCGATCAGTCACAGGAGGCACTTGCTATGTTGGAATACCTTCGTCTGCGCAAGATCACCTCTGTCATTACGTCCCAAGATTTTCGAGAGGATTTTCCAGACTTGCGTTATCCTCCAGGCTTCGATGTCATTGCAGGTCTTCTTCTTGTCCCATTAAGCGTCGGAGGTAGTGACTTCATCGTTTTCTTCCGCAGAGGTCAGGTCAAAGAGGTAGGTCTTCATCACATCTCCCATGGCGTATGTTGTGTTACTATACTCACTGGGAAAATTCAGGTGAAATGGGCTGGTAATCCATATGAAAAATTCATAAAGGAGGGCACAGAAGGCTATCTAGAACCACGCAAAAGCTTCAAGACGTGGAGTGAAACTGTTGTCGGTAAGTGTCGAGAATGGACTGAAGAGCAGGTCGAAACTGCTGCTGTTCTCTGTCTCGTGTATGGAAAGTTCATCGAGGTAAGTCTATTTCCGCGATCAATCTGTTTCATTCAGTTACCAACATCTCTCTTTAGGTATGGCGGCAGAAAGAAGCCGCTCTCCAAAGCAGTCAATTGACAAGGCTTCTATTGGCCAACTCTGCTCACGAAGTTCGAACTCCACTGAACGCTATTATCAATTATCTCGAGTTAGCGCTCGAAGGTGCTCTTGATCAGGAAACGAGAGATAATCTTGCAAAATCCCATTCGGCATCGAAGTCCCTGATCTATGTCATCAACGACCTCCTTGATCTGACAAAGACCGAGGAAGGCCAAGACCTGATTAAGGACGAGGTTTTTGATCTTTCAGCCACCATCCGCGAAGCTACAGATTCGTTCAGAAGCGAGGCTAAGAGGAAAGGCATTGAGTACGATGTTATCGAGCAGCCTGGTGTACCCCAACTCGTTCACGGCGATCAGCGTCGTGTAAGGCAAGCCATCGCCAACATCACAGCCAATGCTATGCAACACACAACTAGTGGTTGGATTCGTGTTGAAGTCTGGCTTCAAGAAGTACAAGAAGATAGGGCTACAGTCGAAATCGTCGTCCAAGATAGTGGGGCCGGGATGTCAAACGAAAAACTCGACGCCCTATTCAGAGATCTGGAACAAGTGAGTACTGATGGCGATTATCTCTTCGACGAAACACCAGATGACTCTGTTGCCAAACTACCCCCGAACAAGGATAATCGTACGTTGGGCCTCGGTCTAGCGATGGTTGCTAGGATCGTACGAAACATGGACGGACAGCTGAGACTTAAGTCGGAAGAAAACAAAGGTTCTCGCTTCGTGATACAGCTGCCTTTCGCACTGCCGAATGAGGATGCCTCTACTGAAGACAAGTCTGGACGCCCGAAAACCGCCTCTGTCGTACCGTCTGTTGCAACGCCTCCACCGGCTGCTACAGAAGGAGAGGTTACTCTTGTTGATAAAGTAAGCTCTTTGAGGGTAGATGGCGTCGTTCGCAAACGCAGTCTCGAGGAAATCGCAAGCATGCGCAGTCATCGAAGTGGTTCCAGTAATGGAAGCAACGCAAGCAAGAAGAGTGACGTTGATCGACTCATCGATGCCATCTCTACTCCACTGGCAGTGGGCGAAGCGGAATCTGAAGAACGCAGCCTCCAGAGGTCAGCCAGCAAGGGGAGTAGTACTCACAGCCGTAAGAGCGCTGGTAGCTATGGAGGTCAGTCTTCGGTTCGGGCCTCCGCCGACAGGCCCGGACACTTGACTCGTTCGAGATCTTACGGAGCACCGGAACATTTACGTACCAACTTAGAGGGTCCTTCTGGATCTGAGTTCGTTACTGATAACAAGACCCTGTTGAAAGCCGTCCGAATGCCTGACGAATTCATGGAATCCCCGACAGTGGAATACCCTCATTCCGCCTCCCGAGTTTTGTTTGATATTCCAGACAAGCAGGGCAAAACGAATGCACACAGAGAATCTACTTCTTCTAGGCCGAAGACACCGAACGCAGAGCACTTGAAAATTCTGGTTGCAGAGGACGACCCTGTCAACAGCAAAATAATACAGAAGCGATTGGAAAAGATCGGACATGAAGTGCACCACACCGTCAATGGAGAAGATTGCGCTAGTGCTTATGGAGAAAAGCCTGCTTTCTTCGATGTGGTGCTCATGGATATGCAGGTAAGTACAATCACAATCAACAATATAGTCTTCAATGCTAACGCCCATCAAGATGCCAATCGTAGATGGCCTCACTTCGACGAAGATGATTCGCTCGCATGAGAAAAGTCACCCCGATAGCCGTCTCTCCCCTCGAGCATCTGCAAACGGCCGAGTTCCTATTTTTGCCGTTTCTGCGTCCTTAGTCGAGCGTGAACGACAAACATACATCAATGCAGGATTTGATGGTTGGGTTTTGAAGCCTATTGATTTCAAACGTCTCAACGTATTGCTCGAGGGAATTGTTGTGGAGAATACTAGGAATTCTTGTCTATATCATCCTGGTGGTTGGGAGAAAGGCGGGTGGTTTCATCGAAATCAGCCTTCTATCTTGCGAGCGTCGACTTTCCCTTCAGAGAAGACTCCGGTTCAACTTCCACCCGGACGAGAAGTCTCCCAGCCCGATATGGATTCTCTAAACAGCAGCGAATCTGGGTCAGTTACGCCCAGAATGGAGCCGATGGAGCCGAGGAAGCCGTTAATCCACGATGAGCGACTCAACGCACAGTCGGAGGCTGAGAATAAGCTTGGTGTCCAAGGTATGGAGGACAATTCGGTGGAAGAAACTCCCGCAATTGAAGACCGCCAGGTGGAGGATGTGACAGATAAGACTCAGGAATGAGCAGTGGTGAGAGAAAGATGTTAGATGCGTCGACTTTGTCCGCATCAGAGAGATGATTATGTATGATGATTTCGCAAGGTTACGGAGTTTAGACGCACACATAGGTGGCCAGGTCACTGGTTGCAATTCACGAAATCATGGGAGCGGGGGTTATTATGGCGTAAAGAGGGCATACATAGCAAGCAGTGCGGGTAGTCTATTGCTCTGGACTTCGATCGATTTTTTGTGGTCGTGCATAGCTTGCGATGGAGGGGTTGTATAGTAGAAGTACGATACACGTAGTATGTAGAGAGAGTAAGGGAGTAATACTGGTGGTCAGTGGATTCAATCCATCGGCTTTACCTACTTTTTGTCTTGAGTTTGATGTGAATGTCTGTATGTGGGTTAAGAATAGAATTCAAGAGGGTGTAGATAGAGTATACCCCACTTCTGGCAATACCTTCCTCATTGGGATAGCTAGCTCTGTCATATCTCTAGACGTTTATGTCAGGACTTGCCCTTCTCTTCACACGAGTAAGGAAAGAAAGAATATGGCGCCTGTGTATAAGATTGCTGTTATTCAATTGTATCCGAAGGCATGTCTATTCCATATTATCTGTTTCAATTGTATTGTTTCTGTTTACCTGCTGGTGAAAAGCTACCCCTCAGTAGTCAGCTGATTTGCATTTCCTTCAATGATTTGAGTTCTTGCTTTGATTTATCACATCTTGTTTCAAACCTTTGCTAGTCATACTTGAGTAAAATTACATCCTCGAGAGAAAAACAAACCCCATTGCTAACCAAACACCCACAGCCTCTAGACCAAAAGGGCAATCATGCCAAAGCCGTGACTTTCCTCCGGGAAGCAGCAGCTCAGGGCTGTGATCTCGCTGTGTTGCCGGAATACCATCTCACTGTAAGCTTTGAAGATTGAGAAGAGAGATGAAAGCTAAGTAATATAGTCCTGGGTCCCTGAATCACCCGAGTTCATCCCTCTTTGTGCGGAGTACAAGACGTATTTAGAGGCTTACTGCCAACTGGCTAAAGAATTGAAAAGTACGTTGCTTCAAGCCTACCTCTATTCTCAAGAGCCCAATCCTTCTTTAATAACAAACCTCCTACTAACACCCCAACAACAGTGAACATCGTCCCGGGCACCATAGTCGAAAAACACACCTCAGACACCTCCCCCGACGAGCTGCACAACGTAGCATACTTCATCTCCTCCACCGGCAGCATCCTCTCCTCCTACACCAAGAAAAACCTCTGGCACCCCGAACGCCCGCACCTAACCTCCTCCTCCCATACGCCGCACGCCGCCTTCGACACCCCGCTCGGCAAGTGCGGCATGCTGATCTGCTGGGACCTCGCGTTCCCCGAAGCCTTCCGCGAACTGATCGCCGGCGGCGCGAAGACGATTATCATCCCCACGTTCTGGAACCTAAGTGATTGTAATGAAGCGGGTCTCAAGGCGAATCCGTTGAGTGAGAAGTTGTTTTTGGAGAGTACGTTGGTTAGTAGGACGTTTGAGAATACGTGTATGGTGGTCTTTGCGAATGCGGGGGGCCCGGAGGGGACGCGGATCGAGAAGGGGGGGTTTCTGGGGTTGAGTCAGGTGGCTGTTCCGTTTAAGGGGGCGTTGGGGAAGTTGGGGCAGGGGGAGGGGATGAGTGTTGTGGAGGTTGATATGCAGGTGCTGGAGGATGCGGAGGAGAATTATAGGGTTAGGGAGGATATGGGGAGGAGTGGGTGGCATTATGAGTATAGTTTGAAGAGGGATGTTAGGACGGGGTAGGCTGGATGGGTTGTGTAGAAATTCGTCTTTGTATTGGGAATAGAAGGTGGGTGATATCAAGCTGCACATTGGCCCATCTCTCAGATCTTAAGTTACACTCGGGACTGATCCCGTTTCTGTTGTCTACCAAGTTCTGGGACAATATTATCTTATTTTCCAGCTCTTTTTGGGGTGTGATTGTATCACTTTTGCTGGGTGATTGACACTCATAAAGTACACTTCGCTTCTGAACATTGGACATAGGAATTTTTTTATTTTTTCCATTGCTTAAAATCCATGCTCTCCCCAGTGATGCCACCAATCACGTGGTATCAAATGCAACCTCCCCGATGCATCTTAACTATCATACATTCCGCACAGAAAGTCCTGGTTTCGTCCAGACTTTCTCCAGTTTACTGGTTCGGGCCAGAGGCACCAACAACCACAACTGCAGCTCGGGAAAAAGGACGAAGAACTCCACTTTCAATGCTATTCCCTCCCACCCATCCATGCATGCACGTATCGTAAGCGGAAAAATTGGCTCCCAATCATCATCCCCTGTCGAGTTTTGTCTCGTCGAAGTATGTAAGTTGAAGAGAAAGTAAACCAAAAAGAAGAAATCATTGAATCAAACTAGTACACATGCTCCAGGGTATAACGCCGCATTTTCGTTCGTAGAAAATGCCTCCTTACTCCTTAAGAAAAATCAATTGATGAGATGATGCTTGTGCCCTGCGCCACGAAAATCCGAAGGAAGACAAAAGAGGTTGAGTTAACGGGCCGACTCGCCACCGATCATAAAAGCATTGAGAATGCCGTCGCCTACAACTCGTCGTAGATTGCTGTAGTAGGGATAAAGGTTTCGAGCGGATGCCGGTGTCGATGCAGCGGCCGGAATGGTACCCTTTTCACCTTCATTTCTGTCTTCACCGCCCCCGACCTCGCGGCCTCCGGTTGCAGTTGCAAGATCCGCAAGACGTTGGAGGCTTTGTGACGCGACCGCCGCATGCTTGCTGCTTTCAGCCGCGGACGAGGACATGCCAAGCGAGGCGCTGCTGGGACGTTGCAACCGATTGGTGATCATCTCACGTACAGGCGTGTCCCAACTCGAATAGGCCACACGAGTATTCAGTAAACTCTTCAAGGCGAGCTCGGCATCATTTCGGGTCTCCTCATATTCTAGTAATTCAATGAGCGTCAGTGCGGCCAGGGCCAGGCAGTAGTGGATGAGTGGGCTGAAGACGCCGACATGACGGTTAAGTTGGGTGACGAGGTTTAGAACTGCATCGGCCATTGCAGTAGGTGTTGACTCCTCGAGAGTCAATTCGATGAGGATACGCATGTGCCAGAAGCATATGTGAAGGACCGGTGCTTGTGTGGGAGGGAAGAGAGAGCCAGAGAACGACTCTCGCAATCTTTCTAGCTCTCCTCTGAGGATACTGCCGTAGACAGGCGGGTTAAAGTTCATTGGAGGCAAGTCAGGCCGTGGAGAGAGGACACGAGATGTGTGTTCCAAAACCAGGGACATACCTAAAGTGTTTAGATTCCCAAAATCAACTTCGGGAAGGGAGAACTTACGTGCAATATGGTAAAAGGATTCTCCCAACATGAATTGATCCTCTGGCCACACAATGACGATAGAGTCAGGAATTAAGGCAGGTCTGCCGGTGCTCGCAGCGTACCATCGATCCAAAGACACCAACGTATACCAAAGTCGTCGAGCGATTTTGTCATCCGAATCGTGGTCTTCTCCTAGAGCCTGAGGCTTATACTGGTGGAGTCTCATTGCGTACGCAACTTCGATGGCGTCTGCTAAGCTCGACTTTGGCGACGTAGGTTGTGGTCTCAAGATGATTGCAGGAGAATCTGCCGTGGCAATTGCTAGAAGAATCATAGCTTGGAGGCAGATCAAATCCGTGGACAAAGATGGAGGAAAATTTTCAAGTCGAGCGGAATGAAGAAGTTGTGCAGCTCTTCTTACTCTTGGCAACTCGGCGGGACGTTGCGAAGATGCAGGCAAGGATCGGACAGCAACTTGGATGGCTTCATAGAAAGCTGCTTTCAAAGAGCCTGGGCATACGTCTAGTCTAACACGTAGTTTCGACTTGTCATTCTGCAGGATCTTAAATGTGGGGTGGATATGTTGATAATATCTATGTCAATGTTAGCATCGTGCTCGCTATTAGAACGTTCTTTGGGCAACGCCATACCCGTCGATAATGGACTCGTCCCAACCATGAGCGTATTCAGAGTTGACATCTTGTGTAACCACGAAAGTGGACGCGTCTTGCAAGTGCTGTTCCGGAGCCATCTTCCAGCTCGACGGCTGTTGGAGCCCGTTAGAAGCGTAATCTGAGTCCTTGAAGAAACCTGCTTGTGGTTGATATGTTGCCGGAGGAGGGTGCGGTACGTGACGTGTTTCTGGAGAGTTCCAATTTGCTGGTCGACTCGGAGTATAGTCGTTGGACACCGCTGAGTGCCCTCGCTTTCGTGTCTCTGGGTTTGGTGGTGGGGAGTATTCTTCGGATGGTCGCCTCTGCGTTGGACTTTCTTGATGTAAGAAGTTCATAGGCACTTCGCCAGCGTGCACCGCGCTTTCAAGCGTGTTCAAGCGATCAGCTAACTCCTTGATGTAGCTAACGCACGTCAGTCAGCGCTCCGCACTCACCCAAAAAATATTTTTCAAAAGTTCATACCCTTTACTCGGTCCGCGCTTCATTGGAACTCTACTGAACTGACAGTTGGTCCCAACGCGTTTGCAGTTCGAGCACTGTTCATTGTCCGACTCTCCCGTCGCGTCACATCTGATCTTCTTGCGCCGGCATTCATCACAAGCTCTCGACACTTTCGATCTCTTTCTCGGTGCCATTGAACCATCCGGTGAGCCATCATACGCTCCCATCTGGTCCATGGGGCCATGTAGCGATTGCATCTGTCCGGCATGGGGCAAGCCATGCTCGTACTGATGATTTACGTTTCCTTGGCTGGAACCGCGTGGGTCTTGACTTTCGGAAGCCATATTTCCACCTGGGCTAGCATTCATAACGGGCTCGAGCCTGGCAAGTTGTGCGTTCATTTGAAGTTCATCGGGATTTGGGACGCCAGACTGTTGCTGACCTGAAGTCGAGTAGGAGAACGGGGCTCCTCCAGCACCAGCACCCGCGTTGGGATCAGGATACGACTGCATATTTGGCGCGTCGGTCGGGATGTGGTATGCTTAACTGCTCGTCATGAGCGCGGGCGAGCGGGGTACGACAGGCCTGGGGAAAACAAGTCAGCGTTGTGTTGATATTGTTTATTGAAAAGTACCGTCCCGTACTTTATTGTGGCTCGGGAGAAAGCTGTCGCAGATGGCGCACAGCTGCACTCGCTCTCACGCCACGAATTCTGCCTCAATGAACTTACTTGTTTCACAGGCGGCTACAGATTAAGCATGCGATCCAACGGTACCTGATCGGCGGCACAATCGCCTCCTTCAACGGAACAAAGACGCAGTTGGGATGTTGTTTCTTTGCGAGTTTGATGTTCGGGCTTGGATCAACTTTGTTACGAGAATGGCTGAAGAACCATTTAAGACTGTGGATTGCCGGCCTGAGGACGCTAGTACGGAAAAAGAATAGCGCTTCCGTAGCGAGCAAGGGGGAAACTCCGGGCTGAATGCTCCTTCGGTTTCTGGTCCTGCTGCTGCTCGTTCTAAATTCACCTGGACCTCGAAATCCGATACCGCTGCTGGCTGCTGCTGCTCGAGATCGTTTGTTGTTGTTAACTTTATAGGACTTCGCTATGATGGGAGCGATCACATCTATCTCCTGCTTTGTACCGAATCACCGCTGCCTGCTGCGCCTGTGATGGGAGAACCGGGAGATTGCCCAGGCTGGGATGCCCGATCGGTACCGCGTGGATGTTGGAGCACGCCTTTATTATTGATTGCAGGTCAAGGTCGAGAAGGCATGCCAAATGAAGGAGTCTGGGGGATACCAGGAGTTGGATCACGGGAAGCTTCGGAGGATTTCACCACTTCTTAAAGGCTGAGCCCGTCCAGTCAAAGCACCACCATCAGTAGAAGAGAATCGGAACAGCCGGGGTCAGCTTCGGCTGCCCTTGCATCAAACGGGGGCTGTTCTGCTTCTGCTCTGCTTTGACGATGGGATACCGCAAGAACAGTCCCCGTGATTGGCTGAATCGCAACGTCCAGCGCCTCTCCTTTCCTCAATGCTCGTTCTTGTTCAAAGCCCTGCCAGCGATGTTTTGGAGACGAGCACATCCTCTCCACACTTCCCACTCCCAAACAAACTCCTTTTCAGCTAGATTCTGCACGGAGTTGGTTCGGCCGTAGTCCAATATGGGGTTGAGAGCTCTGTACAGGTTAAGCCTAAAATGCTGGACCTATCCTAATTGATCTAGGTGCTGGCAGCTCAGTTGCGCAGTTCTGCCGCAAGAATGTAGCCTGTTAAGCCGGATGAAGATACTGGATCTTCCGTCTGTCTGTCGGTCGTGCTGCAGAAAGTTGTGGGGGAGGCATCATGCGACGTCAAACCCTAAGCAACGCGCCCTTTCCGTGGCCGTTTCCCGGCGGGGCAGGTCTATGTCTTCAATATCAGATCCAAAGTGTTTCTTCTTGGCATCGAATTTGCAGAATGAGGGGAAGCCCTCGGTGAAATGTTTCTGAAGACCGAAAGGAATAATGTTTCAGTTTGGGGAAACGAGCATGGGGGCAGCAGGAGAGGTGAGGGGTGTTGCTGCAGCAGCTACATACTTTTCTCCGCTTCAAGTGAAGCTTTGTCCGGCACAAGAACGATCTTCTCGAGAAAGATAAAGAGTTACCGCCATCTCTCGATGATTTGCACCACTAGTATCAGATAGCCAGGGTTCAATTGGGGCCTTCGGAGAAATATTGCACCCGATACCAATTTCTTTTCCGGCGTCGAATCATCCATCCATGGATTTGGGGTGTGCGTCTAGAGCTCATGCATGTCATTTGATCAAGAGACAGGACAGGCATCGCGAAAGCGTCGGCACATGCGAGAGCGAAGCAGATGAGCGACCGGCAGTCGATGAGGATCTCTTTAATCGAAAGAAATATTCCAACGAAGCAGACGCAGACACACATTTGACATTGAACGGTCCGATGGTTTATGCTTATTTGAATCCGTATCATCAATAGGCCAGATGCAGGGTCCTTATGGTCTTTTCTGGTAAAATCTGGGGAGCCTTCAGATTAATCGCATTGCCTCATTGAGATCTTGCGGGTCCGACGCATTAGCGGACCTCCGACCGAGTCGTGAGCTGCATATCAACAAAACATACCGCCATTCGGTGCCTCGAACTCGATCCAGCAAGTCAGTCGATGATCACAAGTGTGAAACAAAGGATATTCAAAACATGTTTTCACGTCAAAATCATTATCGTTATGTATTTTTCATCACATGCTCTTGTCTTCTCACGCTTACTTATTTAGACGATCTACTTCCTCAAGGGTTGTGAAAGCGTCTGCTAAAAGTCTTGGCAGGGGTCTAGAAAAAGGTTTCTCTCAAAAAGTATATGTGTACGTGCGTTATGTGCAATATGTGACATTGAAAATCTATGAACATCTTTCAAAACTCTGCATGTGAGTTCAACAATGCTGTCATACTGTATACAAACATTTCATCGAGTCGTCGGCGGATTGATCCAAAAAAGAGATACCCATTCGTCGAAGGCCTTTTGCCTCTCCACATGTGTTATTGAGCCCAAACATTCTCTTCCGGCATTTCACTCCGGCCAGTGTTCTGTGGAATACCACTTGACGGGTAAGTGCCGTTCATCCAAAATGTATCTTCATCGTCAAGAAGTTGATAATTTGTACCCTCGTCAAAAGGAGACGAAGTTTGTCCGACCTTGCCCTCCTCGCTATAGTTGGTCATGGGAAGACCGTGGTTTCCAGTTGGAAATCCATTCGAGGTCGCAGCGCCCTTGAGGAATGAATCCATGTCGAGGGCATCGAGGTTGTTGCTTGCAAGCATCTGAGCTTGGGGCATACCGATGTATGAGGAGGCAGTGCTGAGGCGGTAACCGTCAATATCACCACCGAAATCTGAGGTGTCGAAGTCGGAACCATACTGCTGGTTGAGTAGGCTTGGTCGGCTTCCAGTATTATCGTTCAGTGGCACAAAATCTTCAACCTCGGATATCTCTCCAGATGTTGATGTGGTTGTGAGAGCTGGTTGATCGATGCTACTGAAATCAAAACCAGTGAAAGATGGAGCTTGACTGTACGACGAGGCACCAAAATTGTCACTATTAAAGTCCAGGCCGTCGTAGTGTGACCAATCAATTGATGCGGAGCTTAGTCCAGCAGAGAACATAGGTTGCTCATGATCAGGAATCGATGAGAATCCATCGATGTTTTGCAACGAGTAGAAATCTGCAGGAATGCTGCTCAGATCCAGCGGAGGAAGTTGGCCGTTTAGCTGATCCAAGTTGGATATTGGGCTTAGAAGAGGTGACCCATGTTCCGACTTCACCATACGCTGCTCCTGCTGAGCGCTGACCATTGAGTCCTTAATATGCGAATCACTGTGCAGTGCATCAATTGTGCTCGTATGGGGTAGGTTGTCAACAGATCTATTTGCCATTCCAGCAGGCGAGGGACCGTGGATCGAGTGTGCTCTGGGTACGACGTAAGGTAGACCACATTTGTGAGCCATGTTGTTGTGCTTGTGGATAGGCTTGTGGTGCCCGTTGGTGAAAATTGTTAAGCCAGTCTCGGATTGGGCTGTGAGAGCACGGGGTCTACGTTTCTCGTTGGTGGTAGCAGAGGACGACGAGGTTTCATCCGAGTCAGATTCGGGAACGGGGTCCAAATGCTCTTTCTTCAAAGCACAGGAGCAACGGGCTCCATGGCTGCAACAGCAGTTATCTGCTAGATTAATGATCAGAAACTGCTGTCGAGATGCCTAAAATGTCCCATGAAAAGCTCACCCTGAGAATCGCCGCTGTCATGTGTACAAGCTCCCTTATTGTGTGCCTTCTCTCCGCCACAGTCACAGCGGACATGCGCAGATCGAGACTTGCGTAAGGTTCGGCAATGTGTACATTGTGAGACTGGACGACCCTGTGTAAGGCAAGTTAGCAAGGATCGACAGCGAGATTGAGAGTATATATACCTTCTTGTTGATATGCTGCAGCGGTCGGTCGGAGTGCTGGCAGTTGCTGACTCGGTGACCTCTCACACACGCCTCACAGGCGTACTTTTCGCCCTTGATCAACATCTTGTCCTTGAGTTTGATGTAATAGAGGATCGAGAATGGGTGGCGTGTCGGACGACCGCGAGTGGTCGAAAGACTGCCCAAGAAAGAAAAGTACCCTCAAGATGAAGGGATTGAATTGTGAGCAGTCCAAGGAGACTGCCGAGTCGAGAACTCGAGTCGCAGAGAGTCGTTACAAAAATAAGAATAAGAATTCGTTCGTGGGGTATGTGTATGCAGCAGAACCGTGGTATATCCAAGTACTCCAAATCGCGAAAGCCAACGCCTAAGAGATGCGGTAAGAGACGATGAGAGGAGATTACAATGGCAGAGCCTGGCACCGAACGGCGCGGCTGAAGAGCACGACACCGACTTTCGGGTTGGGGCGACCAAAATGGGAGATGTTCTCTTTGTTTGGCAACAGTTGAAAGAAGAGCTGTGTGAGCGAGACAAAGTGGGAGGTTAAGAATTATTATATGGCAGTACGGTAGCCGAGGAAGAGGAAGAGGGCAGAGCAGGCAAGTCGGTGGTGGGTGGTGCAGATGCGAGGAGGGCAGGGCAGGGCAAGGTAAGGTAAGGCAAAAAAGACCACAGCGGCCTGGGGACTAGGACACAAGTGAGTGAGTGTGTGAATCGGCTGGGATGGCTGCTGGATGCAAGCCCTGACTGCGACAAGTGTGAGCGTAGGGTTCGCCGAAGGACCTGTGCGGAATCCGATTTTGCTGACTCCACGCCCCCGAGCAGTAGTCAGTTTCTGGGTTGTGGACGTGGTGGTGGGCGATGGTCGTGGTTCGTGTGTGATGGGATTTTGAAGGCTGGGCTAGGATAGGGTATGGTACGCAAGGCCAAGCCAGGGCATGGGGGAACGGAAAATTACGGTGGTCTTCAACGAGTCGGACAGGAAGAAGAGAAAGCACAAATAAGTTTTGCGCGTGGAGGGATTGCTGCTGCTGTGTGTTGCAGAATCTGAATGCAGGTCTGTTTCTTGTTCCTGATGAGCTGGGGGAAGGAGAAAACTTCTTCGTTCCCGGTGCTTCTCAGGCGCCCTGCTTTGCTCCTCTCCTCTCCTCTCTTGTCACCAAGCCAAAGCGCCAGTCCACAAATAATTCCATCTGCATGCAAGCAAGCAGCGGTCTGCTCCAATCCAATAAAACACCACTTACCCATTTCACAGCATCAGATCCCGAATACGTTCTCTCTCTGAAGTATTACGGTATTAGGGGTCCCGCGCCTACCAGAGAAATGCATTCTGGTAATACGGAACTGAACTGGACGACACATGGTACACATTACGGGAGCTGGACGATTATAATTACCGTCTTACCTGCAAAGCCCTTCTTACGCTATGTTTAATATGCACATACGAGATCGATGAGCACGAACCAGGACCAGATACCAGGAGCCGCAATCGTCCTCCTTCAGCTTCCTACAGCTAATACTTCCGAGGACGACGTCAACTCGCTAGCAGGAATAAGAAATCATGTTCACTCCTCAACCAGAGTTTTCCGGTTGCAGTCATCATCATCAAGTGAGAATGCAGGCAAGTGCAGAGTTTTAGAAACAATCCCATCTAATTTGTGTTGCCGACACGGAAAACGACGAGTCAATGACTGAGAAGACGACTTTCGACGTCGTCGTCTCTGCAGTTGCAGCACGGTAATCCCAGACACACCCAACATCGACTGCGCCCCAGTCCTTGCCCGATCGATTCGGCGCCTTTGGACGTTCCCAGCTTTCTTCTCCAGCTTGGACACAGCCGGCCAAACACTCTGGGAAGTATTACTTCACATGCTCCGTACAGAAGCCGCCGGTATCATTACAACTATTTACTCGTATCTGCCTGGAAACTTGACTTCTCATTACACAACTACTGTACTACTGCGCCGGCCTCCGCCAGAACTATGAGCAGCTAACATCTCCCGAGCTGCCCTATTGCGACTACTCTCAACGTAGGTACAGCATCGTCGTCTAGGAAGTTACAGCCTTCCTCTCAACTGAATGGCCAATTTTCCCATTATTCCGCGGTACGACGACAAAGGTGCATAGCAGACCATCTGACTGGAATTGAGGACTTCAGTTCGCTCGTGCAGCATGCATCCTTAGACTGTACTGTTCGAGCTTGTTGCATCGAGACTGCTGGACCAAATTCATCTCCTATTCGAGACAGCCTTACCGTATTATGTCGAGCTTTTTACCCCAGGAAGCCACAAAGGATTCCCTTGACTTCTCTGCTTCTCGTCAAGAAGTCGGCTGTGCTGGACTGCCCGTCACAACCCGCGTAATCCATACGGGTCGGAAGGCTTGCTTGGAATCGATTCGATACGGATGCTCCAACTTCAGGATTTGTTCCCTATCCCAAAGCCTTCTCTCACACACATCATGATCATCTGCTCACACTGCCTCCGGAAGCCTCACAGCCTACTGATATCGATAATTCTACGGAACACAGACATTTGACCACTGTCAGAGATGAGGTTACGCAGACAGTGTGTGATGTGAGATTGGCGTTTCTGCATACGGTAACTCGAGCCAGCAGTAAATTTTTGACATGATTCTTCTGGTGGCTGGCAATCCGCGAATGATACACACGCTCTTCGAGACGTGTCTCTCTAGAGTCTCTACGAGTCCACTAGCGCTCCAGTCGCCATGCCCCCAAGATGAGGATTTCTTCAAGAGACCGGTGCAGAATCGCCAAGACTGAAACCGAGACACTTGTCGCACGGCTCGTTGGTCTTCGACCGCTTGAATAATGGGAAGCCGAGAATTTACCCCCGCGCTGACAAGCATCCATTATTGACACCGGTCAGAATCTTCCTATCTGCTTGCCCTTCCTCGACGACAGGATACGCAACAGGAAGCAGCTGCAATGACTTGCATGTAAAGCTAATGAAATTCCCCACGTTACATTTCTCACCGCCATAGGAACCGTTGTTGTTCCCCTCGTCCATTTCCGTGGACGAATCGCACAAATCCCTCAGCGTTTCCTGGAGAGTCACATGATCCCGGCCGACTCCTACAGACGTGGCTTAGGTGGATGATGGCCCGGCCGACGTCGTCTGAACGTCATGAAACGAAATTTTGGATTGTCATCGGTATGCCATAGATCTTGGGCGATGTGCTTACTCGGAACATCTGCCGAGAATGGGGTGGAAGGACCAAAAGCTAAGTTGGATTTCCATCAAAGATCCTATCTCGGAGTGGCGAGTGCGGCCCCTTTGACGGATGTTAGCGAATGTTCTATGGAGTATGAACATCCTACTTCTAAGAATACTTTATGTTGTTTCACGTACCATGTTTCCAGCAATATCCATGATCAGAGAGTTGCACCTGGATCGAGGAATAGAAATGGATACAGAGACCAATACCAAGTACAAGTATACATCATATGCCAGGTACACGTATCCCAGCACAATACGGGCACACCAAAAAGCTAGGCTGTCAAGTACAGTGCTACCAAAGCACACATACACGCTTTGTTTTCGTTGTAATTCTGCCCCACTTGGAGCCTCATAACATCAAAACATTTTTAACAAATATCCAATATACCGTACAGTGTACTATCATGACTTGCTTGCATTTTGGTATCTATCTAAGCAACCATTCGCATCCTCCCATTCCATACAAGCAAGAATTCCCAATTCGCAATCCCTTGATTCGTTCGTCCATTATCGCCACTCTCGCTTCCACCCCTTTTCCCATCCGCATCACCACACCTTTCTCTTTAGGATGTCTTCTTCGCCGGCGCAGCAGTAACAGGTCTTCCATTCTTCTGCTGATAAACACCATACAAGAACAATCCACCAACAACCACGCCAATGACCAAGATATTGCCTATCGACCCCTCATTAGCCTCTTCACCTTCAGAAGGTATGTTAAACTTACTCAACAAGAACTTGACCAGGCCTTCAAAGGTCTGCGCGAGTCCGGAGATCATGGTGCCCATGGCAGAGAACGTGCTTTGGATGACGCCGAGGATGGTGTTGAGGATCGATTGGAAGACAGCGATGATGGAGGAGAAGACGGCCATGATGGCGTTGAAGATGGAGGAGATGAAGTTTCCGATCGAGTCTAGGAGGGAAGGCATATTTGCGGCTTTTGTGGTTGATCTGTTCGAGTTTGTAGGTAGATTTGTGCGTTTTGTGTGTTTGTTGTCGTGTTTCTTTCCGAGAATTTAGTTCGGCAATAATGACGTACAGTACGTGCCTTCTAAATCCGATCGATTTCAGAGATGGCAATCCAATTCAGATATGGGATTCTTCAACAAAGTAGGTAAACAAGCACGAGGAAGGGCTGTGGCGCGCACTTTATGCTTCCCCACTGCCAAGCCATATCGATTCCTGAACTGTGGCGCATGACCTCACTCTTGTTCACCTCCAATCATCTCTTTTCGATCTTCCCGTCTCTGGTGGTTCCTGAGTTGATATGGCGTCACACTGCTAAGGAACTTGATTCGGGTCTCACGTGGATTTGGCTAGTGGATGCGGAGATGGGAGTCTAGATGCTGGGGATGGGCTTTATTTGATACGTATTGCTGCCTGGGAGTTTGTGATGGAGTGCATAACCCGGATTCTGGGCTGCGTCAGTGGCGTTTTTGACAGTTTGGACGGGGTGCGGGATTATCCGATCCGAAGTCTTATCAAATCTCTTTTTTTTCGGATGGCTTCATTTGTTGGTGACTTCGTTTCATTGTTGATGGCTGCGATAAGGGTTTCGAATTTTGTCACGTTATGAGACTATTTTTAAGGGGACTTCTGGAGCCTCTCTCTTCTGATCCTAACTCAGCTCACGGAGGTGATGAGGCTGATTGATAAAAGGTGCTTTGTTCCACGAGATCATGGATGAAAGACTAGAACTTCCTGCTGGTTTATATTTAAGTCGTACTTTCAAGTCTTTATTCTTTCTCTCGGTCTCCTACCGAACAAGCTGCACCAAGATCCTACCAACATCTCAAGACGAGAGTTTCTAGGAAAGCTCTCGGTCAATCAGTATTCCTTCCTCTCTCAAACTTTCGACCTAAAAATCAATAAATACAATGCCACCAAAACAAGATACCCTTCCCAAGAACTGGCCGCCGATACTCCCATACCTCAGAGCGCCATCATACAGCAAATCACTCACCCCAACCTATCTCTCAGCCCTCCGAACAAAACCTCAAGATATCCCAGTCATCCCAACGAATACCCCTCGAGGCCCATGTCAACTAGTCCGAATAACGCCCATAACCTCACCTTCCCACCCAACAAACGGCCAATCCGGACTCTTCGCAACACGAGACCTCAAACCAGCGACGTTCATTCTGCAATATATCGGAGAAATCCACGCCACTCCCTCAAACTCAGATCCTGACCCTCACGCAGAATCAAACTACGACCTTAGTCTAGATAGAGAACATGGGATTGGTATTGATGCAGATAAGAGGGGCAATGAAGCGAGGTTTATTAACGATTATCGGGGCGTGGCGGAGAGGCCGAATGCGGAGTTTAGGGAGGTGTGGGATGAGAGGAGGAAAGAGAGGGGGATGGGGGTTTGGGTGCTGCCGGAGGGGAAGAGTGGGAAAGGGAGGGGGATCAGAAGGGGTGAGGAGATATTGGTTTCTTATGGGAGGGGATTTTGGGGGGCGAGGAGAGAGGGTGAGGTATAGAAAAGGAATCCGTTGTTTGGAAATGATAGCACTCTCAGGGAGAACTCGATGTCGACATTGTGCTTGTATTAAAGGCTAAAACAGAATGTCTGACTCGGGGTTGGACAATTTGGTAAGAAAAAGTCACAAAAGCTTAGACTCACTTCTAAGAATTTAGAACATAAGCCTAAGACAGACATTGGTAAGCCATATCACCACTCTCCAACTTTCTCATCTCTAAACACAATCCTCAGTCACCTCCACAACCTCACAAATCCCCAGTCAAAAACTGCGCCCTCCCCATCCCAAAACTCCAATCCTCCCTTTCATTCCTCGAACAAGAAATAATCAAATCCGTCCCCGGCACCCCACAATCGACCTCCAACCTCCTCTGCAGCTCCTTATACACTGCTTGCTTCGTCTCCGCATCGCGTCCCTGCTGGAAGATCTGGATGAAGACTAATTTATCCGTTCGCTGGAAATTGAGATTTGTGTCTTCGCAGATGATTTCGTAGGGTTCGTGTTGCGTTATGATTTGATATCTGAAAGTGAATTGAGTAAGCGAGAATGGGAAAGGGGTAAAATGAAGAGGGTATTTACCGGTCTCGTGGCGGAGCGTTGAATTTCTCGAGCATGACTTGTTGGATTACGTCGGCTAGTTTTTTGATCTCTTGGGGTGTGCGGATACCTTTTATTATGTCGATTTTTACGAGGGGCATTTTGGATGTTGGTACGGTCACAAAGCACTACTACTGGGAGGTTTTGATTTCGTTCGCAGTTGATGTTATGTGACTTTATATCATTTCTTTCTATGATGCTGTCCGACTTCGGCCATGACGTGGGTCAGGTACCGAGACTTACCGGTAATGCAAGATGTAAGTGTTAGTCAGGAACGAGCTATGATAAGTGGAGCGTTCTCGAAGTTTGGTCGAGGTACTCCGCGGATACACTGTTTTGGAGTTGTCAGCTGTGGATTTGATGGTTTGGGACATTGTTGGTGTAGGCTCTCTTTGAGAGCTGTACCTTAGCTTATATTGTAGCATCATCGTCATTTCGCTTTGTTTATCATTTCACACTGTAAAGAGAGGGAATGTATCAATTTTTCAAAGTAACAATAACGATGCATTTGCTCAGACTACTTACTCTCTTACTCTCTCTGACCTTCCTGCACCTCACCTTCTCCCTCTCAACTCCCGACCCCGTACCAACAACCAAGCCATCCTCTCCTCTCTTTCCCTTTCCTCATGCGCATACTTACATCTCAATAGATGCTGATCTCTCGGATCCCCAACCGGCTTAGAGCACAAAGGACAGGCATTCTCAGTAGGATTCTGTTCCTCGGCTCCACCGACAAAAGCAGTTCCTGATATATGTCCTGCTAGGGTGTGATCGAAGAGAGTTGATAACCAGGGATCGAGAGTTTGGGAGATTGAAGTCTCGGTACTGTTAGGTTGAGTTGTGGATGTTGTGTCTGTGTAAGGGTAGCTGAAAGTTTGTAGGTTTGAAGAGGCGGAAGAAGGGAGTTCTGCGTCGAAGGATCTGGTTTCTGAGATCTGAAACTCGGAGTCAAGGTCAGCATTGAAGTCCTCTGCTGCTTTGGTAGACGTGTCATTAGAAGTGCCATCAAAGAACAGCTGTCCTGTGGCATTTACGTCAAACTTCGGTGAGTGCTTGTTTGAGTGATGATCTGTGCTCAGATTCTGACGTCTTTGTTCTCTGATCTTGAGGATGAGGGTGCAAGATTCGCAGGCTGGGCCGAAGGAATAGGTGCAGTCCTCTTCTGAACAACACATGATCGGCTCTAATAGCGAGTTCAGACTATTTTCGGAGCACATATGAGGAACGAGGGTGGACATTTTGAGCAAAAGTCTGTTTTAGGATGTTCTGCCTAGAATAGTGATATGATGCAGAAGATTTGAGATAGAGGGCGATCCTTATAGATTTGAAAGTCTTTGTTCTTGATTTCAAATAATAGTATTGTTCTATTATTTTTAAGTATAGACATGTTCTTTGTGTTTCGGACTCAGCCTCGAGTCGAGACACCTTACGCATAGTACCTTGGAAAATGGCTAGACTTCAACATTGGTGGCAGCTTGGAGACAAGAGTTGGATAGTGAACTTCTGGAAATCAAGGCTTGCCAGAAAAACCAAGAGAAGTACAACGTTCATCAAATCGTGCGTGATATTCATCTAAATAATGCCCACCGACACGGTGCAAACAGGATCTCAGACTTAGCCATGCACGGAGAGCAGCTACTATGGGATTCAATACATTGAATAACACACTCTTCTCAGAAACAGCAAGAGACACAAAACCAGATCGATTAATCGAAGGAGCAGAAATTCTTCAAGCAACGACACTGAAAACTTAATGTCTGATTGCATTTGCTAATTGACTGCACTGGATAAACATCTCAAAGAATATACAACAATCGAGAGTACCTGCCTGAATGCCATTTGCTTTGCAAACGAGTTACAATTAGGAAATTTTTGGTCCGAAATACCGAGCTTTCTTGTTTCACAAAGAAGCAATCAACTAATGAGTGCTTCTCAGCAGAGTCTCATCACAAGGGTAGATGGACCTTGTCCTTGAACGAAATTGTGATTCAGGCTTCGAGACACGAAAGAAGCAATAATAAAGGTCTGTGCCCGCCTTGTCAGTGATGTACATGAACAGCCTGCAGGAGAGCGGCCTTCTTTTACTCACCGCTAAAAGGAGATCCATATATCTATAAAACGGCTCTCCCACGATTTCAACCCTAGAATACTTCGGTCCAAGAACATGAGACCCATCTGAAGAGGGAGAAATCTCTGTACCATCAGATGACAGATGTACACTAAGAAAGGTTTGTGTAATGAGTTTCCGGTCTTTTACCCTGTGCTTTGTTTTACACACGGTTTGAAACTCGCGTCGTGATTGGACAGACTGAAATGCGCACAAATGCTTGTGCATGATCTTCGAAGATGACTCCCGAAGCTCCCCTCTCTCCAAGAAACACTGACGACACCAGCATCTAGCAACAGATCCTCTGCCAATTCCGGTACAACGAAAAGGTTTATCACACGATATCAATCATCAGATTATCACGACCAAGTATCCAATCTCTCAACGTCCTCTTCGCGATCGTAGCCTGGAAACGAAAACACCCCCACGAATATCTACAACAATCCACTGTGTCTGGCAGGCTCGTCGCGATCCCTCAATCTCCTTCTCTTCCCTTTCCCAGGAATCTTCCTGCACTTCTTCCGCCTTTAAAAACGCCGTGGTCCATTTGAGGCCATAGCGAGGTAGTCGAAGTGACTGGAAGAGATCCTTTGCCACCTTCTTCCACATGAGCCACCTTCTCTGGAAATACTACCATAATGGAGATATCGACAAATTCCGGCACCTCCTTTCAAATGGGAGTAATAGCGCGGCACATACACTGAAGGGCTATGGAGGGATAGGTGGGAATGCTCATAGCATGGGAAGCCATGTTGGAAGTCTCGGAACGTCTCCAAGAAGTGCTGTCAAGCATCGCAAAGTTTCTGGTCAGCCTGGGACCACCAGTAGCGCGAAAGGTGCAAGTACGACTTTGGGTCGCGCAGAGATCAATAGCAGAGACTATGGTGGACTTACCATCCTCCATCGTGCTGCATCCTCAACTACCGAGAATGCGACAAGCTTTGCGATGGCTCTTCTAGAGCATCCTGCTATAGACCTGTACATCCAGGACACGGAAAATGGATGGACAGCTTTGCACCGAGCCTTGTATTTCGGCAACATCACTTTGGCTCGCGCTATCATAGAGAAGGATGCCCGTGAGCCAACTAGCCAAATGGGCAATGCAGGCCAAAGAGCAATCAGCTCAGTCATCAAGGTCAAGGACTATGAAGGCAATAGCCCATTCGATGTCTATAACGCTACAATCGCACGGCGCTCCCTCCAGGCTATTCCTGATGCTTCAGGATCTGATGATGGATCTGATGATGCCGCCTCGTCGATAGCTGGTACTAATCCGGAAGGGCATTTAATTCACGGAAGTATTGATGGCGATGAGGTGTTTGCTTGGGGCAGTAGCCGCAACCATGGTCTGGGGTTCAAAGATCAGGATGACCGTCAACACCCCGAGAAGATTACTTTGAAACGGCCTGACCATTTACTCTTTCGATTCTACCGTGAGTATGTCGAATCAGTGGCACACGGAGATACTGCTCTAAAGCTTCCACCGACTCCAAAGTCTGTTTCGGAATTACCTATCTTGATCTCAAATCGACCTATTGTTATTCAAGATGTTGCGGTATCAAAGCTGCATAGTGCAATCCTCACAACTGATCCAGAATCCAATCTTTATATGTGTGGTTTTGGGCCTGGTGGAAGACTAGGAACTGGGGATGAAACTACACGTTTCTCATATACTCCTATCGAAGAAGGTGCCCTATCTGGTAAAAAGGTCATAAAAGTTGCTCTTGGACAAAATCACTCGCTAGCCGTTACCTCGGAAGGCTCCCTTCTTTCTTGGGGTACCAACACCCATGGTCAGCTTGGATACACCTTGCCTCGACCTGCACTCAAAGATGAAGAGCCAGTCTGTGCCACACCACGTCAAATTTTTGGTCCGCTGAAGAGAGAGATCATCATTGGAGTTACCGCTTCTGCAATTCATTCAGTCGCTCACACTTCGACATCACTTTTCACTTGGGGAAAGAATGAAGGTCAGCTGGGCTTAATGGACTCTGATTCTCGAAGTCTCGAAGTTCAACCAATACCTCGCAAAGTTGCTGCCTCTTTATTCAAATCATCGATCAACATGGTATCAGCTATCAATACAGCAACCATCGTTCTTCTTGCCAACCACACTGTTTGCGTTTTCACTAATTATGGGTACAACATCGTTAAATTTCCGTTGTATGAAGGTTTTACAAATTATCACTTGCAAAGCAACGCCCTCACTACTCGTTATGAGTCTGGCTCGAACCATATCTCCCACATTACTGCTGGTGGTGATACAATAGGGGCCTTGTCGAGCAGAGGCGATCTGTTCACTGTCACTGTCAGAGGTATTCCTACGACTTCTGCAACCAGTACTACCAACCCATCCAAAATCAAGGACTCGTTGTCACCTCCACAGCGTGTGTGGTCCCTGCGAAAGGGCAATTGGGACGGTATCAAGTCAGTCGGGATCACAGAAAATGGCTCCGTCATTGTCTGCACACAAGCAGGCGCAGTCTGGCGCCGCATCAAACGAGCTAAGATCAAAGATGCCTTCATGGGGACAGGAAATCTGAACCGCAAAGACTTCAAGTTCCAGCGTGTTCCAGGATTAACGAAAGTCGCCGCAGTACGCAGCACGCCGTTTGGTGTATATGCAGCTATTCGCAAGGACTGCGATGTGACTAGAACTCAAGTCCTAGTGGCTGAGCAAACGTTGTGGAATGATATGGCCCCTTTGCTTAGTATTCGTGATCTCGAAGCGTCTGAGCCTCCACAAGAGGAAGAAGACACCGAAACTCCTCGATACTGGACACCAGCTCTACCGAAGGGGCACTTCGAGCCTTTAAAACGTGCAGTTCTTACATCTCCCGACCTTGAATCCGATGTTGCTCAGCACCTACTCGGGGAAAATCTCGAAGGGTATGATGTTGAGATTGGCACCTCGAGTTCTGACGTGTTCATCCCAGTTCATGGCTTCATACTTGCTCGAAGTTCTGTTCTACGGAAACTTCTCAAGGACCACGCCTCTGGGACTGTTTCAATACCCGAAATGTTGACGATTCCTGCTTCCGACACCCTGGCAGTATCGTCATCTGGCAAGTTAAAGACACGAATAATCTTCCAAGGACTAGACTTTATCACCATCGTAAACTTTGTGGTATATCTCTATACTGACTCCATCATTGATGTCTGGCACTTCATTCGGCACTGTCCACGAATGTCATTCAGATATCGGCAAGTTCGTGTCGAGCTCATGAAAACCGCTGGTCAACTTAAGCTGAGCAAGCTTGAAAGTGCGGTCCGCCTCATGACCGAGTCTGAGCGCCGCATGGATGCAGATTTGGCTATTGCTTTGCAAGATCCAAATTTCTTCAATGATGGGGACGTCATTATCGAATTGGACGGCTCTGAGTTGATAGCGCATAGTGCTCTGCTGTGCCAGCGGTGCTCATTCTTCGAAAGCCTTTTTCATGGCCGCGCAGGAGGCCAGTGGCTTGCTGGGCGAAGGGGGAGCGGCGATGATGTGGTCAGGATTGATTTGAAGCACGTCCAGCCGGACACTTTTCATCTTGTCTTGAATTATCTTTACGCCGATTTTGGGACTGAATTGTTTGATAATGTTGTTTCAGCTGATATCGACGAGTTCTCTGACCTCGTTTTGGACGTTATGGGTGTTGCTAATGAACTTATGCTTGATCGCCTGTCACAGATCTGCCAGCAGGTGATAGGCAGGTTTGGTAGGCCATCTTCTTTCTCAACACGTTCAACACTAATGTTTCCCAGTGACTACACGCAACGTGTGCCAACTCCTAAACCACATCGCTCCTTGCTCTGTAACAGGATTCAAGGACGCAGCTCTTGAATATCTTTGCCTCCAACTCGAGTCGATGCTTGAAAACCACTTACTCACGGACTTGGACGAAGACCTTTTACTGGAGCTAGATGAAGTCGTGCGAGCGAACCAATTGAATTGTCTCCCCTTTGCAAAGAGTGGCAGAGCAGAGCTTTTGCTACACGAACGTCATCCGGGCCTTGCAGAAGACATCCTTGAAGAACGACAACGGCGTATGAAAGACATGAACTTTCGCGCCAACATGAAAGATGATGAGAGCAAATTATCTACCTCGTATCGAACACGCATTGGCAGTCTCGATGATCTCATGTCCGCTTCACCAACTCAGGAAAGATCACGGAGGAAATCCAAAGCTGTTCGGAATGCACCTTTCAGCCCTAGTCTTCGACCGAAAGATTCTACAATAGATTTGATGTTCGATATGGATGAGGATGAGACACTAGCCGTCGGTAGTCCCATATCTCCCGTATTAAGACCTACTACAGACGAGAGGAGTCCTGCCAGTCCAAAGCTTGCATGGGATGAACCTGAGCCAAGGTCTTTGCCAGACGATGAAATTTTATCTCCTCCCTTGAGAACACCGCCGCCGGGCGTTCGTCCTACACAGGTGCAAGCTACATCTAGTCCGAAAACGTGGTCGTCTCCCGTATTTCCGTCATCGAAGCTCGACATGCGAGAGATTATGGCTCAGACATCCACTTCACGAACTTCGAATCTGTCAATGAGTATCTCGGCTGAGAAGGCCAAGAACGAAGCTGTTGGGAAGCAAGCGAAAGCAAAAATGTCCCAGAAAGAAAGGAAAAAGCAGCAACAGCAAACGATGCAACAAATGATCGCTCAACCTCAAATTTCTCTAGATAAAGGAGATGGCAAAGCGGCGTCTCCATGGCAAACTGCAACCGTGGGCCCGAAAACCTCTCTGAAAGATGTCCTAGGCGAGCCCCAGCCTTCGCCATCGGATATTTCAAGCAAGCATCTAGAGTCTCCCGCCGCATCCCGGAGCATAACACCAAGGAGGACTGCATCGCCTGACACTCGCTTCTCAGGTCAGCAGCGCAGCGTAAGCAACAGCAACATTGGGAAGGGGAAGTCTGCAGCAAGCTCTTCACGGCCGCTGACTCAACCTCAAACCGCGAAATCCGCGCCAATCGTACCGCACTCCAAGTCGTATACTACCCCGGCTATGAAAGCAGAACCTTCCCTCCAATTGTCAATGGCAGACATCATTGGACAGCAAAGAAGAGAGCAGGAGGTGATTAAGGAGGCTGTTGCGAAAAGAAGTCTTCAAGAAATCCAAGAAGAGCAGGCGTTCCAGGAATGGTGGGATCAAGAGAGTCAGCGAGCGCAAGAGGAGGAAGCTGCCCGTGCCAAAAACGCGGGATCTGGGTCAGGAAGAGGTGGCAAAAGTGGTGGGCGTGGTAAAAGAGGTGCAAGAGGTAGAGGTGGCCGAGGGAGAGGCGATTCTGGCCAAGGTCAAGACCGTGGGCGTGGGAGAGGTCAAGAGAAGGGTTCTAGTACATAGCATAGGAGGGTTGAAAATTCTGTGCATTTGTGTATGTATATACTGCAATTCGGTCGGCGTTCGAAGACGGACATTGCTCTGCACATGACTGCGAGCTGGCGTTATCTAGAAATCATAATGATCCTCTAAACCCCTGCTCTGACATAGTTTCTCGACTATTTTCTTAATTTACGAGTCAAGTCTTGAGTATTCCGGCTTATGATTATTTATCTGACTATTCTTCTGGTTAGTCAGCAAATACAGAGATTATTCCGTACTATGCTATGCCACAAATAGATGAGATTCAGTACACTTTACCTTCATTGTCTTCAGTTACACACTGTAACTTTCCCACCTATTCAATTAAATTGGAAGTCCACCTCCTCTTTCTTTCTATGACCCTTCTCCAAGAAACAATTATCTTGGAGATAAGCCACATGACTCAGTGCAACGCACGTGAACGGAAGTACATCACACCTCAGGCCTTCAGACTAAAATCGCCCACTTTCGAGGTCTTCTCAGCATCGACAAAGGCCAATGTATTACGAAATACTCGCAATCATGAGATGATAGTGGATGCCGATCAAAGAGAGACCGCCTCAACCTAGGTAGCTGCGCACCCAGAGCGTAATCGGACAAGGCGAACAGCTTCATTAACTTCTGGCCCAATAATGAGGTGACCCGAAGATAGTTGAACGTTGGCCAGAACGTATTTGTCCAGAGTTGTCGTACCATGCGCGTTCTGCGAGTACCATCGGCTGCGCATGCAATCGATCACATGCTATTTCATCAAGCAGCTCGAGTCAACCATGGACAGTTGTTGCCATTCGGGGGCCTCGCGTGCCTCGAAAAGGTGCAGGGTGTAGCACACTTCTGATGAGGAGCCAAAGTCCGCCCAGCTCTCTTATCTTCAGATAAAAGCGACGCTAACCTCGTCGTGCCTGAGGCTCAAACGTTGATGAAAGAAAGACGCATCGGGGCTTGAAGCTGCTTCCGCACTTTGGCCAGTCCGTTCAATCCCATCTAGATTCAGTCTGAAGCTGTATATTCACCGTCTCACGCTCTTTACCACCACAATTTTGCGCGGTTGGAGAGTGTGTCTCTGGTATAAGCGCCTGGATGCCTCGTGACATCCATGAATCTCTCTGAGCCATCTGAGATCCTAGTCACACGAAAACCGCCCTACACGGTCCAAGCATCATCAATTCCTTGAAGGAAAGGGTTTCTTTCCAACACATTCGGCAGCAGCCCCTCATTGACCCCCAATAAACTTCACCGAACAGAAAAGTCCTTACAGCACGATGTCCTCTGCCTAAGCTGCCCATTCTAGGCCCCAGCTCCGCCTGTTGCTCTACTTCATTGGTTCACCGGAAGGGCACTGCAGGATTTCCCACTGGCAGAAACTTGTCAAAGATTGAGGAGGCTATCCAAAATAATTAGAAACTATCAGACTATCATGGATACCCAAATGATGAGGTATTCTGGTCCTGCTTTCATCGACATCTAGCCCCGACAGCTGCCGTTAATTCTTGTATACGGACGAACCTTTTGCATAACCCAGCACGCCATACAAGGACCTTGCAACGACAGCTTGCTCACACTCGACGTTCCCGTCGAAGAAACTTCGACAAAATGCATCAACATCCTCGACCCTCGCCGGTGACGGCATCACCAGCCTCATCCCCTCGAACAAACCCAACCAGAACCAACAATCCCAGAGAAGAAGGCATGAACTCGAATTCAAGGACAGCATCGGATGCACCTGGCTACAACGAGACAGATGAAGGTAGTGGAGATAGCGGAGTCATGGCTACCGGTCCTAGTAGAGACGCTGTCAAGAAGATGGATCAGATCATACAGGTTAGACTTGGCAGACATGGTGAAGGTACAATACGCTTTGCTGATCAGTATTGTTAGAATTTCCACACAAAAGCTGCCATAGTTGTCCTTCAGACTCGAATGTCCTTGCCTTTCATGATCAACAAGGACGGATCAAAAAAGGTCAACAGATGGGTAGGTGACGTCTGTATTGTGACTTAGAAGATTGAAGCTGACCGGTATATAGTTCCAAATCGAGACCGATGATACAAGCAGTTTCCGGGAGGAGTTGAGTCTGTGGAGAAGCTGTGGAGGATACCAAGACCGGCCTCTACCTCTCATAATCGAAATATACCTCGACACATCAAGCTTGACGAGCAGCCAGAGTTTAGTCATTGTTGACGATCAAGGCAAGCGGTGGGATGTATTGGATGCGTTGAATCGCTCGAGCGGTTCCAATGATGGAGGCACACGGAAGCGGAAGACTGAAGTGGTTTTGGAGCGGTGGAAGTTCGAACTTAAAGATCTCCCAGGAGAAAGGATATACGACTTTGGTTCTACTCTGCCCACCGTGTATAAGATGTGCATTGTCTTCTTCCGCACGTTGTATACGACAACCAAACTTCTACCGGCATGGAAGTTCGCAAAGAGCATGGGGAAGAGCAATTCAAACAACTCACTTCGAATTAGCTGTCGAATATTGACCGATGATGCCCAACCCAACCGCTTCGATGCGCTTACTCATCCACTCTATGAGAATGGGGGCGCAGTTACATCGGAATGCCCTCTCGGCACGACCGAGACTCCTGTAGGACAACTCTCAGGCGTAGTCACATACCGAAATGATTGTAGTTTTCGCGTGGATGACTCGGAAGCACTGCTCAGCTCACGCTTTATGGGCGCTGATGAGCACTTCTTCCAACCTTCGTTAGGAGTAAAAGCCAAAGATCGCCATGGCATCCCCAAAGCTACTGAAGTCGGATCCTTGCCCGCCCATCGACAACATTTTGATAACCCAGAACCTATTCAAGCATACGGAAGTCTCTCTACATTTCATGGCGATGCCCCTCCACGAGGATCAAGCCCAATTTCGGCTCTTAGGGCTAACAAGACCATGGGATCGGACACAAGTTCCCCTCCCGCTGGATCTGTACCTAAGACCAGGCCATTACAGACCTCAAGAGCGTCATTAATTTCCATGGAGGGTATCACAATGGCTAGAAGACCATCTGTGTCCTTCCAGCCGTTCAAGGCAGGGTCGTTATCGTCATCTCCAGGCCGGGTGACGCCTGTTCAGAATCCAGGCGACATGCTTCCTCCGCCCTCACCACAATCTCTCCCAAGGACCTCTGGCATCAGTGCTTTGACTCAGGCCCGGAATCGTTCATCTCTCACTGCAGGTATGCCGGCAACATTGAGAGGTGGCCCTGTCGTACCAGACACTACTGTGGCGTCAATGTCAAGCTCACCAAGACCTACGCCACTCAGCAAGTATAGTAGCAGCTTTGGTCACAGACGCGGCAGATCATCCTTTGGTGGCGCGAGCAGATTACTTGACGATGATCAGGGTAGCAGTGGAAAGCAAAGCTTGTCCTCCTCTGTACAACCTGGCTCTGGTATCCTTACGGAAGCAGGTGCTGGGGCAAGTTCAGACTCATTGCAGACTGACGATGACAACATCTCGGAATTCTTAAAGTTGCTTGACAGCAAGAAGAATCTACAGAGTTTTGAACCATCGGGCGAAGCTTCAACAAAGCGAACGAGTGCCCAGCTGTCAAAATTCCAATCGATGCGAGAGTCACACAATGCTTTGACTGAGTCTATGTCCTCATCAACTATGTTACACCGCTCGTCAAGCTCGTCAAGCAGGCAACTATCAAGTGTGCCCCCAATGGTTGCAGCCACATCGATGTCCGCATCCTCCTCACCAGGGAAGCCAGTGTCACCCCATACTCCACATACGCCTGCCATACCTTCAAGATTAAGTGCAAATTCTATAGCAGATTATGCTGAGCCTCGAAGGTTGAGTTACAGAAGCAGGACTGCTCCAGAGGTTCCTCTAGAAGATGTCGCGGATGATGATCAAACTACTGAGCTTGGTACAAATGCCATTGACATCCCTACATCCCCACGAACGTATTATCCCCACGCTAGAAGGTCAAGCTCTGTTGCTCAGCAACACCGAGCCATTGCAGTGGAGGAAGACTTGGGAGATCTGCCATTTGGCGTTCATAGGAGTATTAGTCTTGGAGCTGATGATCGAGAGCCACCTAGTCTCAGTGCTTTACTCGGACTAGGACAAGCCGCCGATAACCCAACTTCGCCCACCTCAGAGTCGCCGTCTCGCCTATTACAGCCAGCACCACATATTTTAGAGCCCAAAGCAATGACTCATGAAGCATTAACTTCTCTGGAGGCTCATGAGACAGGAAATACTCAGGCTCCTCGCGGCCAATCTATGTCATATCGTCCAAGATTAGGTCGAGTTGGTGGGCGCGGCACGACGCCGCCAACAGGCTCTTCTAGTCTCATCGAGAGAGCTAGTGGAAGTGGGACAAGTGAAAGAGCAGGTGGCAGATATAGCTTTACGCGACCAGTAGGCGCATATGAAGCTGATGATGAACTCCTTTTTCAAATGAGCGAAATTGGAAGAGACTCGTCACGAAAGAGTCTTGAGGAGAATAGAGGAGGCGGCAATGTTGGGCCGTCAGACCGACGTTATGATGTGCATAGGGGAGGTGATAGTGGCTCAAGTAGTAGGAGAGGGAGCAGCCACAGAGGAGGCTGGTAAAGATATTGTGCCTACGAGTAGGTCCCAAGAGGATCATCGAAGACCATTTGTGCGAGTTTACATTTCACCATTGATGCATTATACTATACGCTATTTACGATTCCGGCAGCATACCAGGCTGAGCCTTCGGAACATCGGAGTCTGGGCTGGACATGATTTTTGCGTCCCACAGAATAGGTGGCCTTTGTTCTTTTCGGCGCAAGATGCATATTCTAGTTTATCAAATTGACTTGAACTGACTTTTCGGAAGGTTGGATGGATTGGGATTTTGATACCTAGGAGTTATCAAGAGGTGTGGATAGGCGAACGTTTACTGAGATAAATGTGATGATTGCATACTGCAAATATTATAACTTTACATTCTACTTCTGTGATTGCCTTTCTGGTGAAGTAACCCAATACTGATGGTCATGGAACTCGAATTATACGCCATTACTACTGAGTAGCGAAAGAGTTTGATTCTGCATTCACATCTCACGGTCGTCGAGATCTGCTGAAGAGAGCAGTACACTGATACTGATTTAGAGACTGAACCCATCAAACTTCGTCAGTTTGCTTGTCTTGAACAGGAAGTCATACCCCTGAAACACGCCTCGGGTAACCTGCCGGAGTGGTAAGCTTACTTCACACCGAGGCATCATGAACCGAGAACGGAGAGCTAACTTCCCCGCATAACCGGCGAGGATTGCGACTCGACACCCAAGTAAACTTTGAATTTCGATGTATGACGATCTCTTCTCTGTAACTGCCCCATCTCAATCTACGAATTCACTCAGCTCAGTCAGAGTCAAGTTCCACTAAAACACAAAGCCATTAAGATTGAATTTCGACTTTACCCCTCCCTTAGAACCCCACCTCTGGACACGATGGTTTCCGCTGTGCGAATTGCTCCTACGAGAGCTGTGCGAGCCATGAATCTGCTTCGAACGGGTGAGCTCATTGTTATACTGATTTGCTGTTTGCATGTTGGAGCTAGAAGACTGGGAGCTGTCCTGCAAGCCATTCACCATTTATATCTAATGGGGTCCTAAGAACGCCCCAGCTCTGGAGCTCTGCATCTAGTAACAAGAGACTTCACAATATGCTAACATGCTTGTAGTCCAATATACACACCCACCAACATGTCCTTGCCATGTTAGTAAATTATTGCTCCATATTGATCGAAATTTCGAAGACTGACATTCCCAGGGAAACCCCAATCATCATCACCACCATAAACCCTCGAACGGTCTTCTTGCACATGCGAAGCGAAATCTCCAACGAAATTATGCTACCCCGGTTGATCTGTCGAGACAAAAAGAATATGCTTTTGAAATGGCTGCTTCCTCGATTCGTTTCGGTCCAGGTGTTACAAAGGAAGTTGGAATGGATTTTAAAAACATGGGCGCTAAGAGGGTTTGCGTCGTGACTGATAGTACGGTCAGAAATTTGGATGCTATGAAGCAGGTTATTGAGGGCCTGACGAGAGAAGGAGTGGAATTCACAATATATGATGGTTGCAGAGTGGAGCCAAAGGATTCCAGCATCAAGCACGCCATTGATTTTGCGAAGCCCTACCAACCGGACGCCTTCTTGGCTGTTGGTGGCGGATCAGTCATCGATACTGCTAAGCTCATGAATCTGTATACCTGCTATCCAAATGCCGAATTTCTGGACTTCGTCAACGCTCCTCTAGGAAAAGGTTTACCAATTGACAAGCCTCTGAAGCCATTGATTGCCGTCCCAACGACGGCTGGTACGGGATCTGAGACAACAGGCACAGCAATCTTTGATCTAGTATCAAAGCGAGCAAAGACTGGCATTGCACACCGTAATCTTAAGCCTACTCTCGGCATATGCGATCCTCTAAACACTAGAACGATGCCTTCAGCTGTACATGCTAGCTCCGGTCTCGATGTATTGTGCCACAGCTTGGAAAGTTGGACTGCAATTCCTTACTTTGAACGGATACCACGACCACAGAACCCAATCAACAGACCTGCTTACCAGGGTGCTAATCCAATTTCCGACATCTTCTCTTTACAAGCATTGAGAAGTACAGTACAATACCTTCCCAGAGCCGTCAAGGATCCAGAAGATCATGAGGCCCAGAGTCAAATGTTGCTAGCTGCAACTCTTGCTGGTGTTGGATTTGGAAATGCTGGTGTTCACTTATGCCATGGTTGGTCACGTTCTGTCTTTTTGTAATTCTCATACTGATATCTCGCAGGCATGTCATATCCCATCTCAGGTCAAAATCCAGGGTACAAGCATGCAGGTTACCAAGTCGAAACGCCTATCATTCCTCACGGAGTCTCGGTTGCTGTGTCCGCTCCAGCCGTATTTCGATTTACAGGTCCTTCGAATCCAGAGCGCCACTTGGCAGCTGCCGAAGCATTTGGTGTTGACATCTCAAATGTGAAGCGAGAAAGTGCTGGTGAGGTTCTAGGTGAAGCCTTGACCAAGTTTTTGGCAGATTTGGGCGATCAACCGAAGGGTTTGAAGGATCTGGGATTTAAGAGAGAACATCTCGATGACTTGGTTGAAGGCACAATTCCGTGAGTCACGTTCCCAAAACAACACCCTATTTCGCACCGCCTAGCATTTTGATATGAATTCCTTTCTCAATGTGTCAAGCAATCTTAACAACTAGTCCCTCTGCATTGTGTGAAACAATTACGCTGACTCAAGATTTAGACAAGCGAGAGTATTGATGCTCGCCCCAGGTTTGGCGGAGGAGGTGAACGAAGAGCGGGAACAATTGAAACAATTGTTTGAGAATGCAATGGAACATTAAATTGAGAACAGAAGCTGTTGTTCTCTCAATTTAAATGGTGGCCTTCCCCTCGGGTACGATCGTGACAATAGTAAAAAAATTAGGGGGGCTTCGCTTAAGCGAAACTGTACATAGCACAATAGCAACACATCAAATCCTAATGTCCATGAGCAATTCACAATAGCTTCACCAGCACAATAGGAAAGAAACTTTCGAAAACTATAAACCCAGGTATCCTCCCACCAATTCTCCCCAGAAAAAAACACATCACACTCTACATTCAAGTTCTACGCAACCGTCCCACCAACAGCCTTCAAACTCCGTACCAGTACGAACTTCCTCTGCTTCTTCTCCCTTCCAACCTCAGCACCAATGGCTCCGCCACCCCCATCCCAAAGCTCCCAGAGCTCAGCAACAAAGTCCGTCACCACCACCAAGCTGCTGGCCAGCGAAAGTCCTGTCCCAGGCACCACCGTTCTCGCCACCCCATCTTCTTCACCACCACCAGAGTCTGCCTCTGCGGCAGCACCACCAATCGTCCGGATCAAATTCCGCTTGATCCACAACCCGAAGCCAAAGCCGAAGCCAAAGACCGACAAGCGCAAGAAGAGAGCCACCACCACCAAGCCAGCACCGAAGAAGAAAGCCAAAGTCCAGCGCCGCAAGAAGAAGGCACCTCGAGGTCCAAACCCGTCGCAGCTAATCCTCTCGGTCTCGGACATCGGGGTCATGCCCTTTGTCAGGACGAGCCGAAACCGACGATTGGGCCTCGAGGGGCAGACTCTTGCGGGCTGGGACGGAGATTTTGTGGAGGAGAGTGTGTGGGCTGGGGATCGGGTTTGGGGGGCGGGGGAGACGGAGACGTTTCCTGTTTTTGACGAGGAGGAGGCGATGAGGTTGATCAGAGCGAGGGCGGAGATTTAGACGGGGACAGAGAATGAATGGTATTCTGATCGCGCGATATGATACATTTGTGAACCTCCTACTACCTTGCCCATGTGACTGACTTCCTTCCCATCCATCCAATATGCTAGCTTCGTATCAAGATGCCCGACTTGAAGGAGCGACCGAGTTCGTTAACTAGGAAATTCATTATTAGGAACTAAACTAGTACGCCGTGCTCTGCCTATAGAAATCCGCTGGTCCACCTGGAGGCGCACTCGGTGCAGCTACATTCTCTGCTGTGCCTGGATACGGTTTGTACTGTCCTTGAGAGGGTAGAGTTTGCCTAGCATCTCCGGGAATGGAAGGATAAATTGGACCTGAAGGAGCGGGCGGTGCAGCTCCAGATGGTGCGGGAGGGGCATCGTAGCTTGGTTGTCTTTGGGGAGCGTATGCGCTGTATTGCTGTTGTGCTAAAGGTGGCTGACCTGTTCCGCTTCCACCGGCGCTGTATGGGTCTTCTTGAGAGTATAGCGAGTTACTATAAGTGGAATCGCGACGGTTTCCAATAGGAGAGTTGTATATCGAGGTTGCAAGTTCTTGGGGGTTGCTGTATGTGCTCTCCGGACGATGACCAGTCTGAGGTTGGGGGCCGGTATATTGATTGGGTGGCGGTGATTGGGATGGAGGCGGCTGCTGGTTGGAAGGTATGCGAGGAGTGTTATCCCTTGGAGGGTATGCTTGTTGACCTGGAGGACCTTGGGGCTCTTGGCCGCCTTGTGGTGGATGCTGCTGGGCTACGACATAGAAAGGTGATGGCCCAGTCCTGAGAGGTTGAGGTGGGTATGGTTGATCTAAGATTGAATGTCAGTATGAGTAGGATATTGAACGATAAATTTATTGACCTTGTTGCGGATTCGGACTATAATATCGGCCAGGGTCGTTTTGAGGTGGCGCAGCTTGCGGTGGATATCCTCCACCATAGCGGCCATATGTAGGCTGTGCTCCCATCGAAGCGTCAAGAAGATGCTCATAGTCACGGCAAGATTTGATAAATCTTTCATTAAGCTGTGTGAAATCATCTATATCCAATTAGCAATGCTTTGTTTCATGCGATGAGCTATTAATACCTTTTCTTTGAGAGTATTTGCCAATTAACTCGATGAGCTTTGGACGAATAGCTAGTGTGGAGTGGTATAGCTTCTGTTGAATTAATCAGTATTATTTCCATCAGTTGAGGACTGTACTTACGGTGATCTCTTCATTATCCCGGACATTAAGGTCAGATGTTGAAGTGCTCAATAATGTAAGGAGCTTCTCAACATTCTTAATTTCCGCAAACACCTCTGCTTCCATTTGTGCCTCCCGTTGTAATTCTTCTGGAGTCGGATCTGCCAGCTTCTCAACATAGTTCAACGGGAAGATACCAGTTTGTCCTCTGAGCAGCCCCTTCCACCAATCCTTGTAGACAGACTCTAGGACAGCGATGATGTCGCCTTTTCGGAAAGTCAACTCGTCAGGATCGGTCGCGTGGAAGTCGAATAGTGCTCTCACTCTCGAGACAGTAGCTGCTGTGGTACCCGAAGGCATTGGCTGTTGCACGGGGGCTGGCTGAGCTTGGGAAGGTCCGCTGGCTGCCTGCGAAGCATTTGCTGGTGCTTTGGGGCTCCCATCACGGATAGACAATTGCAATGCCATCTGTAGCTCTTCTTCTTCCTTCTGACGATCCAAATCCGTAAGCCGACTCTTCTGCGGGGCTGACGGCGGGTGCAGGTTCGGGTTTTGGGTCTTGAGTTTGTAGTATTGATCTTTCATGATACCAAGATCCGGGTCCTTAAACATCTCCGCCCATTCTTGCATACGTTCTAATATCTTTGCCTTTACCTGCTGATGTGTGTTTCGATCGCTAGCTAAACGTAGTAGTGCATCCGTGAAGGCTCTCGAAGCAAGCTCTCGGTGCATTTTGGGACCGCAGTTTTGACTGAGCGCATTTGCAAGCTGGAGGGTATGTTAGCCATGATGATATACCTTCACTAGCAGTAGGGCGACGGACTTCCAAAGTGTATAACTGAACATTGGCATTTCTATGCGCCAGCCTCTTGATCATGCTTGCCACGGCGTCTTTTGCACCGCTGTCCTCGCCAGTTACCTTGTCGCACACATCCATGATATATTCCCAGTTCTCGGAGGTGAGATTCTCGTCGGTCGCCTTGGCTGTAAGGAGTCAGTGGTCGATCTACCAGCAGGCTTCAAGCTCATGAAGCTCTCTGAGTTGGGTAATGGTTCAGCTTACCGACGACATCGTCAAAAGCGTTCTGCTGAGCGCGAAACATTCTTGCCTGATTCCTGTAGCCAAGAAGTCACAGTTTCGATGGTACCGTGAGATCTGATGTTGAGGCAGGGCGTTGTAGTGGTGGGTAGGTATGTAGGATAAGTTGAAGTGACGAGCTCCCCGCGATGGACGCTAAGCACTTTTAAGGTTATGCCTGGAATCGTCAATGGCATTGCGTACCACGAGCGCCAAGGATTCACCACTGCCACTTCTAAAGTCGCCTCTTCCAGGCTGCAATTCTATAAGCCACTAAATATCATCATCACATGCGACTCAGTTCTGTTCCAAAGTTTGGAATATGGTAAGAGTAGCTGGAATTATTTGTGTCACGATCACAACCTTTAGCAATAAAGGCATTTGGGATTTTCTCAGGTGCTTCATAAGCTCGTTCAGTATCCGATGGTCATCAAGAGACGAGGGCGCGAGTATATGCCGTCAGATACTTCTCAATTAACTATTTCCAATTATATCTCCTCTAAATACTATTCTCTTCTTTATATCTCTTCTGTCCACATTCGACCTTTCACTTGATCTAGTGGGGTCTCAATGCTCCGCTATCCCTGAGATGTTTGCTCTGGGTCTAGAATGCATAAAATATCATGCCGATTCTGCGCTCTTGAATCACAGCGAACCGTACACGTGGACATTGAATGATTTCTTTGCGACCTTGGGAATCGAAGGATATACCACCTCGTCTGATGCTGACTGGCGGGTTGTGAACAACAGCCCGGGAACCTCTGTTGTCTGGGATCTCGTCTAATAGTTAAGAGACCATCTCAAAAATCAGACAAAAGTTGAACATTAAGGAGTGTTGTCCGCTAGATGTGCTGAGTTATTTCGGAAGAGGGTTGAGACAAAGCTTGGTTGAGGAGAGGATGAGTCGCTCATTACGACGAAGGACTATGAAAGGTTCTAAGTAGAAAATCATTCAGGATAGCAATTCAACATTCTTTCCTGGTTGTTTGATGCCTTCGGACTTCAGTCCCTAGCTTTTATGTCCCTGGAGCACTTTTGTTCTTCCCGACGAGTCCGTGCAATGGGGAGAGGAGGGGGCAGATTCGCTCCTTTTCACTTGCGCTGCAAGTTGTCAACAATATATGTCATCTGATAGATGTTCCGCGAATCCTGGGACACTGTTGGAGTATTGAAAATTTGTTGATACCACTGTCCGTCTGCCCCCGAAAGCTCGTTTAAGAACGTAATTATGCAGTTCCTATTTGAAATTCTTACATGTTTCTTTTCATCTGCATTTCTTAGCCGTACAACTTTCTCAATCGCAGCTTCAGCATTTGTTCTGGGAAGATGTTTTAGTTCTTCCTACACCACCCCTTTCCTTTTTGCTCCCTACTGAATGCAGGGGAATTGATCCTGAAAGTACTACATTATGATAGATTAGATAAAGCCCTGTTCGTGTACGCAGAGAGAACGAAAACAACGGATATGTCATATTCCAACAACCACCTGAGAAGGTGCGGGGTTAGTTACTGTCTCAATCTTACACCCATCTATTGAATACGTCCCAGCAAAAACAGACTCCAGAAATTCAAAAGCTATGGGGTTCTCAGCCGCAGATTCCGAGCCATGAGTTCCAACCGTGTTACGCCGGTACCAGATACTGGCACCCAGCTCACAATACCGGTCCACGAGCTCATCCGTATCAACCACCGGACTCAACTCGTCATGAATCGCCTTGTACACAAACAATGGCATCGTTGGCAGGCCGTGGTCGCCCATCGTGTTATCACTCTTCACGACCGCCTGCACCAGCGGGTCATTGAGGTCCGCAAATCCGTCAACAAAATAGTTGGATATGTTTTGGAACTCGAAGACCGTAAGGTCTGTGAAAATGTCCCCACTCGCTGCTACTGAGAAGAAGGTGGTAGCGTTGTAGGGACCGGTTTTCTTCAACACGCTCACCAAGTACTTGCGAGCCAAGGGGAACTGGCTCGTTACGCCCACGAGCCACGAGGGGAGCAGCCCAGCGGAGACGGTGCCATCAACGGTGTCCCGAACACTTGTAATGTTGGGTACCGTCCCACCAATTGCAACACCTACAAATTTGAGTCTGGAAGATCGAATAGTCAGCAATTTCCTAGTCCAGAAAAAATCCAAAGCAGAAAGAAAGACGAGCCCTGTTAAAATTCCTTTCGAGGTTGCGGGATAAGAAAAGAAATCTCTAGGGAAAGGGAAGAACGATCTTGGGAATCGGTAGACTTACTCCGGAGCATAGTCTTTCTGCAGTTCGGCGGCAAACTCACTGGCGATTGAGCCACCCGAGTATCCCGAAAGGGCATACTTGACCTCCGGAAGCAGTCCAAACGTCTCCGCACAGCTACCACTCAACACGGCCCTCACTCCATCAAGTACCGCATGCCCAGACATAACACCGGCACTGAACGACGCGAGCGGGCCCTCGTAATCCCCAGTGAGAACATGCCAGCCCCTGCCCAATCCCGCGCTGATATCTGTAGGCGTCACGCCCGGCTCATAAATCACGTATGAAGAGCTTCCGTCAACATTGGCATTGTCGTATGGGATCTGGTACGAGAGGAAATACTCCCCGTAGTTGGGAGTTATCACACTTGGCAGGAAGAGCGTCGCTACAGCCCAGGTTGGCTTGTACTGGCTGTCAGTAGTGCGGTACAGGATATTGTAGGCGGTGGAGCTGTTGGCGATAATATCAGTGAGGTTCCCTGGCGCTTTGCGGATGCGGAGGATGGTTCCCGGGGTCGTGGACTCGAAGCCAGAGGGAGGATCCATGTACCAGCTGTCTTGCGATGGTGGAATTGGAGTGGAGAGAACGTCGGTTGGGATGTGGCATGACTTTCCTAGGGTATAAATTTCGTTGGGCTGTTTGTTGACTGGTGATGCTATCACTGTGGCGCATACGCCAAGGATCGCCACGAACAGGTGTTCTAGATGCATTTTCATATGGCAAAATGGTTGTCGCAGTATGAACCTGTGCGGAAGGTTACTGAGAAAGTTACTAAGAGGAAAGAAAACTGCGAAGCACGAGAGATAGCTATGAGAAGTAATTAGAGTACGTGCTAGGAAAGAATGCTGCGCCGCTCGTAAGTAGGGTTACATTACCGAGAAGCTTGGATTCAGTGCCCCTTTACCCTTACATCGCTTAACACGGTACTTTTCGAAAGTGCCGTTAAAGCCGTGCTATTCAGCAAAGGAAAGGTATTGTGCCCCTCAACTGTGCCACTGAACGCACCTCAAAGCCGTGAGAGTGACCCCACAACTTCTCTTGGGCCGTTATTCCTCGTTACCAGGTAATCGCCCTAGCCGATTTGGTACCAGCGTTGCAATTTTCATTATTGCTTGCCGTTGTAGTACATCTAACCCGGCTTCTCCATTTGTGCTTGCGGGAATAGGAACCTCGCTAACCGCCATCGTCTCCACTAACAACCTTCACCTCAGCATCCTTGGTCTTCTTTTTCTGTTTCAATTTAAACTTGGTGGCCAAGGTAGCCCACGTATTGACTTCCTTCTGGAAAGAAACAGTCAGCCTTCTTGTACCGAGACGATTGGAAACTTTCGGGATAAAACTTAACTCGATAGGAGAAGAATGAAGACCAACCTTCCGCAATCTTAGCACACGTCCCCTTCTGTAGATTACCGCCAAACCTACCTTTGCAAACCCGAAAACCACTTGAAACGCCTGGATTTTCCCTGAAAAGCTGGATGATTACAAGTGTAGAAATAAGAATTGCATTTGTTCAAGATCCTTTCGATTGGTCGCAACCAAGTCGACAGATCTAGTAAAGGAGTTGTTTAGTTCTAAAAGTAGGCTACTATGTACTATTAGAGGCTATGAGAAGTGGGATTTACACTCAGTCTTCGGCACCCGTGACAGCTTGTAACATTTCGGAAGCCATTCATCTACTTCTTTTTCTTTTCCCATAGAACTTGCACCAAGGCTTCCGCAGACTGAAAAGTCAGTGCCATGCCTTTCAATCATCAGCATCTCATACCTTAACCCACTCGGACAACTCACCATGGCCATTGAATCCAGCACAAATCTAAACCCCTTCTTGACCCAGAGCTTCTCCAACAACGGGCTCAGAATCTTGGGTGTATCCTATAATCCCAGTCCATTCTTGGAAAGTCTCTCCGTCGTCTCCCCAATTATCTCGTCCAAAGTACTTGGCAGCTGCAGCCAAGAGATACTTGGAGATGTCAGGATGAATTGTAGTGTCGTCGAAAACAGGTTGTTCTCTATTGCTTCTAAATTTTTGACCGCCGCCTTGAAAGAGTCACTATGAGATTTGCACTACGCAAAGGGAGTGAAGCTTACCAATAATTATGTCCCCTCCGCCAGAGGTTCCTTCCGCTCTCGACTACATGTAATCGCCCGGGCTCAAACCACAAGTTCTCTTCAAAGCTGGGCTACCAGCAATGTTCGACCCTGGTCGGTATTTGGGATTTCTCGGGTGCTTTATAGATTCGTTCAGTATCCGATGGTCATCAAGAGACGAGGGCGCGAGGGTTCGATTACTGTATCAAAAAGTCTGAAATGTTGTTCACCGATTTCCATTCCCACATTGCTTTCGAAGGAGCAGTGGTAGATCTATTGTACAACATGAGCACCTATGTCTCCGGCCTCCACAGATGACAACATAAGAGTCCCCAAGGAAAGGGACAATAATCCATGTAGAACATGGCCAAACCCCCTGACGCTATGCTTCCAACGACAATGTACCTCCAGATAAACTCTTGAACCAGACCCACCAAAATTAAGGCCTATTCTGACTTGGAAAACGCCTCGAAACTCCATCGTAAATGCATGAGAACAAGAAGAAGGTTGGGCGTATCTGCTAGGTATGGTACAATCACCACATGTCATCCGCTTCGTCTTCCTGGTCTTGGTCGTGGTCATCCGAATGTCCATAGGGGTAATAGTCCTTGCCCTGCCGCCCATATTGCCCTTGATCTCCATACCCATTCTCTTGATTATGCTGCGATGCACGGGACTGTGGCCTATTGGAGCTTTGGGAATGAGACGACTCTGCTTGGTGATCGTAATCGTAGATCTGAGAATCATCAACATAATTGACCCCTTCCGACTTTGGAGTTTGCTGTTGCTCTGCATACTGAGCAATGCCCTATTAACTAGTTAGCTAGATTTGAAACCCGGTGCAAGACGTCCTCACCTGATGGTAGTCATATCTGTACTGCTCCCCACTTTCGGCTGGTTGCTGTTGCTGCTGCTGTTGGCGTAGTTGTTGTTCCTGCTCTTTCTGTCGCCTCTCTGCTTCTTGCTTCTTCTGAAGTGCAGACTGAGGAATTTGCATCTGAGGATGCATTTGTTGCACCTTGGCTAAGTAGGCGTACATAAAATTGCTCAAGAGAACCTGGCTATATAATGCCCGGCGCGGATTTGCCAACTTTATATGTGCCATCCTGTAGATAGCCCTCTCCTCGAGGATAGAGAACCTGGTCCAAGAATAGTCGATATCTGGTTTGAGTTGTCTAGGGGGTGGCTCCGGTGAAAGAGTTCGAAGAGAGCTGCCTTTCTTTCCACCTGAATCACGATCACCCTTCTTCTTGCTGCTGCTAAAGAATGACGAAAAGAGACTGTCCTTCTCCTTTTTATGCTCTCCGCCTGATTTGCGAGAGCTTTCTTTTTTCCTCTCATCCTGCAGCTTCAGATCTATGCTTTCTCGGTCCAGCAGTAAGCTTTCCCGGCCTCGTGGAACTCCCGCATCCATGGTTGATTGTAGCACATCGAGTCGAGTGTTATCATGAGCTTTGTCCACGACCACCTTAGGTTTGGTCTTCTTGTGATCTTCCTCTCTTTTCTTATCTTTCTTCTCCTTTTCGTCGCTACCTTTGAACCAACCCCAACTTGGCTTCTTTGAAGAAGCCGAGGTTTCTACGTCGTCTTTCTCTTTCTTTGACTTCCGCTCATGCTTCTTCTCTTCCAATGTCGGAATGAATGTGAGCGTATCAGTGCTTGCACTACTTCCAGGGAGCGGAGATGGATGTTGTGCCATATCATTCAAGGTTTGTTGAGGAGCAGCTGCCCTAGGTATCGTTTGTGGATTTGACGAGTTTTGCCGGTCCAAAGTCGGTCGTCTACTCGATCGAGCTGGAGGTTCAGGAACCACTTGATGATGCAAAGGCACAGGTGCCTGGGAAGATTTTCTCTCAGGGAACTGGTGAGCTTGTCGAGGAGGTGGAGCTTCGACAGCTTCCGGTGGGGGAGGAGTTTCAATGATGCGGGGAACAGGAGTATCATTTCTTGGAAAAGTGCTGCTCCTAGGGAGATTTCCAGGTTGTGGGATTTGCGGTGCGGCTTCTCTAGTAGGCTTCGCTTCTGCTTGGCCCAGCTTGTCATCTTTTCCACTACCCTCTGTACCCGAATCTGACGGGCTCGTCTGAGGAAGATTCTGTAGTCGGCGGGCTCCGCGAGTTGGGCGTGAGAAATTCTCTGTCGAAGTTGGTTCCGATTGGACCCTGGTAAGAGGGAATCCTATGGGAGGGCGTCCGTCAATTGGGGACGATGCTGGAGATTCTTCTCCGTCGGTATCCGCTTTCATATTCATAGCACCAGCTCTTTTGGAGAACGGTACCCTCTCTCCCTTCCTTAAGCTACCTTTCCTATAGGTTGTCCTTGTGGAGCGCCTCAAACCAATGCCTGGTGCTTGTGGTAAAATTGGCATATCCTCGTTTCCGGGCATTTCCCCATTCATACGATTACTGGTATCTAAACTCAGTTGCTGCATCTTCGTAGGATCTCGAACTAGAGACTCAAGTTCCTTCAGGTCCGAGATCTTCAACTCCGGGGTCTGCTGTGTAGAAAGTGACTTCTTCCTTTCCAATTGCTCTGCACCGTCCTTATATCCAACAGCCCCTCTCCCACCATCATTATCAATTTGCCTCGAAAGCATTGATTTCTTCCTCCTCAGACTACTCCCAGATCCACTTCGTTCGAGACTATCCGGTGATAGACTTGCCTGTTCGCCCGATCGCCGCTTGATCGATTGTACTCTCTTTTCGAGGAACGTTTTGAACTCCATTGGCGCAAGCTCGGGATGAACCCGGGCTGGGACCCAGAACAACCTTGACGGATCGTCCTCATCATCATCTCCTGTTGGGGCAATTGATGGCATAAAAGAAGCACCTTGGAATGATGGCAGATCCGGATCGCTCGTGTTTCCCACATCCATCGACATGCGCCTCAAAGCTTGGAGATTATTCAGTTCTTGAGCAACAGCTGCCGGATTTGACTCATAGTCTATATCATTAAGCGGAAATTGCGCATTCGCTGTTTCCGCGACATTACGATCTCGAAGTGATAACGTCGGAGATAACGTCCCCTTGTCAAAAGACGTGCTCCTTGGACTCTGTAGCATGGCGGGCGATGTGTGCGCCTTTTTCCCAGTCTTCCCATTCGTGTTCGGAGATGGCCTGGAGCTGCCCACATCCAGATAGGATCCTCCTGGCCCAGATGATTCGTGTAGTGGTGAAGTAACAAAGGTCTTCGCTTCGATCGAATCGTTTAGAGGAGAGGTTATAAAGCTGAGAGGCCGTGAGTCGCGTTTCGAGTAGTCATCGTCTCCATACATGTCCCCAATTGCCTCAGTAACACTTGACACGATTAGCACGATGTTCCGACTGCAAGGATAAAGCAGTACGTCAAACTTACTGGTGATTGGTATCACTTATTGAGAGCTGGGGGACATGCCCACGTCTGCTGGCGAAGCTTCCCCCAATCTCTCCTCGAGGTCTGGATGAGGTCTGCAGAGAAGGGCGAAGTTAGCAAGTCGTTTGTATACGGGTTATATCTGTATTCTTGTGCAGGAAGCAGTACAACGTCCGGTGCTCGCGTGCAACAACGGAAAAGACAAGCGCGAAGCCTCAGATGGTGACTGGCGAATGAACAAAGGGCTCGCAGACGTCCTGGGAGCATCTGGTGCGAAGCGCAGAACACTACGACGTACCTTCATCGGGAGTCGAAGAACGAGCAATCGAAGGAATGTTCCCCTTGCGTTGGGCCTGGCACCAAGATTCTCGTTGGAAGCGGTGATCTCATCGGGAGCTGTCGAGGACGAGAGTCTGGATCGTTAAGGATATGGGTAGATTAGGAGTCTTCAAGAGGTGGAGGATCGTGGTCGCATGGCAGGATGGTGAGGAAGCTGGTTATGTTTAATGAGAGCAGAGCAGACTGAGCGAGAGACGTAGTGGAGGTTCTCGGAAAAGCCTCTCAATCAGGCCTTAGCGAACGTTCGACCTAGAAAGCCAAAATCCAGCGTCCCTGTGAGCTCTAGAATTGTTTTTGGGGAAGAGGCACACTGCACGACACCGCCTGTCTAATGTACGGTCCCGAGCTGGATGGATAATGGTTGCAGCTATGGACAGCGGGCAGTAGCTGTCAGATATTATATCCTGGACCTGGACCTGGACATCTATGTGTGTGAATGAATGTGTGAATTGCCAGAACCCCCTATTCCGTTCCTCCTCTCCCACGTACAGGCGCCCAAACTAAGATGCATTGTGAATGGTCGCTGACGGCCCGCCGGCTTTAAGAAACCTTTTAAGCCACTTCCACTTCCACTCTATCTAGCGCTTAAAGATCCATATGAGATATCAGTCAGCAGCAGCTAATTACAAGTGCCAGCACGATCTCCGCCTCTGCAATATGGGGCTGTAGTGATGCATCAAGACAAGCTAGCTCCAGTAGCTAGACGCAGTGCGAAGGCATGCCGTCAATCGCAGTCTTTGGAGCGTCATCATTCCCGGCATGGAGGTCAGGATCTGGTTGCATACTGCTAGAGAGATTGGTGCAACGAATCATCACAACTCAAACCACACCCCTTTTGCTGTGTTAGTCCCAGAAGCTGCGGAAATGGATCTGCTTTGTTAGATAACAGCCTCGTGGGACAGAAGCCACTGTACAGTCTGGTGACTCGTGAGCCCTACCATATTTTCTATCAGATTTCTTTGTCTGGATGAGGGGCCTGAGTTATTTTAAATATGTGCGTCCTCAAGAGGGACCGTGGCAGATTGGGCTTCATGCATAGGTTCTCGGATGAACCAAAGGCTTTCAAAAGTAAATCCACACCCTACTTACACTTCACGCTTCCTCTTCCCACATTCTTTGACTTCATCCGTACCATAGCTGGTACAGTACCTATCGAGGTCCTCTTAATGTATCGATCACGTGCAGCATTGCACTTTGACAGCCCATCAGAAGAAGACCCTTGTACGTACACTCGGACATCAAGTCGGCCCGCCACCAGATCTGGCATTGATAGCAATTCAAACAAAACAGCATGAGATCATTTACTACGTGTGCTATCCATTCATGCTATTTATACCCCTTTCCAGTTGCATGCAAATCATGCCAGGACTCTTCACACGCACCGAATCGCAGTGTACAGGTCCTCTTACACATAGTTGAGTGACAATACCTTTATTCTCCTTTTGAGAATTAATAAGGTTAATCTAGTGGCCCGCAACAGAGACCTTTGGTGGGGAAGAGCCTACTTCTGCATTACCATTGGGTCACTGCATGGGAATGTCACATTTCTCCTTCGGTTCCGTTGATCCGTCTTTATTCGACGCTGGACCAAGTGGAATACTCGTTATCAAGTATGAGGAGGTACTCTTGACGATCATCTGAATTTGCGAGGTAATGTACTGAGGTGTACTCCGCATATTGTGTCGATTTTCCCCGCAATTGGAGAGTGGCTTGCATGCAGGGACGCAACATATACAGCCGGCGCCGCTCCGGAGAAATTTTACCTCTTCGACTTCTTTTCGGCTTATTCGACCCCGAAAGACCCTTTCTCTTCGAGATATTGTTTATAATTTGTAGACTACATATAGCTGCATTATTGTCCGTCAAGATGTTGTTCTTTAGGTCTCATCTTCTTTCGTTACCCTCGACCTATCTAGGTCACTGCACAAGATGGCTCCTCGGAATCTTGTGGCTCGATTGATATCACTCTTTCTATTCGTCAACGCTTCAATTGCTCAGTCATGTTGGAAGAATACGACCTGTAGTGGACCAACGGACACTGCCTTTCCTGGAACTTGGGAGTCCAATATCTTCGCACCCTCTTCGAGGACAGTCTCACCAGCATCCATACTGTCTTCAGAAGGGGCGTTTATCTCGAGCTTTCAAGGATCTGCCAAGCTTTCAGGCAATGGCTCTCAGCTTGTCTTCGACTTTGGCATTGAAGTTGGTGGTCTAGTAACACTGGACTACTACGCGACTGGGCAAGGCTCAATTGGTTTGGCATTCACCGAAAGCAAGAATTGGGTTGGCGAATGGTCGGACTCCTCCAATGGGGAGTTTAAAGGTCCCGATGGTGCTTTGTATGCAGTCTTCAACACATCTGGAAAGTATTCGTATACTATGCCAGATATCAGACTTCGAGGTGGCTTCCGGTATTTGACCCTGTTCTTGGTCTCCAATGGGACTGCTACAGTCGACATCAATGATATCAACCTGACCATCGGATTCCAGCCAACTTGGTCCAATCTTAGAGCATATCAAGGTTACTTCCACAGCAATGACGATGAATTGAACAAGATTTGGTACAGTGGAGCATATACATTGCAGACTAACGCAGTTCCTGTTAATACAGGTAGACACGTTCCGTTCCTCATCACTGGTTGGCAGAATGATGGAGTGCTTGGTCCTGGTGATACGATCATTGTTGATGGAGCTAAGAGAGACCGAGCAGTCTGGCCAGGTAAGAAGTCCAAGCCCTCTAGGTCGCACTCGTTGCTAAATCAGGTTTTGTAGGTGACATGGGCATCGCAGTGCCTTCAACTTTTGTCAGTATCGGTGATTTAAGTCCTGTCAAGAATGCATTACAAGTGATGTACGATTATCAAGTATGCTCTCGGTCTCTGTTGACTTCTTAATGCTAATGTAAATGAAGAACCCAACCACAGGAGCATTCCCAGAAGCTGGACCACCACTTTTGCAACTTGGCTCTGACACTTACCATATGTGGACCATGATAGGGACTTTCAACTATTTTCTTTATAGCAACGATACGGCATTCCTTCAAGAGAACTGGGCAAAGTACCTTCTAGCTATGGACTATATTTATGGGAAAGTGACCTATCCAAGTGGTCTGCTGAATGTAACCGGCTTGAGAGATTGGGCCCGTTGGCAAACCGGGTATAATGGTAGCGAACCTCAAATGATGTGAGTAGTTCATTCTCCATTCGCGGCTTATACTAACGCCAATTCAGTCTCTACCGCACTCTCATTACAGGCAGTGATCTAGCAGTCTGGGCTGAAGATAACACAGGTCTCAATGCCACCTGGAACACTCGTGCAGCAAATCTCAAGACAGCCATCAATCAATATTGCTACGATGATGCCTACGGAGCATTTAAAGACAACGCTACAGCCACAACTCTTCATCCACAAGACGCAAACAGCATGGCCGTCGTCTTCGACGTAGTGGACACAGACAGAGCCGAGAGTATTTCTACAAAGCTCTTGGATAACTGGACACCGATAGGCGCCGTTACACCTGAACTTCCTGGGAACATCTCACCATTTATTTCTGGTTATGAAATTCAAGCTCATTTCTCCATTGGCCAAACAGCGCGAGCATTGGATTTGATTCGAAGATGCTGGGGCTGGTATCTGAACAATCCCCTCGGAAGTCAAAGTACGGTGATCGAAGGCTATCTTCAGAACGGGACGTTTGGGTACAGATCAACTCGAGGCTACGACTATGACGCTTCATATGTCTCACACTCTCACGGCTGGAGTTCAGGGCCAACAGCTGCTCTCACAACCTATGTTCTGGGACTCAGTGTTACAGGCCGAGCAGGCTCAACATGGAAACTCGCGCCTCAATTTGGAAATCTGACGAACGTGGAAGGAGGATTCACGACTGGGCTTGGAAAATACCAGGCGAGCTGGGAAACGAAGGAAGATGGGTATGCTTTGAGCTATAATGTTCCTGATGGTACTATTGGGGAACTCGTATTGCCTCTCCTAAACGCTGGCGAACTTCCTAGAATCATGATTGATGGACAGCCTGTGCCGCAAAGTATGAATCCTGAGATTGTCGGGGACGCCGTGGTGCTGAGTTCTGCTCAAGGTGGTAGTCACGAGATAGTTGTGCAGTAGAAGATAGACTTTGGCTAAAAGAAGTTCTACTAAAAATCATATTTTCTACAGATCTACAAAAGTGGCTGTGCTGTTTAGCAAGCACCTACAACTTCCACATATGAGAAAGTGTCCTAGTTGAATAATCTGCTACATGGTTATCCCCACAATCATATGATTCAAAGCAGCATTCATAGGGTCGATAGCAAGAGCCCGACAGGGTTCAAGCGAATCTGCATGTCGCTTCCCGCATGAAGTTTGACCCACTGCCTTGATTTTTCCATACCAAAATGCCGGAGACCACGAGATCTCAGGTCGATCCTCATTAGATAGAGTTTGGCCATGTACTCAATAGACCAAGATTCAGGGTCTTTCATCCCAACTCGTATGCCGGCTAGCTTCCTTGAATTGAGGCTGTGCAAGCTTTTAGGTCGAGTTCGAGAACAAGAGCGAGGTTAATCGGTGCAATAAGAAATTTGGTAGTTCGAGATGGTGTGTTGAAGAAGCGTCTGATGACGTAGGAGGACCCTATGTCACGCTAGAAGTTAGAACTCCCGCATCTGATATTCATGCCGAGAAATTATATCTTCTTCATGATCCCCTATTCTATCCTCACGAATTCCGATATTCATACCTAAGATTCGATTTGTGATTGCATCTGATAAGAAACGCAGAGTAAGCAGCCCGAGATCTTGTTGCAGCAAGGATTCGGATCACTAACCACGATGTGCAGCCAGGATTCTCTACCCCACAAAAAGAAATTACAAGGTGAGCAGATGTCTCACCCATGGCGTGTCCCTCTGTACATCGTCACAGGAGGGCGGTGCTTCACTGTAGAACGTCAAAGACTAATCATGATGCGCAAACAGGCTACGATCATGTCTGCTGAGAAAGCTGGACTTCCGGGTTCGCATCCCGTCACGATGCCCACGAGAAATTTCTCGATGTCATCTGCGGCTTCGGATGATGCTGTCCCAACCACGGATCCTAAGGATGTCAGTGTTCCAGATTTCGTCTGAATATGCCCCTCATTGTACAGATGCTAATGCAAATTACTTGTAGACTTCATCTCTTCTAGAAGAGCGTCTGCGAGCTTGGAAGCATGCTGTTGGCTACCTCGAGGATTATGTTTCGGCGACAGAGAAGGTCCAGAAGGCTCATGCAAAGGAGTACGAGAAGGTTTTGAAGGTGCGTACTTTTGAAGTGCCCTAGCCACCCATCAAGTACTGACTAGTTTCGCAGACTATTCAAAACCCTTTGAAAGAAGGACACCACTTTGACCAAAGCTTGGGAGGTATCGCAGGACTGTTCGAAAACATGCGAGTAAACACGCAAGGCTTAGCCAATACACACCTCGAAACCGAGAAAAACCTCAAAGGTTCCGTTCTACCTATCCTCGACCGATTGCACAAGGAGATCAAGAACAAGTCGAAGGAACTAGCATCAGGAGCTTCCAAGGGAGCCAAGGAGGTTGAGAAGGCACGAAACACAACTCAGAAGCACATTGAGCTTCTCGGCCAACACACTGCCGGATTCGGCTCAACTGGGGGAAAGATGAGCGCCCACGATGATCCATATGTCGTTCACCGCGGAGTCGTCCATCGATTGGGCAAGCAGGTCATGGAGGAGAACAACAATAGACATGACCTGATCTCTGTCCAACAGAACTTCCAAACGTTTGAGGTCCACATTATTGAGGTCATCCAACAGGCCATGGCTTCCTTCCAACAATTTGTTGGTGGCCAGGCCCAAAAGGTCGAACAGCTGTACGCAGATATGCTGGCAAATGCCCAACAGGTCCCTCCTGATATGGAATGGAAGGGGTTCGTTGATCGAAACGGTAGCCTTTTGATTGACCCTAACTCCCCTGAACGTACAGTTGAAGGCATTTCGTTCCCCAACATGGACCACAAGTCGACCAAGCCACTCATCGAGGGTACTCTTGAGAGAAAGTCCCGCAACAAGCTAAGCTTCAGCGGTTACTCCTCCGGATACTATGTTGTCACTCCTTCGAAGTATCTGCACGAGTTCAAGGACAATGACAATATTAAGAGAGATCCACAACCCGAGATGTCGATCTACCTCCCAGACGCAGTTATCGGCGCGACCAACGGCGAGAAGTTCAACGTGAAGGGGAAGGATGTGAGCAAGGGCATCAGTTCCAAGCTCTCCGGAAGTTCAGAAATCCATTTCAAGGCCCATACTGCATCTGACGCAGAGAAATGGTTCGAGGTGATTCGCTCAGTCGCTGGTTCTGCTCCTGCCATGAGCGAGCCTACCAGCCCAGTATCCCCAGTCGATACGAAGCATGTATCTCAGCCTCCTCAGTACGCAGAGAACACTGCTGCTTCACCTGTGGCTGCTGAGAAGCAACCTGCTCCTCTGCAGACCCATGGTGTCACTGGAGGAGAGACCGTTGCTAGCCCAGTAGCCGCAACACCAACAACTGCTGCAACCGACCACGCCATCCCTACAACAGGCACTGCAGTTGACGCGGACAAGGTCTAAATGCGATTCTTGTTCAGGGGAAGATTGGAGGAAGTAGTAATGTATAATCAAAGAAGCCAGGAAACGAATTTTCCCTATTACAGTGGCAGATTGGAAACGTGGAGCGAAAGATATCATTGAGCTATTGATTGTGTTAATGAAAACGATGCTTTTCCCTCAAATCTTACTCAGCCTCGAATTCAGCCTTGTGATGATCTGTGCAGGCTTGGGAGACGATTGGTGTCCTCGGTCCATGAGTAAGCCGCATAGGGCTTCGATGTGGCGATCAATCCTCATCTGGGAATTACCTTGTTTTTGATGGATATTCGCCACATTTCACAGCCCTGTGATTCTTTGCACGTTTGAATCAATATACTGAACTTGTATTGTATACTCACAAATTTAAACCGCTGTAAATCCGTAAAATTACCGTTTAAAATGTTTCTGCTAGTCATCAACTCTCAGCACTTCAAGGCCAACATTCAAACCCCAAGCGCCAAGCACACCTAACCTACGTAACCTCCTAGCTCCCGCCCTTAACCCATCCAACCATCTAAAAACAGCAAGCAGATCACCCCTCTAACGCAAACGATCCCCACCACGCCGCAAACTTGACCCCAAACCGGTATAAACGGTCCTTGTATAGCCCTACCAAGAAGACCGGCATACAGACCCAAGACCACTGCCTCCTTCCAGCCACGAATGAGATGCCGCGGCAAGAAAGCTGGGGTAGGAGGCGAGGTTGCGTTTCACGTAAGGAGTGGTGGAAGATGTCAGCCAAGCAGGTAGAGAAGCTTGGTATAAGAGTGAGGCAGTGTTCCTGCTTTTGTCGTGTTCGTTCGCTTGTCTTGCACGTTTGAGTATAGTGAGATTTAAGTTTGGATTTTTATTATAACTTCAAACCTGCGAAGTATATCTCCATCACTTCCATCAAAACTTCGAATTCCAAGTCAAAGATTTTCTTGAACTACTGTCAAGATGTCAGAAACTCCAATCCAAGCCGCACCACCAACGTACGATTCCAACACCGGAACCACGAACGAGAAGCATGAGTACATGCACGTTGGTCCAGAACAACAAGCGTACCAACAGAATGGGCCTCAACCTTCGTACCCGCAACAAACATACCAGCAACCTCAGCAATCCTATCCTCCCCAAGATGCACCCAAGCAAGGCGTCCCTCAAAACAATGCCCCAAGAAACAACTACCAGATGGCAACTCCGCTGGCGAGTCTGCAACAGGGTCCCGCACCTGTCGATTGTCCCATCTGTGGCGTGCGAGAGATGACCCGGACGGAGTTTGTTAGTGGTGGGACTGCGCAGTAAGTATTTCGAGTGAGAGGTGCTGGAGATGATTTGGCTAACAAGGTTGTGTGTAGTTTGTCGGCGATTTTGTGCTGTTGCTGTCTTTGCTTGGGGTGTATTCCGTATATGGCGAGCTGGTTTAAGGATTGTGAGCATAAGTGTGGGCATTGTGGTGGGTTGTTGGCTGTTTGGCATAGGAGTGGAAGGACGGAGGTTATGGCGCATGGTAGAGCGTGATCGAGTGGCGGGTAGAGAACCGTGCGTGACGTTCGCTGGGAGGATAGTTTGGCGAGAGATTGCAAGTGGGTGCTGGGGATAGATGGCTGGAGGGCAGGCGTATTGATACCTTGTGTAACTGGACTAGTCGTTATGATAGTTGCAATGCATACTCAAGATCTGCTTCGAGTCAACAAGCTCTGATCCCAGTGAAATTGCGTGTTTTCCCAACCCATGAACTTCGTTCCACATCCACCTCAACACACACCAGCGTCGTAGTTTCCTACGACAATGTTAGCATCCAGTCAAGTTGTATTCTTAGAAGTAGACTTATCCCCAAAATTTGGAGGGGTCGCCCCAAGCCTGCGAACAAGCAAGAGGCAACCCTGGACTGCCCTCCCTTAGGCCTGTCCTGATCTCACGCTCCGAGAGGCCAACTCAGAGAAAGTCCACAATCCAGCACAGCAACTCAGGAGTCAAATACAACCCTTCGACAAGTTCTGCAATCAGCACAACGCTACCCAGAACAGACAAGCACTAAGCTTTGACTCCAACACGAGATGGGTCCCGTTCTGGACGCTGAGCAAATTCGTCCCTTCCTCTAGGTCAATACTCAAGACTAAGTCTGCAGTATGAATCAACCAGAACATTCTCAACACACTTCCCAGTCTTTCGCAACCCAGAAATTTCATCGCCCAAGCTAGCAACTGGTTCTCGTCTATAGAACTTGAGCCCTCAACCCAGCAATAGTTGTTCAATACCGGCAGTGAACCGGACCCGGAATAGACAGATCCAAGGACGAGCAAACACCTCAACGCGGATAGCGAAGCCTCTCTCTGTTTGAACAGCATTGCCCTCTGAGATTAGTTTTATGTTTCCTCTGTACCCTCATGGAGGGACAGGGCCAGAAACGGACAAAATACATCAACAAAAACCGCTTACTTCTCCGCCGCTCGTCTCCGAAATGACGAGGGAGAGGAAATGGGGTACACACACCGCGGGGGATGAGTGACTGTGTGTCGGCGTCTTCCATCACTCTAGGACCGAGCCTAAAGGAGAAAGTTGATGCGGCTGATCGAGATCACACTTATATGACAGAGCCTTTGGCTGATGCCTCGGCAGTGGTCTTGTGAGTTCACTGCGCATTAAATGCGAGGTTCTGATGAACGGAAAGGGTGGATACAACGTCCTACAACTTACTTCGGAAAGTAGCTATCAGGATGAGAGCAGACACGGGACATCTTCACTGGACCAAATCGCACAGAACCTATCTCTATAGCTTTGGTGAAAAGGTTGCTCAGCTAGGTATGGAAGACTTCTGGAGCATGACAGCATGTCTCTTCTTCACGGTGCCTAGGCACGTAGAAGGACTATCAGTGCACTGCATTTCGGTTTGGAGGTAGTGAAATCCCGCTACAAATGCAACAAGCAGATGATTCAGACGAGTGAGATCACTACCAATTCACAACCCGAAGGAAGTGGGAAATGCTTGCAGGAGACAGTCTGTTTGTAGACCACTTTGTAGTGTTGTGCTCAGTCCCCACATTCCAGAAGAGTCCAGGTCACCTCCGCCATAAAGTTGATAAAGCCCATGTTGGCCGATTTGAGCCAGCTTGTAGAAGATCCCAAAGACCTCTTCTCAAGGAAGTGCCTGTGTCTGTGCCACATTGAATCTCCTATCCATGTCATCCATAAACCCAACGAAGACGATCCATAGTGATCAGAGTATAACGCCCAGCCGACAACCCTGACGAGCATCCTCACACGAGGATTTTACCAGAACGGCTCATAGCAGAAGTCTGTTTTATCGTCTTTCAACATCTGGACTATCCCTCCAACCTTTCAATCCTCAGCGTCGATCAGACTTCAGCCTTTCGGCATCGATCATCACTCAGCAGACAAGAATCTAATAATTTGGAAGAACAACTGTGACTGCAAAGCTAGAACCAACAAATACTTAGGGTTAAGTTCTGATCTTCACTGCTCCTTTCGGAGAGCTTTGAACAGAAAGCTATCGGAAAGGCGTAGTGCTTGGTTTGCAGGTGCTCCGAGGAGCGAGAGAGGCTTCGTATCGCGTGTGGGAAGAGGTATCTGGATCCGTCCCAGGTGTGTATTTCGTGTTTGGTGCTGCAACTCAGTATTCGAGGCTATTGCCAGTCAGACATCAAATTGGAGAGAGCTCTCTGAAGCAACGATGAGATAATGGCGTCGTTGGCTGTTGCAATTGACGTTCGAAAGTATGATGTGAGTGTAGAAGAAAAGAAACGCGGGATCATTGACGTGCTGGAGAGTCGCGTCCGCGCTAAGGCAACCAGGCCACCAAATCGCCTCTGCACGTGATCATATATCTCAAATTTATATCACTGGCTCTCGACCTTTTTTTCCTTGCCACTACAATCTAAAACCAGAGAATTTGATTAAACTCGATCTACATGACTGGGTCTGCTCCCAGACTGTTCCTAAAGCCCTCTCACAACGGTAATCAGTCTTGCCGGTCAAGCTGAATGCGCAAGGCCTTCAAAATTCGCCCTGTCAGGGTCGTTCGTAAGTTCTCTTGCTAGACCTTCATCGAGCGCTTTCGCAAATATGGCGCAATACAACTCGAGAAGAGCGGAACCTCCACTCGTGGACAAGATTCTCCAGTCTGGCAAAGAGGCTTTTGACCCTACATTATCTCCTGACGCGAGAAGGTCTAATGCTCAGAGCTTGCTTGCTCTGCTCGATGGCACGAGTACACTGTCTCTCATGCCAGTCTTAAATCTCTTAATCCAGCCTGGTCGAGTGCCGGAGGAGCTTCACGCGATATTGATCTCTACCCTGGCTCGGTTACCACTCCGGCCACGAGGTGTCCAACATACCATCGAGTTCGTTCTGTCAGTACATCCAAGTACCAGCAATGCAGCAGGTGGAACAGGCAGAGGATCCAGTATCTCTCACGAAGCTCTAAATGCATCGTCACGTCTGTTGTCTTCGCCGCCTGCAGGAATGTCAGCCCAAGAGTGGTTTGATGGCATAGCACCGCAGCTCTTCTCTCTACTTCAAGGAGAAGGTGAGCCGGGCATGGACAAAGCTGCTGCGTACATTATAGGATTTGGGATTCTGGGTAGAAAACAATTTGGTGCACCCGGTATGTCTCATAACCCAGCTATTAGACCCTATAATACTGATTCAATAGGCATGCCGGGCTGGAATGCTTTCGTCGAACCCGTAATAGGATCGATCGATCCGTTGCTTTCAAAAGCCAACTCAATTGGTCCAACTCCGAAAGATCCCATTGAGTTTATCGGAAGTCGTAGGGTTCTTGTGCCGGCTCAAGAACTTGCTAGAAGCCTCAGCATTTTGAGTACTTTGGTGACCTCCCATCCCCATCCCTCGTTGAGCAAAAGACTCCTGAGACCAGTACTTCTACCTCTTTGGTATCTCTCCTCTTGGGAACCTTCCAAAGAGGAGTCTCTGACTGCTTACCGCAAGCCAGCCACAGTACTCTTGAAAGTAGTGCTCCAGTTGTTCCCTACAACGACCGAGTTAAAACCTAAGGGTCTGAAGAATGGACTGCTATCCTCTATTCTGCAAAATCTCACCTCTAAAGGAAGGACAGAATCTGGGCGGCTGTCTTGGACTTATGCTTCTGACCATGATGGTATTCGCATCGATGAGGTAGATCCGAAAGATGATGTGCAATTGGAGAGCATCGATGGGAAAGTCAACGCTTTTATCGAACTACTCAACAGTATACCTGAGCTTGAGTCAGATATCTCGGATCTATTCATGGTGTTGTGTAGGAACTGGTTTGCGACCAATGCAAACTCCAGCAAGCCTTTGATATTCATGCAAATGCAACCAGAAGACTCCTTGAAAGACGTCCAGGATCGCCTTGTTGAGGCAAAACTAATACAGCAGATGATTTCAAAATGCCCAAATAAGTTGGTAGGCGACTCCATCCAGGTCCTTGAGCTGATCAACCAAGTGTTCTCGGACTTTCTTTCGGCGGATCCGGGCAAGGAGAACGAGGCTGGAGTTTCACTCAGCCTCCTGAACATTGTCCTAACAGCGCCAAGCTTTCGGCCCAATACCGAAGTGGACGCTCTGATGGATTCAATAAAAGTCTCCTTAGACAAGATAGGCAAGATGACTCAGTTGGAAATATCAGCAACAGCACGGAATCTTCTACTATTTCTTACCTATCGTAATTCGATGGAGGACCCGGGTACCGAACCTCTGAGCACACCGACTTCTCGACAAGTAGAAGATCGCAAGACCTACAGTCTCGGTATGTCCTATCTTACAGCAACCGACTCGCCTCCACCCGTTCGTGCTCAAGGTCTCGAGTTGATAACCACTCTCATTCGAGCCAACAGCTCAATCTTGGATATCCCAGCTTTACTTGTCCTCTTCTCATCATTGTTGCAAGACGATGAAGAATACATCTACCTCAAAGCTATACAATCCTTGGACCAACTGTCTCAGAAGCATCCCAAAGCGGTTATGAAAGATCTCATTGATCGATATGTCGATCCTACGGAAGAATATGATCTCGATCAACGACTTAGACTCGGTGAGGCACTACATCATGTCATGAAAAGTAACTACCTTGCGTTGACTGGAGAATTATCTCAGTCGGTATGTGAGGGACTGTTATTTATTGCCAGTCGACGTGGCTACCGACCAAAATCTGAACGCCAGCAAGCAAAAAAGAACAAACTGAAACGTAAACAAAACGCTGCAGCAGAAGAAGCGTGGGGCGGAGATGTACCACAACTTGATGAGGTACTGGAGGCGGAAACGCAAGCTGACGAAGAAATTCTCTCCCAGATTGTCGGAGGATGGGAAAGTAAGCGTGGTATGGAAGATGTTCGAATCCGTACTTCAGCCCTCGCTATCCTTGGTTCCGCTATCGAAGCAAATGTTGAAGGTGTAGGATCAAAGATTGTCTCTACAGCCTTGGATCTCAGTATCCACATCTTGACTCTAGAGCCCGAACCAGAAAAAGGTATCTTACGCCGCTCTGCTATCCTTCTGATCATGAGCTTCATCAGAGCTTTAGACTCGGCGAGTCGTGAAAGAAAGAAGTTAGGCTTTGGGTTGGTTGGTCAGAGTCTCGAGGATGTGCAAAGGATTCTGGAATATGTCGAAGCCTCAGATAATGATGGGCTAGTAAAGCAGCATGCTAGGGATGTGATTGAAGGGTTGCAGGCTTGGCAAATGAATATTTTGATTCCGCCACAAAAAGAGGACACAGAATTGAAGGAACTGGCTGGACTGTCTATTACACCGCGAGGTTTGGAGGACTCTACTGGGAGAATACGACCTAGGATCGAAGAGATCGAAGAGAGGTAGAAATGAGCTTCTGGTAGGTTGGATGTTGGACCAACCTTATCCTCGAAGAGAGCTGCCCGATGGCGGGCATATAGAATATAGCAAATTCTATGGGACCTATCCGAACTTGGATTGAATTCAGTTCAACTTTCTTTCACAATTCTTGGACGAACATAGACTCTGAACACAACAATAGTAGTTGCATCGCCACAAGTGAAAAGAGAAATTCTGCAGAGCAGAGCGCTTCAAGCGCAGCTTAAACGGATGTCAAGAACGGAGCTATTCACATACATAACCTTCAGATTGAAATGAGTATTGTCAGCAGTCCTTGCCTCTAGTTTGGAAGACTCTTGATGAGATAGACGTCTCGAGGGCGCGGGGTTCTCTTTATGGACTAGGGCCAAGCATGAGTAAGCGTCATCCCTCCACGAAATCTCCTTATGTCCGATTTGTTATGCGCCACATAAAGCTGCGCTGCAAGTGCAAGGAACATTGATCGACGGGAGCATCGATTTAGCTTATTGCTTATATGCATTAAGCTTCGTAGAGGACTTCTCGAAATGGTTTGACCCGATCTACATCCCTCCACGTCGTGCAACGTTGGGGTTTCTCTCATCAATCTTCCAAAATTAGAGCTCAGTACCAAACCTCGTCCGATCTTTCTCCGCTCTGTAGTCGGCACTAAAGACAGGAATCCTCTTTATGGCTGGCCCGAAAAGGCAGGTTACTCCTCGGGAATATGGTTACTGAAATTATTCCTAGTATGGCCCCGAGCGGAGCTTCTTCTTCAAGTGAGTTCAGCCTTGCCATGAGTAAGCAGCCCCTGAATTTATGAAGGGGAGGTTCGGCCGCCAACTGCTTATTTTCAAATTATTTCGGCCCCTGCTTCTCGTATGCAGAGAGGGGCTGATGATCAATTGCTTCTCTTCGATACATATGACTCGCTCAGATGCACAAAAACTCATTTGGCCCCGCGTAGCCTATCACGACAGGGGGCGCCGTGACTTTCTAGGTTACAATTGTCAGGCACTGGATTGTCAAGGGAAGTAAGATTCAGGTTGCTAGCTTCAGCTGCTGTATTGCGCAAGGGTGCTATGTGCACCTCATTGCAAAACTACATATAGCCGTGAATGCCTTTCCGTTATTCTGTATACATGCTTTCAACCAGCATTCGGTGAGCTATACCGTAGTCATGTCTTCTATAGTGCCTTTTCTTGTTCTTCTTTCCCTCGCTGCAGCAGCGCCTCAAGCTGTTAGCCCTTCATCAAGCTTTCAGCCTCTGCCTTCATTTCTAACCAATCCTGTCCACCAACGTGTCTTCCAAGCATATTGGTAGCAGGTGTGACCGTGAATGCTGACAAGATCCTCCAGATCTGACAAGAGACCACTGCGTGTTCAGACAAGAAAGAAAGAATTCAAAGTTCTCAGAGCACGTAATTATTAATCTCGATTTTATTATTGCTCTTCGCATACTTGTACACAACATGCTCTGCCGATTGTACTAGCTATGTACAAACCAGAGTTCAACACGAGAAATGCCTAACTAAGTAGCTTCATATCAATTACCGGTGTCCGGCGTTTGATATCTGCGATAGTCGCCTCCATACTAACTGCAAATGCCAAACCATTAACTGATTCTTTTGAGAGAAGATTACCAGCAAACAGTAATGCTACTGCCTCTCCTTTTCTGTTCAGAATCATAGAACCAGAATCGCCTGCTCTACTGAATGGGATATTATTAAGGCCAACAATAGAGAGAGACCTCGACGTTACTGTGTCAGCTTGCCAATCAAAGTGGTATGAGTCGCATCCATTGACCTTTCCAAGAGTCCAGCCCGTTGTGCGGCCATACTTAATTACGAGTTCTTCGGATTGTAAAGAAACATCGCTAATAGTGGTGAGGGACGAAGGGAAAACGATGGGGAATTCTTCTGCAATTACGTTCGCGATACCTAGAGCTATCTCTCCCTTTGTGAATTCCCATTCCGGAAGCTATTGTCAAATGTTAACACTTGCACTTGCCTAAACTAAATTTTGAAGACTTACTCTATTTGGAGAAGTAACATTCTTGATGAGAGTTGCAAGTCCCCAATCCATCTGCCATCCATTCGGATCTGAGCGCCATCCTGATGATTCAGCACGGCTTGCTAGAGACCATTTTGGATTGTGCTTGACAAGAGTTGGTAAGTGTCTTTCGTAATCTTTCTTTTGTGCTTTCAGAGCTGAGAATTTCTCATCATGCTTTTGGAGCGCGTCAAGAGTAAGCTGTGATCGGTCGCGTTCCTTGAGATGAATTATTTGCTTTCCCAAGGATTTAATTGTGTCCTTGTGGTATTTGCGAGTTGCTTTAATGTCTTGAGGGGAAAGCGAAAGCATATCGGGTGAGCCTGTTGAATCCCACTGACCTCGAAAGGGGTTCATGTTCATCTGCTAAGACCATCACGTGATGATTAGTCAACATGAAATTTCGCTTTTCACCAATATTCAGTGTGGCTTCAAAGAATGCCCCAATTGAGCCAGTTGATGTAGACCCGCGATGTCCAACAGAGCTGCCAGGATGAGCATCTTGGTCGCATAGATGGCCGTCGTACGGCATGTTCTTGCCATTGTCGCTACAAGGCAGGATTTCGACGATCTCAACAGTGAGTTCGGTTGGGACTGTGGAGATGGAGTGCACTGATAGAAGCAGACTGGCTTGTGTGAGCGGTTGTGGCGTATGGATTGGAAAGGCAACAGGATGGCTTACAGTTTGTGATACTCGAATAGAATACGTGCGGCAAGAGTTTTTCCAGCACTTGCACTTAGCATGCCGGCCCTAACATGGAGGAGTGCAACAGCGGGATTCGAAGCGTCAGTATTAGCGATATGTCCAATTCGGTAGCAACCCAACAGGACCCATGCCTTGGCCGTGTTGAAATGCTTAATGGCGAGCACGAGCCTGTCCCAGAGGTCGACGATTGCATGGGCGCCGACACAGGATATGCGCTTGAGAGAGTATGTCTCCATGGGGTTGCCCTGAAAAAGTCGAGGATTGCGTAAGGTCGTCGCGACCAAGCTCCAGTAGTAGTTGATGCCGAGATAATAATAGCGATTAGACAGGGGACCGGAGCCACCTTCGATCTCATCGGGATTAAGATCATTGGGACCTAGAGAAGCTGTGTTTGGATACTGCGCCATAGGTGCAAGTGTTGGAGATTTTGATTGTAGTCGTATGACGAGGTTATGGTAGAGCTTAGATGGACGTTGTGCGTCCTGCAGTATTACCACAGTCAGAGTAATTCTTTGATCTTGGATCGGATTTTGCTTTCTAAAGCGGCGAGCGATGTCGACATGACGCACAGACTAACCTTACAGCCTTAGCCTAAAAGGGCCTAGTACAGCGGGACTTCTGAAGCGAAGACTTCTCATCAGAGCACGTGAACAAAGGTCACGAGTAGGTTAGTCAGCTCCTTCGGAGCCTCAGAATCAGGCCCTTTCCAACCTCTGGATTATTTCACAGACTCGCGAGACTTTTATTGTAGCTAATTTCGGGTTTTCCCACGTATGCAACACATAATTTTGTGCCTATGATGCAAAGTATTCAGCAATTATTGTTTCACTTTGCGTCATATCGTTGAAGTTGTCTTGTTCTTTGAATGACCAATTACTATAGAAAATATGTTAAGATGGTTGAATTTTGTAGATTGATTTTCTTTTTCATAACTAAAGACTTGAGAGTGTGCGGCGTCAGCAAATCACGGCCTCCGGTTTTCTCTCCCTAAATTTCTATCGACCAGCAGCCTTACTTTAGGGAGGGAAGTACTACACGAAGCAACAGCCTCAGTATGAGGAATATGATGTCTCACAGTTCGTCAATGTCAAGAGTGCTTCGGGCTATGCGGTCTACGGAGATAACCAACATGATGATAGCGCTGCTATCAATGCTATCCTTGCTGCAAATGCAAATTGCAAGATCACTTACTTCCCACAAGGAATTTACAAGTGAGTGGCTTCGAGAGCTCTACAGAGATACTTGCTGACAAGATCACCCAGAGTCACCCAGACAATCTATATCCCACCAGGATCTCGCATCGTTGGTGATGTCCTCTCTGTGATTTCAGGCATAGGTTCCAATTTCTACAACCCAGCCAACCCCCAACCAATCGTCCAAGTCGGTAGGCCAGGCGATGTTGGTGTTGCCGAAATCTCCGACATGCTCTTCTCAGTCGCAGACGTTCTTCAAGGAGCCACCATCGTGGAAGTAAACATGGCAGCCTCGTCCCTCGGCTCCGTCTCATTCCACAACGCGCACATCCGAGTCGGAGGCACAGCTGACACAATCGTGAACCAAAACTGTGGAAACGCCGACACCTCAGACTGCAAAGCCGCTTTCATGATGCCCCACGTTACATCCTCAGCACAACCATACATCGAAAACATGTGGGGTTGGACCGTCGACCACTCTCTGGACGGCGGCCCCAACCAGAACATCGCCACTGGCCGCGGGGCACTCATCGAAAGCACAAAAGGTGCGTGGTTGGTAGGCACAGCATTCGAGCACAACACTCTATACTAATACAACCTAAACAACGCGCAAAACGTCTACATCGGCATGCAGCAAACCGAAACCGCCTACTGGCAAGGCTACGGAACCGCGGAACAAGCTCCTAGTCCCTGGACCGCAAATTCCACCATCGGGGGCCCGACATTCTCGGACTGTGCTGGGAGTGGCGATTCGGGGAACGCGCAATTTTACATGGGCTGGGCTTCGCACATCTACTCTTCATCCAACATCGTGATCCACGGCTCCGCTCTCTGGGTCTTCTTCAACGATATCACGGATGGAAGTTATTCGAATGCCGGCTGTCCGCAGTATAATAATGTGCGTCAGGAGAATGCGGTTTATGTTGATAAAGCGAGCGAGTTGTTTTGGTATAATTTGTTGACGAAGAGTACGACGAATATGGTGTGGGATAATGGGGTGGTGACGGCTGCTCAGGTGAATAATCCGGGAGGTTGGGAGGGCAGCGTGCCCGGGGTGATAGCTGCGTATTTGAGGGACTCGGGGATTTCGAGTGAGCAGTAAGTAGAAATTTGTAGATTCAAGTGTTAAAGATAATTTTTGTTTCGAATTACAAGGCTCAACTGTGTTGGACATCTAGCCCAGGCAGTAAGAAGCATTGAACATATCACTCACGAACTGCATATTGGAACGATCTTGATTGATAATTTTCATTTAATTTTGATTCTATCTCCCGCTGTGCAAGAGAATAAACTGACAGAACAAGAAGTGTAAATTGTTTTTGGGTTCCAACCTGCTGGAGTATGAATGAATAGTCGGTCCTTCGAAAACAGTGATGGGGAAAGAAAACTCAGCGTGATTGAACGTGAAAAGTCGTCCATCGTATTCTTCGTCGCAAATCTCTATAACCCAAGCCAGCCATCTTGTTGACACCAAACTCCAAAAACCATGCGACGTCGTATGAAGAATACTCCTTTCCTCTACTCCCATTACCCCGCAGTCCCTATCCTTAGCGAGCCTTTCCAACCGGTCGTCCAGAAGTCTCCCTATACAACCGATTAATCTCCCCGACAATCCGAGCCGTCTCCTTCTCACTCGTCGGCAACTTGTGTCCCAGCTCAAACTCCACCTTCCGCGCCGTGCGCTTGTTAAAGTGCTCGCCGTACAGCGCGTGGCTCTCCTCGTTAAACGGGTCTACCGTGCCAATAACATGCAAACTGGGAAGATTGATCAACTCACCCTTCTCTTCGTCCGTCATGCCGCTCACGAGCGGCGGGTACACGGCGTTCAGGAAAACGCCGAACTTGAACTGCTGGCCCTTGGGGATGGTTTTCGCCTTGAGCTGCTGGTCCAGGACGAGGCCCGCTGCGCATTTGGCGCCCTGGGAAAAGCCCATGATGCCGATGAAGTTGCGGGTCGGGTCCGCGAGGGTCTCGGCGAGGAGTTTCTTGGTCTCTTCCGGGAGGTCGTCGGGGACGCCGGGCTTGGTCCAGCGGTAGAAGGGCCCGCAGCCTTCGAAGATGGGCATTACGCCTGGTCCGGGAGGGGCCTCGAATGGGGCGTCGATGAAGAGGAAGTCGAAGGTGGTGGCCAGTGCGCGCTGGATCCGGATGGTTTGGATCTTGAAGATGGTGTGGTTCGTGCCGCCGCCGTGGAGGCATAAGATAGTGGGCTTCTTCTGGATGGGGGCAGGGGAATTGGGCTTAGACAGGGATCCTCGTTGGATAGTCATGGTGATTGTGTGTGGGGGTTAGCTAGCTTGTGTCGGGGTAGAAGGTTGTCCAACGTATCCAAAGTCTGAGTGACCTTAATTCGAGTAGTCAAGAATGGATCCCAACCTGTCCAAGACCTCACTGGTCCAGTACCCGAGCTGTCAGGAGAGTTCTGAGGTGTGACTGGTTGGTCAAAGGTGTGAGGATAGAATCCGAGACCTGAGAGGCTGAAGTCCGAGAAAGATACCCGAGTCCGAGGTACCGGAGATAGTTCCAAGATGCAGGTGATGGGTAGCCGAGGTGGGTGTGTGTGTGTGTGCGGTGAGAACTCAAAGTGAGTGTTAGCGAAGCCGACAAATCGGGAATCGGAAAGGGTGAAGAGAGATGGGGGATCTTAGTCGGGTTCTGGACAAATCAGGAGGCGTGTAGAGAAGATGGGGGCCGTTGTCGGGATCTGGATGTAGATCGGAGATTTAGAAAGTATGAAGGTTTCGGTACATTCGATGTGTGTGTGCGGCACGAAGAGGTTATAAGGTTTGGGGGTTGTTCGGAAAAGGAGATCTAGACCGAATTCACGTGCCGAATGCAGTGAAGATGCAGAATGAAAGTCAACGAAACGGACCGTCCGAAGGTATTTATTGTAGTATGAAAACAGCTTCAGAGCTCAATAACCTACGGCGACTTGGACAGGAGCAGGATTGCGTACGTGGAGACCTGAGACGTCGGATACTTTGCAGCATCGTGAAATGTATGTATCACGTGACGAGTTAGAGTCCTCCTGACAAACAGCCCCCGAACCCAAGATCGGATCCGTTCGGGTAGGATTTAAGTCCGTTGACTCGCACGCGACTTGCTTCCTAACGAGTTTTCGCTAAACTCTTGTTAGAGAATGTGGAGCTGAGGATGCGAGTCCGAAAGCCTCCGAACATCTCGGACTCGTGATCCTTTTTCAGATATGGAGTGAAGAGAGAAAGTGACTGCGATACGGACGAAAGAATACATAACCTACGATTACAGCCCTCGATCTCAGCTCTCCACTCTTCGATCACAGCCCGCCCAAGCCACGAGGGTGGAGAATGCCAAGTATCGATCTATTCAGAACAGTCTGATCCAGGACATACACTAGCCGTCTATGACATTTCAGGTAGGAGATATTCAGCCTCATAGCACAGGCTTGTTCTGTTTGGACTCAAAGGAGCTTCTGCAAATACACCGATTGTCTCGTGTGAACATCAATACTCTTTCGTGCGTACATGTTGACTTCAGAAGGTGCAAAGAACTCAGACCAACGGTTGCAATCCTCAACGGAATGTCGCAGAAAGACTACGGGTCGTCATTGAGTTACACATGAGCATATGGACCTAGGTGTGGCATTCCTTTACAGAGCTCGTCAAGCCTGGTTTAGAAGATGGAGCAACGAAGCGGGAGCTCATATCCAGAAAAATTCAGCAGAAAGGTCAAGCGAGGGAGACTTGCGAATTTACTGATGTCTCCCAGATCCAGAGTAACAATGGAAGTACTGTATTACTGAAAACAGCACCGCACGAACTGTCCCAGAAGTCTACTCGGGCTGCTGAGCATGACTGCGCTAAGGATCATAGGACTATCTAACATCATTCGGATGCGGAAGATGTCAGCTGTGATACGGGTTCAAAAGGTCTATGAGCTCGGGCACTTTGCCCGTTGCATTCTCCGGAGCTATCTCCACGACTTCTTCGTCCGTAAATGTTCATGGAACAATGGTCGGAACTCGTATTGTGCATCCTCAATCAGAACGCTTCGAGGCCGAGGATGAGGACTCGAAGTGCTAGATTTTAACAGTCCATTAGAGTATTCTAGCGTACTGATACCTAAGATGAGATAGCCCTGGTCGAAGTGCTGCAACGAAACATGAGACATGATGATTCTCAAAATGATCAAAACTTCGACCGACGTTGCAATCCGGGGAAACCAACAGACCCAAAAAGACAGTGTGATGTGCTGACTGTCCCGCATTCACACGCAGACTCGAACTATGTTCCAAATGCTTTGCTCCAACCCTATCTTTACGAAATGAACAGAACTTTCTGATGAAGCCCTTCACGAGCTTTTTACCTCTAAGCAAGGTACTTCCCTCCGAATCAAGCGCTGACAGTCTGTAGGACATTGAGCAATAATTACGAGTACCAGGCGATCTAACAGAATATTCAGCCATGTTGCTGTTGGATGAGGCCGAACAGTCTGTTGGGGCTGGTGATAGTAATCTCCGCTGCCAAGACGTTTGGTGAATTTGACAAAGCCTCCGAATTCAGAGCGCGGACCCTGTATATAAGAACAGGACGAGATGCCTTCAAGTTCTGAGTTTCATGCTGTCTTGATCTCCATCTCCGCAATGTTGAAGGCGATCATCACTTGATGTCAGCCTCACTGGTGTTTGTTTGTTTGTACAGGAGTCGAAGATGCATTGTGATGTTTGCCAAGACCAATGATGCAAAAGATGAGACTGTGCCGCCCACGTGAGGGCCAATCTCGTACCTGCGTGCTCCAGATCAGGATTTCAGCCAGGATTATGGCATCAACATGAGCCCCGTAGGCTCCGATTCGCTGGAAAATATTAAAGCGTGCGAAAAAGCTTGGAATGTAAATGGCCACTGGCATCGAACTGTTTCATATTTGGACGAAATTCGAGATCAAAGTTGTGGAGGACCCTGCAATGTGACGTCGACGGTGCAATTTAAGCTTATACTTAAACTTGGAAGAGAAGGCCGCTAAGTTTGACAATAATAACAAAGACACGGGAGCAAGGAAAAACATATAGCACGCGAGCTTCTCTTTCTCCTGCGGACTTTTATTTTCCCTTTCTCGATCTCACCTGCTCGTTTTTAGAAAACATCTTCGGTTTTTCTGAAGACTGTGGTTGTGATCAGCGAGAGCACTCAACCAATCGCGGATTCGCATTTCCATACACCGCCTCCCCTGACGGCAAATTGCCAATCCGTCCTCACGATGTACAACTCACTCTCACTTCTCGCTTTGGTCGTGCCAATTGCTCTCGCTGCTCCTGCACCAGCCCCAGCTGCTGTAGCAGTTCCGCATCCTATGATCACACCCCGAGCATCATTGACTGATCGCATTCCTTCGAAAGTCCAAGAACGTGGTGTTGTTAGCTCCATCGAAAGCTCGATTGAGGGTCTCGGAAGCTACTTGACTAGTGTTTTGGGTACTTATCCTTCATATGTCGCCAGTGGAGTTCCAAACTTCTTCCAAGATTTTCCTACTGGATCTGCCGTAGAAAGCAGTCTTGGTATTAGCGATAGTGACTTGGCTGCTTCTCCAACTCAAGCCTTGAACATTCCGTAAGTCGAGACTTCCACAATTTCCGAGCAGATCTCAACTACTATCGGACATTTGCTAATGAACATTTAGTGGATATGCGAACTGGACAGACCAAGGATGGAACCTACGATTCCACGGAAACATCTACAAGCAACCCAATATCTCCGAATCGAAGCTCGACGATTTGGCCAATGTCTTCCTAGTTGGCACATCGATCCAAGCCTTACCACCTGCAGAACAGACACAAGCACGCAATCTTACTGCTGAGATCTACGTGGTTCAACAGGGCAATGTCAATGTCACATTCAACATTGAGCCAGCTGCAAGCCAAGGCACTGATGGGACAGCCAGCGGTAGTGGAGCAGTGACACCAGGAGGCGGAGCACAAAACATCACATTAGTAGGAGAGACAACTGTCGAGGGAGACTTCGATCAGTTCGTTCCTCTTGCAAATGTCTCGGGTCCAGGAGGGTACTTGATGGCAGGAAACGAGACGACCTCCATCCAACGAGTCAACGTCTACACCAATGGCACAGACACCGGAAATGCCACCTCCTACCTTGTCCCACCGGCAGGTCTGACAATCGTTTCCGACATTGACGATATTCTCCGCATCACCCAAATCTACGAGCCTGCCCAAGGTCTCCTCAATTCCTTTGCAAAAGCCTACGTACCATGGATGAACATGCCTGACATCTACGCCAATTGGTCCAAGAGTATACCCGACTTCCACTTCCACTACCTAACCACCACCCCTGAGCAAGTAACAAGAAACTACATGGACTTCATCTACAAGACCTATCCGGGCGGCTCCTTCGACACCCGCCCTCTCAACTTCTCCGACGTCAGCGAAACCCTCTCAATCCGCAAATTCCTCCTCGAAAAGATCTTCCAGACCTACCCCGAGCGAAAATTCATCTTGATCGCCGACACGTCAAATTCTGACGTGATGAAAGACTATCCCGCCATGGCCACCGAGTTCCCAGGCCAGGTCCAATGCATATTCCTGAGAAACACCACAGCGACAGATCCGGGAGATAAATTCCCGTATGATACGTCAGGATTTCAGGGTCTGAATCAGAGCATGTACATGTTCTTCCTCGTCCCAGATGATCTCACGAATCTGGACATCGTGAACGGACAATGCTACAACTCGACGATCCCGCAGAACGTCACGTTTAGCGAGCAAGGGTTGCCCTTTGGGTTGAGCAAGAAGAGTGCTGCTGGACGAGTGGATGTTGGGTGGAATGGGGTCGCGGTTGCCGCTTTCGCGATGGTGTTTGGGGCGTTGTTTGGGGTGTTATGATAGCATCGCGGAATGGCGTTGGGCGGTATTGCATTGCGTTGCGTTGCATTTTATGAATGAATGATTTTTTACCAAATGACTTCCAAGATTAAAAAGTCTCTCTTCCCCCCTTTCCTGCGGAACGTAGAAGTGAATCTCCCAACCTTACCCCTAGCCTCCCTTCACCAAACAACAAACGAACTCTAATTCTCAATCCTCAAACCCATAAAAGTGAATCTCAGCCTTACTTACTTACTTAGTTACTTACCCCTAGCCTCGCTCGCTCGTTCGCCTACCCCACCCATAAATCCAAATAAGCACAAATCCCCCCATCAAGCCCGGTCAGGCCCGCCCCCAGCGTGGCCAAACGACCGACCGGGTTTGCTGCTGACTCGCCAGCGTGCCTCCCAACGAATAACGACAACTTAACTACGTACGCCATTCCGTCCGCCACCGCGAACAATGCTATGCGCTTGGGCGCCCGGGCACACGGTACCGAAGAAGATGTCGGTACTGTGTGCCCGGGCGTTTTTGTCTTTGTCTTTTGGTGGTAAGAAGAATTTTGGGGGAAGAGGGGGAGAGAGGGAGAGGGAGAGGGGAGAGAGGAGGTTCGGTTAATTAGCGAGCGAGGTGGGGAGGGGGGAGGGGGGAGGGGGGAGTTTGCACTCCTTGGGTGATCTATTTATGTTCCTTCTACTGTACAGAGACAGAATAAGATATGCTCAAGATAAATAACAATATCTGGGTATCGAATCATACCTTCCTTCTTTCCTTTCTTGAAAATGCCCGGATTACCTTTTTAGTTATCTGTTCCCAGAACTCATTCATTACCCAACATCGATTTTTCGTAGCTCATAAACATTCCCTTCCAACAGTCCATTCTTAACAAACAGCAGCATCCCCAGCCCTCAACCTAAACCAACCCCCCAACCCCCACTGCGTCCGCCCATACAACAACTCCTTCCTAATCCCCTCATCCATCACAGCCGCGATAATCATCTCCAGCCTCGTGAAATCGATCGGTTTCAGGATCCAGCCATCGAAGCCAGTATCCACGTACTCACCACAGCTCTGTTCCGAGAGGGACGCCGAGACGGCGATGATCGGTATTCGACCATAGGATGCGCAGTTCGGGGATGTAGGGAGCGGAGTGCCGGTTTTGGAGAGGTGGTCGGATTCGTGGGCGCGGATGAGGCGCGTTGAGGCGTTGCCGTCTACTAGGGGCATCTATTGCCGTCTCGTTAGTATATATAAGCGAGAGGAGTTAAAGGGGGGACGAACTTGGAGATCCATCAATATGACATCGAAAGCGTCGGGACTGCCTTTGAATACCTCTGCACAAGATCGTCCGTCGACTGTTACCCGAACGTCGTGGCCCCGTCGAGTCAGTCTTGTTTCTAGTAATCTGCTGTTCAGTGGATTATCTTCCGCTACAAGCACGTTTACTCTCTGGTAGTTTGTGGAGACGGTGGGGAACGGGTAGCGGCCCGTGTTAGGGTCGAAAGTAGGCGCCGTGGTAAGAGACACAGCGTGCGCTACTGAAACGAGGGATTCGGGACCGGGAGTCAGTTCGCGAAGGGCACTGTTGTATTGTTGTCGGAGTGGGAGAATGGTGTCGAGACTCTGAGCTCGTTCTAAGATTCCTGGAGTCGTGTGGCTGGGAAGTCCGACGGCGCCTGGAGCGCTGTCTGGAGTTAACATGGGAGGAGTGGGTAAGCTCTTCCCTCCTGGGGGTTCGACGTCTTTGTTTGGGTCTTGAATTGCTTTCCTGAAGGGGATTTTGACGGAGACTTTGGTGCCTTTTCCTGGCTCGGAGGAGATGGCTATTTGGCCGCAATTGAGGCGGACGAATCGAGCTGTCATAGCGAGACCGAGACCGAGGGAGATAGGAATCGGGGCTCTACCGCCTTCATAAAGGCCGGTGGCTTGGTTTTCTTCGTCATCGAGAACTTGTTCGAAATCTTGGAATAGAGAGTCAAGTTCCTGTTCCGACATGCCTTTCCCGTCGTCTTTGAAGAACATTTCGACCATGGTGTTGGAGTCTGATGAGCTGTGGTATTCCACTGATGCGGATTAGTATCACTTGTGAGAGCTGATATTAGGGGTGACTTACACCCTACAGTTACAAGCTTGCCGCTTGAGTGTTCTATTGCATTGGCCACCAGGTTTGAGATTACCTGTCTCAGCATTGAAGGATCAGTTCGAACTGCAGTTGGGACTTTTGAATCGTCTTCAAGTCGAATCTCCAGCTCGGGTCGAGCACTAGCGCTTTTGAAGGAGACAATAACCTCAGTGAGCATCACTCTTAAGTCAACATTGTCTTCGTGGACCTGACACGTGTTAGTAAAGCAAGCAGAATGTTATGGTCATTAAAATTGTCTCAAATTGTGCAGTTCGTGGAATTCTGGATCTCTTGCGAAGGGGGCTCACATCAAACTCAGAATCCTCCGCTTCCGTCAGGTTCAGGAGATCATTCACCTGGAACACCAGAGACTTAGAAGCCTGCAGTGATCTCTGGAGGTGTTGTCGCGCTCGTTCATCGAGCACTTCTTCTAGTGCCACTTCCAAATAGTTGATAATACTGTTTAGTGGAGTTCGGACTGGATTGTCAGCAGGATAGCAGATGAGTTTAAAGTGTTCTAAACAAACCTTCATGGCCAGCATTGCGAATGAGAATTCTGGTCATTCGGTTCTTCTGCACGATGGCTTCTTTCTGACGCCAGACTTCGATAAACCTGCCGTACAAGGTACTCAAAACAGCCGCAGATTCAACTATGACAGGTCAGATATTGGGGATTATTACTTAGTGGACGAATTTTACCTTGATCTTCTGTCCATTCTCTGCTTCGTCCTACGACGCGTTCACTCCAACGCCGGAAACTAGCCCTGGGCTCAAGATAATTTCCTACACGTCTCTTCTTCTCATATGGATTTCCCGCCCACTGTACTTCCTGAGTCTGACCCTTTCGAAAGAATATCAAAAAATCCGAGCCGGACAATGCGAGAGGGATAACAAGCATCCCGGATATGACTTGGAACTTCTGAGGATAATCAATTTCTGGACAATCTTTGGTGATACAATTCGTTGAGAATATTGTCTTGAATGATTTCTGTCGTATATATTGAAGGAGAACGATTGCTTCGTTGTACGCAAATAATTTCCCAATTGTACGTGCTTCACCCTTGATGGCTAGAAAGCCAAAATCTGCCCCGAACATATTGAGAAGGTCTCCTGAGGAAGCGGCAATGTATGCCGAAGGAGAATTTTTTGGAGGAGTGCTTGACAGTGGTTTGCGAGCCTTGATCCGAGTTGAGTAGATCAACTTCTCAATATTCGTACTAGCTAGATCACCTAATGCTCTACAAAGCTCACGAACGGGCAATGAGACTCGCATGCCCGCACCGTAGGTATGTGTGCTGATTAGACCCCAGAGTTTGTCATCGACTGTCAATGAGATTGACATTGTTGCTCGTACACCCATGTTCTCTAAGTACTTGATGTGAATAGGCGACATCGCGCGAAGATATGAATGCGTAAGATCGAGGGGAGTTGCGGCATCCTCCCTAGTCCTGCAAATAAGTCTGGCTGTGGGTTGATCTCTATCGTAAAGGACGCGAATCTTGTTGATTAAGTACAAGTCTCGAGCTTGCTTTGGTATATCTGACGATGGAAATTTCAGACCTCTGTATACTGTATGAAAAGTCAGACATGGACTATTGATGCTATTCAGCACTATGCAAGATATGACAAAGAAGCTTATGGGTACTATGAGCTGTGATAGATCATGAATTGCTTAGCAATTATTCGCAGCTGCATAGATTTTTCGGGGCCGCGAATCTTCGGTGGAGCCCACGTTGAAATTAAATATTGAAGCCACCATAAACAAAAAACCATTCGGAGCCACGACGTCTGAGCTAATCTGATGATCTTCGAAACAGCAGAAAATCGAGTTAACTTACTGTCCATGGATGCCCTGTTATCCACAATCTCACTTACAACAGTTCCGGAGTTTGTTTCGTCGAATTGATAAACCATTACCCGATGGAAGCTAGTCAATTCGTAGACCAAGCCGACGATGACATCCAAGAGATCTTGTAAATTTGTCTGTACAGCAAGTTGATTCTGAATTTCGCACAGAACGTGAAATAACTCCATGGATCCGATTTGACGCTCAGTTTCTCGCGCGACTTGGACTGCATGCAAAGGTTTACTCTTCGTGGTTGTGGATAACATGCGTTCCTCGACTGTTGCTTCAGTCTCAACGACCGCAACCGGATCCTCTGGGAAGCCATCGTCGGGCGGGTGACGAGGATTGAAGATGTCCTTCATCAGTTCGAATTCGCAAATGACCAGGTCTGACTCGGCGCTCCAATGCATTGCAATGTAACAAGAAAGCGGAGCTCCCATGAGCGAGGTTAATGAAAGGGAGAACACATCTGGATTTGTTCTAGAATCCTGCTCACGTTCTCTCATTGAACGCACGCGGGATTTGAATTCTTTCTTGTCGCTCTTGATCAAGAGGTCGGTGACACAACGCAATTCGAATAAAGCTTCTGGCAAGAGTCCAGTGATGCTCTGTGCATTCTCGCTCACGACTCGAACAATAAAATTACCATCTTTATTCTCCCTAATTGCAATTAAAGCTCCGAAGCTTTGGATGGCCCCAGGGATGTGAATACTGCCACTCTACCGTCAGAAACACAGTCAATCACAAAATCTGAAATGCTAAACGTACGGTTCATCCTCGCATCTGTATACCTTCTGATCGGCCTCCACTTCTGGATTGCGTGACCCCTCAACAGGAGCTAGATTGAATGTATTTGACACGAACCGGCCAGCACTGGGAGCTGTAGTTTCCAATTTATTCGAAGTAGCGACCTTTGGTGGATCGTCACTGAAGCCATCGTCTTCTTGAGAGTCGTGCCGCACGAGGCAGGGAGGGGGGGACGGCTTATCGTCAGATTGATCTTCGTCGTCAGATTTCGGTGGAGGAACACCAGCTGCGGATTATCAGCGGTCTGATTTACGTATGGACGAACTACTCCTGCTCACTTGTATCATTTGTGCTTCCAGGACCTCGAATCCGGATTGGAAATACCCTCTGAATCTTGAACTCTTCCGAGATCTTGGTCGTGGACATATCTCCTTATTTTTTTTCTGCGAGAACTTGTCTCTATGCTTTCACCCGCGTTATCGTTTGATATTATGGCAGACCCTCATCGATTCGCGGTCTGCTGGGTGCTTAATTGCTTGCGGGAACAAGGTCGACATGAAGAAAGGTTGAGAATATGCTACGATGCCAAAGTGAGGTTCAGGATAGAAGTATATTGAAAAGGTAGCTTGGAAGTTTACACGAGTAATGGGCAGCGGGATGGCGGGGAGCTCAGGGTCTAGCTAGCAGTTTCCCCGATCTCTCTGGCGCATGTAAGATGGAATCCGTGGGACAAAAAGAATGTGCATCGAAAAGAAACCCATGCTGCTTTCCCATGGAAGGGGCTAGATCAGCGGAGCTTCAACCTGATGCGCTCGGTGGCGGGGTTCGTTTTGGTGCAAACTTTAAGGTCTGGGGAGGAGGTGTCGTTCGTTGTTGTTCTTGGTGCTGTTATTACATCCTTAATCGAAGGTTTGCCTATGCATATAAGTATCAGAGATTGCCTCTTCGTAAAGAAATAGTTGTCCTCCTTTTGCGCATCGTGCTTCCTCATGATCATAGATTCTGTCTCTTCCCAGCTGGACAAAGGAATTATTTATGATAGGCGGTCAGATAGTGGGTCCGCAGCCATGTCTATCTGCCGTTCAGGGGCTCAAGCGACGTTCCCCAAACAAATTATTCCGATTCTGTATTACCTGGGAGACTACCGGCTGCGAGTACAAAATTGTGTACGGGAGTGGAGGTCAAGATCAAGTCAATTCCATGAAGAGCGACGACCTAGCAAGACTTTTGGATCGATTTTGTTGTCAGACGGGAATAATAAGATTCTGGCGGTTGTTTGTGACTGCAAAGTCTCGAGCGGGCTTTCGACCTTAGCGAAAGCAATATCAGCCCACCACCTCGACCCGGGCTTTTTGCTCCAAGTCTTCCAGACTGGCAGAGTGCCACGTAACCGGCAGGCAGCCGGCAGCATTGGGGTTTTGGTATGCGATCAAAATGGGTATCGACGTATCGTGCGCCTCTCGCGCTGCTGCTGCGAGGAGCAGAAGAACTCATCGCAAACGCCAAGGAAACTCTGTCTGTGTCTGATCATCGCCACAAACTCTGTCGCGCAAAGCCGTATTACACAGCTGAGTCTATTGCCTACGGTCTCCCACAGGAATAGAGTTCAGTTAGCACCGTAACTTGACGGCACAATGTTTCCTAACTTTCATAGGCTCTCGTCTACAGCTTTCATTATCAGGTCATTGGTTTGAAAAGAATTAGAGAAAGTTGTATAAGCTCCTCGAAGACTAGAGCAAACTTAGTGTGAACCTAAAGTCTCAGCGTAAGGGTCCAGGTGATGCAGAAGAGCAATAAACAATCAACGAATGGAAGCATGACCCAAAGGATGGCAACGGAAGTGATTCATGAGGCCATTGACATGATCGGAAACTGAGCCCAGCTGTGTTGGAAATGGAATGCGAGGACTATTATTAGAGACATTCATAAATATGTGTTTGTATTTGTTCACGTCTCGCAATGCGGGAGGAGCGCAGATCTTTCCCATTTTGATGTCACTTCCGTAAAGGGAAACGATCTTCGTGACAGCACCACTTCCTTCTTCAACCTCTATCCACTCTCGTTTACCTAGGTATAGAGCTTCATACTCACAGCATCTTCAAATTGATTCCTTTCTGTCCTTGTATTTAAATTCATTAAATGTCTTGATTCATTTTCGAGCTCGTTGACATATACCTTCTGACTATGAATTCGAGCCTTGAACCAGCCAACATTAAGATCATTGCACCGGGACGCCAAGTACGATACCTACCAAATCCCCTCTGAGCATGATTGCAATAACCACTTCAACCCCTCTAGCCTACATCTCTCAATCTTATTGCCTCAAGACCATCTGTCCTGGCATTACCATATTTCCCAACCATGCATCCTCATACACCTTCATCTCCCGCTGGAGCAAGTGTCTTTCTCTTTCCAGCTGGTCCTTTTGTCGTTCCAATAATTCAATGTGCTCCTTTGCCAAGTCGAGTACCTTCCCACGTCTGATCTTTTTTTGGAATACGACCCCAGACTTGCCGTCGGTGTCAATATTCACGACCTGCAACGGCAATGCTGCTAATAGTTCCTCAAATCTGTCCTTCATCTGCTTTCGATACTTCATTTCCACATGCTTATGTCGTTCCTTTTCTTTATCGAGCACCCTACTACCATTACTGCTCTTCTGCTGAGCTTTCTCCGTGATGTCTCGTTCTTCAGCCAACACAGGTGTGCTGGTCTTAGCAGCCGAATGATCTCTTCGGTTTGGCGAACAAATATCCTGCTCGACATCGTTTGTGGAAAGTGGACTACTGCACCGTGTAGCCGATTCCTCTCGAGTTGGGATATCTTCAACTTCTACGTGTGGACTCTCTGCCGTTCTGCGTCGCTTTCGAGGAGGTGCTAACGATATTGCACGATGTTCTAGCAAATCAATGGGCCTTGCTTGTGTAGCATCTCTTCCAAAGTCCTCGTTATATCTTTTCGGCTGAGGTTGATGGCAAACAGTTGTATTGAATTGCGAAACAGGAGAGGTCAAGCCCATGCTCGGAGTCTGTACCGGAAGTTGTGCATTGGGAATGTCATAGGACAATTGATGCTGAGATTCTGGATAAGCAAATCCGCCGAAACTGGCGTCGAATGGGTTGTGCCCATCACTGAACGAGGCGGTGAACAACCCGTGAGTTGCCGTAGAGACTGGGCTTGTTGTGAAGTCGCTACCCGTAACTCCAAAAGGAGCCATGGGCAAGGTCCAGTCAGGAAGTTCTTTGGCTGGAAAGGCATAGCTTGATGGCCACATTCCAGAAAGACCTCCCGCCAAGCCCGGGGAGATGCAGTTGACTGCATTTGAGTCGAATTGTCTGCTGGGTTTATGACAATTCGACATGTCTTGAGTATCTGCTAAACGCATGGGAGCTGCAGTATCGAAGTGGAAATAATGGTCGTCCATGTTGTTGAATTCTATCATGCTTCGTATTTGGAAAATTCATGTTTCCGATGGCAGTATGTATATTCTGCCACATGGGAGTCGTTTCTTATTCTGTGCAACCAGCATCATGCATTTGCAAGTACCTTGTGTATCGTTGTTCAACTCCTGGTCCAAGATGTTCTGGCCAGCACGCTGTGTAACCAGTTCGAGCTTGCAGAAAATTCCAGTAGTAAGCCAGTGGACGGGCGTCAAGTCGATCATTTTCACCTGAGTATGTATGACAACACAACTGCAATATTATATTGTTTGCTTGAACGCCACCCCAGAGATCTTAAATGGCTGTGGTGTCGTATCGCCAATTTCTCTATGAATAGCGGAATTTCGAGAGTCGAGAGTCGATACAAAGCCATATGGAGAGGTCAGACACCAGCTGGACACCAAGGTTGTGTGGGCCTGCAGGATCAGGCACGTCGAAGATATCAACGCCTCCAGTCAAATGTCTCACTTGACCACACGAGAACACACATGCTTGGACCTACCTTATCGGCCTCGGAGAAGCTGGAATCGATGCCACCTTAAGGGTCTTCTGGAACTTCGATATTGGTGGTACGAAGTTACACATGGCTTTCACTGTGGTTGCGCCTCATCATGAAGATTGTTTGCTTTCGACTTTCAAGAGATCACACGCTATTCGACTACAGCGAAACGCTTCTGAGCTCTCGACTTGAACCATAGTCCAGATCGAATAATTGATGCTTGCCCACCTTGATCAATTTATTCACGACAAGAGATTCCATTCTTCTTGCATGGGATCTGGCACCGGTTAACGACGGGCTGGTCGCGGCTTGCAGGATACATCCAATACTCACCGTTCCTCAAGCTACAAAGATTTGGCGTCAAGCCCCAATTCCGACGACCGAGTCTCTTCCTTGTGGACCTTCCAACATGAAACAACGACGTAACAACACCTCTCAAAAACAAAAGCCTCTCTCCCAATATCGCGGGAAAAGCCATCCATATCTACAATCCCACGAGCTGAAACCGTCCACTCGAGCTCCCGTACCACGAAATCCACCTCGGTGTCTCTATCCCACGTTTCTCGTGCTGCCCAAACGTCCACCTGGCGTCCGAGGTTACCTTGCATCGTATCACGTACTCGTCTATCCATACAGCATTCGGTTTCGTTCCGGGCAGCAAACATCGCTGAGTGAGAAACACCTTCAGCAAATGTCGTCTGACCCTTCCTTCGCCTCACTCCCGCTTCCTTCCTTCCTTCCTTCCCTCCCCCACACGTGGGATTTCAGCTCGGGTACGGAGTACATTGTGTTGCACATCGCAGACACGCACCATCGACGATCTAGAGCTGTCTGAGTTTGCATCCTGGATCCTGGGTTTCGTTGGGTGTCTGCATGCATACATAGTGGAGGTGCGAGGATGCGGAGGTGAAGCTTAGAGGGGAGTGGTGGTGGAACGCGGAGGATGGGGAGTGGGTGATTGGTGGGAGACGGATGTTAGGTTTTTGGTTTCGGGTGAGGGGTGGGGAGGAAAGTTTGAGGGTGTTTGATTAAGAAGTGTGCGAGAGATTTGTGAATGTTTGGGTTCGGGAGAGGAGTTTCGCGGTGTTTATGTTGGGTCTGATTTTGTTTTTGTTTAAGAATCCGCCGCGGAAAGGAACATTTTTTAGTATCCATGATGTTGGTGTTGTGATAGAGATGTGATTATAATTAAGCGGTTATTTTGAGATCACAATGTCTGTCCCAGAACGAAGAATTAGGTAGGTAGTGCTCAGTCGGGAACAGGAATCAGGGCTTCTCTTCTCCCAGCTAGAAATTATTCTCATGGTTTCCGAGAATTTATGTTGTCTGTCCTGCGAAGAAGAGAAGGTCAAGTACAGCACAAAAGATCTGCTCCCCCTCGCCATTTACAACGCCATCTCTAGAGTCATGTCGTACGCCTTTTCTGTTGCCCTTCTCCTTCTTCTCCTCCTCCTCCTCTTCTTCTTTCTCCTCGTCCTCCTCGTCCTCGTCAAAATACTTCAGAAATCGACTACTCAACTCCTCAACAAGTCCTTCTTTTCTTCGAACAAATTCATCCTTGACTTTGTGCATCTGACTGGAGGGATCTGGTGAGCGCGGCGGGGGTTGAGAACTACTGTACTCCTGGGGCCGTCCTTTATCATGTTTGTGGTGTTTGAAGAAAGATCGCAGGTATGATGAGTCCTTCAGCTAGCTAGCTTCCTCCACGGATTGACCGGAAACTCCAGGATTTCCTCAAAAAAGATCAGATCAAACCACAATAAAATGTCAAAAAAAAGAGATGTCCTCTCTTCATTATTAGGTATTAATTCCAAGAAACACCGCTATCCACTCCATTTTTACAATTACAATTGCAATCTCTCACTCCGTCATACCTCATTATCACTCAACCCACCCTCGGCACCAACGCAACCTTAACCCCCCTTCCACTCGCACACGTCAAACTCAACTGCTCGCACCACTCACTCCCATCCCTATCCTCCAACCCGCCAAACTCCTGCAGCAGCCTCACCGTCGTGTAACTCGCCTCCGTCAGCGCAAACTGCTGCCCAACACAGATCCGCGGCCCCCCGTTAAAAGGAAGGTATCCCCATCCGGGCCGGAGATTCTCCTCGGGTGCCCACCGCTCGGGCCGGAATTCTAGCGCGTCGGGCCCGTAGATGTCGAAGCGGCGGTGCATGGAGAAGGTGGACCAGGCGACGATGTCGCCTTTGGGGACGAAGATCGGGGAGAGGCCGTCCGGCCCGCCGCCGCGGGGGAGGATGGTGTCGCGGTTCGCGAAGCGGGCGTTGCCTGGGACGACGGGGTAGAGGCGGAGGGCTGGTGGCGTTAATGTGGGAGTTTACTTGGGGAATGGTAGAGGGGGGCTTACATTCGTTCAAGAGGTATTTTAGGTATTTCATGTTGCGGAGCGTGTCATAGTCTGGTTTCTCGCCGTTGAGTTGGTCGACTTCTGCTTTGAGCTTGCTCCAGATATCTGGTCGGCGGGCGAGGACGTGGAAGGTGTTTGATAGGAGACTGGCCGTTGTGTCTCTTCCAGCCAGTAAGATGTTGAGGAGCTCGTCTCGAAGCTGCTTGGGGTCTCTTGTGGAGTTCATGAGTTCGGTTAAGAAGACGTAACGCTCCTTTCCACCCTTGCCGTCGATGGACTTCTCGGCGTCTTTGGGTTGAGATCGCTCTAAAGCTCTGAAGACAATGTTGTCCACGAATCGATGCACGGTCTTGCATGCTTGGTCGAATTCCTTGTCGGGGAATACATGGACTAGCTTTCCTAGACGACTGCGTTGCCCTAGCTGGCCTTGGGCATAATCGAAGCAGCGGCCAAAGATTTCCTGTTCTGATCCAGCTGGGGAGGTAAGTGAGTTCACGGACTCGCCGAACAAGAACTCGGTCGCTGAGTCTAGAGTAAGCTGGAAGAAGAGCGGCTGTAGGTCAATGGTTGAGCCATCTCGTGGGATCTTGGTGACGAGTCTTTGAATGTGAGACTCGAAGGTGTCCAGGTCTGCTACTTGGGATTTGGTGAAATTGGGTCGAACCAAAGCCTATGATTCTTGTTAACGGGTATTCGGGTGCCTCGAATGAAAGCACTTACCCTCGAGTGTTCCCACTGTGCACCATCTAGAGCTTCTTGTCAGCATGGTTTGAAGGATGAGGTGAGGAAAGTGGGGTACGTACCTGTTGTGAAGATACCTTGGCCAAGCAACGGTCCAAATGCTTCTTGCCTCCGTCCCAACCCAAAATCTTTGAAATCGGTTGCAAGGAAGTGCTTCAAGTTTTCTGGTTCAATAGTGTTGAAGAATTTCTAGAGCCGTCAGCTCGCTGCTCCCTCATTAGGAAATTAATGACAGAAACTCGCCTGGCCCATCATCTGCCCCGACCAAGTATTCCCATAATCGAGATACCTCTGTCGACTAACCGTCGTCATGTTCTTCTCCTTGGACGCCTTCAACTGCGTCTGGTACAGACCGTATCCGATAATGCGCTCCCGCTGCGGTATCCTGAATTCGGGTTTGCAGCCATGTTGCTTCTTGAATCGGGCCACGCGGATGTGATTCACGATCTTCTGGAGCACGACCCCGACCACCACGACCAATGCAGCGAGCGCGTAATAAAACGAGAAAGCCATCCTGACAAAAACGAAAAAGGTGAAATACAGTAGTAGTCTGAGGTGCGCGAAAGCCACGAGGGGTCGAAGGAGGTAGATATTAAGATTGAGGAATGCCACACTAGGTCCCAGGGCTGAGACGTGGAGAGCTGAACAATGTGTGATTTTCCAAGAGCGTCTCCGAAACGCTGGAAGTTGGGATGAAGAAAGAAGAAGAAGAAGAAGAAGAAGAAGAAGAAGAAGAAGAAGAAGAGGGTTAAAATGGAAAGAGAGATCGGAGGAACTTTGGATGAGCCAGCTGGATGTCGGAGGTTCTTGAAACCGGATAGGGAGGATGCTTGCGCAAGGTCAGGTTATGAGGACAGGGGAGCGTGATCATTTTTTGATACAGTAGCAAAGTCGACGTAAACGGGCTGCGTGTCGCGAAAAGGGAGTCCCGTTCCCCGTTCCCAGTGTGCTGGAGCGGACAGAAGTTGGTCCATTCAACATTCAAACCCAGAGCAGCCTCGTTCGTGAATGAATGGGCCCGCGTTGATTGGGAGTCGGGAATGCAATGCAATGCAATCAATACTCTCCCCTCCATCCCCATCATCAAAGAGGAGAAAGCGAACAAGCGGGAAACCGAGGTTCCAGATGATTACAGTAACGAGCCGCCACCACTTGCGTCTCTCGCCTGTTGTTCGCACCCCCCGGACAGCGGATTGGCTAAAGTACGAGCGCGCATTTTTACCTAAGGTTAAGGAACACCTGCTTGGTCTGTCTGGTTGGACTCTTCGTACCGTCGTGCAAGATCCATCACGAGCATGTCTCCTCCATCTACTGGAATCAACCGTCGCGGCCGCCATGCACGGAGATGTTCGAAAGCAGGAAAGGAAATTCTACAATAGAAGCTGACGATCCTTTCTGGAACGTCGTTGAACCCGCGCGGAGGGATTGTTGTCCCTCCTGAACTTGAATGTCGGCCGGCCGGTCCATGCACCGCGATTCGGGTCTTCATCCGAGATGCCGATCAGGAATCAAGAATGGTTGGGTTGGTGAAGGTTTTTTGAGAGACACTTGTCGTTACTTGTCGTTGCTTGTCCTTCCTAGAGTAGGAGTTATCTCCGATACACATGTCTTTTCATGTGTAACTTATGGCATGGAATCCCTTTCCTGCCGGTGGCCTCTGAAGAATGAGGTTTCACGTGAAATTCACATGTTCCATTTTCAAAGCTCGTTTGCTTTACAGCTAGATATCAACGCATTGAGAAGCGTCATCGCCAGCTCTGAGCTGAATCGAGAGAATCCTCGGTATGGCCTGTCAGGTGCCAATCATTTCGGCAACCTCCCGAGGTCCAGGGCTGCTCATTCATACACGTGACGCTTCTTTTCACTTCCTTTGACCTCTAGCTTGGAGTTGAGATGACCTCGTCACCAAACCATGCTCAAGGCGCGATACTCGATGGTACATATCTGAAGAGTCCATCTCCAGGAATCGTTATTCATTGCTCCCAATCTGCGCATCATACAAATTTCGCCTGGAGCCAAGAGACTTGCTGCTCCCTTTGTCACGTACGTCTCAAGATATTGATTTTGACATTCTTTCCTTCTCTGAGCTTCTCCAAAACTGCAATTCATCTCTTGCTTAGAGCGTCTATCACGAGCAAGTCCTGAAATCATTCTCCAACTTCGTACATCTTTTTCGGACTCCATTAACAGTTTCTGGTTTAATGTTGGTAGGTATCACCTAGCCTGATATTAGTGATGGATATCCACCTCACTCACCCTCAGAGTAGTCTAAGACTCTCTGATGGATGTGTTGATGGTGGATTAATGAGCTAGAAGTAAAGCGGATGAGAGAGCTTATATAGGCTCTCTCCTGTGCTCTCCTGCCTACCTTTGTCCCTAAGTCAGTGGTCAAAGTCCAGTGCCTTTGTCCCGGCATTTAACGCAAATAGAGATACTTCTGTAGAAATGGGAAGGATTACTCTAAGTACACTGACTTTTTCGTTGCACACCTACAAATCAAGTGAAACTTACATGAACGTACTTCACTCACTAGCCATTTCTGGATTTATCCTTTTCGTTGCGCGTCTACGATCAAGTGAATATACTTTTCTGATTATTGCTAGAAATATACTCCTTTGTGGAATATTTTCCACTTGCTTTTGGTTATTTGTTCAATGATTGCTAAGAAAGGAAACTGGTGTTGCCAGTATTTTCACCGAGGCAGAATGAAACTATAATGCGTGAATCTGTATACGTGAATGAATTCGTATATCAAATGCGTGAATCGAGAAATCACACCACGACTGCCGCGAAGGAGCGTCAGAGGTGTATATATAGCAAGGTAACAACATGTTTCCCAAAATAGCTACATGGACAAACAAATAGTCCATCTAAACTAAACTTGAAGCAATGGTTACCTTAGCTCGGCTCATTACCTGACCTGCAACAAGACACACCGCATTGTTGGTCTCAACTTGTTTCTCTCCAGGTGCGGCTTTCCTAAAAGCGTTAGACTGGGTATTATATATACTTCTTTGATCACAATAAGGCGGCATCGAATAACAGACGCAGAGAGTGAAGTTCTGCAGTAAGGCTGGTTTGGAAGTGAAGTATGACTCCCGCAGTATGATGGAAGGGATATTCACTCCTCAACCTCCCGGCCTTTCTTCTCTGGGGCCATTCACTGCTCACGCGTGGCCAGGAATTGTTGTTGCAGCATCCCCCCTTCTTCCTCTTCCTTCTAACAAGCTATATAAACCACCAACCAAGGTCTTCAGTTATGGCAATCTTGCACGAGCAACCCTCGATATCCCTCTCCCAGTTGGGTTGTCTGCACTTTTATAAGGTTGAGGATCGCAAGGAAGATAAGATGTCTCCATCAGAAGCATTCATTCTGCAGCCAGAGCGTGGTGACAATAAATTGAATGGTGTTGCGGCCAAGAATTGATGACAATCAACCGATTGTTGACAGCAAACTTTGCACAAACCAAATCAATTCTATTATCCAAGAACAAAGAGACTCCTCGATGATTCACATAAAAACTTATTCATGTTGTACCAAGCCAATCAACCGGAGTGGGAAGTCTTGGTGCAAATCATAAACCATTCGAGAAAACATGACTTCATGTCCTCATAAAGTAAAGTCGAGAGAGAGCAATCAGAGCAGTATGATTTCGACTTTTAGAACTCGCTCAAAAACAGGAAAAACAATCCGAGGTTAAGAAACCTCACTTGAATCCGATTCCGAAATAAGAGACCACTTATTGAGCACGCAATGTAACATCGTGAACTCACTCACGGACCATCCGGAACCGGCCTGCCAACGTCGGAAGAGTTCGGGCTACCACTGAAAACTTCCAACGGCAATCGGGAGATATCGGTAATTGATACAATACAGGAAGAATTCTTCCTCGAAGTCTCGAAGTCTCGAATTCCAAAGCATTGACATCTTTATCTCGAAAAAGCGGATTACTTGATGAGGTAACCGCCTCAAGCCACAATCACGGGCCGATTCCTGCGAGAAATGTCGTGGCGTCCAGACGTCTAGGTGAAGAAAAATACTTTATTTCAGCCCGATCGACACAAGCAGGATCTCTTATCGCAGAGATTTTGTCGAGGTTCCACTATTTTGTTATCTGTGATGGTAGTCATCTTGTTTCAGAGGCGGGAACCAGCGCAGGAGGTTGTGCATGTGGAAAGCTTGTGAAGACCGGCCCATCTTCGGGTACTTTGGGAGAGAAGCAGAAGCCGACGAGTTTGGGAGCGGCGGAAATGTCAAGTGTGAACGGTGACTGACTGGCTGCCTTGACTGGTAAAACGTCCTCGACTCGCCTCACAATCAATCCGAGGTCTTAGGTTGTTGCTAAGTAGTACCGAGTTTGAGCATTCAAGTACCGTCGATGGTTGAGAAGGAGCAGCGAGTGCGGCTTTCTTGCCTGTGATAGTGGATGGGTTGATGGGTCCCTTTTACCTCTGACAGCTGAGGCGCTGCAGAGGATGTGCGATTGAGTGATCCACGCATGGAAGAGCCTTGAAGGTCTGCCAAACAGGCAATTCTGGACTGATCTGCGAGTGGGTGGCTCAACTCGTGGTCATCACCATCATCGTGGGAGAGCGAGAGCCGTGGGTGGTATCAGATGCACATGCGGTAAGTAAGCCATGCGGTCAACCTCTCATCTGGCTGCAGTGAGGCGTTGCGACCATGGACTCGGAGAGAACGCAGCAGTGAGAAATGCACGTTCGGTGCTCGCGTGTGGGCTAAATACAGTACATATTGTGGTAATATGGGATGATATGCACCGCTCAGCTGGTTCGTGTTCTGACCTTGTTGCACAGCCAAACCGTCGTCATCTCTCCAGGCCCCAATACCAAATACGAAGTTGTACGGACTGTTGGGACAATGAGACAATTACATGGAAAAATCTTTCTGTTACTGAGCTCATCACTTTTTGGGGGGCAACTTTGGCGAAGTACTCCGTACCGTACCCATAACGGGAGTTGATGGTGGCTTAATGGACCCCCACTATCTTTTTAGCAGTGCCTGTGCAGTGCAGACGCCGAACCTGCACTGACTGACGTGCGTGCGAAGGTCGAGCGATATCAAGACACCGACTCCTTGAACCCTTCCCGCTCCTATTATAATCCCAGAAATACCCTGAAGCGTACTTATCGTCAAAAAGATCCATAAAGTGGATTCTTGCCGGTTCTCGCTCCCTTTGGCTCCATTTATTCTGGCTCCTCTCTGGTGCAGAGCTGCGAAAGAGGCACGTTTTGATCTGTGCAGCCAGCCAACAGTAGCATTACTTACTGTAGTGACTACTCCAGTCAAGAAAAGCAGCAGGAATCTCTTGGTCTTGGCTTTCCGTCTGAAAAGAGATCTTTTGCTGCCGTCGCCTGCCTACTACGTTCCAGAGCCTCGACTCGTTTTTCTTGTCAGCATCTCTCACTTGACTCGTACTCATTCTTCTTTTCTTATTCCCTTCACATCTTCTTGTTCCTCCCGGAACATTTCTTGTCATCTTTAAACAGAACAGTTATATTTGTCCGCTGGGAGAACTGCACAGCAAATATACAACGACCCCTCCATAAATGACATAACCACTCGACATGCCCAGGTTCAATCCTTTTGGAAGTGTCACTGGTGCAACCAGCGCAACGCTTTTTGAGATTCGGTATGGAGAATTTGAAATCTACTGTGAAGCTTGAAATCTGCTAATATGTTGCAGCCTCGACAATGAGATCATTGTACTTCGTGGCGCCGAGAGCGAGGCTTCCAGTCAATTGCTGAAAGGCGTGGTGGTTCTTTGCCTGCCAGCGGCCCTCAAAGTCGAAGATGTACATCTGCGAATGATCGGACAGTTGAAAATTGGGTAAGGCTGCAGAGTTTGTACAACTCAGTCTCGAGCTAATGTTATTTTCTGTAGGTGGAACGATCAAAGAGTCACACCAACCGGTATCTCCAACAACAAGGTCGATAAAACTACAGAAATATTCAGTCACAGATGGGCGCCATTTGTGGGAGGTGGAGCTCCAGGCTCTTCCTCGAGAGGGTCTCTGCTACCAGCTGGAAACTACGAATGGCCTTTCGAGCTTGTAATTCCAGGCCACATGGCGGAAAGCGTTGAAGGACTACACGACAGCCACATCATGTATAAATTGAAAGCGACGGTTGCGAGAGGGAAATTGGCATACGATTTGCATGCCTACAAGCCTGTACGAATTGTGCGAACGTTGGATCCGTCAGCGTTGGAATTGGCGCATGCGATGACCGTGGAGAACGTTTGGCCAAACAAAATCGAATACCAGCTTGTGATACCTCAGAAAGCGATTATTTTTGGAACAGCCATAGATATCGAAATGAGGTTCACTTCCCTTCTGAAAGGGCTCCGAATTGGTCAGATAAAATGCCAGCTTCTCGAGGCACAGGAATTTACGCTCGCGGGGGCGACTGCGCATACAGAAAGATGTTATAAGCACTCGAGAGACGTGGATACTTGGACCTTCGAACTGGGGGACGAACATTATCATGATATGCTAGATGATAACGGCCAAGATGGGTATACTTTGAAAGAGAAAATGCCATTACCAAAGTCGCTGAGTCGATGCATGCAAGATGTGGATGTTCATGGCATCAAGATTCGACACAAGGTCAAGTTCAATATTGCTTTGCACAACCCAGATGGGCATGTCTCTGAAGTAAGAAAATTCGAGACCAAAGAAAGAATGAGGCTAACAATCATAGCTCCGTGCAACGCTTCCAGTAACCATATTCATTTCACCGAACATGCCACTTACTGCCGACGGACAACTTCTCGACCAGACACCACTCAGCACGCAAACAACGGATGTGGTACAGCATGCACCACCACTATATGGAGAACATGTCTTAGATCAGCTGTACGCCGACGTTGATCAATCAGGAATGATGACCCCAGCACCGCAATCTGGAATGAATACGCCCTTCTATGCCCAGTCTCGAGCGGGGTCACACGAAAATTTAGCATCTCTCAACCAGGAAGCACCACACCCCAACGGTGCTGTCCCACCAGCAGCTTTGTCAACCAGACTTCAAAATCTAAACATGTCATCTCGAAATAACAGCTTCAGGAGGTTACACGCAAGTTCTGGAACAAACACGCCTCATCCTCAGCCTCACACCGAAGGACCTGATGGCTACTTCGACAGCCCTGGCCATTCTGCTCCAAACAGCAATCCCTTAAGTCGGAGAACGAGCGAGGAAGACAACCACGGAGCCTCAAACATTACCAGTGGTCAACACACACCGGAACATATCGATTATTCCGACCTAGGAGATCTGACCAAAGTCCCATCCTACCGCACAGCGGTCAAAACTCCCGCTCGAGGCATGAGCTACAATGACGCGCTTCCCAACTACGAAGCTGCCGTCTCAGCGCCTCCCAGTCCAGTACGGACATTCAGCAGTCCAACGACGGCGGGGAGTGGCGACGAGAGTACGAATGGGTACATGAATGGAGCAGGAGAACGAAGAAGCGTGAACGGCAACCCATTAGCCAGTATGGGCTTCACGCCAATTCATCCCCCGGCTCCAGCGCATATCGTTCCCTCGCACGCCGGAGAGGGAGATGAGAGGAGGAGATTGCATATCTTACAAACTAGAGGGAGGGCTCATTAATACTTTTTTCATGGGAGGTAATACCAGCATCATGCATTTTTGGATCGGCGCAGGGAATGGGAACATATATAGACTTGGACAGGATGCATTTTCCGCGGTGTTTGGGAAGAGCGTTTCTGGATGGAAAGTGCGTGTGATTTATATACTCTGAGAAGGGAGGAGTTGGAGTGAGATGAACTCACCGCTCTTGAATAAGGAAGTTATGAGCAGGATTACTTGGTTAGATATGAGAATCGTATACATTATACCCTCTGAAACAGGCCTTTATCACCAATTCCAACCATTTCAACTTCAAGTTGAAAGTCCGGTCCCTCGGTCCAGTATATGTCCCAGGTGAAAAGACGAAAGCTTCGCTTATTCCACCATCTCAGGGTGATACGCAGAAACCCAATGTCCGTCCCCCAGGCCCGACTTATGCAAGCAAATTGTAGTGTCTAAAGGACAGACATTGCACCCATTCTCAAATACTTAGGTATTTACCTTAATTTCAAAATCCATCCATTCCTTTAAGAGAGACCATCATTTGCACGGAGAAAGTTTACTGCCGATATCCATGTGACCACTCTCAAATCTCTGATCTTACCTCCTGCCCATCTCATTAAGTGTCCTATCTTTTTATCAACTTGCTCCTTTTTTTTTCGCGGTTCGTCCCACAATCATGTATTCTAATTTCTGTCTTCATACCGTACAATATCACATCGTTCACACCTGGAATTCACTTTCGGTAGCGGCTGGAGAATGAATGGCAGAGAGTTTCCTCGAGGTGAATCGCCAGTGACCTTTCCCTTGCGAAGTAAGTCTGCTTCCTCTTCACTCAAGCTCAAAAGCGTGTTCGTTGACTCAGACGCTATCACAGAACAAGGATTCACTAGGTAGACGGCCTTCTCACCGAATATTCAAAGTCCGGGCATGGAACGGACTTTCAATTAGCAAAGAAGCTCGACCCGAGTCATAACTCCTCTTCCACAATCGATGAATCAACTCTTATCCCACCTCTTTGGTTCAGGGTGGGTATGAGAGAGTGTGAGGGCCGCATGTTGCTCTGATGTTCGAGATCGGAGGTGACTCGCCGGAGCGTTGGTGTAAATATCAATGTAGGGCAAAGTCGCTTGAATGCGCTGCACCTGCGGTGAAAGGCGGACCACCCAGGATGGGGACGCCAGCTTTTTTCTCCATAACCGTGCCTTAATATCAAATCCCAATGTCCAGTCCCCAGGTCTGACTTCTGCTAGTAAATTTGTTGTTCCAAAGGACAGATATTTTATTCTTTCACAATACTTAATCTTTTCGCCAGACATCCTAACTTGAACCACCTCGGTCATACACTTAAATAATCGAGACAAGAACGGGCTATACAGCGCATAGACTGATCAGAGATCGATTCCACCTTACTCTGGGTTTCGATCTGGACGATGGAGATCTTGTACGGTGGCAATGAGATCGTTTTCACTATAAAGAACCTCGCTTCCAAAAATGGATCTTCTGATATAGAGAAGGTGGTGTTACCCCTGACTTCGTCAACGAGTATCTAAGCAAAGATGAGGTCAATACATTTATTCTAGATCAGCGTTTGTACCATGACCGTACATCCAAGCTAGACAATGTCCGATGCATTGCTTTCTTCGTTGTTCAGAGGTTAAGAGCAAGTATATTATCCGTCCTAGATTCCAGAGATCTGAGGGTCATATGTGAGGTAGGTTGGCGGGAGCAGAAAGTGGATAGTCTTAATGCTGACGGTGGTGGACTTCAGCTTTCTTCGTCGCGACTCGTGCCTCCCCCGCTAATTGTGCGATTTCGTTCTCTTTAAATATCTAAATAAGCGTTTAGTTTCTCGATTTCTATTTAAGCAATATGAAAATGTTAGGTTTTGAATTAAGCATTTTAGGAACTTAAAGTGACGGACATTAACCCTTGACGTGCGAAAGTACTAGATAATAGTACTTGGATATTTAGTCAATGTCGGTCTTTGATTAGGAATGTTGGGTGCTCAAGCTATTCATTTTCAGTGCCTTCGTTACGGCCATCGGATCCGTCCTCAACTTCAGGTTCCGGCGCAATTACCTGCTTTGACATATTCGTTTTCGCGCGGATTACCACGGTGGAGAGTCTCTGAGAGTCTGAATAGTGTTGGTGGCTAGTGGATTTGAAATTATCGATTACTCGTCCTCATCCTTCTCGAGAAGTGCTAGACGTTGAAAAGTGTCAGCTTTGAACAAAGAAACCGTGGTTTGAGTATGTTTAACAGCAGGACGAACATCAACTTACATTTCAAAGAAGCAAAAGTGAACATCCAGATACAAACAAAATATCCCTCCTCAAGCCAGAGACTCTACGTCCAAAATGCTTGATCCAAGAAACAGACATGTTTATGACAGCATCGCATCCCGTACTTTCTCGCGACTTGACGATCTCAACCATACATCCCCCATCACCTTTCAACTAAAACCCTGCAGCAAGTTCACATTCGCAACACTTGCTACATATCTCTAGAAACAAGACGTCCTTAGCAATGATGAGAAGGTCATGGCATGGAGGACGTATTGAGAAATTCTTTCCTATGGTCTCTTTGCACGGCTCGGAAGAACGGAGCACCGTCGAGAATAGTGGTGGATTGTGGTAATGAGTGGAGGTAGAGAGTAGAACGTACTGTGTGTGGCAAGTCTTTTCACGAGAGCAGGTTTTTGGAGGGTGTCGATTAAGCGACATATTTCAGGGGTAAGCATGATGAGGTTAGGTTAGGAAGACATTTTGCACAGCGCACACGAGTTGATGAAACCGGGTATCTTGATTAGTAGGATCTATAGAATTCGCTATCGAATACAAAGGATAAGATTAACAGGAAGACCACGTCTGAGTATGTTTCCCTCAAGAAACGCCTGGGACTTTTGAAAATCGCTGGTACAACTATCCTTCCAAAGCTGATTGTCTAGACCCGTGATTAAAATCATTCAAAACTCTGGCTTTACCACTGATCTTTCGGTATCACTCTCAGATTTTCCCTTTCCTCCCTGTCCACAGCGTAGAAATCCGAGAAGGATGTTTCCAAAAGGGCCCGCAAACCATGATCATCCCAGGAGCCATTCAAGATGAAAATCTGGACAAATTGTCCATCACCTTTCGAAACAGAAAGAAGGTCCGAAGCGGATTGAACTTCCATCAGTTCGTGGATGGATCGAGTGAGGTGTATCGATATGTGATTTTTGCTATGGAAATGGAAGCCGGGTCCAGTAGCTCGATATGTTGTGATCAGATGAAGACTGAGCGAAGGATCCTGGCATTTTCTACTCATCTCGAACTTCTCGTTGTCGGAGAGGTCTGGATATATAGACTCGACATTAGCACCGAGAAATTTGAGCACGAGTGTTATGAATAGCTGCTCAAGAAGATATTCAACCCAAACGACCAGAGTCTTTTTCTGTAGAATCGCCTCGTAATAGGAACGGCATAGGGCATCGAGTTTGGGTGACTGTGTGAATAGTACTCTTATAAGGGTCAAGTTGTCCACATTCTTCGGGTTGAAGCCCATGACCTCGTCACCAAAAGAGTTATAGGTATCGTTAAGAAACCCCCTCAACGTGGCTCCGTCGGTACGATATTCCTGGACCGTGCCGTCACCTAGCGCAACAAGAGGTAGCCAAGTAGTTGATAGCACCAGCGTCCTGAGCTTCCTACCATCTACAAGAAGAGTTCTACCTTCACTTGCGTAGATGAGTTCATTAGTATTCTCAGTGAGTATTTCTGCCATCTTCTGTTTCCCGTCCGGGTTCGAGTCAATATAAAAGTTGTGTGGCTTGGCGGTTAAGATTTCTTTCGCAACAGAAACGTCGTTGGCTTTGGTACCATAAGTTCGCTTCAGCATCACTTGTCCGTAAAGCCGGGTAAGCATGTTGCGCCGTATAGTAGTGTCATCAATATACGGGTGGAGAAACTTCTTTACGGCGTATGGTGTGGCAAGGAGGACCGCTCGAGGATCAGTGGGTGGCAGGTCGAAAGGATTCAACTCCTTATCAACCTTCATATCATCCCATAGAGAATCTGGGCAAAGCAATCCCAACATGCTTGGTAGTTGTTCATACCAATTCCTCATCGGTGCCCTCGGAGTGAACACCCAATAACGCGGCTTTATATTCGAGACGGTCTTCCACGTCTGGGAATCCGGAGCACCAAGATTGGGGATGTCATCAACGATCATAAGAGAAAAGCATCCAGAGAAGTCTTCTTTCCCTTCGCCATGGCGATGCAGGAGAGACTCGTAGTTGGTGATGTATATGACATAAGAAGGATCGCCGGAGGATGAACTATTTTGTTCGAGTGTTTCCTTGGTCCAAGGCTGCTGATCTTCTTTGACAGTATAATGATGGCAGAGGTATTTCGGCAGAAGTTTTTGAATAGCATTCTGCCAATTTGGAATCGACTTAGGTGCGCAGACCACAATGGTCGGTAGCGCTGGACCGAATTCTCCATCCGCCTTCCGCCGAGTATTCATGAATACCAGTGCTTCCAATATTTCTGCCTTCTTGCCTACCACATCGCCATCCGTCAGAGTGCCGCCTCCAATCGTTCGACACTTCTGTATCAGCCATGCCGCTGCAATGACCTGCCAATGGTTCAAGGTTTGTCTGCGGTGCCTTGAACTCGTAGCGCAACAGCCTCGGTGATGTCGAGAATCTTGCATGCTTCTGTAAAAGAAGGGGCTAAATTGGCGACACTCTCGAAGATTGAACGGTTCTCATCGAATTGTTTTTTCTCTTGGACTGTCATAGGCTGCAGCGCTGCAGAGGTTGATCGACGGCCAGTCTGGATATAGTTGTCAAAGGCTATACCCGCTTCTTCGGCACCCTGTTCGAATCGTGAGGTTGATATCGGTTCACGTTCGTGTACGGTAATCTTATGCGCACAGCTTTTTGCCATGAGTAGGAACTCGGCGGCTGTCAGGGTATCACTTGGAGGCATGGTGGCCAAGTTGCCCAGTAGTTTGTTAGCGGGAGTTGTTGCAGAGAAGACGATAGTATCTAGAGATCGCAGCTGAAACTGGGCGAAAGTAAGACAATATGGTAATCCGAAGAGTGTTCAAACATGAAGCATCCTTCTGGGAAAGTAGACGTCAGTCATCAGCTCTTAACTTTCCGAGGAAGGTGCTCTCCTGCCTGCCAACACAAGGACGGTCGTTCACTGGAAAGAAATTGTCTTAGGAAGGTACGAGCCAGAGTAAAACCATGTATTCGAAAGTATATACCCAAAGCACATCCTTTCACTTCTTCACAACCCTCAATACCCCACATCAACATCAACAAAACAGGTTAAAATACTCCGGGTGTTAACAAACAGAATGCCACAATCAAACTCTCCCTCGTTTCCTCTCCTCTATTCTTTTCTTCTCTACCTCCTAATTTTGCAGCCACTCCTAGTAGAGAAATAGAATATCTTTAGATACAAAAAAACACGCAAAGAGAGATAGATAGCTGCAAGCTTCAGCAACGCGATTAACACACACAAAGTGCCTCCTGATGTCTAACGCCGATAGCCCAAATACTGTTCTCACAGAAATACAAACGCTAGTAAATTTTCAAAATGTGACAATGTTTAGTGACCACCCAAAGCGCTGAGTCGAGCACCAGCCGGTCTCGAGATCATGCCGCCCTTGGTGATGACATCGTTGTTGTTTATGGCCTCGTTCTCGCTTCGGCCTTCCTCGTCGCTGTCTTCGACGATCTTAGTGGGGATGTCAGTTCCAATGTTGTATTGTTGGCTGCTCCGTTCTGGGGTGGTGGTTGTGCTCGCGATCGACATCGAGGTGCTTGATCTGTTGTGGATGAGATCCGGGGTTGGAGGAATGCTTGAGGCACGACCACTTGGGTTGAGGTACTTGTCGTCCCCATTTTCGGATCCACCATTTGATTGTCCATCATCACTGGCGGTGGCAGTCGACAGGTTGCTTGATCGGTGGTGACCACGAGCTTCCTTCAAAGCTTGTTCCTCAGCCTCGACCTCAGCATCATGAGCCAATTGAAGGCCCTCAACAGCAGCAGCACACTGCTCGCTAATGTTGCGGATGATGTGAGCAATGGCATCAGTCTTGTCTCTCAAGTGACGGTCAGCGACATCTACAATGCTCATCTGACTATATCGCTTGCTGTTCCTTAGACCGTTGGTGAGACGTGCCTCCATTTCTGGAGTCATGTCTTCACCATGAACCTTACTGTATCTGTTCGATCGTGACGAAGTACGTTCGACCAAAGCAGTGCTCTCTTCACCATTCTCCTTACCCTCCTCAGCAATGTCCTCCAAGTCCTCGGCCTCATCATCGTAGCCACCCTCGATGTACTCGACTAATTCGGGGCTCTTGCCGAGGGTTCGGACAATGTGCTCCATATGGTGAGTTTGACCGCTGATCAGGGCACGCAGGTGGAGAACAACACGTTGAGCTTCGTCACGTTGACGAAGGATGGTGACGTTTGTGTGTTGTAAAGCGGAGAGTTCCTTCTTGTTGCGCTTTCTCTCACGCTCAAGCTCCTCAGCAATTTCTTGTTGAAGAACCAAAGCTTCGAGAGCATCGTCACGTTGCTTCTCAGTTCCAGACAACCGGGTGGTGAGGCGAGCAGCATCATCCTTTTGTTGATCGATGAGACTGGTAAGGCGCCTGTTCTCACGCTTGTGGTTCTCAATCTTGACCTTGAGATCTTGAGTCTCCTTGGTGAGTTGTTCGGCGAAGGCCTGGAATTTGAGGAACTATGTGACATTAGCAATGACACTATGATCAGGGGCAATGAACATACTTGTTGTTTCCAGCTCTCAAGCTCCTCGACCAAGAAGTTGTTTCTCTTGGTGACTTTGCCGAGTTCGGTGTCCATACGACCCTTGAGGTTAATGAAGTCTTGCCATGCCTCCAAGGCATCTCTGGAGTATTGATTTCGCTCCCGAACGATCTCATTCAGATGTCTCATTGACACCTTGGTCATAAGTGGTTTCTTCACAGCCCCACCGAAAACAGCCTTCATGCCGGTGTTCCTTCCCTGTTGTGAAACAATGATCAGCAACATGTGACTTATACCCAGCCTGGGCAATATGAGATCAGATCAAAAACTTACCATCTTCTCGCAAACATGATCCATTACTGCCATCACCGAGTCTTGATTCCACCACTCGGGATCTTGGATAGACTCCACCTCTCCCCGCATCACAATGATTTGGCCGGCCGGGACCAGTTTTCCTCCCCCATACGCCGATCGGAGATGCTGTGGAACTCCTGAAGGTGTAACATCACCGTTCAGAGCTTGGGTCATACGATTGACCATCTTTGTGCGCTGACCAGCGGTGAGTGCGGTAGGTGGGCTGGAAGTCAAAACAAAGTTTCGGTCAAGATCCACGACCAAAGCATCAGTTGGTGCAGTGAAGAGTGTTCGACACTCAGCGGTGATACCAAGAATGTATGGTCCAGGCTCCTGAACCAGCTCCTTCGCATGTCTGGCATGTACGACTGGAACATAGAGGCCACTCCACTCATAAACACGAACACAGTATCGAATGGTCTCAGCTGCCACGGTGAGCATAGCAGGATAATGACTGACGAAGATGATACGCCGAGTTGGCGAGAGAGCTGCCTCTATAACACCAACGATATTTGGGATAGAGAGACAAGAAAATAGTGGCCACATGGCGAAGTTCTGGAATCCGGTTGGTGAAGAAGGGAATTGATAGCAAAGTGCGTAATCCTTCATGTCAATTCGTACAAGATCATTCAGTCTTGGTGCTGGGAAACTGAGGATGCGAGAAACCTCCTCGGCATGAAAGAGGTTGGTGGCCTTGTTCCAGTGGATCCACATACCTCTCAGGTAGTCACCCAGAAGATTGTACAACGGATATCGGGACAAGAAGGACAAGCAGTACGGGATCCAATAAGTCTCATCAGGGGAATCGTAGAAATCCGATTCGGTTCTCCTTCGGAGATCTCGAATTGTCTCGGCACGCTTTTCATCTGCCCTCGACCAAACTCGGAGCGCAATACCGTAAAGGGTATGCGAGGAATCCTGCTGTAGCACGAAAGAATGGTGCACACAGTGCGGCTGGCTGCGTCCAGTGCAGATCTCAACATCGTGGGGGAAACACGCCTGAGTAACAGTTAGTATGACTCGAGAACTTGATTGGACCTCTGCTTACCCTCATTGCTGCGTGAAGAGCACGAGCAATCTCATTGTCCTGCTCCAATCTTGGACTGCTTCCCAGAATCTCGGGTAGCCAAAACTGTCCAACGGCCCCTTTCATGTGTCCAATCTTTCCTTGTGCCGGTGCTGGCGCCTTGACCCATTGTGACGGCTCTCTTCCAACACCACACACCATATACGCGTGAGTGAGAGTCTTTGGTGTTCGCTGTTGAGGCTTGATGGCGAGGGTAGATGGAATTGGTTGGGTGATTCGGGAGTGAAGAGAAGATGTTCTGCTTGGGATGATCAAGTTCTGATCCGTCTGATCGCGGGTTCCAGGACGGCCTTCGCGGTCCCCAGTCCGTGGACGGACGAAAGAAGAGTGGTTGTTCAATGATGGGCCCATGGTGAAGATATCGATGTTTCGAGACTATTTGTAGTATACGACCTCTAGAAACGAAACAAGAAACCTAAGTTTCGGAATATTCCTGATATTGATAGAAGATATCGCAGCTTGAGCACAGATCAATTGACGTATGGGCGCTGATTCGAGGTCAATGATCGAAGGAGGATCGAATAAGGAGCGGCTGAGAAGGTGTAAAGAGTGTTGCAAGGACAAGAAGTCTTGTTGGTGTTGGTAAACTAGGTAGGCAAAACGTTCACGGCTCGACTACCAGCAAGCTGCAAACGCAATTGCCTCGTACAAGACCCCTTACACGGAAGAAAGTTGAAGCCGGTTATCAACTTGTCTCTACTTGTCGTTGTCGTCGTCGTCGTCTTCTGCTGCTGCGGCTCACTACGTCTGCTCGGGCAGCGTGTCGTGCAGTCGGCGGAGACAGATGCAGTTCGGGAGTGCAGTGCAGAGAAGAAAGAGAACAAGACTGCGAAAGAGGGACTGCGAGGTGCAAGAGGAGATCAGACACAGCGCGATGGCTTTGAAGCCAAAACCTACCGGGGGTTTCCCAGAAAGGCAGTATCCTGACGGGGGTCAAAGCTTCCCCTGTTGCTCGCCCCTGTTGGGTGGAGTCGCTGGAGTGGTGCTTGGTGCCCTGGCGAGCTTGTCGACTGCACATTGCACATTACACATTACACATTATTGCACCCGGCTTGCTCAGGCACCGCGTCCGCAGGCGTGCGAGAGATTGCAGGCCATTGGTGTTAGGCTCGAGTTGTTTTGGCGGTGCACGTCGCTGTCAATTATTACTCGTTGCAGTCCATTGCTGAAGAGCTGTGGGCCTCCCAACTGACACCGTCCGAAATTTCTCCCCCGTGGTGCGAAGTTTCATGCTCAAGTGCCCGGCGAGCAACCACCAGAAGGGCGAGAACATCAACGTCCCAGGAGAAGCGTTGTTTCTGGAGCAGCTCCGCATTATTACTCTAATATTCCTTCACATTTCATCCGCTATCGATCACTCGCAGAACACCAGTCGTTTTGTTCTCACTGCCGGCTGCTGTTGCAAGCAAGTTCCATGTTCGCACAGAGGCAATCAAAGACACAGAGCACGATGCTGCGATTCAGTGCATTGCATCCCCCACATGGATCTTTGACCCCTTCGGGAGGATGCAGACGCTGCCAACCAGAGGACTCGCTGCTCCGAGGGCAACTTCCCTGGGACCAGGGAAATCCATGCTAGACCGCAGATGAGACTGCAACGCTGCTGCTGCTTGCTGGTGTTGCGCTTGGGCCTTCTCGTGGGAAAGCCGTCCGGCGTTCCAGGGTTCGAGAATGTTGAAGCGGGCGGACGCCTTGTCCTTGTCCAGCCTGTGGCGGATTGGAGATTCATCCTCTCTCGTGGCCAGTGGATTTCGGGGAAGCACTATTGCAGCAATCCAATCGAGATCCGTCTCGGAGAGGAGAGGAGAGGAGAGAGGGGCTTTTCTCACTGCAACGCTGAGCCCAAAAGGGAGCAAATGTTTGATAGCCCCTGAGCCGATACGGAATTGACCAATCAGATGCACTATCACATCCATCCATCTGTCTCTGAATTTGTGAAAAGGAACAAACGAAATAAATAATAATCCAGAGGGAATTTCCAATCCGGTGCCATTCACCGGAGCATTGGGATGTGCATGACTAAGACATCTTGTTTCCAGACAGCAGCATGATGATTATGTATAGATAACGATTGGTTTCTTTTCAGTCAGCAGCAGCCAGCATTGAAGATGTTTCCTTCTGTGCGTCGCGTCGAGTCTGTTCTGTTCTGGGGACGAGATACGGAGGACGATAGCGAGGGGTGAAAGCGTGAAGCGGGAACGGCGGGGTTGATGTGATAGTGAGCGATATAGATGAGCACTCTTAGTAGATCAATTGGCGGATTTCCGGGGACCATCACGATAACACGAGGAAAGGAAGGATGAACACCTCCAACTTCAACGCGGCTCCTTCCAGGAACGCTACCGTCGTAGATTAATAACGCAGCGGCATAAGGGGAATTCTGACAGAGGAAGAGACCATCAGATCAGCGTTTGCTATCTTGATGCTTCCGACTTCGACCAGTCACATCCTTTACCAGAGGATAAAGCCATTGTCGCTAGAATCTCACTCGGAAGCTCGCCTCGACCTACAGTAGTTCAGCCGCGGTTGGGCTTCCCATTCACTCATTCATTTATTTTGGCGGGCCCCACGCGTGTGTGGTGTGCTCCTCATTCAGGGGTAAATATCAGACATACAGAAACAAGACACACCGTGTGCATGACCTCAATAAATAGAAAGCAAAAAAAAAAAGAATAAGAACAACAAGAAGCCCTTTCGCGGAGCATGCACGCAGAGACCTCCCCTCCTTACTGAATACGCGTGATATATAATGTATTGCATTCATTGAAGTTGTTTGCATTGCCCCAATCGGTTCTAAAGCCGGGAAGAGTAGCGCACAAGGATCGAGACTAGGGAAATAGGAGACTTTTTTTTATCTCTCAGGCAGACCGATCGAGGAAATATACTTTGTTAGAGCAAAACCCGCTCTCTATTCGTTGCAGATGGTGTCGAGCTAGGATCTCAGCCCTCAATTTTTTAAATTCGATTAGGTGCAGTAGTTCTGCAATGTAGTTCTGACATCGATCGAAGGATCAGCTTGTGGTCCGAGGTTTGAAGATGAGGAGTGCTTCACGTTGATAGCGTGCCGGTGTCAAGATTTGTCCGTTATCGATTCTTGGTACCGAGGAGAATGGATATGTTCCGAATGGCAGCAACGTCCAGGGCCCTGCGGAAGTCTATTTCGTTTCGTTTGTGTGGATGTTCGTTCATGGGGAAGTTTGACCATGACTTGGAGGTTGGAGGTTGGAGTTGTTCCTTGTTGGATAGACATGGTTCTCGTGCATGGGAGTGGGAGAGATTGTCTGCAAGTGCGACAGGGCAGGAAGGTAATAGCCGACCCTGTCATAGGATTACTCGACGACGCAAGACTTTCGAGGTCGGTGGTTGCTAAGATAAAGAAAGCGAGGCGGATAGATTTAGTTGGTTGCAAGGATGAAATCAAGTCTTGCTTGCGAATGTGCAGGATATTTCTCTTGATATGCGAGGAGAGTCTAATCGCTTAGCTAAACATTCAAACTGTACAGTACAGTCGTGCAAAGATGAACGCTCGCAACAAACAGACAGATGCAAGTTGAGCAAGGTCTTAAAAGTAAGCGAGTAGAATCGGATGCTGATCGATTCCTGCCTCCGAACTCAATGAATCTCAGCGAGCTTGAGGAGAATGTCATAGATCTTAGAGACCTGTAGTCAGTCAAAAATCTGCAATAGCAAATCTATGTCATGCAATTCATGTTTGAGAAGCTGTCCTAGTAATCTCCGTCCTACTCGGAGAGAGGAGGGAATTGCTAACCTCAAAAACGAATAAGCTTAGTGACGCTAGTATATAGGAAATGAAAAGGGAAAGTAGACAATAGACTTGACATGAACAACCTCACCCAGTGGTGCAAGTCTTCATAACCATCCTGGACATAGAAGAATGATGGCAAATAATTGTTGACAACATCTGGTGCAGGTTGAGCCTTACTTTTGACCCTATCAACATCCTATATTCCGAAATCTGCCAATAGTAAGATCGAGCAAAGCGGTCAAGCCTGATGTATTGCTGTCATCATCTATGTCGTGATTCATACTCCGTACCCTTTGTCCTTTATCCCAATACTCCAAAAAGCAATTTTCCTACCCATTCCCATCATCCTTTAGCACAATCTGATTCCGGTGCAAATCCAATCACTCCTATGATCTACTGATTCCATCTTCCCCTCCAGACAACACAACTGATCTCGAACTTTCTCCCTCTCTTTCTCCGTCAACGGCTTCTCCAAATTCATCACCGCCATCTGATCATAGACCATATCCCGCCGATACGGATCCCTCGTGACCCACTTCAGCAACAAACTCGTATCCTGAACCTGCACCACCTCACCCACCATCATAAACTGCGGTTTCTTAAAACTGCGAATCGTGCCAGGTCCTTGGAACCTGATCGCCTCATCAACATGGAAATACGACTTCCCCGCCTCCCGACTCGTCGTATCGACGAAGAACCGGCCTTTCAATTGATACAACGCGTCCTTCTTCAGCTTGCCGCCCGTGTAGCGAGCCAGGATGATGTTCTGTAGTGAGCGCCAGCCAGAGATTTGTATTTCCATGGCGAAGTAGGGGAAGTTGGGGTCGGCGAGGCCGTATTCTGAGCCGTCCCGCCAGGATCGGAGGATGGTGGCATCGAGACCAACGGAGACGTTTGAGATGGGTTGGCCGGATCGGGGCTCGAAGCTCAGGACTGGTACTTGAGCTGGAGCAGGCATGGTGTACGCTGTAGAGAGTGCAATATTTCTGGATGTTTTGGTATCACACGTGAGAGATGCTGATCAGATCTTTCTGAAAGAGAGAATGAAAGATCGATGATGATGTGCTTGCTGCTGCTAGATGCTTTTTCTCACACCGACAGAGGTCCAAAAGAATAAAAGATCAAAACAACAACGCCGATGAACCAAATGATCGTTTTAAAAGAAGAACTTGCTGGAAGACCTCAAATCCTTCTGGAAGGAAAGAAGAAGAAGAGAAGAATAAGCAGAAGATCGGTAGGTAATATATGCAAACGGTGACAAGGCCCAGCAGCAGCCAGCAGCAAAGGTGAAAAAAATTGTGTACCTCGATAAGAGGCGGTGTGACATGCGCTCCATCAGCGTGGCCCGTGAGATGTGTCTCTGAACCTTGTAGGGCTTTCCAATCTTCGATTCGGCCAGACGGGTTTGTTCCTGGAGCCGATATCTTTACCCGCATTGCATTGTGGTCATTTTGTATGGGCAGTTCCCTGGCTCTGGAGCCGACGAGAAAAAAAAGCATGAAAGGTTCGTTGGGGATGCTCCGGATTGATCCTGGTAGGAAGACGTTTCCGCCCCCAAGGAAGAACCTCTAAATTCTGACAGCTGAAGTCAATATCCCGAAATCGGAGGGACAAGCAGACCGCTCTCTTCTATGAATCATTTCGAGATGCAAGAGATCGGATGAATACGATCCGACTGTTACTCGGGTTTCACGAGGATTTGTTTTGAGCGTTGGTCTTGAAACTCTGTACCGTACCAAAGGCTTCAAGGGTACCACTAGCGTTGTGGGGTGTTCTGTACCTGCTTAGATTTTCAGGAACTTCAACAGACTTCCAATATGAAATTCATCAAATAGTCAAAACTAGATCAAAGATTGAAGCAAGCCAAATTCCATTATCTTGATAGAAATTGCTGCTTGGATTCCCCGGAGCGTGCCTGCTACAGTATCATTTTCCTTTTCTTTGGGCTTTCTTATCAATGGCGCCGGGTTCTTTTTAGCGGCAAGGCTGAAAAATTATCTGGGCTCAAATCAAAATATTTTGAGATCATACATACATACAACAACGAAACATCCTTTTCTCTAGCTTATCGACGAGCTCCCTTCGAATAAACGCAAACGTATTACACGACTGAATTGACTGTCACATAACAGCAAATTTGGAGTTGCGCCCTACGAGAACCCAGCTATATTTTCTCTTTCCCCTCCAGCCTCGAGTCACATCACCATGAACGAACCTCTCCTCTCCTCATTATGCACAATCTGCCACATCGATCCTCCCAAGTATACCTGTCCCAGATGCTCGGCACAAACATGCTCTCTACGTTGCGCAAAGCGACATAAACTCTGGGCTTCTTGCAATGGCGTCCGGGACCCGACAGTCTTCAAACCAATCTCAGAAGTTGCAACTCCTTCAGGCATTGATCACGATTACAATTTCCTGCACGGAATCGAGACTCAAATACAACGCAGCGAGAAAGTCTTGATCGAGGACCTAGGCATCGTTGAAGCAGAGGAGCTGGAGCGGGCAAGAAAGGGTGTAGATGAAAGGGAATTCCAGCAGCGACATGCAGAAGATCAGGCAAAGGGCGAGGTGCAAATTACAAAGGTGCTGAAGGAGAAAAATATCAGAGTCATAAAAGCACCAAAGGGGATGAGGAGAAACCAGGAGAATACGACGAATTGGAATAGAAAACACAGGTGTATGAATTGGCAGGTGGAATGGATACGAGCACCCAACGGAGAAAGAACATTATACAAGGCTTTGGATAAGCATTCATTGGGAGATGCCTTTGACATCATGTTCGAGGAAGAGCGGAAATTGAACATGAGCAAGGAAGAGAAGACAGCAGAGAAGAAGCGGAAAGCTGCGGATCGGAGCGCCAAATCACCAAAGAAAGCAAGGTTGGAGGAGAATGCAATTTCGGAGGTATCGACACTTCAAAACCCAGAGACAGGTGCTTGGAATGTCACCCCTATCTATTCGATACCCGAGCTTGTCTACACAGAACCTCCAATACCAGAAAAGCACCGAGACTACCACTTCTACATCCACCGGCCTCTCACGCCAGCCTCATATCCAAAAGTCCTCGCACCTCTCGATACTTCAAAATCTCTCTCAGATCTCCTTCGAAATAGAGATTTGTTGGAATTCCCTACGATACATGTCCTAGATGAGGGACCGGGGCGTCTTCCGTCAACTTTCATGCTGGAAAATGACTATTTAAAAGCAATTGGACAGAAAGGACACAGGCAGGATATAGATACTGAGATGAGTGGGATGGTGGATGAGGAGAGTACTGATGAATTGAGCGACTCAGATGAGGATAGTGATTCCAGTGAGTCGGAAGAAGGGGAAATATCAGAATAATGTCATAATATCACATTGAAGCATGATATCATTTTCCCATCTTGTGTTTTGCCGTTTGACGGCATTTGTTGTAAACATTGCTCCAGAGTTACGTAATTCATATTCCTTGACTTGATATTACCCACCTCGTGATAGAAAGACGTACGTAGCTTCTTGCCTACTCCATAAAAGAGGGTTCTCAGGGGCGGGCCCGCTCAAATCCGCAAAGCTACCTAAAGCTTCAAGGCTAAAATAGCCGATGTAGCTATGAGAGTATATCCAAATGACGTATCCGTAGCGCCTTTCCCACGCTAAGCCATCTTCAGACCCGAACTCGCCAACCCTTTATAAAGTTAAACAAGCAAAACCTTGGCATGTAGTCCGGAAAACCCAAGGTTATCTAATATACTGTTAGCTCAGTTGACAGATTTCCAGATGGACTTCTAGCTTCTCTAAAACTAGCACAGGCTGCTGGTTTGGAAGAACCATCGATCTCGGTCGATGGTTCTGAGTTTTGACTTTTTAACTTGACAAAAGTCTAGCTCGCTAAGCTAAGAGTGAGGTCGGGTACAGGCTATGCTTTTCATTTTGGGTCATCTACCACGACTATTAACATCTCATATCACTTATCTTGCAGAAGAAGCCCCAAACAATCGTATTTACCTCAAGCTCATATTTTGAAGGACCGTACCTTTTTTGAGATAATTCCAAGTGGAATGAGTGCGTAGTCTTTCAACAATGGGCCATTTCTCCGCACTGTTCATTTGTATGGTGTATTCTAAAATGTGAGAAAGAATTTTGTATTTTCAAAAGTGCAAGCTAAATTGCGAGGTTCTCCTTGATTGGCTTATTAGACTTTAGTGCACACTTCTCTAATTGTATGGTGCACTTTAAAATATGAGCTTGAGCCAAATGCACTCTCACAGTGAGTGAGTCAGTGATAGCATGCTTTTCCACTTTGTCGGTTCATCACGACTCTCTGTATATCAACACTGCTTCACCTGCAGAAGATGCCTCCAAACAAGTAGACTGCTTCAAATTAGCCTTCAAATACCAAATCTAAGAGTAGGATCGTGATACTTCTCGAATCTAAGCCAGGTTCCGAAGTTATCGAATCTTTATATGATTTCTCGCTTAAAATAAAGGGGTTGATTAGCCGAAGCTTTTCAAGTACATGTTTATTTACTCTTCCGGGATCGGCCTACGTTGACAGATGAGTTGGAGTTCGAGTTCATCTACTGACGTATTTTCCTATCGCTCTTATCGTTATCGTTATCGTTAACAAGTCTGCGCACAACGCGTTACATGAAGCTATCCAGAAAATCGATCTTGTTCATTCCATCGACAAATCCAACTTCAGGAACAAACCATCACGATCCACCCAACTCCTGACGAGAATCAGGGGAAGCGATGGATGACGTGTTGAGCTTCTTCCCTTGCCGTAAGAGTATGATGAGTTCATAATCCATCTTCAGAGGAAACTGCTAACTTCCCCGCAGGTGGTCTCATATTCGTGGTCATCGCTTTGTGGAGTTTCATTCAGTTTGCGTTCCTGACTTGGCTTGGCATTGCTTTCCACGAATGGAGAATCGGATACCGCTGGCGTATCATCCTCTCACTAGCCGCCAACCTCTTGGTCTTCGAAGCAGCAGGACAGTCCTTTGGCAACATACCTGTGAAGTATCTTGGGGTAAACACACTCTCATCAATCAGAAAAATGCGCGTTAATCTTGCTACAGGTCTTTGGTAAATGGCTTCCCTTATTCTACGACCTCATGGTTGAGCTTGCTGGTGCTGCGATATTCGTCATGTTTTGGTGGAAGGCACTTGTTTGGTCCTGGTACGCTTTCGGACGTCGCGAGCCTTATGTCTTTGATCCCCGTCGGGAGAGAATTATGGTAGTCTGGGAGGAGTCTGATGGAGACGAATGGAAAGTGGACGTCACCCAATACGTACCCGTCAAAGCCGTGTACACGGAAGAAGAACTGTCGGCAGCGAGGGCATTGGCGCTTGATCACTTCATTGATGACTTGGAGTACAGAAATCAGAGGATGGAGGAGGGGCTGAAGGTTGCTCGTCCGTGGTATGAGGCTTGTACTAGTGAGTCAGTATGAGATGAGAATGAGAATGTTCCAAAGGGAGGGTATGGGGACACTTGGAAGAGTCTTTCATCTGAAAGAGGACCTTTGTTCGGTGTGTATCAAGGCAACCGTGGAGGCAGAATGTCGAAAAGCTTGACGTCTGTGTGAACTACCTTCAGAATGTAAGTAGGCTTATGCAGAACTCTTCTGTATACTCAGAACAAATGAAGACTTTCGGCTTTCATTCTATATAGAAGCTTGTGATACATGGACTGCCTAATCATGTCAAAAGAACACATATGTTGAAAATATACAACAACCAACACCCCAGCCTCGACACTTATTCAAAGCCTTAGGCTTTAATGATCGTGATCCGCTACTAGCTGTCCTGACCGCCTTGCTTGGTTCGCACAACGCGTGAATTTATATTTTATAACGCGACCGTGTATAACCCCGCCGCAACTTTTCTTCCAAACTCTACAACACTTCCCGCACAACAACAACTGCAACGACGTGGAACAAAGAAACCATGGACGCCACAGCCCAAGAAGATATCAGAGCTCAATTCCACAGAATCCCTGTCCAAAGAAAGCGTAAGACCCCGCTTTTGCCATCTCCTAAGCAATCCGATCTAACCAATATCTGGAAACAGTTGAGCTGCTCACCGTATTTTTGACCGGCTGTTTCATCTATCTCTACTGTCTCATGAAGATGCTCAACACAATCCCCGCTATCAAGAGGAACCCCTTCTTCTTTCGCCTTGTCATTGCCGTTGGCATATTCGCTCGATGGTTCAACAATCCGACGATGTATGGTTGGGTTCTTGGATTTGAGGAAGTAGGAACACCCAATCGTCTTTACCGGGTCTCATGCTAATTGTTTGCATCATAGGGACATCCAGGAGACCTCTTATTCTTCCTCCTTGTGATCTTCAGCCTGTTACTCCATCTGCTCAAGTCTTGGGCTGTGATACACGCAATGATGCACTGGGAATCCTTGCCTGGCAGACTCTTCGTGATGTATGTCTGGTTCTTCCGTCCATTCAAGTACATCATTTGATCGGATCACGACTGCTGGACTACCGGACAATGGGAGCTGGGTAGTGTGGTTTGCAGGTTTCGGAAAGGAAAGCCTCTTCAGTTATGCAGGAAAGGACAGACATTAGGGATGCTCTGAGACTGCCTTGCGTATTCAGAACATATCAATGAAAAATACTAAACCACACAATTCTCTCTTTACATGCCCCGTGCCTTCTCGTAGAAATTGACTGCTTTAAAGAAAGGAAACAGTTCCCAACAATAAGCCAGCGACAATGTCTGCTCAGAAAAATCTGGGCAGAAGTCCCTGCTTAATAGGGACAATTTCCACTTGAGAATTGCAGGAACCCTTGACCAGACAATGAATAGCTTATTTGTTGAATTGGACGTAGTAATTGTTTGTGTCTTTTGCATGTGCGACACCCGCAATACGCGCGAAAAGCGCAAAAGTATTAAAAGTATTAAACAAATGCATCCGTTTCAAAAGAGTAAGGAAACCACATGTTCCTTACCTAGGGGCAGAACACAGAAGCATTAGATCAAGATATCATTGATGAAGTCAGAGATTTCCTGCTGTCTCTCATGGGCAGGAGTGACCCGATACAAGAGGAGGGTGTGGAAAATGCTGGAGAGGATACAAACACGAAGAGGGACCGATCCAGGAGCGTATCCAAAATTATCGAGATTATCGAAATAATCGATATGCTCAAAACGTCTAGAACAGCGTTGAAAAGCTCCCTTTCCTCCGTTCTTTACGCTTGTGATACCTTGTCCGTGAAGTCCTTTCCTTGGTCATAGAATCACAAGAAGCATGAATGATGAACAGAACCTGTCTTGATAACCCATCATGATTCATCCTATTGACAACCTTCCATATCTACAAAGCCAATGACCAACGAACACGAACAAGGGGTATCATTATCTCCCAATCCCGCTGTAAATGCAAACAAAACACAACCTTTCCAGTTCCAAACTCTCGTCTCTGTTACCACCGCCTGCTCCATGCTTTTAATCCATTTCCAAAATTGCTTCCTCTTCTTCAATGGGTAAGGGTTCCCTTGTAGTTAGCTCTGCTTCGACCACGGACAACTCCTCGCTCGCGGGACTTGATGCCTCTGACTCTTCATGTTGGACCTCGAGCGCGGCGCTAGCAGCAGCAATCCTCTCGGCTCGACGAGCGGCATTTCGAGCTTCCCGTTGCTTGATGAGGTCTTTCTCTGCCTCGATGGCTTTTGTTCGCCTGGTTTCAACCTCATCCCGCTTCACAACTTTTCGCAGCCCCTCAGAAGCATGGATCAGGCCATCAATACTGATAGCATGATTCGTCATCTGATGATTGATATACGTGTATATACCTGCTGGAGTCGAACATTGCAAAAGCTGGGACTCATTGAGCTTTAACAGAGCGAGAGCCACTTCAAATAAGAAAGTGCTTCCATCGTTCGTGCAAAATACCACGTCCCAGACCCGGAAGAGAGCTTCGGCTGAGAGACAGTCGGTAAATACGCTGAGGAACCATTGAAACGTAAGTGCTTCCAATTCGATACTGAGATCGTCCAGGTGCGCAGACAACTTGGGCAGAATCTCGGAGACGTACTGACGGAGAACTTGCTGGTCAGCCCTTGATGCAAGCAGACTGTGATCGTAGTAGCCACGAGGCAGAATATTCTCAATGATACTGGTAAGTACCCAAAAAGCATCTTCTGCAGTAGGCATGATGAGAAGCAAGCAAGCTGTGATCAAGTTCATGCCTTGGCAGTATCCAACCTCAATATTCCTTCGAGAATAAGCCAGCAAAACTTCATTCAATTTTCCAACACCTGGACCTTTCCGGAAGAAAATGTTGTCGGTCAATGTCCGGTTGATGTCCATCTCAATCTGCGCTACGATTGATGGGTCATCATCTGCTTCAGAGCGAGCAATGAGGTCGTCATAATAGCCGGGAATCCGAAGCGTTGCAGCTCCTGAACATTCAGCCCAAATCTTGGCCCTATAAGCTACCGGGATGCCACCAAGCACGAGAGTCTTGAACTCTTTCCATTTCGCACGTCCAACTTTGCCTTTGTTACCCAATCCAGCTACTCCAATCATTTCACCGTCCGTTAGAGTAGCCTCAGGCATGACGGTGATAGGCTTTTGAGAGCGTGTATCAGCTGCAAGAGCTGCCTTTGCTGCTTCGCCGTCACGTCTCCGCTCGGCTCTAACCTTACGTAGAAAGTCGTTCCATCGAACAGTCTTCTCTCGTTGTAGAGAATCATGGACTTCTCCAAGCTGTTTCAAAAGCAACTTGACAGGTTCGGTATCCTCTTGTGGAAGCTCTGAAGGAGGAGTCTGGGTGGCCAAAGGCTTTGAAATAAGTGCATCTTCTGAGGTCACCGTCACAGCAGGCTGAATTGGCACAGTGCTCGCTGATGGTAAGAAACCCCTCTCCTCACTTGTAATACCTGGTGATCGAGGCACTTCGCCACCTTCCATTACTTCGAACGCAGGCACGGCACCAGACGGCGTATGGGACAACAGCTCTGTTGGGAACGTAGCAATTTTGAGGTAATCTTGCCAACGTTTGGCAGGCTTCCCCTCATCACCCTCGAGAGAGGTTGGGGTATCTGGTCTTGAGTCTTCCATGATCTCTGAGTCGTCTACCGAAACCCCACTTCGGCCACTGCTCAACATTTCAACTCTGCCACGCTTGGTCTTTTGAATTTTCTCAGCGGCCTCTCTTTGCCTCTTCTTTCGTCTCTGATCATAGATGAAGCCAAATCGGTCTGTCAGAAAATCCTGATTGTACGGATTGTTGTATATCTGAGTGATGGTTGGTGGCTGTGCTTCTAGAGGTAAAATTTGATCCATCTCGACAGGGCCATAATTGTCTGAGCTTCCATCTCCAGATTTCTGGGGGCTTTCTCCCATGGTATCCCATCTTTCTTGCTGAGCTCTGGTGGTATTGGCTGCTGCGCTTGCTGTAGGTCTTCGTCCAATTGGAATTGCCCTTGGAGCTGGCTTTACTGGCACTGTCCTCGCAGACATGGTTGTCCTTGCGCTGGCAGTAGACGGAGCTCTATGAGCAGGAGCAGTGCCTGTGCTATTTGCCCGTCCGCGGTTGCTCGTTGTACTTTCAGCATCCCGTCCGGTGAGTGTAGATCCTGCAACAAGTTTAAGAGCTAAAGTCGCTAGGCCTGAAGGTTTCCTTTCTCGATATGCGCCAGCGGTGTTTCCTGAATGTTGACTAGACCCTCGACTCGGACGTTTGGTGCTTTCTGGTGGCTGGAACACACCATTCTGCAGAACAGACTTTCGAGCTGTCACAGGGCCTCCAATCCTCACGTCGGCCCCATTTACAGCATCCCCATTAATACTGCTTGACCGACTACTCTTCCTACTTGTACCTCCCCATATGTAATCTTTCCAGCCCTTCTGTGTATTTATCGGCCTATCCTCCAAAGCCTTTAGATTCGCTGCTGCCCGGATGGTAGCATCATTGTTCATCAGTTCGAGGTCTGAAAGAACTACATTCTCGTTCATAGCATCATTCATCATGTCCTCCAATCCAGCATTCGCAGTAGTGACTTCCACATCATTGGCATTGGCGACCGAGACCTTTCGTTCCCCTTCGATAGCTCGCAGACGAGTCTCCAAGTCCAGATTAGATAGTCCACATTCTAGTACGATCTTCCTCAGCGCCCGTTCTCTCTCTTCTGTCCGTCTCCTGAGAGCAGCCATCTGTGCATCCCGTTGAGCCAAGTCCTCCGCCAACTGTCGTACCAAAGCAACAGCTCCATTGCGCGCAATCAGCCGTTCGATATGATCATCGTTCGCATGGTGTATCGAGCCAGGGACATGCTGGGTGCTGAGTGGCGCATCGTCAAACAAGCCAGTGCGATTGAGCTGCAGAGGCGAAGAGGTTAATAGGCTTTCGACAATAGATGAAGCCGGATCTGAAGTCTTGCGAGTGCCATTCGCTGACTCGCCAACAGAGCGCGGTATCAATGGATTGTCCTTTGGCGACTCAGGAGAGAAGGAGGGGAAAGAGGTCAAAGACTTGTCGGAAATTGAAGAGGCGGAGCTCGACATATATGAAGCATATTTCCGCGGTTTGACTCGTACAGTTTGAGATCTTGAGCTCTTGCCAGAAGCGTTCGAGTGATGCGATGCTGTTCTCTGTAGTGAAGCAGAGGCAGCATCAGGTTCCATGGTCTTGTGAAGCCAGCTGTCGCAATGGTCGTAACCGTAACCCTCGCAGCGTTGGTCTGACAACCTCCTCACCGTCGTAAAGTAGACGTCTGAATGGCATGAAACATAAGAGCTTTCCGTAAAGGCAGGATTGCATAAGGAGTAAACTTGGTGGAGTGCGAGGTCCTGAGTTTGTGGAGCCTTAGAATGCAGGTTAACTTTGAACGTCATCTCGCCTGCGTGGACGATACAAACGGAATGTCTCAATGTCTCAACTGTGGTCTTCTACTTCAAAGAGAATCACAACACAACACATTCACATTTCAGCAATTCATACCAAGAAATGCCTGGTCTCTTCTACTGTGCTTGAGCCCTCTGTTACATGAGGTTTGCGTGATCCTCAACAAGAGTGAGAGAATTTTGAGCACGCAAATGCCGCATGGTAATTCGAATACCGATACCGTGTGACAAGAGCTAAGAGCGTTGCAACGGTCACACCTTTCAACGCCAACCAGTCCAAGCTGCAGCGTCTCTAGCGTGTCTGGATCTCAAAAATATCGCCTACTCAGCAGTTCGCCGCCTACAGATTGACGGTGTGCAGCGATTGGGCCACCGTTGTCCCTCGGCCTCGGCCCAACCCCAGACTTTCGGGAAAGGAAAGCTCCCCGCATAAGCAGCCCTCACTTTGACCTTTGGGCTGATCTGAGTACTTTCTTCTGTCTTTCTTCATGTTCTTCTGATCGAGTTGCAATTCTTCTTCACTGCTTCTACTATTTACACAGGGACAATGACATCATCCGCAAAGAGAAGGCTTGCCGCTCTCAGCGAGCAGCTTGTGAATCCAATCGCAGACCAGGGCAAATTCGAAGACATCCCAGTACTCAAGAGGATTGCTCCAGCCTCCAATGGACCCCGAGTCAAAGACAAAGTTGTCATTGTGACAGGTAAGATTTTGATGCCGTTGACATGCTATTCTAATTTATCTTATAGGCACCAATAGTCCACTCGGGATTGGCAGAGCGTCAGCACATCAGTTCGCGCAGAATGGCGCAAGAGCCGTATACATCTGCGACTTCAATGACTCCAATCTCGTGACCCATAAGCGTGAGCTTGCGTCATTATACCCAGATGTCGAAGTACATACCCGACAATTTGATGCTTCAGACGAGGCGGCTGTGAAAGCTGTTGTGGATGATGCAGTACAAAGATATGGCAGACTAGATATCTTCTTCGCCAATGCCGGAATCATCGGTCAGCCGAAGATATTTTCTGAAATCACGGCAGAGCAGTTTCTGAATACCTTGAAGACAAATGTAGTGAGGTACACAATCACTGGTATATTGTTAGACTTTGACATCTTACTGACGGATTCAGCGTACACCTCGCTGCCAAATATGGAGCACAGGCCATGATGTTGACATCTGCGGAAAAGAAGTACCCATCTGGTAGTATAGTTGCCACCGCTTCTGTAGCAGGTTTGCGTTCGAACGCCGGTTCAAGTGACTACTCTGCATCGAAATCTGGGGTCATTTCTCTCGCCCAGACTCTCTCGTACCAACTGTCTGGGACTGGTATTCGTGTTAATGCTATCTGTCCCGGTGTCATCGAAACCGGTATGACTGCTGTTATGTATGAGGCTGCAAGAGCAAAGGGGACAGAGAAGAAGATTGGCCAGCTGAATCCGTTGAGAAGAGGTGCTCATGCAGACGAGGTTGCTAGAGTAGCATTGTTCCTTGGTAGCGATGAGAGCAGCTATGTCAACGGCCAAGCCTGGGCTGTCGATGGTGGTTTGAGTGCTGGCCATCCATTCGTTCCGGGTAAATTAGGATGATGAATATATGTTGCAACTTGCGAATCAATAATCTAAGGACCATGAACAGCCAATCCGGGCTTACTATGTAGCATGAGCTATGTCTAGACCTTCCGTACATGATGCAGGGTCCTCTTGGCAATATCAGCCTGCTTCCATCTACCCTCTCTTGTTTCTTACGTCTTCCATCTAATAATTATTTCTACAAGTACGGAACGTCGTTGCTTGAGAATATCGGCTAGTGTACTACACTGTTGGGTGTAACGCAAGAGGGAAGTTCAATGTCACTTGTCCTTAACGGCAGCATGATGCAAAAGACATTGCTACACGACTTCTTTAGTCTATTTCAGTTTGGGTCTTCGCACAATGTCCTCGACTAGGTACAGCTTAAAGACATTATTGATTATGTGCTGGATGACATTCCAATAATTCCTGGTGCGGACCTAGCAATTTGTCGCTAGAATCTTGTTGTATTTACTGTGTCTCGTTCCACGCAGTAGTTTCTCTCGTAACGAAACCAACAGCTTGCTATGCTTGTCAGACTCGAGTTCAGATAATAAAATGCATTAGTGGGAAATACCTAGATTGTACGGCATCGTTCGTAAGGAAAGGAGCCTCTCTGGAGTCTGGTAGCAAGTGCTTCTAGGTCATGTCATAGATATCTCTATATATAATCGTCACAGAGTTTGGACGGTGTACAATCGCCGTTGTCCACTGCATGGAATCGGATGCCTTATTTGGCTCTGCTAATGCAGGAACAGAGCATGGAATGAGTTGAGCTGCGGGTCCCATTATTGAAGTCGTGCGAGGTGCCACACGGACGGCTGCGTTTTGGCTTCGATTATCGAACATCTCATTTCCTTACTATGACCATCACTTGGAGTTTTGTTCGATATGATTCGCATTTCAGTAATTATATACCGTTCTCTAATAAGACTTCAAAATCTTCGAAATGATCATCATACAAGGCAGGCTCTCTCTTGTCTGAAAGCTGCTTACTGCAACTGTTCATAACGCTTGTTGGAATGACTTCTCTCGGGTCATGCTCTCGTTCATAAATGCCAAATGCCCCTCCAAAATCTTGGTGATAGCAAATCTGCAGTAGCCCGTTTGTGCAACATCACAGTTTAGTAAATGCTCCGTACAGAAGCCGTGGGCGAGTGATCCTTTCCTCTTTTGTTCTCACAGCATTTACTCCTTCCACAACTGATCCGAATATATTGCCCTCGCTCCTTTCATCTCTTCATCATTCTAGTCACAACACATCCGCAATCTCGAATCACCTGCAACCCACAAGAAGCTCCCTATCTGCAACATGAAGATCCACTTCACCGCTACCACCTTATTCGCCGTGGCAGCTCTAGCTGTCTCGACCTCGAGTTCGGAATGCAACAACGATAACTGCGCTCGTGCTGTTACTGGAACCCAACTCGGCGTCTCTCATCCGTCCACTGCTCGAGCTGATTGCAGTAGCTTCTTCCAGAAGACTATCTCCCCCCTCGTCACAATTCGAGTCACCGCAACCGTAGCTACTATGTCGATGATCATTCCTGCCAAGCGACAGATTCCCACACCTGGCATCCCATTCTATGCAAGAGTCTGCACAGAGCCAGGTTCTTATGCGAGCGCGTGTTCTTGCCTTGGAGTTATTGCTTCCACTACTATGGTTTCTGCAAGTACTCTTCGGCCTTATATTGCTCTGTAACTGACGAATTAGCCCTCTACCATCACCATCACGACGAATGTGACCGCTACACTCACTCAGAAGACCACATCTTCAATCAGCTCATCATCGACTGCTCCGAGCTGCACAAACACAACCACGGATCCGCAAAACTGTGGCACATGTGGCAATGTCTGCTCATCAGGTGTTTGTGAGAATGGCTCATGCACTGCTTCATCTTGCGTTGCCAAGACTTGCGGCAGCTTCCAAAATTGCAACGACAACGACAATTGCTTCTGCTTTTCATCCACTCGGCCCCTTCCAGATAATGGCTTCTGCGGAGCCAATGCTTTGTGCGATGAATCGACCCTATGTAAGTTTCCATTGTCCCTCTTCTTTTGACTCGCGTAAGAGAGAGCTTATCACAGCGAATCTTGCTGTCTCGCGTTACAAGTATTCTCAAAACACGGATGCGTGCTAACCAGATATCTTTGATCTACAGGTACCACTGATGCTGACTGCGGACCTGGGACCACTGGTAACATCTGTTCGGTTGATACTTGCTGCTCTCAACAACCAAAAGCTCAGCCAGGTATTTGCTTGCAGGCATCGTGTGGCAATCCTGCAACCAAGTTAAAGATGATGGCTAGGGCAAGATTTGGAAGGACGGCCGCATATTAGAGAAAGAAGATGAAGGTTTCGGAATAGAAGCAAGAAGGAGAGGTTCACCAAAGAAAAATAATGGCTTTTAGTGCAAGTCCCTTTGGCATCTCATCTTATCAGGAAAAGCAGCCACTATGTCAAGATATCAAACTTAGAGTTGGCATGAGCAGCTTGCCCTTGCCACCAGATCAGTATACAAATCCAGAACAATGCTTGGTAACTTTTCTCCACGAATAGATGAGCATGCGTACTAACGTACTTCCTACCGTTAAGCTTCAACAATTCTTAATCAGCGTGCTTCAACAATTTAGATCTTTGTGTTGGGGTCGTACATTTGAAACGACTTCGGCAAACAAAGAATTGACTTGTCACAAAACGCAAGAACTTTTGGAATCGCAGGCTTAGAAAAGCAAGCAATTGACGGAGAATTTCAAAAATAATTAAATAATGAATTTGAGGGCACAATATTACACATTCTTCCTCAAACTCCTGAGTCGAAGCCCAAGTAAAAATACCTTGTTTTTTCAACAACCTCCTGTCCTATCAAATCGGTCGCGCACGCGCATCTCGTCGCGTCCCGCAACCTTAAAGAAATCATGGAGCCCTGCCTCTCCCCCTACTCAACCTCTTCAACCTCCTCGTCCATATATTCTTTTCATACGGCTCCTAACTCTCCCATGTCGATTATCGAGGCCTCTCCACAAGGTACTTCGTACCGGCCGGTAGTGCCGATTAATCACGATGTCCGTCAAGAGGTAACCATCTACTTTGACGAGGAGTTGTGCAAGTATTCCTCCATGTAAACGCGCGCGAGCTTCTGCTAACACATATCAGACAGCGGTGCTATTACCCTCCTCACGGATCTTATTACGACAGGCGCTTCTTCTCCAGGCCCTCAGAATCCGATATATGCCCCTGCACCATTTCACATCGAGCTTGCGAGTGCCCTCCTTATACACCCTCGACACACCAACCAGGCTCCGGCGCACGACCGGATAGAACTCGCATCCCAAGCAATAACTTTTCTTCGAAATCTTCTCGCCATTGTCGGTCCTCTCAATGCCAACCTCGCAGAGGCCTTTTCATTCTCCGGCCAGTCCAATCGGTCATCAAGAAGGAGTCGGAATGCCCTGGAACTCGATGATGGTTCGAGTAGTTCTGAGAACGAAGATGGTTCCGAGAAAATCAGAGGAGTCATCGCCAACAGGGGCAGAATTCGAAATTGTGCAAAGGATTTCTGGCATATGGTCGGCTGGGCATTTAATTGCAGTGTGAGATACCCTAAGAGATGGAAATACTGGAAAGTCTGGCTGGATTTTATGCTCGATGTCCTGGATGCAGATTGGAACGAGCGTCAATCGTCAGGGTTAGACTCGGGTGTGCAAAACTCTCTTCTTGTGAAGTACCTGTCTGAAGCCAATGGGAGGTCGAGTGCAATGAAGCGAGTGGTGAGGGCTGCATTCGCAGATGGATCTGTTGAGAGTTTGAGGGAGTTTCCAGAAGTCTTTACGAATGAAACCAAGGAACTTAAGATTCACAATGGCCAGAAAAGGAAAAGGGAAACCCCTATAGAGCGGAAATTTGGTGGTTACCAGGACGAGGAGGCGGAGTCGGAGTTGACAGACCAAACTTCTCAAGATGAGGATTGTATACCAGAGAACGACCCTTGGCTTGGAGGGCCAGAATCCGTTACGTTGCGTCAGCGCGTCATTACTCTGGTAAGTCGTCTTTATCCCGCATAAGCCTTGTTTTGTCACTAACACTTGAATGGCTTTATCAGCTTTCTAGGGTTGCTGATGCTCAGCCAGAACACTTCTGTGACTGTAAATCCCTTTATGATGCCGTGTTTTCAAGCATCAAACCTCTCCCGCTGCCAGCGTTCTCGCTGCTCCTCTCATCGAGCCGCTCATCACACCTCGTGCTAGAGGCTTACGTATCGTTGACCCAAGTGATTCTCCTGCCACTACTGCCAAGCTCGGCCCCTCGTCCCCACGAGATTTCGAATGAAGATAGAGATGATTTGACGCAAGACGTACTTGAGCGTTGTTATCTGCCATTTCCAGCTCTGACTTCATATGCCTCGGACAACGCTAAAGTCTCTATCCTGGTTGAGAATCTCATGAGATTACTCTTCAGGGAAGGCGTACTGTGTCATACTCCGACCTTGGACGCAGCGGTTAAAGCAGGTATCGTGGCACGTGAAAACAAGTCCAAGGTCGACAAGAGAAAGAAGGATAATGGCGTGAAGGGGAAAGAAGAACAGAACGACTTATTACATTTGAAGGCGAGTGGGCAGCGGCTGAAGAGTCTTTTGTCATGGATTGAAGAGCATGACAGTACTTGATCCTGTCAGTGAGACTGCAGATTGGCAGATTTCATCATACAATTGAGTTTGCAACATCCATCATTCGGTGGATGTCATGAGCATGAGAAGGACATCGACAACATATTTTCACCGGTCTTTCAGTGGCCCCTCGTTCTACACCATCCTCTGGCTTCCCTTCAAGAACAACATCCATCAATCCTTGTGTTCGACAATCCACCAAACCCTTCTCTGTCAAGCCTAGATCCGGAACGGCCACCAGACCCACGAAGCTCATGATCATGAATGGCGACTTCATTCTACTCCCCAAAATGGAGTGTACGGCTTCAACACAAGCAATAGAATCATCTCGAACCATTTCCCATGGCTCAGAAGACATGCAACCAGCAACGTCAAGTCGAACAGAGCCAAGAATCTGACCATCCGCTACAGCTACAAATCCACCACCGATCGTGATTATTGCTGAAACCGCGTCTGCTATCTCTTGGTCTGATGTTCCAATTACGACCAGATTTTGATTTTCGCAGTTCGTCGTGCAAGCAATGGCTCCTTTTCGAAGGCCGAATCCTCGAACGAAGCTAATTCCATGATTTTTGGTAGCATGGTGGCGATCAATGACCACCACTTTCAAGATGTCTCGACTCACGTCACTTTCCACTGAATTTTTATCGGAGACTGGAAGGCGAGCATGGAAAGCTCGTTTGAAATAGCCATCGTACATCTCCATTGCCTGTACCCAAGCATGGTCTGGCTCCTTAGGTGCTACTCGAAAAGTCGATGGATTTAGATATGATGGGTCGATGTGGATGCTGTTAAGCGTAAAGTGAGGAATGAGATCAGTGTTATCAAAGGTCGGCTTATAATTCTGTGCAACTACTTTGCCGTTCATGATTACGATTGTAGGTCTCATTCGATCAGTACTTTCCTTTTGGATTGTCTGAAGTCTGTGACTCACCGAGCCTCTTCTAGACTGTCGAGTATCAATAAATCTGCTAGTTTTGCTGGTGTCACACTTCCGATGAGGTGATCGAGTCGATAGTACAATGCAGCATTTAAGGTAGCTTTTCCCATATGAGTATATATTCTGACAATATGCTGAAGACAGGAGCCGATGTGTCTTGAACAGTGTCCCGAGCATTCGACTCCTACATTGTCCTTGAAGCTAAAGGAAATTTCGACGTACCCATACGATATGCTGCTAAAATATCGACCCCCAATTGAATGGCAGTCCGAACATGGTGGTCTCTGTACGTTAAGCCCTTGAATTAGTATGCTCAGTTTGTACATTTCGACAGCAAACTTACATATGACCCTCCCGGTCCAAGTCCTCAGCCAGCTTATCGTCGGCACAAAATGAGATGTGCCCCAAACCTCCTTTCAATGCAGGAATGTCCTCGAATACCCACTGAATGTTGGAATTCATTGAACCACTCATCACTGTCAACATCATGCCTAGTCTCAGCCTTTCTATCACATCTTTAGTTTGATGCGCATTATGATCATCTCCTATACCACCGGCACTGTAAGCCCAAAGCGGTTCGTTCTCGAGTAAAGCAGTATGGCCTGTTATACGCTTGCCTGCATGTAAAGCTGCCGCTTGTTTCTCAGCAGATGCTCTATCCAGTGAAAATGGATTACTCTCTCCTAGTGTTGCCGCCTCTGGTTGAGAGACGCGAAAGCAGAGCTCTTCGGTGGAAACGGAAGTTCCACCAAGTTCAATGTCCGGACCGTTGCCTGGAATCTTGTGCGAGACTTGACGGAAGATTCTTAAGGGAGTGGTGGTCGTTCCTGCCGAATCTCAGTTTCGACTCGTTCTTGGGGCGCGTGGGCTAGTGCTCACCCATGAAGTCCATTCCAAGTCCGCCGAAGACATTAGCAATACAATTCGCATCGGCCAGGATTGTCGTGGTCCCTCTTGGAATACTGAGCCTGGCTAGTTCGCCAGGGACCAGCTTCGTGTATTCAACATGTATGTGAGTATCGATGAAACCAGGAGATACGAATTTGCCACGTGCATCGATCTCCTCTGGACCAGCAGGGAAGTGGCCCCCTGGGCAATGGAACGTTAGCAGTTGCTAAGAGAAGATTGTCCCAAGAGGATCAGCGCATTATCTCAGACAATGAGGGAAGAGAGATTTTTTCGACAAGACCTACATGGTGTTATTGCTGCAATATATCTGCCATATATGATAACATCGCGCTCGAGAAGTTCACTCGTATGCAAGCATAGGATAGTTCCGCCGCGAATAATCAAGGATGGCGGTATAGAGCCTAGAGCAACAAGGCGTAGGTGCATGAGTTCATCCACAGTGATAGACAGATGCGCCCCCGTTGCGATCGAAGTCGGGATGGGATGATGATCCATGGCTACTCAGTCCTTTGCAGTGAATGTCACATCTGTACGATCTTTCTATGCTTCCACGTAGACTTCGTCTTCTTCTCTAATTCTGATGATGCTGCAAACTGAATTGCAAGATTCCACACAAAGCTCGTCATTAAAAATGCGTCTTGAACCCCACTTTTGGCTGTCTTATCTGGTACCTATCCTTCGGAACATATCAATGTCACTGCCGAAATCTAAGATTCATTTCGCAGAGGCTCCGCATGTTTGATATCTACCATTCCTCCCACTTTCGCAATGGTGGCCCAGATCCTCGGAGCCGACCGATTTTCAACACATGTTCCCCTTTCAATTCAGCTTGATTGGGTCAATCAGATGTGGATCTCAAGTCGTAGATCTTGGAGATAAGATACTGGACAAGAGCGCTCAAGACCGCGAGTCCGTTGTCTTGGTCAAGTAATACAAAGTGGGGAAACGTCCCGAAAATTGTAGGACCCTTGATCTTCCTTTTCTCTAGCACTGTACAATCAAAATCAAGACTTACACAATGAGCTACGGAGAGAGCAAAGAGATGGCAAAGGGACTGTCTAGTTCAAGCCCGGTGGAGGTAGATGGTGGAGCTTTTGGAGACATCAATGCGTCCTTTTGGAATCGTATTAAGGGACGAGCCACCCTCCAAGTGAGCGAAAGTCGGATGGTTCCTGGTACAAGATGGTCTAACAAAGGTCGGCTGTTATTCCGGAATTCGAACTAGAAGAGTTATAAGTCTAATCGTCTAACAGATCTTGACCCCATCGAGCCAGAGTATCAGACGTGGCGCACATATAATTGTACGAGTTCATTACCTGCTTGCTATAGCTACTGCTAACAAATGACGGTAGTTGTCACATACTGGATCTCAGACGCTTTTGCAGTTTCAAATTGGAGGATAGGAAGTTCTTTGATCGCTATTGGCTTGTCATGGAAGTTGGCACTAGTTGCTGTCGCAATAGGGAATTTTCTCACTGCCCTGGTTGGTAAGTTATCTCAGGATGATATTGCCAAACCGTGAAATTAAAGTCTGATATTATCTAGTGACTTACAATGGCATCATTGGAGCTAGACTTCATATTCCATTCACTGTGAGTGATAAAGCCTCTGTTTCGGTTGGAGATCATTTGGCTACGAGTGGTATCATCACTGTTTTGAATCTACTTGAATTTTTATCATTGCCGATTTCCTGTTTCAAGACCATTCATAGTTTTAACGATTGAAAATACTCCTGACTATGACCATCTGAGTGCTTCTTTGGCTAATAACCCTAATTAGATCCAAGCTCGAAGTGCCTTCGGGTTCTACTTTGCTTACGTTATGATAATCTTCAGGGTAATCATCTCCATCTTCTGGTATGGGATTGGCACGTATGCAGGTGCCGAGTGTGTCCGTCAGTCTGACCATTCTCCCCATCGCCCCTCTCAAAGCTGATTGTTGACTAGAATCCATGATCTATGCAATCTGGCCCAGATTCCGCAACATACCAAATCAACTCCCGGAATCTGCAAACATAACTACAGGATTCATGATCTGCTATTTCATACATTTTCTAATTTGCCTGCCATTTCACTACATCCCGCCTCATCAGGTCCGCTGGTTCTTCAATTTCAAAAGTATCATTACTCCCATTGCTGGGTTTGCTATCATAGGTTGGATAGTGTCAAGCACAGGTAAGCTCTCGATCGATTTCTTACGAAGCATCGCTGACCGCAACCAGGTGGTGGAAGCGACATCTTCTCACAGGGAAACGCTGTCCATGGCTCTAACTTGGGCTGGGCCTTTATGAATGGGGTTTATGCAATGGTTGGCAATTTTGCAACACTTGGTGTTAATATGTAAGCATTGACTGGGATTTCTAGGACCTAAGTCGCTCTTGCTGAGTTTTGATAGGAATGATTTTGCTCGATACTCGAAGAAACCAAACAGTCCATATGTCCAATTAATAGTAATTCCTATTGTTTTCATCATCATGATGCTATTTGGCATCATTGGCGCCAATGGCTCGAAGCTTCTGTATGGAGAACTTTTGTGGGATCCACTGTTGATCATAAATAATTGGACATCGAGGGTAAGTAGGTTCACGTATATGTTCCGTCTCTTGAGGATGATTACTCGAGATGATCCACCAGAAGAGCCCTTCCCTTCATGCTACAAAATTGTATTAACCACACGCAGGGTGGAAGAGCTGCAGCATTCTTTTGTGCTACAGCTTTCTTAATTGCTTCAATTGGTGTCAACATCTCCGCCAATTCCATCTCAGTCGCAACAGATCTTACAGCACTGTTTCCTAAAGTAAGTTATATTCACTTCAATAGCACCATCGACAACTAAAACTTCGATAGCACATCAGCATTCGCAGAGGCCAATATGTGTGTGCGGTAATCGGCGCCTGGGCCATGACTCCTTGGAACATCCTAGTATCCGCCGAATCGCTCATCAACTTCATGTCGGGATACACAATATGGTTAGCTCCAATCTCTGGAATATTGATTGCCGATTATTGGATTGTGCACAAAGAATTCGTATCCGTACCAGACATGTATCGACCCGATGGTATTTATGCTTATAACAGGTACGGAACCAATTGGCGAGCTCTTGTAGCATTCGTAGTCGGATTTGCGCCTTTGCTTCCCGGTTTTGCAGCCTCAGTAAGTGCCTCTGGTCGTTCCATTTCGTAGCTACTTTGTACTTGGACTAATTGTGTATCTAGGTCAATGCAAATGTCGATGTCGGGAGTGGCGCCACAAGCTTCTATTACTTGGGATACTTTTATGGCTTCTTGGTCGCGGGCGGACTTCATGTTCTGTTGAGTAGGATGTTCCCAGCAAGGGCAACAATGCTGCACAAGAGGGAAGTCGTAAACCCAAGTTTCTAGCTGCTGGTGCAAGATGTAGTGAAGGAGGAGGTTGTGAATGGCCTCGAACATGAAAGAGCATAAGCACGGGAGGCAAATTTAGATAATATTTAGTCGTAGCTCGCCGAATCCAATAAGGCTAACAAATCTCTCTTACAAAAGTTTTCGAAGATGGACACAATGTCCAGCGGCCTCTACGCCTTTCAGTAGGTGGTGACTTCCCACGTCAGTAGGGACAATCCCGCAAGCAAGTGCGATCGCCGGGAGAGTTGCGTTGCTGGGAAAAGATCGAAGTTGTAAGTCATCTATCTGAAGGACTGAGCCTTGTTGGACCTCTTTTGGATATTTATAAACACTCCATGTCCGTCCGATCCCAATCCTGAATCTCAAGGTGCAAAAGTTCGGCATCACGCCACGACACCCAGGAACGAGAATATCGGTCTCAAAGCACATCTCATGGTTAGTAGGGAGTGAAAGAAATGCCACTTTTCAGCATGCCATTCCTTTACTCGAGATTCGTGCATGCAAAACTTATATTTTCCTTGACTTGGGTATCATATCCAGCTTTACAATAATCAAACGCTACACCCTCCGTCAAGTTTTTCTCATAACTCATTCCTCGTCATTTCATTCAAATCGTCCTCGAAATCGTCCTCGCTTCTAGTATGATTACTCATGCAATGATGAGCTAATCCGAGTTAGTTTGTGAGTCTCCAATTCTGTGAGGTATTCAGCCTACCTCAATAAGTCTGTCAGTCAAAATCGTGCATTGCCTTTCAAGCTCATTCGCAGTGTGGAAAGTTGACGATCTCCACAGACCACCGAAGCCGATTCCATCAAGGACATCTTCCAACATCTCGGCAGTATCCACACCACCAGCAAATTTCGGGTTCGATGTTAGAGTCCTCAGTAGCTGATGGGCAGACTCGAGCGTGACCGCGTTCTGGCACGAGATGAGAACGTCGTCTAGCACACGGAGAACAGGTCCGCATCTGCCAACCAGGTTAACGCTACATTGATATAAAGAAGCACAAGACTTACAGATGTAATATGACGGTAGGTCGTTTTAGGGCGATCCTGTTAAGCCAAAGAAGTGCCCGATTTTGTACCACGTCTTCCAGGTAAGAAAAATCTACAATACCAATAGCAGCATTGAGAAGCAACTCTTTATCTTTGACGATCTGAAGATCAACCATCTCCAACACATTTTCAGACGTAACATCGTCATCCGGGGCTGTCCAACCCGCGAGCCAAAGATTCTCCTTGGCTTCTTCGGGAGTCATCGCTCTTGACATGAGAATTCCCAAATAAGGCAAGCAGCTAAGATCCTTGGGAAATCTGCTCTCTGGAGGTGCACTTGCGCTTGTTATCTCTAGGAAGGTCGACAGGACCCGAATTGCTGTTCCCTTAGTAACGCTGTCTGTAAGTCCTTTGACCAAAGTTGCACAAAGTGCAAAATGGAAATTCTCGATATTGAAATGGATTCCGTAGATCTCATCCAATTGTAAAGCTGCATCTTCAAGAGGCACTCTGCCTTGAAGTAAGGTCGGAACCATACGGCCTCCCTTGAACTCCCCAGACGTTGCGATATTACTCAGAACAGCATCGAGAAAAAGGGCCGAGCAGTTGAAGAGGGATATGGGTACAAGTCTGACAAGAGATAGAGCAAGCCAGAACATTTGCATTCCATAACGTGATGCTGACGGAAGTTTGTCCATCATTTTCGTGAGCGACGTGACGATGGCGATCAGCATTTCACTGTCGTTATCATCTGTAAACCGTCCAATACTGCTCCTCAATGCGACGAGAACCTGGTAAAGGAGGTCATCATCAACATCCTCACGAGCTAGACAGCCCATCACAGTGAACGCGCGAGGTTGAATGGCGGGATTACTCTGAAAAGCTGTGCTGGCAACCAAGCTCATCCATCTCGATCGCCATGCGTTTGACATATCTGTGGTCGGAGCTGCAATCGTACTGATTTCAGCGAGGAGAACAGCAAGTGCTTCCGTGGCAATCAACGCAGGAATCCCAGTATCTTGCAGGGAAGATATTGAGACACCATCTCTGGAAGGAATATTGAAGAGTGGATCGTTCCTGGGCTCCGATAGCGAGAGCAGCAGCACTTTCAAGCGGCTAAGCTTACTCTCATCTAAGTTGAATGTTGTGCAGATAGCATGAATCGTATTGACAAGAAGTCGATGGACCATTAGCTTTACATCGGTGGAACCTGTATTCGCGAGCATCGTCACTAGATGGAAAAGTTCTGGCAGGTATAATTGTGACTGAGCACCACTGTCGAAGGACGTCGACAAGCAGAGACGTAGTAGAACACAAATCTCTCCCCAGACGGTATTCTCGGGTAGTTGCCTAGTGGGACGAAGAGATGTTCGATTCAAGGCCTTTCGAAGCCGTGAGAGGAGTTTTCCGCGTATTGTGATGGTTCCGAGAGAAGCAATAATAGAGCCCAAGATCTCTGTGCGTTCGTCATCTATGCCAAAGCCAAGTGAGGCCTTTATGAGCTCATCCAAGAAGATATCTGTGTAGATTTCGTCGTTATTTATCGCTGGCCAGATCGTTTGTTCCAGCGTAGTACTTAAAGCAACGTCGGATATGGCAACTTCGATCAGTCTTCTAAATATAGCAGCGACCTTTTCTCGCGCTTTATCGCTATCAGCATCTGTAGGTATGAGATTCGTCCTTAGACCTGGCAACCAAGGCGCCATGTATGCCAGACTCAAAGGTCTCTGTGAGTAAGGAAAGCTTTCCCAACCAACAAAGAATTCGTTTAGGAAATCTGCAGTAAGTTGGGGCTCCGAGCGTGCAAGCTGCTGACTGATGTCGATTATGAAACGCGAAGGATTCAGTGGTACACATAGTTCTATACAGGTTAGTGCAGAACTTGACGGGGCAATGAATTACGGAACCTTTTGCACTCATGAATTTTGAGTCCGCAGCAAATTTAAATGCGCGACAAAGTGCACAGAGAAGGTTGTAAGCAGCCAACCTTAAGACCTGATCACCACTTGCCATATTTGTTAAGGCAATGTTCAGAAGGGTCCCCGGGACATCTTGAGGCCGGACCAGCCTCTCGAAAGATTTTAATGTTCTCAGCTCCTTCCCATACTTAGCTTTGGCACCTCGAATAGCTTGGAGAACATCAGGCTTTCTTGGGCTAGTGAAGTACATGACGATCTTGCCATTCTCTGTTCGCAAACCAAATGCGGAATCGTCTTCAGTCTGTATGGAGGTTGGTGCTTCATCTACCTCTGACAGGCGGAAGATGTCGTTTACTGTTGCGTGCAATCTCAAGCCCGGAACAACTTCTTGCTTCTTTGTTGTCGTGACCTGAACGAACTGACTGCCCACCTTGATGACTACCTCGATTTTTCCCTTTGTTTTTGAAAGCCTAATGATCGGCTGGAAAACATATCGGGTGTCAGTAACAACACTAATAGTTTCTTTAGGCAAATGCAACTGGCTGAGGTGAAAATGCGCCTGAAGATCTTGCAAGCTACCAATGAGGTGATAATCCACATTCTTCGGATGAAAAGCACTCTTTTCACTCTTTGCAGCTAATCTTAAGATGCGACGGAAGCATTTCCTAGTCGGCCGTTAGTTGATGTTATACACTACATTCAATATGCATACCTAAAAGCACTGTTCATGTTATACACATAGACCCTCGAAAGTTGTTTCGATAATTCAGTTGGAGTCAGAAGATCTAGCTTGCGGAAGAGGGCATCTTGTGGCTCATTTTGACCATTGTAGCAGGTTGCGTCGATCAGAATACCGAAGGGACGGTGCCACATGCGACTTGCGATCTATTCTGATCAGTCATGGTACATATGAATAAGTCACATAGGACGTACCTTGAGGTAGCCAAAAAGAAGAAGCTCGTAATCCGTTGTTTCAGTGTCAATATTGCGAAGTATGATACAGATCATGGGCAGACCATCCTATGCACCATTAGCGTATTTCCTGAAGTAACAACAATCGATGCTACCTTGCTTTCACCTCCATCATACACTGCACGGGTCGAGACTAGGGACTCCGTATTTCTACCAGCGTTACGAAGCATGAAATGTTGAAACCGCGAGTATGATGGAGGGCTGTTGGATGAAATTGCGGGCCTGTTCCAAGAGACGTCCATTGGAGGAGGACCCAAGTTGGTTATGAGCTTACGAAGAGATTCCAAAATAGGTATCTGGCCTTTGCTGATCTCAACAAGTGAGCGAGTTGCGCCCCTCCTTTCCCGAAGGACGATCTTCTGGCGGACATGGTCCCAGTGATCGTACAGAAACCGATGCAAGGCAACACAGGAGCCAAAGTCGAACGACTCTGACTCTACATTTGGCTCGATCATGTTAGGTGAAACCTATGGACAGTCAGGCTTGTTAAAAACAAAAGGCGAGTATGACGTACAGAAATTTCTCGTAAAAATGTTGTTACTCGGTAGATGTTCTGCGTCAAGAAGTCGTTGAGAGGAAACATGTATGGTTCCTTTGCCCCAAACAACACGTTGTTCGCCAGATTCTGGACAACTTTTGCGATGAGAAGGAGTCCACGGCGCATCTCCTTCGAGGGCGCCGAGGTGATCAAGCCTTCGGCATCTGGAGCTACAATGGCAGGGCAGAAAAATCGGAGGAATATAAAGGCACCAACTGCCGTGAATTTGGCTTCCGGAAAGCGCCTCATGACAGTGGCAGATATCTACACATTCAAATTAGACTTGCAGTACCACAACACAAGATTCCGAACCTACAATACTACATATCTTTCTGAAAGAGACAGGAATATGTACTGCTGAGTTACATATGTCATCAATGAATACTTTCGTAACAACTCGAAGCTGAAGGGCATTCTTCTGAAGTTCTTCTGCGGAAGTGGTCCGGGCAGGATCCAGTTCAAGGTCCAGGTCCTTGGACGTCAGCACGAGACGTTCCAATACTTTCTGAAGTGTCGCTTTGAGATATGCCGCCCCTTTCCATTTTGCGTAAACAGACAGCATTTTTGTAGCAACGCAATTTCTACGCAGGAGTTCCGCTTCATTCTCTGTAGCACAATTAATATACACAGTCGCACCCTTTTGAATTTCTTACCTGTCTCTTCTACTTCATGCTCGATGAGTGCCTCTAGCAACACAAAGCCCAGTCCTCTAGAGTCGAAGATGTTGAGCAAAGATATTGTCATTTCGTCAACTTCCGTACTTGGACATGCGTCGCACAGTGCGATAGTAAGGGCCATGTCGTTAATGAGGAGCTACCATCAATCAGTTATGACTACACGACATACCACAAGCAACTGACCTCTAGTAGCTCGTCGTATCTTTCATTCACGGCTGCATCAGAGAGGTTGTTAAATTCGGCACCCTGGATCAAAATGTTGCACAGGACTTTGACAAATGCAGTTCTTATGTCGAGGTCCTCATGATAACCAATTCCCAGTGAGTGCTTCAAACCTACATCGATGTTCGCACTCAGGAGATTGGAAAGGGCACTGATGGCAAGTTCTGGCATGGTCATAGTCTCATCACTGATCGTTGCAGCCAGCCGAACTTCGGTTCTTCCGATCTCAGTGTTCTCGAAATTGAGCAGAGATAGGAACCTGTTGAAGTATGTATGAAACATTTGAGATTTGAGATCGCTTGTATCCGCATCAGTTTGACCTTCTGCAGGTTGAAGGGGAAGGCGGTAAGTCAAATCTGCAAGTGCCTTGAGGCACGCTCGATCCAGATCCCGTTGGAGCCGTGACATCTCCTCCAGTCGCGCGCCTGCTGGAGGGACATCTTTGGGAGAACCTGGGCGTGCTATCCAGCCGAAGATGACTTCTAGGAGTTGGTTTCGAATCCGAACATCATGTCTGAGGTTGAGAAGCTCTTTCTTTTGTGTTACGGTTTCACACAACTGGCAGATTTTGATTTTGACCCTTAGTATACTCGCGCCCTCAGTTACATCGTCCAGGAATTTCGCAAAATTGAGTGTTAATCCACCAATGTCAATGGTCAATGCCGCTCCGACTTCTGCTGGACCACCCAGACGTTCAACAATGCTCTTCAGAAGAGCCGCAGCTTGTTCGGCAAAAATCACTCGTGATTCTATTGACAGGGAAGTATTGGTTCGAGGACTGTCGAAGAGCACTCCAAGCTCAGACTCAAGAGTCTCGAACAACGGAAAGTATAGTGGTGGGGAAAGCTCGGTCGAAAGTGTCTCTCTCGTCGCCTCTCGAATCCTCACATTGTTACTTGCTAACAACTGGATGCTCTGTTTCATGTATCTACTCAGCAGAGTGTCGTCATAGCTTTCTGGCGAAAGTCTATCTATCCATTTCAGTCCCGCAAGGCCAGCTTCTTCGGGAGCCAAAGCTTGATCTGATATGCAAGCGCCACCGAGGGAAGCAAGAAAGCCAGAATAGTTGCGCCACTCTACCAGAGACTTCTCTTCTAGTGAATCCGTTGTGCGAGAGAAGATTTGCTTTGATAACTTGAACCAGGCATCGAAGACCGTTTCCCATGCTGTCAGAATACCAGCCGTTGGATGCTGAATTTGCCTCAACAGGCTTCGAACGCGCTTTTGGAACGCTACCAAACCAGTAAATCGGAATTCTCTTGTAGAAATTTCCTGGAAAACATCTAGATTGCGGAGGGTTGGTGTCAACGACTTCGCGACCCCACTTGAGCCGTCGACTAGATGAGCTTCTTGACAGAAGAGAGCAATACACTTGGTGACCAATTGACAGACTGAAATATCTGTGGAACATATCGAAACCAAGAATGCAGTTTCAAGTTTGGTGCAAGCAGCTGCACGCTCAGGCATGTCTTCGGCGACCTCGGTGAGCTCCTGCAATTCAAATTAACACCTTCTCATAGAGTAGGCTCGAAAGATGAAGAAGGCACAAACCTCAATGTTCTTCAAGAGTGTTAATCGGGACTCCAGGTATTCATGGATGAATGTGAGTGTCCCTTTTTCGTTGTTCATAGTTATCAACTTTTCAGCTACTGTCATGAGCACGATAGATCTGCCATTGGGAACGTTGTTAGAATAAGACTATACGGAGTTTCACGCCGGTGGGTAAAGCTGGTAAGTATGTCTAAATGTGAAGGAGATCTGTGGTGTTTCGTTGTGTGAAAGACTAGTATGCGCAAAAGCTTCGCGATTGCTTACAGTCACAGTGTTCTTCGATGTATCAACGAGTGAAATTACTTACGTTGATTTCCAGAAGTTGTACTTGAATGTTCGGGAACCAAGACTTTTGCTTTTATGCCATAGTGTCACCGAACCATTTGTCATGATTCTGCGAGCCACAACATTAGTCATATACCTGATGCGCTCGTCATCCAGGACAAGGTATGTTGTAAAAGATGCAAATATATCCTCAAAGAAGAGTGTCCATTCCGGTCCATTATCAGGAGCTCCTAAGAAAAGAGTGAGGGGAGAGGCGTCCAAGAAAAGCAAAATATTGTAGATGATGTCGCCAGAGGTAGTGACATCGAGTGGTTTCATCAAGGTGTACTGCTCATTGGGATATGAATCGCGAGGTCTCAAAGCGGCGGCCTGGTAAAGATCAGTAGGAAGCTCCGACAGTTACAACCCGAGATCGACGTACTTTCAGCTGAGCTCGAACAAATTCTGCCACTTGAGCGAACAAGGGCTGATATTCCTCGGCATTCGATTGCCTTGCAAAATGAGAGCAGGCTGAAATGATGGCTATCTTGAAATCTTGAGGTGTGTTCGGCGCTAAGCAAAGAGGCGCGAGAGTCTCCACACAGTTCTCGAAGTTAAGATGTGCTAGACTTACGAACGCAGCAGTCATCAGAGAGCTATCAATGTTTGCTGTGTCCATCCCAGGTATGTATCGCCTAAACACTGCTTCCTTCACCTCCTCCTGGATGTCAAGAGCATAACTTAGAAGTGCGGCTTCGCTTTCTGGCGGGAAGTGTCGAGCGACCCTGAGGACAGAAGTCAAACAGTATATAGCTGTTTCATTTCGGTTCCTGAGAGCCTTTCTCAACATTTCCAGAAAAGTTACTTTCTTGGATATACCGCCGCTCTTGTTTTCTCTCATATGACTTGCGACTTCGAAGACGTCGGGTAAGAGGAAAAGGAGAGAGGTTTGAAATGGAAAAAGCAAAGCCTTCCTTCTGCCCCCATCGAACATTGTATTGGTCATGTCAAACAGTGTCTCTGGCCCACCATCAAGTCTTTCTTGGCTCGTGTGGAGGTCTCTGAACTCCTCAGGATTACGTTCAAGCCACCTGGTGATCAGCAAAGGCAGTACGATCGCAACAGTCGTCTGAAAGGGTTTGCGAAGATGTAAAAAACTGCCACATAGCTCTTGAATGACGAAACTCAGTTTGCGACTGTCCACCCAGAAAGAAGAAATGAGTCGAATTGTGGCCAAAGCGTTTCTATCATCATCGGCTAAGACATTAGATTGTGCAGCATTGCCCGGCGGTTGATGGGCAGCTTGATGCAGGGCGCTTCTCAAGCAATCAAGGACTTGCGACCAATTTGAAAAGGAGACATATTCCAGGATCCCTCTCGTATAGGCTTCGATCGCGTCAGTCATGTCAAGAAGTAGCTTGGACACTTCTGTGCCGTTGAGATGTCCGTTTGTAGTGGCATTGTCAGGTTCACCTGGCTCTCCCATTCGAATGCCTTTGAAAACGTCGTCGAGGATGTTGGCAGCAGGAAGCACATAGCTTTCAGAAATGGGCCGCGAGAACAACTTTACAGCATCAATTAATCTGATTGCCAATTCTTCTTCCAGAGGTTCTGGGGGATCATTGCGCAGTAGTAAGCGATTTCGAGATGCCCTTCTCTTCTGACCATAATCGTCAGCAGGGGACGTGTGCTTCGAATCTTGGGCGGAGCCAGAGCTTGCGCTTTCAGACTTGTCTCCCTCTTCCCCCGAGTCTCTGATTTCGCAACATTCAGCTAGCAATTCCAGCACATATAGCTCTGAATTAAGAACATGGATTGGATGTGATTGTATCCCTTTGTCTTTGTAGGGTTCGGAAAGATCCTCGAGTAGATGGCATAAGGATTTGAGTACTTCGGCGGTGCGATTAATTGATATTTGGAGGAGTGTTGAACGGCTAAGAAGTACTATCTCGTCGCGACTAAACTCGTACGAAGGCGATCCGGTGCGATGGGGCAGCTACAAGAGGCAAGATATCAGCAGATGCTTTAGGACAAGAAGTTCGAATGGCTACGGTACCCTCGTGGTCAGTCGGTCCACCAGCGTCGTGATGACCAAATCCCCAGGCCCCCCATTCATTGCTGCAGATAGTTCTGGCTGTTCTGCCAAGCCTATCAATAGATTGCAGACATGCGGATGTATTCTGGTACGATGTCGCGATCATACAATGTTTGAAGAATCGTTACGAGCTTCGAGACGGCTCCAGGTACTCGGACATAATCCCCGGTGGGATGGATCGTGCCTCTGATATTGATCTGAGCCAGACCGTGGTGAGGGGTAGCTTGACAGAGAAGGGTGTTAATGTGAGAAAAGTACGCATGCGATAGCGAGTGAAACTCTCAAGTGCTCGTGAGAGTTTTGTTTGTGAACTGAAGTGAAAGTGGCCGTTTGAAATTATTGGCGACTTTTCTGAAGTAGATGACTTGCATCCAAAAGGAGGGGCATCCCTGTATGAGACGCACGGATTCGCTACAGTGTCTCGAGCCCTTTCAACAGCCGACTTCTAGCCCTGAAGGTCAGAAGTCACCAGCCATCAGTAACCTAGAAAGAGATATATAATAATGAGATTTGTTAGAAGCGTCTCGCAGTCACATACGTGCACAGGTAAAAAACATAGAGATGTAGTTCATGGTTGAATTTACAAAATATCTACAATAGAGTACAGGAGCTAGATTTCAGCCTAGCCACATTGTGAAGCACCTGGTGCACTTTCAATTGCCCCTTGATGACCGAGGCCCAATTCGCACGGTGCTCTTCCGTGGCTCATCCTAACGTCCCCGATATTGTCCTTGGTTCCCACGGTAGGAATCATCACGCTGTCCCCTATAAGAATCTCCTCGATAGTCGCCGCCTCTACGACGATCATTGAACTCTCCATTGCCTGGTGGGCCTTGTCTAGGCTTTGTATAGCCATAAGTAGCAGGAGGTTGAGAGTATTGATGCGGTGCTGGAGGCCAGGATCCGTACGTTCCAGGTGGAGGTGGGGGTGGAGGACCACGCGCAAAGCCAGCCATACCTGGTGGCGGTGGTTGCCAACCAGGAGGTGGGACAGGAAACTGATTTTGATTGTTATGGCCATTTTGGTTGTTATAGCCATTTCGTGATCCTCGCTGCTGATTACCATTTTGAGATTGATTCGAATAATTGAAAGAGTTGCGAGCTCTGCCGTCACCTTGTAATGGTACACCTCCATGAGCTCGACCAGATCTCGCAGCTTTGCTCTTGGTTACCTCGATGTCGCTTTGGGTCAGCGCTGGTTTCGCAAATTCGACACCTCGTAATAACATAGACTTGTGAATGTGACTTGACTTCGGCATCTCATAATTAACACTAAGTAGCAATGTTAGCAGTACTACTCGCACGGAGATTGGAAGCACTTACATGATGGAGCGATCATCGTCCAGGCTTGGCATGTCGCCACTTGAGAGAGGAAATCTCAACGAACCGTGGGGTAAGTAAGACTCATCTTTCATAACTGTACCAGTGAGTCCTTGACTAGCTCTGGGGTTCAGCTTGAATTGAGGTGGGCCCTGTTTCTTGGAATAGAAATTGGTCGCAATGTCTGAGTAGAGATCGTCGTGAGCTTCAGCGACAAGGAGAACATCTTTACCCACTCCGTTCCGGGCTGCAACGTCCGGTGGCAAGAGAGGATACTTTTTGGCCATTGCATTGAGCAAACGTTCTGAGTCGATGAATGGAAGCAGAGCAACACCTTGCCAGGCCCATTTCTTTCCGTTCAAATCAACAACAAAATCCTCGGGGTAGAAGTCGATGATTTCGCTGTCGGGATTGGTCATTAAATCATGGAAGATCTCGGGTATCGCTTGCCTAGAACCGGCTGGCAGGACACCCATCAATTGCTCGAATGGTCTGAAAATTCTACCTTTCTCGAAAGAGATTTTCATGTCTGCAATTCCTACAAAGTCTGCAGCAAATGGTGCGTAGTGATAAGGGTAGTACCAATCCCATGAAGCACAGCCTTGGAAGTAGTAGAGCAAGACCCACGCGAGGCCCTCGACGTATGCTCGTGCGACTTTGTGACGAAATTCAATATCTGTTGGATCGACCTTGAATTTTTGCTCGTAGTATCTGTCGGCATAGCCCTCATTCCATAATTGAACTGTATCAACTGGTGGCTCATCCTCGTTGGGGGTTTTGGGTGTTCCTGCTTGCGGTGTATTACGACCAGGGGTACTACTATCATCGTCCTCCAATAATTCTGCCTTGCGCTTCCCCAAGGCAGAGGCTGGGGAGTCGATTGAACCTTCAGTATTATCAGCGCCCTCAGAATCTTCTGTTGATTTGCCGTTGAGTTGACTCTTTAGCGCAGCAGCAGCGCTTTTGTTGGCGAGATTTGCTTTGTAAATCGCACCTCTATTGACGACCATATCATGAGTCATTGCAGTAGCTTCTTTGTCAATGCTGCCGGGGGCGAACAGTGGGAGACCCTCAGGTGCGTTGTTGTACGAGGGCCGATTGCTTTGTCTGCCGTTGGATGGAGAGTCTTGGAACCCACCACGACCACCTCCTCGACCTCCTCGGCCACCACGAGCCTCGTCAAGCTTACGGCGCTTTGCATTGGCATCTCTTCTGTCTTCTGTCTGCTTTCTCCTACGAAAAATGGCATCTTCCTGCTTGGCCAAACCATCAAGAATGAACTGAGCTCTTTCAAGATCAACATGGCCGTCTTTGGTCAAGTAACCTCCCATAAAAGGTATGTTATCACGCCAAATTGCAATGAGAGTGTCAATACCATTCTCACGAATCTCGAGACTGGGAAGATGAGGTAAGAAATCATTGCCAACGAAAAAGCACATGAAAACCCAGTCATCAATGGCTCTTTCTAGATCAAATCTGAAAGGTTGGTCTGGAACGTAAAGTTCGGCTGCCAAGTATTCTCGAAGAACTGAGACATGGAGCCAGATGAAAGGTTTCAGTGGCGGTGCACTGTCCTTTTCATCATATTCTCCATCCTTTACCTTTGCTTGGCCAGTACATTCTCTAGCTTCGTGTCCAGCTTGGCCGCACATGCGGCAGGTCCGAGGCTTGGAGTCTTGGGCGAACACATCTTCTCGCAGAATACGGAAATGAGGCTCATGGGTACCAAGCCCTAACATAATCAAATCTGCATCTAATCCATACATAACATGTCTTGTGTTGGGATTGTGGTCGGGAGAAGATCGCTGAGATCTAATGAACTCCATGATTTTGTGTTCACCTTCGCCAGGCACAGTAGAGTCAGAGATGATGACTTTCATCAATGCCCATGCAGGGTCTGTGTTGAGTTTGTAGGCGATCCAATATCTCAAGCTGGCCGCTAGAAGGTCCATGAAAGGAGTGCCAGGTGTAATTTCATTGGAATCCCAGGCTTTTTTTATTTCAGGCTCTTCGATATGGCCGCCTTGCGACTTAAGCATCTGAAGCAATGTAGCCTTGTCTTCAGCCTTTTCTTTTGCCTCTTGGGCAGAGCGGAATCGTCGTGAGCGCTGCTGATTCATCTTTGCTCGAGGAGCGACTCCGTCGATGGCGATCATCAATAATTTCCTTGGACGAACCATGTTGACAACTCGATCAGTGTATTTGAAAATGGCCATCATCATTTCTTCCTCGTCTTTCGGAGCAGGTCTGTCTTCGGGGTGGGAGCAGGGATGTACAATTCCATTCATGTCGAGATACAGATTATCGAACTCTTCGCCATTGGGATTGCTACCTCGGGTGTCGATTGGTATCTCGACGCCATCGATCTCTCGTGGCAGTTCTTCGATGACGGGGCTTACAATTTTAGGCTACAGAAAAGTGATTAGCTGTGCGAAAGTGAGGAAAATTTGATGGAGACGTACATATTTCTGGCTCAGCCAGCGAAAGAGAGCTACGAGCAAGTTCATTAGCACTATCAATGATACTGGAGAATGTGGGCGCACCTGGAACACCCATCTTGATTGTATGTTCGCGCGAAACTCAGGAAACTGAAGAATTGATGTAAAGGGCCGGAAAGAGAGGGAGGCGTCGCGTGCTGCCTAGATATTCTGTATTATTGAACAGCTGCGCGCACAGCCAGAAGCGAAGAAATACGATAGCAGTGGTGTACCACCTGAAAGTTCACGTCGTTCAACGTGATCGAGATGACCGTTGTCTGTATTGTCCCGCAGATGTTGAAAGATAATTGTTGAAAGAAGTTGAGGACAGCCATCGCATCAAAGAAATGCTCGCCCCGGATTTTACAAACTAGACTAGCGCGGACAGGGGTCTCGCGGCTGCTTCAATCGAAACCGAGCGAGGCGAGCTAATTGTACAGCAAAGCTTCAAGGAACAGATCACCAAGTCTCGTCCTTTCACTGGGAAAGATGAGGCGCACACTTTTGTGCTGAGCACCATGAAACTTATGAGCAGAAGTAGGACATCGATTCCTACTGCGTCTACGATACGATGTTCGCAATTGCAACAACACCAGCCAAGCAAAGTGTTGGTGAAACGATAACAACTCTCTCCGGCCGACTGGCCTCTGCTACCCTTCTCGAGGATCGTCGCGCTGCTATATTAGGGTTGCGAAGCTTTGCAAAGGAGTATCCAGCTTCTGTCGCCTCTGATGCGCTGCGTGGATTGATAGGAAGTCTCAGCAAAGATGGTGAAGATGTCGATACAGTCAAGGTCACTCTTGAAACACTTCTTATGCTGTTCAACCCGAACGAGAATAGTCCTGAAGCTTCGGAAGAGATTGCACTCTGGCTTGCAGACGAATTTACACAACGGCAGGACAATATCACTTTGCTGCTGGATTTTCTGGATACTCAGGACTTCTACTCGCGTCTCTATTCGCTACAGCTTCTCTCTGCAATTCTGTCCTCTCGAACTGAACGTACGGAAGAATGCATATTCATAGCGCCTTTGGGGATATCTAGGCTTGTGGCTGTTCTAGATGACAAGAGAGACGCCATCAGGAACGAGGCATTGTCCTTGCTCACTTACTTGACACCCACCTCCACAGAACTGCAAAAAAGGGTGGCATTTGAAGACGCATTCGATCGAATTTTCAACATAATCTCATCCGAGGGCTCTCTTCTACAAGGGGACAGAGTAGTAGAGGACTGCCTAATTCTTCTAGCAAATTTGCTTCGATTGAATGTTTCTAATCAATCTTTTTTTAGAGAAGCAGGATGCGTACCCAAAGTTGCGAAGTTACTTGGTGATACTGTCAAAGAACAAAGCACCGAGGGAGAAATTGCGGATTGGGCCAAGGTTCAGAGGAATAGAAACATTTACGCTTTGCTTGCGGTCCTCAGATTGTTCCTTGTTACTGGAGGGCTCGGCACCCAAGCAAATCAGGCGTCATTCTGGCAACATGGTGTTTTATATCAAGTTCTTCACTTAGCATTCAGCCGATCAACAGAAATGCAAATAAAGGCTGAGGTATGGCAATCATTCTCCCTAAGACGTGTGCATTTCGTTAATTTTACATCAATAGGCGTTAATCACATGTGCAGACTTGATTCGAGGTAATCCTAGTCTCCAAGAAGGATTTTCACAGTTCAGAGTCACATCAGTCCTCGACGAGCCGCTCGAAGAAGGACATGAGAATGGTCAGCAAAACGGGATTCCACAAGTCTATGTGATTGATGGTCTACTTGACCTCACGCTCAGTGTCCCGTTAATGGGAGCGTTTGATTGCCGACTTGCTGCATGTGAATGCATCAAAGCATACTTTTACAACCATCCAGTTATCAGAAAACACTTCCTGCGCCGTGCTATCGATGGACATAATGCTGGTGCCGACGAGACTGCTAACGTTTTGACCACTCTACTGCAGCCACTTGACGTTCAGGCATCTGGTGACCCTTATCGCTATTGGTTTGCAGCTGTAATCCTGTTCCATCTGTTGTTCGAAGATGCCAACGCGAAAGCTCTTGCTATGAAGGTTACCGAGGGAGATGCATCCGAAGGAGAAGAAGAGGTCACTTGCATACAGACTTTGACCGGAAACCTGGTCGTTGGAGTACAGAAAAACGTTGACGAACGTGTTCTTGTTGCATACCTGATGCTGCTATGCGGATGGTTATTCGAAGATCCAGATGGGGTTAATGACTTTCTTGGCGAAGGGAGTAATCTTCAGAGCCTGGTACAAGCTGCGATGGGAAATGTAGGCGATGGTACCATTGTCCAGGGAGTGTGCGCTCTACTGTTGGGCATCATCTATGAATTCTCCACCAAAGATTCGCCTGTACCCAGAGCCACCATACATCCAATCATCATGACGCAAATGGGCCGAGAGAGATACATCGACAAGATCACAAAATTTCGAAGTCACACTTTACTTCGTGATTTCGAGGTTTTTCCCCAGAAGCTTGGTTCTGCTGTTGCAGGTGGGCTTCCAGAGGTATACTTCGACGCGACCTTTGTTGATTTTGTCAAGGATAATTCCAGCCGCTTACTTCGAGCCATTGACCGTGATCCTGGAATGGAAATTCCTGTTATTACGAACGGAGTACAGAAGGGAATCTCCCGGGAGATGGTAGATTCGTTACGATCTCAATTAGCAGAAAAGAGTAATGCCTTACAAAAAGCCGAAGAAGATTTGGTATCTCTTGGTAGGCAACTAGGACAAGAACAAGCAGACCACCGAAAAGCCAAAGAAATGGCTGCTGTGGAACTTGCGCGGATCAAGCATGTAAATGATGCCCTGCAGCGACACTATGAGGAAGATTTGAAGTATGTTCTACACATTTCCTGTCTTACCATACTGACATGTTCCAGAAAACTGCGTTCAGAGCAGACTCGTGCAGCCCAAGATCGTCAACAACAGCTCGAACAGGTTCAGAAAACGGCGGAACTGAATTCTGAACGGACACGGAAGCGTACAGACGCTGAAATTGCAGATTTACAAAGCACAATCCGCAAGCTAGAATCAGATCTCGAAAAGGTTGATATAACACCCTACCTTGCTTGTATACCTACTGATCGTCAATAGGCAAATAAGAACCACGTGCAAGATCTTCAGACCGCACATGAGGAATATACGACGAGTAAGACTGATCTGGCAGCTCGTTTGCAACGAAGTGCAGAGAAAACGAAAGACCTTGAGGCCAGAATTCCAGCTGCAGATCTCAAGGTTGCAAAAGCCGAAGCCTCGCTGCTCGAAAAGGAGCAAGAGAAGCAGAGTGTCCAAGGCGAGCTTGATGACCTCCTAATGGTCTTCGGTGATTTGGAAGATAAAGTGAAGCAGTATAAAGAGAGACTTCAGCAACTGGGAGAAAACGTGTCAGATGGAGAGGAGGAGGAAGATGGAGATGAGGAGGACGGCGTCGATTGAAGCGATGGCTGTTTGTATCATATTGTCATATAGCACAGCAGCGGCGTACAAAATAGACGTTGGGACATACCCGAAGCAAATCGAAATACCAATGGATGGTTCAACTATTCATGTACTGCCGAAATTGGTTATAAGCTATATCATTTTCGAAATTCCATTTTAATTCAGAGACCTGGAGAGATCCATTGTGGTGAGAGGGAAGTTTGGGTTTCTCCTCTAGGTCACTTCCTTTTTTCAATCTCACTAACCACTGGTTTCTCAACATAAGTACATGGTTCCATAAGCTTGCAATATTATCCCATGTCCTAAATCCTACTCGAGCTAGAAATAAAACTGCATTTGTTGAAAACGAATATTTCCCCAGGGGCAAGGCTGACAGTCTTTGTGATTGGTGGGTGCCGCACGATGATTTTCTGGGCTCGTGTGGGTTTGCAGCCTTAAATTCTGACCCGTTATGCCTGTCTTTTGTGACTCAACCCTCCACAAAATTCAACTTCCTTGTGACAAAACTTCAAATCGCGCAACAAGTCTGCTAGATCTCTGGTATTCCTGCTGCCACCATGAGCATTGATTTCCCGAAGGAGGAGGAGAACGTCCTTCGGCGGTGGAAAGAGATCAAAGCTTTCGAGAGACAAGTTAAGCTGTCTGCATCAAGACCGCTTTACACTTTCTACGATGGGCCACCATTTGCTACGTAAGGTTTCCACTTTGTTTAAGATTCTTCCATTCTATGTAACCTTCATTATAAAATTTACTAACAATGCCTCTCCAGCGGTCTACCACATTATGGCCACCTTCTCGCATCCACGATCAAGGATATCATCCCGCGATACTGGTCGATGAAAGGTTTCCATGTTGAGAGGAGATTCGGCTGGGATACGCATGGTCTACCAATTGAACACGAAATTGACAAGAAGCTTGGAATCTCGGGCAAAGACGCTGTAATGAAGCTGGGGCTTGCGAAGTACAACGAGGAGTGTCGAGCTATTGTCATGCGTTTTTCTGCGGAGTGGAGAGAGACTATTGACAGGCTAGGTCGATGGATTGACTTTGACAATGACTACAAGGTATGTGTAGCTCCGAGGAAACATACTCTTGTTGCTAATTAGTGCCTAGACCATGGACCCGAATTTTATGGAGTCGGAGTGGTGGGTGTTCAAGCGCATATTCGACAAAGGTGCTGTTTATCAAGGATATCGTGTGATGCCATACTCGACAGCGCTTACCACGGCGCTCAGCAATTTTGAGGCAAACCAAAACTATCAAGATATCACGGATCCCGCCGTTGTGGTGTCATTTCCCTTGCTCGAAGACCCATCAACATCTCTCTTGGCTTGGACTACGACCCCATGGACTCTTCCATCTCACACCGGATTGGCTGCGCATCCCAACTTCGAATACATCAAGATACACGATGAGGCCTCTGGAAAAAACTATATTCTACTGGAAAAGCTGCTTGGAACACTGTATAAGGATCCCAAGAAAGCCAAATTCAAGATTCTCGAGAAGATCAAGGGCAGTGAGATGCTTGATTGGAAGTACGAACCACTATTCGATTACTTCTACGAAGAATTCAAAGACTACGGATTCAAGGTCCTCAACGCCACTTACGTGACTGATGATAGTGGTGTTGGTATCGTTCATCAAGCACCAGCCTTCGGAGAGGAAGATTACAATGTGGCTATGGAGGCTGGAACCATCAGCGAACAGCGCCCACCCCCAAATCCGGTAGATGAACGAGGGCATTTCACGTCCAAAGTAAGAGATTTCGCCGGCCAGCACGTCAAAGCCGCCGATAAAGCTATCATTAAGTACCTGAAGGGCACAGGCAGACTTGTTGTGGACTCGCAGATTAGGCACAGCTATCCAATGTGCTACCGATCAGACACTCCTCTCATTTACCGAGCCGTCCCATCCTGGTTCATCAGAATCCCAGAAATTGTCCCGCAAATGCTGAAGAATATTGAAGGTTCACATTGGGTCCCTTCATTCGTGAAGGAGAAGCGCTTTGCAAGCTGGATCGCGAACGCACGTGACTGGAATGTGTCAAGAAATCGCTATTGGGGCACTCCCATTCCACTTTGGGTCAGTGATGATCTGGAAGAGAAAGTTTGTATCGGCAGTATCGCAGAGCTGAAGGAATTGAGTGGTTATAAAGGCGATATTACGGATCTCCATCGAGACAAAATCGACCACATCACCATTCCTAGTAAGATGGGCAAGGGCCAACTGAAGCGTGTTGAGGAAGTCTTCGATTGCTGGTTTGAGTCTGGAAGTATGCCATACGCAAGCCAACACTATCCATTTGAGAACGAGGAGAAGTTTGCGAAGTCATTCCCTGGAGATTTCATTGCTGAGGGCTTAGATCAAACGAGAGGCTGGTTTTATACACTGCTTGTCCTTGGCACACATCTATTCGGCGTCTCTCCCTTCAAGAACTGCGTTGTCAATGGCATAGTCTTGGCAGAGGATGGTAAGAAGATGTCAAAACGACTGAAAAACTACCCGGATCCAAACATCGTTATGAGCAAATATGGCTCTGATGCACTACGTTTGTACCTCATCAACTCTCCTGTCGTACGCGCTGAGCCACTACGCTTCAAGGAGTCTGGTGTCAAAGAAGTTGTGGCTAAAGTCTTATTGCCTCTATGGAATAGCTACAAATTCTTCGAGGGACAAGTCACCTTGCTGAAAAAGATCGAGAACGTTGAGTACTGCTTTGATCCCGCTGCCGAAGCCACGAACACCAATGTCATGGATCGCTGGATCTTGGCAAGTTGTCAAAGCTTGCTTAAATTTGTCAACGAAGAGATGGCTGGTAAGAGATGACCCTCTAGTACTCATGCCTGTCGATTGCTAATGTTTGACAGCGTATCGTTTGTACACTGTAGTTCCCCGGCTCCTGGACCTCATTGACAATACTACAAATTGGTACATTCGATTCAACAGAAAGCGCTTGAAGGGTGAGCTTGGTCTTGAGGATACTCAGCATGCTCTCAATACGCTCTTTGAAGTTCTTTTCACTCTTGTGAAGGGATTGGCACCATTCACACCTTTCATCACGGATACGATCTACCAGCGTTTGCTCCCACACATCCCAAAGAACCTCCAAGGAGAAGATCCCCGCAGCGTTCACTTCCTGGCGTTTCCAGATGTCAGAGAAGAACTCTTCGATGCCGAAATTGAACGCCGGGTAGGTCGCATGCAACGTGTCATTGAACTGGCCCGAGTCTCGCGAGAACGCCGAACTGTCGGTCTCAAGACCCCTCTCAAGACTCTCGTCGTCATTCATCCCGATCCTGTCTATCTAGAAGATGTCCGTTCTTTGGAAGGCTACATCACAGAAGAGCTCAACGTGAGAGATCTACTCTTGTCTTCGGACGAAGCGAAGTACAATGTCCAATACAGTGTCTCCGCAGACTGGCCAGTCCTGGGTAAGAAGCTGAAAAAGGACGTACAAAAAGTCAAGAAAGCATTGCCCAGTCTGTCCAGTGAGCAGGTTCATCAATTCGTGTTGCAAAAAACGATGGTCGTAGATGGCATTACACTGGAGGAAGGAGATCTTGTTGTGAAGAGAGGTCTCAAAGATGATGAATCTTCCAAGAATCTGGAGACCAACACTGATGATGATGTCCTCACTATTTTGGATGCTGAGATCTACCCAGAACTCGCTGACGAAGGTTTGGCAAGAGAGATCATCAATCGTGTGCAACGATTACGGAAGAAGGCCGGACTTCAGCCAACGGATGATGTTAAGATGGAGTACAAGGTGTTGTCTGATCCGGACGACATTGGACTTGCCAAGGCATTTACTGGACAGGCACAGACTATCGAAAAGGCTTTACGTCGCCCCATTGATCATCATGTCGTGACCGAGGTTGATGGAGCGATTCCAGACAAGCCACAGGAGGGAGTGATTCTGGAGGAGGAACAGGAAGTCCAAAAAGCTGTGTTTTTGCTCAGATTATTGAAGCTATAGACATGTTCATGAATCAAGAAAATTATGAAGAACACTTTGTTATGATGAGCATTGCATGTAATTTCTAAGACAATGGAACTCATGATTTCCATGTGCAGTATCTCCACGCCACATGGTGATGTATTCCTTCATGATTTTTTCGCTACAACCTAGAACAAAGTGAGTGACATCTCCCAGCACGATGGCAACAGAGGCATACAAGATAACAGTCCTTCAATCTCAGGAATTCAGTGAGACATTTATCCTTGTGGATCGAGTTGTAATCCGCCACAATGCATTTGCCGTAGACTGAAGCCTGGAAGTTTTAGTATTTTGCTTGGGACGTTGCACGGTCCGACTTACTTCGGCGGAGCATTTTGCAACGGCTTGTGCGAATCTCTCAATGGGTCTTGTTCGAGAAGGCATTGTCGAACAGGTGGTTGACGTTGTTGATATCTCGATGCAGAAATCGGGAATTGGTGCAAAATGCTGCTAGGCCTATTTCGGATGTCTCTTTTCAAATAGCGCTAGGCCGAATCCGGTGTATCTACTTCGAATGGGAAAAGAAGTGGCAATTTCTACAGATCCTAACTCTTGATATACCTAAGAATTTCGATTATCTCGCAAGTACGATGATGAGTTTTGGATCAAACAAGTATAACATGTGGTCGTCGCAGAAGCCTCAATACAGCGCTGAGCAGAGACTAAATGCACTCGGAAACAGACGAAGATTCCCGAATGGGTTAGCGCGGGGCTCAAACTCGCTGGGCGCAGTCGCCATCCAGCTCCCCTGCTTCATTGGAAAGCTGCCGTCCAGGATTTGAAGTTTGAAGTTCAATCGGATATTTCGAACGGTACGTCTCATACAATTGATTGGGTCTTTGGGGCGGCAGACCCACAGTTCAGGCAATCTGACAGGGTGTCCATTTACGGTTAGACTATCGGTGGGTGATCTGCAGCGAGAAGCGATAACGCTAAGGGCTGTATCTTGAGCCTCGCGATTTCAAGACGCGACAACGCGCTGAACCAAGAACTTCGGATTCAATCTCACAACGCAACACATTCAAATTCACTTGCAATTGAGCTTTGCTACAAACTCTACAACTTTGCGACGCGAGATCCATAATCCGATTCTCGAAGTTCTTTTCGGATGCCTTCTTCTCAATGCCTCATCCCGAACGCCCACCATCCAATGTTGGGCAATACGCAGATAATCCGGATCCTTACTACAGCAATGAAGGTAACTTGATTACAGCGATCATGAATATCCATGTACTAATGTGCCAGCAGATGTCGAGATCCTCCACAACATCGTCAAACTCGCGCAAGAGCTTCTTCCCAACCTCCCCGAGCGCGAAAGACTTCCTACAAATGCTCTGTTTAATGCTTATTACGATATATTGCCCCGCGCCGGCATCAATGCTGATCACGATAGTCGCTATGCTCGAATTCTATTCAAGATCGGAGGCCTGCGAGGTCCAGGAACGCTCTACGACAAGTTCGAAGAGATACTCTCCAGAATGGGAATCGAGATTCAGTTTGCCTCTGAAGCTAGCGACGAAGACAGCCACTTCGAAGACTCACATACCGAATCCTCGATTATATCTACCAATATCCCCAGTGAAGAGGGAAACTTACCGGAGCGAGAATCTGAGATTCCAGAGATTTCAGAACCTTCCGTCCAAGTCCCTGATGTCGAGGGAAATTCACAATCGGAAACTTCAGAACTTTCCGTCGAAGTTCCCGATAACGAGGGACATTCAGACTCAGAAATTACAGAGATTTCAGAACCTTCCGTCAAAGTCCCAGAGACCGACGAAGATTCAGAATCTGAGATCTCACAACCTTCCGTCCCAATGCCAGATCCTCAGGAGTTCGCCCGTGAGATGGCCAGAGCAAAGTTACGACAATGGAAGGAGAGAGCTTTGGAGCTCCAAAGGCGCCGAAAAGCAATGGAACAAGTGGCGGTCGACCATGATAAGGAGGCCTTGTTACAGTCGGCCCTCGATGCCTGGCGTGATCGAGCAGAAGAAAAGCGTCGAGCAGCCGAGGCTCGATTGGAAGAGGACCGTCGAGCTACAGAAGCTCGAATGGAAGAGGAAAGCCAATTTGCAGAGGCTCGAATGGAAGAAGAACGTCAGGCCGCAGAAGCTCGAGTGGAAGAAGAGCAGGAAGCAGCTCGAGAGGAATACTATCGGAAGCTAGAAATACGTGCCGGGAAGGCAAGAGATCTACTTCTCATGAAACGCGCCTTTTCAATGTGGGCAGATGCCAGCGACGAACTCAAATGCCGAATGGCTAAAATCGGCGAGCTTGTTGCCAAGAAGAACTCTCAAATGTCTACAGCTTACGAGGAAATCGACAGGAGAGAAGTCTATGAGGAGAGCCCTGACATCGACCCCCAAATACCCACAACTTACGAGGATAACGACAGAAGGGAAGAGGAAGCCTATGAGCAGAACCCCGACGTCGATTCCGAAATACCCAGAACTGGTGATGAGATTGGCGCGCTTGTAGACAGGAGGACTATCTTAAGCGAGGCTTTGACAGTTTGGCGACAGAATGCTCGATATCGGGAAATGAAGAAACGGGTCGACGACCGTCTGAAGGCACAGGTACTACGAGCATGGGTCCTTAAAGAGAGGGACAAACTGGCACAAAACATTTTGCGAGGAAAACGACTTCGGATGGCGATGGAAGCCATGAAGTCCAAACAGCAAGTCATGACAGAACAGACACGAGAGCGAGAAGAAATAGCTCGTTCATTTGCAATCCGAAGGTCACTGAATCTTGTCTTACGCCAGTGGTATTCACGCATGGAAACACAGCAGCGTAATGAAACTGCTGCGGTCGACTTCTACGCTCCTCGTCTCGCTGGTGGGGTGATGACACAGTGGTCGAATCAGACGCAACACATTCAGCACTTAGAGCAACGTTCACAGGATGCCAGGTATTATTTCTTGGCCTCGAGAACATTGAAGATATGGAAGGCTGCGACGGAAGCTTCCAAACGCGAAAAGCGGAAGGCAGCATATATTCAAGTGCGCCGAAACGCCAAGATAAATCTGGCGAGAGGGGTCCTGAAGAAATGGCAGAGTAAGGTACAACCCATCATGAAACTCCAAGCCCAGGCACAGGAAATTAGCGAAAACAAGACAGCCATTCTTGCAGACGAGGTCTTCCATCGTTGGCGAGGTCGAAATGAAGAGTTAGCAGAGCTGGAATCGATAGCGCGGCAGCACGTCTTGAGGAAATTCTTCAGGGTCTGGAAAGAACGGCTGAAAGCTTTGCAGGAATTGAGCATGGAAGCAACAAGGAAGTACCAGGAAGAGGAGCAAAGCAAAGTCCTGAAAAAATGGAATTTGCAGATGCTCCAACAACGAGCACAATTGCACTATGCTGCGGAGATCCAAGAAAGGAACGCGAAGCGGAACTTCAGGAAGATGTTCGAATATTGGCGCGGAAAAGCAGCGGACAGGCCCCCAGAAATGTCGGTTCCGCCTGGAAAGTCCATCCCACTACGAATGTCCATCCCACCAGACATATCAGTCCCACCAGACATATCGATCCCGCCAGGAATGTCCAACCCACTCGGAATGTCCATCCCACCAGACATATCAGTCCCACCAGATATATCGGTGCCGCCAGGAATGTCCATCCCACTAGGAATGTCCATCCCACCAGCAATGTCCGTCCCACCAGACATATCGGTGCCGCCAGGAATGTCCATCCCACTAGGAATGTCCATCCCACCAGCAATGTCCGTCCCACCAGACATATCGATCCCGCCAGACATATCGGTCCCGCCAAACATAGCCGTCCCAGGATATCTAGCAACACCGTCGAAGAAGGCTAGGGTGAGTGCAGCGGCCATGAGGTACTCAACTTCGACTACACCAAAAGTAGCCTTATCCACACCGATTGAGAGGAGGCTCAGGGCCCAATGGCAGTAATGCAGTGTAATGAATAGTATAGTTACGATGAATGAATAATGAATGAATAATGCTTAAGAGAATGTCCCTAATGCATGGTGGTTGTGAATGAATGAACGAACGAATGAATGATTTGAGAATGTCCCCAACAGAATAGTACTTTCGAATACATAAATACTTTGAACATGTCTCCAACAGCACAATACTTTCAGATAAGTGAATAAAATAATGAGAGAATGTCTCTATGAAAAGTGCTTTTGAATGAATGAATGATTCAGTGACTCCAAAAAAATGTCTATAATAGAATGAAGCTTTTCTTATCTTTTGAAGTATACAATGTATCTCCCGTTTGTATTGCGAATTGACAGATCCCGCACGTGTGGTGTGTTTCATTGGCATCTCATGCAGGTGAACTTTTAGCTTCAGCCTCGCGAGCTTGAGCTCCTGCAGGCCAGGCGTCATCCCACGCCCGCGACACAAAACTGCTGATAACAACCGTGTCTTCCACCATCACCATCAGAGACTAGAGACGAACGACCTACATTATCGAGGCATATCTCTACCACTGGCAACTTTGATCTTTGCCATGCTTTGAAAAAGAATGCGAGCTGTGCTTCCTGGAAAGCCCCAGGCTTCACTTTTTGGAGTCTGCACATCCTACTGGGACGGCAGAAGACTTATCGTGAGAGGAAACGGAGCAAATCACATATATGATAGACATACTAATGAACTTGTTTAGGCTTACATCTCGGGCAATGCATTTGTTGTTCTCAAGGCACACAATGAGATTCTACAGACCATCTATGACGATTCTGACGAACAACTCGAAGCAATAGCAATTGACGAGGCATCTGGAAAGATAGCAACATGTGCTGGGTCTAGCATTCGAATTTACAAGCCATATGGCCAAGGGGAGGATGCCCTGCAGGTTAGGTGCCCAGGACGTACCACGAAACATTAATGAGCGCTGACTGGGTTTAGTGGTCCCTTCAGCACACTTTTACCGTCGATGCGGCAGCAGGGGCGAATTCTACGACGACATTGTCATGGGGCTTGGCAGAGGAGCTGCTCGTAGGCAATACGTGGCTGTCTCTACACTCTACAGTGGACACACCAACAACTCTATGGAAGAAAGAGCTGGCAAATGCAGTGAAATTTGCCAATTTCTCTTACGATTCTGCGTACATTGCCTCGAACGGCAGGTACGATCGTCTAGTCAAAATATGGAGAAGACTGTCTTTTGGCTCAGAGGACACACGCTTCGATTTCAGCTATCTGCCACACCCGACAACTGTCACAAACATGCACTGGAGACGCCCATATAATGTTGACCAGACATTGGACAATGTGCTCTATACAATTTGTGCTGATAATGTATTGAGGATATGGGCTGCAACGAATCCACATGGATTACAACTTCTACAACTATGGGCTAAAATCGACCTGAAGGAGTCTATCCAACCACGGGATCTCCCCATTTCAAATCCGTCTAGTCTACGCTTCGCCTTCATTATCGATGGTCGGGACTTCATGTTGGCTACCGAAGATTCCGTTCAAGCTAGGGGTTCAGAGGATGACAAGAACGATCATGCTCTTTCGCATCTGATAGAGGTTGCCAACCGAAGCCCTGAAATATGTGTCGTCTTGGATGAATGTGGCCACATGTCTGCGTGGGGACTAGAAAACGTAGGGTGCAAGTCGAGGCAGACGACGAACATCTTCAACGTCGCACACGTGGATGGTCTAGTGCTTGAGCTGCCAAAAACGCTCGAAGATGCATCGAACTACGTTCAATTCTACAACTATTGTGATAAATCTAGTGGCGGTCTTAAGCTCCTGGTTCATCATTTTGATGGCAAGATTGAGTTTCTAGAAAGCGATGTGATGACTCTATTTGATTCCTCTCCGAGGCATGATCGATTTCGTTCTCTAGCTATCTGGACAGGCCACTCCGCTAGCATTAAGAAAATCGTCCGCAATGTGAGTGGAAGAGCGGTTGTGTCGCGGACAGATGGAAATGAAAGCATAGTCTGGAAACATCTGGATGTAGAAGATGGAACATCTGTGATCCGTCAAAGTCTGATTCCAGAAAAAGACCACATCCACAGAATCTGTGTGATGAGGAAGGGAAATTTTGTTATCTTTTTGCATCACCACAGGATCTCACTATGGGACACTCGATCCTTTTCTGGGAAAGTACTTGCCAGTTGTGATTATGCGGTGGCTGGCAAGGCTCTGTGTATTCTGATGCTTCCCGAAGTTCAAAAGGGAGGTCCAGTAGCCCACGTGGCTACAATCACCTCGAAAATGAAGGGCATTGTCTGGGAGATTGGTCTGCCGCGGAGGCGTGAAAGCGTCATCGACACAAATGGCTACCAAGGACCAACGATTCGAGAATTCTGCCGATTTGACCTAGGCCATGCCGATGATTTGTCCTACGTACTTCCTGTGGACCCGGCCGGATCACCTCCTGTCATTTCAGGGTTCTTGGATACCTTTGCGAGAGACATCGCCATATCATACACGCATTCTGGTTTGCTACGATCCTGGACAGCTAGAATCGACTTAGATGCTGTGAAAGTAGAGTGGTTGGAAACCTGCTCTGTCGAAACGGGTATCTCTGAGCCAGCGCTTGCGAGTGGCAGCTCCATCAGAAAAGCTGCCCTGGTGAACTCAAACAGATCCGAACTGACGATTTGGGATGTTCGAGGAGCTCAACTTGAATATACTCAAAACTATGAGTCGCAAGACACTATCCAAGACCTTGATTGGACATCAACTCCGGATGATCAGTCGATACTCGCGGTTGGATTTCGATTTCGAGTCTTGCTTCTCGCTCAGATGCGTTACGATTACCTAAATAAAGGACCAGCTTGGGCCTCAATTCGGGAATTTAATATCCGCGATTTGACTCCTCATCCGATTGGAGACTCGACATGGCTTGGCGGTGGAAATCTCATTATTGGTGCTGGCAATCAGTTGTTCGTGTTCGACAAAGAAGTAGACCATTCAGCGCCAGTGGTAGCTGATCTTGGACTTCCTCACCGGAAAACACCATGGGATTTATTCGAGGTCGTCAGCAGACTGAATGGTCCTCTTCCTGTCTATCATCCGCAATTCTTAGGCCAATGCACGCTGGCTGGGAAGACCCTTGCGGTTCAGCATGTGCTTCTTGCGTTACATAAGATCCTGAAATATTATGTGGAGGGGGATACAATAGACAACCATCTCGGATTAGAGTTAGAGGAGTTCTATATTCCGAATGAGGTGAGATTCGTAGACGCCTTTCCACAATATGGCTAATTCGTATCAGTCAACCTCTTTAGCAGCTGCAAGCAGAGCTAACAGATCCTTCGGAGCTCTTGAGGATGATGATGAAGACGACGAAGCCGTCACCGAGAGTGTTGCAGCTGCCATCAACGAGAAATTGACTAAAATCGCTCTGCCACAACTTTCGAGACAGGAACAGATTCACCTAGCTGATATTGTTGAGTGCATTGCGATTGTAGAGAAGCAGCGACGCTCTATGGACGATAACGCCGCGAGGTATATGCTATTCTTTCGCCAGCATCTTCTCCATCGTGGCCGCTCAAACGAGGTACTTCTGTCCTGGAGGGAGATCAATTGGGCCTACCATAGCAACAGCCAAGACATCCTAGTCGATATGGTTTCTCATCAATTCCACGGAAAATTGCTTTGGGAAAATGCCAGAGAAAGTGGCATGTTCATGTGGATGACAGACCTGAATGCATTAGTATGTCTTTATAAATAATTTTCTGGACACGACTGACAAAATGCAGAAAGCTCAGTTCGAAGTGATTGCTCGAAACGAATATACCAAGAGCGATATGAAGAATCCCATCGATTGCAGCTTGTTCTACCTCGCGCTCAAGAAGAAGACTGTTCTTCAAGGATTGTGGCGTATGGCAGGTTGGAACCGGGAACAATCGGCTACCTTGAAACTTCTCGCGAACAACTTCCAGGACAAGAAATGGAAGACTGCAGCAATGAAGAATGCTTATGCTCTGCTTGGGAAACATCGGCATGGCAAGTTGTGGCTTTCCAAACTTTTCGAGAGTAAGCTAACGTGTTTAGAATACGCTGCCGCATTCTTTCTCCTAGCGGACTGCTTGAAGGACGCTGTGAACGTTATTCTAAATCAGCTCAAGGATCTTCAACTTGCCATTGCTGTCACAAGAGTTTATGAAGGCGAAAGGGGACCCGTTTTGAAGGAACTCCTTGAAGAAAAAGTCCTGCCTCTAGCGGCACAGGAGGGCAACCGATGGCTTGCATCATGGGCATTCTGGATGTTGCACCGAAGGGATATGGCAGTCCGAGCCCTCATTGTAAGCTGCTAATTCCCCCTCAGATTTCATCCTACTAATACTATCAGTCCCCTGTCTACACGCTGCTTGAGACACCGCAGTCACCAGACATGCAAGCAAGATTATTTTTGACTGATGACCCTGCTCTCGTTGTACTCTATTCCCAGCTCAGGCAGATGACGCTCCAAACACTCCGTGGAGCATCGAAGGTCACGCCGAGAGTTGAGTGGGCATTTGTCCTTCACAATGCTCGTCTCTATGATCGGATGGGTTGTGATCTCCTCGCTTTAGACTTAGGTATGTTGACATTCTGTTGTCCAATTATCAACATGCACTGACATGCCCAAGTACGGAACTGGGAATTCTTGCTCCCAGCACCTCCCACATTCAGGAATCTCGATGCTCCGGATCCCCGGGCCATGATGCGGAGACGTTCGTCTCTAGTAGTAGCTGATCTTCCTATGCCAAAATTGCCCTTGGACATGAAATCAGGACACAAGCCACCTCCCAGCGTTTTCGAGGAACCAGAGACTAATTCTTTGTTGGATAACTTTGGTTTTTAAGCAGGTTAGTCTTGTCTTTGTGAATATTTGCATAGCACGGCGTTCTAGGAACTGAGAAATACCCCTTGGTCTAGCATCGGTCTGGGGCCAGAGACTTGCATTTAAGAATAGTTCTCAGTGTAACTTCAATGACGATGAGTTTATTTGATCCAAGACATAAATACAGACAATGAAAGAAACATAATACATTATTCAAAGTGTCTTGCTATACGGCAATACATTGTGCCGCTACGTGCTTTGTAATAGTCTATCTTCACTCTCACTACTCAGCCCGATCCGCGCATGCGCCAAGGAGACTCACCCACCAACTTGCATAGCCATCCCGCCGACACCAGATACTAAACTTAACCTCCAAACTAAAAAATTGCGACACGCAACGAAGATTCGTCTCCCAGCCTAAGCAAGTCCAAAGGCTAAAGGGGTGGCACGGCAATCGAAACTACGAGTCGAGCGAGAGTAGGTTGAGACAGACTTCAAGTCGGTGTCAGGGCTAACAAAGTGTCTAAAAACTGCGACACGCAACGAAAGCTAATACTTTCAGCCGATGGCAATGACTCGCGGATCAAATTTTTTGATGTTGTTGCGAGGGAGGGTCAAAGGATGGTCTGAGCGATGGAAGAGGTTTGTTTCAGCTAGATTTGTAGACTATCTAGAGGTGAGGCACGGAGGCACTAGCTAAAAGTAGATTCACGATGCTAACAACTCCTTCGCCAAGGATGAGACCACTGGCTAATACCACGATGGGAGTCTCGTCTCTTTTGCGGTAAGCTTTCCAATACCAGTTTACGAATCCTCCGATGGCTCGTGCGAGGGTGAAGGATGGGACGTTGTACATACCTTTTGAATCGTCAGCTCCGTCTGGGACATTGAAGAAGCGCAGGAGACTTACCAACAGCTACGGCAATCCCTCCTGGGATGTAGGGATGCCATTTCTTGCCAGTGCCAACAATCCGTAGGATTGTCGTAGCTGTAAAGATGACAGCGGCTCCCAACGCCCATTGCCAAGCCATATATGGCAATCCTTTCCCAGTGACCAGTCTCGCAGTAAATATCCATACGAACCCAGTTGGAACCTGGAACAAGTCTCCAGGAACCTCATAAACACTCGTATATAGTCGATAGATCAGTGCACTAACAACAGCACCCACAGCACTTCCGATGATCTGGCCCCAAAACTGGGCATTCGGTGCTGCGCCGAGTAGGTGGCCAGTCTTGAGATCTTGCATTAGATCACCTGCTTGCAAGGCACCAGCTTCTGATACTGCGCCTGCAATCAAGTTGATGAGGACAGAATTCTTGTTCGATTGTGGGATGATAAGAGCAAAGAAGAGTTGGGCCAGCTTGCTGATACCAGAAACGGGATTGAGATCAGTTTCGCCCAGCGCTCGCACTCCCATAATGGAAAGTACCAATGCCATGAGAACGGCAATGATAGTAGCGTATATGGGGACCAGAGCACCGAATACGATTCGTATTGTGCCGACGCAGAAGACCACTGACAATATCATGCCAATCCAAACAGTTCTGTTGTTGACGAGGTGTTCCTGTGGTGCATCAGGTTCTGGAAGATCTTTGACCTCTTCCTCTTGGGAGAAATTCGAGTCTCGAGAAACAGGTTCAGTTTCCTCGAGTGGTGTTAAGACTTCTTCACCTCCTCTGATCTGGGCATATCCCACTCTGTTCTGGGTCGGTCCAACGTGAAGAAGGCCCTTCCAATCACGCTTCATGATCTTCCGGCGAGCATCTCCAAGGTACTCTCCACCGTGAGTGACTATGGGGGCAAAAGCAATGTAGCCAAGACTGATTACTGAATCAGCTAGCATGATGGCCAAAGACACCCAAACAATCCACCCTTTACTGCCCTTCTCCCAATCATCCACAGGTCCTGGAGCCCAACCTCGGTTTTTGGCCAGCGGAGAAAGTATACCCCAACCCACAATCGCTCCAAGGAGCATATGTGTTGTAGTAGCTGGTCCCATAATGATTCCTTGTCCGACATAAGCCAAAGAAGGGTTTAATGTCCACAACCAAGACTCAGCCAATGTCCATCCAAATACTGGCAGATTCCGAAGTATGGGAAAGAAGTATGTAGCAAGAGTATACAACCCAGATATAACAAACGATATAATGAGCAGCTTGACGTTAGCTTTCCAATTGCTTGATTGCATCTTGTTGACCTCTTCCACATCTGCAGCTTCATCCGCAGTGTATGCTTCCGCCGGTTCTTCCTCTGGACGCGCATTGCTCGACGTCGTTTGACTGACAGTAGTATCAGTGATCGTTTCCCTCCCATGCAAGACACCAATCATCAACGCCGTCGCCGTCCCAGAAGGAAACTTAAGTTTCTCTCTTATGATAACCTGTTTCCGCAACGGGACCGCAAACACCACGCCAAAGAAGCAGAGTCCCAGTGCCCAGAGTACCAATTTCCAGAGACTCAAGAACAAAGGGCCGCCTTCCTCCGGCTTCAGCATATAGTTCAACGCAGGCATCACACCCACGAAACCACATCCCAAGGGCATCGTCCCCATTGAACCAGCCACCGTCTGGACAAGCACATTTTCCACGGGCGTGAACGGCAGATCCAGGTGTTTCGACAGCGTTTTGAAGAATGCGAAGCCGATGAGCGAGGAAGGCATGCTCATGCTAGACACCCAGCCGGTTTGCAAACCAAAATACATATTTGAGAAGCAGATTACCAGTCCGACGAAAAGTCCCACGAGTATTCCGCGGATGGTAAAGTTCTGCCCTTCACTCGCATGGTGAGCGATGAATCTTCGTGCTTCGCTGCGACGGCGCTGGCGCTCTTCCACGTTCTCGTCTGTATCTTCATGCTGCGAGTTCGAAGGTGGGGTTGGGATGGACTGGTAGTCGGGACTTCTGGATGTTCCTCTATCTGGAGCCATGGTTATTTGATTCAGACTGTATCGAGGTGAAAAGAAGATGCTTCATTCAAGCCGGTCGGAAGGACAGTGAGATCGCCTCGGGAAGTCGATGGCCATCATGGCTAGTCTCGTGTCGTCGGCATACAACAGAGATGGCGGCTGACCAATTCCAGTGCATGGCGATATCATCATAGCTTTAATCGCAAAGCATCCACACTTTGCCTAAGGCAGAAACTTCACGTGTTGGGGAAACTAGGTATCTCATTTTTTAGAATTACATCTTGTAGTTGTGTTTTTGTCTATTTCATATGTTCTGATGAATTGAAAAGAGGTGATCAAGATACCAGCTTGATAAATCTTGATGAAGTCAAAATCATGAAAGCAAGTACTTACATGGACTTAACACTTCAAAAACTATTCGGAACTGTATCTAGATATTTGGGACAGAGATGATCATCCTCACGTCACAGAACATGGAACGAACAGAAGTGTTTCAGTTGAGAATTAGCTTTACGTATTAATGTCTCTATCGTAGCTCGCCAGAAAAAGAAGAAGCAGACGCTATGCAAAGCACTGAAAATGTTCCCCTTCAACACCGTCGCTAAACTCAAACATCAATACATGCATTGTCCTCATCTCAGGCTCGTCCAAGGATGTCAGGTGTCTCCTTAGTCGGTGCTCTCGCCTTCCCATTCTTCTGTATATGCTGTGCATCAGCATCAACCTCATTCCCATTGCCTTGCTCTAGATCCTTCACCACGTTCTTTCGCGGCCTCTGCGAATTAGCGAGCTCTACTCTTTGCTGAGCAAAGACTCCTTCTAGACTCTCGCCATTCCGCTTAGCTTCCAAAGCTCGCTCGGCCATCGTGACGTTCTCGAAAGCTCCATTTGCTCTCCATGTCTTTCGTTCCCTCATCACCCGTAGTCTGCCTCCCAAGCCCGAAGCGCGCTTCTCTTCTTCCATGACCGCCCAGATCTGTTGGACCACTGACCAGCCATGGCAGACAGCGTCCATTACCTCCTTCTGTGCTTTCTCGTCGAGTTCATTCAGATCTCGCTGACCTTCTAGAATTCTTGCCTTTCTAATGAAGTTCGTTGGTTGCTTGTGCTTTAGTAGCTGCTTATGAAACCCCTTGAATGTATAGCCAACTGGTCCGATGATGGCTGCTAGATCTTTAAGCACAAATCCAGTTAGACCCATGCCTACACCTTTCACAAATCCGAAGGCGCCATTGTCGCGAGCACCGGTGTATGGTTGCCTGACGATTCCTGTAACGCCATCGTAAATACCAAATGCGAACTCTTCACCCGCTGCTTTGAATCCAGATTTGACTCCAGTTATCCGTGTGGGCCTTCTCACAGTTGAGTCACCATAGAGCCTTGGTGCATTGTGGAAGCCTTGAGCAATGGCAAGGCTCAGGTCCATGGGACTACGAGCAATAGCTTCGGCGGTTTTGCCTACGCCTGACCCAACATTGTGAGCCATTTCTTCTATGGCATTTTCTTCTGGGTCGTCAGATAATTCCGAATCATCATCGTCGTCGTCGTTATCGCGCTGTTTGTGTTCATTCTCCGCATCGTGCTTTTGCTGGACAGGTTCGCCTTGTATAGTATGCTTGCCCATCCCCGGATCGCTCGCAGCACTACCAGTTCCTCGTGAGCGTGTAGTCGAAATATCAGGTCTATGTGATACTTTTTGCTCTTTGTCTTGAGTACTATCAGTCTGATCCTGGCTGTTCCCACTTATAGGCTTTCCGTTCTGCTTGTCATCTTGATGTTGTTTGCCATTGTCCATCTTCTCGCCACTTCTTCTCCGGCTAGCTTCTTGAGACTTGCGTTGCTTCTTCTCTTCATGTCTAGCACGCTTTTTCGAACTTTTCGCAATCTTGAATGGTACACTTCCAATGCCAGTTGCAATTCCGGTGACAGTACCCATGATAGCCGTTGCTCCACCAGTAAGAGGCTCCCCAGGTCCTTCAAAGTCATTCCATTCATTATGTCGTATTAGTCGTAATTGCTTCCATGTAATCTTCTTCTTTTCCACGAGCAATTCTGCAGCAAGTGCACTCAGTCGTAAACTCGTGTTTTTTAAATTCCAGACTGCTACTCGATCCTCCAGCATGGAGCACCGCATAGACTGTTGTCCTCTGAGTACCAGACTTCGATGAAAAGAAATGACAGCGTTCTTCGCTCCATCACCTTCTGCCTCGATATCGCTGGCGATCTTCTCCGCAGCCTTTCGCGCTTCGTCAGTCAAACATTGCTTGATGCCCTCTGCTAGCTTATCTGCTGTCAGACTCTTGTAGGGAATTGGTTTTGCGCCGGCGCCTGCCTCTCCGATCATAGCTCCCCAGAATTGTTGATCTCCAAAGAACGGTACGATCATGGTTGGTTTGCCACATTTTAGTCCAATTGCAGTCGTTCCTGCTCCGCCATGATGAACAACTGCTGAGACCTTCGGGAATAGCCAGTCGTGAGGCGTATTCTCAAGCATGTAAATATTGTCAGGGGTATTATCGTCGTCTCCCAAGCCTCCCCAACCTTTAGATACAAGTGCTCTCACGCCAGCTTTCTCAACAGCTTCGAATATCATCTTAGTGAACTTGTCTGGGTCGTCAACGACAATCGAACCAAAGCCGATATAGACAGGCGGCTCTCCGGTATCTAAGAACTTTACCAAGTCTTCTGGGGGCTCGAATGAAGAAGCAAGATCGAGGAAGACAAATCCGGCAATATCGATTTCTGGTCCCCAGTCTTTTGGCTTTGGAATCAGTCCCGGGGACCATAGGTACGTATATGGAACTTTCAACCTGTATAGTTGACCTGGTGCCCATAAAGTAGACACTGGCTCCAGTCCTAAGGTCTTAACTCGAAAGTTGTTGATCAAATCACCAAGTCTATGTAGAATAATTAGCAATAGCCCACGAATGCACGCTAAAAGACGAGACATACCCTTGCCAAGTCATCATCTCAACTAGAGGATAAGACATAAAGTTTGCATATCCAGGATCGACATTCGACTTCTTGACATTCGCCAGAGGGTGAGGAAATGCCTGCGTTGGAGTATAAGGAAACGTGAACATCAAATGTAGCGGGATACCAAGTCGTTCTGCACAATGAATATGGGCGAATGAAGGCGGGTTCGCAATAATAGCATCTGCGATGAATGGAGCTTTCTCTCCCATCATCTTAAGATTAGAGACATCCTTCTCATCGTCCTATTGAGGAATCAGTAATGTACAAGAGTATAAGAACCAAAATTCTAGGGGAAAGCAACCCTAGAGATTGATCTCCGAAAGCCAGCGGAATAGCTGTGAAATTTAACATACCGTAGCATTAATGCAAGCTCTCCAAAATCCCTCAAACATCTCTGCCATTTGATCTCGACGACGACCAACCTCTCCTTTCTTCAGCGTATCCATAGTAGGAATCATGCCCGGGTTCTTAACCATGAAAGCCATAAGCTCAGCCGGATTACCACCCACAGAAAAGAACTCCAATCCAGAATCATTCTGCACAAAATCCTTAAAGGCAGGATGAGTAGCAATCCGAACTCTGTGTCCATATTCCTTCAGATTCTTCCCTAATTTCAGGAATGGTTGGATGTCCCCACGACTTCCAATGACCATAACCACGATATTGAGCCTCGGTCGAGGGATATCTGAAGTGATCGTTGATTCTGAAGAAGCTCTTGAAGGCTGTTCTCGTCCTAGATGATGTTGATGGACACTAGCCATCTCATCCGTTGCAAAGGGGCCAAAATGCCCAAATGTCGCACCTAGAGCTTTTGCTAGGTATCCGCGATTGTTGGTCTCGTTGACGGAGATAGTCAATCTGCCATCCTTCCTCACTCTGCCTCTGGTATGGAAATTCTCATTGCCGACATTGAACCTAGAGTATCCTCTGTCTTTTTTCCCTCGCCCTCGTCGACCATGCTTCTTATTTCCTTCCGCATCATCATCCGTCTCGTTGTCCGAAGAGGAGCTTGTAGAATCGTCGTCATGTCGTGGACTGTCCCAAATCGCTGCGTTCAAGGCCGATACATTCGTAGCATTGCGAGTGAGCTTCGGGTTCCCCAGCAAAGACGTCTTCGTGGTCGCTCTTGGTCTCTCCGTCTGCCACTGTCTCGACATTGCAGGTCGTGTGCCCTCTGCAGAACTTGGTCTCGCCACCTTCTCATTCCCATTCACAGCCTCCGAACCACGGTCGAGAGTAGCTCCAGACGTGGCATGCTTCTTCAGACTCCCATCCCCAGAGCCACTGGCCTGAAGATCAGTTGTCATCTTGTCGATTTGCGTTTTGTACCAGCCCTGTTGACCCGCTCTTGCTGAAACGAATCCCCAGAAGAATCCGCAAAGGAAACCCTCACGCTCAGAAGGACAATAACGACAAGAGCAAAAGAAAGAAAGAGATGAACGAGTGAATCAACTACCGAACACAACAAACCTCTACTACTAGCCCACCTACCTTAAAACATCGGGACTTGTCACCGACCCAAACATCGAAATTATCGCAATGTCGTCACTCGTCCCTCCCCAAAGCCGAGACGTACTGTAGAGCAAGCTCAAGCCACCCGCAACCATAAATTCTTAGCGGAACCACACCTTGCAATTGCTGCATCACACAGGGATCTCACGCGCAGCCGTCAGGGGAAATATCAGGGAAATATGATACAGCAATCTTGTGTAACTTAAAAGCAAGCACATATCCCTTCCTCATTTTTCTCATCCATACGTGCCCCTGGGAGACCACAACCCAGAAACATTCAAAGTTTGATTACGTCCTCTTCTTTGCGAGAACGTTCGCACTGTTGTCAACTCGCAAGTTGGAGTACTGTATGGCAAGGGCCATAGTTACATCGTTCTGTTTCCAGCGCATCGCAGGTCTGAAAAGGGTTATGATATGAAAGTTCTAGACTCTCTAGAACTGTCGGACATTTTGATTGTCTCCGTCATCGAGCTCCTCTCGTTGTTTTCGATCGGAGATCACGGAGTGAACCGCAAAGCGATCAAGGCGCCACCAGAAGAAGGCTTGCTCGCTACTAGTTAGTAGATTCTGGCTAGGAGAAAAGGGGACTAGGCACATGGACTTGTACTACGGTATACATATCTATAAATTTTTGTGTTTGCTATCGTTATGTTACTGTCAATACTGCGATCTAGGCTACTTGTTTTCCTCCCGTCGTAGACATGTTGATGCGAATCATACGAAAAAGTCGATTGTTTGCTGGTAGGGAAGCGTCATTAGTAGTCGCTGCAGCAGTAGAAACGGATATATCATGCTTCCAAAGTCCCCGCATAGCATGATTTTCATTCTACAACCAACCAGCCCAAGGATTTTTTGCACAAATTTCAGTTTCTTCGTCCAACTCTCCAATCTTCTGGTTCTGGCGTCTCTCTGAGTGCTCCACCATTGTTCCTGGCATCTCTTTCCCCCCAAAGTCGAGTCTCAGCATTGTTAAATCTGACGCCCTCAACCCAAAGCTGTTCTTCGTCCCCATTCTCTCGACCACCATAGAGACCCTCGAACCCTTCATCTCTCATACCAGAGGGAGAGTCGGGACGACGGGCGGCTCTCACGGGAGTATACAAGGCATGCTGGCGGTCCGGGCCGCGAGACCCTACACGATGAGTGCTGGAGATCGAGCTTACAGCAATCCGTGCAGCGTTCCTAGTGACGGGTGCTGTGTATGAAGCATGGTACCTAGATTGGTGTCGTGCTTCTGGCAGATTCGCTGGTGTCTGCGGCTGTGTATCTGGGGACAGGGCATCGTTGTATACTCGATAGTTTCGAGATGGTGTCTGCGGGTTAGCAGTTCCTGGTGTCCGACTTTGATCTGTCGTGAGTGTGGCGGTGGGGACATCAGAAGACGCGTTGCGATGCAGTGGCGACCGAGCCCGATAAGACGCATTTCGAATGCGGTTGATGAAATTCCCGATTCTCCCTGCAGACTGGGAGCACCAGTCAGCAAGATGTCGCAACTCATAGAATCGTTGAACTTACTGGAGGGCTCTCATTAGTCTCACTTGTTTCTGCAACTGGACTAGCATTGAGACTTCTCTGAGGCCATGGAATTCGAGCACGATCTCTGTTGGGTGTGGAAGCATGACTTCTAGCTGGACTAATTGTTGGGTCTTGAGACAGATGCTCATTTGTTGTCGATGGTAGAGACTCCGCATTCGAAGTACGTCGGGACACTGACGAGAATGGCGGAGGCAGCGGAAGTACTGAGGGCGAGGAAAGTGAAAGAAGAGTTGTGAAGTGTATCTCTTGTTCGGAGTCAAAAATGGCAATGTCACCTTGTGTCTCGTGCGATATCGCGACTCCGGAACTGACACGAGAGCTCTGTAAAGAGCTACCTCGAAGTTCATCATGTAGACGGATGTCCTCCGACGGGTGAGGTGTATCATCAGTGGAATTCGAGATAACTCGTTCTTGCTCATAAGCAGCACTTGCTCTTTCAGATGAGTCGAATGAGAAGCTGTTAGTCTGGTGTCTAAGAGTACGAGGAGATGACCTGGGAGGTCGTCGTGGAGGCTGTGCGAAGATGATTCCAGGGCTGTTATGACTTGCTACTCGTGAGAGGACGCGGGGGGTGAGCTGAGTAGTGACACGACCATCGGGCGACGTTGCATTTTGAGACAAGAACAACGGTGAGCGAGGGAGGGGTCTATTGCGGATTCTCCTTGCATCTGGATGCTGAGGTGTTGATGAGTCCTCGGGGGCTACTACAAACTATAAGTAAGTGTATATGCTCATAATGTAAAAGACTTACGGAACGGGGACGACCTTCGTGGGGTGTCATCATTTTGTAACATGGGACTCTCAACAAAGCCTCCGTAATCAAAATCATTCTTCATAGGTGATGATTGAGGTTCTGGTGAACGATTCGGATTTTCAATCGAGAAGTCTGCTTCGATAGTATCATGCAGCAAACTCGAAGTGGTTTCGACAACATCAGGCTCTGAAGTTGGTGAGAGTATTGAAGTCTCTTCCGACGACACAGAGAACGGTTTGAGCAAGTCTGCCTCATCTGTATACTTATATTAGTTGTGTTTGAACGAAGATCGCTTTTACTAACCCCAACGATGACTTGGGCCAAACGCTCGAGGCGGGTTATCGACTGCAACGCATGAGAGTTCTCGGGTCATGGTAACTGTATCTGCATCAAGCTCTCTACGATGCTTCTTGCGTCTATCGTACTCTAGGAGGTCCCTCTGTCCTAGGACAATGGTGGTGGGTGGGCAGCGAAGCATCGTGCCGTTGAAGGTTGGTGTCGATGAAGTAGAGAGAATGTATAATGAGGAGAGAAAAGGCAAGGACAGCATAACTAAGAAGGGAAATCTCGAATCATGGTCAATGGCTAGGCAGGAAAGAGCGAGATGGCAAAGACTTGCGCCTTCCCAAAAGACATGCCAGTTCAACTCGATAACCAGACTTGCCCACATGATAAGTCCTCAGTGATCAAGAGACAATTAGACCACCTGTCCTGGCAAGAGTGTCTTTTCTGAAGCCTTACTTAGGCGTCTCAAAATGTCTGGCTTTTTGAATATGACTTAAGCATAGGACAAGTCCAGCGCTTGAAATCTAACTTTAGCATATAAAAAGTCCAGCTGTTAGAAACCAACTTAAGCATGTAAAAATCCTAGCTTTGAAAACCTGACTTATAGAAGCGAAAGTCTTGATTGATCAAGGGACATTCATCTAGTTATAGACTTTCTCTTTGAGCTCCTTCCAAATCCATAATCACAACACTTTACCTCAAGTGCTGAACAAGCCATGACGAGATTGTGCGTATGGCGTTAAATACGCATATTCCTACCCTCCAACCGACCCCGAACATCAGTTCATGTGCGCTTGGCGCATGTGGATTGTCATATCTTTTTTTTTTTTCACTTGCTCTAACAAAAAGAAGTTGAGGTCGTAGCGAGATTTAACGAGGTCGCTTTTCCCCCTCCCTTGGCTGGTACCGATGAAGATATATCCTTTTAGATTTTGTATGTTTGTGACTCGAATGAAATATAAGCTAAGGATCGTTATATGCAGGCTAGAAGTATTCAATATATGCTGAAGAAGAGTAAGCGTTAATTCTGGTCCAATTCTTGTTCCCGGTCAACTGGGTTGCACTACAGTATCCTGTTCTGATCTACTAGACAATATCGATGTTCTTCCTGGTGGTACCGAGGATTGGATGCATCTGCAATGTGCTTGTACTTGGATATTGTTCCGAGTGCCAAGGAACACAGCATGAATCTCCTGCAGCGATCATTGTGAAAACCAGGTCAGTGTTTCGTTGTGGAGGTCGGCGTGGAACGATAGCTGAAGACATGGCGTCCTTAGTATGAATGGTGAAGCTTTTTGCAATGCCAAAATGAGATGCCGTACAATCATTTTGAGCTTCTTCAAGGAAGATTACACTCGATTGTGGTAGTCATGCAGTATATATTTTTTCCTGACTCGTCACCTCTTTGCCCCTAATTTAGCATCGATATCCAAACAAACCAAACCGACGCCAACTCATCTGGTCTTGTCCTGTCTTGTCGTGTAAACGAGATGAGCTGCAACCAATCACCCCTCCCTCTCGCATAATCCCAGCTGCGGTCGAAATTAATTACGAGAATCTGCTACCTGGCTCGAGCTGGCTAGTCCTAATCGTTCGCGGTTCACGGTTCACTGTTCACTTTTCCAAGATTCCCGCCTTGCAACCACCGCTCCGCTCCACTACCAACCATACCACCAAACCCAAAAAGCTGGCTGCAACCCAGCCAGACGGCGACTCAGGTCCCCCCAAGGGATCTTCCCTCTCCTCCCGGCGGGCTACCGTAGGTTGTGCTATGGTATAGCCAAGGATTACAGTATTCGAGAGAGGCCATAGCCACGATTACAGCGAAAGGGAAGGGCGACGCCATGGAGAACGACCTGAGCCTCTCTCAATCGTTTGGTGGCTTGCGCATTGCGAATCCCGATGATGCATCACCAGGCACGTCTCAGCCGGTTCCTACGAACTCACGGATTGAATCTGCTGTCCTGACTCCTTCGCGGACCGTCGATGTAACGAATCCCCAAACTGAGCCTTCTCCTATCTCGAGAGAAGACCGGTCGATCACCGATCCGCAATCACAATCACAGTCACAATCTCGACGACATTCCATCTTCAATCTCCTCCGCCGTGGAGAAGATTCTTCTTCTCCTCCTGCACGAACTCCTCCTCAGCCGCCTCCTTCACATCCGCGGTCGGACTCGAGCAGTAGTGATTCCAATCAGGTCCACAGCGATTCATTAGCACGAGCTGCAGCCGCTAGAGCATACCGACAGTCCATTCCCCTGAATCACCAAGAACAACAACAAGCATTATTTCCCCCTTACCAATCGAATGCCATGCAGAACGGTAGTAGAGCATATCCTCCTGCGGGAGCGTCACGGCCTGTTTCTGGTGTCTACGCAGCTCAACCTCCCCCCGGCGCGATACCAACTCGAGAACCTGGGTCATACAGATTACGGAGTGAATCTTCCAGGTCATCAATAGTGGATATACCGACGAGGAGTCATTCAAGAGCAGGTACGGCCATGCAAGCTGGTGTGCCGTCAAGAGAGTCAAGTCACCGAGACCGATCATATAGCCAGAATACCCCATTACCTATCGGCAATGGACCTCTGCCCCCCAGACGAAGCTCGAGAGGTATGGGCGGTGGTCACACAGATACAATACCGATGCCTCCTAACGGTTCTTCTCCTCGATACGACTTGGAGGGTAATGTGGTTCCGAGCAGTGAGGAATGGAAAGACAGAGGTGCCGCCGTTGGCATGAAAGAAGAGTACGATGCGAATGGAAAGCTTGTATTAAGACAAGTCAAGAAGGGCGTTAGAGATTTTGTTTTCGGTCGAACACTGGGTGAAGGTTCATACAGCACTGTGCTTCTGGCCACGGACAGACAGACGTTGAAGGAATATGCTGTCAAGATTCTAGACAAGAAGCACATTATTAAGGAAAAGAAGATCAAGTACGTCAACATAGAGAAGGATACACTCAACCGATTGATAGAACATCCGGGCATAGTTCGACTTTACTACACCTTCCAAGATAGCTCTTCGCTATACTATGTCCTGGATGTAGCGAGTGGAGGTGAGCTGTTGGGAGTCTTGAAGAAGATCGGGTCTTTCGACGAGGAATGCACAAGGTTTTATGGAGCGCAGATTCTGGATGCCATTGAGCACATGCATAATAGAGGGGTCATACATCGCGATTTGAAGCCAGAAAACGTACTTCTGGACGATCAAATGCACATCAAAATCACCGACTTTGGAACGGCCAAATTACTCCCAGATCCGAGAGCACCAAGGGACCCTACGAAAGCTTACGATATCACAGGAGCGGAAGAGGAATCAACAAGAGCCAAATCATTTGTGGGTACTGCGGAGTATGTCAGTCCTGAGCTCTTGACAGACAAGAATGCATGCAAAGCTAGTGACCTTTGGGCATTCGGTTGCATCATCTATCAACTCTTGACCGGACGGCCGCCGTTCAAAGCTGGAAACGAGTATCAGACATTCCAGAAAATCGTAAACTTAGAGTATGAGTTTCCTCCTGGCTTTCCCCCAGCAGCAAGAGACTTGGTTGAACGCCTTCTGGTTCTTGACCCGTCGAGACGATTATCGATCGAGCACATCAAGAATCACGAGTTCTTTGATGGAATTCAATGGGGTCGAGGTTTATGGAGAATGAAGGCGCCGAGATTGAAGCCTTATATTCCTCCAACACAAGAGCCTGGTCTCATCAAACTTAATGGCTATGGTAGCGCTCCTCAACCAATTGCTACTTCTCGAGCACCGCCAGCTGTAGCCCCCTCCAATGGAAACTCCAGACCCCAACCAAGGGTGATTACAGAACTTCCACCTCCGACTCAGCTAGACATTGAATGGTCTCCAGTCCTCACACGGAATAATGAGAGGATACTCAAGCTTGGTAACCTCATGGTTATGTCGACTCCTTTACCACATAGCCCAAATTCACGGAATGGCGAACATGGTGAAGCACATGAGAAGAAGGGACTTTCAAGGTTCTTTGGTGGCAGTACCACCAAGAAACGACAACGGCTAGTCATGGTGACCTCGAGCGCTCGAGTTATCATGGCTGCCGCGGGAGGAGAAGAGAAAAAGACGAAAACTGAGATCTCCCTTTTGGCTTCGGAATGCTCATGGCGCACTCAGATAGATGCCAAGGGTCAGGAGGTGTGGTGCGTCGACACGGTAAGTTTCTATCTATCACCCTGCACACTGAAGTCTAATCAATCCACAGCGTGGAACCCACTACACCTTTGAGGATTCAAAGACATCCATCACCACTGGCGATCCGTCTAAAAGCTCCGCACAGGAGTGGATTGAATCAATAGAGCGTGCAAAAGATATGGCTCTGTCTCAGAGTCTTGTTGGCTCCTACAGCAGCGACACTGGATTTGACATGGCCTCATCCGTCTCAAGTCCAAGTAGCACTCTGCACGGGAATAGCATATATCCCGAAGGCTTCAATGTCACAGACCGAAGTGGACGGAACCATTTGACGAAGAGTCAAGCCAGTCTGGGTGAAGAACAGATCGAGAAGAAAAAGAATCATCGGTTCAGCAAAAGACAGTCTAAGAACGGGCTATCAACACCTTTCTAAAGCACCAGTTTATGGTGGATATGATACATAATAGTTCAAAAATGGGTGGATCCTGGGGACGGAGGCAACATATTCATTTCGTATGTCGAGCATTTGGTAGCGCGGCGCTGGTCTTGGTTCGCTTCTTGCATCCCTTTCATTCCCCTAATGACAGGGCATAACGACTTTAAGACTCATTCCTTTCTCTGGACCTCTGCGGGTTGACCTAAAATTCTGGGCGACTCAGGAGGCTTGCATTGCACTTTGCGAATATCATGATCTTGTCTGCATTGCTGAAGTGTTCTTTAGCTAGATCTATGGGTGGGGCGGTGGACAATGTGGTTCCAGTCGGTAGCCTACGTATATTTGCGTATTTAATCGCTTTTCCATTTGACGTTGTAGTGTAAGAAAGATTCAACAGGGCTGAAAGAGGGGTCCTGTTGATGTATATTAGCTAGGTTTGAACAGGCGATTCAAGAGATTAGCCATTTACTGGCTCGAGTAAACGCACAGTGTACTCAGGCCCTCGGCCAATTTCCACCCAAGTGACAGATAACAGAGACGTACTTTTGACATCGTTTCCACCAGTGGCCCTGAGACATTGACGAAGTTTGAAGGCAGTAGAGCGGGGACAATTCGGGGTGTCTGATCGGCGTTAAGATTAACACTTACTATTCCCGACCATTATCCTACGTCACATAAGCTCTTTCACCCTCGAACTTTCTTTCGAAATCAAAAATCTTTTTTTCAAATTCAATTTGATTTCCATGACTCGAGTTCTCATAGCTCGTTCTCTCCTCAGATTACAACAATTACCTCGTCATTGTCCCAAGCCCGTTCGATTCACTTTTACTCACCTCTCAAACCAGAATCCCACCCCCGCATTTACACCTAAAATCAGGAGATTCACAACAGCAATCATGTCTTCCAACCCCGTTTTCAAGCAAGGGAACACCGCTGTCATCACAGGCGGTGCTTCGGGCATCGGATTGGCGCTTGCTACGAAATGTGCTGGGTACGGAATGAATGTCGTGATTATCGATAATAATAGTTCGAATCTGGCTTCGGCGAAGTCTTCTATTAAGGGGAAGGTGGAGACGGTTGAGATGGATGTTTCTAAGGTTGAGGATTTTGAGAAATTGAGAGTACGTCGCTTCCATCTTGTGGATTAGGAGATAAATTTGGGAGTCAATGTTTGTGTTGAGTTGAGAACTTATCAACTTCATATGCTATGAGTTGAGCTGAGATCATTGACTGTATCTCAATGTCTATAACCTTTTCAGTTACTTAAGCAAAGAAGTTCAACGGCAAGACTGACATCTACTAGTCAAAAATCGAGAAGGACTTTGGAGGTAGGCCCACCTTTCTATCCCTTCATACCTCAACACTAACTGCTAAAATTCAGGGAAAATCGACCTCCTCGTCCTAAACGCCGGAATCGGCCTCAAAGGAACCTGGGAAGAACCCTCCTACTTCCACAAAATAATGGACGTCAACCTCTTCGGCGTCATCCACGGGATCTCCACCCTCCTCCCCTTCGTAACCTCGCACTCCTCCGCCTCCAGCCCATCAAGCATCATCATAACCGGATCAAAGCAAGGAATCACCAACCCGCCCGGAAACCCAGCCTACAACGCCTCCAAAGCGGCCGTCAAAACCCTGACCGAACACCTCTCTTTCGACCTCTCCAAATCCTCTCCCACAACTACCGTTCATCTCCTGGTCCCGGGCTGGACGTTCACCGGTCTCTCTGGAAACGCACCGTTCGCTTCCGGGGCAGAGAAGAAGGAGAAGCCGGCCGGGGCATGGTCGCCGGAGCAGGTTGTCGAGTATTTGGAGGCTAAGATGGCGGAGGGCAAGTTTTATGTTATTTGTCCGGATAATGATGTTAGTGAGGAGATGGATAAGAAGAGGATGTTGTGGGATAGAGAGGATTTGGTGAAGGGTCGGCCGCCGTTGACGAGGTGGAGAGAGGATTATAAGGTGGAGGCGGAGGAGTGGATGAAGAAGACTAAAATTTGAAGGAAACCCTGGTGTTAGTGATTTAAAAAGGATTCAGTCACGATTTCTTTCCTGTTATTAAGCCCAGCCTTTTCGTTTCTCTTAATTTGGATGAAGCATACTTGACTCACTTAACAATGTTAAAACTTCAAGTTCAGTCGCAGGGAGATGGTTTCATCTGTCCTTTTCCTGCATTACCGCCTGTGGACTGGGCAGATCAAAGGTAGTAAGTAAGCAACTAGCACCGCACATCATTGAGATATTGTATAAAATGAAGTCGTTGATGCTTTCCACTATAATATGAGGATAATCTTACAACGCAAATGGAGCTCTATCCACCTGAACTCCTTCTTCGCCATAATCAAACACTGCCTAAATCTGGCCGCTCATAATTTTGGTCGTTGGCCAACTAGTAGATTGACGCTCTCCCTCACATTGTCACTAGCCCAAATGCTCTCTTGACCTCCTCTTCTCCAGTCGTCTCCGGTAACGTCTTCGCCACCACCTCTCACACCTTCACCGGCAATGATTTCCAGATCTCTCTTTTGCGAGCTCAGCCATTTGGCAATGAACTCGGTGGGATTCTTCGATAGTTGGTCAAAGAAGGTGTGCTTCGATTTGGAGTTTCCTATCTTTTGAACAAGAAGGCCCAATTGGTCGTTTAGAGTGATAATTTCTCTCAAGTTATGGGCGTACGTAGGATTTGTCAGATACGAAGTTAAGGCAGCCTTCAAAGGATCATCGATTTGGACTTGAACGTCGTAAATTGTGGGCTGAGGATTTTCATGGAACTCCTTGTCCACTCGTACGGTGTAGGGTAGCTTAATGGGTGGCAATGAAGTGAGGTGTGGAATGATAGCATCTGGCAGGTAAGGGATGTATCCTTTGTCGCGGACAAGAACCTTTGCAAGTCAGCAATTGCACACCAATAGGTTCATGATCTACTTACTGCCTTTAGACGCTCGTCACAATCAAAAGATCGCTTCTCATCATCTTCTTGGAGACCCATAGCTTTAACATACTCCCAGATACCCATAACAGCCTCTGCCCTTGTCGCTACATCAGTATCTAGGACCTCGGCCAGAGCAGGGCTCAATTTGAATCGCTCTGGAGTCTCATCGCGAACGAGATTGATCGTGATGTTCATATTTTCATCACCTCCCCGCTTGAACTCCAGTTGATCGAAATCAGCAGCATTTGGAAGATTTGTCGCATTTGTCGCAACCGCAGGCTTCTTCCACTCCACGCTCTGATCCATAACATCCTTTGTCTTCCCTCGGTCGAAGTCAACAGTCATGGACTTAAAGAAGTGTGAGAGCTTGTACTGCTTCGTGGGGAGCTTCGACTTCTTTGGTTTCTCCTTTCCATCCTCATCCATCGCATCGCCATTCGCAACTTCGTCCTCGTCATCACTGTCGTCGCTGTCCAGATCGTCTTCTTCCTCGTCCAATAGTCTTCCTTCAATCTTTACCCGGTACGAAGAGTCGATGTTTGTACTAAAGTCAAAGGCGTCCACGTCGAGGGTGTCTGCTTGCCAAGGTTGGTCTTCGACTGTGTTGCTGATCCAGACCCGTAATGTTCGGTAGCGCTTGAAGGAGTCAGCAAATATTCATGGATTAAAATAGGCCATCTCGTACCTTGACAGTTCTGTTAACAGCATCCTGGACATCCAGCCTCTTTCTCATCATTGTAGAATCCAATTTGCGCTCCAACTCTCGAAGCTCTCTGTATCTCTGAACTCCATCGCCAATGATACACTCTTCCACCCCTTCCGGTATGTTCTTATCGGTAGGCTTACGACTCCTCATCTTTGCGCGCTCACTTGCTTCCCTCTGGGCGTCTCGTTGTTGTGCAGCTTGCGCAGCTGTCAAAGTTGCTTGAGGATGTTGTCCAGAGACCATAGGACCTAAGTTATAAGATTGAGGTATCAGCATAGGTCACGTCGCCAAGAGTGGGAAGGCGCGACGAGATTAAAGTTGACTGAGACTGTGTCTGGCGCATCAGAAAGGCACGTACCAATTCCTCTTCTCGCAGCTGCAGCAGCGGGAGACCTTTGAGGCACCTGCTGGGGGAAGGGGCGGTACTGAACTGTTGGCTGCATCGTGGCGATCTCGATTTGGAAGGTAAGCTTGACAACCAAATTAGCTCCCCACGGGACAGATTCAAGTTGAGTAAGTTGAATGCGAGTATTGCTTCAAAGATTGCACGTCGCGTTGAACTCATTCCCGTACGCGAAACAATTCTATGGAGATGAGATGTTGCGACGGGAGCTAAATCCATAAGCAGACTAGTGACTTTGCTCCCCTTTTTCAGCCTTATTTTCTACTCCTGTATAAATTCATAAATTTCCACATAAAGACTTGCAAAGCTCAGCTCTGGTGACTGAAGCCTCATCATAATTCACTGTGAAACCCTAGGATCATGAGTGGGAGGGGCGCAGCCTTTCTGCACATGTTGAACTACGTGGTAGCCAACAAAATGACTAGTCTCATGGTACCAACAACAATCTCATTGACAAAATGCAAACAACGCCTAGCCTACTCCAACAATCGCTATCGATCTTCAAGACCCAATGCCCAGAACTCCAAGTGCTCTATCCAGCATGCCCATATGTCTCCCATCCTTCCCCTGCAACCTAGTCACTATTTACCTCGATTGTGAGCCAAGTAGGGCAGGCTTCTGTGTTGGTTCGACCGGTGCGGGAGGCATGTTCTTGATTTGTTTGATCAAGAACTCTCTCTCGTCAATAAATTGCTCATCCTCCGTCCTATCCTCCAAGAAATGCTTCAAGAAAGTTAATAGTCGTTCTCGATTGATGAGCAATATCTTCTGTACTGCAATTGATTTGTGGGGATTGGCAACAAAGACTTTGAAGACGTGGAAACCTTCGTACTGAACCATCTTCCGCTCGTCTCTGAGGAGATTCATGCAGATCTTCAGATGCTCTCCCCGGTCAACATACGCTGTCATTACGGTATAATTTGCTCGGTCCAGGAGGATCTCGCCCAGTAATTTTATAGATTGACGCTTCGTGACATAACTCTCTGATTTTACCAAGATATTGTTATACTTGTCAAAGAATAGGTCAAAGTTTGTCGACAAGTACTGTGCCACAAGTTGTTTGTGTCTTGTCAACAACTCCTATCCCACTATTAGAACATCTCTAAAATCGAAGAGGGGCATGCCATACCCGAAAAGTTGTAAACGCATCTGCGCTTACTTCAAATGAGCCCTGATCAATCCACTTGAAGAATTTCCAGAAAACACCATTCCCGCTTTGCTTCAATTCTGGATTGATCCCACTAATACCTTTAGGACCTGGTCCAGCATCTGATGGATCATCGTACAGTAATATAGCAGCAGCCGTGTCACTCTTCAAGACTTCTCTGAGGACAGTCCCGGCCGGTGTAGCACTCTCCTTATGGTCGTATCCATTGCATAACTCCACAAGGACCTCTGGGCGATTATTGATAACATAGCTCAAAGCAAGGGGCTCGCTTTTTGGTGATGCTGTATGGGGTCGAAATCGTAGGACATAGGAGAATATAACTTGGGCATCTTTTCTCGACTCGAAAGGTAGCCGCCAGAGGTTGACCGCGAGGAGGTATAGCAAGTCTTCTTGGATCAATCCTGTCACCAAGGCGTACACTTGCTCTGGACTGCTTTCGATTTCTGGACCAGAGGTCAGTATTATTACAGTGGGCTTGACCGGTTCCTGAGGACGTACCTTGAGTGCCTTGCAGAACCAACTTCATCTGTGATAAGGTCTTCGCAAGTTCCTCGGCCTAGATGCAGGTCAACTCCAAAGTCCTAAACCATTTCAGGGGCCTGGCATACTTTGGTGGTTCCAACAGGTCCGTCTAGCTTCACCATGAGCTCCTTTGCCTGCTTTGGCAGATCTACTGTGCTCGCCCGTGGGCGACGACCAAATAAGAACGACATCTTGGGAGCGACGAGTGTTTGTTTTGGCCCCTGGCTTCGTTGTTTACGATTGCGCGAGAAGTCAGGTTGCTCTCATATGGCGAATTTTTGTAGCACAGAGCAAGAAGAATGGTCTGCGTAATCTCATGACACGCTCAATCGGCCATTAGGTTTCTCGTTAGGCGTGGATACATGGGTGATCTCTGACTTCGTAACCAGCGATATTTTGGTTCAGCCAAGGGAAGGTGCTGCCGCCCCATGTTTGCTGTCGTTTCCCAAGCTCGCACGGCAACCAAACACGAAACATTCCCCGAACACTCACTTCACGATTGGAGGTGCACTGCCTATGGCTTTGACCTATTTTCTTATTACAATATCTATTTATATAACCTCTTTGACTGTGTTCCCAAGATCTGTACAAAATAAATCCCCTTATCACCACGTGATGATTCTCTTAGGTATTGATGGACAGGGGTCCTCCTAGGCTGGACAACTCACACAAAGGCAAAATTTCTGCTGCAAAAGAAAGTCAACCCGCGTTCGCACGGTGTGTTTATATGACAGCTGAGACACCCTTCGTCATGTCTGGCACTGCTCCTGGCATCGAGAAGTATGCCGCGTCTTCTGGTAGTTCAGAAACCTCTGATATCCTCGATTTGAAGGATGATGAAGGTTGGGAAGATGCAGAGCCAGACCAAGAGGATACTCAGTTCATTTCGTTGTTGGGTGATGAAGTATTTACGGATATTGAAGCTATGTTGAATCATTGCAAGGAAAAGTACGAATTCGATTTCCTCGAGATCAGGCAGAGACTAGGTCTAGACTTCTACGGCAACATCAAATTGGTCAACTATATTCGATCCCAAGTTCATAGTGGTCAAAAGGTTACATCAAACATTTCTCGCAATGATTTTGACGACGAAAAGTATCTTAAGCCAATTCTCGAGGATGATGCACTGCTGTTCAGTCTCGACGAACTTCCCGAGGTCATGGAGGATGTCCAAAGCGTAGACAAGGGCAAAGGAGTGGATGTTGAATCTGGAGCTTTGGTTGCTCGGGTTTCCGAGCTGGAGGAGGAGTTGCGGAAGATGCAACTGCAGTTCGACAATTACAGAGCTACCGTGTCAGAAACATTGGACGAACGATGGAATGAGCGCAGTCCGAGCGGCCCATCGAAGCCTGACGGAGAAGCGAAGGAAGAAAAGCGGGATGATGATACCCATTATTTCAGCTCATACTCCTACAATGGTATGTGATGCAAGATCGATCCCTAACTCTGAACAGTGCTAATGAGCACAGATATCCATGAAACTATGCTGAAGGATACAGTCCGGACCGACGCCTACCGAGACTTCATCTACAACCACAAGTCTCTGTTTGCGGGCAAGACCGTCCTTGATGTTGGCTGTGGAACTGGAATCCTGAGCATGTTCTGTGCCAAAGCTGGAGCAGAAAAAGTCATCGCAGTAGACAATTCAGCGATCATTGACAAGGCTCGAGAGAACATCTTCAGCAATGGCTTTGCTGACAAGATCACCTGTCTCAGGGGCAAAGTTGAAGAAGTTACTCTTCCAGTCGACAAGGTGGATATCATTGTCAGCGAATGGATGGGTTATTGCTTGCTGTATGAGGCCATGCTCGACAGCGTCATCTGGGCGAGGGACAAGTACCTGAAACCTGATGGTCTTATGGTACCAAGTCATATGAACATGTGGGTAGCTCCTGTTGCCGATCCGGACTATATCGCAGACCATATTGCGTTTTGGAGAGATGTTTATGGTTTCGACATGAAGGCTATGCAAGCTGGTATTCACGAAGATGCGCAAGTGCTCGACATGCCTAATAGCACGCTTTGTGCGGAGCCATTCCCATTCCTGCAATTAAGCTTACACACAACCACTGTCAAGGATCTGGTCTTCAAGCGCAAGTGGCAAGCAAAGTTGAAGCAAGACATCGATGCGTTGGATGGCTTTATCATTTGGTTTGACTCGTTCTTCATGCCATCTCGAGATGATGTTGTACCCGAGGATGCAAGAGCTGAGGAATGGGCAAAGGCAGAGAAAATGGGGATTGCATTCACTACTGGTCCTGGCGGAAAGGTAACTCACTGGAAACAGGGTGTGATGCTCATCGACAATACCAAAGCAATCCCAACCAGCCGGAAGGAAGGAGAAGAATTGAGTGGCGAGCTAGAGTACGCAGTGCCGGAAGACAATTCTCGAGCTCTGAACGTGGGCTTGACCTGGATTTTTGGTGAAGAAAAGGATGTCTCACAGACTTGGAGAATGAGGTGAATGGCGCTATGTCTTGACAAGCACTAAATGGATGAAAAAGTTATGTAGAAGAGCCTCAAATGCAATGACACTACAAATGTGTCTGAATGCACAGTATCTCAATTCATTTCTGCTATTGCCCACCTCTAAATTATTTCATTGCCCATACAGTTGATGTGTGCCCGTCATCTTCTCTGTTGATCCTCACAAGTTTACAACACTAATAGCATACTTCTCACCAACCTCATTTTCCTTCTTAACATAATTCTGAATGTACTCAGGAACCTGTTGCACAAATCAGCACACTTTTCAACCCGTGCACGAATCTACAAACCTTCGCAACCCTATTCTCTGCACCAGGGATCGGCTCCCCATATTTCAAATAGGTAGGCACCACTCCAATCCAAACCTTCGACCTGAGCTCCTCATTCTTCAGATCTGCTCTGTCATCTCCAGGATTACCCGTCCTAACCTTCGCACTAGCATCCACAACTCGAACTTTCAAGATCTGTGTGCTGGTCATCTCTGTCTTCGTAGGTGGAATCCGAGAATTTTCCCAACGGTTGTCGATGACTCCATTGGTGATTTTTTCCATGGCCCACATCTTCTCGTCTGCATCTGTTACGGGAGTAGCATATCCGTGCATAATTGCGGAACGGTAGTTATAACTGTGATGATTGGGAGTCAAGGCAAGGACAAGTCCATCGAGATGAGTTGCTGCGATTGTGAGGGGAAGTCCTTCTTCGTCTGAGAGGGAAGTGTTTCCCAGCTTCATGAGACGAGAAGAGATGTAGCCGTGGAGATAGAGATCCAGGGGCTCAGTGAGAGAGGCATTTGGGTCTGTGAATGAGGCCATGAAGCCGAGCATGGGGATCATGGCTGGGAAAGGGTCTGAGTTTGGTGCTGGGAAGGAGACATGGAGGACTTGAACGCTGTTCACGATCTTATGAATGGTTTCGTAGTCATATTTTCCTGGTTAGTTTGTTAATTGAATCCTTTCATGTGAACGAAATTAAGTTACCTCGTGGCTTTCCATAGCGGTTGACTGTGTTGCGAGGAAGTTTCGGGTAAGTGGGAGAGTCAGAGTCAGCCATGATGCAGAGATAAGGCAGTTGGAAAAGTTTTTGTCTTTTGAAATGAGGTTGAGTTTCAAATGTGATCAGAAGTTCTTGCTCTCTTTATAATGTCCAAAGAAGAGCCATGAGTCACTGAAAGAGTGCGACGAGTGCGAAATGCGAGTGGAGGGAGGTTGTATAATGCGATCACGTTTCTGCACTTCTTGCCATTCCAGGAGGTCCAGCCGAGAAGAATGTAAGAAGTCGTTTGAGCAACCAATTGTGCCTCTTGTAAAACAAATTTTGACTTGGATTGTGCATTAGCTGCCGTCGTGCATCTCACTGGATCTGGTATACCTACCCCACTTATCGAGAAGGGCGAAGAAAGGGACATTGATCTGGGCTTGAGATTAAAAGTAAGGCAACTACTATTAGTGTGTTGATTTAGTCGTTGTTTCGGTACACTAAATAGCGCTTGTGGGGGTCCTCATGAGTAGTTCCTTCCTTCCCACATTAAAGGCGTGCGCAAAGCTCTTCTCGACCTTTCAACTCTGGGACCCAATATCCATCCATCCAAATTTTATCAACTACCTACGTTTCCGCGGCGAGTGCTTTCACGGTCCAGGCAATGCCTCAAATATTTTAAAAAGGTACAAAAATTGTTCACATCCAAAAAAATTGAGTGTTCAGAAGCATGACACCTCTTTTAGGCGGGACCACGAGTTTCCGAAATCTTGGAGGCATATGGCATCGATAACATTTGTACAAGAGTATGGAAGTTCAGATAATGTGATTCTGCTTGTATCTCAATTGTTGGTACCCCAAGTTTCACCCCCTTTCCTATTCGGAGCTAGTTTTGAGTTGGCGAGACTCGCATTTACTGTGAAGATCCTATGGTCTTCTTGTCTAAAAAAAAACTTCGTCATGATATGACTAGTAGACTCATAATGACACCTATGCTTGTACACAGAGATATATGATGCCATATAATGCCCTTCTTCTCTTCACAGCTTTTCATTCTTCAACTTTGAACAAATTCACATCGAGAACTGCCTAGCTCTAATCGCCACCCATTCATTACAGCATCATGTCTTATTTAAAATTACCACTTCCTCCAAGCACTGTCGACGATGGAGAATATATCCTCGTCGATGATCCTTCTTCGGACGAAACGAGCGGTATGGGAGATTTCAAGTCGGTCAACCCAGACGACACTCTTTACGATGACGATTCTTCTTCGGATGACTCATGCGACTTCGATAATATCAGTACCACTACCTCTATAATTGACGATTTCGAGCCTGATCTTGAAGACATCGAGTCTGATCCCCAAGTCATCGAAGCCGCGAAGCAAGCAATAGGATTGAGTAACGTCAATACCTACCAATTCCAGCTTTTCATACACTTTAATATGTTACAGGCATTATTCATCTGTAGCGGCGAGAAGGTGCGGAATGAGATCAGGAAATGTATGCACAATCTTATGGCATCCTACCCTACACTTTTCGGAGAAGTGTTTCGTTCCCTCCGAAGAGAGATTTCCTGTCTCGGGAAGCAGACCAAAGACCTTGAAGCAGAGACGCGAAATTTGAAACAAGATAACAATAGTCTGAAAGTTTTGGTCGATGTGCAAGAGGAGGTGCTGGTGGCGCGGCATAAAAAGGACATCCAGAATATTCGTAATTCAGCGAATCGAGAGTTATTGACTCTGAAAAACAAGAAGGACATGGAAATTGAAAAAGTTCGGACGATCGCGAGAATGGAGGGTGAGGTTCTACGCAAGGAAGTACATACTTTGAAATCGACGAATCACACTTTTGACGCGAAGATTGCTTCGGCCAAACACATAGATCATGGATCCAGCATAGCAGACACAAAAACGGCCTCTCCTTTCCAGCCTGGCCAAGACATTTCCTTGCAGTACAGAGTTGGTCTTACCTTTACGAAATGAATCATCTATCTTTCTTCTTGAGGTTCTGGGCAGCACCACCACATTTGGTGACCCCTTGGTTGAAAACCCCTCTCTCATGTTGTTAGGAACTATACTTGCTAATTCGTTCAACGGCTGCAGACGGATAACACTCTGAAATGTGGAGACGAAAACCAATCCGAATCGAAGGCTATGAACTTCGGGACAGAGAAAGAAGTTCACGACTGTATGGCACACTTATCTCAGGCTGATATCTACAAGGCTCACGAAAGGGTGTGCAAGCAAATATCCGAGTTGCAGGGGCAACTCGAGCTCCAGCACCTCCATAAAGCGAAACTTGTTGAAAAAAGCCAAGAGACGGTCAGGGATATGAACATTGCCGTGGCACAACTACACTCGAGTCGGACAGAGAGCGCTCAACGACAAGAGACCATCCGCAACCAAAACAAGAGAGACACAGAACGTATAGAAGAGCTACAGAAGGCGATTGAGGCTTATCAAGAAGTCAATTTGCTCGGAGTCGGGAGAGATTATTATCAGCAACGATTTGAACAGTCTCTAAGTAACCTGGATGGCCGCGTGTGCTAGTTCTACTGCTGGTGATTGGTGGTCGAGGAGGCGTTCAAGGTATGTGGAGAGAATACCCCACTAGCGGAGCTGTCACTCGGCCATCTTGCGTCTTGTCTTCTGCACAATACTGGTTCCCGAATCTTGCTTTCTTGCTTCGGTGCGTTGGTGTCTTGGTGCTGTATCGAAAAGGTTTTTATTGTCTGCAATTGGTAGAGGATGTCCAATCATACGGATTCGATTGTAGAGGATAGAACACAAAAAAAGTTTCTGCTTTTTCTTAATACCTCCTACTTTTGCCTTGGGTGATATAATCTAATCAAAATTATAGGACATGGTGAGCAACGCCCTCCCAAATACTGCGCTAAAATACCCATCAGGTACCGACCCCTATTTACAGCTCGCTTCCGTTGCCAAGGATCAGTTCACCACGCAACACTTCGCGATCCATCACCTCGCCAAGCACCTCTTTAGCACCGACAAGAATACCATTATGATTACGATTATAGTTCAGATTTCAGGCACTACCACCTGGCGTTTATACGGATCCCAATAAGCATCTCTCTTCCCACCACAAACTGGTTGCTTACCCGCTCAGCTCTAACCAGCCCACGATATATGAATCCAGATAAGCACCATCGTTACATGTCAACCACTTCGCTTTACCTTAGCGTTCCACAAAGTAAAGTTGCTTAAGGGGAGATTGCAGCAAGGTAAGCGGGAAAGGAGACATAGCTAGGGCTGGACGGAATAGACTCTAAAGGTAGGTCATGATAAAGAGACATGAGTGCATGCAGTGTATGTGATGATTCGCATACATTTGCGATTCCATTGATGCTTCAATTGGACTTTGAGAGCACGACATATGGATAAGTGATATCTGGAATACCGCATTAATTGGTTTCCTAAGTAATTGTCTGGAATAAGGGACTAGGCTTTATAAGACATGGTCCCTCAAGCCTCCCCTAAGAAGACATTGATTAAGGTATGTGGACTAAATACTTGCCTTGTGTTTTGTCACTAATTTATGAAATGGACTACGCTTAACTTTATAACTTTATTGGGTATAAAATATTAATGTTGAAATTAGACATAGTCCCCCAAAGGATATCCTGCCTTCAGTTGTTCATAAGGATATATATTAAAAAAGAATTAATACGATAGGTATATAGACTCTATATTAATCCCATTGGCTTTGTGTCACTTTCCACATCCACCAATCATGCAATGCACCACAGACGGGATGACCTTACCGCTACGAGGCTCACCTGAATGCTCTTTGCGTTTGCTGTGCGGTCCTCTGTCTCACCTTATTCTCAGCACTCCTTCTGCATCCACATCACCTTTCCCTGCTTCCCAGAATCGACGTTCAAGATCTGGCCCGTTATGCTACCACTCCAATTCTCGCTAGCGAGGAACAATATACTCTTCGCCACGCTCTCTGGTGGTACTGGCTGTTTAAGTGCTACCCTGTGGCACATTAGCAGAACACCGCGACCACTTCTTAACACGGTCCACATACGTAGCTTGGGCATCTAGCCAAAGCTGGTCTGGATTCGCTGCACATTCATTTTTGAACTGTGGGGTATCCACTGGTCCTGGAGCAACGGCGTTTACTCTTGTCCGTATCAGCAGTCTCGTTGGTTTCGGCAACCGGCAGGAAAGCCACTCACCTCGCTCCTGGCCAGATTCGGGCTACGTCGCCCATCAAGCTTCGGACGAACCCGCCCTGCACGGCACTCTTGCCAGAAGCATAATCGGCATTTCCCCTTTCTCCAAAATGGCCACTTTCGCTTCCCACGATTATCAGACTCACGTTCTTGAGTTCTTTTGCTTGGTCGACCTTTGAGTATTCTCTCAATTGTCTCAGCCATGTTCGGGCTGTCAAGAAGGTTCCCTCGACGTTGATCTTGTGTGTCCTCCGCCACTGCTCCACCACCATGTCTGCCAGACTCTCATGATGGTGCAACACTGAGAGATCGAGTGAAGCTAATGCTATACAACATGCTATAGGACCGTGCTTCTCTGATGCAAGGGCAAAAGCTTTGGTCAGAGCATCTTCCGAAGAAATATCGCAGGAGATGTAACTGAAGCTGGAGGCAGTCGTCGTAGGTGGGGGGGGACGTAGATCCAAAGAGGTGACGTTGGCACCTGCTGCGAGTAGTGCATCAACCGTGGCAGATCCTATGAATCCCGTACCGCCAGTAATGAGCACATGAGTGCCTTCGAGGTTCAGGGAAAGGTCCATTGCTTGTCGTGGTACCAATTGCGGTTATCCGTGGTATTGATTCGAAAAGGTCGACTTCCACATTGGTGATTGTGGTCGACTCCACACTAGTGTTTGTGGTTGACTCTCGAGCTGACAAGACTCACCGCTCTCAAGCATATCTGGCAGCAGCCATTGCCTTGTCAGTCAGTTGGCAGACGCCTCGAAGGAGCATTGATAGTGCTTCTTTGCTCCTCCGCGTTGATATTAAAGATAGAAGCACCTAAGATGCACTATTGTTAGTGTGATGTAGTGCATCGCTTTGCCCCGTCTCATCCAACAGAGCCCCACTTTGGTCGACACCAGAACGCCAAAACTTGCTCGTGAAGAAAGTCCAACGCTCCTTGGTACAACATTGTCTGTACAACAATCAGTCGCACCACTTGTCGAAAAGAACGTATATCTTCAGCTCTCCACCTGTCACCAAAACGGCGCACCCGAGCTCTTCTAATCATACAACATAAAGAAACAAAAAGTAATTTCGGGTTTGCCTTGAGCTTGGAATGTCATTACCCCGGACAGAGAGCTGCTTCGGCGACCTCGCCAACGTTGTTATTCGTGGATCTCCTCCTGCCCTAAGCATGCAGCAAGTACTCATACGATTGGGAAACCACTAAGTCGCAAGTGATTAGGAACACGGTCGTAAGGCTAGAGTCTGTGGGTAAGCGGGCTTCAATCTGGGACTCTGTTTGATTCGTGATAGGCTGCGGTGACCTTGACAATGGAATGCACGATGTTCATTCCTGCACTCGGGCTCTCAGCCTCAATCTCAAGATGCAACAGACTCCTACCAGCCAGCCCGATCCAAATTTTAAGAGCTAGGAGTTAGACTAGTAGTTAGTCGTGGCCGAGGGTAGGAGCCATAAGTAGAAGGTAAGTCTGCTGCAGCATTCAGCCAAAGGCGTTCGGCCGCTCTTTCTTCCAGAGTGTTTTGTCTCGAATAAATCTGTCCTTCAATACACAACCTCCTCAACTTCCTCCTTCGTCCTTCAAATACGCTTTCATCCCGTCACATTACTCTTTTGAATTCCCGATTCTTCACTGAGAGTACGCAAATCAATTAGCAACGCGTCGTGTCACTACAAGATGAGTGATACTTCTGCTGCTCAGACGCGCTTTGAGCCGGAGAGTACTTACAAAGTCCTTCCTCAAGATGCATTCAACGTCGACATCGAACAGCAGACTCTCGACGAGGGCCATCTTTTGAACGACACGGTCCGTAATTACTCTTGGTCGGGCGTATCAGTCATCGTCAAGGACCATAAAACGAAGGAACCCAAGATAATTCTTCACAACATCGATGGCATTGTCGGGGCCGGAGAGATATGTGCTTTGATGGGACCTAGTGGTTGTGGAAAGACAACTCTGTTGAACGTCCTCGCCCACAGAGATGCCGCTACCGGAGCCAAGGTCGAAGGTAACACCTTAGTCAATGGTACCAGCCCGTCCACTGGCGCTTTTCGACGCATGAGCAGCTTTGTAGAGCAGGAAGACGCCCTCATTGGATCTCTCACTGTCCGTGAGACGATGCACTTCGCAGCTCGTCTGGCTCATAAGAAGTAAGTCGCCCATACGGCCCACAGATCAATTTTCTGACTGTCATCTAGCGCCTTGAGCAAGACTGAGCGGATACGAAGGATTGACGGACTTCTTGATTCATTTGGTTTGAGGAACCAGGCCCATTCTATCATCGGTACGCCAATTCGCAAGGGCATCAGCGGTGGTCAGAAACGCCGTCTCAGTGTTGCCAGTCAACTCATCACTGCCCCGAAGATGCTGTTCTTGGATGAGCCTACCAGTGGTCTTGACTCTGCCGCAAGCTTTGAAGTTGTTTCCTTCATCAAGGAAGTAGCAAAGCGAAATAATGTGAGTATGGCGTCTTTCTTTGAACGATCCAGAGGACTCGAGCGACCGAGACACATTGATGCTGCCATGTACTCTTTAGCATGTTTCATTTACCTTAACGTCGGGAGTAATGTTCACATCACAGAAGCTGATTTGTTCTTAGTTGATTGTTATTGCTAGCATCCACCAGCCTTCAACTTCGACCTTCCAGATGTTCGACAAGTTACTCCTCCTGTCAGCTGGCAAGTCGCACTATTTCGGACAAGTGGATGGGGTTGCACCACATTTCGAGAGCATGGGATATGCTATGCCATTCCACACTAACCCTGCCGAGTTTCTTCTGGAAATGATGAACACCGATTTCGCCGCTGACCAATCTTCTGCCATTGCACGTCTGGATGAGATGCAGAAGTTCTGGGCTGGGTCTGACTCAGCTGTTGAGCTTTCGAAACGCGTCGGTTCTATGCCTGCCGAGACCTTAGTTGATATCAAACCATCCAAAAGCAATCTGCCAGTTGTGGTCATGTCCTTAGTTCACAGATCATTCATCAAGAGCTACCGGGACATTGTGGCCTATGGTATTCGTATTGCGATGTATGTTGGGCTAGCCGTCATGATGGGAACTGTTTGGTTACGTCTCAAGGCTGATCAAGCTGACATCCAACCGGTCACGAATGCAATATTCTTCGGATCTGCCTTCATGTCTTTCATGGCTGTCGCCTATATACCAGCGTTCCTGGAGGACCGAGCGACTTATATCAAAGAGCGTGCTAACGGTCTGTACGGACCTACTGCGTTCATGATTGGCAACTTCCTGATTGGCCTTCCGTACCTTTGTGAGCTCCCCTTTACAAAATCTTGATTTCCTTTGCCTAGCAGAAAAACCCACTCGTATGCTTAGTGCTAACCCTAATTTAGTCATCATCAGTCTCCTGTTCAGCGTCGTGGCCTATTGGCTGTCCAACTTCCGGCCCACAGCTGGCGCTTTCTTCACTTGGGTCATGTGGCTCTTTCTCGATCTGGTTGCTGCCGAATCACTGGTGGTCTTCATTAGCTCTTTGTTCCCCATCTTTGTGGTGTCTCTTGCCTTGACAGCTTTCGCGAATGGATTATGGATGTCTGTCGACGGCTTCATGGTTTCCCCTAAGATCCTGAACGTCTTTTGGCGCTACGTGTTCCACTACATCGACTATCAAACCTACGTCTTCCAGGGCATGATGGTCAATGAATTCGCATACAGAAATTACACGTGCGGCAGTGACTGCCAATGCATGTTCCAGACCGACCTATCCTCTGAGTGCTTGGTTCCAGGACAAGCGGTCTTGGACCAGTATGACTACCACACAGGAAATACCGGAAAGTGGGTTGGTATTCTATTGGCCATCGTCTTGGGCTATCGTTTGCTTGGTTGGCTCGTGTTGTGGGCACGAAAGTGATGCGTGTTATTTGGCGAAAGGCGTTTTGTAGGAGATACCCCAAACTCGTATGCGTTGATGTCACTCAAGCATATGTTGGTGGATAACCAGAGGGTTGATTGTTGTTTATAGGTGGTTCCTTCATGATATATCGTCGGTGAAGGTTGCTGTCTCATTTTGAATGCTAGATTCTCATATTAGCGAAGATATCAGTCTTTCACGTTGGACAATCGAAAGCTTTTGGGGATGAAGAATATAGATCCAGAAGTCATAGTACATACAGAGCCCCAGCATAGCTGCAATTAAACTTGCTTGCATAACATATCTGGGACACATTTCCCCTCAAAAGCGAGGCCTGGGTGTATTCAGATCCGGAACAATATTTAGGTAAGGCTTCTAACATACCTACATCAAGTTTCAGCTGTGATTGGAATTATACTCACTATACTTGAAACTATACTCACTCCAACACAATATGCTTCAACTCTCCTCCTAATAAAATACAGTACTCTATATGAAGTACTTCAAATCCTTCAATCTGAGCTTGCAAAGTTTCTCTACATACTCTCACGTGACATGAAAACGTCTTACCGTCAGGTCCCTTTGGCTCTAGAGATGTCGCCGTAGGTAGCACACGACTATTGCAAATAGTTCAGAGAAAGATCGGTCTGGCAAGAGACTGTATTCACAACCCGCCGTCACTCCACACGTGAAAATTACACAAGAGCCAGGGCAGGTCCCACCTTTGAAACAGGTGGGAAACAAATCACAATGCTTCAAGCGAACCATGGGACCTCGAACTGTACCACGCCCGCTCCCACCATTGAGGATATCAAATTCTCCTCTTTGATCTGTACGTCTCCAACAAGCCACTCACTATGTCGATTGCAGTCGTACCAGCACACGTCGACCGCCGCTCATCCTCGTAAATGGTTAGGTACATTGACACTTCCCGTCGACAACTCTGTTCTGTGTTCGGTGACCTCGGGAATCGCTAGGAATCGCTGAGCCCTGCACTGCACAGGCTGCTGCACCTCTCTCGCTCGTGCTCAATCATTCGACGGTATTTAGTTCTTGCATGGGGTCGGGTCGCCGCCGCACGCTCTTGTAATAAACCATCTCGCATAATCTGCACTTCATGTCTTGGTCGCCGAACAAGATCACTTCTGCCGTCACTGCCGTGGAAATGGAGCAACCAGCGGCTGAGATACAGCTGGTTCACGTACCTGATAATGTCGAGACAGCGACGACCGTCAATGGCCGCGGGCCCTCCTCCACGTCCCCTAACTCCGACGACGCTGGACCAGAGTCCCAATCCCAGTCTCAAAATGAACGTGGAACATCAATCACCTCCTCGCGACCCGACCAGAACCGAGAGCGGGCCACAGTCCCATCTGCTTGTGTTCAGTGTCGATCCAAGCATCTCAAATGCGACGGCTTGAATCCATGTACGAGATGCTCTTCCAACAGCTTTGAGTGTGTTTATGTGCGAAGTCGTCGAGGCTTCAAAGGCCCCCGCCGCAATGGCGCCCTAGGCAAGGCTGCCTCAGTAGTGGGAACCATCGATAGGAGCTGTCCCTTGGTGCATCCAAATGGAGCGCCGATTGTGAGAACGACACCAAATGTCCCAAGTGGTTTAGCCACTCCTCCAGATCACAGGTTGATGACCTTGCCTCGCGCTGTCGATCTGCCGCTGTTTGATATAAGCCAAGAGTTGGTTTCTTTTGAGCCGAAACCATTGCCGTCTGGTTTGAACCTTCGAGAACGGTGTATCGAAGCCTTCTTCTACCACTTTTATCCGGCTCACCCGTTTATATTATCTCGGAATAGCTTCTACGCACTCCGGAAAGAGAAGCCCGAGCTCCTTGTCCATCTGGAGGCTTGCATGCGTTATGTGGGCTCGTTTTATGTACCCCAAGCTCCAATGGAGACTTTGGAGGAGGCAGCTGAGCGTTCTGTCTACGACCCTAAATACCCGAAAGATGGATTCAAGGTACAAGCTATGCTCATTCTGGCCATTGGCCTCGATGGTCGCACATATCAAGAAAAAGCACTTCAGGTTCTCCTTGATGCTCAAGACATTGCCTTGGAGCTTGGGATGAATAAGCGAGACTACGCTTTCATGAATGGAGGAGGTTCAGATGTCTTGTCAGAAAGTTGGCGCCGAACGTGGTGGGAACTTTATATCGTCGATGGCATGATTGCTGGCGTTCATCAGAAGAGCACTTTTCGCATGAAAGAGATTCCAGCTGATGTAGCTCTACCTTGTGAAGAGAAGGAATTCGCTTCCGGAGTAAGTCAAAATATCATATCTCTCCTTTCGACGCTAACACTCGTAGCAAATACCAATTCCTCATTCAATTGAGGACTTCGATGATGAATCATTTGATGGGAGAGATTTCTACTATTCCTCTTTCACATATCGAATCGCTGCAATTCGGAATCTAGGTCGGGTATTGTCTTCTAGACAAATCATGATGCCAGATGTTCCCACCATCGAGAGGATTGATGCTTATTTGGTTAATTGGAGGTTGCACTTGCCAGAGTCGAAGAAAGACTTTGTGAACAGTGATGGTCAACTTGATGAGATGCTATTTCAAGCCCATATGATCACTGAAGCGTAAGCCAAAGTCCCTTCGGGTTATCATAAGGTAATGCTAACGTAGATTTAGAACAACGATCCTGCTTCACCGTGAGCATTCTGAGCTCGATTCCACCGTCGCCAGAAATGTCACTTCCTGCGCTCCCCACAAACCCATCGTGCCCGGCCAATCCTACAACGTCCACGCCGCAAAAACCATTCAAGCCGCTCAAGATATTTCAAAATTAATTCAACTCCCAGTCCCCCTCGTCAAACACACCCATTTCTTCACCTGCGTCGTCACACTGGCGTCAATAGTACATCTCTCATGTTGGTCCGTCCTCATGCCCGGAATCCACGACGACGACCTCAAGCAACAACTCCGTCTCAACACCGGCGCTCTAAAATCCCTATGGCAAATCTGGCCTTCTGCCGGAAAGGCTTTCGATCAGGTAAAAGGCGTAGCGCGGGAGATTTACGCAAACAAGAAACACGCGGCCGAAGTGGGTTTCTGGTCTAATCTGTCGGATGATGAGGTTATGAGGAGTATGATTGAGGATCAAACTATTATGGAGGAGTTGCAATTGCTTAATTAACTTGACTTTGTGGGAAGGGATGTAAAAGTATTTATTTATGACTTATGATGATGTTATTTATTTTGTTAGAGTTGGAGTTGCGAAGCGTATATTTGGATACCTGGGAAATCTATTCTTTTGCTTGACTCCCATTTTTTATTTTCTTGATGTTCCAGATTTGCTAAGTCTATAAATGCCTCACAATATCTTATCTTGCTTTGGATAATTGTGAGGGTATAATGTCCCAAATCAGCAAAATGTCATTACTACTGATGCTTTCACAACTCAACCCCGATATTGGATGGCAAGAGAAACCAGCACAATGTCTGTTAGCAACTTTCTCTCCTACTATCCTGCTAATAATTAGATGTAACAAATATCGACAAACATTCTCGTCTCGTAGTGTCCCAAATTGTTGACATCACAAATCAATTTTCATTGTCCGGCCCAAAATCCAGATGTATGGCTTGCAAAAATACTATTCCTCCAACAAATCTCGAGCTTGGTCTTAACCAATGCACTTGAGTTTATTGTTGGCTGAAGATCAAGACGACTGTCTACTTTATTTACTATAGTTCAACCCAACCTCTTATCAACTCTGCCAATTGAAAAAGTGAACTCTTTCTATCTACAATTCACTAAAACAGATAAATTCTTCAAATCAACCTACAATCTTTCCTCCTCCGACTCCCTTGCTCAACACGTGATCTGCGGGGTCGCGTTCACGTCTTCTTCAAACTCGACGCGATTGCACCGCGATTAAAAGAAGTACACAACCAACCCACATCCTCTCTCCATCATCCCCCAAAAATGGAGCCCTCAGACCCAAACACCACGCTCTCCATTCCCGCAAATGAGGAACTATCTCCCCTTGAACAAGACGTGTTGGACGAGTACGAACGCCTAGCTGAGAACATGAAGAAGGTATTCCCCCCCCCCTTCTCCCCCGAACGGAAAAGAAACAATGTTAATCAAGAGGAATGAATAGTTAGCAAGTCTTCTTGACACAATGGCCGGGAAGCCGACGGCGGAGATACTGGATGGGTTGAGGCAGTTGGAGAGGAAGACTAGTTTGGTGTTTACGTTGTTGAAGGCTAGTGTTTATAGTATTGTGTTGCAGCAGGAGATTTATTCGGGGGATCAGGGGGGTGGGAGTCAGGATGGCTGAAGGGGAGATTGGTTGGATGGGTTTGGGCTTGTCAGTGAGGGCATTGGGGCATATAAGGATGGCTACGAGGAAAGATGCTTGGAGGGAAGAGAACAGACGCGACACGAATTACCGCACATACGAAGATACCCATATATCAGCGGAGGAACGAGGTATACAATTGCAAGGCTATTGGGTGCTCACGCTATGCTGCGCCTGGTCTATGCAACCTCTGTACTCGTACATACATACATCCTCGACAATGTACAACATACAAAATATTATACACGGCCACCATAATACACTTTTCTCACATCTACCAACTTCTTGCCTCTACCCCGAGCAATCTCGTCTGGTATTCTTTGCGTCAACATGGCTTTGTAGGCTGCCTTGACTGTGTTCATCTTGTTTCGTGATCTGGGGACTTTGGCTGCGAGGTCGTGGATTCCTGCTGCTCGAGCCATTTCGAAAATTAAGTGCTGGCAGCGGAGGCCAAATCCTAGCAGATATTAGATACAATTCGGTTCAATAGAGAGGAAAGTGCTTACCTGGCGGTCTAGACATAAGTTTTAGCTCAACAGCAGACACCTTTGCATCCACCTCCCCAAATATGGTCCTCTCTTCATACCGTGGAATAGGCTGCATGGCGCGGATTGCTGCGATCCTAGCATTGGCCTGCGTCTCTTCGGCTTCCTGACCTTTCGCCTCCCCAATACCTAATCTGCCATTGCCGTTCCCAGCAATCGCAAGACAGTAAACGCTGGCAATTTTGCCCAAACGAGTTTGGTTGACCACACGATGCCTAACCAAGATCTTCACATTGTAATTCAATATTTCGTCCAGGGTCAAGCCCGATGACTTGATCAATCTGTTGTAGATACCATCAGGATCTCTGGGGTCGACGTCCTCCTCATCTTTCTCAATTGCGGCGTCTTCTTCGTCTGAGAATCTCCTGGGAAGGCCGGGTGCAAAGGCCATTGGGGTTTGGTTTCGTGGTATGAATTTGCCATCTGTCCCCACGAACCAAGGTTCTCGATCGCTGGTCTTCATCTCGTCGAGTCGCTCCTCCGGTACATATATGCCCGATTTATTCAGGCCGAGTTCTTCGCCCATGCCGCTTATTGATTCCTTTTTGGGCTTCTTTGACTGCAGAGACTCCCAAGCCTTCTTCTCATTTCCATATTCCTGCCAGGTGTTGGCCATTGCAGCGTGCGACTCGCCTGGTGTCATGAACCTGATATTGGGATCAATGGGCCCCTTGTACTTTTGCTGATTATCCAGAAGCGGTCTCGTCCTACTAAAATCCTCAATGTATGGCAGAGTCCCCATATCTGAACGAATCACGCCTCTGCGTCCAAGATGTGAAGGATTGATCGCCTTCTCTCCAGCTTCAATAGCTTCAAGCTGCTCCGGGGTGTATTTCTTCGCCAAAGCTTTCTTCTCTTCGAACGTATACGGCTTGAAAAGCTTTCCAAGCTCTCCAGGTGTTTTGGGGGTCGAAATGAGTCCCATATCAGATGCCTTCACGCTGGGAAACTTCGGCCGCCGTCGTTCGCGGTGGCTAGGGGACGAATGAAGATTTTGACATCGTATCCGCGGCCGCAGCGAGGGCACAGGAGGGGCGGATAAAAGACATCGTGCAGGCCGTGAGACGCTCATCACTGTCGAAGTATTTAGAGATCCTCTGGGCACCGTGGGTTGGCGCAATGGTGCTGGCAGATAAATCTCGTGCCGTGAGTTTGATACTTTTTAATCGAGCTCATGATTTAGGCCTTGCCGAATTGGGCTGGGTTAGCAGGGATTATGCTAAGCCTCGATGGATACCTTAGTTCGGAACTTCAACGTCAAACCTTTCATATCTTCTTCGTATTCTAGGATAGAGATTCTTTGGTCTGGTTTCAGTCTTCCAATTTCCAAATTTTCTTATGTTCCATTTTCGGATACTCTCGATTCCACGGATACACATACAAGAACTGAAAGTACAGTTATTGTGACCTTGACCGAGTCATGATCCGTTCTGGATTGTGCTTCAAGATAAATGTGCTTTCTGCTACCTGAGGCCTTTCTTCCCACAGCATGCCTTCAGTTCTTTTGGATCGTTTTCCGCTTAAGCCCTATTTTCAGGTATCATGATGCTTAGTCCCGAAAATCTGGCATATCCCAGTGGGAACCAGTCTTTGAATTATTGAGTAAACCGTTATTTTAAGCTATGTACAATTGATTATTTTTCAAAGAATTATCACGTCAGCAAAACAAAGGTCCGTTTACTTTTGGTTGAGAAAGATTACCACAAACCGCCAAAAGTGCTGGCGAAGGAAAAGCGCTTGAGCCATGTCCTCGTCTCGTTACGAGGACGGTGAAGAAAAACAAGCCAGAATTGTGTTGCAAGAATCCAAGGGCCGAGTCCGCGCAAGAGAATGTATATCATCAAGTCGGGAGGTCATTGTATCTCGGCGGTTCAATGAGGGTTGCCGCCCCAGTTTGTGCTGTCCAATTTTCAACACGGCATGGCATTTTTGACTTTGATTACATGTTTTGCCAGAAGGCTTGTTAGCTCCAAAGTCCTGCAACATTTTACAGCAACATGAAAGGAGGATTAATGTACAGTATTTTTGAAATCATGATTTCGACACCACCCTTGTTATGTCGATGTCCTTCTTGGCACGCTCCCACGGCAGTGGAAGATTTTTTATAGAGGTACAAATGAAGCATGCAGTTGCTAAGACAGCTTTCTTTGGGCTCGAGTGTAAACTGAACTAGCTGACATGTCAATAAGCCTGCAGCATGATTCCAGATAGACACACCGATGTCGTCTTGGACGCCGCGGTTCCGGGACTATACATTCTTGATGTCTTTCTCTCTCCCCAAACTAAGAACGTACTCGGCCAGAGAGCACGAAAAGAGTAAGTTGCATATTTCGGGACTAATCTCAATTCTCCATTGGGCAACGTGGTCGCGACACAATCACCAGGCGGCAAATCAAATCAGGTGAGGAGCTGCCGGACGATGCATATCGTCAGCCCTACAAGCAGCGAACCAGGAGCGCACCTCTACTGACAATAAAGTGCTCGCCATCAACGGCAGAGTCAGAATATATGTTTCGAAAATCACAAAATCACAAGAGTACATCTTGAATGCTATATAAGGTCAGCAAAGCTTCAGATCAAAGAATATACTGGCACGAGGTTGCTGATAAAGATTGTTAGCACAGCTACAATTGCGAGATTCCACTCGCAGACATCGCGCCCCCAACGTCAACATCAGCACCAACCATGAGCAACGACGATTTTTCACCTCAGGGGTTCACACGGGATCGTCCAAGCGGGCCGCAGCGAGGAGCGTCCCTCCAGATATCGACCTCGAGACAGGGAGATGGGAGGAGTATGAGCCAATCATCGGGTTTATACTCTGCACTGCCACCTTCGACTCCTTACCGAACCAGCAGCGGCCCTCTACCATCTCCATCTACCCCACAACACACTACTGCAACTAGATCGAGCACTCTTGATACGCCGAGATCTGCCGGGTACAATGACAAGAGTCAGTGGTTTTCAGATTCCTCGAAAAATGGCACGAAGAGTCCAACTTCACCGAAGACCAAGAGGAGATCCGACTCATCAATGATCGATAAGCGAATCTCACCAGACCCCAAGACGAATGTTTATACACAGTGTGGAAGACATAGTGATCAGTGGCTGTTTGGCGGTTTTCCGTTCGACAATATCAAGAAAGCCCTTGAGAGGGACAAGAAGGAATGATATGGAAAGGTTGTTTATGTCGAAGGTGGTCACGTCTCTGGTTTTCTCTCACCCAGTTCGTGGTGCAGTCCTAGTGTTTTACGATTTTTATGCTTCTTTATACCTGGTGGAAATCTATTACAAGCGTTTATGACAGCAGCGCTGCTTTCTTTGCGTTTGGTGATGTGGCTCAAGAGTGCTTTATTTGTCAGAGCAAGAATTTGCATATCTTTGCAATTTGGACATTTCAAATTCTAGCTTCTGTTCTCAATATGGTTTTGGGAGAAGTAATAAAAAAGTAAGGCCATCGTGGCCCTTCAATCTGAGTAGAGCAGGCCTCGAAAGACATATTGAGCATTTGACCGACCAGGCTGTACTACATGCCGGCAAGTATACCGATCGAAAGTGTGAAGTGGAAATGCCCATACATGAACAAACACTCGCTGCTTGGCAAATGCCTTCCCCCTATATTCTCGCTTATCTCACCACATGCGCTATGTTTTCTTTACTCAACCCACATACATGAAAAGTTACAGCCGGCGTGTCTCAGAGATCAAGGATCCGATGTGATACAATGACGTTGTCATATCGAAGTTGCTCTTTCAGCTCTCCATAGTCGGGTAACACAGAAGAAGAAAATTGGTTTCGGGCCTAGTTATTGACATCTTGTGACGAAGCCACTGAAAATCATTCTCTTTGTAGACGGCTTAGCTTACGTTTGGGTTGCACAATGAACAAATACTAATGACTTCTGATGAACACATATGAGATCAACTGGTGTGATAGAGTTGTGTTTTGCGCTTGGCGTTTTTGTCGTTTTTGGCGTGTTGTCAACTGACATTTCTTCCTTTGACCATTAATGAGCCTTGCTTATAATTCTAACACACCAATGCCATCTCTAAGTACTGATAACAGAACCCTTCTCCCCAGTACGTTTTTGTAACGTAAAACAAGATTGACTTGCTCCATTAATTCTTCAACAAGGAGCGGTCTTTGGGCGTCCTTCATCTCTTCACTTTATCAACCGGTCACAAACAGGCGCTCGTAGCAACCTCCGCAGAATGAAATTCATCCGTTCAGTGGTCGTGTTCAACGCGCTCTTGGTAGGGTGCCTTCCACAATCCAATCCGCCCGGTTTTGATGAACTTTAGGATGCCTGCATCACTGCTACAGACACAACCACAGTAAGACTGAAGATTCACGTCATCAAGACTTATTCTTACCCTTCTAGTATGTTGGAGTGAGATACGAAGGCCACACAGACATCGTCCTCTACACATACGGAGAATGCTATCCCTATCAGCTCCCAACTGGCGAGAACGCTCAGCTCGCCGTCTGGTGTAGACCTTCACAATGTTACGATTATGTGTCAGCATTCTTAGAACCTTTTGATATGATGAGAAACTGACTATGAGTACAGGAGTCCATACTGCTTGGGATCTCCAGATATTCCTCCACCACCGTTGCCTGGTCTCCCATTCGTTCCTGGCGAGTTCCTACCAGATCCGGATGGTGTTGTGGAATTGATTGGAGGGGCAACAGTGTGCGATGCACCGTAAACATCAAGTAGGCCAGATCTTGATGCCAAGATGGTCAAGGGGTATAATGTGGTCTATATGCTTTGGTCCAAGTCTTCTATGTAAAACGAGCTATTAGTATTTAGTTGAATATATCCTATTCTTTCTTGGGTGCTTCTTGATTCTGCATCTCAACATCGCTTTCCACATTTGCTCCTGCAAGACTGCCGCTGCTCTCTTCCGGTGTATCCTCCACCTCCTGCTTCTCCTCAGGACGCGTGAGACCTTTATCTTTAATCAAGAAGCATAGTATTAGACAAACGCCCTAGATAACCAAGAAGTCAGTCATTGCTAGACAATTTATCTCGGGAAAAACGTTGTCTTTGAGGGGCTATACTAACAATGAATGGTGCCCAAATATAAAACACCGATCTCGAAGCATCCATATAGGACTCGAGGACCTCCTCTTTCTGCACACTCGACAGTTCAGACAAATCGGGAACCCGAAGTATCGCTGCCAAGATCCCCGTCTTGACATCTTCTGGAACTGCAGTTGCCGACTTCAACGACTTCTTCAGAGAGTTGGAAAAGATAGCTGAAGAGATCGCTAGACCTAAAGCTCCACCCATTGATCGCAAAAAGTTCCTGACACTGATCACCACCGCACGGTCTCGCTTGAGGGAATGGGCTTGGGCAGCGACGAGAGTAGGTTGGAAGACATTTCCTACTCCAGCGCCCTCTACGATCAAAATGACTACCATTTTCCATCTTGGAGTGGTCCTGTTGAACAATAGTACCTGCGTCACAGCGGCTCGGAGTCAGTATAGCTCTTTCATGCATTAAACAGGGAGCCTGTTGAAGTAGGATTGCGATGATCACAACTCCGGAGGCGAGGAGAGAAATAGGAATTGGTGTGAGGGTGTAGACTTACCAAGCCTGCACCGAGGGTCCACAGAGCATAGCCGGTCCATATGACTTCGCCATACCGCTTATTCCGAGAGACGTATTGGCCAGACAGGATAGAGAAGGTGGATTGGCCCGCGACAAATGGAATTATCAGAGCAGCCGAGAGAAGTGGTGTGAAGCCTCGAACGTTCTGATAGTAAATCGGTAGATAGTATAAATGTGAGTAACTGACATCGATCAGCCCAGACTCTCAAGCATTGATACAAACAGGTGGTAGAGCTTCGGAACCGAAAGTCTAATAGGATTCGAAAGGGTTGAAACCGAGTACTTACTACACAACACCGAAAAGTAAGTTCTGGATCATGATGGCAGAGATTGCTGGATTTTTGAACAAAGGTAGCGGCATCATAGGCATCACGGCAAACTTCCATTCGACGACTACAAACAGAACCATGCAGATACCGCCGAGAATGAGCCTGTACGATTGAAAGATCAGCAAGTGGCTCATAGATCGTTTCAGTCGAGCTGGGGATGGAGAAATGACTCTTTAATGGTCATATGTCTCCGGCCACAAAAGTAGACTGTGAAGTAAGCATCTTACATTGAAATAACCATTGGGCTGTTCCAGTCGAAATATGTGCCCCCTCCCGATACCGGAATCAGAAGCAGGAGTATTGCTGAAGAGCTGAAGAGGATGCCATAATAATCAATGGCCCGAACTTTGGTCTTCAAGTCGCCATGCACTTTGCTTGGAGGTAGAGTGAACAATACCATGATGCCAGAAAGAACTGCCATCGGACATATGAACCAGAACAGAGCACGCCATGTAGCTGTTTGAATGAAAGCTGCAGCCAAAAATGGACCAATGGCGTTGCCCATTCCAACACATGATCCTAGAATCCCTTGATATCTAAGTCCTTAGTCAATAAAGTCCTCTAGCTGAGTTCACTTCCACATACTTCCCACGATTTTCGAGTGTTACCACGTCTGACACAATCATCATAGCCAACGCCGTGATCCCTCCTGTTCCAACCCCTGCAATACCCCGAAAAGCATATAGCTGAGGTCCTGTCTTTGCAAATGAACACAGAAGGTCTCCCAAAGCGAGCAATCCTACAGCGGAGAGGAAGACAACTTTCCGCCCCACGATATCAGAAAGACGTCCATAAAGAACCTGAAATACAGTATTTGCAATCAGACTCGAGGTTCCAGCCCAAGGAATCGTCGTTGCTGCATTGAGATCCGCCCCGATAGTCGGAAGTGCGATACCAATTGAATTCTGATCTATGAAGCATATGAGAAGAGCAAAAGCAAGACCGCAGAAAACTACGATAAGTTTGGCTTTTGGGAGAATATTGGTGTCTATCCGGACTAGTTCATTGCCAGACATCTCGCCTGCATTGCTTGAAGGAAGTGTTCCTTCAATGCTTCTCCAGACAGTGATGAATTGCGAGAAGCAATAAGTGAAAGATAAAAATTAGGTAAAGAGAGCCACGGGGAGGAATGAGACTTCGAATCCCATCTTCAAAGGACTGCACCAGTCTCACCAACAACAAGCAGAAATCTCTCGGTGGGTCGAAATAGCAGGGAAGAGAACGGTTAAGTCGGATCCATCCGCCATTGATTGTAGATCACATGGATCTTAGGCCGCCCTCTCGACAACGTTTTGGTGTTTCGTCCATCGGAATAGCGCCACCAGACTACCAAACGGCGCAATGCCGTTGTGGAAAAACTTATTCCCAGGACCGTCATCGGCATTGACCGAGTGTAATCGTGAGCCCGCTTGACTTTCGTCTGGCTGGATTCCAGTGATGCTGATGTGTCGGAATTCCGAAGCTTCAAAATATGGCCCACTATCGGCACACGATAGCCTCAAGTGGTGACCAAAACGGATACAGCCTTCCGTGTCTAGTTTTCATATAATTTGACCATAAATGAAGGTCCCAAAAATAATAAATAACGGCGGTAGCAACTTTTGGGAGTGTTTGTGTGGGAACGTGAGATGCTGTAGATACTTGGTCAATTTCAAGATGACACATTTGATGAAATGTTCCCATGGTGATGACCTCTTTCTGAATTATGCCGCTGTGTCTCCTAGTCTCATGAACGCCACAGAACACAAGTCAAGTAGATGTAATCGTGTACGGAAAAGTACAAATAGTGTTTGAACATTCCAAGGCCCTTCCGTTCACGTGAGCCTCTCAAATCTTTGATGCATGTTTACAAAAATTGTTGTTTGCAACAGCAGCCATCATGGAAAATCTTTTCCCGCAACAGCTACTACTGCGCACTCAAGCGCGTTTGTTCAGAAGCTTCATAGGTATATCAAGTATCGATTCCCGTCTTCGTTTTGTCTTTCTAAATTTTGTCGGTTGATTTGTTGTAGTTGAGAGTTGCGGGGTGACTGATGACTTTTGGAGAGGAGGGAATTTGAAGTGAGTCAACCGGTTGAAGATTCTTGCACAAAGGAGGTTTGTTGCTGATACACATGGTGGGCATTATCACATCTATGATTCTTTCAGAGTCTCATAGCATTTGTTGACGAGAGCACACTAAAGTAAGTCTCTGTACAAAGTTCAATTGTCTTGCTACATACAAGTCTAATCATCTACGAAATACCTAGGTATGTCACTCAAGGCTCGCTTCTGCCCCTTTTTACCAACCGAACCAAACACTTGGCTGACAGCACGATCGCTCGTGGCTATCAACATTATACCATAACATCCAGCATCCCATCATTATACAAATACAGAAGCAATTCCAAACTCCATTTCGCTGTGCAGAAGACCAAACCTCTAAGCTTTTCAGCCATATATCTATCATATCCAGTCCCATAGCATTTCATTCACCCCTCAATAATACTCCGGCAGCCCCGAAAATGAAGGAATTGTCGAAGAGCAGTTGAAATCCCGAGCATATGCTTTCGCAGGTAGGATACCGGCAGCCAGTCCGAGCTGATAACTCCACTGTGTAGCATCTTCCGTAACCCATGTCCAATACCACCAACCCCATCCCGTCTCGAAACTCGTCATCTGTGCCTCTGCGAACATCAACAAGAACTGCTTATAAGTGGAGCTGTAACTGCTCGCGTCGGCATTTGCATCTGTACATTCACACTGAGAGTTCTTCGTAGGACAATCGGGGCTAAGAACTTGGTCGGCCGTGTCACCGAAGTCGTAAGTACCAGTCCAGCGATTTCCAACTCCAACATTGTTGAGATTAACAGCGCAATCCGTGTCTGCTTGAGACCACTCCGCAAAAATGGTCGGTCCGAAACCAGTAGTTGTGCTCATGCTTGCTTCTGATTGAGAAGTCCAGTCAGTACAGGCGTAAGAAATCTTCTCAGTATGATTGAAGTCAATCTGGTTGACATTGAAGATGACATATTGATGAGCGTCGAGCACCAAATTCGAATAGCCGGTCAGCTTGCCTTGCCAATTGGACAAACCAAGGAACCCATCTCCAAAAACAACGTAGGCATCGATGCCATTTCCGTGTATGATCTCATATGCACTAGTTGTCCAGCTCAGCACATCAGAAACCACAAGGGCGGTCATTTTTGGCTCATTGGCGAGGCCATAAAATGCAAGAATATTTTTGTACCGATCCTGGGCAAAGAATTGTGACAGCTGGTCATGAATCTCTAGCGATCGATTTGCATTCAGTGAACCATCAGTGCCATTGAGCCAACCAATTGTTCCCTGTCGACCGCTATGATTCCATCCATTTTGGCTACCTGGAAGTCCATGGAGATCAAGGTTGATTCTCAATCCGTACTTGCGAGCCCATTCGATTCCCCTCAGGAGATACCGCCAAGATACTCTGAACACATATGGATCGCTGTCATACGTAGTAACGGCCCAGTATGAGAAAGGTATCCGGACGTGATCGAGACCAGCATCAGCGATATCTTTGAATGTTTGCTCGCCCACAAACGTTGCATAGTGCTTCTCCAAAGTCGACTTTGCGGCAGACGCTCCCAAATGGGTAGTCAGAGTCCATTCGTCGATGATTCCGAGGTCTGAAGCGTAATTGAAGAGCGAAGGAGTGATAAAAGGCTCCAAGGATAACCAACCGCCGAGATTGACGCCTCTAGCAGGCCTATCCGCGTATGAACCCCAGGCAGTTGATATTGGAGGAACATTCGAGTTCGCACTGACTGAATCGTCCCACGTTGAATTCAGTCCCATGATGGGCAGCCCGCCTACTGTAACATTGGTGTAAGTGACGTTGAAATCCGTCGTGTCATACCACGAAAAGGGATCAAGGTATGTCCCTTTAGCTGCAGCAGGAATACTCGACTCTGATATGCCGTCGAGGTTGGAATTTGATGGTGTCCCACTCTCGCTGCTTGCTGAGCTCGAACTTGACTTGGAGTTCTTTTTTTGGCTGACAACAACGGCCACCACAATGATGACGATGAGAAGTACCACAATTCCACCAATGATTAACCCTTTCAGACATGTTTAGCTTTAAACCTAGCTCTGCTAGATAGTAACTTACATTTCCGTTTGCTCTTCGGTGGCTCTTCTTCATAAGACTCGTCTTTCTCATACCTGTCGTACCTGTCGTATTTATCACGTCTGTCACCACCTCTCATCCCTCTCAGGGTACGCCCATCCCCCTCTTCTAGAAGAACCCCGCTTACAGCTCTCCTTGATTTGCGCTTATGTTCCCGTCTTGACTTCTCCACAACCACTACTCTCTCATCTTCGAACTCCCTTGGTCGTTTTCGTCGTGTCTTTTTAGGAGTGATTTCTTCTGTTTGGACAGGTCGATGATGGTTGAGTCGGTCTAGATGTGCCAGCGCATCTGCAGACAATAGCTGTGATCCCGATTGCGATGAAGAGGTCTGGTGTCTTGGTTTCCTTGTCCTTCGTTTCCTCTCATGATGGTGGCTCCTTTCCCCAGCCCGCGGTCTTTCTGATCCCCGTCGTTCTGAGTCCCGAGGCATGTTATCTGGTGTCGCAACTCGCTGAAGAATTGTTGTAAAGTTGCAGAACTAATACGATCAATCAACAACGCCCGCAAACGCAAACAAAATATGTACAATGGAATACTGGGCCTGTATTACGTGGCAGATGAATTGCGTTGGGAAACCCTGTTTTCATCTGGGAAGCCAGTAACCAGGTCAACTATCGCAGAATTGCGATAAGGATCTCGGCCCACCACGCGACGGCTATTCGCGGGACTATCGCCCGAGGTCTTCTGTTTGCTCTGTCTCTGGTCTTACAAGAAGTACAATTGACAATGATACCCCTCTTTCCTGTTCGTGATACGTTTCACTCAAAATGCGAATAACGCCTAGAATAATCGCCAGATCATTGGCAACTCCCATATCTCCAAAGAATGCCAGATTCCCACGTCTGTCGAGACAACGACCTTACTCCACCCATCCTCCCGCCGCCCGCCTGAATATCCCCACCGACTTCTCCACAACCCCATTGCTAGCTCATAGCTCTCAATCTGCCCTGCAGAACACAGAGCTTGATGCTGAGGTTCGGAATGGCACGACGAAGCGTATGAACCTCTTTCAATCAATCAATGATGCCCTCTCCATCGCCCTTGCTGCGGATGAATCGGTCATATTGTTTGGTGAAGATGTTGCTTTTGGAGGAGTTTTTCGATGTAGTATGGGACTCGCAGAAAACTATGGATCCGAGAGAGTCTTTAATACACCTCTCAGTGAACAAGGCATTGTTGGATTCGGCATTGGTGCTGCTGCAGAAGGCATGAAAGCAGTTGCTGAAATACAGTTTGCAGATTATATATATCCTGCATTCGATCAACTGGTCAACGAAGCCGCCAAGTTTAGGTACAGAGATGGTAATGAAGGAAGACATGTTGGAGGCTTGACAGTGAGAATGCCTTGCGGTGGAGTGGGTCATGGAGCATTGTAAGACGAGAGAACTAAAATTAGTCCCAAGCTTCACTAACAAGTCCAGGTACCATTCCCAATCACCAGAGAGTCTGTTTTCACATATTCCTGGTTTAAGAGTCATCATGCCAAGATCTCCCATACAAGCCAAAGGACTGTTACTTTCAGCAATTGCAAGTAACGATCCATGCATTTTCATGGAACCAAAAGCCTTGTACAGAGCTGCGGTCGAGCAGGTTCCCACTGGCTCCTACACTCTACCACTTTCGAAAGCCGAAGTCTTGAAGGAAGGATCAGACTTAACTATTGTTTCTTATGGACATCCTCTTTACACATGTAGTGCCGCGATTGAGAAGGCAGAGAAGGACCTTGGCATCAGCATCGAGTTGATAGATCTCAGAACGGTTTATCCTTGGGATAAAGAGTGTGTCTTAGCCAGTGTAAGGAAGACTGGTCGATGTATGGTTGTGCACGAAAGTATGATAAATGCTGGTATCGGTGCCGAAGTTGCTGCAAGCATACAGGAAGACAAGGAGACATTTCTGCGGCTCGAGGCTCCTGTCATCAGAGTTGCTGGGTGGAGTGTTCACATGGCTTTGATGTTCGAGCGATTCAATATCCCCGATGTTGCTAGTAAGTGTTCAATTCACAGCTTCTGTACTCACTAACATTAAACGGGAGTGTACGATACCATAAAACGGACAGTAGAGTATTGAGCATTTTCGCTGTGAGGGCATGCATCCTAGAAGATATTCTCACGAAATCTATTTGCATATGGTGACGGTTGGAGAAAGTGCCATTTTAAAGGAGGATATGACTACAGGAACAAGAATGATTGATGATAAAATAGAATGAAAGGCATGAAAGTATATGACATTGGTCCTAGAAGCAATTGAGTTGAATTTCTTTCCCATTCGGTAAATGGCTGCGTGGCTGCGAGCCTGGTGAAAAGGGGCTCACGTGTCAGCCACGAATCAGCCACACGAGGCTGGTGGAGGGGTCAAACGCCAACGCTCGGAGTAGCTTCGATTGCGTCTCATACCTCGAATAATTTGTCCCTATTCATCTCGATCCAGCATTCTAAAGTAGGAGTGTCATCTCTCATATTGGGAGTCTCCTATAATGGCTTCACAACTAGCCACAGTCTCATCGTTCGTTGAGGGAGCTCCTCCGGGAGAGGTACGTTCATACCACTGCGCGGCTTCGACCTGTTACTGACTCCTTTCAAGCTCGCAGATGTCATAGCTGGTATTTACAACCTTGCGCAGACTCGAATAAATGCTAAGCTTTTTAAACAGATATCAAAGCCCTTACGATCGACACTCCGAACCTCGTTACCCAACTTGGCCCCGCATTCGAAAAGTACAACGAAGAACAATTCGCAACAGTTAAGCTGCCGGGTAGCAGCCAACCTGTCAGTCAATGCAGCCGTTATATATTGGAAGGAGACTGATCTTTTTGTTTGAAGGTTATAGTCAGTTCGCACAACTCTCTTGGCGGAGGCAGATATTATGATGTCGAGAGCTCAACTAGTTTTGCTTTCGACCATTCAACACAGGCATGTACCCGCAACATTGACGGAGAGGGTCCAATCTGACTGGCGGTAGAAAACAAGTTCCGCACAAAGTCATGTCCTAGAAAGCAGCAATTCAGATCTTGTGTAAGTTAGGTATTTAAGTCCGAGAGCAAATGAATCTTACAGGCCGCAGCAAGTCAGTCTTGAAGACTCTAGGTTCGCACGTCAAGGAGCACTTCCCAAATGCATCCTACGGTGTTTATCCTATTGAAAACGATTCAAAGATCGCCATAGTGGTGGTTGCCAATAAATACAGTCCAAATAACTTCTGGTATGTTCTCCAGCTTATCTCTTGTACCAAAGCTTACAAGAGTAGGAACGGTCGCTGGCGCTCCTTATACACGTTCTCTCCTTCGGCTTCTTCTCTCACTGGCAGTATCAAGGTTGATGTTCACTATTATGAAGACGGAAACGTACGATTACTGACCACCAAACCCGTCTCGGCCTCTATTTCACCAGCATCCGCTACCTCAATTGTACGAGAAATCACTGTGGCCGAGAAGAAATACCAAGAGGAGCTAAATAAGGGGTTTAACAACCTCAGCGAGGGCGCGTTCAAGGGGCTAAGGAGACAATTGCCCATCACGAGACAGAAGATTGAATGGGACAAAATTGCGGGCTATCGTCTTGGTCAAGATATTGGAGGGGGAACTAGTAAAAGATAACCTTGCGACAGGTTTTAGCCTGAGAGGAATTGAGCGCTGGACCAAGACCCATGAAGCAGCTGGAGACAGCTATTTGAATATTTGAATCTGTGAAGCATCAAATATGTATCATTTGCCAGGGTGGTCCGCAAGGCGGATTTACTAGCAAAGCTAAATGATCAACTCTGTTTTTGCATGAGATTGCAATATATTTAAGATTTCGACATATTCCTGAAGTGTTTTCGTCCATGTCCGTGGATGAAGGAAGGTGCTTGAGTCAAGGTTCTTGAATCCATTCAGTCCGAATCGTACCACCCGGGATGATGAATCCCGAGTCCGAGTTGACTATGGGTGTGCGAAGTGAACAGAGCTCACTTTTGTGGTGGACTCAATCCCACATGAAGAATCGCAATGTATAGCCAATTAGAGGGAAAAGACGATTGCTGACCTGGGAGGTATTACCTGATAGAGGTCTAGCGTCGTCGCTCGCCGGGATAGGCTGCGCATCGGGTACCGAGTAGAATTGTTTCGACTTCCAAAGACAACTGTTTCTAACTTCCGTACACCACTCAAAGACCTCCGCAACACTCCTTTCGTACGTCCACCCTTCGACTGAACTTTTCTGCAGACAAAGCCGCCACGCTACAGAAATTGACACTTCGATCGACTCACCAATTATCCAGATAGCAAACCCTTCACCGTCAGCATGTCTAAGGAATTTACTTACTCCGACGTTTCGTCGCACTCCGCGAAAAAGGACTTGTTCCTGGTTATTCACGATAAGGTCTACGATAGCTCCAGCTTCGTTGATGAGCATCCGTAAGTGGCAACTTCTTCTCAATGCAATATTCAACCTCGGGGAGGGAAGAGGAGACAAGGCGGAAGCTCGGTTATGTCTGCTGCATACTTCCAGCAGATATGGGCTGATAGCCGGTGTTTGCTGTGCCTTGCGGTGTGCAAGTGCTTCCATGAGTTCTTACCATTGTTGAAAGAGGGCATCGTGCCATTGATAGGGGCACGACCCCACTTTTCTTTGCTATTCTGTTTGATCATTTCACTCTTGAACAATAGGCTGACTCTTTCTTGACAGAGGTGGAGAGGAGGTTCTGCTTGATGTCGGTGGACAAGATGCAACCGAGGCTTTCGAGGATGTTGGACACAGTGATGAGGCACGAGAGATCCTGGAGGGCTTGCTTGTCGGAACATTGAAGCGTCAGGTAAGACAGAATGCACCATGGCAAGTACTTCAATACTGACCCATCTCTAGCACGGAGACCCAGCTCCTAAGATTTCTACTACTACTACTACCACATCAACATCCAGCGGCAACACCGGTATGGGCATCGGACTCTACGCAATCATCCTTCTCGGTGGTGCCCTCGCCTTTGGTGCATACAAGTACGTGCAAAGCCAAGAGGGCAAGGCATAAATGGCAATCCGCAAACCCCGGGCTGGTTCATTACACAACGAGTGGTGAAGTTGCAGAAAGAAAGATGCCACATTTGCACATTTCACTCTTCAACTTTTAATAGACACTTCTTGAACATTTCCTCTGGTGGATCGTTGTGAGGCGTTCATTTGCACGGCTTGAATATCAGTCACTTGCAAGGCGAACATGGAATGGATTTGTTGAGCTTGCTTCTTCTAGGCTCCTCAACACTCAACGTATTTCCTCAACTGAAATATAATGATGCACTAGAGAGCAATTTCTCCTTCCTGACACTGATAATGTTCTGATCGTAACCAACTCCGTTTTGAAACTATTTCCAACAGCCCCACATTGTGACATTTTGGTTGTAAGGCGAATGTGGGAACTCGATGGCATTTAGAAAGCTGGCAAATAAGCCCAACCTTTAGCTACATATCATGTACAAGCCGCAAAAATCTCGCCCAAAACGCCATGCTGAGGCAAAAAGACATCCTTGAACCCCACCTATAGGTACTCCTCAAGCATACATATCATCAAACTCCTCCTCGTCATCATAGCGATCCACTTCTTCCTTCTTAGCATCCTTCTTCTCTCCCGGCTCTTGATTGCGATTACGTTCTCGAGGCACAACTTTCTCCTCTTTCTTCTTCTTCATCAACTCTTTCCTGTCCAAAGGACAAGTACCATTCAATCTCAACCACGGCCCCACACACTCCAAGTCAAACATATGAGTCGAATGACAGGGCAAAACGACCACCAACGGATACGGATCATCGAGAAATGCGTCCGCACAAATAGGGCATTTGTCCGTTTTCTTCAATGACTTCTTAGGTACCCTTTCCAGCTCATCTAGATAACTTTGTGGTACACCGCGTACTTCTTCCGGAGGTGAATCCATAGAAGATCGAATATCGGAAATTAGTTCTTCAAGGACGTGGGTGTCAAATTCGGGGGGAGCAGACTGGATGAGAGACTCGTATTGTAGGCGGAGGAGGTTGTAGGTTGCTGCTACATCGACGGGAGTCGGTATGGCGTGGTCGTTCATGTGTGTGGGGGAGTCGGTCTCAACCTGGCTTAGCTGGGAGAAGAATGAGGCCATGTCTGGTCTTCGTGTGCGGGCTTCCGGCGCATCTTTGATGTTGTGCTCGACTGGTTGTTTGTTAGAGGAGTACGAGGTGGGGGGGTTTTAGGAGCTTGCCTTCGTAGGGATTCGCCATTGTGGGATATGGTTTGGTATAGACTGGTAATTGTCTCCTTCAATAGTATTAATTGAATTGAGAATGAGAGCCAGGCGGGCAGTGAATTGTCGGGACTTAAGTAGGTGATTGTTCAGGCAGTCAATGTCTACGAACGCGCGAAGCTAAGCTACTGGCAGGAGACAGGGGTCAGAAGGCTGAACAAGGCTGAAGCGGGGTGTGGTCAAACATCAAAAGTATCGACGAACTTTCAGATTGATACGCAATCTGATAACTCGGTTTACATTTTGTAAGGGAATTGCCGCGTTCTACAATTACTGACTAGTGAAACGATTGGTAACAGAAAAGGCTCTTTAGTGAGCTTTACTCGATGTTACTTCAGTATAAGCCAGCAGGTATTGGTATTGTACATCAATGAGAATTACTGTATATGGAGCTATACATTCATCTGGATATCTACACCGGCACTCTTCTCCACCATTGCTCCAACCAATCCAGGCAATACCACGACGAGCTCGAAAAGATTGTACTGAAAGGTCATGCTTTCGAAACAGTCGGGAGGTCTGTAGCAGCTGTGATAAAAGTCTCCAATATTGGTCTCTCAGCCGTTCCAACTTCACTATTCTCGACTACCATTCCATCACTCTCGTTCGCTGTTGTCGCACTATCATTGATACCCTTGTGGATAGTTGAAGGCTCAATGTCCGGTTCCTTGCCCTTTACCTTGTCGTTCACTGCTGGTGCCCCATTAATACTAGCTGTAGCTTCCCTGTCTGCTGCATTCTGCGATACACCGCTGCTCAACACCCCTTCCGTACGCACATCTGCAGTTGGTGGCACGCCAACAGCACTAGTAAGTGTAGTCATGCTGGCCGTTGCTTGATGTCCCTTTATATTAAACGGAAGGGAGATACCGGCAGCCTTGGGTCTTTTCGAATCATACTCTGTGTCCTCGTTGGTTGGAGTTCTGACCAGGATAGCTGGGTTCGCGCTGTTGGCAGCAAATTCCGGAGCAAGGTGATCATCTCCAACCTCTCCAACCTTAGCATTTTTCAGAGCTAGAAGTGTTGCAGCTGAAGTGTTCTCGTCCACGTCATCAGGAGTTTCGGTTTGATGCTCGTCCACCACAGTTCGTCGTCGAGATCTACTCCGACTTGCTTCCAGTCGACCTCCTCCGCCAAGTGTCTGGCTCTTGTTTGTTTTGGTATCGTGCAATGGGCGAGCTCCAGCTCCATTCAGGGATGAAGCGACAGCAGTTTCAGGGGCCTTGTCTGCATCTTGCTCATTTTTGAGAGCCTTCTCGTCATGTTTGCTTCCCCATAAAGCCCACAGACCCATTCCCATACTTCGACTCTTCTTCTCTTCCTTCAGGTCTTCGCCAGTCTTTCTTCTGCCAGCCAGAGCAGATGGCGGTGGGACTTCTCCATTACCGAGTTCTTGATATCCTTGTGCCATTTCTTTGGCGCGCTTTTTCTGGACACTACGCTTCGCAGACGCATACTTGGTGTCCCACTTTCGCTTTGCTGCCATCCACTTTCTTACTGGTCCTGCCTTGATGACACCAATTTCGTCCGTTGCCATATTACATCCTGGTAATTCAGAAGCTGGCTCAAGATGAAAGATGTTGCCATGACGATCGACTCGTTGTCGAATCATGTGGTTCTTGAACGCTGGAAGTGGGTCTCCAGCCTTTCCGACCTGACCAGTAGCCTGCCTTCGAGCTTGGGCTTGTGCTTTCTCCTGTCTGATGTTAGCAGAAGGTATATCATGCCCGAGTCTGCATATCTAACCTTCTCAGTCTCAACTTGTCCGTCGTTCTCCGAATCGGACTGTGAAATGATCGAGACATCATCGTCGTCCAAGATCTCAATCTCCGTCTTCTGTGCTCTTGCCAGTGCCCATGCACCAAATTGCGCTATCGATCGATACATGTACTTAGCTGGACGAGTAAAGCTAAGTGTGGGAGCAACATGGCACAAGTCGTCCCATACTTGCAATTGAACGTCGGTCGGCTTCCAACGTGCAATTTGTTCTCTACTGTGATCATGAGGAATTTCATCTAAAAATGCATCTCCAGGAGGGTATTTGCTCGGATTTGCTGCTTTGTGCGCCAGGTATATCTGCTCATCACGAAGCATTTCACCTCCTCCAGTCTGTATGAGCAGCGGTGGGAGGCCTCCAAGTGATGGTTGCAAAACTGGAGATACTAATGGATGAGAAATTAGTTGATTCGTAGCGTACATTTGAATCTGGTCCTTGATCTCGACGAGCTTTCCATCAATCATGATAGACAGATCATGACCTGAGCCAGGTACGGTGTTAGCAGTCGGCCTACTTGCAGGATGAGTGTTTCTAGATGCATCGTCGTTCTGCATTCCTGCTTCTGGATGATGGTCAACGTGGAAGCCTTGAACAGCATCGGCTTCGCTCTCCATTGGTGCTGAAGCATGCCCGTTGTGAGCCATCTTCTGAACAATACCCTCCTCAATGGCGAGGAGATCATCTGAATTAGGAGGTGGCCATGAGGCGGATGGCCGTTGATGGAAACCATGTGGAGGTATATAATCCAGTGGATTATTGCCAGCGACACTTGGGAAGGAGTGAGTTAAGTCGACCCATGGCGAGATTAAAATCGCACCAGCAGGCAAAGGAATGCCTCTATCTCGCATAATTACTAGCATACTATTTTACGTTAACACTCGGTTTAAAGGTGCGTATTTTGTAAACTTGCCTCAAAACCATTCCACCACCAGCAGAATCTCCAGCTAGTATGATAGTAGTGGGGTCCTGGACAGTGAGAAGGTATAGATATGCGGCTATACAGTCATGTAGACCGCAAGGGAAGGGGAATTGAGGTGCTAGTCTGTAGCGTGCTAGAAATCATTTAGAGGGTTTGAAATAACAGCGTCTGTCAACACTCACTACCACCAAATTAGTATTAATAGTTAAAGATCAATGTAACAAGACTTACCGAGCAAAAACTCTAGCCTTCAGTTTTCTTGCATGTCTCTGCATCTGGTAACGATGCTCATCCACACTCCCAAAGAAGTATGCACCACCATGCACATAAAGCATAACCCTCTTTCCCGGGTCGTTCATACGCTTTCTCTCATGATAATCTGCTCTCATCTCAATCCATTCGGCCTTCATTTCACTTCCGGGCCTCCGCCATTGCCACCAGGTCTTTCCTCCAACTTTCTGTATGCCATGGTGACCCAATTGCTCTTGGATAGCTTGTGCTGCTTTCGAGATATGCTCTTCGGGGATCTCGAGCTCGTCAACCTTCACCCAATGTGGATGGGGAACCCATTGTGAAGTGAAGCGTTGGATATCTTCGATGGTATGGTGGGACGCATAGATCAGGAACTTTCGAATTAAGTGAAGGCCTTCGTCATAGGATATATGCGCCGTGGGCTTCTGCGCCAGAGGTTTGCGATTGAGGTACTACACAATTTAGTACGTGCCGGAAGTCAAGAAGGAAGTCAGAAGGAAGTACGAACATGGCTCAGAAATGTTGAAATAACAGCAGGAGTCACTGCCCCTCCAACAGTCGCTGTGTTGAACACCATCGTGTCGCCTTTCCCTGGTGTTTCCCTATTGTTGATGCAGGACTGCTTGGCCGATACATGCAACCAAATGCGCAAAGATCACAGAGTGAGCTTCTACCTCGCTGTCTCGTGTGCGAAAACCAAAGGAATGAAGCCAAAAAAATTAGGATTTAACAATTGCACATTAGGAAGAAGCATTAGAAGACGGCGCGAAGGGAATAGGAAGCTCTCTGAGAGATCGTCGAGGGTGTAATCTCAATCTTTAGTTTGACCCCCAGACGTCATTGTACCGAGCAGCTGAGCTTCCTTCCTAGGTAAGCGAGGTCCATCCGGCCCCTGTTACAATTTTGTGAAACTTATAAAATTTTATGTTTCTACCCCATGTTTTTTGGACGAAACATGAACATGGCTTTCGCAACACATTTACCAGGACCGATGGAAGTATCTAGTGCTCTTACACCAGGTATGATGTTCTGTATTCAACTGTCTTCAAAATATGCTAATATGGTGCAAGCAAAATGCCAGGCACAATTCGAACTCGGCATCACACTCTCCCTCTTCTTCTGGCCTTCATTATCCCTCGCAGTGACGAACAACTGGGGTGGTCCCGATAGCAGCGATAAGCGGGAATGGTTCGCACAAACGACGATCGATTTATTGAACGAAAATCCGGACGCGGACGGAGAATGGTTGGAAACTTTCCTGCTACAGGTTATGCTGGATGAGTTCGAGGTCAATGTGGATGATGAGAGTGGTTACGAAGTTGCGGAGCAGATTCTGAGGCTGAGGAGAGATTGTGGGAAAGGCGATTTCAAAGAGGTGGAGGAGATGAAATCGAAGTGGGATAATAAAGGTGGGAAGGAGGATATGGGCAAGCTATTTGAGAACAAGGAGAGAAACGAAGAAGACGACGAGACAGATGCTTCAGAGGATGACGACGAAGATGAGGATGTCGATATGGAGGAAGCCCCGCAATTGGTCAGAGTAAAAGAGCCAGTGGTCCCGGAGGTCGACGAGGATGGTTTCACGAAAGTCACCAAGAAGAAGAGATGAGGGACAGTGGACAGATCTGAATTCATGCTTGCATCTAAAAAGGGCGTTCAAGAGGGAATCCATGCTGCTGGCATCCTGTCTAGGAATGCAGAATCGTTGCAACGCTTCGTGAATAGAAGTGCTTCACCAGAACGCCATAAAATACGATGAACCAATGCTGCGCGAGCTCAACGCCTATCAACAAAATACAACCCTGCGTACCCAAAATATCTACTCCCAGTCCTCTTCTTCGCTGTCCTCCCCTTTCCTGGAATCCTTGGGGCTGCCAGGGGCGCGACTTGGAGCTCCAGAAGCTGCACCAACGACATCATAGGAACCATCACTGTCTGCCTGAGATTTCTCGTCGTGCGACTTTCGTGATTCTTCTGGCTTGAGAAGGGCGTGGTCTGGGGCTTGAATAGCTGGATGGAGAGTGGTAGATGACTCTGTCGATGCAGGTCGGACGACCTCAGTCTTTGCTTTGGTGGCCTTACCAGCACCTTCATCCTCAGAGTCCTCGTCCCACCCAACTTCTTCCTCTGCTTCAGCTGCTGCACCTGTAACCTGTTAGTAGCAATTCAGATAAATGCAGACAAGTGCGTACCTTTCAGTAGCTCTCTTCTCCTGGCCTCCGCAGTTTCGATGCTATGTCTCAGGAAGTAGTACCGTTTCCAGAAATCCTCATATGTAACAGTATCAGGGACAAGCTTCTCCATCGAAGTCCTCAGCTCGCCAAAGTTCTCCAGATCCTTGCTGATGTCCTCTGTTTTGCTCTCCACATTAAAAGTTTTGGTCCACGGTTCGTACTCCTCAGTGACTGGGTCTTTCGTGAAGCTGTCGAGCGAAGAATGGATGACATGCAATTGGGCATCGAATCGTGTTGTATGGATAACCCGCTTTCCAGAAGCATCCTTGCTCTCAAACAGAACTGTGCTGCCTTTCCCTGACTCTGCAGAAGGGGACGCAATCGTGACAGCATCTCTCAGGAAATTCCGTATGTTTGTCCCGAACTTCAGCAGCGCCTCATCCGCAGCATCTTCGGCCTTTTCAATCTCCTTTAATCGCTTCGCAGCTTCGGATCGTAATCTAGCAAGTACACCCTCGGACTCCTTGAGTGCCTCATATGTGGATAACTCCCTCTCACCCTCTGCATCGGTGGCTTTCTCTCCTGATCCTGTAGCTTGTGTTTGGGCGAGTGAGAGTCCTCTTGTGCGCTTGATTATGGATGATCTGAGATCAGTGAAGCCTTGCGAAGCTTCTTGTCCCACCTCAGTGAGCTCTTTCTGGGCCTCTTTGTAAACACTCTCTCCCTACGATCTATGAGCGACTTTTTGCGACCAAAGCAAAGCAGATCCAAAGCTTACCTGCTTGACAACACTTCCAAAGAAGCCTCCCAATCTGGCACCCCACGGGCTAGAAGAGATTGCCTTGTACGCTTCTTGGAAGTCTGCGTTGATGGTGGTTTCAGGCTTCTTCTCCTCTTTGGCAGATGGCTCATCGGGAGATAGAGCCTCCTCTTGAATATGATCGTAAGCAAGATCCATAGCTTCGTCTAATAGTACTGGAAAAAGTATCAGGAATTCATCAATGATATGCACATGAAGGCTTGAAGTCGTGGAGTGACGATCTCGGCACGGTTGTCTGCAGCATCCGCATTGGGGTTAGCGCGTCTGCAAGAGGGACACAGATCACGTGAATAATTTTATGTCAGGGTTATCCCACTTTGGGGGCAAATAAGAGGATTACTCTCTATTGAATGAAATGAGAGAGTGTGTGATCAAAGGGACATGTACTTGAGCTAATCGCGAATTGTGGACATGTAGCTAAGTTGGTGTACGACATGACTCGAGGACTTTCAACAAGTCCAATGTCCGGAACTTCTTTTGATGTATCGCAAGGTAGTAATAGCTGAAGCAACTTGAATCAAGTATACGGATTACCAGACAATATTGAGTCCAAAGACTCAAAAGTCTACCTATGTAACGACATTTTGACTACATATAGGTTAAAAGGTTTGGAGGAAAATCCTTAATTAGCTTGTGAAGAAGAATCGTCAGGGTCCAAACCCGCCTCTGCCGACTCCACCAGAGGAAAGGGAGGGGAAGTCGGAGCTTTGGCCGGTCTTACCAGCATGAAAAATAAAAATGTGAATCATATCTTTCAGACCCCGCATGCAAGTCGATAATGGCCTAGACAGCCTCAATCTGTCAAGCACGCCCTTCTTGGCGGTGTAACACCCATAGAGTTGTAACTATCTTTGTACCTGCTTGCTGCTGTGGCGATAGTTTACATGGTAAATCCCGTTCCTGCGATAACCGCAAAGGGCTGGCATTTTCGCCTCTCGCTCGGGAGAGCAGGACGACTCGAGGTATGATGGCGTCAGTGTAACACGATCCCTTCGGCGGCCTGAGTCACAAGTCCTCTATGGAAAGGATAGTATTGGATGCTGGTTTGAACGGAAAACTTTCCTGCGGCTTATTTCTGCTCCTGGTGGTTGCATTAAGTGTGGTGGTGATTTGGCTGGGGATACCACGCACTTAGGCAGGTCAGGGGCTGCGTCGTTCTTCTCACTTCTATCTCAATCGGACTTAGTGCTGTCGCCCGTGGATTACAAACCAGCTTTTTGAGGGGGGTTGAATTGAATCCACCACCATCATCATCCGTCCAATGCCCATGACTATCTGCCCTGCAAAGACCTAACCTGGACTCTCAGACGCATCTCAGGAAAAGAGAAGAACACACGTTGCCAACTGAGGCCGCAATATTCTCGCCGTTCTGGACATCCCACGGCCTTGTGCGGGTGGTGTGCATATGCGAGCTTACTCGACTGACACTTTGCTTCAATCTTCCTTCACATCGCCAACCTCCTCTACCTCTTCTCTCTTGAGCATTGGGAATGAACTCAGGTTGACGCAACTTCTCCTCTCGACGCAGACTTTCCTCTTAAAAGAGGCTCTTATGGATTCCCAGTCCAAGGGTACCATCAACCCAAGCTTCACTCTCTCCAGACGCCAAGAGGAATTACTTTTCGCAGCCCTCAATTCCAACAACAAGATATCAAACATAGATACTTCCAATCTCCAATCTAGCGAAATCATCTCAATGGCGCCTGGTTCATTCACGGAGTCCCCGCTCCAAGCTCCGGGATCCGGAACTCTCAACGGCTTTGAAGAGAGCCCGTTCATTGACTACGATTATGAGTTCGACGCTGATGGCAGCTTCGATTACGACTTTAGCAATGATTCTCAAGGACAGATGATCGGCAAATTGCCAGGAACCTCTTCGGATGGCGATGCTGATACTCACGACAAGCGCAGTCACCCTGATGACGATGAAGAGGAGGAAGGTGGCGGGAAAAGACGCGAGGGTGACGAGAAGTCATCCAAGAAGCCTGGCAGAAAGCCTTTGACTTCCGAGCCTACCTCTGTAAGTCATTCAAACGAGATTCATCTTATCGCATTGGATAGTTGCTGATACTCTCTTCAGAAGCGCAAGGCCCAGAATCGTGCAGCTCAACGAGCTTTCCGGGAGCGCAAGGAAAAGCATCTTAAGGATTTGGAGACAAAGGTTGAAGATCTCCAGAAGGCTTCAGAGTCTGCCAATCATGAAAACAGTATCCTTCGGGCACAAATTGAGAAGATGTCGATGGAACTGCGCGAATACCGAAAGCGTCTGTCGTTGACGGGCGGGGTCAACCGAAGCTCGTCACAGAACGGCGGATTGCCACCCTACCTCGCTGGCAAGGGACTTACCAACGGAGCAGCCAATAATCCGAATGACGTCAATTTCCAATTCGAGTTCCCCAGATTTGGTCGCCTTCCTGGCCCTGCTTCAGCCACTGCTACGGTTACCAATGGTAATAGAAGCTCTTCATCGCCATCTCTCTCCACACAACAGACTCCAAGTCCTATTGAGAGAGGTCAGATCAGTCCTCGCAATCAATCAATGCAGTTCACAGCTGGCAATGCTTCAGTTGCGTCATTGACCCAGACACCTGCCAATATTGATGGAGGAGACATGTCGAGTCTCTCAGGTCTTTTCAGTCCTTCACTTCTAGACAGTGTCGGCAAGACACCACCATTCGACTTCTTTGCAAACAATAGTACCAATAACGTATCCAACGGATCAAGGTCAAGCACGGATTCGGCTCAGAATGGAAGCACTGGTCACAATACCTCTTACAGCTCACCGTCTGCTTCCTCAAATTCGAATCATGGCGCAAGCTCGTCTTGTGGTACTTCTCCAGAGCCGACCATGCAATCCCCAGTTTACAACAAGCCTCTTGACAGCACATTGACAACAATTGGAGAGGAGAACTCTGCTGTATCCACCGAAGGTGAGCTCACCTTCTGCGACAAGCTTAACATGGCTTGTGGCAATCCCAACAATCCCATTCCCCGTACAATGTCTGAGCCTTCGCCTCCAGGAAACTTTGAGAACAATAATTTCGACGTCAATGGCATCGACTGGTTCGCACAACAAAATGGCAACCAGTTTGATCCACAGCTCTTCGGCGATTACCGCGAGCCTCAGGAGAACATTCTTGCAGGTGAAGCCTTCAGTGACACCTTCTTCCGAGATGCATTCGCCCTCCCAGAATTCAACAGCCCATTCAATATTGCACCGAGTCCAGTACCACCAAAGAAGGACTTGGTTGCGCAAATCGATGAGAAACAGAATGAGGATGATGAAGTCGTGCCTGGTGAGGACACGACGCAAATGCTCAACTGCAATACGATCTGGTATGGTTCCTCGAGTTGATTGACATGACATAGCTCTACCAGGACATTTCGCTAACTCTGCCCAGGGATCGTCTGCAAGCTTGCCCCAAGGTCAAAGATGGTGAATTCGATCTTGACCTCCTTTGTAAAGATCTCCAAAAGAAGGCCAAATGCTCTGAGACTGGCGCTGTAGTCAACGAATCAGATTTCAATAAGATTATGAAATCTTACGTCGAGCAGAAGGCGACCGAGAAGGCGAATAAGGCTTAAAGCCGCTTGACACCAACAGCATTTTGGGACCGGAGGCGTTCTTACATAAAAGGCCATCCATAGATGAGCCACGGTTATGGGATACGGCGGTCAAATAATGGCGTCACGCATGACCATTTCATGGATCTTGAGGAATAACGGATTATGTCTTCATTTGAATTTGGCTGGGTAGGGAGGTGTTTGCTCTTGCTTTTTAGGACTTGATGGAACGATCATTCGCTGAGGTTGATTCTATTTGTGCTACCGTGCTACTGAATACAATACCAAACACATCTCTATGATTTGATCTGAGTGAGATATTGTGCTGGCTACAAGTGCCATTTTATGCTTGGATTCTGTTTTGCTAGCGCTGTTGAAAGATCTTATTTTGTTGTCACTTTCATCACCATTTCCATTCATTTCAACTCATGAACATCTTCGAGCCCCCCATGTTACCAAGAAGCAAAGATTGGGAAGTAATGGGTGCTAATTGGCAGACCAACCTGGAAACCGTTTCAGCTGCTGGATGGTCTCTAAAGCCAAGATGCCGAGATGAGTTCTTCTGAATGTTCCACTCTTCTTCTGTAAGTTGTGTCCTAAGTTTTTCTATCTAGCGCGAGAAAGCGAACTGTCCCTATCTCACTTCTCGTCAAGATGTCAAAAAAGAGAGTATCCTCTCCTTGGTGATTGGTAGACATGCAATGAAACAAGCAAAAAGGGGTAGATTCGCTTCGCTTAATCTCGTAGACATGCAACGAAAGGACACTGGAGAGTCAGTGAATCTCTTTACCCCTTTTTTTCACTTCCTTCGTAGACACGCAACGAAAATCAGAAGCGGTGAGTAGAAGGAAGCTAAGAATAGACAACCTGTGCAGACACTTATCAGAATCCTCGCTCCTTTCAAAGCTTCATCTTTACTTTGTTTGTTTTTAAACAAGGAGCAAAATATACTTTGATAAGTTCGAATGGCTCCCCATTCTCTTCTCCCCGGGATGATCAAGATGTCGTAATCAGCCAATTTATTGAGTAGGCAGTAGTGATAGGGATGTCTCGCTAGAATGTGAGGCCTTGGTCCGTGGTAGTGAGTCTTGTAATTCGTAGATGTGCAGCGGAAGTAAAGGACTAGAAGCAAGTTGCAGTGAGTTTTGTGATTTTGTAGATACGCAACGAGAATAATGATCAGAAGTAACGAGTGGTGAGTTTTGTACTTACCCCTCATTTCGTAGACATGCAACGAAAAGTCCAAAGCAGCTGGTAGTGAATTGTGTATCTACCCCTCATTTCGTAGGTATGCAACAAAAAAGTTGGAATCAACTAGTGGAGGTGAATTATTTCGTGTAACAGGCAAGGAAAGGATCAAAAGCAGCCCGCCAGCTAGTGCGTTCAATCTTGTTCATTTTCGAATTCGGTCCTCCTGGTAGAGCTTTAGATATGTCCTAGTCCATACGTAAACAGTTGCTGTTTATGAATAAGGTCCCCGCCATTCACGAATGGTAGGTTGTTTGTATATGGCACCCGCCGTTCATGAATGGCAGGCTGACTTTATCCCCAACAACAGCATTTCCCGACCACCAAAACACAACTTATTTTGCAACATTAAGAAAAGCAAACTTAAATACACATAATCATCTCTCTCGGCTCGTTTCAGACAATGAGGGTATGGCATGTATATATGCACCTCGATGAGTTACATGCATTTCGTTTTTATCCCTGCAAAGGTCCGCATTTTCAGAACCGCCAATCTGTCCCACGTAGCACAAACATTCGTCGCTCTGAGTTCCTATTGGGCGTTTCTCAGTATCAGCTTGATATCTATATTTATTATTAGCTATCTGATTGCGGGGAGCTGATCAACGATAATGAAATCTGTTGTGGAGGACTGGATGTTTATAGTTTTGGAAAGAGCGGACTAGGTAAGAAGCCTGCGAAACTCTTGCAGATCGAACGTTTTCATCCAGTGCTGGCTTGTCCGGGGTTCCTCTGTGTCATACGATAAGACAGAGATATACTAGTCTCTGTCTACTTGCTATGTGCTAAACTGCAATATATAAGGGAAATTGCTCACGAACCTTAAGACGTAAGACCCGTTTCTCCCCCTTTCTCTCGCTTAGTTAAGAAATTTGGATGTTCAACTTCGCTTCACTTCCCCAGGGCAGCAGTCAAATGGTCATACAAAACATGAACGCCTCTGGTATAGTCAAATAAGTGTCTGTAGTCGGCGTATCATACTCTGCCAAATTTTCCTTCCTCTTGGGAAGCATTGCAATAGAAGATCGACTAATAAAATAAAGACGAATAGAACTAACAGTATCATCTTTATATTTTATGCGTTGAAGACAATCATTCAAGGCTCCATGCCTCGTCGAGGACTGGACAGACAACACATTACTCAAAACAAAAATCTATAGAACACAAACAAGAAGTAAGGAAATGGACACAAGCACTGATATTGGTATCATATTTACAAGCCATTTGCAATCTGGCCAACCACCGTGGTATCTTTCAATTCACACATGCCACCTGTTCCGTAAAGAGCCACCATCTACCTATGCCTAATCGCAACCCCTTAAATTGCCAAATGTCCTCCAAGCAAAAGGGAGATGCGAAGTTCTCCAGCAAATTATTTCGAAGCTCCTGCTTCAATACGTTCATGCAGTATTGCTATGCCATGTATTTCCCAGCCTTGCCATGCAATACACCGAAACATTCTGTTCGTCCAAAAGTTATGATTCCTGACCCTTGATCCCATCCTTGCTTGAAAAGCACCATGAATGCTGCCCTCTGGGAACATGACCGAAGGCATGTCTTCAGCCTTGGTGGCTGTCCGAATCCAGTATTGCCTGTCTTTTCTTGTGTTGCTCAATCACCACTAGCGATGACGACTCTCGCACCCTCCTTACCCAGAATTCCTCGCTCTTGCGGCTTTGGGCTGTGTCCTCGACCTTTCTTCCTTCCCAGGAAAGAGAGCATTCCAGTAGGTTTTGCAGCGACTTCAAGCTTTGCATCAGCAGGCAATGTCGTGTCGTGCTTAGCCAGTTCAGACCAGCTACCTGTCTCCCCTAATACGACCTGCATTCCACCACCCACCGACTCTTTCCGAGTTCCAGTCGGCCGCTGAAGTCTCGAATACGATGGTTGGTAAGGAGAAAGAGGTACGTTAGCTTGAGCTCCTTGATTAGATACTTGTCTGAGGCCAGATGGTTTACTGGACGCTGCTTGGCCAGCTTGTTGCCCCTGTGGAAGAGGTGGCTGCTGGCCAGGCAAAGGCGGCGAGCCAGAGAGTGAGGGTGGCTGTGATCGGGAATTCTTCCTTCTTCGCGAAGTTGACCGTCTACTAATTGAGCGTGAAGCACTTCCTGCTACACTTCCTTCGGGATCTTGACCCATCGGCGCGGGTTGTGTCCAGTCAGTTGAAGGGCCGCTGTTGGTTGAGTTCGGGTCTATGGCTCCAACGTATCTGCTAATAGTGTTAGTAAGGTTTCACAATGGATCCAGGGCAGATGCTGACCTCTCGTACGCTGCTGTTGTGTAATCGAACGGCGTGAACTGGGATTCGATCATCTTGTAAAGTTCATCTTCTCGAATTTCCTTGTCGGTAGCATCGTCCTTAAGTTGCTCTCTTGGTTTCTGTCGGCGTGCCCGGGCTTCTAATGGTGCTTCCTCCAATAACAGTTCCTCGAGATCGTAGGTTGCGTCAAAATTGGTCTTCTCTGATGATGGTACAAAGACTGGCTCGACTTCCTTCCTCTCCAAAGCTTCAAAGTCTATGGCTCGGAAGAAGGGGTTGTCGGTGAAGCTGTGAAAGCTGGCAGAGCCCATTCTCTTGGCGGGATCCTCCTCAAGTGCGGAACTAATAGCATGCAGGCATGGCATAGACACTGCCGGATCTGTGATCGGGAATTTTGGCGCAGCCTTCGTGATCTGGGCTGCCAGCGTCGTTTGTGTACTACCTTCGAAAGGTCTCTGCGGCTTGGTATTAGCAACACGACAGATATCAAATAATAGGGCTCGGGGTTCAGTACCTTGTTGTAAATACACTCGTAGAAAAGTACACCCAACGACCACCAATCTGCACCACAAGAATAGCCGTGGCCTTTGTAGACCTCTGGTGCAAGGTACGCAAGAGTTCCCGATTTACTCGTCAATGGCTTTCCAGGTGTGAAGTCCGAGGCAACATTCTATCGATAGTCAGTATAAATTTCACACGCAGCCGTTTCCTACTCACAAAATCTGCCAAGTGGATATGGCCTTCAGAGTCTAACAAGACATTGTCAGGCTTGATATCTCGATGAATGATCCCTTGTTTGTGTATATATCTGAGAGCACATCCCAACTCCGCAATCCAGAACCTGACCGCCTCTTCGGTGAACGTCTTTCTCGAAATATGGAATCGAAGATCACCACCGTTCATCAGATCAACTACTAGGTACCTAAGAGCGTCCATTAGTGAGAGTGATGCCAAATTAGAATTGGTGAACTCACATGTACTCAATGTCCTGGAAACTATATCGGAGATTGCAAATGAATTGATAATTCAAATGCTCCAGCATCCTTCTCTCCCGTAGAATATTCCGCACGCTCTCTGACCGAACAACTGCAGACTATATTAGTAGATGACAGAGTGTGTGGCTCCAGGACTCTTGCCTTCATCTTTGCGACTAACGAGCACAGTATTAGTATCTGACAGCAATTGAACAATAGCCGGGGAACTTACATATACTTGAGCGCAAACTGAAGATTCGTATCTTTCCGTTCGACAATCCGCACCTTTCCGAAGGCACCCTTTCCTACGACTCGAAGCAAGCGGAAGTGGTTGAGGCTCACTGAGTAGAGATAAACGTTAGCAACCCAGACTGACTGGGGATGATTGGAAACCCATGTAAAGAGACGGAATGGCACTGGCAGATGCCGGTAATGGATGATTGGGAACTTGCCTTCGTCGTTGAAGCAGATTGAGCTTTCTTTGTTCCCCATTGGCGCGGTGGTGACGCCAGCCGGTCTTCCTGATGAGTTGGGTCTTGGATGTAAGTAATTTTGGCCGCCGGCATGTTAAAACGCGATGACTTCTTGCATGCACCGAAATCAAGCCTGGGAAAAACGACGTCGTTCGGAGATGGAAGTCAGGAATAATATGGGTATATCTGAGGTCGAAGCGATATGCCGCAATAAATAGAGTTCTCGATTCGGGTCGGTGAAGGGCTTCCAGTCGGTCTCCTTCCTTCGCGGTCGTCTCCCTTCAACAACAAAAACACAACGAAATGCAATCCAATCCTTAGTGGAAATGGCCGCCGTCCCGAATGACACCCGATCCGGACAAAGGAGATTTCTAGAACGTTTCTTCTGGATAAGAGTGAGACTGTTCGTGTGCACGTCTGGCGGGTTGTCTATCTCGATGGTGGTGGTGGAAGCCTCTAGCTTTTTTCCCCAGGCCACTTTGAATCGTGATTCCCGGACTGGACACCCTTTTCTAGCAATTCACAACGACAACCGGAACCTTGGACGAGCAGGGAGAGGATGCATGGGCTGCGGCAGGCAGTTCTTGAGGGGGAAAAGGTCCAGTTTTGATGCCCCACAAGCAAGAGGGAGAGAAAACAACGGTACAAGTAGCAGCTGTTGTTGTCCACCTTCTTTAGCTGCTCGACCCGACGCTTGATGCTCGAGGCTCGACCCTAGAATTTCCCTCCTTGGACCTTTAGGAGGGCCTGTCCAGTGTGCTGCCCTGCCCTGGCCTGCCTTGCCGATAACGAGAGCAGGTCTCTTTGCTTGGAGCAGCGAGGACTGGCGCATCAGCGCCGCCAGAGCAGATTGCGTTAGCTGTAGAAGGCCTACGACTGGCTTCCAATGGCCCTGACTGGCTGGGTTCGGCCCCGACACGCCCCTGGAGCGACCGCTGCATGGCTCATGGCTCCATCGGTCAGTGGATCTCAGGTGGAAGCACATGGCTTTGGCATGGTCTGTTGCATGGGCCGCACATGTCGTGCCCCCGGCGCGCCCTCACACACCGAAGTTTGGCATGGGAAGGAAGCACGACGATTCCTGAGAAGGACTAGGGACTGCCATCGCCGCATCTGCACGCCTCTGGTACGTGTAATTGCTGCTTGCACTCTCATTCCATCGTCCTTTATTTTTACTGTCCTGTGTACTACTGCACCACAGAGTACTGACTGTAACGCTACCGGTAGTCTCCACGAGGTCTTGTACCACGCCGAACCCACTGGGCCACTACTGCAGCGGATGAGTCAGAAATTCTACGAGATGGAGGAGTACCTAGGTACCCAGCGCCCATGCTACATATGTCAGCAATCAGCAATCGGTTGCCCACAGTCTTGACATGAGGGAGTATTCGGTCCTCATGAGAATATCTTCGTTGGCCAGAGTCGAGAAACGCTGTCCCGAAGGCTGCCAATCTCGGAGCACCACGAAGGGTAGCAGATATTGCGTGCAGAGCAAACATCACAGGACCTCTTCGCTCTCAGCCCCATGAGTGGTAGCGGGAACAATCTTGCGAGAGATTCCCAATAAAGTCGCCTGTCAGCATCCCAGCCGGTAACCCTAGTTCTTACCGATTCCTCCAGTATTGCTCCAGCTGTGGTGCACCCACAATGAATTCCAGCAGACGCCCCCATGTTCCGTGAGATAAAGGGAAAGACTTCTATTCGGCCAACGAGCACGACGTCTGAGAACTTTCCAAATTTCTTTAATAATCCTTCTGTGCATTCGGTCATAGATGCGGTGTGTCTCTCCAAAGTGCTTGCAGATGTGCTCGTGCGTTGCGCATCGATATCCCATCCTTTCCCTCTTGGGCCCGACTTTATTTCACGATCAGTTCATCGGACTTAAAAAAAATGGTCAAGGATTGCTGATCAGCAACCTGCTGCCAGCAGCCATGAGACAAGCCCTTGTTGTTTCAGCGCCCTAGTCCGGTACGTACTTCTCCATTTTACAGAAGTCCGAAGCAGATATATTTAGGATGAGACTTCGCTTGGAGTCGACTAAGATCAGATGTCAGTACCACTCTGGAGACCATGGACGCTTAATGCTGACCGAGAAAACGAGAAAAAGGGTGCGGCGGCGGCGGCTTCTTCGGACTTTGAAGGACAGGATCGGCGCCAAGCCTTATGGAAGCTTCGAATCCTTCTAGAAGGATGTCTAAATTAAATGCGCCGCGAGCGCGCACCATGATCAGCAGTCTGACAATATTTGGTCGGATATCTCGTATGTATCACATCACGGGAAAACTAACACTCATAGAAGCACCTCCTTCACAAAGTCGTAACCTCGCAAAAGGAAATTTTCCCACGTGTACATGCAGGGGCATGCCCATTATTTTCCTGCCAAAATCAATATTCATACCTGCAGCTTCCCATACAAACTTGCAACGCATTGAGGAGCTGCAAGACACATGTCCTTCGACCCCTTCTAGAAGGAAAATTTGGCTAGCAAAGGCGTATTGCTGCTGTTGCTTGGCTGCGTCATGCTGAGAATTTCCCGCTGTGCATTAAAACGCTTCTAGAACATCTTGCTGACCTCCACAAATTCGAAACCACCCTCCCGTTCTGTGCAGCCTTGCCGCAGGAAAGCATTAAGCTCTTCTTCACGACAAGCCCTTCGGTCTCGGAACCGGGACGAGACAATAGAAACGCCATAAACAGTGCAAGACAACCCGTCCACTATTATCGGTCTCTCCGACAAGACTCGCAGAGTTCTCTAGGCTGTTTATAGCACCCAACACTTCAGCGCACAAGCATGTCTAAAATCTAAAGTCGAGTGCAAGGGTCTCGGACTTTTGTGTGAGCGGGTGATAACTTAACCCACCCTTTGGAAATGCATTCCTCTTCCGTTGTTTGCTGCGGGGTACAATGTGATACGGCATACTCGCTTCCTAATTTCCACCCCCTTTTACCATCTGACTCGGAACTCTTGATAGTCAAGTGGTTTTAAGAGCGAAGCCGTACAAGCACCCGGGTGCTTCTTCCGGGTTCCCATTTCTGGTGTTGATGTTACATTGGCCCATTGACCAGGTGTTTCCTCCTCATACGTGGGCAATACGCATGTGCATGGACTGCACGGGCCCGTTGCTGCAATGTTCGCGTAAAGAGTTCTCTAGATACCCGCATAGAGTTCTGATTTTCTGTCTGAAGGTTTTTTCAGAAGAGCTGCGTATGATGATGGCATCGTTGGCGTGGCGAACTACTGATCCACCATTCATAGGGTGGGAACAACTTCTGGGGGAAGCATCTTTGACGTGGGGGAATTCCGAGAATCTAGTTCTGTGTGTCTGTGGAGCCTGTCTTGGCTTCCAGCGATGTCACTTGCTCGCCAAGTATAAGGGCTATGGAGATTCTCAAGGGGCTGAACGGATGGTGCTACTGCTCAAGTACCGGGCACCACTGTTTCAGGAAGATATCTGATAGCGTCCCGTTGACAAGCGGCAACAGTTAGACATATGCTTTTCATCTGGTTTAATCTTTTGATATACACTAAGACTTGTTTGTTTAAGTATGTCATCGCAAGATCCAAGCGTCCAAGCGGACCTAATTCTTCTATGGTTCCTCTCTGAGCTTGCTGCATAATTTTCCCTCCTTCATGATACATCAGCCTTTACTATTGTGCCTAGTTGAGATTTGGTTTTATCAGTCAATAGAAAGCATCGAGTCATCTTGTTTCTCTTTGTTGTTGGTTCCTACAAAGAGGGAGCCCAGATATGTAACTAACTGCTAGTCACCTCAATAATGTTCGAGTATCATCACTATCTTCCATATATTAGATTTCGCCCACAAACGGGATTTTCCAGGGCTAGTTCACCAAGACCATTTGATTAAGCAGCAGATCTCCCCAATCCTCTCTCGTGTGCTTTATCTCAGCGGCTATCTCTTTATTATGGGATCCCCACTTTGTTTGGATATAAGTCCATCTTATACATATATGGGGTTAGCTCACCCGCGTTCGGGAATAATTCCTCTTGGCTTAGCTCGGAGCTCGAAGCGGAACGATAATTATCCAGTTTGATACCAGATGTAATCTGTTCTTCTTTTACAAGGGCTCTTGACTCGTGCACTTTAGACAACCGGCATAATACGATCCTTGTGGATATCTTATTACTTTTACACGCTAGAACTTCAACGATCATAGATCAGGTGTTTTGAAGCAGGCGGTAAGATTGGATGAACGGAAGGAAGGTTTACATGAATAGAACTACCCGTGGAAACAATCTACAATTGTTTCATGAGTATAAATTTTGCAAGTGTCGTTCATTTGTTTTCGTTCAGAAAAAACTTTGGTTGGTGCAAAAAGTGATCGGTATGTGAGTATACAAGTGAGTAAGTGCAGAGAACTCGGGAGCCTTTGTAAAGACACAACGATAGAGATATTCAATTTAGAAGATCTCTCCCTTGGGCGTTAAAGATAGACACATCCTAGACTAGAGCTATTCAATTTAACTTAGTCATGAACTAAGATGCCTCCTCCTTTCCCACTACTGGAAAGATATACTAAAAAGTTAAGGTACTTTTGATGATACGAATTGAAAAACTTACTACGGCAAGGAACTGCAAGAAACCGACTGTGCACAGCTGGCTGAGAGTATCAAGCAAACTTGAGAGTTGACTTCAAAGCGGGGGAGCGAGTCGAAAAGAAAATATGAGACATTGTGTCGGCAAAGCCTAAAAAGGCTTGACTGGGACACATAGAATGATTGTATGAACTGCCAACTGTATTTAGACCATACGAATGGCTTTAGTGACGTTGGAATGAAATCACTGAGAGACCATTTTGATCTTGAATAATCTTTTCATACCAACACATCTGTATCTACATTGAAAGATTACATAGACAGCTCTGGGATAGCATGCCTCCAGACAGTCAACCCTTTTGCACAAGCAACAATAGTAACGATGAAAAGCCCCACAAGACGACGAAAAGCAAGACGCCTATGTAAATGCAGCCCATAAAAATGCCCGCTCCCGCCGCCAATGCTCGCAAGCCAGGCTTGAAATGCGTCGAAGTCTTTGGTATAGTCGCAAAGCAAAAAGAAGTAAAAAGAAACCAGCATGAGCAAGAAGCCATAGCAAAGCAGAATCCTCTCCCGAGACGCCTTTATTATGATGATGCTTCTCATAAAACGTTGACTGCATCGCGTAATCTCGGTGATTGAACGAAGTCTCGAACTCGTCAATAGTCGTATCCATCTTGGGAATCGCGAAGTGGTCGTGCAAGTTGATTCAGTAACGAGTCGAGTTCCTTCCAGTTCTCGACTCTCTCAGCAAATCTGCGGTGCTTTCGTGATAGAACGTGCTATTACAAGTCAGTGAGATGATTCTAGCTTGAAGAATAAAAGGCTTACCTCTTCAAAATCCTCAAACTTATCCTGACAATTCTCACAATAACCTGGCTTGGGATCTCTCTTCTCAAGCTTTCTCTGTTGGACTGCTTTGACCTTTCGGGCAGCCTCGGTTTTTCTTGCATTTTCATCTGCTTCAGAGGGATTGACATTCTCTTCGATAAGAGCCAATTTGTCTTGTTTCTTCACTACACGAGCTGGAGCGTCGTCCCTTGCAGTAGCACTAACATCAGTCATGCGGTGGGAGCTTGCCAGCCCATGAGAACCTGGGCCCCCACTGTTCTTTTCCAAGACCTTCCTCTGCAGGCCATGGAGCTCTTTGCTGGTTCCTGCCTTGGCCCCTGGTTGAGCTGCAGTGGAAGAGATCATCTGAGAACGAATAGCGGAGGTTAGATTGGACGGTTGAAGTCCGGAGGCAACTGGTTCTCCTCCAAACAAACGACCAGCACCGGCCCGACTAACAAAAGCATTCTGATTGCCTCTCGAGGAAGCCTCGGGATCTGTCTTGAGAGCCATTGAGCTTTTATTGGGAGCAAACGGGTTCGCTTGTCTGCTCGAGACACTTGCACTTCGATTCGAGCCATTGTCCAGATCTGCCAATGGTCGTTTACCAGTGACAGGTCTTGGAGGCTGCATCTTCGCTGCTTCGAATGCGGCAGCTGCACGAGTCCTAGGCACCATGGCCTTCTCCTTCTCCTGCTGCTTCTGTAGCCTGATGATCTCTTTCTCCTTCTCGACTTCTCGGCGGCTGTAGTCGACCTCTTCAATAAAAGGACATTTTCCGTTAGCAACACTACGGAACTGTGGCCAATCGCCATCCTCTTTGTTTGCAACTTTGGAATATTCGCGAACCATGATCGGTCTCTGCCTCTCATCGATATCGTGAATGTAAATGAACGGTCCTTTGAATAGAGTTATCTCCTTCGTGGCTACTGTCGGATCACGATCGGATGGTCCATGGATCCTCTCATTGCGTAGTAGCTGAGATAGATCTGCATCATGACCTGCACGAGGATTGTTGGCAGGCGTTGCATTGCTTCTCGTATTGTGCCCATGGCTTGTTTGACTGCTCGTGTCGCCCTCGAGCATAACACGCGTTATTCGCTGCAATTTCTCGAACGCCCATATTTTCATCCCCAATTCTCGAGCTTTGTACAAGACGTCTGCATTGCGTCCTTGATTCCTCCTAACTTCTGCATCTTGTGCGTTAGAAGCCAATCGCCTACCGCCTGGGGCTTCGAACGTAAACTTGGCCTTTGTTCCGAAGTCCGATTGTGCGTTAGTGGATTCGGATGATCGATCAAGCAACGATGGATTGATTGTCTGGGGTTGACTATTCTGCGACTGGGAGTCGTTGGTGGACGATGTTACTGCTTCAGCTGAAACCTGATGCTCGGGAGGAATATTTCGAGTAGTAACAACGTGGGTGACTGCATTCGAAAAGAACTTTTCTTCTCGCTGTAAAACTTGTCAGTGCATGTATAATTTAAATTATTAGAAAATATCGTCAACATACTGCACCAAGTTCAATCACAAGCTTGGAATACTTGGTGCGAACGTCCGCTGGCACACCTTCGAACCAAAATACGAAGGTTGGGAAAATCTTTCGGTAGTGCTTCTGCCACGCCCTGATTGTTTCCAAATTCTCTCCCGAAGTCTTCTCAGCCTTTGTAACCACCTGCTGTGGCTTCTCTGATACGGCAGCACTTTGCCTCTCGAATGAGGATTGCTGTGAGGTATTGGACTTTCGAGTATAAACACGACCTTCGAGGGACGATTGTGTTGATTGTTGACGTGGAGGAGTCTTTAATAAATCTTGGTGGTGGGAAGCTAGCATCTGCTTCTTTGCTGGCGGTGGTTGGCCATAAGCTTCTTCACGCTGGACAGTGGCATACGATCGCTTCTGCTTGGATGCTGCATTCGCGACTGCTCTGAAGGGCGAATTGGCGGCATTGGGATTGCTCGACAAGGGCAATCGTCTCCCCGACATGGTGGAGAGATGATGAGGTGAGGGTGATAGTGATACTGCTGCCATAAGAAGGTATTCTCAGTCCCTTGGGCAGCTCAGGACTTGGGCGAGGGAGTGGGGTGCACGCGACAATACACGTCCGACCAGCTTGGGACGGCTCTATAATAGCATTGAGAAAGATGATTGAATACTCGTTCGACAGGACTGCAAAGGTCTCGAGTACACAATGTCAAGGAGCGTGGTGGGGATAATGCTAGGAAGCGGTCTTTTCGAATGTCCTTCCTTGGTGGTTGTTTGGCTTTGGCAACAACAAAGTTGGGTGAGTGGAGCTCTTCCGAGAAGCGCGTTCAAGCTTGCTGGAGCAACCAGCGAGCCGCTTTCATATGAGGCGCTAGCGGCCGCTGCTCTTTTTTTCTGAAGTTGTGATTGGTCTTCAGATCCTAGAACATTTCAGAGCGCCCGGTATGCACGACATAAAGTTATACTTGTTTTTCTAGAGGGCTTCTTTTGATAATGATTCAAACTCAAAACTCTATTTCATGAATTGATGCAACAGAGCCGGGTCGATTCTGTGCGAATGCTCAATCGATAATGGCGTGTCGGAGACAGCTTCTGCAGCAATTGCGGACAGCAGCAGTGTCCCCATGTCCAAGAGCTTTCTTCCCAACTCAATGGACACCGGGAAGTCGTACAGCAGCTCGCTCGACACGGTTGTACGCCACGGTATCTGTATCAGCTGCAGACCTACAGTTCGGTCAACCTGTTCATGAGACTCACCCACATCTTTTGAGAGCCGGAGAAAGTATGTTTTCGCCACGCCTTGTACCGCAGAAGCTTGCTGACATGACTTGAAAGTTACGCCAGGTATTACTGCCCAAGAATATTCGGATCGAAGGTCGAGGCTTGCGGCGAGCCTACCAGAGAAAGGAGTAGCGATCTTGGCTTCTTCCAACACGAAATACAGATCCGGCGCTGTCTTCTACGAATTTCACCAAGAACCGAATTTCTTCTACCTGACTGGTTTCAATGAGCCTGAAGCTGTAGCCGTCATACAGAAAGTTGGGCCCAAGTCTTCTGCCGACTACACTTTTCACTTGTTTTTGAGGCCGAAAGATGCCAAAGCAGAACAATGGGATGGTGCTAGAACCGGAGAGCAGGCTGCTTTGGATGTGTTCAATGCCGATGAGGTTCAATAATCTGCCGGACTAGCTTGAGCAAGTGCTGATTGTATATAGTCCGGAGATGTGAACCATCTGCATACATTACTTCCTCCTCTCATTGCAGGAGCTAGCGAAGTCTACACAGATATAGCAAAGTGCTCTGGCTTTGGACGATTCTTCCGAGACCAAGATGCGGAGCCCAACGATTTTCAGAAGATGATCAAGGGTAGCAAAGTCAAGGCATTGAAGCCTCTGATACACGAGTTGCGGATCATCAAGAGTGAAGCCGAAATTACCAATATGCGTATGGCTGGAAAGTTTTCTGGGCGCGCTTTCACAAATGCTATGCGGCAACAGTGGACGAGAGAGAAAGATTTAGGAGCTTTCTTGGATTACAACTTCAAAATTGGAGGTTGTGATACAACTGCATATGTTCCAGTCATTGCAGGAGGCAAGAATGCCTTGAGTATCCATTATGTCCGCAATTACGATGTGCTTCAAAATCATGAGATGGTCCTAGTGGATGCGGGAGGAGAGTATGGTGGCTATATTGCGGATATCACCCGTTCATGGCCAATAAGCGGAAAGTTCTCTGATCCACAACGGGATCTCTACGAAGCCATTCTACGTGTTCAGCGAAGCAGTATATCACTATGTCGAGAGAGTGCTAATATGACATTGGATAAAATCCATCAAATCACTGAACATGGACTGAAGGAGCAGCTGAAGTCATTGGGCTTCGACGTAAACGGCAATGCTATGGACATCCTGTTCCCACACCACGTTGGGCATTATATTGGCTTGGATGTACATGATTGTCCTGGGTATGCTCGGTCAGTACCATTGAAAACTGGTCACTGCGTTACCGTTGAGCCCGGTATATATGTTCCTGATGATGAGCGTTGGCCAAAGCATTTCAGAGGTCTAGGGATCCGGATCGAGGATAGCGTTTGTGTACAAGATGATTCCCCTCTTATTTTGACGACAGAAGCTGTCAAAGAAGTTGTAGATATTGAGGCACTACGAGATTAGTGACTATGTAACATCAGATGTAATATAAATAATGACTACTTCCTCCAGCCACATAAGGTAGTTGATATCGAACGTGCTGTCTTGGCTCGTTGCCTGTTTGAGCGTCAGAAATTTTTTTGCTTTGAGTTTGGCAAAAGTTGTAGATTGCTGAATGGCGCTTTGAACAGAAAATCTTCAAGGTAAGTGCTATTCGAACTTCTTATGTATCACTTGACTGGCCGCTGCATGGAAAACCAAACGACGAAAGCATAAATTCATTCAAAAGTTTTGTTGCACATCGCGATTTCTCTATGCAGCAACGACATCACGAAGTGGCCTTCAATGTCCTCCTCATTTACAGACATGGGCTTCAGAGACTTGGCCAATTAGAGAAGAGGATATGTTTTGTTGCACGTCGCACCGGTTATGGTTGCTCCTGTTGCTGTTGCTGTTGCTGTTGCTGTTGCTGTTGCCATTGTCAGGCTGATTTTATTGAATGTTGGACATGATAATAAAATATCGTGTCTGACTTTAGTAGCCACTTGTTGCTGGGTCTCTGCTGTTGTAGGGTACGGTAGTATGGACCATCGAATTTATATTTACTCTGATATACAAATTGACCTTGCTCGACTGGCACAGTTTTCCGCATGTGAAATTACTGTTTGTTTTGGTTTGGAAACCCGAGGAGCTTCATATCCTCGATCTTAAAATCTCCAAACAGCTCATTCGATTTCATATCCTCATCCTCATTCCGAGTTTCGCCAATCAGCGTTCGGTCTGAACCTTCATCCTGATGTGAGCCCCACTGCGCGAAACTTGCATTCTTCATCCCATCTTCGATAATAAGTTCAACCATTTCAGACTTGTCCGTCACTAATTCGACCTTAAAGCCGCGTCGGGCAACCTCTTTTGAGAACGTCAAGTCGAGTGCATCCGGCGTTCTGGGCGCACGAGCAGCAACAAATACTCGATGTACTGGTGCAAGTTGGAAGATGCAAACTTGACCTGCCCTATCGAAAGGTGCTCCGGTGTCAGGCAGGGCTCCGAAAAATGCTCCGTATATGACGTGGCTGATAGCATCTGAACTCTGGCTGGTGATACCAAGACCAGATAGTAACATGAGGCCAGGATAAATTCGTTCATTCGCGTACTCCACAAACTCCGCCCGGGAAAGCATCGTGTGCTCACGGACATCGATCAAGGGTAAGAAAATAGCAAGCTGGCAAAGAATAGGATGGGTCAGTTCTTGAGGAGGTAGTTGTTGACTGGTCTTGCTTGTAACGCCTGGGAAATACCCAAATGATGAGAATAGCTGTGATAAGCCTGGCATCGAAAAAGCCCTGGAGGTGATATTCGAGTGTCGGATAAGTGGTTCGAACATGCGAGAGATTCCAATGTGTAACAGTGGCTACATACTTAAGCTTGGATTTCTGTTTCCGAGGAGGAGCTTCTTACCGTTGCATTCGTGGTGGTTCTGTCGAATTCTTGCCACGTAATGTCCTTTCCAAGATGCCCAGTGTCGTGCTCGCTGAAGGAGTCAAGAACAGAGTCTGTTACTGCTTCCAATTTACGTCGCCACTGCACATCGCTTTCATTTTCAAGTCTGAATAATAGCACGAGCCGTAGCCAAGAACGAAACTCATATCTGGGTATGACTCCACTGAGTTCACCCGAGTTCGAGGATGGTAACCTTGTTTCAGTTGAGACGAGAGGCTCCTCAAGATCGTTGGAGGTGTCAGCGTTCCAGACTGAGTAATCGTCTCGTTCAAGTGCGTCCAAGACGTCGTTGAGATCCTCGTCATCTTTTTCTGTCCTGGCTATGTATTGGATAGTTGGAATTCTGTCCATAAGGCTCTGGAATAGCAGTCTTCGGTGCTTCCTCTCCAGTCTTTCGAACCAGAAATCAGACATGTCCCGGTCTCGAGACGCCCACAAGGGACGTCTGCACAAGATTACAACCGCAGTCCTCAACGCATCGAGCGTGAGCAGCTGTACTGGTTCTAATAAGTATGGATAAGATGCTAATCTCAGAACGGAGCGGTAGAGAATGGGCGCTGCATCTACGACATGATAGGTCAAATCTGGAGGGAGTTGCTGACGGAGAAACTTCATGACAGAAGTTTCGGTCCAATCTGGACATATTAGACTTGAACCGATGAATATATCTGGGAAGTGCTTACATGGTATGGCTTGATCCTTGACCGCATACAATTCGAAGTTTGTTCGAAGACTTTCCTGTTCCTCGGCGTTCAGACCCAGACCCTTCGCTGCTTGCGTATGGGAGAACTTGAACCGCAAGTCATCTTTCACACCGTTAGAAGAGAACATAGATGGCCCTCATATTTTACCTTTGGCTCTCACTACTTGCGAGAAGGATTCTGGTCTTTCAAGTGTACTGTGTTCCACTGACATTGTACTTGGTGTACTTTACCACACTCTTACTGATTGTTCTGACTTCAGTGTGACCAATAAGAGAAATCTAATCACTGAAAAAGAATGAGACATTGATCAAGGCCGAGGATGCTTTTCAAATGTTGGACGAGTGAATGAGCAGAAAATATATACTAATGAAATTAATGTGTATAGTCCAAGACATCAGAGCAAATCATGATAGTGCACATGGACATTGTGGAGAAGAATTCAAATGGCCACACCGCTGCAGGACAACTGTTGTGCAGTGGGACGAGACATTGCATGCATTTCGAAGTCAGCCTTCATTGGAACAAGCGAGCCGACTATTTGGGGATCCTGCAGCCTTGTCACCCAACCCTCACCACTTCTTCTCCACAACCTACCTAGGTAACGACAACAGCGCAACTAGGGGAAAATGTCGTCTCCATCCGAAAGCCCGTCAAGATCCAGTACTCCCTCTGACAATACGAATGCGATCCCAGATGCCGGTCTGCAAGAGCCCGACCTTCCTCTTACTCTAGCATCGTCCATGATTCTCACCTCGTTGCCTCGAGATGCTGCCTCTGCTCTCTCGGCCGCTGGAGAATTTCCGAAGCCTAAAGTCACTGTCCATTTCAAAGCAGTAGGCAGCGCACCGTCAGTGAGAAACCAAGTCTGCAAGATTTCTAGCACCCAAAGATTCGAGGCTGTGGTTAGCTATCTGAGAAGAACTCTCCAAGTAGGCCCGACGGACAGTGTGTTCCTATACGTGAACTCCAGCTTCGCGCCAGCATTAGATGAGATTGTGGGGAACTTGCACAGGGTGAGATTGATTTTAATTCTATCTAAGAAAATTGTATGATTTGATGGCTAACAGTGGACAATAGTGCTTCAAAGACTCCAACGACCGGCTGATTGTTTCCTATTCGATGACGCCCGCGTTTGGTTGAAGACCTTGTATCTGCCATACACTATTCGTCTCCAATTCATCTACGAATAGCTCAACCGAATGCAGGCAGCGCAAACCCCTAAAAAGGGAGAAAGGTGGGAACGACGTGTTGCGCTACCTTTAAGGGTATCTTTATCAAACATCATTCGCTCCTATTACACGTTCAAACTCCGCCAGCTCTTCCTTCGAAATCGGATATGTATGTTCCGGTGCTGGGTAAGCACGGCTTTTGGTCTCGTCCCTGTAAGCTTCGATTGCTCTCAAGCTTTCACTCCAGACATCGCCATATTTCTTTACGAACTTTGGTATGAAACGGCCAGGTGGAAAGTTGCCAGTCATGTCAACTTGGACAAGTACTTGGCCCGAACATCCATTGCCCGCGCCTATGCCAATTGTAGGAATAGAGAGCTTCTTTGTGACGAGTGTTGCGACTTCTTGAGGTACCGCCTCAAGCACAGTAGCGAAGCATCCAGCCTCTTGGACAGCTAAAGCATCCTCGAGTACCTTCAATGCGCCCGCGCTTGTCTTCCCTTGGACACGGAAACCCCCAAGAGCGTTTTGACGTTGTGGCGTAAGTCCAACATGGCCCAAGACGGGTATGCCAGCACTTGTGATCTTCTTTATGGTAGGTGCCATTTCTATGCCACCCTCGAGTTTTATACCCTGCACACGCCCTTCCTTCACAAATCGAATCGCAGTTTCGAGGGCTTGTTCCGGCGCAATCTCATAGGATCCCATGGGCATGTCACCAACCTACATCTCATTTGTTAGTACATATGAAAGGGATCCGAGAGGGTCTCCATACAGTGAAGGCAGATTTGGCCGCTCGAGAGACTGATCGGCAATGGAGCAGCATTTCTTCTACAAGCACTTCACTAGTATCTTCCATACCTAGAGCAACCATAGCCAGGCTGTCTCCGACAAGTATGATCTCCATGCCTGCGGCTTCTGCGACATGTGCGCTGGGAAAATCGTGGGCTGTGAGGACGGTAATGGGCTCGCCCTTTTTGTACAGGGAGCGCAAGGAATTTATGGTGACCTTTTTCCGTTGATTGAGGCCCGGAGCACCCATGGGCGAATGTGAGCTCATCCGGCTCTGACATTGCGACAACAATGGTTTAGCAGCAGTCGAGGCTGGTCGAAGATATTGTGAAAGGGCGAGGGCACGAGACCCTTTTGTGAGGATTGACGCTGTCATGTTGGGCCAAAATGGGAGTTGTTGTTGCTCAGTCGAGTAGCAGAATGGCAGCCTAGCAGAATCTTACTCGAGAGAAAACAAGGAAATCCCATTGTGCTCTGGGATTTATGAATCATTGTCGTGATGCATTCTACAAAGTTGCTTTCATACTGCCTTTTCCAAAGGCACCGAGATCTTCACAGCCTCGGATAGACCATGCACGGCTGATGGCAGAACTAAGCCACTTTGAATCTAGTCCGTGGCTTTTCTAACTCTTAAACATCCTCTCCTTCACGTTTGGCTGGGGTAACTGCACTCTTGTACGGCTTTGAAAGATTGCCTTGACTGCCTATTGTCATTGTTCTTCACCGTGTTAACTTTCGCGTATTCACGAGGCCTTGTTACAGTATTCCAGGCCTTCCGGATTCACGCCACAACTAGAGTAGATTAGTCAAGAAACTTCTGATCATGTGCTATGAATCACTTGCATATTGCGACGACATGATTCCTGTATAGCCGTAACTCGTATATAGACTCCTCCTCTGCGGCCAATACTTTCCATAAGATTAAGTCGGACTGACCAAACTCTCAACCAGGAAAGGACAGCCACGAATTTACCTCTCTCCTTTGCCAGCAAAGACACTATCGGAGTGAGACGAAGCGAGGTCTTTATCGGATCCGATAAGCATCCCCGGGTTCCTGCTCGTCTTCAAACCTCTCTTGACCCTCTTGACGCCTTCCCTGACTCTACCTCTTCCCTCAACACGACTTGAATTCTTGGAGATAGCTCAGTGAATATCCCGAGAATATTGCGACTTCTGTGCCAGCCAGTGAGCACAAAGCATCTGAAGATCGTCGAGCAACCTTGGACTCTGACTCTGGTCGTGTAGTCTTCCAAGCACGACAAGTCCGCAAGGCCAAGATGTCCTCTCCACGCAGAAGAATCGAGACAGATGTGAGTGTTATATGCTTTGGACCCTGCATTGGAAGGAGGAAAAGACTGACTTGATGTCTGGTACCTGCAGGTCATGAAGTGAGTCGAGTCATAATTGTCTGAAATAAAGAACTATGTACTAATTCACTGCGTAGGATGTATGCCACTGCCGAAAGCACAAATAATTAGTCCCTGATTCATATACTGATTAAAAACAGGTTGATGAGTGACTATGAAGTTACACTAGTAAACGACAATAGTAAGTCCTGTCGCGCGTCCTACTACGAAACGAATACTGACCTTTGGCTTCAGTGTAAGGCCAACCCTTCTGCGAAGACGATGCACGAAATATTTACACACAATTTAGGCAGGAATTCTACGTCCGCTTCAAGGGTCCCGAGGAGAGTGAGTTGTCAGTAGCATGTAGGCAGAATACAGTCTGATTTGAAGTAGCACCATTCCAAGGCGGCCTATGGAAAGTCCACGTCGAGCTTCCCGATCAATACCCCTACAAATCTCCTAGTATCGGCTTCGTCAACCGCATCTTCCACCCTAACATCGATGAGTTGTATGTCTTTTGCCTCAGGGCAGATCATTTACTCATTGGAACTTAGGTCCGGCTCTGTCTGCCTGGATGTGATCAACCAGACTTGGTCTCCCATGTTCGACATGATCAATATCTTCGAAGTCTTCCTTCCTCAACTACTTCGATATCCCAACCCTACCGACCCCTTGAACGGTGAAGCAGCAGCCCTACTAATGCGAGAACCAAAGAGTTACGAGGCCAAAGTGAAGGGTAGGGCGATATCCAAACGCGTAACAGACGAGACATGATTGACGATTTACAGAATATGTCGCCAAATATGCGAGCAAAGAGGCCGCTGATGAAGCTGGGGCAGAGTCTGACGACGACGACGATATGTCTTCTGTTGGCAGCTTTGGTGACGATGAAGATGAAGAGCCAGCAGGACAGATGGAAGAAGTCTAATTCCGACTTGGTCTTATTCATGGCGAAAAGTTCGTTACGATTCGCTCTCGGCATAAACTCTTCTTCTACTTTCCTTTCGCATACTGTTACGGTGTTCAATGGGGCTGCGGATTTGGAATGGGAAATGGATGGCATGGAGTATTCAGGCTGGTGCATATACAGTGCTTTGCGTTGTTTCGTGGCCACACTTTAGGATCAACTAGGAATTCAGAGCATTCTCGTCTCAGAAGTACGTTAAGTTGCGCGAAGTGTCCTTGGTGGTATGACATTGCAGACATTACAGACATTGCATAATTCGTAGATTTGGCTTTTTCAATAGATACCATATTAGACCAATTGCGTGCTGGATCTGTGCCTGTTTCGGGCACATGGCAGAACTTTACAATAGTTCGTTAATGACATTGATCTCAAGTTCTATGATTTCGCGTTCTTAACAAATCTTTTCCTTTTGATACCCTCTTGTAACATATCTTACAAAACTTCCAATCATCCCTCCCCAACAAAATGGTGGAAAATCCCACTTGTTAGAACCAACAACCCACTACACCCCACAAAGACCGCATTCCTATGCCCCTCTCCCTCCTTGATCAAACCCAATGCAACCACCACAAAGACATTCAATGGAATCCTCAACATCCCATAAATCCTTGCTCTAACCCCATCTTCTATCACTCTCCCTTTCAAAGATCCTACACTAGGCCAATACATTCCGACACAAGCTTCGAATATGCAGAAAGACCAGAATGTCAATGTCTCGGATCTTGTTAGGACGGGGATCAGAAGCATGGAAGATGCGGTTGCGAAGATGATGGTTAGGAGGCGGGTAGGGGAGATGAGGCGATGAGTGGAGATTAGGAGGTTGAAGAGGAGGGATCCAACCATAACGGAGGCCATGAATGCGGCAAATATTGTACCAAAAGGTAATGATGCAGGGCTTGAAGAAGAGCTCTTCTGTGAATGTGCTGCTTTCAAAGCAGGAGTCCAGAAGAAGACGAAGAGATACATGCTGCCTTCGAAAAAGCAGGATGCAAGACCGAGGGTCAATATGCGTTGGTCTGTGAAGACGATTTGAAGTGCGCTCTTCGCCTGCGTGGATGAGGAAAATGATGACGGCGATGTGGGTGAATGGTGACTGTCGCCATAGTTTTCGGTCTGGAGTAGTGAGTATATATCCTTTGGAAAGCGGAAAAGGCATCTGATACTTACCCAGCATCCTAGTATGATCCAAAAAGCAACAATAAGCAGCCCAGCACTCGCCATGAAAGGAGCTCGCTTGGTGTTTGTGACTTGAACAAGCCACTCGCTGGATACTCCAGCTAGGATAGCCACAACACTATTTAAAGTTGTCATGATACCAAAGAGACTGTTCAAGCTGGTCCCCGCTTTGTCAAGCTGTCGCTTGTGATATTCGGTGACCATCCAACTTTCGAAGGCACTGAACATTAAGCTCGTACTCAATCCCCCAAAGATCCGGCCAAGAAAAAGCACTGGTGACCGTGGAACCAGTGTCGAGAAACAAGACATTGAATATGTGACGCAAAAAATTAGACACGCCATCTTTCGTCCATAGCGGTCTGCAAACTGGCCAACAAAATAGCCTGATATTCCTCCAGAGAGAAATCCAGTAGTGAAAAGAGCAGCGACTACAGTTTCTTCAAGACCAAATTGGTCTTTATATAGACTGTAGACATATGGACCTGAGAGTGATCAGTAAAAATTTGGAGATTGTGTACTTGACCAGTACCTTGAAGCCAATCCGCTCCCATTACTAGACAGTATACTGTAAGAAAGAGACGAGTGAATTGGTTCGCTTCTGCTTTCAGTCGAGGAGTAATTGATGTCTCCATCAAAGATTTCTCTTCTAGTCTTTTCTCTCGACCATGATACTGTCTCCATGTGAGAAGACCACATACTGAGACTAAAGAAATAAAGGCTAAATTGTAGAAATTCATCTCGATTTGAAAACTGGTTTATCTGAGGACCAGGCAGTAAAGTGAAATGTAAGAAGAAGAAAATGAGAATGAGATGTGTCAAGAAACAGATGAAAAGTACAGACTAAACATTCAAAACAAACTGCCAGCTTTGGCCGTGTGGAAGTTGTGGGGATGAGACGCCGAGTGTAGAGGCTGAGACATGATCCAAGGTTCCCACCGCAAGGCTGTAGACGACCAATATATCCTGCATTGGCGAGATCACCAACAATTCGCTATTGACGCTTCATATCCTTTCTCACATCGAGCCGTTCTTGATATCATTCAGGCTGAAGCGAGATGTTATGAAAGGGGGTATTTCGAGCTAGTTCTACAATAGAGTGCTGAGCCGACACCGCCTTTGTGACCCGGCAGAAACTTGGCTATCTAAACTCGCGACTTGGACTTTCAAGATTCATTCTTTAGAACTCAATCATGGATTGGTGGTAGCACGGATATCAATCATATGGATGGTGATTGGGAGGAAGTAAGTTTTGATGTTCGATCTTTACCTCTTGTCGTGGACTTCTGCAGGGCTCACGCGCAAGCTCTGGTGGGGCAATAGCCTCGACGTCCTCGAGATCTAACGACCGCTCTTGGGATATTCCAAGCTGACAACGAGAATTATAGGTTGGGCGTCTGCTCCTTCCACCGTCGGGTCCGCAGGGCATTACCCAACCCAGCTCGACCTTTGCTTTCGATACTTCCCAAGAGCTGCTATGGGAGGGAAACCAATTTGGGCGCGTCTGGAGCTTCTATAGCACTGAGCTCCAGAAGTATACCTCTTTCAAATGCGGAGACGGACCCGTAAGGCAATTACTATTCCACGAGAAAGGAATCATTGCGCTATGTCCTCGCAGTGTGCATATGGCCTTGCGCCGAGGACCGCCAATATGGCACATTGTGTATGGTAGTCGAATACCTCATGTTGGCGTGGGCTGATCAAGTCTGCAAATAGTCACGAAGAGATGAAGGAACTCGCATGTATGAGCTTTACATCGAGAGGGAATACTGAAATATTGGTTGCCGGATTGCAGGACCGAATGTTCACGATAGATGTGGAGAAGGGCACAATTACTAGACAGGTACCTTGGCTAATATAGATATTGTTTCCGTGCTAAGCTCTCAGATACCATCCAGCGACCATTACACGATCATGAAGCGAAGTCGGTATATTTGTGCTGCTACAGGGACAGGAGAGATTCATCTCCTCGATCCAAAGACTTTCGAGCTGCAGGAGACAAAGTTCAAGGCTCATGCCTTGAGGATAAACGATATGGATGCACAACATGATTTTGTTGTAACTTGTGGCTATGCTATGAGGCAGGGACAAATACCTATGCTTGATCCTATGGTCAATGCATTCGACCTCAAGAACTTGAAGCAAATGCACTCCGTGTCGTTTCCATCCGGGGCAGCGTATGTCAGACTACATCCACGCCTATCATCAACAATCATCATTGTCTCATCCTACGGGCAAATGCATGAGGTTGACCTTTTGAATCCGGATTCGAGTAAGTTCAAGCAGGCGAATGTTTTGTCCTATATTAGCATGGTCGATATGGCACCGTCCGGAGAGGCTCTGGTATTGGCAGATACAGACTGCAACCTGCACTTATGGGGTTCACGAGCAAAAATACGCTTCGCTGAGATCAGCACTCCTGTGGAGTTTGCTGATCCGGAGGAGACTGCCGCACAAGTTGACTGGAACACTGAAACGTAAGTAAGCTCCACTATACTCACCATCTCTCTAACAAAAAGCAGTCCACTAAGTAGTGTTGGAATGCCATATTATCGTGAGAATCTACTTTCTGCCTGGCCGAGTCATTTGATTTTCGATGTCGGCGCTCCACCACCGAAATTCGATCAGCATTTCATGTCGAAATTGAATACGGCATCGTTTGGCTATTATGGTCGAGTGCCAACCAATGTGAGGAGAAACCAAGTTGAAGATACCAGGGCTCTTGAGAAGGCCCCGATAAATCTCAAGACCCCGAAATTCTTGAGCGAAAAGGCTAGAGAGACTACCAATGACACAGCAGGGGAACGGAGAATTAGCGACGTCGCTGAAGCCATTGGAGCCGTGGGCTTGAAAGCCGAGGTCCCTCTGATGTACGGCAATGTTGAGATCAAGTACAGCAAGTTCGGGATCGATGATTTTGACTTTGGGTCAGTGTTCTATCACGAAACCTTATATCCATGTTGCTAATCCTCTTCAGTTATTACAATAGAACCACGTACTCGGGGTTGGAGACTCACATATCGAACTCTTACGCTAACTCATTATTACAAGTCTTACACTATACTCCACTCATCCGGAATCTTGCTTTGCAGCACACTGCAAGTATATGTGTGAATGATATGTGTTTGCTGTGTGAGATGGGCTTCTTGTTCGATATGCTAGAGAAAGCGCAAGGTTCAGTCTGTCAGGCCACTAATCTTTTGAAAACCTTCAGCAATCATCCTCTAGGTAAGTCGATCACGACCCCTTAGTTTATCGTGTGCTCACTAGTTCTAGCGGCTCAACACAGATTGCTAGAAGAAGACGCACCTGGCTCATCTCTCACTGAGATGTTGCAAAAGCTAAATCGCTTTTTCCTAGAACGAATGGCCTACGATTGGAGGAATTTGACTCCGCATAACGATTCGTTCAGTCAGGTTAGACGATCTCTGCTTCTGTGTGACGTATACTGCTGACCTGTCTAGCTGATGGCCACTCCGATGAAGACAACAGTCCGGTGCACAGTGTGCCGCAATGACCACGTTCGCCTCACCCCTTCATTCGTGAACGAGCTCATCTATCCTCTCCCCGTAGGTAACTTGCATCCTCGTGAGTGCTTCAACTGACTCTCCAGAAATTGATGGTACGGAATGCAAGAACGCCGAGACCATCCTTCTCCCAAATTCTCAAAGCTAGTATCGAGCATGACGAGACAAGTAGAGGCTGGTGCATTCACTGCCAGAGACATCAGCCTCTTGCTACGAGAAAAGCAATACACAATGCTCCCGCAGTTCTTCTGCTCAATGCAGCTGTCAAAAGTCCAGAAGCAAAACAATTTTGGTCCATTCCTGGTTGGCTGCCAGAAGAGATCGGGGTCATCATTGAGCAAGGCCAATTCTTCTGTTATGAGGGCGAAGATTTAAGGCTTCATCTAGAGAGACGCCACCACCCTGTCGAGGTCTATTCGTTGATAGGGATAGCAGCAGAGATCGACAGTGGCCAACACCAGAAGCCTCATCTCGTCTCTTTAATTAATGGTAAAACTATATCCCTTTATGAATATGATAATCTTGCTTACCATTGTAGTGGCACACTCACAGCCGGTTGCCCCAGGAGAGAGTCAATGGCACCTCTTCAACGATTTTCTCGTCCATTCTATGAGGACTGAAGAGGCTTTGGCGTTCCATCCTACCTGGAAATTACCATCCGTGATTGCATATCAGGCAAAGAGATACGTAAACAAAATAGATCACAGCTGGAGGCAGCACCTGGATACAACACTGCTGTACTTTGATCATAAGTAAGTTTCTCTGCTTCAAAAACCCCAGTCGCTAAACTTGAAAGTCACAATCCTGGCGAAAAGACATACCGCACCCTCACCCCCCAAGAAGCTCCGAGGGAAGGCACAATCATCGCACTAGACACAGAATTCGTTGCCATTAGACAACCCGAGATAGAGGTGAATGCAGACGGAGCTAGAGAGACCATTCGACCGAAAGTTCATGCTCTTGCGCGTGTCTCCGTAGTCAGGGGCTCAGGCGAAGAAGAAGGCAGACCCTTCATCGATGACTACATTATCAGCAAAGAACCAATTGTCGATTACCTAACTTCATACTCGGGAATTATCCAGGCAGATCTAGATCCCAAGCTTTCAAAACACAACCTCATCCCCTTGAAAGTAGCTTACAAAAAGCTCTGGATACTTCTAAATCTAGGCTGCAAGTTCTTGGGCCACGGCCTCAAACAGGATTTCCGTGTAACCAACATCCACATCCCTCGATCCCAAATAATCGACACAATAGAGATCTTCTACAAAAAAGAATTCCGGCGAAAACTCTCTTTGGCATTCTTGGCTTGGAAGGTGCTAAACGAAGATATCCAACAGGGTACACATGACAGTATCGAAGATGCGAGGACGGCATTGAAGCTGTATAAGAAGTATTTGGAGTTTCAGGACGCGGGAATTCTGGAGACGATGCTTCAGGATATCTACAAAGAGGGGAGTTTGGTGCAGTTTAAGCCTCCGCCACAGAAGAGTTTGAAGGATGGCAGTTTGATTGAGAGGACGGAGACTCCTCCTATTACGAGTGATGGCCATTTGGCCGGGACACCTGTGCCTGCATCGGGACCTACAACGCCGGTCAGGAGACCGTTGGGACTTGCTCCCGGGTCGTCGAGTACGTTTAGTGGCGGGTGGACTCCAGGGAAAGGAGGAGCTCTAGGAGGATCGCCCTTGAGGTAGAGTTGTAGCACGGAGCTGTGCTACGACTACGGGTTGACGATGCTTTTCAGTAAGATGAATGCAACATGCGAGATTTATGAAATGAACGTTCCAGCTTTATGCACTGTGTTGGTCTATCTGATGATCATGTTACTACAAGTCCTTTGATGTGTGTCCAGCCCACGTATGCACTTCCCAATGCTCCCATTCCGAGCGCCGAGCCCATCGTTCCATGACGAGGGAACTAATAAAAATGATTCCTATCAACGCCATGCCAAAAGCAGTCTTTCGAGGTCTGAAATAGTAAGAGATTCGTCAAATGGCTCAATCAGCACTGGCACTCAAGTCAAAGCTCTTCTGCCACATGCTCTGCAATATAGCTCCCACGCCATCATCCTCGTTTCCCCTATCACTGATTCCCGCATCTTCATGGCTTCCAGCCTGCCCATCATAGCTTCCCACCCCATTTGCTGGAGATGACTTATCCTTCCCTCCTCTACCTCGACTTTGAAGACTCTGGCTTAGTCCGTATCGGCTGGCGCCAGAGCTCTCCGTCCGTTGAGGAGGTATCCTTCTGTTCTTCTCCGCGCCAGGTAGCTGAGCCAAGCGTTTCAATGACTTCCCAACTGGATCTTGATACCGTCTCACAACTAGGTATTCCAACCCAGTCTTCTCTAACTGAAGCTTGATTCTCGGATCCCTCCCATCATATCCTGCACCACCGACAAGTGATGTACCACCAAATCCGCCATGCATGCCACTTAATCCATTCAACGCTACACCAGGCGCCATCTGCGCAGGCTCCATATTCGAACTCGCTCTTTGTAGCCATAACTTCTGTTGTGTACGTGACTGTTGAGGCGGATAGTAATTGCTCGACTGCGAGGACTTTCGTGATCGTGGTGCCAGAGCACTTTCTTCGTCAGAGTCGCGCCGTGTTAGGTTCCCCATCGACTGTGCACGCTTCACTTCTTCGACATTCGCTTTTGGAGAAACATCCGATTTGTGGCGGTTGTGTAAAAAGGGGGAATTCTCGCTGGGTGTGCCAGAGCCTCCAACGAAACGGGAGACGACTTCATTATTGCTGCTGGTCTGCGGAGTTCCATTTAGAGTTGAGGACTGGCTCTTGGTTAGAGATTCGGGGGAATGACCATCGGGCGTCGCGGTGGTGAGCGACATCTTGGTGGTGTTGTGGTGAGAGTGAGTGCGTTGTAACAGGCGTTCTGTTATGACTTTGGCGTCCGCTGAATGGCGGGAAGTCTGTTTCTCATTTCCTCCATTCGCATTCGCTGCAGGCGTTACCACAGTCTTGGAACTGGAAGCAGGAGGAGGTAAGGGAGAATGTGGAGGAGATTGTGGTCTCGAATTGCTGGCGCTGGGTTTCGTGGAGGATTGACCGCTTGACACAGCAGATCTAGATGCAGATCTCGACAAGGCTGGCGACGCAGACGAGGGATTGCTTGCTTCTTCCCAGGCGTCTTCCTGATCGCCAATCTCAAAGTGAACAGAGGCAGGTCTCTTATCGTGCCCGTGAGCCGACCTGGGGCGTTTCTGAACGTCTGCAGATGAGCGATTGCGCTTCAGACTGACGTGTGAAGAATTCTTCTTGAGGTTGGTGGACGACGACGACTGATGCTGCTTTCCGAGCTTCTTCAGATCCGTGTGCGACCCTTCGGCGGCGTGGCCCTTGGTCAGCTTATGCAGGCCTTTACTCGATGGTACTCTGGCATGAGTCCTCCCTGCGCCTACAACATGCTTCGCTGACTTCGTCCTGCCATGTTGAGGTGGTGTCCCGGCGGGCGAATCGGTCTCGTTGTTGACGGAGCTGTTTGATCGATGGCCAACAGCCAGAGCTGGCCTCATCTGCGAGTGCGATTGCGATTGCAGATGCTCGGACGGCATCCTTTGTTTGCTTTTGTTTGCGAAGGGCTCACCTTAGGGCCGTATTTGCTTGTTCTTGCGTTGCGGGTGGTGATTGCATGAAGGAACTAGCTTTGGTTTGGGCAGCGGAAGCAATGCGCTGGCGCTCCTTTGACCATCAAGTACGGACGTCGAATCATCGTCCACCAGTTCTCCAACAGAGTCACTACGAGGACTACGGGATGTGGTTCATATATGAGAATTGAGATATGATTCGAATTGCCATCTTTCCGATTGAGGCCTCAGCTCAGAAGAAGCCAAAAGTTCTGGTAGCTCTAGATACCTCGGTTACTCTTGTCAAAAGAGGAATTGACATTCACCAAATGTCGATCCTCCACATTTTCAGCGACAGCGATTGACTTCAAGGCATCTCTAATTGCAGCGAGGACATTTGCCATCAATTCTGTTCCACAGTCATACCGCTACTTACCAAAACATGTTTCACCGATACCGGGCTGACGCTCAAATGTCTCACAATGTTCCAAGGTTGGTCTCAATTTCGGTCACACTTCCGGTCACTTGATCGATTACTTGTTCAGGAAGTACTTTGTATTTCTCGTGTCGCTTGCTCTCGGGCTAATACTACACTGTGCACGCAAGCAATCTCAGGTAAAACGCCATGCAATCTGAATGATCCTCCCAGTTCCCTCAATCGTGAATCATATATCTCATCTAAACCTTGACTGCTGGGCCCGCCTTAATCACGTCCTCAGTAGCCTCATCTTGATACTTCTTGAAATTTTCGACAAACAGGCCACCAAGCTTTGTGACCTCCTCCTTGAAGCTATCATGTCCAGCGCTCCATGCGTTTCTAGGGTTCAGGAGTTCTGAAGGGACGCCAGTGCAGGTCTTAGGAACAGCTAAGTTAAATGTTTCGTATGTCTCATATTCGACCTTAGCAAGTTCACCAGAGTGGATCGCATCAAGAATAGCACGGGTATATTTCAGTCTAAAGTAGTCAGCAATAGTCAATTGCAGCGATAGAGTGGAACTTACGGGCAACGCTTGCCTCCAGTGGTAGCACCAGCTCCAACCCATCCAGTGTTCAACAACCAAGCATTGGCCTTGTGATGCTCAATCTTGTCAGCCAACATCTTAGCATATCGCATAGGATGCAAGGCCAAGAATGGTTGCGCGAAACAAGACGAAAAAGTTGCTTGGGGCTCTGTAACACCATCTTCTGTACCAGCCATCTTGGAGGTATAACCTGAGATGAAATGGAACATAGTTTGTGCAGAGTTGAGCTTGGAGATGGGTGGCAGTACACCACGGGCGTCGCAGGTAAGGAGGATAATGTTGCTTGGGTGGTTTGTCGATAGGCAGGGAATCTTGGCGTTTGCAATGTATTCAATAGGGTATGCACAGCGAGTATTTTCGGTGAGCGTCGCGTCGTCATAGTCAACCAAACGAGTCTCTGGGCTGAAGACAACGTTCTCAAGGACAGAGCCGAATTTGATGGCGCCGAAAATATCAGGTTCCTTCTCAGCTGAGAGGCCAATGCATTTCGCGTAGCACTACAACAATTAGTTACGGACTAGAGGAAATATGTGGTTCATCACTTACACCACCCTCGATGTTGAACACACCACGATCGCTCCAGCAGTGCTCGTCATCACCGATCAACGCGCGGTTAGGATCAGCTGACAAAGTTGTCTTGCCAGTACCCGAAAGACCAAAGAAAACAGTAACATCTCCATTCTTGCCCTCATTGGCAGAGGAGTGAAGCGTCAGGACATTGTGCTTAACAGGCATCTCATAGAAGAGAACTGTGAAGACACCCTTCTTCATCTCACCAGCATACTCAGTACCAAGGATAACCATCTCCTTTTCTGAAAAGTTGATAGCGACTGAGGTACCGGAGGTCATACCCTCGGTGTATCTGTTGGCAGGGAAGGAACCCGCATTGTAGATAGTATAATCTGGGTGGAAGTGCTCGAGGTCTTTTCGTTCGGGTCGAATCAACATATTTCGCATAAACAATGCGTGATATGCGCGGGCACAGACAACGCGGACCTTGATTCGATACTTCTCGTCCCATCCTGCGAAGCCATCGACGACATAAATCCGATTTCTGGTGTTAAGATAATCGATTGCACGTTCTCTGTTGATTCTCCAAACCTATTGCATACTTGTCAGCGTTGTCTCATAATGATGGTCGTTGGAACAAAGTGGACAGAAAGGGGTGGTGGCACGTGAGTCGATTGTTTTGCCGAGACATCTTGCGTCGAAGCGAGGTTATGACATAATAGTGCTGTCAAGCCCCTCCATGAAAATGCGGGGTTGACTAGGAACAATCGAAGTGTGTGACGTTTGCTCTTTTTTCCAAATGGCAGTTGAATCACGGGTGAAGGGGAAGACCCTGTGCAAGGTTGGACGCGAGATGTGTCGAGAGAAATATGAGATGGCAAGCTGAAAAGACAACGGAATGTGACCTCAAGTGAGACATAGATGTCGCTTGCTTGCCGCCCAGGCGAGGAGGAATGACTGAAATGCGAATGTGACAAGAGAAATTCTTACATCAGGTGTCATTGGCTTATTGACTGGTCTGCAAAGGAGTCAGATTTGGTACAGCAATGTGTTGTACGAGCTTACTTACCCCCACCAGATATCATTTTCTGATCCAGGCTCCTTAACAATTCGTTTGTCTAAAGGTGATCGTCCGGTCTTTGCTCCTGAATATGCTGTGAGGGCACCTGTAGATGTGATGGCAGACCCGGTCTCGTAGACGAGAGCGTCTTCGTAGAGGGCGGCGACGCTTGGGTTGGGAACCTGCAAGAGAAGAAAGAGTTAGTAATGCTTATTGACAACCATTGACAAAGGAATTGGGATCATACAATGGCTACTCGATCATAATCGATGTGTGCCTTCTCGTGGAGTTCTTCCTCCAGTTCGGTGTGCTCCTTCACCGGCCTGTCCATCGTGTTAGTAAATTGTCAAGAGATGTGCCTCCATTGTAGGTGCAAACGTACTGAACACCACCTAAAGATAAAAAGTCAGCAAAGGTGAATGATGAGATAAGGATAAATACGGGGTTTACCTGGGTGCAGAGCTGTTTTGTTAACAGTATTAACGGTAACCATGTTGGGCAGACGTAGAGATGTAGAGTGATAATTTCCTGTTCGAGATGCCAAAAGTTGTGACTTTGGTCCAAGCTGTCCGACGGGATACGGAGAAGAAGTCCTCTCAACGGGGTCGGCGTGGTTATTTAAAGGTCTAGTCATAGGAGTAGTCATTTTGAGGTCTGGGTTTCGGCTGGCAAAGTTGCGGGTCTGGGAACGATTGTGTTGTTTTAGCTGGGAGCTTTTAAAAGTCGCCCTCGGCTTTGGCAGGCACGACGACGAATCACGAGCCAGCTGTAGCAAATACCGCCCCGCGGCCGAAAACAATACGGGGGAGCTGAGCAAGGCCATCGGGCGGATGCGGAATCATGCCCAGTATCATGATGCCTTTTAGGTGCGATCAAGATAATGCTGCATGATCGGGAGTGGTGCACACATGTGGTGCCGTGAGTGATGGTGGGAGTGAGTACGTACTGTATCGGAGGAGGTACTAGGGAGGCAGCGATGTGGATAGTGGATGGTTCATGGACATCGAGGCCAGGTTATAATCACATGCAGAGAGGCTGACGGTCTGCTGGCTGTCTGGCCATTTATCCAGGGCCGACTCAGCAAGACGCAGCAAAAAGCAACCCCCTAGATTATTGCAGATGCAGATGCAGATATCACGCGAGCACTGAGGCTCTTCCAAGACAATAATCGAGGGGCTCTTCAAGTTCGACGTCTACGTTTACTGTAATGGCCTGGCAAATGGTGGGGGTTGCGTGAACGAAAGCACTTGCTCGATGGTAAGCGGGTTTCTCACAGAGCACGTCCTGATGCACGATAGGATTCTCCACACCGGGTGTGCGTCGTCGTGGCAGATGCATATACTGTACTTTCCATCAAGACCCCATCCCGACGAGGATGCTCCCCGACTTCGTCCTTCACCCCGCAGTACGCTGCACACGATTCGGCATAGTCCCCTCCTCCTTTCGGGTCGCGCATGCTTGTTATCGCCCCCTGACGAACAGCGGTCTAGATTCGACGGAACAAAAAGGGGCCCACGCAGGCAAATCCGGGCCAACGGTACATTCGGTACATTGGTAGAAGGACTGTGCAGTGCAGTGCAGTTGGAATGCAACAGCCGTTGCAACGTGATGAGAAAGCTGGTGACACTGCATTTCTCCGTCCTCGTCGTCAATACTGTACGATGGATTGTTTCCATTCCGATAGCGGGGCAGATTCCCGCCCTCTGGAAGCCCAATGTGGGTGGGGCCTTTTGGGGCTGAGTCTTTCCCGTCGAGCGTTGTCATGCTGGAATGTTTGACACACAGCGGATAAAGACTCTTCCGCACTCACACACGTGAGTCCTAATTTATATGGAGTCAAGCAAAAAAAGTCTTCCCCCTTTTCCAGCTCGCTTGTTTCTTGGCACGTTATTGCGCTTCATTCATCTTGACTTCCTTTTCCCGGTATAGTTCCTTTTCGCTCATATGCTTACTTTGCTAAACTGTCACCTCAGTTTTCGTGTGTTTTCAATCCTTAATTTAATCCTTAATGACAAGCCAGTTGCGAAGCATCTGCGATTGCCGAGCGGACCAATCGTAAAGGCTCGCTAAAACAGGAAGGCTACTACCAACATTTGTTGGATTTTGACGATCCTGCTGTGCCTTCTCAATGTCTTTAAAGCCACAAACTCGTCTCTCGTCCCCGTCGTGGGAGGAAATCACCGGTATTTTGATGACTTAGATAAATGATCTATGATGATAGTTTACTATGCTTTATCGATCCTCATATCTTATGTAAGGAAATGATTCGGATTTTGTCCGTCTGAAGCTTACGGGCACTGAAGTTCTTGCTCTGGGCAACCTACCAAGTCTTCCTCCATCCTCTAAGTAGATACCCAGGCCCCCTAGTTGCCAAATTCTCGGATATCTACAGTGGGTTCTATGCATACGAAAGACGACTTCATTTAACAACATGGAATAACCACCGCAAATATGGTGAGCATTATAGGAGATCCGGAGCCTTCCTGCCTGTCTCTGCGACAGAGCGTCGCTGGAGCTGACACGGTAGGCAGGTCCCGTTGTAAGGCAAGGGCCCAATAAACTCGTCTTCAGCTCTGCCACAGCTGTACGAAGTGGGTCCTCAAAGGTTGATATCTTCTTCTGATTATACTAAGTCGGATGGAACAGACATCTATAAGAATGACCTCACGACTAAACCAAAGGCCTACATTGCTCTAGGACCAGGACTCTCCACCTACAGTGTCTTCAGTGCCCGTGACAGGCATTTACACCGCAGCCGACGACAGCTCATCGGGCAAGTTCTTACAGAGCGCTCGATGCGTGTCTTGAGCCGACCATGATCGAGCAGGTCGACATCTTTTCCCGAAATCTACTTTCAAAGTCTCAGAGCTCAACTCCCGTCAACATGAGTGTGCATACACGACGACTGGGACTCAACATTGCCGGCCTTCTCGCCTTCGGCTACGATTTGTGCCTACAGACCAGCGATGAAAACCATTTCATGGAGACGGTCATGGACACGGGAACCTTTTTCAGTAACCTTTGGCTGCATTATCCTCCAGGACGGAGATTCAGGCTTGCGTTTCTGATGTTGTCACCGTTGATGTAGCTGCGCGAGAAGTATCTTGGTCTGATCGAGACGATGATCACTTCCCGCACCGCCGTGCCTAAAGACGCAAAACATGATCTCTACTCATTCGTGGCGGATGTCCTAGAGGCCAAATCAGAAGGTCTCCGTCAGAGCGATCTCTGGGGAGAGGCTAACATGTTTCTATCTGCCGGTCAGTAGTCCATCCGTATGAATCTCTGTACTTATTAAGATCGGTGGCTTTTCATAGCCGGAGGTACCATCACCACGGCCCTGAGCGCTCTCTTTTTCTACTTGTCAAGGAACCAGGACGCCTACCAAAAACTTGCGCATGAGATCCGCTCAAATTTTACCAGCAGTACCGAAATCCGCGGTACTGCATTAGCCGGCTGCACATATCTCCGAGCATGCATCGATGAAGCCATGCGGCTCTCTCCTCCCGCCCCCGGCATCCTGTGGAGAGACTTAGCCCCTGACGATGACGAGAGCCAGCCTTTCGTTGTCGACGGTCATGTCGTCCCTCCACACACAATTGTTGGGGTGAATACCTATTCCCTCCATCACAACGAGGATTACTTCCCAGACGCCTTTGCGTACCGTCCGGAGCGCTGGCTCGCTTCGTCCGACTTCTCGCCGGAAGAGAAGAAAGTCATGCGTGAGGCTTTCGCTCCTTTCTCCGTTGGCCCACGAGGATGCGCGGGGAAGGCGATGGCGTATTTGGAGTGTAGTCTTGTGATGGCTAGGACATTATGGTATTTTGATTTTGAAAGCACGGCTGGGGAGCTAGGAGAAGTCGGGGCAGGTAAAGTTGGACTAGAGGATGGAAGGGAACGTCGGGGAGAGTTTCAACTGTATGATACGTTTAGCGCAAGTCATGATGGTCCTTACTTGACGTTTGTGGCCCGGGGTGACTTCTGGAAGGATCTTTAGGGGGATGGAAATGAGATCACGGTGTACCATAATCAAGAACTCTTCTTTTTGGGGCGGATTCTCGAGGTTAATTCGGATTTAGCCAAACAAGGAAGTTAATGATAATTAAATTTTTTAGAGCATTTCCCCCCAAGAAAAGAACATCATGCGTTCCGAGTGACCTTACATATTCACATCCTCTCACTTACTCAACTCTCGTACAATATCCTCCGCTCCAGCAAAAGATAACTCAGCCATCGTCTCTTTCCAAAGTTGCTGCGTGACCCGACCCCCATCATCCTGATAAACAAAAGCCGCTTTCCTTTACACCACCCTCGTTAGCAGATCCCGGTCCCACGATTCAGAGAGAAGATCTTACGCTTGTACTATACATTCTTGCATGAACTGCCCATGAGCCTCAGGTCCATGGACCGCTGCATCAGTCACAACACGAGCTCCCACCTCCGGCTTGCGCCCAATAACTCGCTTGATACAATTAACGATCATCTGCGCAATGTTGAAACCAGGGAGGACTCCCAAATTCGTGTCACGACACCAGCCGGGAGTGGGCATGCTGATGATCGCCACGGAAGAGGGGACTCGCTTCGCTAGTTCTGTGACGAAGAGCTGGCCGAGTAGTTTGGAGGTCCCGTAGCGATCCATGATGTTGAAGGTCTCTGGCTTGTCGAGAGCGGCAAGTAATGGTGTGCTGTCCTTCTCTTTGAATTTGGCCCATCCAGCTACTTCTGTTTGTACCCATACTAGATGGGCTTCGGGTGCGTCGTTGGCTGACACTCTGCCTTTAGCTCTGACATTGAAAATAGGAAGAAGCAATATGGCGAGTAACGCTGTAGACAAGTAGTTCACCTGAATAGTTTCTTCGTGGCCCGTGGATGATGTGACTTCGAAAGTTTGCTTCATAATACCCGCATTAAGAATCACAATGTCCAGACGTTCCAAGGTCTTCACCCGCTCCACGAAAGCGGTAATCGACTCATAGGACAGCATATCCAGTTTCCAGACTTCGATCGCGTCATCGGCTAGACTGCGACCTTGTGATAGGTTTTTGCGAGCGGTTTTACCTTTCGACTCATCGCGCACGGCGATGATGAGCTTACTCAGCCCCAGATCGAGAAGTTGACGGGATGTTTCTAGACCGATTCCCTGATTGGCACCCGTTACGATGGCGGTTTTCCCTTTGAGGCTCACATTCTGTGGCAGAATGGGAGTCAAGCAGAGCTGGCGGTAGAAAAATCGGCTTGTGGTGGAGTTCTTCTCCGCGTCGGCCTTTAGTTCTGCTTCGGTGGCTGGGGCAGCCATGTTGATAGAACGGAATCAGTGGAGCTATGCTAAAGGGAAGGGCAGATGGATATCTCTGTAGGTACTTTACATCCTATTCTTGAATGCTCCGGCATTCCCGCTCTTTCTATTGTATACAAGGAGTAGAAGTAGCTACTTAATGATAAGCGAGTAAACGATGTTGGATCTTGGATGTTGCAGTACGGCACAGTGCGGCAAGGTAAGATCTTACTGGCTCGAGATCTTGATGTACTGTAAGACAGCAATGTACGACATGTCTATCTCTACCTGTCAAATTCTGGATTTACAATTGGCTTCAATTTCATGTGCGCCTGTTGCTTTGTTCCTTATTTATCAATCTTCAGCGGAACGGTCTCAAGCTTCGCTCGCACCGAGCCATAGTTCTGTCGCTTTGACTAGGGCTGACTTCAACCACGGCTCCTCTAACGCAACGTCCTTATCGAATCCATGCTCACACCCTGGCCGAATGACCAAATCAATGTTATCATCTCCAAACTTATTCTTCATAGCCTCGGTAAAGTCGATACTTCCTTTGACTGCTACTACAGTATCATTGTCGCCATGCAACACCAGCATGTATGAAGCATTCTCCGTCTTTTCCAGGACTTTGAATGGGTACAGTTTCTCGTCCGAGCCATAAAAATCTTTTGTTCGTGTTTGCTGTGCTATCGAGAGCGCTACCTGAAATCGCTCAAGTGACTCTACAGAAGTCACGATGGTTCCCGGCTTCATATTCTTTAAGTGGTCTTCTAGAACTGAGGGGGGAACCATCGGTAGGCCCAGGATCGGATTGTTGCGCTTGGCACCAACATTCAGACCAGGAAAAGTGGCAATGACTGCTTTGATGAAGCCTCGCGGCTGAAAGAAACCAGATTGAACAGCGAGGGTTCCACCGGCACTTGGACCTTGCACTGCCACTTTTGACAGGTCGGCTTCGATTCCAGGCACAAGTTTCGATAGCTCAGGTTGGAGCTCTTTGCGCATCCATTCGTAGAAATCGGAAACGTCATCGAAAATGTCTGAACCACTCGACTCGGGAAGCAAGCGGTACTCTCCTGAAACGATGATAGCGGAATGAACGAGACAGTAGTCCAGTAGCCACTGTGGGAACCAATCTGGATACAGAGCCGAGCCAGTAGACTGAGAAATTGTGAGCGAAGTACCAGGCATACAGACTACAGAACAAGCCCTTACATAAAAGCCTCCATGGAAATGAGACATTATTGGATGTTTTCCAGGTTTGTTGCCTTTGGAACCAGAATATAGGCGTCAATGTCATGATTGCTGACACTTTTGTAGGCCACTTTGAAGACATGAAAGCTACTGTACTTTGGAGAATCCATCTTTTGAATGAAGGTGCTGTAATTGGGGATTTTACCGGGCGAATGTGGTATCTTTGTATTCGGAGATTGATTTCTAAGCCCACTTCCATCGTACGTACAATCTGTTGTCTTATTTGATATCAGACTCTTCAATTACGGACGTAGGATTAAACGCTAATTCGGAAAATGAAGGCTAAAACACGTGACATGTATACTGCCCTATTCTGATTGCAGTAGGATCACTAGACACTTAAGGGATGCTAACCAGATATAAGGACTAAATCTAAAGAACAAGCAGTTGCTATCATGCTTTCAATTTTGCTTTCGATCCTGCTACGGTTCTTCCCAGTTGTCTATCTCCATAGCAGTTCCTAGTATAGACAACTTGACTCATTGAGGATCACCAGGCCCTATCTTGTGCATTATGATTGTTCCATCACTGCCTTTTCCAAAGACGCTCATGTTCAGCGTTTCTTCATAGAACTTGGTTGATCCACTAGCGACCAACAATGTCCATCTCAGTTCTGGCCAAGTCCCCAAGGTCTCGTTCACACACTGTATTAACCACTTGCCTATCCCCTTGCCTTGGTACTCTTTCATTATATAGACATCTGTTACGTAGGCTGTGGAGACACTATTGGCAAATTAGTAGGTGTTTTGCAGGAACATGAAGGAGCCGAGATGGCACTCCCGAAAAGGAGTCCCGAGAACTCGACTCCTAAATGGTACGCAAAAGCAAGGCTGATTTTGACATACTAGTCTGTGACAATTCTTGCCAGGCCAATCTGACGTGGACCAGCTCGACCTTGCGGGTTGTTCAGTGAAAATTCACGTTCGTATTCAAGAGAAATGCTTACCAGCAATATCTGAGGACGAAGATGGCAACTCGTAAACACCAAAGCACAATGAATTATCCAACATCTTCTTCAAAAGTGTCTCGTCAATTGCCTTGACCCAATGCATCATATCGGAATCAAACGCAGCATTGACAGCAGCTGGCTGTATCAACGAAGGGTTGGTAGAGATGAGAAGATTATCTCGGTACCATTCTGAAGACGCCATCTTGAAGGCAAGAACGTGAAGATAGTATTCGAAAATCAATCGCGATTCGCTGTGAAATTGCAGGTTATAATATTTTAAAGACAATCAACAAGATGTTATCAATTTATATGTTAATTGTCTGTGAGTCACTGGACCATTGGAGGTAATCATGATTGAAGGGCGTTTGATCCTTGCGTTCTTAGTGAAGCGAGAAAATACCGCTAACCTAAAAGGCACTAGGGCTTCGTGCCAGCGCGTTTTCAAAAATATATTTTTTCGCAAATCATTTGCGTCCACATCTTCGTGCCCAATGTGAACAAAAGACTCGAAGATTCCCCCAAACGAGCTTTTCAAGCTACATTGCACACGGTAATCAGCAATGGAGCAACAAAAGTTCCTCGAGCTCTTAAAGAGCGTCCAAGTTCGTATGTTAACGCGTCTTCCATGCGTCCAAGTGATATAGCTAATATGTTTACAGCCGATACCGAGCAAGTAAAGGCTGCTACCACCGAGCTCAGAAAGATCTATTACCCCCATCCCGAGTCTCTTCTCTGGCTCCTCCATATCCTTACGTCGCACGACGTCCCCGAAATTCGCCAACAAGCTGCTGTCGAAGCCCTCCGCTTAATCTCTAAGCACTGGGTTGCCTTGCCCGCAGACCAGAAGCCTGCCATCCGACAACAGTTGCTCGACAGTACGCTCGCCGAGGAGAAGCCCCTTGTCCGACACTCGACAGCACGAGTTATTGCTGCTATCGCCGGCATCGACCTTGAAGATGGCGAATGGGGCTCCCTGCCAAGTCTTCTTGTTCAGGCTTCCACATCTAAGAAAGTTTCGCATCGTGAAGTGGGAGTCTACATTCTGTTCTCTTTGTTGGAGGTCGCCGGTGAATCCTTCGAAGACAAGATCCCAGGTTTATTCTCGCTCTTCAATACAACCATCAAAGACCCAGAAAGCTCGGAAGTTCGTACCAACACCTTACTTTGTCTGAGCAGAGTTGCTATGTTGATTCAACCGGACGAGGATCCAGAGAATCTCGCGCGCTTCATCGAGATTTTCCCCAGCATGGTCGCTGTCTTGAAGAGTGCCGTGGACGAGAACAATGAGGATCGTGCTATGCAAGCTTTCGAAGTATTTCAGACCTTGCTTGGCTGCGAATCTGCTTTGATCAATAAGCACTTTAAGGACCTCTTGACCTTCATGATTGACCTGGCTGCCAACACAGACATTCCGGACGAGTCGAGATCTCAAGCCCTCTCCTTCTTGATGCAGTGCGCAAGATATCGCAAGATGAAAATCCAGGGCATCAGGGATATGGGAGAGAATCTGACTTTGAAGAGCATGCAAATTGCTACTGAAATTGATGATGACGAGGATGAGGACGAGGTCACTCCGCATAAGTCTGCGCTTGGTCTTTTGGACCTCCTCGCCACCAGCTTACCTCCACGACAAGTGATCGTCCCCCTTTTGAAGGCCTTACCACAATACGTCAACAGTGAGAACCCAAAATATCGTCAAGCTGGCATATTGGCTTTAGGAATGTGTGTCGAGGGAGCTCCAGACTTCATCGCAACTCAGCTTGATAATCTCATGCCTATTGTATTGAAGTTATTGAACGACCCCGAGATCAGTGTTCGAGGTGCAGCTCTCAACGGTGTCGCCAGACTTGCCGATGATCTTGCAGAGGAGCTATGCAAGCATCACACAGAACTGGTTCCAGCATTACTCAAGAATCTTGATGCTGCCAGCGTCCAGGCGACCAGTGAAGCTGATCAGGAGAAGAATCTCGATATCCTTAAGGCTTCTTGCAGCGCTTTAGACTCTGTCACTGAAGGCATCGAGAAGGATGTCATGATCACCTACATCCCTGAGCTCATTCCTCGTCTAGGTAGATTGCTCGGTCACCCTGATCTTCATGTCAAAGCAAGCGCTGCAGGTGCAATGGGATCAATTGCCGGCTCTGCTGAAGATGCGTTCTTACCTTACTTCGAGACCACCATGAAGGCTTTGTCCGAATACGTCACAATCAAGGACAGCACGGACGAGCTTGACCTTCGCGGCACCGTTTGCGATGCAATGGGTAGTATGGCAACGGCTGTAGGACCAGTGGCCTTTCAACCATATGTTCAACCTCTTATGCAAGCCAGCGAGGAAGCTCTGCACCTGGGCCATCCAAGATTGAGGGAGACTAGCTATATTCTGTGGAGTACTTTGGCCAAAGTCTATGAGGAAGAGTTCACACCATTTCTCGAGGGCGTTGTTAAAGGTCTCATGGAGAGCTTGAACCAAGAGGAAGATGATCTTGAAGTTGAGCTTGGAGAAGAGGCTAAAGACTTACTGGGCCAGGAAGTCATTATTGCCGGCAAGAAGATCAAGGTCGCTTCCGCTACCGATGTTCCGGAGGATCTGGACGAGATGGGAGATGACGAGGACGATGGAGAGTGGGACGATCTCTCAGCCGTCACCGCCGTTGCGATGGAAAAGGAGGTTGCTGTGGAAGTCCTCGGTGATGTTCTGTCGCACACCCGCAAGAACTTCGTACCCTACTTCGAGAAGGCTGTTGAGGTCACTGTGGGTCTGGTAGAGCACTCCTATGAGGGCGTCAGAAAGGCCGCTATTGGCACCTTGTGGCGTGCATATGCCTGCCTCTGGGGCTTAATGGAGGACCACACCGGCGAAAAGTGGACACCTGGATTACCATTGAAGTCACAACCATCTGAAGAACTACTCAAATTGGGTGAGGTGGCCGCGGCTGCTACTCTTTCCGTTTGGGATGACGAAGTTGATCGGTAAGCTACTACTTTCTTGTCCTTTATCCCCCATGAAATGATGAACAACATGACGTTATACCCAGCTCACTCAGACGCACAAGTTGCGAATGCTGCGAACGCGTAATCAAATCTGATCATATTCCAACCGTTCTTGTCAAAGTTGATAGTTGCAAAGTTACTCTTGCTAACAAGAATATTTTTCCAGGGCTGTCGTCACAGATATCAACAGAAATATCGCCGCCACTCTCAAGCTCTGCGGACCTGCTATCTTGACCCAGGAGAACTTCCTAGAGCGCACTACAAGTGTGCTTGCTGCGATCATCACCAAGACTCACCCCTGCCAACAGGACATGGGCGACGATGATGACCATGAAGGCATGGAGGAGGATGAGTCGTCTGAGTATGATTGGCTCGTCATCGACACTGCTCTGGATGTTATTATCGGATTGTCCAAGGCGCTCGGAGAACAGTTCGGTGAAATCTGGAAGATCTATGTGAAGCCAATCATGAAGTTCGCTTCTTCACCAACCACCTATGAGCGCTCAACTGCTGTTGGTGTCATTGCAGAGTGCACAAGAAACATGGGCAGTAGTGTTACCCCATACACCAGCCAACTTCTCAAGCTTCTTCTACACCGTCTCTCTGACGAGGACCCAGAGACAAAGTCTAATGCAGCCTATGCTACTGGTCTCCTCCTCTACCACTCCACCGACTCTAGTGCTTACCTCCCAAGCTATAACACCATCCTCAGCAAGCTTGAGCCACTCCTACAAACAAGCCATGCGAGAACACTAGACAATGCATCCGGTTGCGTCTGCCGTATGATCATGGCTCACCAAGACAAGGTTCCTGTAGATGATATCCTACCTGTTCTTGTTGACCTTCTTCCATTGAAGGAGGACTACGAAGAAAACGAGCCTATCTTCGACTGTATTGCCGGCTTGTGTAAGTGTTCCTTCTCTTTGGTATGCACAATTTCTAACAGTCTGATAGATCACCACCAAAACCAGACCATCCTCAGCCTTACTCCGAGATTCATTCCTGTCTTCCAAGCCGTCCTCGGCGAACCTCGAGAGCAGTTGGATGATGCTACACGCGCTAAGGTCGAAGCCACAGTCAAGTTTATTCAATCGAAAGGCTTGGCTTAATTCAGGGTTATGAAGTACTGATGGTCTTGCCTAAAAACAACAAATGGCCTCTTGCAATGATTGATGACTGAACGATAATGCATGGGAATGGATGGATAGACTTGTCAAGCTGCTGATATATATGCTTTGACTGAAAGTTTATGGGCTGCAGCATGTGGGTGGCAAATTTGCTCTGTTAGAATTCTTGTTTTTAGCATACCCCGAGACCGTAGTCATTCAGTCTGCATATTTCACTATAGAGTGAACAATGAAAAATATTGAAGAACCGTACTTGCGACAACTCATCTGTGATGATTGAATGATTGCTTTGTTGCTACTGCCGTTACTCGACAATGAAATGCTACGGGTATCTTCCTCACCATGCGACAAAGATGTACTCCAACGCCAATAGGAATCCCATCCAATGAATATGCAACCTATCCCGCAATGCAACAAATGCCACAGTACCAAACCAATGCTCGCCGTCCCATGCTTTCTTTCCCTCCCTATGCAACTCCTCCAAACCATGCTATGACTAGGTTCTATATACGAAATGCAACGCAATGCAATGATGTCCCAAATAATGTCGGACCATAACAAATCTCAAAGAAACTCAACATAATGCTAGCAATTCTTGCGAGCAACCACTGAACTCATCATCTCCATAATCCGTAGCTGTAGACTTGACTCTTTTCAAGGTCCGTTTGGTTTGCTGTGGCCGTGGCGTTTCCTTAAGTAGCACTTTCTGTGTCTCCAAACCGGCCAGCTTCTTACTCTCTCCGATAGCTTTCTCTAGCATCTTCTGTTCTTCGTCCTCAAAGAAATCTCCAACATCGAAGTCTCCGTAATCCGTCGCCGACTGCTCTTTCCGAAGGCTCGGTGGTCCCTTTGATGATGCGGACTTGACATGCTTAGGTGCAGATATCTTGCTCTCGTGTAAAGCTGCTTGTAAGATATCCTCTTCCTTCTCTTCGAAAAAGCGACGTGCTCGTGGGTTTTGATGCGCTGGAGGCGCTATTTGCGCTATCTGCGCGTTCTGCGCGTTCTGCGCATTTGGCGCATTTTGCGCGGTAAGCGGCACAAACGCCTCACCCGAGTATTGTCCTTTTAATCCTGTACATGTAGCAATCTTACTTGCGTCGAGTGCAGCTTGACAGAGATCTTCTTCCTTTTCTTGGAAGAAGCGAGGCTTGTCTCGAGATGTCGGACGTGGTGGTAGAAGAAACTTCGGTTGTCCTGCTTTCAGTTCTCTCGCAGTCTTTGGTGGTGGTGCTCGACTAGGGGTGATGATCTCTTCAAGATCCTGAGGAGTCAGCACAAGATCCTGCGTACAGATCAAATCCTCGAAACGATTATTTATCATTGGCTTCTGTGGGCCCAGCTCCTGAGCGATTTGGGTATTTGACGGGATGTCATCAACGTCTTCGAGCAATTCTCGAACCTGTTGACTCGGGCTTGGGAAGAAATCGTCTAAGTGGTTTTCCAGAAAAGCTTGAGTTGATGAAGGTGGCATGTAGGGAGCTGATCTAGAAGTTACCGTATTAAGATTCTGTCGAGATATCAGAGGCTTCACAGGCGGAGTTGCGAAGGACATGGAGGGCTTTTTGAGAAGAAGTCGAGGTGGAGGCATGTTGGTTGAACGTTCCAGTAATGCGGGCCTGCTGTTTGATTGGGGTGCATTTCTAGTCTCTGTGACTCTCTTAGAATTCTGACCCTCAGTGTTACATCGATTTAAATTCAATGGTGAAGGGGAAAGCTCGTTGTTTGCAGGCTTCAGAGGTCCCAGAATTGGTGCTGACTGGACGAGGGCGGCTGGCTCCGAAGCATATGATCTGGACGCTGCTTCAGCTGCTTCTGATAGCAGTTTCGTCGTGACCAGTTCTGCAAGGTTTTCCTTCTCGAATAGAAGCCTGTCTTCCGTCTTCTTTTTGAATGGTGGCTCCTGAGAAGCATCAAGGCTGTATGGTTTACATTCGTCCCAGTTCTGCTTTTTCTCTGGGGAAGGTGGTAATGAAAATCCATCTCTCAATGAGGCAGCAGAACTGTCTATCTTCTCAAGGGCCGATTGTGACAATGTAGGGAAATCGCCAAACTCGTCTTCTGAATCGTGGTCAACTGCAACTCGTTTTGCAGGAGGTTGTAATTTGTCCTTAGGTATAGATCCAGCATTGTCATCATCGTCCGAGATCTCATCCTCCTCTTCCTCCTCGACATCCTCCATCTGCTGCCAGGATCGCTTTTCATTACTGTCGCCTCTCACGAACCTCGATATGGTAGGTTGACTGGCACGAACAAATCTGCTGGGCTCAGGCAGACCCAGTTTCTTCCGAGCTTCCCTCTCTGCCAATGCCTTCGTAGCTTTCTTGTCCCTAGCAGCTTTCGTCTTCGCTGCATTCCTCTCCTTCTCGTGCTCTTTCCTTATCCTCTCGAGCTCTGCTGCATCTCTTCTGCGCTGCTCAGCTTTCGAGATCTTAGTTCCTCTCTGCGCTTGCTGGTATGCTTTCTTGGCAGCTTTGCTGGTCATAGGAGGTCTGGATGCATTTTGCTTGACAAGAGTCGTTGGTACAAGCTCGAAAGTCTTCTGTCGACCTGTCATTGTCGCAACATTGGGGCGTTGCGATCAGAAATGAAGAAATACACCTCAAGCCTCTTCCTGCAAAGTCCCACAATTTTGATCAGCGATCTGCGATTGGACGGGCGGACGCGTCGACCGCGGCGGGGTAAATATTGACAATGTCAGATGAAAAGGAACGTGAACAAACACTTTACGTTTGTTTTGTCAGGTTGAAATAATGATCTCCGATTCGAAATTTTCATTTGTGAACCTATGGGTTGCTATGGGACTCGAGAATGGAAGGTACCGAGACAGCGTCAATGTCTACGAACCCGTGATCAAATTGCAATGTAAAAGCTACGTACAGCACTATCTACGTCTACCATTCTCGTTCTCTCTATTGCTCGAGAGGGGCCACTGTTGGATCCCAGCACACAGGCGCATACTCTGTAGTCTCCAGTGTCTTCATCTCCTCTGGGGTAAGCTCGAAGTCATAGACATCCGCATTTTCCACGATTCGACTTGGAGTGACGCTCTTCGGGAGAGGAACGAACCCCTTTTGTAAGCTCCATCGCATCAGAATTTGAGCTGCAGTCTTCCCATGCTTCTTCGTCAGAGGTTCAAAGACCTTTTCTTCCATCCTCTCTCCTCGAACGAGGGGGGAATATGCCTCAACAACAACTTCGCGCTTCTGCAACCACTGGACGATATCAGGACGCGGGAGCCATGGATGAAGCTCGTATTGTCCCACGCTTATCACACCACCCTTTCCCTTTCCTCCTCTCTCCTTTTCAAGCTCTTGAATGTATTCCTCCATCTCATCTAGATGCTGAACACCGTAGTTGCTAATGCCGATGCTGCGAATCTTTCCTTCCTCGACAGCCTCAACTAAACCTTTCCACGCACCCTTACGAGCATTACGGCCTCCATAAGGAGCGTGAATGAGCATCAAGTCGATGTAATCGAGACCTGTCTCCTTTAAAGTCTTCTCCACCTGGGCCTTTGTGTTCTCGTAACTGAGACTTCGAGCTGGGATCTTGCTTGTGAAGAAGATCTTCTCCCGTGGAATGCCAGACTCTCGGATCGCCTTGCCGCAAGGAGCTTCATTGCGATATGCAGCCGCAGAGTCCACCTAAGACAGTATCAGCATTGAGACTGGATTAATCTGCATTATTGACCACATACATGACGATAGCCAGCCTGGAACGACAGCTTCGTCACATCTTCACAAACATCTGCAGGACTGTTTATTCGTTAGCAAAGTATAAGCCCGGAACAGTTCATTCAATGCGTACGTCTGGTAAACCTAGGTACCGTTAGCTTTCAGCGATGCCAGTGACCCACATAAACTACTCACACCATAGCCAAGTAGTGGTATTTCAAATCCTGAGTTCATGCGAACCGTCGAATTGATTGTAATTGGCGCCATTCTGTTACTGTGAAGTCCTGCCGATCAGTGACCGAAGTTCTGCTTTGTGATGTGAAATTAAGAGTCTCTGAGACAACACAAAGTGGGATGCGGTTTTTAAATGTACGAAATCGCTTGATACACCATCTGATACGCCGCACAAGAGAATTGTGACATACGAGTGTACTGAGAATTCTGTCCAATGATTTGGAAGCTGGTGCTGAACCTGTTTTAATCTCGATATCAGGCTTGTTCTCATTACTATAACTTTTTTAAATTCATTGCTTCCATTTTACCCGCTGATAGACCAACATCTTCAAGAAAGAACGAATGCGGGGATGAGGGGCAACTGACGTCATGTGATTGTTTTGTTCCTGGTCCAAATGAAAATGTTTGGACTCTGCACTAACATTTTCAGTCGACATTTGAATATTTTTAGAATATATACTCTCAAGGCGAAGATACCATGTCCACTTTCCTTTTCAAAAATACCATCCCATACATACTCCCAGTGTCCAGGCAAAATTTGCAACAAATCTATTCGCAAGCGGACGACAACTCGGTGAAATAGTTCCAGCCAGCTCCACCCTCCACAAAAAAACAAACAGTAAATTTAACTCAGACAACCGCTGCTGAGAATTCTGTCAAGATGCTTCTCAAAAAGCAAAATATTGAGCGCGATGGCTCAGGCACAATAACGCTCTTTCCAGAAGAACCAGAGGATATGGTCAGTCCACTGCCTCCCAGCTTGTCACTCAACTAACACTGCAACTATAGTGGCATGCCTATAACCTCATTGCAGTCAATGATCTCCTTCGCGCTTTCGCTATCCGCCGAGTTACCACCGAATCCAGCACAGGAACCACGAAGTCTGAGAGAGTCCATACCCTCCTTACCATAAGAGTCACCGGTCTTGATTTCGATCCCCAAGCTGGACAACTGCATGTCAGCGGACGGGTGACGGAGGAAAACAAGTGGGTCAGGGTTGGCGCATTCCATACACTCGACATAGAACTAAGAAGGGATTTTACCCTCGAGAAGAACGAAGGATGGGACTCTGTGTCGTTGGATGTCGTGAAAGAGGCTATACGGCAAGATAAAGAAGGCGTAGTTCCTGCTGTTGTCATGCAAGAGGGCATCGCGAACATATGTCTCATCACAGAGCATCAAACGGTACTCAAGCAACGAGTCGAGACTGGTATACCGAAGAAGAGGTCTGGAAGGTCAGCAGACCATGATAAAGGCATGGTTAGATTTTACGAAACCCTTCTGGATACATTGAAGCGGCACATCGATCTCGCTCAAAAAAGACCACTACTTCTTGCAAGCCCAGGCTTCACAGCTGCTGGTTTCAAAAAGTATATCATCGATGATGCCACTCGAAGGGGCGAGAAAGCAATAATGGCCAACAAGGACAATTTTCTAGTGGTTCACTCTAGTTCTGGGCATCTCCATAGTTTGAACGAGGTCCTAAAAAGCTCCGAAGTTCTGAACAAGCTAAAGGATACCAAGTATGCAAGAGAAACTCGCTACATGGACGACTTTATGGCTTTGCTGCGGCAGGATGATGGCAGAGCATGGTATGGTCCTACGGAGGTGGAAAAGGCTGTCGAGAAGGGTGCTGTTGGTCGAGGCGGCGGGGTGCTACTTATCAATAATTCACTCTTCAGAAGTCAAGAAATTGGCGTAAGAAAAAGATGGGTAGCTTTAGTCGACAAGGTCAAGGAGGAAGGAGGAGAGGCGAGAGTGCTTAGCAGTGATCACGAGAGTGGGAAGAGGTTGGAGGGTCTTGGGGGTATTGCGGCGATTTTGACATTTCCATTGGAGGATTTAGATGATGAAGAAGGTGAAGGTGAAGCCGTCGAGAATGGGGTAGATCACGAAGCTGTGATATAAATTGAATATTTCCCCAGTCCTCCCTTTCACTATGACGTTGTTGATTAGACAAATTCCTGATGTGACTTGGTGTAGTCGAGTTTTGAGAGCGGTGCAAAATTCTTCATGCATCGAAGTACCTGGACACAAGAGCATTACACTGTTTATGTCAGGTTCTAATGATGGAAAATGTAAGCAGTTTTCATGGATCACAGCATGAATGATCATTATGTGAGGCTCTATTCCCATGTTTTGTGTAATATCAAAATCGAGTTCCAGGATTGGACATTCAAAGGTTTGTTGTTGTCAACCGCAAATCGTACAATCACTCGCAAACTGTGCGTGTTTGAACTCCAATCATTATTTATACTCTATGGAAATCGAGTTCTGAAGCCGGACAATGAATCTGTGGATTGCAAAATGAGTGTAAACTGTGAGCGTTTAAAAGCGGATCCCATTTTCTAATTATGTCAAGCTCGAGTCCGATGGATAGATTATCATGAATCTATTGCGAGATAATCTACTTTTGATCCTCTGGCACCAAGAATTACACAGCTTTGTAGGGCGATCCCGGACAACGGTATCGGAATTGAGTAGGGTTATATTTTGGACTATGTTTTGGTTTGTGGGAGTGAGGAAAAAGACAATTGGAAGAGCGTTAAGACTTCCACCATACATGGAGAGCTGATAATGGAAGAAAGTAGGGCATGGGCATTATTATTCCGTCCACATGCAGTGTGCACTCTCACCATTGCAAGCATAATCAAGGGAGTGAGAAGGTGAAGTCGAGATAGAAAGGGGGCTCGCTTGTACTCGCTAAACTTGCTCAGAACCATTCCATGACGGAAACATCCTTATACACTTAAAGACTTTGGAAATACCTTTTGCATTGAAATGAAGAGTAGACATGCAACATTATTCATCATGTGATAGTCGCTGCAAGCCACTCTAAGTGTAAATAACATCCTTCACCGCAGATACTTTCAAGTTCAATTACGGGGACAGTTCAAGTCCAGGTTCAAGACAGCATATTGATGAAAATTAAAACTAAATAATGAAATGAGAGTAAGAAGTAGAAGCCCTTATAGTAACTATTTGATTCAGACCGAAATATATCACGTAACTTTAAGTCGTGACAAACTCTCACAACACCTGAGAGGCCCACAAGCTCCGGCACATTCTGGTGAAAATTTACGAGCCACAGTAAGCAACGCCGGTGCCGCACTAAGTCGAGAACATCATTAGTCTAGTTTGGAGAAAGTATTGTTTGCAAGACTCACATATCCCCATTGACTACAACACAGGCCGGCAGCACAAGGTCCTCCAGTCCCACAATTGGCCGGAGGAGGAGTGGGACAATAGCCGTCTCCCACTCCGCAGAAACCGTATATCGAGCAACATTCTCCAGTTGGGCAAGTCCCCCCAACTCCACCAGTGCATGATCCTACTTGACCTGGCACTGTCTTAGCATATACGACCTCGAAAATGGAGATGATACCTACAGTAGTCTGGACCAGTCCCGCAATAGTCATATTGCGAGCAACATAGACCAGCAGCACAGGGAGTAGTCGCACAGGAACCGGTTTGCCTGTTCACCAGCTCAAAGAAGCTGTGAATAGGGTTACCGTTGGAAGAGCGAAACAGGGCAGCAGAAGCCAAGATCGTGAGAAGGTTGAAAATCTGCATTTTTGAGATAAAGAAGTAAATATTCGGATAATTTTGGTGATTTGACTAGACAATTGGTTTCCACAAGCTGAGTGATCTCTAAGTCCAAATATAAGACGATCCTCTATCTTATATGGGAATATTCTGAAGTGCGGGGTTCTTCACAATACGAGAACATTGCTTTCAAACTCTTGGCTTTCTGATAACAAGGCACATGATTGATGAGTGAGATGCAGCCATCATCAGATAATGCTGATAAGTTGGCTACACTATGAGGGGAACCTAGAGTTTTCCTACCCGGAGCATCATTTCTAGCCTTCTTAGCAGCCACCTGATGATAGTCTCCGACTTTCCGGTGCAGCCGTGGTGTGATCCATCCCATAGCATGCCATCGAAAGAAAGCAGGTCCATATGCAGCAGCAGAGAATATGAGTTGCATTGCAGTAAATCGATCAGCTGCATGAATCGACCAAAAAGGACGCTTGCAGCTCACAGGCGGACCCGTGCCCCCGTGAGGAGAGTTTTGGTGACAACACTTGTTATATCAAGTACCGACTATATAGCGGTAACAAGGAACATAGTACAAAGCTCGTAGTGCTCAAAGGTATCTGAAGAAACATATAGCGGGGTAACACATGATAATCATGAGATGGTGGTCATGCATAAACATTCGTCAGCGACATGCACTTGCCAAGTACCAATGTACATTTTGCTGATGGATGCAGCAAGTCACCGATGACCAGAGATGGGAATATTGGAACGGTTTGCCATGACTAAGGTTCATAGTCATTCTCATGCATCGAGATATTCTGAAGAAGCAAAGAAATACAAATACATGAAAGGAGAAGAAGCAAGTATCTAAAAATAGATATCATTCACGTGGTCCGGATTCATCCACCTTGTCAAACTCCATTTTTTCTCCAAACAAGCTTTTGTTAAGCTTTCAGCAATTCTTGGTCCTTTATACACCTCCCTCTGTGCCAAGTCATGACATTTTCTTCTTTTCTTCACTCTTACTTCATATTTATTCACGAGTGGTGGCGGTGCTCCAGCGGCTGACGATACGTATGCTCGCTGCTGGCCGAGGATGAGGTCCGAGGGGGCTGTGTATCAGCCTTGACACCATACGAGTTTCGAATCTCGTGTTGGCTCAGCACAACCCCTGTGAAGACATCCCCAACGCAGCAACGTCTGAAATACAGGCACTCTAAGGTTCGAGAAAGGTTAAGTTCGTTTCAATTTTTCCATCTTTCATTTCCGTGGCGAGCTGGTACGTGCTGTCTTTCCTCTGATCTCCGCACTCCACGAGTCCACAGAGACCCATCATCTCCTCTTCCTTTTACGAGCTTAATTCACTTGGGACTACAACTCTATTTCGGGCTGCCAAAGTCTTTGGTTCCTTTCTATCCTGGAGATTCGTACTGTCATTATTTCGCCTACACTGTTTCATTCACATCTGACGTACCCTTTGACAGGGCCTTTTAATCATCCTTCGGTATTTACACTTCGCCGGATTCCTTCGCAGACCTCGATCTACTTCACTCTTGTTTCCCATCCATCTGGACCTCTTCCACTTCCATTCCTTCACCAACAGACATAATATCATAATGAAACTCAGTCTACTATGGCCAACGCTGCTGGTTCCGGCTGCTACAGCTCTAACGGTTGACACAACCTCTGCCGGTATGGATCACATACTCTTTAAGTAAAGTACAGTGCTGACGTCTTGTTTTCCAGAATCTCTAAAAACGGCTGCGAGCACAGTCGCACAAGGCTTGATGAAATTCTACACAGGAAACAATCCCGTACGTCCGAACATTTCATCTCAACAACTCAATCTGACATTCTTAGGGTGACACTCCAGGCACATTACCGCCTCCGTACTTCTGGTGGGAAGGTGGCGGTATGTTTATGACGATGGTTGATTACTGGTCCAAGACGAACGACTCAACGTATAACGACATAGTCGAGCAAGCATTACTATTCCAAACCGGCCCAGATAACGATTACATGCCACCCAACCAGACCAAGGATGAAGGTAATGATGACCAAGGATTTTGGGGAATGGCAGCAATGCTAGCAGCCGAGACGAATTTCCAAAATCCACCGAAGGGACAACCACAATGGCTTGCTCTCGCACAGGCAGTTTTCAACGAAATGGCGTCAAGATGGGATGCAACCACTTGTGGAGGAGGGTTGAGATGGCAAATCTTCACATTCAACAATGGTTTTACGTACAAGAACAGCATTGCCAATGGTTGTTTCTTCAACTTGGCTTCCAGACTTGCACGATATACAGGAAATGCCACTTATGCTCAGTGGGCCGAAACGATCTGGGACTGGGAATCATCTATTGGCTTGATCGATAGTAGCTACAACATCTTTGATGGCTCTTCAGATGTACAGAATTGCACCGTTATCACGAAACTCCAATGGACATACAATGCGGGGATTTACCTTCATGGAGCTGCAAATATGTACAACTATGTACGTCCCCTACCGGTTTCGTACAGAATAGAATGAAGCTAACAAATAAATCCAGACATCAGGTCAATCCCTGTGGCAAGGACGAGTCGACGGCATCTTGAAAGCCTCCAGTATCTTTTTCACCAACGATATTATGGAAGAACAAGCTTGTGAGAATGTGAATACCTGCGACACCGATCAACTTTCCTTCAAAGCATACTTCACACAATGGCTCGCGGCAACCTCTATTCTCGCGCCCTTCTCCGCAGGAACAATAACGCCCTGGCTCGCTGCCTCCGCCACCGCCGCCGGTCTCCAATGCGGAACTGGAACCTGTGGATTCAAATGGACGGCTGGCGCCACGTATGATGGGACCACCGGAGTCGGGCAACAGATGAGTGCTCTGGGTGCTGTCCAGAGTGCGTTGGTTCAGGTTAAGGGCGAAGCGGTAGCGGTACCCGTTACTAACTCTACTGGAGGAACGAGCCAAGGAGATGCGAGTGCGGGTATCACGCAGCCAAGTACAGGCATGATGGACGCAACTACACCGGCCACGACTGGGGAGAAAGTTGCAAGTGGGTTCTTGACGCTTGCTGTTGTGGGTGGTGTTATTGGGGGAAGTGTATTCATGGTTCTGGAAAGTTGAGAAAATATGGAGAAGCATTTTTGTTTTTATGGTGGGGCATTTGATTATTGTATGCATTGGATTGGTGTTGGAGTTCTGGGAAGAGCATGCTTTGAATGCATGCTGGATCATGGGATTTGATATCCGCCTTACCTTGGCAAGTTTGTGGCCAAAATTATGATTTCAAGTGTACAATAGAGAAGTCAATGCATTGACACATATCTCTATCGTTCTATAGATATATCTACATGTCAAAACATCACTCGAAGATTGATGCCGTAATAAGTGTAGAAATTTCGTCGAACATTCACTTGAAAATTCCTGCAAAAATCCTCTCCATAGAATCTTTGTAGAAAGAATCACACCTACAATTACAAATCAATACACCTCTCGAGATTATGTGCTAGAATTTATATAGGTTAATCCGGAGACATTAAAAATAAGAATTATCGTTACACATAGCACCTCTAGCAAAGGCAAGATAATCTTTACCAAGTACTTAAATAGCTTTCGAATTGGCTCCCACGGACGGACAACTGGTTATCTGTTGCACATCGCACATTCGAAAACAAGATCTCTCTTTGACGAGTGCTTAAGGGGCTTCAAAGTCGGGTTTCTGCCAGGAACATGAGTGAATATTTTTGTTGCACATCGCAATACTTTCTCGGGGACCGATGTTGGGCTTGTCGGTCATGCTTGTCAGATGACTGACTACCTAAGTCCAAAATATCAATTGTCTGTACTCGTAGGTAGTTTTGTAGGAGTGATGCACTCATCTATTGTCAGTAATTAACAATACACTTGTTCTGCTTCAAAGCAGGTCTGATCTGTCATTAATTATGCATGGTTAATGCTGAGATGGATTACCATTCCAGACCTAGACTTATAGTTCAGATGGAACAAAGAATACTATGATCTTGGCTCACCTGGTATCTTGATCTTATCAGCCGAGAACATGTATCGTTGATCGACGTGATTCCAAGGATCGTCCACTCCTCAATGCAGTGGCAAACCTACTCGTCAACTATGGTGTCACTTATGATGATCAGTAGTGGCATTGCTGTAGATCTTGTGTGAAGATTGCTTGCTGGGGTGAGGTGACATCCGGATGATTCAATTGTGCTTCAGATAAACTACAATTTGAAGCTCACTTAGTAATTGAGATAACAAACGAGGAGTCCAGGTTTCGATATACCGGGTCTCATTGTATGTCTCTGGTTGGGATTTTTTTTCGCGGGATTGATTTCGTAGTAGCTATATGCCTGTAGTACTTTAAGAAGCTATATACTTTCGATTCGACCTACCATTGAAGTATTACCAAAACTATCGACAATCTTCACTCCAGTAACTTTATCATGTTCCTCATCCATCACAACTCTATACTTCTCACCAGCATACAACGGGCTTGTGGCCCGATAAGTTATTTTCTTGGGGAAGACCTCGCCACCTCTGATATCTCTCCAGAAGTTGACCATATTGATCAGGTTCAATGGCCCGTGAACAACCAAGTCTCTGTGACCTTCAACTTCTCTGCACCATTCTCTGTTGTAGTGTATCTTGTGGCCATTGAAAGTTAAGGCTGAGAATCGGAAGAGAGTGACAGGAGTTTGGGTAAAGTCTCGAGTGTGTTTGCCATCTGGCAGAGGAACCTCGGGTGGTCTCGAGGCAGGAGCTTGCGGTATTGTGATTTCGGGTCGAAAGATCCAGTTCCTATCCATATCTCCATCAGTGTACATGCTCTACAGAAGCAAGCATGCAAGACTCAACCACAGCATAGCAAGTCCTACCTTCGATCGATCAACGCAACTCCATGCTCGTTCTCAAATGTCTTCTCTACGCCAACCACCACCATCTCCTCTCCTGCTCTTGTCTTCTTCCCTTCTGCAGACGTCAACTTTGTAGTCTCCGTAACCTCTTGCCCGACTTTTAATCTGTTTTTATCACCCCCAATCCATTCCAGCTCTCCGCCAGCCCACATCCGTCTCGTGAACGGCCGCGGCGGGTTGAACGTGGTATCGGTGCCATCCGCTCCCAATTCCTCCTCGACCTGGGCCGGCGTGAAGTAGGCTAGATGCCAGCAAGCAGGTAGCGGTGTGCCATTCTCCGGCACGGTCCTCGAAAGCTCAGTTCTCGAAAGCGTAGCGGAGAATCGCTGCAATTGATTCGCATCCAAGAGTTGTGTTTGCTTGTATGGAGGAAGGGACTGGGACTTGGACAGGAATTGAGACGCAGTTGAGGCCGCAGAGCTGGAGCTGTAGAGACGCCTGAATGTGCACGACATGATGGAGCATTGAACGCTCTGTTGGACAGGGCATTCCGGGTCCAGAGCATGATGGCAGACGTTGGAGCCAAGACTCTGGCTGCGGGGCCTGTCATCTCAACTCTGAGATCGCGCGCACGGTCATCGACGGACGTTGTTGCGAAAGAGGCTTCTTATTTCCGCTGCTTGCCGAGGTGCAACCCTCCTAAGCTTAAAATAAGCGCTCACCCCCTGGCAGCTTTTAGCGAAAATTACCCTTGAGCGTGCTTCGGCCACCTAGAGCCCGGCGCATGGACAATTGCTTGATTCGATTGCTTGACACCAAGCGGATTCAAAACTTGTCACAGAGTGAAACAACAACCAAGAGCATTCGAGCAAGAATCATGTTTCTGGATGAACTTTTGAGACTCGGGATAATATCAATCGCAATGCGAATAGTAATCGCAGTTTTTGGGGGTTCCTAGCTAATCGTACAATACTACTTGCCGCCACTCGACTCGACCTCAACCGCTACCCGGAAAAACGTTTCATCCCCAAATATCAAACCGCCGCACACCCAGAAACAGAAGAAGCACCCGAAGAACCTTGAAACATTCACCCCCGGTTCATCCCATCAGCTCGTTAGACCATGACGTTCGTCCAGACTCCCTCCACGCCTTCCTGTGACACCCCAACTCCCACCGTTTTTGATTTGCCCTAGAGTGAAAATTATCCGCCTTCAGTCATTAAAATCTTGTAGAAAAGAATTATTAATTCATGAAGTGATTTCTTATTCGCATCTCTGGCCCATCTCAACACCGGCCATGACAATGTCGCGAGTTTCACGTCTCTCTTCCATGCGCTTGATCATTTCTCGCTCCTTGGGGCTGCGTGGGCTGGCATCCTGTAGATAATTAGTCATAATTTCTAAATCAACAGAATGAATAAACGTACAATACCCAACAATGCAGAGATGCTGGTGGCATTGCTCTTGTTCTCCTGGACGGGAGTTGGCAATTGGTGCATGGGCTTCGTGTTGTAGCCTTGGTATGCACCGCTGCGAATAGTCTGAGTGTCTGGTGAGACACATGGAGTAGGAGGTGCATTGGTTGCGATTCCTCGCTTCCATGTCTCCTCAAGCAAGAGGGGTGATGCACCTGCACCGTACTCGGCAGCGATGACGCCCCAGAATGAAGCACGGTGGGCTTCATAGATGTGGCGAAGACGCTCCTTGTCGACGTTGGAGATGTTCAATTGGTTGGTGGCCACGTCACAGTCAAGACGAAGAGGTGCTGCCGAGTCCGAGAGAGCACGACGAGGTGGAGATGGCTTGGGGAGAATGGCCACTGGGTGAGCAAGCGTTCGGGGTGGGCTGTTGGAGCCGGAGCGATGAAGAAGGGTCGAAGCAGAAGGAAGCTGAACATGGACCGGTGATTGCGGAGAGTAGGAGTAAGTGGGAGGAGTGACAGGTTGCATGGCGTGCTCGTTGATGGGCGATGGCATGGAAGCTTGCATAACGGGAGAGTGCATCACGGAGCCAGCATTGGAAGAGGTGACAGAGTTGGTACGCTTGCGGCGGTTGCTCCCGTGAGACAGCTGGTGGTAATGGAGGCGGCATGCCAACTCGGTCTTTTTCAGATGAGCGGCGATATGCTTGTATGGCATCTTTTGGAGACGAGTTTGCAGAAGATAAACTTCCTAATTGCCCTGTCAGTCTATTGTTCTTTCAAACCAAACATATATCCATACCTCATCCTCGCTCCAAGCCCTGCCTCCGCCAGTCGATGCCTGCTTTCTGTTCTTCTGAACGCCGAAGTCGTGTCGGTTAATGGCATCGACTGGCGAGTAGTTGGATTGTGCCACATGGGCGGATGTATTCATCTGAGTTGGTGTAGACATGACGGTCGTTGATCGTGAAAGAATCGAACAAAGTAAAGCTAATATATAAAAACTTGATAGTCCAGCAAGTGACAAGAATCGAAGTGTTTATAAAGGGCAGTCCGGGGCTGCGATAGAATGTAGACTTTCTTTCGAAGAAGTGCGTTGATGAGTGTAAAAGTATTGATATGAAGAGAATGGAATAAAGTTAAACAACGCAATAACTACAAAAGAATGTAAGCAGCCAATCCAGTTGGGCAATAAAAGAGAGTGATTATTAGCTGCGGGAGCGTAGTCGACGTCGAGTGTAGGAAGAGAGAAGAGAAGAAAAGAAGCAAGGTGGCGGCGTGAGATCATATATGAATCCATGGCCTGCATAGGATCATCTGGAGTATCCTGTTCCCGTTGAAGGTCACGGCCGTGCATACTTTCCTCTGAAGTTTTGCTGGGGGGTGTGTAGGTGTGGCCGATGTTCTCGAGGGTTTCTGATTATGCATGGCTTGATTTCATATCTCCATTGAGATCCCCTCTTTCATCCCGTTTCTCTTCATACTGGCGTTTCTTGGTGACCAGGATGCTTGTTTGAGATCGCAGGGTGTCAGGTCTGAAATGTCACGGCTTCCATGGAGCTTCTTCTGCCACACGCCCTACCAGTGGGTGGGTAAAAAGAGACAGTGAGACTCGGAACTATGCGTCAGCTTGACGGATGCCCAGATCGTCGAGGAGACAATCAACAATAGGGACGGACTGCATAAGAACAAGTGCAATTGTGCAACACGCAGAAAATAAGATTGAGAAGTGTCGTTCCTTTCTGCGGAGAGCGGTGGAGGCGGTCACGATGGGAGCCCTGGCAGATTCGAAACCTCGCTTAACAAGAAAATGTTTGGACTTTGGCTACCGCTGCTGCTGCTGCCTTCTCCACCACATACGAAGTACGGTCATCGTCCTCCAGATCCGCGCTGCAGGCAAGCAAGCACTGTTGAGCTGCTGCTGGCCATGGTCGTCCAGGTGAAGAGAGAAGTCAAGGGAGGGAGGAAGGGGACAGCGCAAAGACCAGCCAACCAACCACGCCCAGACAGAACTGACAGCCAGACCAGACAAGACATGACATGCCAAGCTTGCAAGCATCAAGGCTCCTCCTCCGTCCGGACCTTAAACGACGAAAAGCTTCATGGCTCAGGGACCAGCGCTCCAGGGATGCATCCCCTCTCTCCCCTCCCCTTCCTCCTCAGCAGCAGCGGTCGAGCCACCTCCAAGGGCTTTAATTCCAGATCGTCCATCCTGATTGGGGTGGCCGCACCGCGAGCTGCACGATTGACACCGTGATCAGATGGCAAACACCGCGTCGCTGGCACCCTCTGGACGGCTCTGCCAGGTCCCGGCCAGCGACGTGAGTGGCTCGCAGCGCGGCGCTGTTTCGCTCTGCCACCTACACGAAGCACAACTAGAAACAACAGAGGATATATTAAGAAACATCCCCAAGATGCCAAACGAGCATGCGTACCCGCACCCGCTCCGGAACCGAGCAGAACGAGTACTGTAGCCCTTCTAGCGGCCAAGATACCGAGTCTGAATCACGTCCCAAGTATCGTGGAAGAATAGGACGACCGACGGATGCTCAGCAGCGTGAAGCCTCAGGTCTTGTGTCATGATTCGAACGGCTTTAGACTCCAAAGTGCAAAGTCGGCGCGCATGATTGTGGGGAAAGATGTTCCAGAGGCCATCCGCCGTGCTGTTCTGCAGCTTCGTCTCATGGTTGTTCTTGTCGTCGAACCAGCGACTGAAGAAACACGTTGAGATTGCTGGGTGTTCGGAAGGGTGAGGAACCGTTCGTCCACTGCACTGGCGAACCCTTCTTGATCAGGCCATCCCATTCGGACTTTTGCCTCACACCTTAATCTGCAGCAGCCTTACAGGTTCCGAGCAACCTGGATGCTAACGGCGTTGATCAGATAGATCTGAAGGCGAATCCCAACTGTTCTGCACGAAAACATGGGTTTCCCATTGAGCCGCTGGAGCAAGATTTGCGCATGTGGCGCAGATTCGCTAGACCCTCAAACGCAGACTGTTCCACAGACTCACTCAACACACATGGCATTATGATCCTCTCTTTACCGCCGTCAGAGAATCCGCAAATTGTTGGTATCGATGAGCGCAGGATGACGACTTTCGGGGAGCAACAAGGTTGTGTCTATGCGCTGTGTTTGATCCGATCATGACCACGTCGTGCACGCGGTGGATGGATTGTTTACTCCTGTGTTTCCTCTTGTCCCATAAGTGGTGGGGGGTTTACTTCCTCCGTCTGTCATCCATTTGGGCGATCCGATGTTGTGAATCCTCCGCAAGGCGTGGCAAGAAACAATGTTTTTGTTTCGAAACTTGTCTGGCTTCGAGCCCACCGTTGTCAGAAGCTCTCGGAAGTAACTCATCCGGCCTGGCCCTGCGCAATCTGAAGGTGGAGGAGAATGAAAGCTTTTATTTTAAGCACGTGTGACTACAGTTCCAATGTTTCGTTCATCAAGTGACGACCTCAGCATTTAGCTTGATTCGAGCAGGTCTGTCTACGAATTCAACTACTACATTGTGTCAAAATGGCCATCGTCAGCCCTATAAATATACAGCAGAAGTCAATTAAGGGAAGTCCCAGTTTCTATTCACAGAGATAAGATGAATATCGCCGCATTTCACAGCCAGAGTCAACATTTCGATCGTCCTAATCCTGCTGAGCGAGTTTTAGAAATGTATCCGTCGTGTCATCAGCTCAACGACGAAGCAAGAACACACACACCATGATGGAAGAGGAGGATGAGATGGCGGTCAGTGTTTCACGCTTTCCGTCAGACTGGAAACAGAAATCTAGGCAGTTTGCGCCTCGTTGTGCGATTTTTCTCGCTTGTTCGTATCGAGCACTAACATAAATGCTACTTCCTTATGCCGGTCATGATGTCCTCCTAGATAGTACATGCCTCATTCTAGATGATGGCCTTGACAGATGATAGATGACTTGTGTGTGAAATTTCCCAAGACGGTCGACACAAGACGGCCTACAGCCATACAGCGGTCTTGACGAGGTCACTTCCAGTAAAACGAGATGAGACGAGTCTCCCCCCCCCCCCCCAGCGTATGAAACATGTTTCTTCGGCAGTGTTCTTCAGTGCAAGGCGTGTCCCGAACACTGTGGAAATTGTCACTAATTTCCAGACGAACATCAAAGACACCTGCATTGGCCATGTTTGCGGCATTTTGTAGTTCATCTCGGGAGTGCAGCCCATTTTCACGGGCCAGAGCAGGGACCATCTCGGCCCGGGCGTGATCAGACGCAAGCCTCCAAATCCTTTTCGGCAGCACTGTGACTAAAGAGCTACACAGATGGGACCCTGTGCTCGGGAGGAGTCGAATACATTTGTAAATATTTGTCCCTTGACAGCTTATCGTCCAATCACCCGAAGGATCCTCGAGACTCATGGATCTGTATCGACGATCCCACTGCCCGGCAAAGAGCCCCAATTCAATCTTGCGCCTGCCTCTCCGGGAGTCGCTGATGGAGTCATGGTGCTGTTCCCGCCAGTACCTCGGAGCTGCGTTGAGATGATCTCCTCTCATGCTGGCTTTTCCGTGAGCTTGCAGACCGGGTCAGATCAATTCGAGTCCAGGGTACCAGTAAATCGAATGGCGATCTAGCTCAGCCACTGTCCTCAGAGGGGAAGGACATAAGTGCTGGCATCAATTCATGATGTCAACCTGGTCGACCTAGGACGGACGCTGTACTGTAGTACTCGTGGCTGCAATTGACCTCGCCAGCAGCAGGACGGTTGTTGTGTTCGCATCACTGTCTCTCCTCGACTCGAGAAGGAGCCGACGCAAAAGAGTGCGCGGTGCATGGGGACTTTGGAAATAGCATCATAAGACGCCACACATACCCACGACGGATTATTCAAGACATCGTAATCACAGCTCGATTTAGACTTTGAAGTGAGCCAGGACACTTTTCGCGGTCTGCGGCGCAGGATCGCAGATTCGATGCTTGTCTTCTGCCGCATCAGAGACAGCAATGAGAGAGAGGGACGTCGTTCCTCAGCAGGAGGTCCGTCCGAGTCTCCCAAACGGTGCAAAGGTACATGGAGATACTTCAAGCGGATTCACCCCATGCCTCACGGATGCTGGATGGCCCATACCACGAATCCATGATGCTTGGCGTGCCTGCTTGCCTGCTGGGCTGCACGTCTCGTCGAAACCGACTAGCACCGATGGGATGGGAGGGCGACTTGCGAGTGCAACGGGAGCACAGATGCTGTTCTTTTTTTTGCTGCGCTCCCGCTGGAAACGCCCGTTTCTTGTTGGTCGTCGGCAGCAGCGCGCAACATCAAGATTGCAACAATATTATTTTAATCTTGGACGCAAAGGCAAGGCAAGGCACCGTCCATCGCCAGCACGTAACTTCAGCGTGCGCGTGTCACGCGGCGGACGTGCAATCTGGGTGTATTCAACAGGGCAGCCTCGACCTCCCTCTGATCCAAGCATGCAAGCCCCCTTTCATGCTCCAGGACAGCTTCGTAGAGTAATAAATGCAGGGCTATCTTTACCCCGCCATTTTGAGTTGCGAACCAGGCGCGGCCCTGGTCGTAGGGGCAGGTTACGGTAGGCTACGCTGGGCTAGGGTAGGCTCGTGCTTTGGATGTGCAGCCACTACTTCTCGATCATCCATTTTGGATGGGAACAACAAACCCAATCATCCGCTCGTACCGCAGCTCATCGATGCAAGATACTCGAAGAAACTTACCATGACCGACAAAACCCAGGCAAAGGACGGCGCTACTCACCGAACGGGATGCGCTGGAATGCAACAAGGTCGCCTCCACCTCCACTGAGACGCCCCCATCGTGTAGCTCCTGGGTCAGATGGAGTCCCATCATCACTGATGCGAACAGCGGGGATGCATTGCATCGAGATGATAGCGTTGCGACCCCCGCTCTCGCCTGGACACTCATCTGCAGAGCATGGCATGGCATGGCATCGCATCGATATACCAGCAGCTAAGCATGAGCATGAGCATGAGTTGGAGTAACAGCAGCAGCAGCAGTAGAGGAGAAGCAAGAGTACGCATGCTGTTTCGTTTCATGCCATGCGGAGGAGACACACATGCCTCACTAGGACTTCAATGTCCCCGTCTGACTGAGGACGTCTTTCCTGGGGGCGCTTTCGACGGCCGCCACAGTTTTCCATGGCCCTTTCCCATCAGAGGTAACACAAGTCTAAGTCAAATTGCTGAGCACCGGCTTGGGACTGGTGATCCTCACTCTCTCCCCAGGAGCCCTAGTTTACCATTACCACCCACACCTCTCATCCCCTCGCTCATCTACAGCTCGAAGCTTGCAAGTGCTTCCGGCCCCCGCATCCTGCAATTCCTCCCCCGGACAGGTGCCTTTCGGTTCCTTGCCTGCCGCTCAAGACGAGTACGGGACGCTACGCTACGGCTCGAAGTCAAGTTCCCGCAAAACACATCATAGAGCGAGAGCGAGCGGTACGTCTTGCCTCTTGCTAACTACGGCGATGACAAGTCGCGGGTCTGGCAAGTACGCATGAAAATTCCCTGCCCAGAAGGCGTCTAAAGGATGGAGGGACCGCTGCGACTGGTCTGACCAGCCGCTTGAAGTACTGCAAGTACCGTGGCCCGATCATAAAACATACAGGCATTATTAGCTACTTCTTGCCAAAAGCTACCGTCCCTTGTCACCACTCTTATTCGAATGGCATACCTCGTTATAGAATGGGCTGCAGGTTCCCATTGGTATCTATAATGTCCGACGGTTGCCATTGAAGTCATCAGATCACAGCTGCAATCTTTTCCCCTTCATCACTTGCGCGCACCACTTCTCCTGTTCTTTGAATGGTATACAGAACATTCTGTCTTCTGTGTTTCCGTTCCCTGGCGAACTGCGGGTCCGGCGTACCTCAGACGTTGTTAGAGCAAGCCTTTTTTTCTCCGGTCCACGGCGAGGGATATGCAGGCAAGGCTTGTCAGCCCTGTCGACCAGAAGTACTCCAAACCGAGTGAATGAACTTGGAAGTATCTTTGTACCTACCTTAACCCCAGCCTCATCAAACGCGGCGATCTTGAACCAATCCACACGCGAATCTGCAAGCCTAGAGCACTCTCGCGCGCAACATCTGGACCCTTCTCCCGCCTTCTGAATTTTACATACTTCAATATCAAGAACCCTTTCGCCACTTGCGTCCTCGTCGCCAATGTCGAAACGTGGTGCAGAGCGCACTGAACCCGAATCTTCCACTGCAACTTCACCTGCACAGTCGCACTCAGCTACTGCTGACCCTTCTGTCAAGGTAGAGACCTCGTCGCCGCCAGGATCACGGAACAAGAGACGCGCATCAGGAACTGGACCATCGGTACCTACGATGTCTGGCTCATCAAGTGCAACAGGCGCCGCCGGCGCGGGTGAGGAATCAAGTATGGCTTCCCCAACCATGGGACCACCTGCGAAGAAGAGCAGGACTAACACCCCATGGACTCCTGCTGAGGAGCAGAGGTTAAAAACCATGCGGGATGCGGGCAATAGCTGGGCAGACATTGCAAAGGTGAGTTGTTGCCCATATGGGGGCTGGAGTCGCACCAGAGTTATTCACTAAGTCCCGAACGCTAGACGTTCCCTAGTAGGACAGAAGGAAGTGTTAAGAAGCACTGGTACAAGGCAAGCATGCTCGAAGATCCTGTCTCTGTGTTCAGATGTTAACAGCCAACTCTAGGATATGCATTACGCAGAGTTCGCTGAAGATGAGGTAGGCCTACGTTACGGTGCATAGCGGAGTCATTCACTGACGTTGGACAGAGCCAGGCCCTTCTTAACGCCATCAAAGAGTATGAAACGAATAAGTGGAAGGAGATTGGCAAGAAAGTCGGCAAGCCTGCTAAAGTAAGTGAAAGGTGAAGTCTTCGCCTGTCGTCGTGCTGACTTATTATAGGCATGCGAGCAATATGCGAAGGAGCATTTCGCAGGCAAGATATAGCTTCCCGGCTACGCAACTGCGGTGAAGTCTTGCGCATCCTTGGCTGGGGTCTCCATCGAGGGACAGGCCTCAGCAAGTACCGACATCATGGCGCCGAAAACTCTGCTACTGTTACTACTACTACTACAAAAGTCACTTCTCCTGGCTGTCCACGGCGACGCTTTCTTTCCTTGCATACAACTGGGGGCATTACGGTGCGGCCGCATGGCTGGCGTAGAGGGACGTTTCATCTATGGCTATTCGTGCACGTCCTCGATCTAATCAAAACTGGTGGTGGGCCGCTCTTCTATTTCTCGGCGCGGGTCTCCCGGTAGGAGTGGTTGCGTTGCGTTGCGTCGTTTCTCTCATCTTGACGAATCTGGTTTTCACGGCAGTGGGACGGATGGGCTTTTGTTTCATGCAATCGATGGTCTTCTCATGGTTCGGGGTTTTGGTTCTGGATCTGATTTCTCTGAGGTCAGGGAAGACGGGATACCCACTGGAATTTTAAAATGCGTGCGAGGATTACCTTCAATTCGATGGTTTTTACATACATGGACTTTTTTTTTTTTAGGATTTTTTCCCTTGCAAGCTGGGCTTTTTCCGTGCTACCAATCGTGAATGACGTGTCTCGAGTACAGTACCTATGATGTGTTGGTGGGTCGAACGAAGAAGGGTCAATGAATGAATGAATGAATGGAGAAGCATGTCTCGAGATGAGCAGTCCTCCGGGGCGGTGGTACCATGCGTTCGTTTCAAGGACGGATCACTGCATGAACCCGTACGCCATGCTGTCAAACATGTCTCTTCCCGCCGGTCTGTCCATCGGACCAAGTTCCGCCTCTGGGAATTTCCCGTACTCGTAAACGAGGCGATGGGGAAAAGATTGACACAAATTTGCTGAGCACCCTACCTACAGTACTGAAAATGGACTAAGTAACTGACATGGAGGGGAGTGAGATGTGGCGGCGTTGGCCGTGTGTCTCCCAGCCCCCTCTCGTTCTCTGCAGCAGCGTGGGGTCCGAAACATTTGCTTCTTCTTCTTCTTCTTCTTCTTCTTCAGATGGGTGCAGATGGGTGGCTTGTGGGGAAGAAGCGGTCAGGCCCAGGGAATAAAAGCTTGGCTGCGTGGTGCGTCGTGTGAACGGTGGTGAAGAAATACAAGTCGGTACATTGTGTTACTTTGGGTAGCGTAGCACAGGTCTCGAGCTACGAGAATAATGTGACAAGCGGCCGGCAACTAAGGATGCAAGCAGCAGAAGCTTTGCCAACGTTGGGACCGCGGCGGGAAACTAGTACCCGTTTCTCGGAATCTGAAAATTTTCTGCAGAACTTTGAGTTGATGTCAATGTCGATGCATCTTCGAGAGATTTGACAGAGTTTGGGATGGATGTCTTTTTTCGGTCGGTGATCATGAACCCATCATTCCACCCGACAAATAAACAATTCAGCTCTATTTGTAACAAGATTAAATCCTTATTGCATTTAAAGTTGTCCAGCCTCACCAAACACCAACTACTGTAATACACTATCCATAATTCTTAAGCTTAACGACTCCTCCACAACCTCTAATTTTCTCCCCTCTTTGGCAACTTCTCCAGACGGGACAACTTCCATGACACACCGTCTCCTCTGAAGCCCAAGAGACGCTCCCAATGTCGCAATCTTCCGATTATCCGCGGATGGCACGAGGACCCCGTTCTGTATCTCCAAAAGGTGACAGATGATGAACTCAGCAGAAACAGTTTCGCGCGCTGGCTGCTGGCCATCGAGAATACGAAGATCGTCCTCCGCATTCCATAGGCGCTTTAACATCTCATCACACCATGGGGGGCACACTATGTGGAATGCGGCAAGTGACGCGATAATAATAGGACCAGATTCAGGAGAAACAGATGTCTGATTGGCTCGCAAGCCCAAGAAGACTCTTTTCAGTCAGTGGCAATACAAAACTAAGCTCGAATCGTGTACAGATGCATCGCTGATTTACGCCCTCTCTGTGCTCCACTTTACCCCTGGTCAATTCACTCATAAGTACGAGGTAAAAGTCTCTCTGCCATCTCCTCTCCCATTTCCATCTCCTCCTCCTCCTCCTCAATCATCCCACTCGACAACCTTCGACGACAACCCGGACATTTGTCCCCTTTCTTTCGCTCCAAGACGAGAAGACATTCGCTATATTTCTTACCATCTCATCTAATCAGTCAACCCAAGACCGCCGCCCTCTGTTTATTTTTGCGGGAGCAGGAAAGCCACAATCGTGGAGGGATCGACCATTCACAATCAACCTGCAACGCCCCTTCCAGGAAAATCCGCGACCGGGATCAACTTCCTGAATCAATCGTGAACGAGCCTCGATTACCCATCCTGCATCACCGTTGAAGGGCTGCATTCTTCTGCTGTATCTTATTTACTTCTTTTTTAATCCGCATCGCGTTCGCGATCGACCTTTTCGACGTCGTGAGCCTTTTGGGTATTCTTTCATTTTCTTATACGAGGTCGGCGGATACTTGCATACAATAATGGTTCGAACATCGTCATTCCTGGCCGTGCTGGCGACCGCGTCCTTGGCCTTGGCTACGGCTCCCAGCTGCAGTTTGACACAGAAATGTCCCTCTGATACGCCTTGCTGCTCGCGTGAGTACATCTGATGCTATCTGGGAGTGAGGAGTGTTGAGAACTAATGTATTGTCGTGCGTAGAATACGGACAATGTGGTGTAGGCGCTTACTGCTTGGGAGGCTGTGACCCTCGATCCTCTTTTTCTCTCGGGTCTTGCACGCCTGAACCTGTTTGCAAGAGCCAAACGTACACATTCGAGAACTTGGACCGAGTACAGGAGAACACGGTGTATCTCGGTGATGCTTCTAAAGCGGATTGGGTGGCTAGTGGACAGCCAGTATCGTACCAGAATAATGTTTTGTTGACGATGGCACCGGACTCTGTGGGAACGTTGTTGGCTAGCACGACGTACATGTGGTATGGAAATGTAAAGGCTACGTTCAAGACCAGCAGAGGGCAGGGTGTTGTCACAGCTTTCATCTTATTGTCAGATGTGAAGGATGAGATCGATTACGAATTCGTTGGTGTTGATTTGGAGGATGCTCAGTCCAACTACTACTTCCAGGGTATCCCAAACTGTAAGCAACTCTTGGAGTTATTTTGTACAATTTACTAATTTGTATAGACGACAACGAATTAAACATCTCTCTCTCGGACACATTTAACAACTATCACACCTACGAGATTGATTGGACTCCGGATGCCATTACCTGGTTGGTTGATGGACAAATTGGTCGAACCAAGAAAAGGTCTGACACTTGGAATGCAACTTCCAACCAATGGATGTTCCCCCAGACACCTGCTCGTGTCCAACTTTCTCTGTGGCCTGCTGGTCTTGCTTCAAATGGCCAAGGTACTGTTGATTGGGCTGGTGGTCTGGTTGATTGGAACTCTGCGGATATTCAAGCCAACGGATATTACTACGCGACCTTCGAATCAGTAACAGTCTCCTGCTACAATGCCACTTCAAGCCCAGGAACCAACACTGGGGTGTCATACACATATAATGGATACACAGGCACCAACGATACTGTCGTTGACGGTACTGATGCCACTGTTCTGAGCTCTTTCTTGGCCACCGGTACCAACATGACACTGGGTGCCGTTGCTTCAGGATCGTCTTCGGGCACTCAACCATCAACCACAGCGGAGACTGTTCCAGGTCTGACGGGTGGTGATCCAGGTGTCGATTCCCATTCTTCCAGCACTACTGCTGGAGGCTCAACCGAAACTGCAACTCAAGCCAGCAGCGCCCCTTCGAGCAGCTCTTCGTCTTCATCTGGCTTCTCTCAAGGGAACTCAGGATCCACCAAGAGCGGAGCCGAGAAGTTGGGTGTTGGACAAGAGCAGTTGAAGGGCAGCATCTTTGCGGGTATCGTTGCATTAATGGCAATGATGGCTCTGTGAAAGTAAAAATGATGGGACGAGCTTGTTGGTTTGATGCATTTTGTATGGGCTGGGCATTGCATTTTCTCTTTTGTCTATATGATATATCTTAATGGCGTTCGCCATCCACTCTTTTTGGATTGAGTGGGACTTGGATACGCGGAAGATTCTTGTATATATTATATTGAGGGGGTTGGGGAGTTGAGACATGGTGGAGTGAGAGAATGATGAGAATGAAAAGAGATTCTATCGCTATGTTTCTTCGCTACTTTATCCGCTGTCGTGTGTCATTAGATGGGTAGACCATTTGTTTCATCGCTTTGTTTCTTACCCGCAATCACCACAATCCAAATTTCTACCCTTCGTCACACCCATCATCATCATCATCATCCATCTTCCGTCATAACCCCCATCCCGTCCTCCCGTCTTAACAATACCAATTATTTGTCATCCCATTCCAACCCATTCTGCTCCCAAACCTCATATTCCCGACCCGTTCAGTCTCGGATACAAACCCACCCATTTACCCATCTGACGATTACATGATACCCTCCCATCCCATTTCCCCCCTTTCCCGTTCCCCCAAAACCAAAACCCAAAAACCAAAACCAAAACAAACCCGTACGAAAAGTAACTCGGTACCTTTTGAAACGAAGTGGGGAATGGAATGGAATGGAATGGGAGGGGAGGGTAATTTATTTGAATGGGGTTGTGTTTGAGGGGATATTTTTGGGGAGGGGGGGCGGTTTGGATGGAAGGTGTTGGGAGTTTGGGGAGGAGGGTTTGAGGTTGATGGTGGGTGGTGGGTGGTTTTATGCTTTGTGGTGGCGATTGAGGTGAGATGAGGTGAGGGAGGGATGGGATGGGTTGATGGGGACGATTTTTGATGTTTACTTTTTGGGGGGCTTGTTGTTGAGATGCGCTCGTCTGGTGAAGTGGTGTAAGACATGCTTCAATATTCAGAAGACGAAAGGATATCAGATGAAAGTAAATCATCAGACGACAATAGCTTGAGATGTCTGTCGAATTCATCGTTTCATTCTACGCAATATCTTCGTCTAAGCTTTCGAGGACGACCGAAAAGTCAGCGCTCAATAGCAAACCCCCAATACTCAATCTGCACCCGTAATTCCTCTTCACAGCTAATGACTCTTCACCAAGGCATCTTCAACACCGGTCCCTCCTCACCACTTCCAGGCCTACCCCAAACCACCTCAGCACTCGGTGCCTCGCCTTTCTTAAAGCGAGTAATGATATTAAACAGCGTGCTACTCCTCGTCTCAATCGGTCGAATTGGATCCTCCTGACAGCAAATCGCCTGCGGAGCATTAAACGTATCCGAAAAGACATGATCCCTCAATCTCTCCTCCGTCACTGCCTTTCCCCCTTCAGCCAACTCAGCAGTGAGTTTGTTCGCCCGATCAAGGCGGATCGGTGATCCTGCTAGCCAAGGAGGTTCGGTGATGAATTTGTTGGTGAGGAAGTGGTTTGTGTGGCAGACGATTCCTTTCTCGTTGGGCGGGATGTGGGTATCTCCTTTGGGGGAGAGTTCAAGACCTGTAGGTCCTGAAGGGTCCGCGATCAGGATGTGACATGATGAAGCTACACCACCAAGAGACTTGAGGTTGCTGATTGCCGAAGAAGCTGAAGTTGATTCGAGGAAGAGACGAAGAACGATATGGATTGGGAGTTTGATCGGGTCACTAGGCTTGGCTCGGATGGCGTTCAAGCAGACACCCACCGACGAGGAATTGAAGCCTATCTTACCCACAATTCCGGCCTACTCTCATCAGTGTCATGACCATGTGAATTGCGAACTGGGAAAGACAAACCTCAGTAACCATCCAAATCTTCGGCTTCCCTACCTGCTCAATACTCATAAAAGCAAGATTCTTCTTAACTCTCGCCGTCCAATCCCAATTCTGACTCAAAAACACACCTTCACTCTCAGTCTTCCATCCAACGCTCGTACATCCATCCGAGAAACTACCCAACGCAATCTCGGACCTAGCGTTCAGCGCCACGATGTCGAGAACATCAACGCTGGCTCCTTCAGCAATACCCTCCATCTCAGCATGGAGATCTGGAGTTTTCTTCTCGATCGTTTGGCGGTACTCTTCAGCTATGCCGCGGACGGCGGGCCAGTCTAACTTGGATGTCTGTCTGAACATGGCAGTGTAGACCTCGATTTGAGAATGAATTTTGCCGGCGAGTCGACGACCATGTTCGAATCCAATCTGTCATTCGCTTTTAGTAGTGTTACAGTGAAATGTTGTGGGGATGTGATACTTCTCTCGGAGAGCCGGACAGCTCGACGATTTCTGGTGCAATGTAGTGATCTGAAGCTAATGAGCCCATTTTGTTTACTCGCTCGGATGATTGTTTGATGTGATGTTGAGATTGAAGTGGATGTTGGATCTCGTTGGACCGAAACTTGGTTTTATGTTCTTGAGGTGGATTGCAACTTCGTTCTTGCTTGTTTAGATATGACGAGGAAGTTACGCAAACCTGCAACCCCACCTTTGTAGTGCACGTGAATGGAAGCTACGACTCGTAGTTGAAGTTGCTTAGTCGTCACTTTGATATCAATTATGATTAGCAGTGAAGCTCGAACTTTGACGGGCCTTGTTTGATTCACCTGTCGTCCCATGTAGAAGGATGACGTCGGACTTCTTGCCCCTATCTTCTCGCTTAAGTGTAATTCGCTTCCTGGACATGGCAACAGACAGGACTTGACATTCATTTTAATCATGTATCATTACTCAATCAATGCGTTAGCAAGCACATTATAAGAATATCATACCTCCGTACTCGAAGCATCCCTTTCCTGAAATACTTTATGCACCCTTCGGCTGATTGAAGGGCCAATCTTTCCATCCTGGAACGATCCATTACCATTTGCCGCCTTCCTACACTCTGCCAAAGCCAGCGGTCCATTCTCCTCTAAGCCCTTAACTAATAACTGTACAGTTGGAAACTCTGATACTATACCCCATGCAATGGGTTGAGTGATGCGCTTCATTGATTGCAGCATTTTGACGTATATGTCTGTCGAATCCTCGCCTGTCTTCACTTGACCAGACTCCATACAGAATGTAGTATCTAATGTCTGGTTCTTAAGCCTTGAAACTTGTTAGCTTGAAGTGGATATACATAAAATCACGCCAGGAAAACATACTTGTCTGGCTTCAAGGAAATCTGTTCTGTGAAGTTCAGCACCCACTCTGCAGTAGCATTCCAAGCCTCAGTGTGATGAATGAGAGTACCATGTACTACATGCAATTTGAGCATGGCGTCCTCGATCAAATCTTCATGGACATATTCATCGTCCTTCTTCTTTCGTCGCTGACTGGCCGTTGGTGGTTCTTGCGGACGGACTGCAGCTTGAAATTGCCTCTCCTTTGCAAGCCGATTCTTTCTAAACCAACTATTATAGCCCTCGATTAGGTAGATGATTTTGCAAGAATCGAACTTTGCCTTTAATCTCAAAACATGAGCATCCAGGTCTTGACCTTCTTCACCAGTGACCAAGTCGACCAACTCTTTTGCAAGGAGAATACACATAACATGATCCTCGGAAATGATCCTCTTCGGAACTGCGTCCCACATCGCCTTCTCTTCGTTGTACTCTCTGTCTATATTTCGCCTCCATTTCATAACGGGCAAAGTGCTTTCGACTTCATTGTAAGTGGCTTCCTTGGATTCGAGATAAGTTCGAACTTGATCTTTGAGCTTCGCATTTATGCACGATGGCATGTCAACGATCATCTCTTTGATCGAGACTTTCTTATCGGTACGACGCTGATTAGCCTTGGCAATCTCCGCATCCTTTTCCTTCTGTCGTGCCTTCTCCTCCCTCTCCAATTTCTTCTTTTCCCTTTCTGCTTCTTTAGCTGCAGCTTTCTCTGCAGCCTTGTCCTTCTTATCCTTCCCCGCTTTCTCCTTGGCTTTTTCTGCGTTGTATTTGTCAAGCGCAGATTGGGAAGAAACCTTGGATTTCTTCGACGGATTCTTCACGTTTCGAGAAGGCACAGGCTCAGACTCAGAGGCCTCAGGTTCAGAAGAGAGCTCTAAGTCGTCAAAGCCCTCAAGTCTGAATTTGGACGCAACATTGTCCTTCTTCTTGCGGTGGGCAAGACCAGAACCGTCTTCACTATCTTCGTCTATCGGGTATGTGTTCGTCGTCTTGCTACGACCTGATTTTGACTTGTCGTTGTAATTTCGAATGGCATTGAGAGCGGGTAGATCGTGATCGTCGTTGTCGTTGCTGTCGTCGTCACTTTCACGCGACTGTCTCCTCTTCTCTTTTCGCTTTCTAGCTGCCTCAGCAAGATAGTCTGGAGAGCTGGTGAACACAATTTCATCCTCAAACTGGGTGTTTGTCTTGGTAATCTTCGGATTCGATGCCGCTGCACTCTTCGATGATCCTGCCACCTTTGTAGATGATTCGATGTTCGAAACAGACCGCTTGAAGCCACCAGCCTTGGGTACAGTCGTTTTCGCTGGACGAGCTTGTGGGGATGACGAAACCCTGCGTCTCTTGGGAGGGGGCAAGTCGGACTTTGATGCATCATCGTCAGAGTCAAGTAGGTCGATGAATTCATGTGCATCTTTCGCGAAAGACATCAGAGGTTTCGTGGTACGGTTTGCGGTGGAGTTTGTCAACACAGTCGCAGGTTTACTCGTTGCTGGTTTTGGTAATGGTAGCGTCTCCGCCTCGGAGGAAGAAAGGCGGTTCCAACCCCAAGATGGCTCGAATGTAGTATTTTTTGTAGGTTGGTCCACTGTCGGTTTCGGTTTGTGAATAACCTTTGCCTCTGGGTCAGGGCTGGAGACCAGATCAATAACCTCCGCCGGCATGGTGGATCTGCTTAGCTCAGGAGAAGTTCTCAAGGAATGAACTGAGGTATATGTATAAATTGTGTATGCGCAATCCAGTCGTATTCGTTGTCATGAAGAATCTGGTGCAGAGCAGTTTCGTTGTATCAACGTCGAGTTCACGCGATTTAGCGCGTTCAGCGAAAGACGCTAGCACATGACTATAATTTACGAGCTCAGGTACCGAGGTCTCTTGAGATTTTTGGATGATGGAATTTGTCGACATTCACGTTGAAAGTTACAATGTAGTGAGTTCAGATGAGGTTTCATTTAGTGTGACAAATAGTCAGCACCGATTCCCTCCAAGCAGAATGTTCAAAAAGGTATCTACAAATACTTCCTGAACGCCTTTGTCAATGCAGGGTAGTCCCCATCCGTCCAGCGCCAAAATAATGCTATCATAAACCATTCCATGCCCAGTTCCCAACCCTAGACTCAATACAACCGAATTGAACAACATCATTCCGTTCCACAAGCTTCATGAAGAGATACTCTGTCAGTAACTGATGTTTCCTTCATCATCTTCGTCTACACCATCCAGTGAAAATTCATTGGGTCCAATTTTGAACTCCGCCGAATCGATGCCCATTTTGAGACAAATGTCTCTCTCAATCATCATGAAATAACGCCGCAAACTCCTCAGACCTCTCAAAAAGCCATTGTCGGGCAGATCTGGATGCCTCGGTGGACAAGGGCGCTCATCTGCATGGAAATCTTCTTTAGTAACACAATTGGCAAAATCTGCCATCTTAACTGCAATATTTCTCCCCTTCAGACGCTCTTCTCGCTCCTTCGGTCCCATCGTGTCCGGGTCTTCGACATCGCCATCGTACACCATCAGGAGACTAGCAGCATAGAACCGGTAGCCAGCGAGGCTTTGGACGAGAAGCTCGAGTTGAGAAAGCTCCTCAAGGATAGCCGGAATGTGCCTCAAAACACTAGAGTAGTCGAGACCATTGTACAAAAAACGAGTGAGCGCCTCCTGAAATTCGTGACCGGCCTTCAGGTTCCTGCCAGAGTACTTATCCTGGAAAACGTAATCATGCTTTGACACATCCCACACCTGTACCCCACAAACTCTCACACCAAGCTGCTTCGAGGTCGTTTCTGCACACTTACGACGCTGCGATTTTTGTTTTTTCTCGTTCGCCTCTACACCGTATTGACGAGTACCCATCTTGAGGTCCATCACACAAGGTCGCTTCATATCACACGTCAAATCCTCGAGGAGCAGGAAATACTCTGAACGCGAATCTGGTCGAGCTCGGGCCTCCTTGGGATTGACAGGTCTTGGAAGGTCCATATTCAAGGTGCCATTCGTAGATAAATTGTCGCCTGTTGACACAGGAGTTCCAGGCTCTGTGTCACGATAATCGTTCGTTGGAGGAGCTTCTTTGACTTTGTGTGCCGGATGTGATGGGTTAAGCTTTGAAAGCTCAAGATCCATTGAAAACACATCATCTTCCACATCACCTTTGTACCCGGCATCATCAGCTTCCTCAAAGTACTTCAGATCTCCCCGGCTTTCCGCAACTTCAGTCGGCTTCCGACGAAGGCCACCGCTAGAATAACGCCTTTGACGCCTACCGCTCGAGGATCCTTCTGCATATGCCATCTCAGTCTCAGGCGCACTTGTACCTGCTCTGCCATCAAATTCAGCCTCAGCAGCACTAGTGGTATCGCCATTCGCATCAGTTCTCTCGGGGTTTTCGTCCGCGCCCGTTTGCTTTGCACTTTGATCTGTAGCTTCTTGCACCTTCTCTGCCGCTGATTTCATAGCTTTCTTCCGAATCGAATCTTCCTGTGGCGTTGATGCAACCAATTGGCTTTGCTGTGCTGCTTTCAAGCTGGATTCAGAGTTCGACGGCCGAAGCGTTGCACCAGGCCGGCTTGGCAGGGGACGAATCAGAGAAGCAGGCTTCTTGTGAGGTTGAATGGGAACAGGCGCGAGAAACGCATCTTTGAAAACCTCATTCCTCAACTGCTTGTTCACATTCGTCTTTCCCCAAGGATTCTGAGTCGTCGTTGATTGAGCGGAATGAATTCCATCATCTGGCTGTATACTGCTATTGGAGAAGCGGGCTGAGGTTGATGAAGCGATACTATCACTATGTGCTCGATAATGGGTTTCTGAAAGGTGGGGACGTGGTATCAGAAAGTTTGACGGAATAATATGTCTGTTATCTGCAAAAGTGACTGTTGGAATTGGTTGCGTGGCTGCATCGAGAGATTGGCTTATCATTCTCGGAGCCGACTGTTGACTGACAGAAGCGTGACCATTAGCTTTTGATGAATCTTCTGTGGTCTGGGCAACAATCTGATCTCGAGAGCTATTTGAAATTGGCTCTTGGCTTGCTGTGATCGTACTATTGTCGCCGTTTCTGGTAGATCTGCGGCGTTCTTTTCGATAAGTGACATTGAGCACGCCAATATATCTACAACAAGCATAAACAATGGTTAGCGCGTGTAAGAGAATATCGATGTCATAGGGTGCGGCTTCGAATTTCTTGACGAGGACTCAGCTTCGAGCTCGGGGAGTTGAGAGGTAAATGAAAATTATGCGTACCTTGGCATGAAGCTCAACAATTTCGGGTGATAATGCTCAATCCTCTCGTAGAACTCATTCTCGCGATTGTTCAGAAGCTTGCATACTGCCCGTTTCGAGAACTTCCACATCGTGGTATGGCCACCAACTTGATGACGATATGGTTTCAACTCAATGGCAAAGAGGGGCTCTGTCACCTCGAGTTGGTGATCATGGACATACTGACTATGTCCATTCGTGATAGGCTCTGTCTTGATGAGAGCAGTATCAGTCGTAGATGCGGTGCTCGGATCGGTTTCTGCGTGATAAGAAGATGTCACTGTTTCTTGGCTGAAGTCCTGCGTTGAAGCTATGTGAGGGGTGGACAGTGTATCGGCTTCAATTTTCTCTTGAGAGTCACGTGATGGAATATTATGCTCTTCCAACCACTGTTGCGAGGTCACTTCAACAGATGGTTTAACAGCGGGTGTTCTTGCATCTGCTTTGAGCGCTTGTCCGGTCACATCTTGGACTTGGTGATTGCTTTGATGTGGAACAAACAAGGCTCTGAAAACGTGCTCTTCCCCAGAATCGTTGCCCTCATCTGTGGATTTGACATGGGATAGGCTTGGTCCATCGTAGAGATCGTCCTCAGTCTCCAGGTGGCTTTTAGCCATTTGATCTTCGGCATTAGTCCTGTTTTGCAGCTTTTCAGACGTTGGCACAGGTATGCTGCCCGAAAATGAAGAGCCCTTGGTAGCACCAGGAGTCAAGTTGTGATGCTTTCGAATATCGGCAAGTAGGTTGGGTGGCATCTTCCGGATTTGCTCTTCAGTAACAGTCTCGATGCTATGAGACATGTCGAAATAGCCAGTATCAGGAGCTAGCCCGTCCGTAGGATTCATAATTGAGTCCAGACCGTACTTTGATGATGGCCTCTCATCTTCGAAAGGAGAATTTGAAGGGCTTCGCCAGTCTGGTCGGCTTGGACTCTCAATACCTCTGGGTCTCCTGGTGTTTGTTTCCTGCCCTTGTTGAAGTCCTGAGCTGCCCACTGCCGAAAGCGCTCTACTATGCGTAAAGACATCTCGAAGGCGGCTTGCATTGCTGCTGTCGCGCGAATTTGACTTGTCATCGGGAAGACCTTCTTTGAACAAACCAAGACTGTGTGACGCTTTCCTGCTTCGACTGTTTGGTTCGACCCCAGCCAGCGCTTCTCCAATACTCTTTTCAACCTGCCCACCATGGCCAGGATCTCGACCCTGTCCACCAATTGACCATGTTTTCTCAGCAGCTATTCCTGGCCGAACGTCTCTCCAAGACCTGTACTGCGCTCGCATGCCATCAGTCGGGGGGTTGCTTGATATCGAGTCTGGGGAAGTGGGGGTTCGCGGTGGTAGAGATTCGACAATCATGCCAGTATCTCCTGGATTGGTCGAATAAAGACCTGCTGGTAATTCTTGGACTCTCTTCTCCTTCGCCGTACGCTCCAAAGAAGTACCTCTAATCTGGGTGGTGCCCAAGAAATCACGGTGGTGGGCGAGCATCGCACTGACATCGTTCATGTCGAAAGCCGTGGATGGCGAGGTAGGTGTGTTCCCAAGAGTAAGTGATGCCCGCAGGTTACCTGCAGACAGTGAAGCAACCATTGTCATGTTCTCAGCTGTCTCTTTCCCTCCTGTCATGCCATTGTGATGTTGCGCCTCCTTTGAAGGCGTCTCTGTCTGTAGAGTGCTTGATTCCGAATGCAGCTGGTGGATATAAGAGGGTAGAGGTGTAGAGGCGGTCGAAGAGCCTTCGTCAACTTCGTAGGTCGTTGCTAGAGCTTGTGTCAACAAGGAGGCCGACTTGGTTCGTGGAGGTGGGTTCCATTGTGTTGTCTTGGGAAGTTTGCCATCCCGAGAGTTTTTGTGTCCCTGCCCAGGTCTCACCGATGCGGTGGATGCGGCATTTTCGGGCTCAATGGGGGAGCTTGACATGAGGCGGCATCTATCGAGTCCTCATGCAATGTGGCAGTTTGATTCGCAGGTGTTGGGCCTCAATGGCGGAAGGGGGAGGGAAAGTTGACCGGGGAGCGGACGGGCTAAGATAGCAACACACACGGCTTCAGATTACGAATGCCGAAAGGAGGGACGTCTGCAAAGGGTATGCGACTGTGGGAAAAGGCTGGGAAGCTGGTAACCCTGTACCTGGGACAGCGCGATCACGTTTCTTGGGGGTCGAGGTTGAGTGGTATGCGTGGTGAGTGGGAATGGGAGGAGGAGGAGGAGAGATTGTTTTTGCACGGTCCAGCTTGAACGTGGGAAATCTTTTGGGCGCGGAAGCGATGAAGCGATGCATGCCGCCGGCAGCAGCAGCAGCAGCAGGAGGAAATTTCACTATGTCATTAACGCCACCCCTGTCCAGTGGCCTGTCCCTCTTTGGGATGTCTGAGCGATGGATGTCTGAGGCCTTCGTGCACACAAATACTTCGTACAGGCATGACAGGTATGCTTGCCGACCTGGGTGAATGTACGACAGACAACGAACTTTATGATTGTGGTCCGGTCAGGTCAGGTAAGTAACCAGCCAACGCCAACAGAGACCGGCTGCATCATTGAGGCCTGCGTTCTGCGATTGGTAGTGCGGTGGAGTAGGAAAATGTAGGTGAGATCACGCAAGTGGGTATGGTATCAAAAGACGCGGTACAGTAGGGCGGACAGCGCAAGGGGCATTTGTTTGAACTTTGGGACGGTTAGAAGCTGCTTCAAAGGCTAATCCATTCTTTAGGTTTGTCTATTATGCGGTACCTGGCTGGCTGGCTAGCGGGCCTGAGACTTGTCTCTCAAGAGGACGTACAGTACTCACAATGTCCCACCCTCACTATCACTCCCTCCCACTCTCCCACCAGATAGACCCCCGTGGGACTCGCTGGCAATGAGTCCTTCGTACGCTAACAACTCGAGATATCCACTGTAAAAGGTTCCGCACGTTGTCGGGAGTTTCCACTGGACTACCCCGACCCCCCGTTGGGATATCCTTTGCTTGATGTTCATACCCGTGCTACAACATCTCAACCTATCAAACGAAAACGTGCCTGCTTCAACCACAATTGACCGCCTTTCGCTCTTGGCCGACCTGTCCAGATTCCCAAAAACCTCCTGCATTCACCAATCACTCAGGAATGCACCATGGATCAATGTACTGTACTGCCTCCTCCAGCAAAGTCGATGTCTCAGACCACCGCTCCCAGGGTCAGAGAGACAACTATTGGGCGATTTGGGAAAACTATGAAGGCAAACGGCCCGCTCCTAGCAACCCGCGTGGCAGAATACTCGAGAATGATATGCCTGGACTAATACTTCTTCGCGGAGTCAGGACTCCGTCCTTGTTCTGACATGTGCAGTTTCTAAACTGATAGAGGGAGGCTCTGCTGGGTTCAGTCACGTGGAGAATTTGATATCAAACCCTGGATTTGGGCACTGCGCTGGCATTGACTTGGCAGTGTAACCTGCAAGAGATCGAGAGAGACTTGATGTGTAGCACAAGGCAATTGCCTGATAGACATAGTATCTCATTTCTCCATGGAATGATACATTCCAGGTTGTTGGTCTTCTTCGGGTATCTTAAAGCAAATGAACACCTGTAATGCTGTCACGTCCCAAATGATGCGTTGGGATAGCTTTCCCAAAGCGTATCTCCATGTCCCATATCCTTGCGATCGTCCATGTGAATCCATATTTACACCAATCCGAATAATCTTCTTCTGCGATAACCATTGCTCTTCTGCCCTCGGCTCGTACCCGACTCTTTAGCCTTCTTGAGTTCCGAGTCCACCGACCAGTCTTCCAAGAAGTTTCCTGCTTCTCCAAGAGCAGCTTCCATATCAAACCCTGCCAGTGATGCGTTGACGGGAGGGCTGGGACTTCTCTCAAACCTCGAATACGATGGCAAGGGTATGTCGGCTTCGCTCTGTTGCCTCCACGCGGTATTACTGTCCGTCTCACTTCGGGGCTTCAGATGCCTAGTTGGTGTCTTGTAATTGGTGCTAAACTCTTGTTCGATAGAAGTCTCTCGATCTGCCGCGATAAAAGCTTCAGCCTGGGCCGCCAATGCAGGACTGCTATTGACAGGTGAGGCCACATTGTCCGGCAAAAGTTTCTTAAACTGTCTCTTGAAGTGTTTCTGGAATTTGGGAACACTTGTCGTACCACTGTTGAATACGTCTTCCTGGCTAGGCCGCTCTGGCGGTGGAGGAGATGCGGCCCCAAACTTTACCACAATGGGCTGGGAGTCCTCGCCGTCGTGTGAGGATAAATTACCAAAGGAAACTCGTTTTGTTGCTTTCAAGGATGTAGGTCTTTTGCGGCTGCTCGTCCAAGGGTTCTTTGTGGCAGCATCAACAAGTAATTGGGTACTCGTTAAAGCTTCCAAGGAGATCATTTCCTCGGGCTTCGGGGTTTCTGTTAAAGGTATGGGCCCATTGAAGGATTTCGATCCGCTGTTCTCGGGAGTCTGTGGTCCCTCAAGGCGTTGCCATTCCGAAGAAATATCAAGCTCGTTGTCTGCTTCCAGCACGTTGTCTTCTAGAAGGGAGATCTCAAGGTCTGATTCCACAGAGTGCGGTGCTTCTGATTGGTCCTTATTCTCAGGAGCATGCACTATTATTATCTCATTTTCCTCAGTTGCCCATGGGCTTTGTGGCCCGCAGCCTTCCCAGCTAGTTTCTGATGGTTCTTCTGATCCCTTATCAGAGTTGATCTTCTCCTGGGTTACATCATTCGCTACAGTGCCCGTGGCTCCTGGCTCCATGAGGGCTGCTGGAGTATCATCTGGTGCTGGGGCTTCTAACTGTTCAGGCTGGACTTCAACCGATTGTTCGCCTGGGGGCGCAGTCTGTCCTTCAAGCTGACTCTCAACACTTTCACAAAAACTCTCACTGTGATCAACAGATGACTCATTGCTGTCTCGTCCTCTTACCCTTGTTGGAGGATCACGGTCTTCAACTCCAACATTCGCTTCGTTTAATTGTTCAAAGCTATCGCCGTCCTCGTCATCGTTACCGCGCTCACTTAGATCGACAGATTGTGGACGACTGCTGGGACAGATTTGAGATAATTCCAGTTGGATCAACTCCATCGTGTCTTGTTTTTCGTTCGATATAGCTTCGCAGGGGCCTGAGGACTGGGCTTTGAAATCTGATAGTTTCATGATTCTCTTGGAATGCGGTGGACGTACACTCCGTTGTAATTTGAATGGCGTAGTATTGTATGACTGTGTACTGAAGTCGTTTGGATCTTGCGATGGCTTGGTCAAAGGTATAGACGTTGGAGGAAATGTTCCATGGGGAGAACTTGCTGCATTGAGTTGATTGGGGTTGGTCTTGGATTCTGTGAACTGGTCTGATTCTTGGCTATTCTCATCACCTGGGCTTTGAAATGAGGTATCTTCTGGAGAGGGCGAATCTTTTCGAGGTAGCTTTTCGAGTGAAGAGTTAGATTTAAGTATGTGAGAGAAATCAACTTTGGTATGGGAGTGATGATCTGAATATCGACTCTCTTCTTCAACGGAATGATCAGAGGCTTTACATGTCTGAGCGGGTAAAGGCAACGAAGATGACCTCTGATAGGAAGAGTCGGGTACATCGTGTGAAGCGCCGAATTCGAACTTAGCGAGATAGTCAGAATGACGACTGCTGTTTTCGGCTTCATTTAGTGAGAGAAGCGGACGCCCTTGTGTCGGTATGCTGTCTTGTTTGTTGGAGGGCGTGTTGTTTGTCGAATCTGCAGCACGAAGCACAGCACGGAGGAAAGACATCTCGCCCAGATTCCAGCTCCCATCAGCTTCGTTGTTGATTGGAGCAGGCTCTTCATTCTGAGCGAGCAAAAGTTGCGGCTCTGAGTATGTTGTAGGTTTGTTTTTACCCTCTGCGCCTTCCACGGGATCTATTTGCTGTGCACTCTGATCGCATATCGAGTTTTCCTTGGATCCTAGGCCTGTAGTGATTTCTAAGTCTTCTGGAGCTTCTAGAAGCCTTGAATCTTCCATATCGTCCAGATCGTCAACGTCTCCTGCATCTTCTTGGTCGCTGGAACCATGTTTTAGATCTAGATGTTCGACATCTTGCGAACCCTCATTGTTGAAAAGGTCCTGCAGCTCATCGGGTCCTGTATGTTTGGGATTTGCCACATTAACAGGGATGCAGACTTCTTCTCTGGTAGATGTAATGTCTGGGGCTACATCCTGAATATTGTCCACTGTTGATTTATCATGTTCAGTTGACTTCGTTCGCCTCTTCCGTTTTTTGAAATGGAATTTTTCAAGATTTCGAGAAGAGGGTGCTACCTCGCTAACAAAACTATCATCGCCCAAAGCCGTGAAGTTATCGTCACCGGAACGGGGAAGTTTGGGTAGAGTAGCACTACTGGCTTTCATACGCAAGTTGCTTCCAGAAGTAGTTGGCGTACCATGAATCTTCGGGCAAGGCGTGATGGCAATCAAGTCATCCTGCTCGAGATTTGATGATAGGTCTATGATATTCCTAGAAGTCTTCTTCGGCGTTCTTTTGGACGACGTCCGTGATCCAGACCTCGGTTCTTGCGGCAATCCCTGAAGCTTGTCCATCTCTTGGTCTGCGACAGCTTGTGGGGAGGTGAAGCTCACCGGCATCGAAGAAAAGCCGGACCCCGTTGGGTTCGAATGGTTTATCATTTGGTTCTCAACTTGTGCCGAGAAGATCGGGGTGTGTTGTAGAGCTTCCTTGATCGTAGGATTTCTTGGTGCTCTTTCTGACAATGAACGTAGAGCACCTAGCTTAGGCTGACGAGGGTTAATGATCCCTTTCTCTTGTCCCGAACCAGCAGAAGCATACCTCCGCTCGCGATCTCTAAGAGCTATAGATTCAGGGGCTGGTGTAGGAGACGAATGAACCGGCCCGTCCCATCGGGCACGCTTGGAAACATAAGATCCCATAAGCCATTGCGAGTCGCTCGCTCTTTTCGTGCCTCGGGTGAAGTCCGAGTCATTTCCGGCATGCGGTGTCTTCATGTAGTGGTTGATCATAGAATCCGCTGCTTGCGCTTCTGAGGATTCTCCAACTTCGGACACTTTAAAGGTAGGTCTATCTTGTGTTGACGTGATCATGGATTGCTCTCCAGATATCTGCTCTTTCCTATGATCTGGATGCACAGACCGATCCCCAACGGCGATCCGTTCCACAGCGCCAGCTCTTGCTTGCCAAGCAAGCACTTCTGCAGGATTGGCATAGCCCATTCCATGAGCGGTTTCTTTCTCCTGGGATGTGGATCGAATGGATATGCCATATTCCTTATGCGAGATTCTCTGGCGTAGATCACTAAGTTCTCGCTCCCATGTAGGCATAGCTGAAGATTCATCGCAGCGCCAAGAGTGTTGAGACTCCGCTCGTGAAGAGATCGTGGCTTCCAGCCCCTTTTGCCGTCCATCTTGAACCCGTTTCCTTCGCTGACAACCCCAAGGATTTGTCCATCCACTTTCTTTAGAGAAAGGGCCTCGGAGGCTCGCAGACAGTAGAATGGGGCGATGACCACGCGTGTATCGTCGTGCTTGCGCTTCATATCGCAGGCGTTTCCGTCTCGTCTCCTCGGGTGTCTCTTCTATGTCTGAACCCGGACAAATGATGTCTTCGGGCCCGTAGGCTGGAGTGCGATAGAAGGACTCATTTTCTAGATCTTCTCTGCTGTTAATGTTGCTGTAAGGCGCCATGCTGATAGAAGTTGCGGAACATGGGTGTTTGTCTTCGAGACGGCATCAAGATAAGTGAGCGGGGTGTCGAGCCTTGCGGCACTTAGTTGACGAGGTGATCTTGACGCGAATTTCGCGAATTTCGTGAATTATCGCGTAAAGTGAAAACCGTCTCACGTGGTCGTGTGTATACTAACGAAAAGTGGAAATTGAAACTTTGTAGAAGTTCAACCAAACGCAGTCTGCCCAAGCTCCGAGACTCAATAATGAGAAGTAAAATAGATTCAATCCATCTCCTCTCGTGTATCTCAGAGTCAAATGGAGGGGTTTGATATGAGGCTACTGGAAGAAAAGGCTAGAGTGGAGGCTCGAAGGCTACAAGGCTGACCTTCTAATCTGGAAATAAACCTCAAACTATGATAAATTATGGCAAATTCTATTGTCTGAGGATATGCGCAAAAAACACTATCAGCATACTTTCGTCAAGCACAGCAAAGATACAGTTGTCTCAATCTAGATCTCGCGCCTGCAAAGCTTCAAATAGTACTCAGGGAAGACATCTCCAGCAAGCAGGCCAGCAACGTCGATAACCATTCCGATTCACGTACCGACCACGCCATCCAATCCATTTCCCTCTGCCCATGCACCTCTCTAACCCAGCGAGACCGCCCCTCCTCCTCGTCCATCCAGGCTCACCCACACCCACAGTGCCTTCTAACCATATACCCTGCCTTCTTTATCAAGTGCTTTGTTTCTTTCCATCTGCGAGTCGTCTGGCAAAGAGGGGGAGCTATAATCCTCGAGCTTACGCTCTACAATAGGCCCCCGCCCTTCATGAAAACTCTGCTTCCGCCGGCCCCGAGGTGTCCTACCCCCCTAGTGTAGCTATAGCTGCTCAGACTGATGCGCAGAGTCGGCAGCGTACCTGGTTGCAAGTTAGGAAACTGAAAGGTTGGATGGTTTTGTTGGAACGGCGCAATTGGACTGTGCTATCTTGGTGCTCCCAGCGGATTCCCCAGACAGTTTTCCAATTGACCAACTTGAAATTTTTGGTACTGCCAAGAAGGTAGTCATTGTTGTCAACAAAATGTGAGCTTTTTACACCCCCTATATACACTCTGGCTATACTCAAAGGATGTAGGGACATCAACAACTGGTCGGAAGAGCAATTCCAGAAGGTGGTTGCAGGATTAGGACCGTGGGCAAAGGAGTAGGCTTTCACAGTATCCGTGAGATACAAATCTGTTATGTTAATTCTATACAGTGTTCCAATCATTCCTATATCGGCCACAAATGGTGATAATGTGGTCGAGACGTCATCTCACAGCTGGAAAAACGGGCATCCAACTCTCTTACAGGCACTTGATGTAGCGCTTCAGGGCTGATTACGAATTTCCTAGCGAGGTGGGAACCAGGATATGGGGAAATTGCAATTGGCTCTCTGTAACCATTATAATGCAAGGAACATATGATATCTATTCTCCAGCCTGTTCTAGGGCCTTCACAACATCTTTGTGCCGTGCGACATGTGATAGAGGTGTCCGGCCATCGTTGTCTTCGCTATCAATTTCAATACCCCTGACTCTCAGTAGTATCTGGACGACTTCTAGGTATCCGTAACCTGCTGCAAAAGAGAGCGCACTCCGCCCATTTCTGTCTTTCTTATTGACGTCCACCAGGCCCGAATCAAGAAGCACCTGGACAGTCCGAGGAGCTTGGCTAAAGAGCGCCCATGCCAACGGTGTCCAGCTGTCCACGTCCTCTTCATCGACCCCTTTCCGATCGTGCTTGATTAAGTACTCAATTACTTGATAATGACCACCCCGACAGGCCCAGGAGAGTGCATTTCGCCCGTCGTTATCCTTGATTGATGCATGGATACGTTGACTACGTCGGATAATCATAGTCGTTTCAAGATGCCCATTTCCCGCTGCCCACGACAGTGCAGTTCTGCCATGCCGATCAGGTTCATCAGCTCTCAGATGATCTAGGCTTAGAAGGTATTTGACGAGCTCCGGCTCGCCAGCCGAAGCGGCCCAAGAGAGGACATTCCGACCCGACTTGTCGACATGGTTTATGGGCATACGACCGTCGATGATCAGCAATTGGAGCACGTCCAAGTGATTTCCGCTGGTTGACCAGAAAAGAGGAGTCCACTGGTCGAAGTCTGCGATGTCAGGCTGGATTCGACTATGCCGTAGAAGCTCTCGAACGATTTCAACAAGGCCATTGCCAGCAGCAATGGAGAGGGGTGTCCGTCCTTGCATTGGAGCATGATTGACCCGATATTCATCGGACTCGCTAAGAAGCCCCTCCTCCTTTAACAGGCTCTTGACTACATTCAATCGATTGAACTGTACCGCAGCAGTGAGGGCAGTTTGCCCGTTGATGATGCTTATATCGGGACTGGCGCGCACTTCAAGGAGTTTGTCCACAACAGCATGATGTCCCATTCGAGCCCCCCAATAGATAGCACGACCTCCTAATTGGGGTTCAATATACATGCCCTCAGGCAAGAGTGAGTCTAAGGAAGTCAGGTGGCCAAAATAGCTTGCGGTCACAACGAGGACAAAATCTCTGGGAAACGCCAATTCTGTTTCAGCGTAGAGCCAGTAATATCGGAACCAATTCAATCCTTGACGACTGGTAACGTCCGATAATTCAATGACGGCATTACGAACGGTTTGTGGGCTTATCATGTAAGCTGATGAAAAGTGCTGTGCCCAGTGCCTCGCAGAATAGTCGTAAAAGGGGTGTTGAGTTTCAATAAATGCACACGCCTCTGCCTCTGTGGCTGAAGGGTCCCGAAATAGTGCATCTTCTCCCAAATCAACCATGTCCCAAAAGCTTAGGGCCTCTCCTTCCATAGATTTTGAGACTGGAGAAATGGGTGATTCTTCCACCTTGGTTTTTTGCTGGTCTTGAGAAACGAAGTCTCGTCGAAAGTCATCAAGTGACAGATATGATACGCAGGCTTGAGCTATGAGCATTTCGGCAACGAGACGCCGTAGAGAGCCGACAAGGGATTTTTGGTACGAGTTGCGAGAGTTTGAAGAAACTCCTTGAGTGATTGATGGACTAGATGAATTCGAGAATCCCAGATTATGATGAGTGGGCCCAGTACCCCCTCAATCGTTTCCTGGATGTTGGGCTGTAAGTCTTCTTCGAGGGCTGAGAGTACGCGATGATCTTGTATTGCGACCAAGATTCGCATTTCTTCTAATTCCAGAGGCCTTAAGCTTCCAACGAGAAAATGTAGCAATCTACTAGCGAGTGGTTGGTATTCTGCTGAGATTGCATGGAGGAAGCGCTCATATGTGGCTGTTAATGTTTGAGGCAACGTGTCGATTATGCGCTTGAAATCTTTTTGCGAAGCTAAAAAGCTTTTCTCGAGGAGATGAAGTACAAGAGTAACCCACAGAAAAGTACGATCCGCTTTAACATAGAGCGCATTCTCGAGGTATGATCTGACCTCTGGTTTGCACTGAGTTCGACGGGCGATACCTTCAACCTTGGTATGGACGAAAGTTGCAGGTCTTGCTGGATGTCATCCTGAGACAAATCGATTTCGAGGAGACTAGTAGTATGTTGACGACCCAACAGAGGACGGCTTGTAACTAAGAACTTGATGCTTGGGGACCTTGCTCTACTTACTTGTGAGTGGTTGATTAGATCGACAATATCTCGCAGAAATTCCTCCCTGGTTATCTGCTCACATTCGTCAATAGCGTCAATGAGGACGTTCAAAGGCCCGACTCGTTTATCCCTGGCAATGGCAATGAAGATTTTCCAGAGGCCATGAAAACTCTGGTCAAACTGCGGACCGGCAACATCGTAAGCAGCTTTAACATACTTGATCAAGGACCGTCGCCGCATCAGAAGCTGATGAATAAGGCTTCGGATGATCGCCCTACCATCTCTTTGCGTTTCAATCTTCTCGTCACAGAAGAAGTAGCACAGTGTTGTTGATCGTGAGTTGGGGGAATGATCTCCTGATCCCAGACACTCGAGCAGATAGGCAGAGAGAATCGTCTTTCCGCTGCCTGGGTAGCCAATTATCCACAGAAGGCAAGTTTTGTCTTGCATATTCCAGTCCAAATTTTTGTAATTTGACAGAATCCACTGACACGTTCCCTCAACTCGAGCAGGAAGCGATGATTTGTACTCGGCTGAGCTTGATAAGTTTTGAGTTAGTAGTGCAACGCACTTTCTCTCTGCATCAGTCAAAGCTGGTTGCTTCAGCTGTTTGCATAATGAAATAAGACTAAGAACTACGTACAGTGTACCGCCGAGGCTGTTGATGGGCTCGAAAACCCAGTATACACGTGTGGCATCTCTTTGTTCCCTTCCGTTACATCCTGGTTCTTCTTCGACTGTATTCCAGATAGCTGGATCGTAACTTCTCCTACAACTTGCTTATATCCTTCATCATCCCTGCTTGGAAATCGGCACATAGACATATGGTTCGCATTGATAGTTTGTACTGGTTCATTGCCAATCCTGGAAGAGAATGGCTCAACAACCTAGGACAATCACATTTATGAGCTAAAGATTATCACAAACGATATGATGCTAGAAGAGCTTACCTTTTCGTTCAACTTCAAATAATTTATACCAGCTATGCCCTTCGCTTCCTGAAATGTGATGACTTGGAATGGTCGTTCTTTGCAGTCATATATCTGGAGAAAAAGCTCGTGGATGAGCTCCAGTTCTGTGCTGTCAACTTGAAGCGCCCTTATATTCTTATCGGTAGTGTCGAATCCCGAGACAGAAGCCATCCTGCGAGCAACCTCCGCAATTCCAGCCTTATTGCTTCCAAAATGAGGAGTCCCAAGAAAAGTGATTGCAAAGGTGGAGGAATAAATGTCCAGCAGCATGGGTTCTGCGGAGGCGGCAGCGCGGCGAATTACCTATAAACCCGTCAACTGATCTGTCTATGGATGGATGGATGCAGCTCTTTGTCATGCACTAACATCTTTCACAATGATTCCTTTCATGAATCTACCTTTAGTTGCTCTGATCAACGATCCCATCGAGGGGACTTACCTCCGAGTGAATGCGCCACGAAAAGGATACTTCTCCCCGGCTGTGAAACGTCTTAGTACAGAGTCTTAGATTCCATGCAAACAACTCACACAATCTAATCTGGATCTTTTCAGTCCAGCTAGAAGATTCTGGGCATGGGCGGTTATATTGCTTTGATTGCTGGCGCCGCCAAAAAAGTGCGATACTTTTGAATCGTAGCCCCACGTAAGAATTCGAGAATTCGTACAATCTAGCGGGAGGAGGTCCAGTGGCCAAAAGACCTCTGCTGTTTCCCGCTTCTCCGTGTCCTTGTGGCCCGTTTTATGCTTCCGCGAGAACAGCTTCTTCAACGCCTTCTCAATCGGCTCACTTGACCCATATGGCGGCTGTCGTGGGTTGCTTTCGCAGGTCCAGGTCTTTCGAGGATGTCCTTGTAGTCCGTGGACTAAGACAATACTGCAAGCAGAGTCAATATGTAGTCCTAGCTTTCGCAGGGCGGGATAGGGGATGGTTTACTCTGCAATTGCGCCTTTTGGGTCGTAGAGAACGGAAATGCCGACATCACTGACTCGGAGCTTGGGATTTGATGAGTGAGATGATGCCTACTCCCAGTTCCCGTCAGTTCTTGGCTTGATGAACGTCGCGGACCTGGACCGTCAACATGCCATCCTGCTTCATTAGTGCGCAGTGACACGTTAGGATACTATCGTGTGGGTCAGGGGTATCATTGGTAGGAGGGGTAGAAACGTCGAGTGTTTGTTTCTATGGCAACACGGATCCCAGGGCCAAGGCTTAGCGCGACTTCAAGTTCACGAATTCGAGACAGACACCAAATCGAGTACAGCACTTCATCCACGCGTTGCCGACACGGAATTACTAACAATAGGCATATCATAATCAAAATTGTCATTCGACATCGAATCTCTATCGATTTTCGAGTTCCAGGATTTTAACGCGTACTCGAGTTTACCAAACAACAACAATTGTCGCCGCACGTATGGACTACAAATAGACTCCAAGGAACTTTTACAAATCTGCCGCCGCCAACAATGGATCACGCATGGCTGGATTCTCTCTCAGAGGACTGGGTCTCTCAACACCCTTCGTCTGGCTCACCAGCGCCCTCTCTACCTTCCATGGTTAACAGCATATCGTCCAGTACTCGCGCCACGTCGAGTCGCATTCCCAGATACAACCCACAGAAGCAAGCATGGACAGCTGCAAACGAAGGAGCGAATAGCCCATTGAGTGAACGAAGTCTCAATGAAAATAATGTGCCATTGTCACAACGATCGCAACGCCAGCCGTCAAAGCTCCGCGAAGTTACCAATGGAGACAGAGGCCGTAGATTATCTCGCACACTCTCGGCGTCCACTACTCATTCCGTTCAGTATCACACCGTACAGCACAAGTCGCATAGTCTTTCTCCGAGGAAAGATAGCCAGGAAACACCAGAGTGGAGGCGGCGACTTATACATGGCGAGGTGGCATATGGAGAGCAGCGTGATCTTTTCAGTGCAGCTGGCCTCGAAACAATTTTTCAACCACCACCAGCAAACTCGCCAACTAAGCTACCAACGCGAGAGGACGACGAAGATCACAGTGTCATGCCATCTAGCCCTCCTGTATTCGATTCTCAGGGCGTCAGTGTAGAAGGGGAGCATCATGAGGAGAGACCCGAGAGACATCAGCAACCACGAACAATGAAATACAGGTTAGCCGACTCAGATGGGAGCGAGTTCTCCGCAAATGATTTGAGCCGAGGTAGCAGCTTTCAGGTTACAGCTCGGTCAGTTCGAGGCAACGAAGAGATGGACATGCAATCAGAGCCCCCCTCGGAAATGGAATCGTCGGTCTTACAAGACCGAAATGTCACGAACTGGCCAAGCCGCACAGCGAGCGGCCAAAGTGATGTTCGTAACGAGGAACTCAGCCCAATTTTCATATCGAGACATAACACAATTGATGGCAAAATCGATTATGCAGCGCTGAATCTTCCTGCGGAGGAATTGCAGCGACGTCTCGAGAATATACGCGAGGAAAGTCCAGACCAATCTGTAGCAGATCAGCAAGATATTTCTGAGCAACAGGCCGATATGACCGTTGAGACAGAGGATTTCGCTCACAATGGCCGTTTCGTCAATCTTCGTAGAGGTGGCCAGTCTCAAGAAGGTTCTTTCCAGAGACGCATGTTGAGTCCATCGTCTCTCCCAGCCATCGACGAGTCAGCAATGTTACCAGAGGAATCCATGCAAGCGAGCACGCCAAAACATTTGTCGAACATAAAGAAAACCAGGTCGTCGAATGAGTATCAGAAGCTTCCACAAGCTCAAAATTCACCGCCAATACCCCAGACTCCATCCACGAGCCCAAACAAGCCTATCCAAAAGGAGCAGCAAAGCAGCTCCGGCAGTCCCTTGAAGCTATTCGGCACGTATGACACATTTACCAACCAGAAGCTCCTTCGCAGGCTGAGCCAATTTGAGGGTGATTTTGAAGATGCAGAATCTACAGGTCCTGAAAACAACGAAGACTTTGTGCCTCAATCCAGCGCAGATCGTATCTCTGAGAACAGTCAAGTTCAACAGCGTGCTTCAGCAAAGCTGAATAGCTTCGGTCAAGGAGACCTAGATGGCTTTCAGTTCAGCGAAGAGGTGTCGTACGACTCCAGCAGATCGCATGACCAGGATGAAGATAAGGAGAATATGTCTCTACCTTTGTTAGATCCCGAAAGTCGGAACACATTCAGGTTCCACCTCGAGCCTTCTCCTGCTCTTGAAGAGGAGGCTGTCGTGACCCGCCGCACAAAGCATACGACCTCGACCCTAACATCAAAGCACATTATCAGTGTACGTAAAACAAGGCCAGGAACAAGTAGTTCGGCAGGTTCGAATGATATGCATCCCTCTCGGAGACAGGAAGATTTACAGACTCCACGGAAACGCACTGGAGACTCGGAGGGGAAAAGACTTCAAAGAACACCATTGAAAGATCCAACGCCAAAACGCCGCCGAACATTGCAGAAATTCGAAAACGAGACGAGTGAAGAAGACGAGTCTCTTGCACTTGATTCTTTGCGGGAGACACACCAGCAAATGCAATCTGTTATTGGAAGGAAACGAAAGGATGCTAGGCACGGGGATGACCAGCAGGCAGCAAATCCAAAAGTGCTAGCTATGCGCCAGATACTTAGACCACGAACTCCAACACCCAGCCAGAGAAGTAGTCAACACGAGCGACCCCCTCTGGCGGAGATTGACCCATATCTTGAACAAGCAAGATTGCTACAGCTAGAGAAGATTGCCAAAATTCAAGCAGAACTCGATACGCCCAATGTTCTTAAATTTTCTACAGCGTTCGGCATCAGCCAGCAAATGCAAAATGAAAGTCGAAAGGGGTCGGTAACAACACAGGATTTCTTAGATGAAGCAAAGAAGATAATGGCCGGGATTCGCGACAAGGTTAGACCTCGAAGCGGGCTTACGAGTTTAGAAGAGTCGGAATCGGAGAATGATAAGAATCAATCTCCAGGAGTAGAGCATACGGAAGCCGGGCTCGAAGATTCGTATCAAGAGTCAACCAAAGAGCCATTTTCGAGACCTCCCAGTCGAGATGGAAAACCAATACCAAGGGTGCCTATGAAGCAAGAAGATCCCGTCCTTCTGGATCATCTCCGAAAGTATCAGGAAATGAGCGACGTTGACGGCATAATGGCTTCCTCCATGAAGTCGCTTGCCTTAGCTAAGGCTACGATTTCTGGCAGAGGAGCTGATCGTGTCTCCGAGGACGCCATTCCGCAACCATCTGACCAATTCCTAAATCAAGAGCATATTACCGAAAGTGACCCACCGAACATTCGGATATCTGAGAACCCTGACCCGCAAAGGAAGCGTAAGCATTCTACATCTTCGATACCAAGTGTTAGAGAGGGAGCAGACGCGGAATTTCCATCCCACGGCTCAAACTCGTCTTCTGGTCAATCTACTTCACGATCCATACCCACAGGCTCGTCGAGAGGCTCCGACTCTCGTAGAGTAATTCCGCCTCATACAGTCTCGCATTTGATACCTGAGCAGGTTGCAGGCATGATTTTCGACCGGGAAAAGAACATATGGGTCAAGAGAAAGAGTGTTAGTGCAGAGAGTAGAGGCCGAAACTTCCCCCCTTCAGATGAAACAGAGGATGATCCATTTGGAGACATTCCGGACTTATCTGTTGACGAGACTCAAGAGAGACAAAGAATCAAGTCTGTCAACGCGAAACGGAGAGAAGATGCCCGTGTCGCACAACAGCTCCAAGATGAGGAAGCACATACGGTTACATCAGGTTCTCAGCCAGTTTCCCAGGAGCAAGGGAATCCAACATCTTATCTCGACGGTCATGCTTCATCGGAGCCTTCTAAACTCACTCAGATGAGATCAAGCAGCGCTACGACTGAGCCCACTACGAGATTATCCTCATGGGGTGAAGAGAACAATCCCGCTCCGTCCGAGACTCTTCACCGAGCTGAGGTCGTTAAAGCACAGCACAAGATCGAGCGCATCGAGAGAAGAAAAGAAGTTGTTGAGGAAGTCGAGAAAGAGATCTCTATTCTTGAAGACCGCGTTGACCCTATAACTCCCTCGCGACGCCGGAACGTTACTATCACATTCTCATCTCCTGTTGCATCAGTAATTCGACCGACCATTTACGAAGATGAAAACAGCTCTCAACCTGAAGCAGAGTTCGCCAGCGATAGTGAAGATGATAGCAGTGAAGGAAGTGTTGTGGTCACCAAGAATCGCAACCGAAAGGCCACGACAACGATTCGTTCTGCTATGCGTAGTGCGACCCACCTACAGTCCCTTGGTGGTCACACATTCTCAACTCGTCCAGTATCTCGAATTGATGAGCGAGATGAGGACTCCACCAATGCGGAGAACGAGGTTCGAGACCGAAGTAGCATAAGTATCGTTGTTTCAGCCGCTGGCCCTTCAAGAAGAGAGGCAAGCATGATTCTGGCCACACCCCGCCCTAGTCACGAAATCGGGACCCTCACTCTGACACCACTCTCGGATTTTACTGTGCATCATGCAGATCAATCTCTAGGCCTTGATGTCAGCTATATGGCCCAGAACCAGCGGTATGTGATGGGCGACGAGAAGAAGCTGAAGAAGAAGACCCTCTCTCATTCGATCAAGACATTAATCGAAAAACTTACAGAAGTTGAGCCATACGAGCCATTCTGGGAGCATCTGAAGAGGTTGGACCTCAAGAACAAAGCATTAACCAATCTTCACAAACTCAACGAATTCTGCGGCGGACTGGAAGATGTTGACGTCTCCCACAACCGGCTCAGTCAACTTGAAGGCATTCCTACTACCACTCGACACCTTCGTGTTACTCACAACTGCCTGACTGAATTGACTGCTTGGGGTCATCTCAACAATCTTCAATATATTGACGTTTCGAATAATGATCTGGAATCGCTGTCAGCATTCAGGTTTCTTGCTCACCTTAGAGACCTGACAGCCGATAACAACAACATAACAAGCCTTGATGGAGTCGGCCAACTTGATGGGCTCTTAAAATTGAGCCTACGACGAAACTCGATTCGAGCCTGTGATTTTGCTGGTACCAAGCTGCAACGCCTTACAGAACTGGACTTAGCGAGTAATGAGATCAGTGACATTGGGAATATCCAAGAATTGCAAGGACTTACCACTCTCAATCTCGAAGACAACCGTCTTGCCGATCTGTCAACAGGTGGCTCGGATGCTGTATGGCCTCTAAGAGACCTAAGATTAAGTGGCAACGAGTTGACCACCATTAATGTTGCTCGATTTCCGAATTTGCGTCTCCTCTATCTTGATCGAAATCGTCTTGGCGATATTACCGGTCTGTCGCGCACGAGAAATCTCGAGACTCTTTCTATCCGGGAGCAAGCAGACGGCTCCATCCTCGATTTGTCCTTTCTCAACGAAATCGTCGAGGTTCGGAAGCTCTTTCTTTCTGGCAACTATTTGGGCACTTTCGAGCCCGAAGTAGAGTTCATGAATTTGCAATACCTAGAACTCGCCAACTGTGGGCTCAATTCCTTACCCAGTGATTTCGGCTTGATGGTAGCCAATGTTCGTGTCTTGAACTTGAATTTCAATGCTCTCAAAGACCTCAAACCACTCCTGGGAATTCGCCGCCTAAAGAAACTTCATTTGGCTGGGAACAGAATCTTGAGGCTGAGAACTACAGCGCGCGTCTTGCGGAATTTCCCATCTCTGACACTAGCTGACATCAGAGGCAATCCGCTTACTGTAGGCTTCTATCCCCCAATGGAAGAAACTAGGTTGGTTCTCTTAGGAGGCGACAATGATGCAGATGCCTCAGATCCATTCGTTCTTGGCAGGGCAGACCGAGATAGAGATGAGAAGTACGTACGAAGACTGGACATGCAAACTAGGATGCTGCGGCGAACGTTCGAGATACTTGTTTTGGGTGATTGTCCGCAACTGAGGATATTTGACGGCCTGGATGTTGACATGTCTGTGGTGGTCCGCAAGGACAGTACCTGGCAAGCACTAGTCAACGCTGGAGTCTTGCGTCTCCCATCTTTGGAAGGCTCGGCGCCCGCAGAACAGAGGGAGGATGATCTAGCACTCGAAGCTATCCACGAAGAACAAGCTGTAAGGAAGTCCTTTGGGAGCTCGACAGAGACTTGCGTGGAAACGTGTGCGGAGACTTATACGGAAGAGCGGATGGAAAAGACGGTCAGAACTCATGTTGAGATTTCGTCAAAGAGTTTGACCGAGGCGTCAGCTGCGACACGAGATGAGAAGGCGGTTGAAGAACGATGGCCAGCAGAGGATTCCTTTGCCTAGTCGGTATATCTCATGAGTGCGATGTGTGATGAGTTTGTTTTTATTGTACTGTAGTAGCATGGAGTTTGGAGGCAACGGCATTGGCATTGGGCTGGCGTTAACTGTACAATATCGAGACGCTTTAATGAGTGACGAATTGGCGTCAATGAGTCTGAGAATTATACAAGACAACTGAACCATGAAGTCTGTCCCAATGCAATATTCAGTCGTGATTCATATCCAATTCTATAGTTTAGCTTTTGATGCACTTCTCTCCCACTCAGCGACTTTCCTTACACCCTCTTCCTTCCTCTTCTCATCCTTCTCTAAATCTTCTTTATCCCTCTTCTCTTCTGTCTCGTACCCATCAATATATCCCAACGTCTCCCTAAACATCTCCGCCTTCAACAGCCCATAAACACCTGTCTTAGCTTTCTCACTCAACTTCCTTTCTCCAATAAACCTCGTCGTCTCGTCCAATCCTCCCAGCACATCGACAATACCGCTTTCCAATGCTTCCTTTGCGCTAAATCTCTTCGCTTCCAATACCATAGTTTTATACACTGCGGGTACGAGCTTTTGTCGGAATATAGAAGACATAGGAGGTTTGAGGGGAACGCCTAGATCAAGTTCGTTAAGGCAGAGGAACCCTCGACTGGGATTGAATACGCGGTAGTCGTGGTACATGGACAGCATGAAGCCCCCCGCGAATGCGTGGCCGTTTATTAAAGCGATGGTGGGCATGGGGTAACTGTGCGGATTATTGTTAGTACTTAGCAGAGATCATGAGAACATGTAGGAGACGTACGTCAATAATCTCTTGAACAGTGCAAATAGACTGTTGGGAAAGAATCTAGGTGTGGATGATGAATGCTCGAGATCAAGTCCATTGCTGTAGAATTTCTGGATGCCAGAAGTGGTGATTAGGACGCCATGTGGGTGGGAGAATTCTAATATGTCGAGAGCGAGTAGAAGGGTTTGGCAGAAGGGTGTTAGGAGTCGGTTGTCGGGTGGAGAGGTGAAGGTTAGGAGGTAGACTTTAAGAGATGGAGAAGTGCATGTTATTGTTCCGCCGGAGCTGTTGGGGATTGAGAGGGTGAAGAGTGGGTTGGACGACATTTTGGTGATTGTGATTCAAGATGAGGTTACTTGAAAATGATGAGGAAGAGTGAGGAAGCTGTCTTGATATTGTAGAAGCTCGGAGTGTCAGTGATCAAGATATGTTAGCTTGGGCCTCGGCTTGTCATGCTCGAGTAGCAGCAGGGTGGAATCCTATTCGTAGCATTCAATTTAAAGAATATAGTCTCCAAGACTCGTACTATCTAGTCCCAACATTATATGATCGTCGATGTCTGAAAGAAGTCCCGCACATTATATTTTACAGATACTAGAAGTTCTTTAATGCAGCTTGGCTAGACATTGAGGCCTTCACATGCAAGGATAGCGGGGAAGCTACAGTGGCGCCAGTGCAAGGCTCTGAGCTTCCTATCTTGGCATCAAGCCTTACGCGAAATCTGTCACCAGTGCAAATGGCCCGCACTGCTTCAGCTCGAGGATTTCCTCACCGTTCCCTTCTTTCGTGTTGAATATTTCAAAGATGGCGACAGCGGATAAGAAGAAGAACATAATCTTCTTTCACCCCGACCTGGGTATTGGAGGAGCAGAAAGGCTTATCATTGATGCTGCGGTGGGGCTGAAGAATCGTGGCCATAAGGTCATTATTTTCACCAGCCATTGCGATCCCAAACATTGCTTCGACGAAGCCAGAGATGGTGCTTAGACTCCCATCCATAGTCTTATGCCATATGCTAACCTGTTGCAGGCACGCTCGACGTCCGAGTTCGTGGGAACTGGTTAATTCCTCCATCCCTCTTCTCTCGATTCTCCATCATCTGCGCAATATTACGACAGTTCCATCTTATCCTCTGGACGTACTTTACATCCGAAATAACCTTATTGAACCCTGATGCTTTTGTTGTTGATCAGCTAAGTGCTGGTTTACCATGGCTAGCATACTTTTATCCTGAAACGAGAATATTGTTCTACTGTCATTTCCCAGACTTGCTATTGGCGCAAGGCAGATCAGCTTGGTGGAAGCGCATATACAGGATCCCTTTCGATTTTATCGAGCAATGGAGTATGAGTTTCGCAGATTCGGTGGCGGTCAATTCGGGATTCACAAAGGGTATCGTTGGACAGGTGTGGCCCGAACTAGCTACGAAGAAAGATTTGCAGATTGTTCATCCTTGTGTGGATGTCAGGCCGAAGAAGACGGAGAATATTGATGAACCTGTGGCTACGTGGCGCAATAAGAAGATCCTGTTGAGTATCAATCGGTTTGAGAGGAAGAAGGATATTGGACTGGCGATCAATGCTTATGCTGGTCTTGGAAAGAACGGCAGAGAAGGGTCGAGATTGGTCTGTGCAGGTATGTACATTATTGTTCGCCGAGACAACATGAGATTGACCGACATTTAGGTGGCTACGATCATCGTGTCCAGGAGAATGTCCTCTACCATAAGGAACTCGTCAGCCTTGCTGAGTCTCTGGGCCTGAAGACCGCAACGACAAAGACGATCGTCACCGCATTGAATGTCCCAGATGACATAGATGTGCTGTTCCTCCTCTCAGTACCCAACACTTTGAAAGAGATGTTGCTTAATTCGGCTTGTCTCCTTGTTTACACACCATCCAACGAGCATTTTGGAATAGTGCCTCTTGAGGCAATGTTGGCTGGTGTGCCGGTTTTGGCAGCAAATTCAGGAGGCCCATTAGAAACTGTCCTAGACGGCAAGACGGGATGGCTAATCGATCCTACGCACCTCGAGCGCTGGACAGCAACTATGGACAAAGTACTACACAATATGTCCGATGCTGATCTCAAGAAGATGGGTGCAGCGGGTGCTCAAAGAGTAAAGAAGGAATTCTCAGACACTAAGATGGCAGAGAGACTCGATTCCATCATCTCGGGGATGGCTAGATCTAATCGACGGAGTGCTCAAGAGCTTTCGTCTTTCGTGATGACCCTAGGGGTCATCCTTCTCGATATCACCTACTACTACGCATTGCAGAACAAGCATATCAAAAGAAAATTGGGGAAGCTTCTGTTGCCACCTTTTGCACTCACGGTTTTATCGGTCTTATCTTGGGTTGCATATTTGGCTGTAGGATATTCGTCAAAACAGAAAGAGAGAAAACGAACCCAGCCACGAGATAAAGCTCGTTGAAGATAAGAAGAATGAATACCAATCATTAAGCACATGCATGTGCATGTGCAGCTCCTGAGCAAGTTTCAATGCCCATGATGACGCTAATATGCGGCCCAGTTATTACTATGTGTAACAATATTGATAGTTCAATATGATCTTCAATTGGGCCGATGGACTGACACAGTCTTGTTTGACGAATTCATGAGGAATCGAGGACGACTTGCCAGCTGCAGATCCCTGCCGCGAACGGCCCTCTTGCAAAGCGAGCCCCTGAACCTCATTACCGAAACTCTAACATTCACCAGACGATAATTACCGTCACAATATCGCTATAACTCGTTCGAACTGTACAGACTTCTCGTGAGTATGCGTCAACTTGCACAAGTTGATGTCCAATTGAAGCATCACGTGATAGTGAACATGTCCTAATCACCATATTTTAGCGTAATTAACTCAAAATTCTGCAAGCTCTCACTATCGATTCTTAACACAACACAACTTGGTATACCAGCTACCCCGCAGATAATCAAACGGCCAATGGGTCGGTCCCGAAGCTCCACGTCCTGATAACTGAAGCAGAAGCAAGAGTACGCGTTCACAAACGTAACCAATCGGGACCCCACACTTGTTGCATGTCTCACTGGAAACGATCACCGACATCTACGAATTGGAACAAATTCCCCCAATTCCAAGCAACAAACCATGGTTCTTCTAATAAGTAGACCGCCCGTAAGGGGGTCTACTAGACAGATCTCTCTTCTTGTGAAAAATCTGAGGCAATTGCGTGATCCTTCAAGGTGTTTTTCTAGGACTTTTTCGACTGAAATGAGTACCTCTCCGAAGTACGAGGCTGTGGTTGTTGGGGCTGGGCCAGCAGGGGTGGCGGCTGTAGGGAATCTATTGGAACAGAAGAAAGAGCCGATCCTGTGGGTTGATGATGTGATGAAGGGTGGGAGACTGAATAAGTATTATCGGGAGGTCCCCAGGTATGTACCCCCTAAGATTCACGTGATCTGGTGTTGATTGTGTGCAGTAATACGAGAGTCAAGAGGTTTATGTCCTATGCTGAGGGTGTGAAAGCTTTTCGAGACGTAGCGAAGGAAACGCCGAAGCCAAATGCGTATACTCATCTGAAGGATCTCGATCAAGAGGCTACTTGCCATATTGCCGAAGCAGCGGATCTATGTATTATGCTTACTGAAGGGCTAGATGAGTCGAAGGGGGTGCATAAGCATCTTGGCAAGGTATCAAATGCATCGTGGTCAGATGTTAGTATTTTCCCTTCTCAAACCATAAAACGTTGAATTGTTTGCTGACTATTCACAGTCTGGCAAATGGAGCATCAAAGTCAAATCATCAGCAGAAGCTCCCTCTACCGTCTCTAGTAATATGCTCGTCCTCTGTACCGGCTCCTCACCCACGACCGGACTGCTGCCCGTCTCCCATCTTGAAGAAATTGGACTCGACCCTGCCCTCAACCCACCTCTCCTCTCCAGAATTCTGTCGAAAGACTCCCCTTTGACTATTGCTGTCATCGGTGCCTCTCACAGCGCAATTCTCGTCCTTAGAAATCTCTATTACCTCGCTAGTTCCACCCACCCATCTCTCCTCATAAAATGGTTCACTCGCCACCCTTTGCGCTACGCCGAAGAACGGGGGGACTGGATCTATCGTGACAATACTGGACTCAAAGGCGACGTCGCAGTCTGGGCCCAGGAAAATCTCGAGGAAGATAGATTACCGAGTTCAGACGTCAGTAAGTATCTCGAGAAAGTCTCAACGACAAGAGAGCGAGAGCTGGAAGATTACGTGGTGCATTTGAAAGATTGTACGCATGTCGTGCAAGCAATTGGCTTTCATGCGGATGAGATCCCCATTCTGGATAGAGAGGGAGAAAAGCTGCAACTCAAATTCAATCATCAAACTGGCGGGTTTGAAGATCCTGATGGGAAGCAGATCAAAGGGTTGTATGGTGCTGGGATTGCGTTTCCGGAGCAAGTTACTGATCCGGAGGGCAATGTGGATTATGCTGTTGGATTAGCAAAGTTTATGAAGTTTCTGACGAGAGTGGTTCCGAAGTGGACTTCTTGAAGGATGAGCTGATTAGATGCATTTAGTAGGCGTTTTGTTTGATGGGCGCGGCATAGATTGATATCCGATTATGCGATTGAGCTTAGAACATGAAGGTAGATGATTGAATTATCCAAATAGAGAACTCTGGATGCGTCATCTTGTCTCGTTATATAATCAATGCACATCTTCCTTGTTTGGCTTGGTCTGAACTTGACACTGATATGAACAGCAGGAACACTAGCGTGTGCTCAGAGGACTACCCAATTGCTCTACTTTTGGAGTTCGAGTTATTAGAAGCATTGCTCTTCAGCAAACAAATTCATCGAAGCCGGATTTCTTAGAAAGAACATATCCTTCCCTCAACACAATCCATGTGGGGTATATCTCAAGGTGGGGCTTTTGAAAGAAGTCACAGGTATCCAGAAGTATACACATTATATTGTTTGCAGACACCGTCATTCAACATCGGGAAAAGGGAAGTGCCGAAGCAAGACGTCGAGATTAAGTACGCGAGGCCACAGATTACATCCGTAACTTGAAACAGCATATCGACTGCACGACGTCCACATAGAGTTGTTCCGCGCCAGTGCATGGGCATCTACGACTAAAGTCCTCTGGCTGAAAGAAATGTTCCGAACGCCTCTGTGGAGAACCCTGCTGAGGTTCTGATAGAGTGGCTGAATCGGGCATATCAACCATTCCTAGGATGAATGGGATGTATAGCGATGGATCAACGTTACCTGACGAATATCCGATGGACGATGCTGGACTGCGGACTATCTGGTGTCGGCTGAGCGCGGTGCTCGGCTCTGGTAATGAATGGTAGGTATCTTCCAGACATCTGAACTGTTTCCAACTGTGACTGTCTTTTCATCTGAATTTCTGTGTCCTCCCCGTGTGAAACGAGTTCGACGCTCGCGGTCAACATGTATTCCCTGTATTTCACTGCGGCTCTTGCAATCCTGCCAACGATTATTCTAGCAGCACCACATAACATCTCATGTCCTGCGACACCTTCACCACTTCCTAAGGAAGCCAGCTTCGATGTAGTGTCCACGCTGCCAGATCCATTCCTGTACCTCGATGGCAAGACTCGTGTCAAGACCAAGGAAGAATGGTTTGCCTGTCGTCAACCGGAGATCATGCATTTCCTGGAAGAGTATCAGTATGGATACTATCCAGATCATTCGCTGGAGACTGTGACCGCCACAAGATCAGGAAAGACTGTGAATGTTGTGGTTGCAGTCGGGTCCACGAAGGCAACAATCGCTGCCACGGTCAATCTTCCAACTGGAGCATCTGCGTCTAGTCCTGTTCCAGTAGTTATCTCGATTGGCGGAATGGACAATGCTGCGTATCTTGCAAAAGGAATTGCTGTTGTCACTTTTGATTATTCAGCCGTTGCATCTGACAGCAACAGCAAGACCGGATCTTTCTGGACAGTCTATAAGGGCAGAGATGTTGGTGAGACGCTCCTTCGGTGACTGATGGTATTTCTATGCTGACCGATAACGCAGGAACCCTCCTCGCATGGGCGTGGGGCTTCCATCGAGTTCTTGATGGTTTGATAATCGCAGCACCGGAAATCGATTCTAAGAGAGTTGGAGTGACAGGCTGTTCGCGTCTTGGGAAAGCTGCCCTTGCAGCAGGACTATTTGATCAACGAATAACCGTCACCATGCCGATGAGCAGTGGAGTACAAGGACTTGGACCCTATCGATATCACGCATTGAGCGGACAAGATGAGACGCTAGAGAACTCCAAGTCAGGTGCCCCATGGTGGAGTGATAGCACTCTTGGGACTTTCGTGAATAATTCTGAACGGCTGCCCTATGATGCCCATACCATTGCTGCAGCTATTGCACCGAGGGCCTTGATCATAGACCAGGGTCGATCTGATCCGTATACCAACAGCAAGGGTACAGCTATTGTGGTATATCCAGCGGTGAAGTTGGTGTACGACTTCGTTGGACTAAATGGTACAACCTTGGGAGCAGGACAGCCGAAGAGCCAGATCGGGATGGCTCTGAGAGACGGAGGACATTGTGATAATTCTGGATAGTAAGTTTGTCTCTGTTTCAATCAAAGGCATCTTGGGCTCTTGAAAGTAAAAGCTGACTCTCTCAGCTCAAATGTCCTGCCCTTCGTCCAAGAAGTGTTTTTCGGTACTGCAACCACCAGAAACTATGATGATCTTACCCCTTGGACGGCAATGACAACTGCATATCCATGGTCGACGAGCATTCCATCATAGAAGAGGAACAGAATTATATATCGAAATCGCAGCTGGAAAATCCGGGCTAAAGGTATATTGTACATAGTTGCTGAATGACACCAAGAGAGCCTGTGCGCTCTTGGTGTATTGCAATAAAATAAAAAGTCTTTCGGGATGTCTCAAAATGACATGCAGCTGGGAACTTGGTCCTGTAATGAATAGAGTCAGCTTCCGAATCGCACATGAAGTAGATGCTATCACGAGGCACTAAGAGAAAACGTGGCTAGTAGGGGGGACGTCTCTCTATTGTGTCTGTATGTCTCGTATCCAGATCCCATTTTCTACTGCAGTTCGTGCTTATCTAGCCAGGCCAGCACAAGAAGCAACGGCAGCAAACAGGAATCATTAGGTTCTCTCATCTACCTCCCATGTTCATCTTTCAAATTTCTTGTCACCATCAACCATGCTTTCTCCAATCCTCGTCCATTTACGCATCCTTCTTCCTCCAAATACAACCTCTCGAAAGGAACCGCCGAAATCAGAATAATTAGGCCAGCCTCGCGCTGCCAAGCGAAAGCCAAGCCAAGCGCCAGAACACCAGCGAAAATGTGGTATCTCGTGAAAGTATGCGCGCAACGTAACAAGATTACAAAGATGAGGAATATGGTCCAAGCAGACATCCGCCAGTTTTGCCCAGATCCCTCGTCGCGTATAGGTTTTCTAGAAGTATGTGCTGGAAAGGGGGAAAACAAATGAAACATAACAAATCATAAAGGCCGTTGAATAGAATTAGTCGTAGGCAAATAGCGAAGGTGCAAGAAGTCGTAAATCGGATCAACTCGAATGTTTTAAAAACAATTCAAGCTGCCCTTCTTCTTCTTCTGCTTGCTGATGGCGTTCATCCTCTCTTCAAGGTGGGCTCGAGCAACTTCTGCATCACGTCGCTTCTTTCGCTCCTCCTCGACTTGTTGCATACTATATCTGTTCTCCTTATCCATGCCGCTTGTCCTCTCTCTCTCCTTGGATTCTTTCAGCTCCATTTCGAGATCGGCTGCACGTCGTCTCCAAGCATTTACTTCATCCTTCATCTTGTTGCTTTGTCTTTCAAGGTCTGTCAGAGCTTCCTCGAGAGTAGTGGTAAGTTGCTTCTCGGCAAACAGATGCTTTTCAATGGTTCGAATGCGAGCTTCTTGATCTTCTTGGATTTGGCTGACAGCAAGATCCTTGCTGCTAGGTCTGTTGGATTGGGTAGGTGTCTGAGGAACTGGTATGGAAGCTGCATGACCAGTTGGGGATATTGAGGCTCCGATACTTCCAGGGAGGGGAGGCAATGGGATTGCTGGGGGAGGTGATGGTAAGGATGCGACAGAGGCAGATTTCCTCAGATGCGAGTTCGTCGAGTTCGAACGCTTGGGTTCGTTTTGGGTCTCGTCAAACTTAGCCTAGGAAAAGTTAGAAAAGTATTCAGGGTCAGAAAGAGGGTTAGTGCTCACCTGGAGGCTGGCGTATTCTTCCTTGATAGCCTCAAGCTCGGTTTGGACACGGGCATGAGCAGCATTGGCTTCCTCAAGCTGGGCATTGCGTTCAGTCTGTAGAGTGGAAAGACGATTGTTGGCGATCTGATGCTGATCGAAGTTTGAAGCCAGTTGGTCTTCAAGCTCTTCGACTAGTCGAGAATTCTTCTTGTTCTTCGTCTCAAGGTCAGTCATCTCTTTCTTCAATGCTGCCAGCTGCTCAGCTACAGTAGCGTTCTCGTCCTTCAACCTAGCACCATCGGCGGTCTGAAGCAGTAAGCCTGCAAGCTCAGCCTTGACTGTTTCAAGCTCCTTCATGATGGTGTCATTAATTGCAGAAAGCTCAACAACATGTTGCTCGAATTCGTTGCTCTTCTTCGTCTCTTCGGCCAAAGCTTTCTGATCGGCCAGGAGGTCAGTGATCCGCTCTTGCAGCTTTTCGGTACTGACATCTAGCCCAAGAGCAAAGGCAACTTGAGTAGCAATCTTGGTAAGATCGTCACGTGCTTCGGCAAGCTCGGTTTGAAGCTCCTGTATGCTTTGCTGGTGCTTAGAGACTAGCTCAGCCGTACGAGCTTCGTGATCGGCAGTTGTGCTTGATTTAAGCTCTTCTAGCTCCTTGGCGTGGTTTTCATGTAGAAGATTCAGGCCATCTTGGTGAGTCTTGACGATTGTCTCATGCTCGGAGATTTGTTGCTCAAGTCTAGTAATGAGTGCCTTATGCCCATCGATCTCGGCGGCTGAAAGGTCTTTAGACTTGGTCATCTCATCCAGCTGGTCACGAGAGGCGGCATGTGCTTGCTCAAGTTCAGCAACACGAGAACTGTTAGCTGTAAGAGCAGCCTTGTGCTCGTCGATCTCTTTCTGAAGGCTGCTAAGGAGTGCATTCTCATCGCCTGTATCCCTGACTTTCTGTTGCTCGGTGATGTTGGTAAGTTGTCGTTCAAGGTCAGAGATATTCGCCCGAAGATTGTTCTCGGAAGCTTCCATAGACTTGAGAGCAGTTTGGTGCCTCTCCTCCCAATTAGCAAGCTGTGCTTCCAATTCCACAACTTTCTTGTCTTGGATTTCCTGCTGGCTCTCGTGTTCAGCACGGGTTTTGTCGCCATCAGTAGCAGCAGTCGTGTGTGCCTCGATGACATTTCGCAAGCTCTCTAATTCAGTTGACAGCTCCTGCTCTCGGGCTGCGTGGGCCTCATGAAGGGCCCTGATTTGGTTCTCGCTTTGCATAAGCTGCTCTCGCATGGTAGCAACTACTGACATGTCCATCGGAGATGACTTCATGCTTGATCGTTCACGCGTAAGGCCGGAGATTATCGTCATCTTCGTTTCCATTTCCTTCTTCACTGAAGTGATTTCCGATTCCAGTTCTTGGACACGTTCAGAGCGGGAATGCAACTCGTGCATGGCAGTATTAAGGTTGAGCTCGAAGTTAGCCATGAGATCTGGGCTCGACTCGAAATTCTCAGTCGCAATGTTTCGTAGAGAGGCGAAGGCCCTATGTGCTTTATCGACCATCATGACCGTTTGACTTGACTTCCGTCGAATGACAGGGGTGGTTGAGCGTGGTGACGAAGCTTCAACCATCTTTGCTTTGGATACTTCTGTCTTAAGCTCCTCAACGAGATCCAGAGCATCCATGTGTTGTTCTTCTAGTTGAGCATATCTCTCGGCCAACAACTGCTGAGCTTGCTCCTTCTCTGCTGCAAGTTTGCGCAGATTGTCTACCTCCACCGCTATCGTCTCGTCATTGGCCACTTCCTTCGTGACATCCCCAGACTCCGACTTCTTGATCGCGGCTTCAGCATCAGAGAGTTCCATAGTACTGGGTAACTCCCCAGCTGAGGACAATTCCGATGAGAGCGATCGCGAGGATGAATAATGTCCTCCATCCTTTAGCTCGTTCACCCTCGCGTCTGCTAAAAAAGAAGTGGGCCCTGTCTCGATCGGTGATGATATAGACAAGATTGAATCGCGGGGGCCTGGATGACGGGCTTCGTCAACAGCGTCCTGAAGCTCGGCCAAGGTGCGGAGCGCCTCCTCATACTTAGCGGAGAGAAGGTCAAATTCGTTGATGGTAGACTCGTGTTCTACACGAAGGTCGAAAAGTTCTTGAGTGACATTCTCAAGCTTGTCTTCTACGAATTTCGACTGAGCAGGGCTTTGAGGGGGATAATGGTTTCCTGCAGGCTCCAGAGAGTTCTTCGCATCCTCGGCTTCTATCGACTCTCCATTGTCGACAGGTCCATCCGCCTCTGTGCGGTGTACCTCCTCGGAACTGACAGCAGGAGCAACATCATCCTCTCCCTCTTCAGTCTCAAGAATGACGTCTTTGTGGCTGCGCCTGCTGGCAAGGCTTTGCTGTCGAGAGTGATCGAATATAGCACGCTTACCATTAACGCCGGCTTCAACTTCTGCGTTCTTGCCATCCTGCTGAATGTGATCCAATTCGTAAAGCAGGTTGTCAAGTTTGCCTAAGCTACGTTGACGTTCCACCACATGCTCTAAGCGATCAATCTCTCGTTGCATAAGCTCGGCATCTTGATCCGCTTCCGCTAGACGCTCCTCGAGAGTAGAGATGTAGTCTTCGCAGGACGCCTCGTTTTCACGGACACGAGCAATTTCCTTCCGAAGTTCCATCACGATTGCTGAATTCTTCTCCTCGCCAGACGTGTGCCCATCAAGTTTAGCTTCAAGGTCATGAAGATAGTTTTCGGTGCTTGATTCACGATCAATCAATTTCTGTAAGCGAGATTGAAGTTGTTGGTTCATAGTTTCGACATATGCACACTTCGTTTCTTTCTCAAGCAGGGTTGTCTCGCAATTTGACAGCGATGACCGTGTGCTCGAGAGAGATTGCTCGAGAGTCTGAATCGTCTTTTCGTATTCGAGCACGACCTGCTCCACAGCTTCGGCAAATGAGTTGGAGCGCTTCAATCGTTCAGTTGCACTGTCGCCCAAAGTATCTTCGAACGCTTGATTGTCAGCAAGCTCGCTATCCCGTGCCTTTGCCATCTCCGAAATAAGTTTTGCATGGCGCTGACTGAGGGCTGTGTAGTTTTCTTGAGTATCGAGGAGTTGGTTCTGTAGTTCCACTTCCCGTTCGTTCTGTCGCTCGGGCCTCTCAGTGGTTGCATGACTGCGGCGATCGCCTCCGCGCTCGGTGCTCCGGATCTGCTCTCGAAGGAAGGCTACTTCTGCCTTCAGACGCTCAATCAGCGCATGCTTGTCACTCTCATCTGACACCTGCTGAATTCTCGGCTTGCTCTGAATTGCACGGGCCCGCTGTGCGTACTGCACTGTATTCAAGGTCTCGCTGAGGTGGAACTCAGCTGGCGTTACACACGCAATCATATACGTAATGGCGTTCCCTCCCAATGAATCTTGGAGAAGTCTTGTGAGTTTTGAGTCGCGATATGAGACGTGAGAACCGGCCTGGCGAGAGGAGAGCTGAGAAATGACTTTCCCCAGACTTGCGAGACCTGCGTTGATTGATATACCCTCCTTCGCACGTTCACCCTGTGCCCCGGTATTCTTGAGTCTTTCACTACCTGCTAAATCGACGAAGTGCAACTTGCTGTCAATTGTGACCATGGTATCTGCTCCGGTCATTGCTTCCAGAGGAACTGAGAATCGTTTCTGCTCTGCACCCTGAGCAGTCTGGTACTTGCTCTTGCGCTGCACAAGGTTTAGACTGAACACAGCATGTGATCGTGAGGACTTCGCATTGATGGCGGTCGAGTCGGTTTGTCGGATCATGGAACCAAAGTTCAGGGCATTCATTAAATCTTCTACTGAGTTGATCTCAACTTGGTGCAGCCCCGTCAAAAGTATGTGTCCCTTGACGTCTTCTCGAATCGTTACACTGCCCCTCTCACCAAAAGGTACACCTTCGGGGACCAGAAGATCGCGAAGTTGTTCGTTGTAAATCTCAACATAGGTTGCCTTCAGTGTCCAGTTCTTCTCGACATTCCTCGACATCATAGCAGCAGAGTTGGCTGAGTATCTGGTAGGTGTTCGTAATCCAGACATGGAGTTCCGGTTGTTCGGCTTGGGACCTTCGAGTTTCTCGAATAGTGCTGTAGCAGCACGTGGGATAACACCTAGTACAGCAGTCATGTTAGCTTCCGTATATTGCAACCTAGGATGTGACACCAAATGCCACTCAAGGATCGTGATTGTGACAGATGAACTTACCCATAACTTCCAGGTTACCCTGCTCTAAAGGTCCTGAAGTTCCCATCGTATAAGACTTTCCAGCACCAGATTGGCCGTATGCCAACATGGAAACGTTGTATCCTTGTACGAATGAATTCGTGCTTTCGACGAGATACTCCCAAATTCCCTCTTGACTGACATCCTCGTCGAACACTTTGTCGAAAACGAAAAGTTTCCGCCCCTGAGGAGAATCGATAGCCAGACTTGTGGGCGAGGTTACTTGGACCATAGAACGTTGAAATCGCTGTGGAATCAGTTCAAATCCGGGATCTGATGGCTTAAGTGGAGGCCGCACGCGAACGGCTGCATATGGCAAATCAGTATGTCTCTGAGTGTTAGAGATGATTTGTGATATCTCTTACCAACTTTGACAGAAGTTTTGCCATCCTCGTCTGAGGCTCTACTGCCTCCGCCGGTCTTGCTCGTCATACTCATGCGGCTGTTTGTCCTGGGAGGTCGCATCATTGCGCTCACCGGCCGAGGAGGGATGCCCGAAGGCGATCCTGGCGGAGAGCTTGCCATGGCTCTGCTGTAAACTTCGTTGCGACAAAATGTGGTGGTGATAATGACGGAGTTGTGTGATGGTGGGAAGTCGGAATGGTGGTCAGATCGATTATTCGTGTAGTCTCGCAGATAAAAAAGTAAAGTTTACAACGCTGCTGTCATGTCGCAGAAGAGTAAATCGGGTGTTGATAGCAGCGACGGGTCTCAGGTGTCTCCTTTTTCCAGCATTACCCCAGCGAAATCCAAGGGCAAGTCAGCAACGCGTCGCTACGACCTTGCAACCGAGCGCTTGATTCGCCGACGGTCTGTTTGTGTATTATTGTATTGATTGCTGCGATAATAGCAACAGAGTTCTTTCTGGAGCCGGATATGCGCGTTGCCGGGGGCGCGTCGGAAGACCACAGGATCGATCTGATGCTGGACGATAAAGAAGAAGAAGAGGACGACGAGACGCAGATGCAGACGGACGAGATGATGGCGACCGCAAAAGACGCACCGACGTTCAGAATTCTCTCCCCTGGTTATTGACTCCCTTGCGACCTGGGAGGACGGGACGGGACTCTCGACTACTGGACTCCTGGACTACTGGACGTGCTGCACGTTGCAGCGGAATAAAAGGAGGCCGCTAAACTCTTCTCGGTAATTCTGCCCACGACTAACCGAATCCGTGACCATCTCCCCTCACGGCACCGCGCTGTGCCTGACATTGGCTTCCACCACCACCACACCAATTCTGTTCAGGGGCGATCACCGCCCAGACAAATCACCATCGTACCTTTGCAACATGCAATCATATAGGCTTGATGTGAGCAAGGTATTCATTTACTCATTATTCAAATGTTGATCTCGGCCTTAAAACGACACGATACGACTCCACCAGTACAGTAACACAACACCTCTGAGGCAGTCTCCCGCACACGACTCAGGCGTCTGTCTCTACACTGATCCACTGTGTTACTCTGATGGAGACAGAAACTGGAGTGAAGTGAGGAGGAAGGAGGAGACCTGGACGATGGATGTCTTTGACACCTTTGCGGACCTCGCCCATCCGCGGGGCACTTTTGATACCAAGCGCGTGCTGATAGCCACTGGCCAGTTTCTAGACACTGCGGAGATTTCCACGCATGAATTGACGCTGCGTCCAGTCCCAAACCAGCAGCATAGGACCAGCCCTGCCCATAGTAGCATTCTCTCATTCTGCACAGGCTGAATGTCCGAAGCAACTGATCATCCTCTCAAGCACAAATGCTCCGTTCTACTGCAGGATACTGGAAAACTTAGTCCCTCTTCACTTCTCGGTACGGAATTGTCGAGCAAAACTTTAAAACTGTACACGAAGGTCTACTGTAGACGATTTAATATTCGTTCGGCGTTGAAAGGGGCTCAGATAGCCGGGAGCGATCCGATACCAGTATTCCGAATTACTGGATACGGGTCTGAGAAGGGTATCACTGGCGCCTGTCGTACGGCATTGGTCTCAGCCTACTCTGAATCTCTGCTCTCTTCAGCGCGTGGTGAATGGAAGATAAACTGGAAGCGTCTGCTTTTAGTGAAATGCCAGGGCTCACGTTATTGCCCGAACGTTGCTTTACAGTAAGATTGCGAATTCCACATCGGGACGATCACACTGTTTCACGGTGTCGAGGGCTGGGACGCCCAGCCCAGCCCAGCCCAGCTCGTGGAGGACTTCCGTTTGGCGTCAGGGCATCGGAAATGCAGAAATACTCTAGAAGGCATCGACAATTATGCCGGCAAGTCATCGCATGTCTGGTCTAGTGCTAGCGAACGAAGACTTGCTTGCACCTCCAGTTGGTGGATGTCCTGTACAGTACAGTACAGTACTGGCCAGACAGTTACGAGCACAATTCAGTATACAGTAAGTAATCAGCTGAAGCTCCGGTAGAGACGTAGAGACGAGAGAGAGAGCAACGAACGCCACAAACACTCTTGCCACTGGTGCCGATTTGACGCTTTCATGCTGTGCAGTAAAGCAAGCCTCACTTCACTTCACTCCACTTCCAGAACCCATTATCCTGATAGAACACGGGACGAGATCTTCAAGTTCCTCCCACACCTCTGCCCCCCCTGAGTACCCAGATTCGACAGGCTGATCTCCACCTCACCGCCTTCGCTACCCTTGGTTTGCAAGGAAATCCAGAGACATGGGCTAGAAATTGGGTCCAAAGCCTCGGCGCAAGACATGTCGTCTTCCCCATCACCAGTGGAGACACACTTCCACTTCCACTTCCACCACCACCACCACCACCACCACCACCGCGTCGAAGATGATGTGCTCCCGAAGTGGCTTGCTTTTGGCTGGCCTCACTCGTTTCAATGGACCAGAGGCCGGAGGGGTGGCGCTACATACGGACTTCTTTGCTCATCTGGAAAATTTTCACAAATCTCGTCGGATCTTGTGCCATCTTGCATGTCTCCGAAGATGCAAACGCTCTGACACCAGGTCCGATAACACCGATCTTCAAACCACGAGAATTTCTTCTTTGTTTCTTGGTCCCCTAACGGGCCGCTCCAAGCGAATCATCGCATGCCCACTTGCATGTCAGCTCTAGTGTGAGACATTCCTATATTAACGGCCACTATCCGACCGCGTACGAACGCAAGTCCACGGCGCTCGCTCTTTTACTTTATCACAACAGGGGTCGAGGTCTGAGCAACCGAAAAGGGTGTTGACGAACCACCCACACCGAAACTCAAAATTATGCACAGTGCATAATTGTTCCGTTGTCACGAGTCTCCCTCAGCCTTTCTCACTCAACGGACTTGCATGTAATACTACCGCAAGTACCGAGTCCGACCTGCTCTCAAGCAAGTCTACACGCTGGATAATGATGCTTATGCAAGGCGTATCGTCCGAGCGTACATGCAGACGCGGCGCGCACGGTTCTCACAATTTTTAGTTTCGTTTCTTCCTCGAAGCCTGGGGCTGCTTATAAAGTGTGCAGTAACCTCTTTGAACTTAGGCTCATATATCATGATATCCACTTTTGATAGCTCTCAGAGTTGCAATGAGTGCTTGGCGTCTTTTCTACGATCAGAGGCTTTCAGAAAAGAACCCGAGTGGGATCGAGATGTGAAGATATACTCCTCGACGGTCAATGAGGCTCAAGAATTATAAGTTTTGTCCATTGATTAGGCATGGTACGATGTTCGTCCGGAGATACAAAAACCATGACTCATGGTAGTATTTTATCTAAGCCCCATTGTTAACATCCGGCCTCTGCGCACGTTCAGCTTTTCTACTACTAAGATTATTTTTACACATCGCCCCAGCAAGTGTTTGGGGAAACAAACATCGTATGATGAATTGCACCTTGCCTCTGAACCCTCGGACTTATCTTTGGAAACGGCTTTCCGATGAAGGTTCTGTTTGGCAACGCCCAGCTCTTGCTGGAGAATGCATGTGGATACCAAGGCCCAAAGAACTCCACGAAATCTTCATATGCAGCTCACTGATTTTGAATTCTCCTATATCCCGTCGGACATACAACGCAAATGTTAGAGATGCATGGAGGCTCTTGCGCTTCCAAATCCCCGAGTTGGACGTAACTACAAATTGCGGGACGGACGGGAAGTTACTCATGCAGTATCACACGCCTTCGGACCAGAAAGCACAAGAATGGGTCGATCGAACTTTTTGTTGTGAGTACGGATTCTATGAACAGGATTTTGCGGTCTTACAAAAGACCGTGATGACCGCGAAACAAGGCCATGATTCCGATAATGCATTTTTGCTCTCACATGCTGTCGTTGAGGATGGCGCTGAGCTAGTTAAGCACTCTCAGATCATGATGTATGTGGATCATCAAGTTGCAGATGGGATTGGTACTCGCATCATATTCGGGAAGTTCCTCACATTACTCGCATCCGAGCTCGGTTCGGCCCCTAGCACCACTAAGACGAAGATCAAGTGGGAAGACAGCGGTCAAAACTTAACGCAGCCATGGATATGTTGTATGAACGAACACCAGACACTTTCTGGGCCAGAATATGAAGCTACCGCTGCAAGGAATCGAGAGATCATTCTTAATCAACTGGTAGTCAATCCTCTACCTCAAGTTCTCTTCCTGGTAACTGATCCCTTCTTCCGTAGAAGCACAACCCAGGCCTCCCGCTCATACAAACTCCACAACCACTAACGCAAGAAACGTACTTCCACACCATCTCAGCAGAAAAGACTACTGCACTCCTCCAAGCCATCAAATATGTCGTCAGCCCCAGCTCCAACATAACGCATCTCGGTCATGCCGCCATGGTCCTGGCCCTTGCACGCACTTTACCGACATCGTGCCGAACCCTTTGTTCTCCGTGCTGGCTCAATGGTCGTCGATATTTGCACTTTAGCGTAGAGTCATATGTTCCGATTTGTCAATCTTTTGCACCGGTCTTTTTTCCTGAGATATCACTGTCAGCTGATGCAGGAAAGGAGGAGGTGAGGGATGTGTTGGTGGAAGTTTGTAGGGTTGCTACGATTGAGTATGGGAAGATCAAGGCGAGGAAGAGCATGTTACCTGAATGTGTGGTTCTGTTTGAGGAGCTGGGAGAGGGGATGGCTCGGTATGTGGACTATGCAGATTCTTGGACTCAAGCAAGACTGAAAATACATTACAGCCGAAATAGAGAATTGGAAACAGAGCAGAAGGACAAAACTGTAAATGCGGATGTCAACAAGAGTACTGACGAGCGTGAAACAGCAGACCCAGTGAGTCTCTTCATTGCAATGCCATTACCTCACCACATCACTAACAAACAACAGTTCTTCCTCAGCGACGGTATAACAGAGCAATATATCTCACACTCCTACCCCTCCCGGCCATCTCTTAGCAACCCTTCCCCAAATCCAACTTTCACAGTAAACGACGTCCAATTCGCAGCCCATGCCGAGAAAAACCTGTATGCATACCCCCTTCTCCTGACCTTACATGCCAGCACGTGAACGGACTAACAAAAATCACAGGATCGTACGCATGAGCAGCTGGCGAGGCAAGACGACTATTTCTGGGGAGTGGAGAGGTTGTGATTTTGATAGAGGTATGATAGTGAGGTTCTTGGAGGATGTTGTGGGGATTATGCTTTCGATTGTGGATGATTAGGTAGGGATGTTGCTTTAGGTGGGGAGAAAATGGCTATGAATAAGGGAGTCCTTGGTCATGATGTCCAGACAGTACTGCTCATGTTCGTGTCCGAAGTGAAAAGATGACTTTTACACTCTGGAAGCACCGGCCCTCTGGAAGCACCGGCATAAGTTCGACGATACCAATGTGCAACAAAGTTTTTTAATCTATCAAATGTTCCAAATTTGGCTTGAGTTCCTGCTTTTAGGAATTGCTGTTATAGTTTCAGAGATTGAGTGATGCAAAAGCTCAAAAAAATAACTGTTCCTCTAGATTAGCGACAAACATTCAGATATCAAGAGTGACCCCCACAACACCATACATTAGAACGAGGACAGTGTTAGAATTCTGACATAAGCTATCAATGTTGGGTCCGAATGTGGGACAAAAATAGCCATATTAGCTTGTAACTGCAGAGGCTTTGAACATGTGGAAATGTCCTAACTAAAGATGGGGCATGGTGTCTACCTATTGTTGAATGACTCAGTGATGCTGGATCTTTGAGGTATATCTTAATCGCTTTGGAAGTGCGTGGGTTTCACTAGATTTTGCACCCAAATTTTCTCTGAGATTTACTTTTACCGTGGTATCTCAATTTAGTTGGGACTTTGGAGATCAACAAAGCAACAAAGCATCCCGGACTAGACTTAAAAGTCTTGGCAGAGTTTGAGAAAAAGGTACTCGATTATCGATCATTGGGTATCTTCGTGTGTCTAGCCTCTAGGTGCAGAATCTTGAGCATCCTAGACATCTGTCATGGCTGTGTCCTCATTCTTACTCCGTATTTCCTTTACCATAGCAAGTATTCCTTCCTTCCACTCCTTATACTCCGCTCTATTTTTTGCAGATAGATAATCGTACTTCCTCTGATGCATCGTATCCGGTTTCCTGCCTCCCCTTCCACCAAAAGCTTCCTCCACATCTTCGTCCTCTCCGTCTTTCTGGACCACTTCATCCATCTCTTCGTCCGAGTCCTCAGCTTCCCCCTCAACACCAGAACCCTCCGGCACGTTCGAGAACCAATCCATCTCTTTCCACCCTCTCAGCGCAATCTCCTTGTTCCAAACAAGAACATCTGTCCCTTTAACAACCTGCCAACCCCTCCACTCATCCTCACCCTTCCCCACCCTCCCAAGCACCCATTCATCCTCTCTCGCCCTCTCCAAAACATCCCTAACCATCTCTTGCCTCGCCTTAGTCTCCACCCCTCTCATCGCCTTCCCCCGCATCTGGATCACCACAAAATACCATATCGACGCTATCAACGCTGGTATTTTCCCGTTCCCCTTCTCTTCAGTCACAATTGGCTCCACGTCCAACTTGGGACACGGTAAAGTAAGCAGAGTTTCCACACCAGCGTTGATGTGCGGTATCGCTTTCGGGGTCCCCATCTCTTTGCAGAGAAACCTTACAGCTGGAACTATCCATTTCGGAATCTTTTTCTCATTGTCGGATCTAGAGCCATATTTTAGTCCCTTTTTCGGTGTTCGGTATGAAATAGCTGCAGTCAATTTTGTTGGTGTGGTGGCAGAGAAGGATTTGAAGCTTTGTTCTTTACTTGGGGTGCCGCGCTGGGGTAATGATTTCGCGGGCGTGGAGCGAGAGGCCTTGGCAGAGCGTTGAGCTCGCGCGCGGCCAGCAGAGCTTTTGAGCTTGCTGTCGAAGTATTTGAGGAGCTTCGAGTAGGCTGCTGGTGGGATTGGAGGGCGGGATTCGATGGGTGGGAGGTTGAGGGTTGTTTTGAGTCTACGGAGTGGGTTTAGCTATCTGCAATGGGTTTAGAAATATTGGGAGGTCATACCGTTCGCAAGCCAGGTTCGCGCAAGCATATAATCGCGCAACCTCCTCCTCTGCTCGTAGATTGCTGCATTGGTTGCGCGATTGGGCGAGCAGAGATCCTGCTAATTCGACAAGCTCGCGGGGAAGAGCTCCTGAATGGCGAGGGATGAGATTCTCAAGGGTCAACTCGATTGGGCGACTCATTCTGGATTGATGTCAATTGAAGAGCTTGACGTTTATGAAATTCGAGAAGGTGGCGATGTGGTAATGAGCGTGGCTGGGGGAGTAAAGTTGCCCTCTGACTTTCTCTAAGTTTGGTTGCACGTCGCGATCCGATGACATGTCTGCCGGATTTCTTAGAGAGGACCGTGCACCGTTACACAAGAAGGTGCATATCAAAATTCGGGCGTGAAATGCAGTCGCAACACTCTTTGACGACTGAACTACATCAAGCACTACGTAAATGGAAAGGCTCTTCACCTCGATCCAAATTCCAGGACCGTGGCTGCCTGTACGTAGGGTACAGCGATCATGTCTCACGGCGCAAATGAGTTAATCAAGCACGACGGCGCAGTACAAACCGTGCCACGCACGCTCGTCCACCGTGGCGCTTTCTTGCGCTTCATTGCCTATTCTGGATATCTGAAAGTCTCACATCTTCCTGTATCCCAACAGCTTCATCACCCAACAGTTTGACAAAGCCTTCTGAATATTGAACGGGTAATGGCTTGATCTAGTTACCTTGCTGCAAGAATCTTCAAGTTGCTCAGTGTACAGGACAGGTATCAATCTCTCTCCTCGCTTATTTGATTCTAGTAGAATAATTGGAAAAGGAGATGTTTTTCAGATTATGCTGCTGTGGATTTAAGATCCTTACACAGACTCTATAGCTGCACTCTCTTTCCAACCTCAAGCACCGATACCGCTACTGAGTCCCTGCCATTAGTTCTGTGAGAAATTCTCCTTAGTACGGGACAATCCTTAGTACTAAGGAGATTTAGAGCAAGCGCTATACTAGACTGCGGCGCGGTTGGCTGTCAATATGCGCATAAGTAGCTGGGTTTTGTCCTTTCTTGGCACCCTTTTCTAGATCATTGTTTTCGTACCCAGTGTCAATGGCTTTCATAAATTTCATTGTCTGGCTTGCTGTATGCACTTCAGCAATTGCTGTTCCAGAATCTACATTACCCATAATCGATCTTGGTTATGCTCTCAATCAAGCCACACTAAATGTATGTTATTATATATCACTTCTGAGTCTTTTGGCACATGTATCTTGGGTTATGTTATCTTTGCTAAGCTGTCTTAGAGTTCGTGTCCCTACCCTTTATTGACCTTTTCCAATATTCGTTTCGGAGCACCTCCAGTCGGCGATCTTCGCTTTGCCGCTCCCATACCTCCTCAGACCGTGAATACCACTGTCAATAATGGGCAACAGACTGTCATCTGTCCTCAAGCAACCCCAAGTTTGTCGTCCTCTCGTGATATACTTTCGGAGCTAACAGCTGGGCAACAGCGTGGGCATCAACAGCATATGCTATCGTGGACGGTCTCACAGCAGCAATAAGCTCGGCGACCTCGACAACAGCAAGTTCAGCAACCGCGTCCGCGACTTCTAAATCATCAATACCCGCGCCAGCTGCGGGAACCTCTGAAGATTGTCTGTTCTTGGATGTTGTCGTGCCACAGAAAATCTATGATTCATCTTATGCTATCGAGCAACGAGCACTCCCGACCAATCAAAGTGGGGAGTTGAGTGAATCTAAGGGTGGTAAGTATCATCTCCTCGGATCGATTGTATATACTTACTATGGTGTAGTTCCGGTCCTTGTCTGTAAGATGGCTGACTTTCTCATAAACACCCGACTCAGTCTCGATTATCACTGCCAATCGAGGTCCAGATAATGCGTGACGGTATAATGATAACTTGCTGACTTTGCAATGTGCAGGGCTTTACGGTGGTGGTTACATTTTTGGGGATAAACAGAGCCAAGCCAACCCGTCCACCTTGGTCGCGAATAGCCTTGCAGATGGGCATGAAGGAGTGATATATGTAGCACCAAACTACCGTCTGGGACTTTTTGTGAGTAAATCTATCACTATACAATTGCACTCGACTAATAGTATCAGGGGTGGCAAGCATCTTCAGCATTCGAAGCCGAAGGGGGTACCACAAATGCGGGCCTCTTCGACCAACGCCTTGCGCTTGAGTGGATTCAGAAATATATTTCCTTATTTGGAGGTGATCCATCTCGTGTAACACTTATGGGAGAATCTGCAGGGGCCGGGTCTATATTCCATCATATTACAGCCCCAGCCAGCTACAATACTTCGTCGCTATTCACCAAGGGAATTACTCAGTCGCCTGCTTTGGAACCCATCACTGATGCACAGAAGACTGCAACATACGACGAAACCCTTTTAGTCGCGTCGAAGCTCGCAAATACCTCAATCACGACCCTGGAACAACTGAGAGCACTTCCGTTTGAGCTACTATACGAGGTGAACTTCTACATAGTTGCTACAAGTTACTATGGAACATTTACTTTTGGCCCTGCGATTGATGGCTCCTACGTCCCTGCTTTGCCAGGCATGCGGTTACTAAATGGTTCCTTCGATCATAATATCAGTATTATTGCAGCCCGCAACGAAAACGAAGGCATCTTTTTCACAAATCCAACGCTCCAGAACAGCTCAGCTTTCGACTCATTGGTCCAGAATAACTTGCCAGATGCTACGCCCGAGACAATCGCCTACATTACGAATGTCCTTTATCCGCCAGTCTTCAATGGTTCTTATCCTTATCTTACTCAATTCGAAAGAGGAGCTTTGTTCACTCAGGAATTTACAATCACTTGCAATTCATATTTCCTCGCGAAAGCATTCGCTGGGACAGAAAGCGGAAAAGCGTGGAAGTATATATTTGCGGTACCTCCTGGTCTTCACTCCGATGATATTGCATACACATTCTTCAATGGCGATACTTCGACGCTAAATCTAGGAGGCGGTGTCGTTAATGCAACGATTGCAAATGTGCTGCAGGACTTCATTGTCAATTTTGCGGAATCTGGTCAGCCAGCAGCGAGCGGATATCCGCATTTCCCAAAGTACGAAGAAGGGAGGGTCTACAATCTGAACGTCACGGAGCTGGGAAAGGTAATAGAGGATCCGGATGATAATCCCAGGTGCAACTATTGGCAGGCAGCTTCATGGCTGTAGGTCTCTATTACTAATGGTCTTACGTGGCAGGAAACATGTTGCTGGCTGCGAGGGAACTCGTCAAGTTCTGTCTCTGTATCCTGTACAACGAGCCACTTGTATAGATGTTTTCATATAGACACCTTCGTATAGACTTATAGCGAAACCTTAATCATATTGCAAGGCTTTACACCATGTTAACTATGTCCTCACATCTGGGCTTTCAGATTTCTCTTAGTTTGGCTTGGTCCGTTGCCAACCCTGAAACACCTGACCTAAGATCAAGTCACAGGTGAGAAGGTCGTCTATGTTGATTCGAGTAATTTCATTCAGTATATTTGCCTGAGTCTAAATATACACCGCCCATGTATCCTTCATCGGGATCTATTCGCTTCACATCTTTCTCATTCCCAGACCCATGACAAGCAAAAATCAAGCTTCCGATCAGCAGACCCGACCGATCTTTCATTGCTTTGTTCTGCCCCTCTTCAGAAGGAATCTGCACCTTGAAGCTTGGATCAGGCTTTCCATCAACATCATGCAATCTTCCAAGACTAAATATCCCCGCTCCTGACGAACTTCCACCATCCCCAGTATTCTCCACACCGAGAACAGCAGAATACGCCTTCAAGATATCCGAAAATTTCGTCTCAGCAAGATAGATGCTCATTTCCTTAATTCCCACGGCTCCACTCGGATGAGAAACATTCTTCTCTTCCAGCGGCACCCGCAGCTTCCGAGCCGTAACATCATGACAGAAAAACGGAAACTCTCCTCGCTGCCGCCCGTCATTCAGTACCGGAAACGTGACTTTCCACTTCACATCCACGCCATCGGGCCTCTTTCTTCCTCCCGCAACGGGCTCCGCATACTCGAATTTACTCTGCCCTTCTTTAGCATTCAATTCCTGTAACCGCTTCGCAAGCTCGGAATATTGAATCTCTGCATCACCACTACTGTCCGTGAACGCAAAATCGATGATGCCGAAACTTTTTGAACCCCACCAGTGGCCCTCTCGGTTCTTCGGGTCGTCGTTGACGAATGAGATTAGTTCGATGTAGCTGCCGTCTTGGAAACAGATGAGCTTGTTTTCGGTTTTGTTGTCTGCGTGTCGGCCTCCGGGGCTGAGGGTGAAGTTGTCTGTTATCCAGGCGGGAGGGTCGAGGAGGGTGGTGTAGGGGATGAGGATGATTATGTGGTCGAGATGGAGCATTGTGATGTGATTGTAGTTTGGGCTCTGGCTGATCAAGGGTGTGGAAGATGTTGTTCGACTTGTGATGGACCAGGAGTGGGTTGGCATGGACGTTCGTGAGAAGCGGGGCTCCTAAATCGGACTTACTCAGCGAAGCTTGATTGTATCGTCTCATTTGAACAATTGAACAAATCTAACAACAGCTGTAGGTTTTTCTAGCCGTAGGTGATAGAAGATCTAGGGAGGCATCTGACATCCAAGACTATGTTATAGTCAAGCAGGGTTTCGGGCTTGAAATATCGGTGGATTAAGTCTCGATCAATTAACATAGCTACTCTTCTGTTGTTAATGAAGCTCGCTAAACTGACAGGGGCTCGCTTAGAGGCTTGAGATTTTATTCAAAGAGCCGTAGGGTAGGTAGGAGGGAGAAGTCCTATCTTCTACGGAAGCATCCCGAAAGCAGAAGATGGAATAGATGCTTAATGATAAAAGCCTGGTGCCCACCGTACCGCTTTCCTGAGAAGGTGTGAGTCGCCAGTCAAGTCACAAATGAAGTGCCTCTATCTATCTGTCCACCCTATCATAAATCCTGCATTGCTATCGCCTACGAAGCATGCCTGACCCTGCATGTGCTATTGCGTGCTTGGTTAAGCTTCAACGGTATATCGGGCTTGTGTGGCCATCAGAAGAAATTGGTAAATGAAAGAAGCTGCAAAAGAATTAGAGTTGGAAAGTAAAATGAACGAAAATGTATGGTTGATGGCGGTCGAAAGTAACAGAAAGAAAACAAAAGTGATGCTCTGTGCTTGGATCAAGTACCAATACGTTTGATGAAAGGAGATGTTCGAGGTCGAATCCTTGATCAGGAAAGGCACGCCAATTAGGGTCCCAGAGATAGAAATTATATGAAAATACAGTAGCTCGATTTCGCTACCAGGTCCACGCCATCGTCCGAAGCCATATGATTTGCTTCTAATCCGTCCATCAGGAGGTTCAATTTTGATTGCTGAGCTATCTAGAAAGGGAGTAGATTGATCCTCTCAACTTCCCACTCTGACTGATATACCTTCTCAGATATAGTGAAGATCTGTAGTATATCGATTATGTACTAATTATCGGCCGGAACCCAAGCTTTCCGCTTAGAGGGGACGAAATGTATAGTAGCTTTTCTAGCTTGCTGTCTAACGTGGAGAATAGCTAATAGCTAACCAGCCTTCAAAGTCAATGCGGGACGTCTTAACAGATGCATATGCTGTTGTACATTCACGCACTTATCCTATCAAAGATGTAATTCAGGTTACACAACAAGTGACTTGTTGGCCCGGTGTAGATAAGACATAGAGTCTTCATCATCTTCTCGTTGCTGCAAGGTTTCCATCCCAGGCCTTTGGTTGCCAGCCTTCACTTGGACCACCACGAGCCTGTTTCCATGGATCGTCTGCTGGCTCAGTCACAGGTTTCGACGTTTCATGCCGTCTACTTGTATCTTGTGTTGTGTTCTCTCGAATTTTGCTCTTCACCTCGCTCTCCACTTCTGCGGGCTTCAAGGTCTCGGTGGGTGTCTGCGGTATGTCCTCGAGTCCGCCGCTTATAGCACTCCTTACATCTTTCTCGTCTTCCGATTCTGCAGATTGGGTATAGCCGCCTTGATCTTTCAACTCCAAGGTTGGCAGTGGTTGACTTCTCTCTGGTGTGTCCAGAAAGCTGGGTTTCGCGGCCCATCTAGCATCTGCTTCTGCAGCCAAAACTTTCAAATTCCTCTGCCGCACAAGGTCTTGTGATTGTTCGGTGAGGGAAGGGGGGTCTTTTCGTGTATGTCGTAGCCATTGGTGCTATTTGATATCTCAGTAATTGTTCTACAAAAATATGAAGGGTCCCAGGTGAGCTCCCCTGAAAAAGTGTCCGGAGAACCAGACCCCCAAATTGTCGTTGTAAAGAAGGGTAATTTTGACGTACCCATTGCGGAGAGATCCTAATCTCAGAGTACTGCGTTGTTGATGGATACTGCACTGTGGCAATTTAGTCTTGACAATAGGGCCCGAAGACGACGAAACGTTCCCCGGAAACGCAATCCAGCGCTTACCTATGCGTCGCATGCGATGCTGGTGAGATGAAAGCGTATCACGAAATTCCCAGAACGTGTTTCCTTGCAGGTCCAATCCTAGGCAGTGTCAGAGGATAGCCAAGGCATGGGAGCTGAAGCTTGGGGTAGCTATTGAGGCTTAGAGCTCGGAGTAGAAGCTCCAAGCTACCACTTACCAACTAGGAATCGTTTCCGCCACGGTAACTTGAGAGACTTCCACCTATACCAGGCCTGCCGTAAAGGACTTGCAGGTTTTGATGACATTGTAGGGCGTGTGATTGGGTTTGCGATTTGTTGCGAGCTACGCCAAAATTATCCCAACTTCAAATTTGTCGCCACCACGCAGTCACGTGACACCACCAGCACCTTGAATTGCCTCCCAAGATCCATGAGTACCAAGTTTTGAGTTTCGATATTGTCTGAAGTCCACTCGAATTCGTGTTCTAACCTCCAAGCCACTGCAGCTAAGATTCGGCTACTCCAACTCCCATCCTCGCATGCATGGCATCGACGAGGATACGGATACGGTTACGACTATCACGGCCTCTGCTACTAAACATAGGATATCGAGTAAGGCTACCAATAAATCACAAGAGAACAAGCCCTATGGGATCTACACAATCTTCAAGACTATGAACAACCTGCAGGACATCCGTATTATATTTGAACCCAATTCAAACTACCGACCGATACGAAAACTTGGAGCTGAGACCTCCATCATTGGATAAGAGTGTTCAGGTCTTCAGCCCCTGCAAGAGATCAACGAGATCGCTCACAAGAACCAGTCAAACCTCACCGGGCAACAACCTCCTACTTGATTTTCGAGACATGTCAACAAGTTATCTATCTATAGAGTACTGGCTGCTGCAGCATTGCAGAATCTCGCAACGTTACAGCAAGTTTTGAAGAAAGTACTGACAAACCCGAAAAGCGAAAATTATTGCCGATCTATGCGAGCCATGATGACAGCGGCTTGGTGGAAGCATGGAAGCGCGGAAAAAGCTTCTGGAAGAACGGAGGGTGTGTGGTCCACACCCCCATCTCACAAGCCGAAAGTTCCACCCGTCCCACCATTTCCATCTGCTCCAGGGATCTCCGGCATCTCTTCGGTCTTGGTCGGCACTGTGAAGAGTGTGGAATATCCTATCCGCCGGAAAAGGGATTTTTTATACACTCTGGGACATTGCAACGACCATGCAACTGCCCAGCCAGCCACGCACTGCATATACCTTTTCTACCCACCAAAGGAAAATGACATACGGAGTCCCCGATTGATGGCCAGGAAAGGGTTGGCGGTCGTCGGTTGTGCAACC